CAGCTTTGAACATAATAAACAATCCATCTATATTCAAATTTCTCTGCATAAATGCAATTTATAAAGAACAGACTGCAAATTCAACTCTGCCAAAACGACAAGTCCAAGCTCCGGCTCAGTCCCGTGGTGTCCAGCCATGAATTCATTGTGGACAGTCGTCCATGTGTTGGGCAAGATGGAATCCACACAGAACACAAGAGCCTGCGGAAGGTTTAGTCTGCCTAGCTCATGGGCGTATAGAGCCTGACTGTAATATTGCAAACGTTTCGTCGGTATATTTGATCTAGGCCTTGTTACGTGCTTTGGGCTTGAGTAAGCTTACACGATGGCTTTCGTTCGCTTAGTGACTATATCGCAGGCTTCGAAGACATCCTGTGCCTGCATGTACTGGAATACAATAGCAACATCGATCCTCATTTGAAGTTGTGCTAGGTGCGTCTTACCTTCGCTGCTGGTCAGCCGGGCAGCCGGGCAGCCGTTTGGTCTCTAAATACGAAATTCCAGTTGCCACTAGTGTTGAAAGCGGTCTGGAAAAGGGCGCAAATGCCATGCTGTTCCAGAATAGAAGCCTTGGGGCACAGGAAAACCGCGCTCCGCGGCGACAGCCTGGGTCGCCACAGAACTGGTTACACCAGTGGGGTTTCAGCACCATGCCGAAACAGTTATGGGCACAAACCGGCCTACCGGTCAGGGTCTCTAGGAAGTTAACGATTGCGTCTTCAGTGGCATGTTTTGCGTTGGCGTCGTTAATGGCTCTTAGGCCGCCTTTGTAGTATTGATATACATGATCGCCGCTACTGGAACGACAGAGTCAGCCACCCATTTAAGTAAACGAGAATAAAGAAAATTGCATACCACTAGAAATATTTCACGTTGTTGTTCGCATCCTTTTTGAAGAATGCTAGCAGTACTATCTCAGCACTCCTGCCAGATGGTATTGAAGTCATTTGCACCACCATTCGGTCATATAGAGCGGTAAAAGTAGATCTCAGTGATACTGCTCAGACAAATGGCCATGGTTATTACCGAATTCGTCGTCAAAAACTCGATGCTCGTCGGTGTTGTTGAGAAAGTTCCTGATTCAGTTGAAGTCTGTGGACTAGATGTGATAGTCCGGGTCCCACAGTATTCGAAGACAAGGTGTTCGTAGAATTCGTCACGGAACTCGAAACACCACTTGTCGACGGCCCTTTATAATCCGTCGACAGAAGAGGGTTGTCGGGGTACGCTTTGCTCGTAATCTTATACGACTCGCCATCGAGGCTCTAAACAACTCCCCAATAGTTGCCTCGTGACGCACTGATAGATGATGTTTGTGAACGCATCTTTGCAGTAACTCAGGGCTATTAAAAAGCCAGGGATAGATAGGAAGCCAGATAGTCAAATTAACCATTCTAGCTGATCTACTCTGAGCATGAATCATATTATGAAGACACATCGACAGTAAGCGACAGAATATCTACCCGAACTCCGCAACAAGCCAAGCTTTAAAAATGGGCGGTAGGTCCTTACGACCTACGAAATCGTGACTTCAACGTGTTATCACTCTCAGGAATTTCACGCCCAAGACTGAATTATCAAGTGGAAAGCAACAGCTTTATCTCAGAAGATCTTCCCAGTTTTGAAGAAGTACATTCGAATCTATCGAAATAATGACTAGTGCTGCAACATGTGATCAATGATAGACGCGATTCATAGTCCATGGAGCGTATCATTGCGATCCTGCTGCAACTAAGATAGCTAAGACTCCTGGTTTCTCTGCCATCTTCGCATTGGCCATTGCTGCCATGTTTGCTGTAACTCCTGAACCAGTTGAGTCCGTTGAGAAGCGGGTAAGCTGTTAGCCAACTTGACACTTTAATAGGCAACAGTCCTAACCCAGTCCAGAGCCGCATCAGTAATTGCCTCGCCTCGGGAAAACCTGCAACCTTGTACGGCTCTCTCTACTCTTAGGTGGCGATTTTCGGTGATGTAATGAGGCTAGGTCTTGGACATGAGCGTTGTTACAAAGGATATTGAGTCAGACCGTATGGTACAGCTGTCTGTGCGACATGGAGAGGTTGTTGGAGGAATATCGGGAAGGGGAATGCGATAGTGACGATATTCCAAGCTTTTCCTGTAGATTCAATATCATGTCGTCAATTTTCTGCAAGCTGTACTTGCAAAAGCGAACAATTCAAGAAACCAATATGACATATGAAACAGAACATCTTGGCCCGGGGTTTTACGTGACACACTGCATCTTCATAGAGGCATATACGGAGAAGCTAGCAATCTGAGTGAGCAAACTGACATTAACTTGATGGTAATTACTTCTAAGTCTTGATGTTACAACCGTGAATTCAAAGGCAGGGCAGCCAATACTGATGGCTGGCTGGCTGCAAATAGGGGGATAGACCAATATTGTATGCACGAGACGTTAAATAACTAGCCTACTGATCATCTGTTAGGATGGTCTCTAGCTTCCCGATATGAAGGGAAGTCAGAAACAGACATCACGCAGTCATCATGTGACAGTGGTAACTACAAAACTACGCGTTCTGCACCATGAACTACACCACATCAACATAAGATATGGAACCTGCCTCGGAGGTGCGCAAGCTACCGTCTGGTCTCCAGGCGGCAAACGGAACGCGGTTGCCTAAGGTGTTGACACAGGCAGGAACTAAACTACAAATGCCACAACAAAGGACCAAACCATCGCATCCAAGTGATGGGGTAGCAGGCAGAATTGGCCTCATGGTGTAATGGTCTTGCAATGACCCCTTTCATTTGGGAATGCCAATTGAATAACTCACAGGTTCAATATTCAACCAGAGTTTGAACAACCCTTACAAAGGGGGAGGGATTTAAAACGGATAACAGGAGGGAGAACTTGCTTAGGCTTGCTCTTGGGTTAGTGGTGGGCCTCCACATCTCTTTTTTATTTCTTCTCCTTTTTAAAGCATTTTTATTTACTTTATTGAAACAATTGGGGAAGTTTTTCTGCAGCGTGATGCCAGAAAACTCTCGGGATTCTCTTTTATTCAACCCTGGTGAAGGGATTACATCGTGTGGTTGTGTTCTTTCTGGCCCAAAATCCTGCCGCCTGCCGAGGGCCGATATGTGATATTTCCGTGATCAGAACCATAAGAACTACCAATTCATTTCTGTTTGGCCTCTACAAAATATTAATAATCAAGTCATTTGTAACTTTACTTGGCAGCGTATTTAAATGAGGCTTGTTCGCTAACATTCCAAACCAAACTTTTGGCAATTTTTGGATCAAGGAGAAAGGCTGATAGGTGACTGTTGCAAAGGGGCTTGGCCTGGTGGGTACGTCTCGCCTCGCTGGACATTATTTGCCCCCTCCCCCTTTTTTAGAGATAGAATATAACCTTACCTCATCGATGTGAAAAATGGGAATCTTATTAATACTGTCGGAATCCAAGTACTAGGGGATTTATTAGTACTGTGAAGGTGCGGAAGGGACCAATCCGAAGTTGGCCCCGAGGAGCCCCTAAACACTACAACGCGTGCCTGCCTGTCTTTCCACCCCTCAACACCCGAGGCCATAACTTCTCACAAATACTACAATTTGTATCTTGATTTATGCGCTGGTGGATGGAGTCTTTTGAAAGTGTTACCTCCGTGGATATGGACTTCATTCCTCATCACTCTATCTAGACATCATCATATCTCCGCCATCTTCGCGGCATCACCAAGCAACACCTCATCCTGTCTGTGCGTCTCCGTATCATAGTCTTTAAAATAACTCACTGGCACTTCATTGAAAATCTCATACAGCTCCTGATACGACCTGCCAGCGGTCTTAGGCTGGTAAATCCCGAGATACACAGTACAGAACACCGCCAAGCCACCGAATATGAACACGACCTTTGTGCCCAGATTCTATTCGTCCTGGTTGAAGAGATGGGACAAAACAACAGCCATATCATGTTAAGCTGATTTTGCAGACAAAATCCAAGCAAGATCGTCTTGCCACGCGCTCTTGAGGTAGAGGCTTTGGCAAGAATAGTGAACGCTGTGGCGCCGATGGTGGCGTTGTGCCACCAGCAGTATAACATGATCAAAGCCACAATACCCTAAATAGCATCATCACCACCATGGGCAGCCAGGCCGCCCACAAAAAAGAAGGAGTATGATCGAGATCAGAGTGCCGTACAATGTCAAGTTCCTCCTTCCCATATGATCGAAGAGATACCATGGGCAGGTTTTCCCGAAGTGTGAGAGGATTTGTTGGCCTTTTGCAGCTCGAATCTCTCTTTGGTTCTGAAGCCGGCGAGGTGCAGGTAGTATTTTGAGCAAGAGGATACGCAGACGATGTCGCTTAGGGACTTAATGGAATTTTGAGGGCGAACAGTCTTTTTTTCATTGGATGTGATGAACTCTGGAGAGTCCTCTCAGGATTTTATTGTGGCCAGAAGAGTCTTATATAGGTAAAAGTGAGCGGCGCCTACCCCACAGACAGAAGTTGAATGTTTCGATGGGTGGATGCCACATTGGCTGATATCGTAGGATAATTGTGGCCAAATGTCGTCACAGGCTGGCACTTTTTTTTGGTATAATAGCCTTGTGTCAGGGTACGGCTAGGCCGAAGGCAATAGTACAGAGTGATGGGGAGTAACGGGCGTCCCTCCTACGTAATACCGGGTGGTCACTGGCGGTCTCAGGTAGGGGTGCCCACGGTGATGCATTGATCTCTACTCTCCCTCTATCTTCTTCCCGGGCCTCCGCCCCGTACATAGATAGCTAGAACCCGACGTCGGAGCCGCGGAGCACTAGTTTCCCCGATTGTTCCGCAAACCAAGACTTCCATATCGTCATGACTCGCACATTCCTACACCAGAGCCCCACCGGTGTCCCACCGGTGCCTATGGCATTCTGTTCTCTGACACCTTGAAGGTCCAACAGGATTGAATCGAGAGCGGCATGATGCTGATAATTTTTCGGCGTAATTTGATCTTCCGGAAGCATTCGAAGTATGTCACGCCCTCTGGTTAATGTCTGGCTTCTTCGAGGGTGCGTTGGGTGAGTGCAAGTTTGGAGGTTGCTTCGGTGCCGCGTTGGCCGAGTTTGTTGAGACCTTTTAGAGCTTTAGAGCGTCTTCGTTTCTGTCTTTTGCTGCGAGCCATCAGGGTAATCTGAGATAATTGCATGTTAGTCATCAAAATTTTACTTTTGGCTGGTCGTGGAAATGGGTGGATGGTGAAATAATTACATACTCTGGCATGAACCAGACAATAACAGCGAAGCCATACCGGGCGCAGAAGACAGCACAGTATGCCCATCTGGTGTGGAAATTTTCCGTCTCGTTGGTGATCAAAACGGCCACGAGCGAAGTAAGGCAAAACGCAAGGGCGTTGAGGCAGGTGAAGAAACCTCGGAGGGCGAGAGGAGTGACCTGCGTCTGGGAATTAGCCAGTTTATTGTGGAGCGGATTTGGAGCTGGACGCGACATACCTCGTCGATATAAGTGACTGTGACCGAGGCAATTGCTCCGACGGCAAAACCGTTGAGGAACTTTCCACCAAAGAACAAGGCGTTTGTTGTGGCAACAAAATCCATCATAGCGAGGGACCCAATGATGGCTCTACATGACAAAACATCGTCTCAGAAAGTCCCACAAACAGCAATTACATCGGATATTCAGATAACAGAAGGTACAGGAAAATTGCGAATCAATAGTCGCCTCACTAAAAGCGGACTGCCACTCAGCCGGCAGCACATAAGAGCCTCATACAAACTTCCGAAAACTTTCCGGTATTCGGGAATACTGATCACAGATTCAGCGGCTTGATTATTGAAACTAACAAGTAGCACGCACCATGCAGCATACATACACCACAGGCATGTAATAGGGCACTGGCAGAGCGAGGCCATGAGGTTGAACTTATGCTCTTCGAAGTGGCATAACCCCTACTATATTTAACAGGATCTACCCTATATATTTCCGAGTATCAGTTTGTGTTAATTCCCAGTTCCTGCCAGCGAGAAAATCCGGCGATTAGTGCTACTTAGCTACTCCTATCGCATCCCGCACCCGACAAACCTCATCTCCACAAATACCAACTGCCTTGCTTTCCCCCTCCCCGTTCGCATGTCTCTTCACACACTAACCCGCACTCCACATTTTGGGGTTGTGCTCAAACTACGGAGCGCAGCTGCCACATGGATGCCAAGGATCCGGGAATATTGGGCGTCCAGTTACTTGGGGGCGAGTCTATGACTCGTATGTTCCTGGGTGAACTGCGGGACTTGGATCCCATGACTTGGCTACACACTCAGTTTGGTAGGTGAGTAGTTAGCGAACCTTTTGCGCAGTTCGTCTTGCCTGTTTTCGGATGTACATCGCACAATTATAGTGGTGGGGTTCCGCCGAGGTTGTCTCGTGCGAGGATCTCGTGACTCACTTCGTACCTCGATATGGAATAGGCAGGTTGAAGAGCTGCGCAAAGTGAGTCGTTGGGTGTTTGAAATATTCCATTGTGGGCTAATATTATGAGGGGTTTCTACAGAAAATGTGTTTATTTACGCCTTCATCTCATTGGAGTATTACCATTGGGGATATCATAAAACTGTGGGGGAACCGAGTGATATTGTGGGCAAAAACAGCCCAATGTTGTTGTGGTCAATTAGGAAGTTATCGTAGGTTTTCTATCAGCTCTACCTATCTTGGTAGTTACGCTGCTTGTCACGTGCATAGGCCGAATACTGTGCCATTTCTGCCCACAGATATATCATCTACAAACTATCATGAATTTGGCGGAGACATTCAATGGAGCTTGGAAGAAGTGTCATTGACGTGAACCAGATACTGATTTATGGACTTGAAGAATTTATCATCACAGATTCCGGTCCAAGCAGCTAATCCGTATTGGTTCCAGCCATGTAAACTGACGATATAAAATAATCCCCGGGAATTGGTTGCGGATCCATGCTCCCGTGTTGTCTCGGTCCGATCTGGCGTAAACCTCTAACTTTGTGTATACCGGGCCGGCTTCCTCACTCGAATAGTCCTACCGGATCTTGAACAGAACCTGTGCCAGCAAGTTCATCCCTCCTGTCAGAGTGCTGGATGCATGGCACCGGTATAGGGACGTGCGAGTCATGACCCAATATGGAAGTCTTGGTATACAGAAGAATCGGAGGAACTAGTGCTCTACGGCTCCGATATACGGGATCTACGGCTCCGACTCCGGGCTCTAGCTAGCTATGTAAGGGAAGGTATCTGGGAAGAAGATAGAGAGGTTAGAGATCAATGAACCACTTTTGGGCACCCCTATCTGAGACCGCTAGTGACCGCCAGTGACCACCCGGTGCTAAGCAGGAGGGACGCCTACTACTCCCCATCACTCTGTACTATTGCCTTCGGCCTCGCCGTAACCTGACACCTCCCCAGAAAAACACCCAAAGCGGCCCGTCGACGTCAGCCAAAATGCGTTCCAGCAGCAGTTTTCTGGCCTCCCTCAATGACACATCATCTCCCAGTGGGGCCACTCCGTATCAAACTCTTGAATGTACTCTTGAATGTTTCTGCAGGTTCATATTGGCACTCCGGATGGGCATGCGCATTGAGTTTATCGACAACATTGATATACGCATCGACGATCTTGTGCATATCCTGTGGGCACACCTTCGTCTTCATCTAGTTCAACGTGACCGCCGCCATATAAAAGGATGTCTCTTAACTCGGCCGTGTCCATCGTTGCGTACAAATCCGTAGTAATATTTCTGCCTCATTCTACGTGCGTTTCCTTCTTATTGAAACGCCTTAAGCCACCTCGTACGGATAAAATGCATACTGCAAAGTATATCCAACCTCTGCTTGGTATGCTTGTTTCTCCAATGCAGGACTCACCATCTCTTGCACGCACTCAGTTGGTGCATCAATGCCGCTGAATCTGTCGGCAATCCAATTCAACCAAATTTGTTGTCCTGCATACAAGACCGACACATGTGTGACACCCTCGAGAAGCGTGTACTGCAGCTGGCTTTTCGGCCACGTCGAGCACGTCTCATTGGCCGCCGCCGAAGTCAAGACTGCCGGTATCATCGCATCGGCTGTGCCCTCCAGGACCAGCATCGGACCCGCGAACTCCTTTCTCCCGACTCGCGTGAGGTCTTCAAAGGCAGATAGGTACCACGTGGCGTTCCAGCCCTCTCTCACTAGATTAGGGCTTTGGATCAGCTCGAGCGCGACGGATTGGCACCCCTGCAGCCATTGCAACACCTGTGTGAGGCGGATGCCCTCATCAGACAGCCAGTCGCTCCATTGGAACGAAGGGAAAATAGACGAAATTCCCGTAGAAAGCCTGGCAAGACCAGCACCAAGTGGGACTGGTTGGTCCAAGACCAAGTTAACCGTGGCTGGAAATGAGGTCAAGGGAGATCCCGAAACAGTTCCCAAGTATCCCTCCACAGGCTTCTTCGCCAACTTCTCCGCCGCTGCCCATGCCGCGCCGCCCCCCTGAGAATGTCCCATGATGATGAACTCCTTACTCAAAGAAGACCATGCGTTCTGCGCCGCCTGCACAGAGTAGATGAGATCATTTCCAGCTGCAGGGCCCGCGAAAGCCTGGTGCGGAATGAAATTCCCCTCAGCGTCGTGATCCACCCCAAGACCGGCGTAGTCCGGCGCCACTACGACATAGCCCTGGAGAGCCAGGGTGAACGGTGCGCCGTACGCATACCAAATATTACGAATGTGACTGGGACCGCATTCACCAGACCATCCTGACAAGCCGTGGCCCCAGCCTACCACGGGGAGTCCGGAGATGTTGGCGAAGCGGCGCGGCAGCCATGGCCAGAGGACGATGGCAGAGGCGGGAATGACAGTTCCATTTATAGTCTCAGTTGTGAATAGCATTCGCGAGAGGGCAACCCCAGGTGGAATGGTATAAAGAGTCGTGTTGGTGTAGTTTTCGATCTTGATAGGGGTTCCTGCCTCGACAGTGGCTGTTGATGGGACATCTTGGTAGAAGGCATCTAATTGCGTGGAGGAGCCAGCCCAGTTTGACCGCTCAAAGTTGATCGCAACAAGAACGGCCTGTTGTTGTGCTTCAGAGAGGTTCGCACTTCGCATCAAGGACCGGGCTTGTTCTTCGTCTAATGAGCCGTAAGTAGAGTTGAATGTGTTGCTCCGGGACTCGGCTGCTGGCCACAAGACTTGACCGTAACATTGCTGCGATATTAGGAGCCAAAAAGATATCAAAACTATACAATACATTGCCTATATCTCTAGTTTCTTGATGATTGGGACAGTCGCATAACTCAGAGTTAGCTGAGACGTCGGATCTGGGAATTCAGCGGTATTAAAACTATGCCTTTGCTTAAAATTGAAGGAGTGATCATCAGATTACGGCAAAGAGGGGTTATGTCGATATTTCACGACCAGATATCCCATTGCAGGAGGATCTCCAAGCCTAGCAACAATGGTTCCATCCATGCGTTTGCGGGGGAAATGACTAGTAGTATGTATGTTTACAGGGATTGCACGAATAAGCTCCGCGGGGTAAGAGACAACCATTAAGTCGGCATGAGACTATTCCTTCACAACCGAACAAACCCCATGCGAAAATAGAAGGACACCCAGGCCGACATATGATTAATAGCAATATACTAACTTGAATATTAGTCTATCTTTCTAGCGCGTATTGACCTAGAAATATAATGTTATCTGAAGCATAACACTAATTTGCTATATCAAAATCACACTATGTCTTTGACTACTTTAACTACTAATTTGATCAGTAAACGTATCTGGATTAAGTAATCTTTTTGAAAGATCGGATCTCTGCATATACTTCTAGTAGGTTCGCGAGATGCAGGTCGAATGCAGGTTATTGCATTGATAGCGTCAGATACAAGGGGTCAGTGATCGACCATTAGCGTGGGGTGGCTAAGATTACCAGCTACTTGGACTTAGCCCAAGATTTACAATCAACTGGACCGACCACGGCAACATCACAGTCAGATCAGAATCACAACAAGGCCACACAGCAAGACACGTGAATATCTAACAGATAGGGAGGAAAGGAAGTAAGTTCCGTCCGCTCCCGAAAGTGCAGCTTATATACAGCATTCGGATCGGGCACAGTTAGGACTGAGCCTGACAGGGCCCGAGAGTCGAATCGATTCACAACAGGCATAGCTCCATAACTGTCGGAACCCAAGTATTAGGGGCTGTACTGGTACTATGGTGGTGCATAAGGGACCAATCCAAGTTGGCCCTGAGGGATCCCGACATAGTGCAACGCGTGCCTGCCTGCCTCGTACCCCTCCACACCTGAGGCCAAAACTTCCCACAATAACAATGAAATAAGCTATCTGCTCGTTCTCCTCGTTCTCTATTTTACGTTTGATGCATGCGCATGTAGGGAGCAAAGCAGAGTTTATGCTAGCTAATAAAGCTTGGTTAGTTCTGTAGCTAGCATCCTTGCAGGCAGCCCTGTCTTATCGTATCTTATCTTACCTACTCTACAGGGTAGCGTAACCTCCTAAGGCTCGCGTATCAACCTGCTCGCATTTCACATCCTAGGAAGAGCTATTATTAGTCGGTAGCAGTTAGAAATACTTCTAACGTTTATCCTTCTTAGCTTGAATATTCGAAAAATATTTATTAAACTCTTAATTAATTAGTTCAAATTGTCTACCTTACTAGTAGTTGATACCTCTTATATTAGCGTCTAACCGCTAGTTCTTTATCGCTAAATTTGCTATAAATAGAGGGCAGCTAATGAATGTCCTACCAGCCTTTCAATACTCTAAGATTACGATTATAGTTAACATAAGTGACAGGTTTCAAAGTGACGTTCGACGCCAGTCGTGAAGCTAGGGTATGTTTGGAGGAGGGTTCGTGTTCTTAATAACTGACTGCGTTACTTCAACAGGGAATGAGCTCCATGCAATTCAATTCTGTGAAATGATGCAGTAAAGTCCAGTTCTGCAACCTCAGCCATCGAGATTCTTCGGCCTCATGGGCGGAGGAAAGTGCCCTAGCCAATCAGCATCGCATCTGCCACATGCAACTGTGACGTCACTGAGTACCGCCACATTCTGGGGAAGGCAGTAAGGCGCGTCACATTCAAAGTTACGCGAACATGATGTTTGAATGTGCCAACAAATCCAAGCTCGCTCTTTGTTTGGCTAAAGCGAAAGCTCATTGACGTAGCCAACCTTGAATCAAACCTGTCCTCAGCTTGCCAGCTTATGTTTGTAAATAAAAACGAAAGATCCGCTCCGCCTGCTCGTAACTCTAGATCCGACCTCATCTGCATGTTACTTCCTGCCTTACCGAGAACATACCATTTTACAGCCTCACTTCAAACTCCCTAACAACCATCACGAGATTACAGACAAACCCGCCCGCAATCATGGGTATCGCAACAGGAATCACCCACTTCTTCCAGTCGATCCTGGAGCTCATCCAGGGCTTCTTCATGGCCATCGTGCACGTGTTCCAGTTTGCGCTGCAGACCGTCATTGACGCCGGCAAGGGTGTTGTCAATTTTGTCGAGGGCACGCTAGGCTTTGCTTTCCGTAGGTCACACCTAGCCCCCGTTGCTTCCCGAGATCTGACGTCACTAACGCTGTTCTGCTTACAGACAACTTCTTCATTTTGGGAACGATCGCCGCCGCAGTGTTCGGCTACATGCTCTATCAACAGAGATCAGGCACGACACCCGCTAGCAAGACTTTGAAGAGCAGCTGAATTGTTGTGATGGAAAGGGTGGGAAGAATGCTGTCAATAGGGCTCGAGCTCAGAAGTGCCGACGAGAGGAAAAGCTGTTTTGGAGAGGCAACATGACTGGTTCAATAACTTCAATAACCATCAGGATGTGCCTTTTTTCTTTACTATGGTTTATAATCATTATACCCATGTACGTTTAGGTCACCACCGCTGTAAGTGGTAACATCCTCAGGTTAGCACAATCACCTCATTTTGCGAATGCTCTGGTACACATGTCAGATGTTTGTCTGAGTACAGCAATGATCGCTGGTAAAGGGCGATCCAGTTGTGCGTTATTTCATCCCGATTTTCTGGCGTTGGTCAGCCGCTGCAGCTGGCTTTGCCGTATATAATTAATAATTATAGCCCAATCAAGGTTGGTAGATGCCTGGGCACTGGTTCTCCATTCCAGCAACACTAACAGTCTGCGCAGGGACGTTAGCGCCGAATTCCCTGACCAAGCCAGCGGCGACTTGATTGTAAACCGGCCACTGCTGGGTTGTCATGTGTATTTCATTCCCAGAGTTCGTAACAAAAGCCAAGTACGCATCCTGCATCGCGTGACTTGTCTCGTACTCCAATCTCGTCGAGTTACCACGATATAAAGGATGCGTGCCGAAGACCAAAGGTAATTCCGCGGAGTGCCAGGCACCCATCCAGCCCTTGGGTGAGACATTGGTGAAGTTGCCCGAGTACTGGTACCGGTAAACGGAAACCCCCGCGGCGAGGCGATTGCTGCAAGAATAGTTAGTCATCAAGGTCACTACTCTATGCCTAATAGACTAACGTAGCAGCTTTCCAGCCAGGGCAGAAGAAATACAGCAATGTCGACTGGTAAGCCAAGGTCTCGTTGATGCCAGTTGGTTTGTACTGTACAAAGGGTACGCCGTCTTCGGCGTTGCTGCCCAGAATAGCAGGCTAGATGAAAATTCGTAAGTCACTATTGTCACGTTCTAGAAGGCCAACTTACAACTTTGGCAATGCTGCCAGCCAATGTCCGCTCGGTGAAATTGGCAAACACTGTCTTGTCGTCAATAGTAGGCGTGAACCTTATCTCCGGCACCGTCGCAGCATCATCATACGTGTGTATGAAATCCTCCAGCGCGAACGCGTCAACCTTCCGCATGCATTCCAGCTCCTCTGCAGGCTGCAAGTCGCCGCAACCAAAGTTCGAGGCAAGGAAGGTGAAGTTGGAATGTGCCGCATCGTAAGTCTGAATATCGAGGAACTCATTTCCAGAGTCCATGATCATGGTATTGACGATGGGGTCTTCGGGATAGGAGAAACTGTAGTACCCCACGGAGATGGCGCCGGCACTTTGGCCCCAGAGCCCAATCCGCTCCGGGTCTCCCCCGAAGGAGGCAATATTGTCTCGGACCCATTCCACGGCTAACCGCTGATCCAACAGACCGAAATTCTGGGTTTCTTCGCTGGCCAAGCCGGCTGCGTTCGGGAAACCGAAGAGATTCAATCTATAGTTGAAAGAGACAACGATATGACTCTGGGTCCTCTGAACCCACTGAGGAGGCAACTGGTATGGCACGTTTTGTCCCCCGGTAGTGAAACTGCCACCATAGATGAAGAGCAAAACAGGAAGCTTGGACTTCTTGGTCGCTTTTGGTGCCCATACGCTTAAGGTCAAACAATCCTCGGTGATGGGTCCCGTGGACCCATTCCGACAGCCCAAGTTAAACTCGAGGACTTCGTTGATATATAATCCCGGGTTGTTGGTCAGGTACTGCATGCAACTCGGTGGCAGTTCTTTCGCATCAATTTCTCCGAATGGCTCGGCTGGCTGAGGTGCCGTCCAGCGCAATGCTCCTACGGGAGGTTTGGCGTAGGGGATGCCGAGGAATTGGTGGACGTCTGGGCTTGAATTGTCGATAGTGCCGTGGATGATGCCATTTGGGATGCTGACCGTCAAGTTGGACAGCCCGTACGGCCGCGCAAGAGCATTTGGCACTGACGCCAGAAAGGCGAGGAATGGGAGACGCATCGTGGTTGCTGTGCCAAATTAAAATAGAAAGGAACAACAAGATTCAGCGAGCATGGGCATTGCGGATATTTTATCGTACTGATGACCCCCCCACACCCGCAAGCTCCAGCGGCCCTCCTTTTCGTCATCATTGGAATAATGCCTTGGAAACTTGGTCCAACCCAGTAAAGATATGGCGCAACGGATATTGAACTAGATTGGACTGAGGTCGATTGGCTCGTGTATTTGGCAGCGCCGATAGAACTTGAGTGTGGAGCAGTGTGGAACTTATAACTATGATCTCCAGGTTACGGGGACGCTAGGCGTACATAGGCAGTTCATCCGATATTTATTCTGGGGTTGACCTCGGAAGTCAAGTCTCCACCTTGGATACTGAACAACTGAACTTTATTGACCTTACCCGGAGAGCAGTGAAATGCTGGTAGTTATTAGTATTCTTCTACACCGGTGCTTCAAACCTGATGTTCATATCTGTCAGGTGCGAATAAGCCAGTGGCTTGCCGGGCCTTAGCCTATGCAAGGGTTGGCAATGTAATAGGCTGCTGTGACCCCCCTATCTCGAGGAGGGGCAGTGATTAACTTGTTGTATTTGAGTCCCCTACACTACACTGCCAGTACCAACCTGGTGACGAGAAACCGACTCCTCTCTAGCACTCCCGTCCTACATTCTGTAGTTGGATATCCGTGACAATATCGTTACGATGAGAAGTACGTAACGGTGGAAGGACAATGAAGCGTAGGTAGCCTAGGGAAACATAAATTTGTGTTGTACCGAAAAAGGTGAGCAGAAAATGGTAGACAATATTCTATGATCGGCGTTGAACCGGCTGGGATGCTCAAATAGACAGCTATGTCATAGCTGAATATGTATAGTATGCAGAAAGAAGGCACCTTGCCAGTATCACGGGTGAAATACTTGGTGAATTATAAGTCACGATATTGAAGCCTAAAGCTACGTTAGGGAGAAGAGAAGTGAAACCCGTTTTTGATATCAAGTGTGGTTGATATGAAATGGATTGCTTAAGTATTAAGGCTGTCTCGTATCAGCCTTCAAGAAATCCGATAAATCGCTTTCGAAACTCTTGTACCCATGGGGGACACGTCACAATATCTGTATGTAACTGCACACCCTCTTTCTCGAGTAACTCTTCGTACTTAGCGTTATCTCCATTCAGTCGTGTAGGCCCCAAATACCAAATGCCACACCTCTCCAGCTTTGGCAGAGCAGCCGATCGATTCGACGAAAACCTGGCGAAAAGCTGCCCCAGTACCACTGGTTTGCAGCTCGCGTTGGGATTGAGATTGAAACACAAACAGAAACTTCGCACGGTTGGAGGAAGGATGTCGGTGATCGGCGGAATGCAGTCTGGCGACCACTTCTCATAGCCCTGTTTGGGCTCCTCGGCGACGAGGCCCTTCTTCTCGCCCGACGTAATAGACGGTCCCCAAAACACACCTGCATCCAGTTCAAGTATCTGAAGCTGGGTAAACTCCTTCATGGAATTCACGCCCGTGACGATGTCGCCGTGCATATGTTGGTTTTCGATGGTGATTGCCAGTTCTTTGAGGGCGTGGCCATGGTGCCGCCCGATGGCAGCGATGAACGCCCCCACATCCCAGTCGTACTCGACGCCGTGGTGTTTTGATGCGTGGCTGTACTTGAGCGAGGTTAAATGAGGAGTATGTTGCAGCAGTTCTGCAATGCCACGAGCGTCCATGCAGCCGTGGAAGAACTCGATCTTCTTTAGAGTTGAACTGAGGCCTGGATATAACCAAGTGAATGTTTTCCCCATGCTAGGGTTGTCGTTTGTTGCCATGTGTCAGGGTACGGCTAGGCCGAAGGCAATAGTACAGAGTGATGGGGAGTAACGGGCGTCCCTCCTACGTAATACCGGGTGGTCACTGGCGGTCTCAGGTAGGGGTGCCCACGGTGATGCATTGATCTCTACTCTCCCTCTATCTTCTTCCCGGGCCTCCGCCCCTTACATAGATAGCTAGAACCCGACGTCGGAGCCGCGGAGCACTAGTTTCCCCGATTGTTCCGCAAACCAAGACTTCCATATCGTGTCATGACTCGCACATTCCTACACCAGAGCCCCCACCGGTGTCCCACCGGTGCCTATGGCATTCTGTTCTCTGACACCATGCAATTAGTGGCGTACAGTTCTCTCAGATTAGGAGCGGTCAGGAAGGTTGACAGGGACTGCAGGCTGGGTTTGATATCGGTGCTGGGGCGGTGTAAAACCTGAAGGCGCTCCAGCCGACCGAGTGACGCATCCAATGGACTTTGAAGCTGACTTTGCTGGATTGTTTCTAGTAATCGCCAGTATTCAGGAACTTCGGTGGCATTGTTTTCGGATGGCGGGTAGATTTTCCATTCCCAGCCAGGGGGCAGTGTCAGAGTCTTGACATTGGGCAGTAATGTGAGGAAGAACAGGCATGAGAAAATGCCATGGAGATCGCCGTACTCTTCGTCGTCAATATAAGATAGTATTTCCCTAATCCATTTGTCCAGATCGACATCGGCGGCTTGAAGAAGATTGGATTGAGCGATGCATTCTCGGATGCTACTCAAGTCTGAGTCGTATTCTCCAACCTGCGATTGTTCCTTAAAGTCGACCGTCTGAATATACTCCGACAGAATGGGGTCGCTGGCGATTTGGTGAAGGATGTCGAGAGAACTTCGTGAGTAATTTGAGCTGTAGTTGACATGCGACCACTGCCGCTTGCGATCCTTATGTTCTGCAATGAAGCGCTTCCCGCAATCGTAGACTGCGCGACAGCTGAGCATGAGGCCTTCGAAGCCTTCGGGCATGGACTGCTCGATTACTCTGGCGAGTAGCTCGATAGGAAGTAACAAGAGCGCCATAAGCAGATAATGCTTGAATGGAGGGAGATCAGACTTTTTGTCTGATGGCTATCTGTTTGATATTGTTGACTGCTCCTGGATTGCCGAAAGTTGCTTTAAGCTTTTATCCAACAGCCTAGGGGCTGCTGTGACGTCTATCATCCATATCAAGGATTGTGACTATGATTAAGGTACTCACTCTAATTGTTAACTCCCCAACACGATATAGTGACCGGACTTTCTCAATTACAGCCTCATACAAACCAATCAAAAGCCGAACCCTTCTATATCATAAACCGAACCTTTTAACTGTGAATAATATGGATATATGATTCCTCCTTCTGGTCACGATGAGGAAACACCAATAACCTGATCCATGCCCGTATTAAGTTCAGTCTGAACCCTAACTGAATCCCGCTGACCTAAAATCAGCACAAGGACCCGACCCGAGTCCCACGTACAAAGTGTACCATGCGCAATATCCCTAGATAACCTCATCCTAAGAGGAAATGCTAATGCCATGCACAACTTCTACTCAAGTACGCATATAATGACGCCTTCTAACGTTAATTTCAAACACCTCAACCGCCTGCCGTCGCAAAAGCTCCTTCTTAATCCCATCAACCAGGCCCAAAACATCTACTTTCTCTACTCCCAGTAACACACCAAGCCAAATCCGGCATAATGGCCGTGGATAATGGCCACAGAGAAACACTCAAGGCCTCTCTATAGGTCATCGTAGCCTTAAGAGATGCCATTTTAGTCAGCAAAACCCTGCCTCGCGCGAACATGGACACCCGCATGCGCACGACCTGAAGAACGGCCTGGTATCAGACCGCTGATTTATGGAAAACGAGCCGACGGTCAGTCCCGGTAGCGAACAGGAGGAATTGGTGAACGGTAAATCTTCTATCTGTTGTCGAGTGAAGCGAAATTTTATGTGCCGGAATACCCGGTTGTGTATTTACAAGAGGGCCAGGCATGTCGAGAAGACTTAGTAGTTCGGAGGACCGGATCCAGAGATAATGTTTTGGGAGAGCAAGGAGGGCTCATGAATATCGGGACGGGAGGGAGTTTTGCGCATACACCGGCTGGGATATTGATGGATACCTATGACAGATGTAAGGTTTTATCGATGCTGAATTTTCTTTTGTTCCCGGACGTAATGCGCCCTCACTGACTGGGGGTAGTACCTGGGGGATCAACTTTGCATGCCGTGCTAGCTGCATGTTAAGGTCTAAGATCATCATTATCCAGAATACTAGGTCGGATGGATTTTGTTGTTGTTCTTCGCCTGGTGAGCCACTGATGTGGTGATCCAATACTTGGTGGGGAGGAGTCCTAGATATATCAATAGATGGTGTAGAGACCGTCCATGTCGCCAGAGGTTGACCATCATTTGGGTTTGACGATACGTTCTGATTGCTTTCCGGACCTGGATGTGTCTGATTTCGGGAGTTTGTTGGGGGCCTCGAAACGCAACCCACAGCAGCTTATAGGCAGCAACGACACATCATCCTAGTCTCGGATATACTTCAACTTGCTTCAGTGGCATCTGTCGTAAAATGAAAGAGCCCTTGTGATGCTTCTTGAAACCTGTCAATCCCCTGTCTAAAGTACTCGGTTGTTTATACGGTTATTAATTGAAACGGGAAATGCTGAGCCTGCTTAAAAATTCTTAAAAATTCTGGTGTGTTCTCTGCAGATATGCTGCTTCAAACAACGAGCTGAAGCTCAAGACTCTTTCAAACTTGATTGATTGTCTAGTACTTTCATAGATCATGTTCTCATACGCACCTTCTCAACGGTCGCTCAAGCAGTTTTCACATATCGAATCAGATAATACAGCCATGTCATCGCAGTACATTAAGACAAAGATGGGGAATCCAGCAGTCCCACGAACAGCGAAATCAGCGGCGAAGAAAATGCAGCGAGTTCCACCAAGAAAGGCTGGCAATTCTGGGCCATCTTCCCCGCGCTCTACCTAACCCCGATTCTTGCCGCCGTCTAGTCCCCGTAACCTCATCATCGTGTACGAGCTCGACAGCGGCGACTTATACATCTGGCTCATCAACGCCTACCTCCCGACCAGCGCGGATTTCCTATCCCTGATCCGGCAGTTGGCTGACTGACATTTTCGGCTAAAGATGTGTATTCATCGGCCTTGTCGTCATTTTTACTATGGACAGTGGTATTTCGGGTGGTGCAAATAGTGACGTAATGTTGATTGCGGGTCGGGCTGTTCAGGGAATCAGGGGTAGTGAGATCAATCTTATAATCAAGCTTATTATTAGCGATCTTATACCATTTCAGGAGAGGGGCAGCTGTATAGCTAAGATCTTTACCATCTTCTATTTAGGCACTACTATTGGCCCTTTTGTTGGTGGAGGTAGGTGGTGTTTACCATTTCTTAGTCTTGCTGCATGTCGTCCCCCTCTTTTTCGGCTTGCATATCAACGTTCCTGTTAATGTTTCGAGGTAGGTAGAATTGGACGTCTCACCCCCTAGCTGACATAGCTCCTGCTAGTCCTCGTAGAGCAATCCAACTGGCGCTTGGTCTTCTACATCAACCTCCCCTCGGGGGCTCCTCTGTACTCCTCCTCCTCCTCTTTCTCCTCGTACACTATACCGCCAATCTCCTTCACGTCTCGCCTAAACGTCATCGACTACCTCGGCAACGCCATCCTCATCGCTGCCGTGCCATCGGTTCTCACCGACCTCGCCCGCGTCGGCACCCGCTACCCCAGGTCCGACTACCATGGTATTCTCGCTCTCGCTCTCTGCATCGTGGGTCTGGCCATATTTTACGTCCACGAGACTGCGCCCTGGATCATAATCCCACGCTTCCTGAGCTAATCTTCAAAAGGCGCACCCCAGTGGTTGCTCTGATTATGGCATTCCTCAGTTTCATTCTGCTGTACTGGGGCTTGTACTTCCTGCTCGTCTATTTCCAAGCTGTTCTCCACGCAGATAACGCCACCTCTGGCATCTGGCTTTTCGCAAACGTGCTAGTTAAAGAGTCCTTCCATGTGGTGGGAAGCATAATAGTCACCAAGAGGTACCGCTACCGGCCTCTCCAATTCCTCGTCTTTGCACTCATGATCCTTGGATTCGGCATTGTCGCGTATTTGAATCGAACTGTGTCCTAGGCCAAGTGGGTTATCATGCAGATCATCCGCTGCCGGAATTGATTTCATGATGTTGACCAACTTGGCTGCTGTTCAGGCTGATCTCCCTGAGAAGGACGTTGCAATTGCCGCGGCTACGCTTACCTCAATGCACGCGTATGGGGTTATCTGGGGTGTTTTGGTACGTGCTTCTGTTTTCAAAGTCCGGTTTGCCTCTGAGTTGTGGCGCATAACGGACATCAGCGTCAGGAAGATGCTAAGTGATGAACGCACCTGTGGCTTCGTCATGGCCATGCTGTTGAATGAGTTTTGGGCCCTAAACACGGGACACGGTCTTTGACTTCTGCAAAAGTTCGCTGAGGGTAATTTGGCTGGTCAGCATCGTGGCTACTCTGGGATTCTTCTTTATTTTCATGGAGAAGGAAATCGTGCTGCGAGCAAATCCGGAGATGGAGGTTTGTTATCTTGTGCCTCCAAGGATGGTGGATTGTGAGGAGTACATCGCCAATACTGCGGACCCACGCATCCTCATTGCTCTTCTTGCTACAACCCGGCAGAAAACCTCCCAGCTCTTTTGGGAAAGGACGTTATTATGGAGAACATCGAATGCAGATTACCTGTTAGAGTCGAATAGTAGTATTTTTATGCGAATACATGTAATGTATTGCATATATGAATCTGGAAAAGGGGGCAAACGTTGCCTTAGATGCAAGGACTGTCTGGAATTAATGGAAAGGGGGCACGCAAGCCCCCATATCAAAAGCTGCTAATGCCAACATGAAATATGTAAATAATGTATTTTTCATTATGTTTATTGTAAGTTTATGAGTCTGGAGTTAAGAAAACGAGAAGATTTGCAGCAAGGCGTTATCTCGATAGAGCGTCCTCTTTCAGTTTCCTCAATCTTCACGCATATTATCTGTCCTATGCACTACCGAGATCCGGTGTGCACCTGGCGAACAGACCCTTCGGATCCAATCTCTCCCTAACGCTCCTCATCCTGCATGCTCCATCCTCTCCCAAGTACATCCTTCCATCACCGGGCTCGGGGGGGTTGAAGTTGGAGTACTTCCAGCCCATATCCAATCTATTCTCCGTGATATCGTCGTACACCAACTGGGGCCAGCCCTTAATCTTGGTCTTGCTCGCCTCGTCCTCCCACTCACAACTGGCCACGATACCAGCCAGCACATGGGGCTGGCGGGGCCCGAATGCGGCTTTCGGATCTCTGCGTGCTCCCACACCGTGACAATTGTGTAACACGACGGCTGAAGTGATGCTCGGCAGTGGATGCTTTGCGAAGACGGCGCCTAGTTCGCGCGAGAAGCTAGGTACGATGGCGGAAGCGTTGAAGAAGGCTTGGCGGACGTCGAGGACGGGGTTCTCGATGGAGTAGAGGAACTTGTAGGGGGTTGCTATAGATTCCATTAGCTCATGTTGATATTTCCATGTGCTCAGTCAGGGGGTATGCGACTTACTCTCAGCAACAGTGCAGCTGACTACCGTCCCAAACTCCTTCACCTTGACAAGATACTTCTCGGCAGCCTCGGCATTGGTCGCCTCATCATCGCCCAGCTCCCACCAGAAGAATTGGTTTACCAACCCTCCGTTGTTCATAGGGTCGATCAGGTACACCTCCCCCGCAAAGTGATCCGGGAAGTCCTTCTCATACAGCTTCTGCATCCGGTCAAACACCTGCTCCACCTCCGCAAAGGGGAACATGACATAACCCCCCATGACTCTCAGCTTGGGGTATACCTTGACCGTCAACTCGCTCACCACGCCCACAATACCGGCGCCTCCTCCCCTCAAAGCCCACCAGACATCCTCATCCCCCTTCCCATCCTCCACTTCAAGAACGTCCCCGTTTGCAGTGACAACTCGGCCGCCCAAGATCTGATCCGATCCGATCCCTCGCGATCCGCACTCAACTCCATACCCACCTCCACAAGCCCACGCCACATATCCAACCTGGTGACCCCAGCCTACAGGCGTATCAAGCTCGTTTTTATCCAAGAACGTCAGGATTTTGCCGTGAGTGATGCCACCTCCAACACTGACCGAGCTGCGATCAGCAGACAAGGTCATGAAGTCCATAGAGCGCATATCGATGACGACACCGCCATGGATGATCGATCGCTCCCCCACGTCGTTGCCGCCGCTACGGATGGTGACCTTGATGTTGAGGGAAGAGCATAGCCTCAACGTGTCCCTGATCTCAGCTTCGGTGTTAGGCCGGACGATGGCCAGGCATTTGATGTCGTCTGTGAGTTGGTTCAAGACTTTCTGAACGGTGGGGAAAATAGGCGCCGAGGGCGTGTAGATGTGGATTCCAGGAGAGGAATCAAGGAGGGGAAGGAGGGCTGCGGCGTCTGCTTCCAGCGTCGCCCGGTCGACGCCGGTGGGGGCCAGGTCGTGGTACTCGTCGCTGGCTGTGAGAGACATGATGGATGTGTATTTGAGGTAGGATGGGTTTGTTTGTAAAAGTGAAGCGAAGTGACCAGGTCAATTGGAAAGATCGTTGTTATATACTTATATAGGGTGGCGTTCTTGGTTGGCGGGTATGTGCTTGCTTACGAGCGTTACAATGAGCGACAACAGCGTGTTGCATGCTTACTGCATATGTAACTATGTAGCTAGCAGCTGCGTGGTTCTGACCTGCGCAATCAATTTGCTTACAGAGTCGTTCAGTGCAACTCAATGTGGGGGCCAAACCCCCAGAGGTCATTGGCACAAGGATAATCAGCCTTCAGGGGGCTTGCTTACATGCTATGGGCGTTCCACATGATTGCACTGATCAAATCAGCAGATGCAGTGGGATGGTTGGGCACTATTGAATGGGCGCAAGATGTTTCCGATTCCACATTGGATCTACGTTTTGGACTGAGCAAGTGCATCCACAGTGGGGGGAAGAGAGGGGGGGTTGTGTATGGTTGGTTAATCTTGCGTATCAGCCTGGTCTTGTTGTGTGTACTTGAATCATGCCAAAGTCAGGCTGTGGAATACACGGCTGGGTACGTGACTTCAAGATCGTTGATCATGTTCGGGTCTGAGTGATTTATCTCAAGTTGTTGAGGGAGCTTTTGCCAAACACCATTAGGCATGTACGGGATAGTTTAAGGAGATGGGTTTATCACACCTTGCCGAAGGAGACCCATGGCCTCAATAACGCAGGTCGAAAATCATCTGCATCATACCTTAGTCGTACTCACGGTCGTGCATTGCTATTTCCTAATCTTTCTGGGTTGGTTGTAGGCCCCTTTGAAACATTCAATCATACCAGAGCTTCGACGCATCGTGTGAATTATTTGGGGACTACCGGATTCATATCTGACAGCTTTGATTAATCGTGGCGCTAGCTTCCGGTGCTTCTGTTGCATGCCCGAGGCACACCGCCTATGTGCTGGCTGCAGCGCTTGGGCCAATTATTCGTAGATAGCCCTGCCGTAGCTGCAGCCTTTGGGACTTACTCACACCATCATCACCAACGCAACCCTCTTACCTGAATTGCCAACAGCCTCAAATATTACACCAAATACAATTGTTCATGAACACTTCAGGTGTTCGCCGTGGTCCGAGTTGTCGGACGGCACCAGTCTCTGACCAGCAACGGCTCTTTTTTCCTCTTCCGGCTACAGTAGCCTGCTGACAGGATGTTCCACTATTATGGTCAGACACGATCAGCACTATCAAAATGTACAAGCCAAGAAGCGCAGTTTTCTGGATTGAGGACCCTTACGGCCACTTCCAGTCTTTCTGGGCAGAGGGACAAATACACACTCAATAATATGCTTTGTTATAGCTTGTAATAAGTCCTATACGAATCCTGCAAGCATGCACAGGGCATCTTTATACGTGAGGATCGAGTATATCGCTAACGTTATCACTTGATTATATGCCGCTTGTTTGATACTCCGAGCCACGAGAAAAACTCTTGATACACACAACGTGACCAAGGCGAGCAGTTGGTCGTAGCGGCGTGCAGCGCATCACACTGCCTTGGGGAGACTGAGATACGGCCACATGACGATCCAACACGGTGATTTGAATGGGCCGCGGATCCCTTGCTTTAAGGTGCTCGCGGAAGTATCATATGTGGACTACAAGGGAGGAACCATGTATATAGTTCTCAAGTTCCAAGAATGGCTATAAATGTATTTGATAACTGTCACTATCATAGAGCCGTTGAAAAGACCTGCTCGACCCCATGGTGACAGCAAAAGGCCACAGCTCGACAAACACAACAAGGCTGTGCCCTAATTATAGAGCCTTCCCTAGAAAATTCTCGCTGCTGCACGCCGTGTGTCACTTTGTAACAATATACTTGTACTTCGCATCGTGCATAAGAGGATATGCCAAAGCTAGTTTATAGGGTGCCGGAGGTAGCTCCGGGCATAGTGGCAAATTTGCACCAAGAAGCGCCATCTTAATGTCCGTCGTATCCATTTCGTGGATTCAATCACGTTGTATGTTTCATGAGCGAGAAGTGAAAACCACATAACGATTGCTCATTGGTCTGGTCATCAGGGAAGGCATAGCTTGTCACTATGTCTTCATGGTCCTCCTCGACTTGGCATGCTCACATGATCCTGGTGTCATGTGGGCGTTTCTTTGCCACTGGTATCTTACCCCAGGTAAGTAATATTATTGAAGTTCGAGTTCGTACTGGAAGCCTCAATGAAGTGACTAAGTTGACATCCTTCAGCGCAGTAGCATTTTATCAAGGGATGGATGCGACCTCCAGGTTGGTGTCTCGACCGAAAACAAGAGAAGGATTGAGACCCAGATTTTATTCCCGTAAATTTGGTGCGACAGTTGGACGAACTTGACGTACTGCTATAAACCATATAGGTATTGTAACCATATACCATATACCGGACAGAGGACAAGGATGTACATTTCATTAGTTACATATCTTAGTGCCCCAAATTTAAAGTCGTAAGATCAATCTTCTAGACTGATATCAAGTCCTGTTATGCAGTCCACTCTTTTTTGAGGGGCACTGCGGTCACCGGCACAATTCCACCTCACCACTGCTGATGTGATCCAAGCGCGCGATGCACCAGGCTTGTCTACTTGCTGCAGGAGGGAGTTCCTGCTTGCTCTGGTACCTGTGAAGCTGTACTAGGAGACCCCTGCCATCCAATAATGGGAGCATATTCTGCTTATTAGACCTAATGCGTTAAGTCGCGGGGTCCAGACCGGCCTGTCGCATGGATGGGCGACATGCCAAGCTCGGTCGCAATGGCCGATCTGGCTACTGCTGGAGCGCAATGCCACTTTTCGGTCAAGAATTGGATCGCACATGTATCCGAATTTTGAATGCGAAAATGGCTGATCTCGATGAATCAAATTGCATTTGTCAACAACCTCTATGTTCGCAGTTCTCAACGTCTGGTTCTTGCTAATCCTAATCCCGCCTGGCACTTTTGATGACAAGCGATTCAATTGTCATCCTTACTTTTTTGCTGCTGGTCTGACTCGAAAACGGGCCCCGAAACTAAATCCATAGCACTGCAAGAAGGGGACCACGTGCATCTACATACTGCGAAAATAACATGGTTCGCAAAGCGACGCATCCAAATTGATAGTCCGTCCCCACGCCACTTCTACGTGCGAACAACCTTGTCGACGCTCTTGCCCCCCTCAGCCCTGTACACGCCTGCGAGCAGTAAAGCTAGAGGCGCGTTAAGGTCTCAGGTCAACAGTAGATGAATATTCCAGAGAGCCGACCATCTGAAGCCAAGTACACGAACCAACTGCACGTACACCGGTTCGAGGATCATACTTGTATTCGTTACTTGTATGCCAGATTTTCGAGTCTTTCAACCCCGGGCGCACTTTCCTCACGCATGTACTCTAATTTCCCGACAACCTGGTCGTGATCTGCTCCGGCATCCAGCACTTGTTGCTTATCCATTGCCTCCCAATGATCCAAGCACCCTTGGTCCACTACGAACGTACCTAGCTAGGCTGGCACGGTAGCACGACATTATTCCTCCCGACGCTCGCCAACTCGCAGTTCCACTTGGCCTAATTGGGAATCCCCTCCGCCACCATCTTCCCACCATTCTTCACTTCCAGAGCATCGCCCAATCCGGACCATGACCTAATCGCGAAGCCAAGCTCTCCTCCTCAACGGCGTTTGGCATCGGCTTCCCGTACACACGCCTATGCCAATACCACATCGCAATCCCACATGACACCTTCGTGCAACGGCACTTCAACAGCACCTTCAACCTCAGGGTCCTCCGCAGTCGAGACCATGAGTAAGGTGTCGGAAGCTGCGCGTGAGCGGGAGGTGTTCAAATTCGCATCTCATCTGTAGGTGCTCCGTACTTCCTCTGTTCGTGCCCTTCCCTAGCGATGGTGGTGCTGCTTTCTTGCTCGCGCTCGGCACCAGCGGCAGCATGAGCCCTCACGCATATCCATTCAACTGCCCTGTGGACTCATTGTGTTGACTGGACTCGGGAGAGCTGCAAGGCATGAACTCACAGATACACATCAACAGACGACGTCGACGTTGTCTGATGCCGGCCTCACCGCCTTCGCCCAGCTCACCACTATTCGACTCAACGCCGCTCGGTGTCTGATATCCGTATTCGACCGCAACAACCAGTATATCGTCGCCGAGTCCACGCCATCGCTGGCTTTGGCCCCCAATGTCGAGCAACCAGACAACGTTTGGCTTGGAGGAACAGTTATTCCCAGGTCTGCAGGTATATGTGAACATGTCCTTATGCTTACCGATGCTTGTCCCCAGGGATCGGAAATCTCGACCTCCTTGCCCGTGTCTGTCGTACCCGACCTAGGCGAGGACCCGCGATTCAGCGACCGATCCTGCATACGAAATGCGCCCTACAATCGATTCTACGCAGGCGTTCCCATTGTGTCGCCCAGAGGCATAAATATTGGCGTGCTTTCTGTACTTGACAACAAACCCCGGGATGCATTGGAACAAGAGCAGATTGTCTTTCTTCAAGACATGTCGCGGACCCTGATTGGCTACCTGGAGTCAAAGAGGTCGAATGACAGTTCCAGGAGGAGTGAACGTATGGTACGGGGCATCGGCAGCTTTGTCGAAGGGAAGTCGACAATGTCGAGATGGTGGTTAAGTATCAATAGTGGCTCCTTCGAGACTGCAGGCGCCGAGGGCGCTCTCAACCACAGGCAGCAGCAAATCCAGCACGTACATGAAATGCGCGAGAATATAATGGATGACAGCGTGGCAATTGGACCGCAACTTAAGCCTTTGCAGTCAAGCGCCTCCATCCCCCAGTTAGCACGAGCAGAAGATGAGCAGGCGACATCCAACCGGAGTGATACCGGAAACACGTCTCCGAGTCCGCCCACCACCATCAGATCTGGTCTTTCGAACAACATGTCTACGGCATTGCCGACTGCTAGCACACTTTCCAGACCAACACCAGAAGACTTGCACCTGAAGGATACCAAGAGCATTTTTGGTAGGGCCGCCAACGTGATCAGAGAATCCATTGAAGTAGAGGGAGTCCTCTTCCTTGACGCGAGCATTGGGTCATTCGGTGGCCTGGTGCCAAGTCATCATAGACGTGATTCAAACCCGTCGGGGGCGGTGCCATCTGGATCGAGCAGTGAGGAAACTCTGGACGAGGCTCTCGAAGATTCTGAGTGCAACAACTGTAACGTCTTCGGCTTCTCGACCTCTGATCGGTCCAGCATTGATGATGGCACAAGTACATACCAGGTGTCCATACCCGAGAAGTTCCTCAGGATGCTTTTGAGACGCTACCCTCTTGGCAAGATTTTCAACTTCGACAAAAACGGTGATGTTCAGTCCGGGGACTCGGAAGAAGAGCAGACCATCTCGACTTGGAAGCGCTCCAATGAGGGCACTGCGTCTCTAAGCGCTGCGACTTCCGGACAGAACGAAGGAAAATATATTGTGACTATCTTCCCGGGTGCTCGGAGCGTTGTGCTCGTTCCTCTCTGGGACTCGCACAAGGAACGGTGGTTTGCTGGGGCCTTCATTTGGACAAAAACACCAGCTCGCACTTTCACCATGGAAGGCGAAGTTAGTTATCTGCGTGCTTTCGGAAACACTATCATGGCTGAGGTTAACCGTCTTGATACGGTACAATCCGACAAGGCCAAGAGTGACCTCCTCGGCTCGCTAAGCCACGAGTTGAGATCGCCATTGCATGGTATTGTCGCTGCCGTGGAACTCTTGCATGATACTGAAATCGATGCCTTTCAAGGAGACGTTATACACTCCATGGAATCTTGCGGTCGCACTCTTCTCGATGTGTTGGACCATCTACTGGACTACAGCAAGATCAACAGATTCATCAAAGTCTCAAAGGAACAATCCAAACAGAACCGGCAGAAATCTTTTCAGTCGCAAATCACCACATTGTTGTCCGACGTTGAACTTGACTCGCTGGCCGAGGAAAGCATAGAAAGTACCTATACTGGGTACAATTTTCAGAAAATGTCCATCGCACAAGTCGTGGAGAAAGGGAAAAAATATCATTACGACGTCAAAGCGATGCGACACATGGACACGATTTTGGCTGTCGAAACCTTCGGGCATCAAAAAGGAGAGGCTGGGCTTATGCAAATGACCATCGGCGAGGTCTCGATATATCTGGATTTTGATGCGAGCCAGTCGTGGCAATGTTATACGCAGCCAGGTGCCTTAAGGCGCGTCATCATGAATATCTTGGGAAACTCGCTCAAGTACACCGAACGCGGCTTCATCGTCATTTCGTTGAGACAAGAACAGCACTCTGGCAAAGGCAATCGTCGGCGTTCCAATCTCAAACTGACCATCACCGACTCCGGGAAGGGAATGGGAGATGAGTTTCTACGCAATCACATATTCACGCCCTTCGCCCAAGAAGATGCACTCAACCCTGGGACCGGCGTCGGGCTGAGCACTGTGCAACAAATCGTCAGGACTCTGAACGGATCGGTCACTGTCGAAAGTCAGCTGGGGCGGGGCACCTCCATATCCGCCACCATCCCATTTCCCGCGTCCAAGCACCATGCAGTGGTGGTAGATACCTTGTTCGTGGACCACGTCACCGCACTGACGGGCCTCAGGGTGAGTCTTCGCGGGCTAAAAGAGAATGATGGCGTAGAAGCTCTGCCCGGTCATTCCGCACCATCAGAAGTTGCACTTATGGAGAGTCTTTGTCGTGATTGGCTTCACCTGGAAGTTGTTCCAGCAGAGCAGACAGACATCAGACCAGATTTGATCATCTGCAGCGATCGTTGGCTGGAACGAGTCCTTGCAAACGACCAGTCACAAATTCTCCCGCCCATGATGGTAATTTGTCGCAACGCTATCGCCGCGTACAAACTGTCCACCAGTTACAAGTCGTCCAAGAGACAAGATGTGCTCGAGTTCATTTCACAGCCGTAAGTCCATGGTCCGTCCCCTAATGCTACCTTGTGCGCAGTACCTAAACAGTCTTCAGTGCCGGTCCGCGTAAAGTTGCGAAGTCGCTGGTGTTAGCTTTGGGCCGATGGAACGATTTTAAAGCGAATATTCCATTATCGTCTGAATCATCTGGTTCCGTTACTCAAACTCCGTTTTTTTCCTCCGCCTTCCCACCGCTACCCGTTCATGACCCTTTGTGTAACGTTGCCGAGTCGGACAATGCCAACACGCCATCTGCGTCTGTCAACCCCGAGCTGGCAACACACGAGCCTGAGGAAGACAATATGTCCACAGCAGAGCCCAAGATCGAGCTACTACGTCACCGCAACAGCTCGGACAACAGCCCAAAGAGGACAAAATATCTCCTCGTTGACGATAATAAGATCAATTTACAGGTGAGATCTCGCAACCACGAAATTTAGCTATGATCACAATCCAACTAACCAAATTGTAGATTCTTGCTTCTTTGATGAGGAAGTTAAATCACTCTTTTAAGACCGCATCCAATGGAATGGAGGCATTGGAATCCTACGTGAACCAACCCGGGCGGTATTGCTGTGTTCTCATGGGTATTCCCCTCTCCTCCTCTCTCTCCCCCCTTTCCCTTCGGCCACCTCGGTACTACGCTGTCTCTTCGTTGAATCAACTGACTGAAAAGCAGACATTTCCATGCCGGTCATGGACGGACTCGAGTCTACACGCCGCATACGGGAGTTCGAGCGAACGCAACGACTGGCTCCTGTTACAATTTTCGCTCTCACGGGGCTCGCATCCGCCAGCACACAGAAAGAAGCCTTTGCCAGTGGCATTGACCTGTTTATGACGAAACCTGTACGGCTGAAGCAGCTGGCCGCTGCGCTGACTGAAAAGGGGCATGGCTGATGTTTCTTTTCCTGATTCTTCAACTGTATATAATACCTTCTTATTGATACCCATACACGAAACGCCTTTAGTACAACGAAAGCTGCGGGATTCGCTGGATTTGTTGATTTGGAGTTTGGATGGAGGAAGGATCGGATGGACTGAGGTGTCACGCCTTGACGGCGTGAACGAGCAATAACGTCCCACACCCACATGTGGGACGCCCTAAAAATGACGCTGTATATTTGTCAGGGTACGGCTAGGCCGAAGGCGATAGTACAGAGTGATGGGGAGTAACGGGCGTCCCTCCTACGTAATACCGGGTGGTCACTGGCGGTCTCAGGTAGGGGTGCCCACGGTGATGCATTGATCTCTACTCTCCCTCTATCTTCTTCCCGGGCCTCCGCCCCGTACATAGATAGCTAGAACCCGACGTCGGAGCCGCGGAGCACTAGTTTCCCCGATTGTTCCGCAAACCAAGACTTCCATATCGTGTCATGACTCGCACATTCCTACACCAGAGCCCCCACCGGTGTCCCACCGGTGCCTATGGCATTCTGTTCTCTGACAATATTATAACCATTAACTTCGACCTTTTTTAATACTTATTCTGATGCGACTACAATATAGCTTTCACCGTCACTAGGGTTTTCAGACTCGCTAGACTCATCTGTACTATCCTCAATTTCACTAGCCTCGATTTGAGCCCTCCGAATAGCCTTGATATTAGTAAACTTCGAATTTGGGCTCATCTTGACCTTCCTCCGCTTCCTAGCCCTACTAGCCTCAAGCTCTGCCTCTATTGCCTTGATCTTTCGCTGTGCGACAGCTAACTAGTAGTCCTCATCAAAGCCCTTGTGAACTTTCCGAAAGAGTAGCCGTTGGGTATTTGGATCACTATCAAGCTTGCTGAATAAGCTGAGTTGATCTTGGAGCTTATCTCTCCTCTTAGGCGTTGACTAGGCTACTGCCGATGTCTCTAACGCCTAGTCCTGACTACTAGAGTGCCCTTTGCGAGTCTAACTAGGCTGTTTGATTGGTGCTGACGTATTCTTAAGGAGCAGGGCGCTCATAAGGGGTCTAGCTATGCTCGAAGGCTAGAGACCAGTATATTTCCATCCACTGATAATGTTCTTGACGGTCAATGCTGCTAGACGTGCCTTTCTATAGTAGAGGAGAAAGTTTCTCTTCCCTACGACAGTAGTAGTATCCTATTAGTCAAGGTAACCAAGCTCCTTCTTATAGGCTGCCTTGAGGGGTCCAAAGACTGACTGATCGAGAGGCTGGAGAACGTGGGATGTGTGTGGCGGCAAGAAAAGCAAGTGTATCTTGTTTATGAAGCAGAGGTACATAAACTCTGTCGTTTCGTGGCTACTATGCCCATCTAGGATAAGTAACCTAGTCTCTTCAGGGTCCTCTGGTTGAGTCAAAGGAATAAAGATCTTTTATAGCCACTCAATAGCCGTAGAGTCTGACGTCCACCCATTCTCTGTTGCTGTAAACCTCCAGGCTTCGTATGGAGTCAAGTCCAGAGGAAACCACTGCTGCTAGACAGACTTCCCCTTGTATATCACAAGTGGGGGTAGTGCAGTACCAGTCGCAGAGATACACTCTATAAGAGATGTCCAAGCTCGAGATCCAGGCTGTTTCTTCCGTATAGAACGAGTCTCAGATGATCCTAGAACAATACAATTTGATCCTCTACCTTCTAGAATACCTGTCTCATCCATATTGTATCGATTCGAGGCCTTAATAGCTTTGATCTCAGGGATAGAGAGGTATTTGAACCATTGCCTGATCACATTAGCTGAGGCTCCATTAATACGCTGGGAATCGATAGCTCTGCTTCTCTGGACCTTGACTAAAGGGTTCCTCTTGATAAAAGCCTGGACCCAGTTCTTCCCAAGTGGTTCGGTGTCTCCGTGGATTTGTAGGATACGCTCGGCGAAGTCTTTGAGCTGTTGATGGGTTGGTGGGAGGCCTAGGGCAGCCTGGATTCGAACCCATTCAGCCAGATGAGATTCCTGGGCTGGAGAGAGCCTCTGGTAGTCAGCGAAGGCTATATCTCTTGACTGGGCTCCCTGAATCCGTCGTGAAAGAGTAGACCTTGGGACACCATGCTCATATGCTGCTTTTCGGAGGCTTTGACCGGTAGCTATTGCTTGAAGAGCTCGATAAATATAATCTTCGGTATATTGACTTATATTGGTGTAAAGAAGACGTACGTAAAATTTCGTAACGATTGAATCGATATTGGTAAAGATAAAAGAGGCTCGCGGTGTTGAGGCATTTTTGGGTGTCCCGGATGTGGGTGTGGGACGTTATAGGGATACCCTTTGAGACGAGTCACGAAATGTCATCAGCACGGATGATTATGGATCTTGAGCCTATGAGATGAACCATCTTGGGTCAAGTAAGACGGCTACGGACTTTCGGAAGTGCCGTGGACCATGTCATGCAGCAGGAAGTTATTAGAGAAAGGTTCTAGGCTGATAGCAAGGCATCGCTTGCTCACCAAATGAAAGACCGAAGTTCATATCAATGCCGTATCACACTATGCAACCTTCATTCAAGCCCCCAAGATGGATATCCTAGACAATGTGTCACTGCAGCCTCTACCTGTAGTACTTAAGGCCGAAGTGCCGCGGCATCCCTGGGGCCAAGGACCGATCCACCTTGTCCGGTTTCGGGGATCGACATTGCGAATCGCCGGAGACGAATGTAGGCTCGGGTGTCCTTGCATCGAAACCAAGTATTTTAGCACTTCCAAAACATTGATCGGTAAGCAGGTGCTTTTATGAACTCGAAGCGAAGGGTATTCTCCACGTAGGCGGTGGGCTGCTTCCAAACTTCGAACCCGATGGCCGTATGTGCGGGAGGCTGTCCGCCGTGATGAAGCTATGAGAGATCTTTGGCGCCATGACTCACTCCATTACAACTTTGGCAGGGCTGGAGGCAGAGTTACGATCGAGCTTCGGCCCACCGGCAGAGGGTGGAGGAGTCTGCGGGGGCTAGCTTGCTTGGTGGGGAGGGGGCTGAGCAGGGTGGTAATTGTTGGCATCCTCGTATTTGGTTATGTGCATACTACTACGGTACGGCTGGATCGGGATGGTTCGCCCGAATAATGGATTTGGGGTTTGACAGTTGGAGACTATCATTCCCGTCTCCCTCTTCACAAGCTACACCGATCTTTTCTGTATCTTGCTTCTAAACTTGAGAAGATTAAGTAATGAAGTTGCATAGTTCGCAGGATATGTGGGGACTTGCTTTTGCCGGCAGGTGCATCACAATTTCGTCGCCGAGTAGGAGTTTTTAAATCAGTTGGTGGCCTCTGTTTCCATCTTTCTCGTTTCGCCATCTCTATCTAACGGTAGCTGCTCTTCGCTGATATCCCACAATGCATAGCGACATCGAAGCATTGAGCGTCTGCATGTTGATAGTCTCGTCGAAGCCGCAAGCACCATTGCCTAAAGCAACGCACAGCAAGGTACTATGGCATCCAACAATGGCTGGTAAAATCCCCACAAACCGTGGTGTAGCAAAAGGCCAGGTTCCATGAGGAGAGTAGTCTATGCATTCATCTTGGATCTTGATTCTTTGCTTTGTGATCCAGCTGGTCCAGCACTTGAACAGTATTGACACCGGAACAGGGAGGCTGCAGGGAAGTTGCACGGAAGTTGGTTCTCTTGCTGAGATTGACAAGGGCATGGATGGCTACAACAACAATCTTTGATAAAGCAAATCACAGATGTTGCAGTCATAATGCAATAGGCTGGCCGTTGTTCTATCATTGCTGATTTCCCGCCCTTATTGATAATTCAGTAGGCACAAAAATGGATATAGGCCAGGTAGCTTTTATGTGGTTTGGCAACAGTCTGGTGTGTGTATTTACAGCAACAACCAGGACCCAAAATCTCACCTCAGCAATTGTGCAATTCCCAACCTACATCAAAAGTAGCACTATACCAAATAACAGATGCAAAAAGAGAAAAGGATCAGAAAAAAATCCCATTGGGCATGTTGCAAAATTAATACCAGAATGCTTAGCATCTCCTCGTTTCGATCAAGGGTCCTCCGGGTTATGAGCCCGGCGCCTATATAATGTTAGTAAATTTGTGGAACATTTCCTTTGCACCATGATTGGTAACTTACGCTTCCGCTGCGCCAAGATGCTTGGTGATTGGTTGAACATTCTGGTTCTACATTCCTTTATGACGGACCCACCATCGTGACCGACCAGCCTATGCAGTTAGAGCTGTTCCGAGTTATTATGTGCTACACTGTTTGTTAGTTACGCATGGGGGTTTTACTGAATAAATTGAGTCGAGCATCTAATTATATCATGATATATTCCAACTTGAAATTGTACCTGTCCCTAGAAGCTGATACTACCAAACAGGAAGTGAACCTTGAAAGACATGTTCAAAAGAGAAGCCCAAGCTGACATCAGAAAAATCAATACTACTGATTTGTATACCCCTCACAGTACCTGCCCTACTTACTAGTACCCCTTTTCTTCTGGCTAAACTGAGGAGCCTGATAGGTAGTTTCCTGCTCCTGCAGCTCCTTCTGGAACCTAATGTGCTTCGAGATATCCGCAAGATGCATCCGTGTCAGAAGCGTTGGCGAGCGACATGGCGGTCGATACCATATTGCGGGTCTGTCGACCGTTGAACTCCTTGCTCTTGCCCACCTCATCGACTAAGGCCTTGACCTCCTTAACGAGGTCCTTCTTCTCAAGTTGCGCGATGAACTCGAGAAAGATCCTGGACCGCTGGTCTTCGTTGAGGCCTTTGCATTCTGGAGAAACATCTACGAAGGGCTTTTCGTCATAATATGTGCCAAGTCGGAGGTTTTTGTGGATGAGAGTTGTGAGTAGACTTACGGACTCGACTTTCGACGGCGATGTCATAGGACTTGAGCCTGTTGGTGGTGACAATTAGGGTCCCTTCAAAGTACTCCAACACGCGCAAAAGGATTATTATGCGTATCTTATTCAAATCGTGGCGCTGTAAGGTTGACCTCGTCGCTTACTGGAGACAATTGTGTTTCGTTGGATATCCGAGCGATTGGTATCACGCGTCTCGAGGAATACATCGACCTCAGCACTGCCAATCTTTAGTTTAGCGAGATTGCAGTTGGACAGTCTTGGTCAAAAATAGGAGGACCAAAGCTTCCCATAGGCCAGTAAGATCGAAGATCTTTTGCAGTTTGGCCTCCATTATGTTGCCTTCAATGCCGATGTCCAACACCTCGAAGGAGAAAGGGCGTTGTCCAGCTAGCAAAGCCACGCTTTCCACTGTCAGCGTCTTCCACGCACCAGAGGATCCTAAATCCGAGTCAGCATTCGTAGTCTTACGAGGTGCGGTTGGTTGACTTGTCTCATATCCCACAACAAGATGACCAACCCCTTGCCTTTCCCGGCAGCATAATAGGTGATATTCTGAGTCCTGCTCCTCGTGTGAGCGATGAAAGTCTGCCTGATGATATATTTTAGTCTTGTTTAACTGCAAATTCTGGTCAAATATATTGAACTTACTTTTTCCAGACTTCCCAGTGTATTGACGTGAATCTGGATTGTTTCTATTCCAGCGCATATGTGAGAACCCTCGGAGGCTACATCAGTAGGTGTTCCTTTTCAAGATTGGCAATTTCAGGCTTTTTGTTCCAACTGAAATGGAACAAATTCTCGTGTTTTATTTTCAATCTTCGCAAGTACACTCTAGAAGATCTCCTGCCCGTCCGAGCTCGCCCAGTATTTGCGAACGAGGGGATTGGTACTCGAAGTAGCAGTCGAAATCCACGATGAAAATCCCTTTCACCTGCATACCACGTTAGCTAAATTCGTAGGCCCATTTTTGTATATTTTTATTCATTTTTATGACTTCGATGCTTGAATGGAATTTGACCATATTGTGTCCATATCATCTCTGAATCAGCCTCGCTGGTGATATGCAATATCTGCGTGTCGGAAGGTTTGTTGTCCTCGCGCCTGGGTGCACTAATCGCATTGGTTCTTGCCGCGCTCCTCCTGCTGTACTTCTAATCGCTAAATACCTCTTTACACCCTTTTTGCTGTTAGCATCCGATTTCAAAGCAAAGTGGTAGCGTAAAGGGTTAAAATGATAGCTCATAGATATTCTTCTTGTCCGGGAATGGGTTGAGGTGCCCAAATACGGCGCTTGATTGAATATCATGCCATCCCAATTGTAGGTATAGCACTTGATCGCTACCGGAGTAATACGTATTTACCAGGAACAGCTGATGCTCATTTTCGAAGGACTGGCCGGCAATCAAGTTCCCTCTTGGAAATATCGACCACAATGCCGAGAAGTTGATGGTGCGATCTTCGACCATTTTGTTCCCTCTTTGGTGTAGGCTTAAAACTATTACTGACAAAAGATGCCGATAATATCTGTATCAGCTCTGTAAGGTTGCTTTCTTTGGGTGAATCATGCTTTTGCACCTCTGTCGCAGTAAGACCTTGTAGTATGACAGATTCTGGATCATCGATCACAGACTCTGTTTTCTGTACTATAAAGAACAGTTCCAGAGGATGGTTTGTGCAATTTATCTCTCATGTTAGTTTTTTCTCTGATCTTAGCCTTATTCTCAAATGTTGACACCTCCTTTAATCCCTGTTCCGGGATCAAAACGTCTACAATAGTTACATAACTACTTATCCACAGAATTTCACCGTAAATTGTGCAATTGCATGATTATTCTGAGATCCTGGGTTTTCTTTGGATTCCTAATTGGGTAGTTGCCCCTCTAGCTTGGCAACCGGTGGTTCAAGGTGTTTGATACAATATGCCTCTCGGCGACCGCATCCTAGCACAAGATTGGTATGTGTTCTAAAACAATTGTGTACGCTCTGAAAAAAAAATAGTGCTCACACCTTTCGCGATGATAATTGACGCATATAAGCTGATCGTCGATCTTGAGGGGAGAGGGATGCGGAACTATATCGATTTGATGAATGGATTGTTATGCCTCGCCATTTGGAGAGCTTCCCGGTTCCTCACAAATAGGATGGTTTTGATGGGATTTCTAGCATCTCGAATACCATCAGCTTCTTTGTAGGGTGCCTGCAAATTTCGGTGTCACTCAAAAGGAGATGAAGGCATGGATGCAACAAAGACATAGGCGCTTGGTCTTGTCCACTTAACAGTTGCCGCCCACAGCCTGCTTCAAATCACCAACCTGCATTTTTAGCCCGGAATTTTTGTATCTACACATGTATGTGAGTGTTATCAACTTGTAATCGGATGGCTTTAGTTAATGTGTGTATCGAACGCTGTCGTGATGGTGTCACTCGTATGATGACAAGCAGCTGGCCGAGGGGTAGATAAGTCTCAATGATGGTTCATCATGAGGATACCTTAAACACAGCCCCCGCGAGGGTCTCTGCTCTATCTTCTATTTTGATATCGCGCAATCTTTACTTATTTGCATTCGGTGTTAGCTTGGAGTGTTTCTTTAAAGAGATGACTGCATAGCCTCTTGCCAGTGATTTGTTAAGTGAAATTGAAGACGACGACCTGGTTTCAAAAATTCATGAGAACCTTCGACCGGTTTCAGTCGGATACTCTGGGGTTGTTGACATCATCTGAGAAGCCAACTCACAATGCCGTGACATCGCAAGTGCAACACTCTGCTTGCTCTATGCGGTATGGAATCACAGAATCCGAAGAGGGTCGAAATGGAAGCAGATGATGGGCAGGCGATACTCTCGGCCATGCAGCAGATGACAGACCATCTTCCAGAATTTGGAATATACCAGCATAGATATGCCGATGCAGACTTAGGAAGATGTTGGCGGAGGCGCATATCGGTGTCATCGCCTTTTGCAGATCTGCAACGCAGTACGTCGAGACCAAGGCTATGGTAAAATCAGTCTCCTATATCACATATTTTATGCCATTGGCTGACATCTTGAAAGCACGGGTATGGAAGAGTATGAGCAGGCCTAGGAAATTCGCCTAATGGAAGAAGAGATTCGCGATGCCTCCAAGACCGTCCGAATTAGGTGCAAAGCATTGCTTAGCCTAGAGCGTTGCAGAATTCGATCGAAAAAATCGGGCTCGTCGAAACTATATTCGACATTTGGAAGTGGCTTGCTGACTTAGGCTATCGGCGAAGTTCTTCAAGAGCCCTCTACTAGAGACTTGTTTATTCCAGATGCCGTCAACTACTGCCACACAAACCTCTTCGAGATGACGGGAAATCACTCAGGCGGCCAGTTCCTGGCACTACTACACGAAACCACTCGGGAATTGAGAATATCAAGAAGCTCCAGAAACCTACTACTTCGAATATTTACAAGCTTTCGAAAACGACCCATGCCACATCAGTACGAGGTCTTCCGGAACAGTAACCTCCTGCGCGATCAGAGATATCAACAATGATATATTTCCGAGCAACATTGTTAGATTAGGAGAAAATACTGTCGCAAAGACACCCGTTTCTCAAACAGTTGACACATCAACTTCGACCAAATTCTTCTCTTTCAACATCTTGACCACTTTCTCTTCATTATTATTCTGCACAGCCGTCTTCGTGGCCTCCGCGTACTTATCAAAAGCACCATCCTCATATGCCTTCTTCAGCTTCGGCCGAGAAAGTTTCCCCAACGATGTCTTAGGCAGCATCTCAACTGGCAGCGGAATAACATTGATAGGCGCCTTAGTACAGTATAGAGTAGCTGTCTCCGAGATACGGTCGATAGTATGCACCAGCACATTTCTATCCTCGAGAGCCCTGCTGGTAGGCAGGAACAGGATGACCAGCTCCTCGCTGTCACTTCCCGTGGGCCAGGTGGAGAACGCCGCCGTGTACGAGGGTGTCAGTCCATCCAACCTGGCTTTCTCTAGTGCGGCCTCGAGGCCATGGGAGAAGTAATTTACCCCGTTGATTTTGATCATGTCCTTGGCCCTTCCGCTCAACGTCAGGTTTCGGGCGGCATCGATACAACCCCTGTCGCCTGTCTTAAACCAGCCATCTTGGGTGAATGCCTTGGTGGTATTGTCCACGTCATTGAAGTAGCGATTGACGAGCGCTGGGCCGGAAACCTCGAGGTTACCCTCTTGGTCGGCGTCCAGCACCTTGCCAGTTTCATCTGTGATGCGTATTTGCAGTGCCGAAATGGTCTTTCCACTAGAGCAGAACTGAAGTCCGAGCCGTGTTTCTCGATCGGGAAATTCTCTGTTATAGCTGCAACCTCCACAAGTCTATGATTTTGTCAGTCGTTGGTACATGTTTGCAGAAAGGCTAGGAGGAACCATCACCTCGGTCATCCCGAACGCAGGGACCAAAACGTCCTGGACAGCGCCAAGCGACCGCATGGCGGCGTTGAAAGCCAGACCAGTTGACACCACGTTGGCTTCCCCTCCAGAGATAACAGCGCGAAGCTTGGAAAGGTTCAATGCGGGCCGCGGACTTGCGTTTTCGACTGCCCGACATACGGCAGCGAGGAAGAAGTTTGGCGAGAAAGTATATGACACCGCGTGATGATCTATGATCTTCAACCACAGAAGTGGATCATGGAGGGCTATGGTTGGAGCTACATGGACTTGAGTTGCTTGGGCCACTATGGCGTGAATGTGGATCTCAGCCACGGCGGAAACATGGTCAAAGTCTATGATACGTCAAGAGAGGAGGCTTCTCCAGATGACACGTAGGGTCACTTACCGATCCAGTTGAAGAATATATCCTCACTGGTGACGTCCATCATTTCCATCTTGCTATGACTGGAAGCGATGACTTGTCGATGATGCTGCTCCACGGCTTTAGAAAACCCCGTGCTGCCAGAGGTGAGCATGAGAAATGCCAGATCATAGGTGTCTCTCGAGACACCGCCATTCCCGTAGAGGGTGCTGGTTGTCGACGCAGTTACGTGTGATTGATGCTCGGAGGATATCAATTCCTCCACGAGGAAGAGATCCGATGTCGAGAATAGGGTAAATTCGTTCGAGAATCTCTTCGTGGTAAGAACCTTGGGGGTTTTGAGAAGCTTTTGTAAGTGTTCCAGGTGACTGGTTTTAACGGTTGGATCTGTGGGTAGTGACGTTGAAATGACCGGAACCCCGCTGGCTACTAGGACTGACCAAAACCATGTCACGTAGTCGATGTGTGTTTCCAGGTGAAGGATAACGATCTCCCCTGGAGAGACAATATGATGATTGAGCAAAAGCTGAGCTCTTTCCTGGCGAATAGGTCAGCCTTCCCATTTAGAGATGTTATAGCGTCGACAGGCCTTATAATGTCCTCCTTAGGAGAACCGCTCACCTTGGCTTGTCGAAGAAGATCATGGTATGAAATAAAGGCAGGATGATCCAGATGATCACTGTCGTAGAAGAAGATGCCCTTCTCAGGGACACTCTCCACACAGTTTTCCAAGACTTGTAACAAGTGAGTAAGCATGTCTTTCTGGTCGTCGTGGTGTAGATGTATTCGGTGAATTGTTTCGACTTAGGATGGGTTATACAACTATGAGATTGCTAAGAGCGTAGTCACTCTATTTATACATACGAGATAGAACCACCATTCAAGCCTTGAAGCAATGCCCTGTATCGGCCATAAAACCCTTTCCTCATGTCGAGACCACGCCAACTATCTTGAGGCGCGGCCGTCCCCCGCTGCATAATGCTGACGCCATCTAATTAAGTTCTGGGTGTCACCCCGAGATTACTGGCCATGGGCGGGTCGCATTCTCTTGAACTCAACACATGTCTCGTGAGTGGTTCTGATTCCACTGATCTTGCAGGTTAGTGATGAAGTTGCGATACAACCAGCCGACAGAGTGACCATATGCAAGCCCCATCACACGCTGCGCCGTGGGATAGAAGCAAAATAGCTCACTTGATAATGAGAAAGAACGTGGTGGACACAATCAGCAGGGACTATATCCAGGTATAACGGTGGTGCAATTGGACAGATTCGACGCACGTCCGTCCGGCACTCAAGTTGCCGCTTATTTGCAACTTCGACAAGAATTTCCAACAAGTATTTAACATATCATTGGCTCATCGTGAAATTCTAGGCTGCAGTTTGGGGCCCTTAGTATACATATTCGGCATGATTTGACGATACTAACTAGCTGCATTTGCCCTTCAAGCGGTGTGAGCCCGGATCCGAGTTTGTTAGTAAGGGCGGTCTTAAAAGGGAAGGTTTTGTCATAAATTCATAGCCAAGTATTTTTTTCTGATTGGTCACCTAGCAAGCAGTATGCACTGAAACATAGCATACATCACTAAACGTAAGCTGACCTTACATAACGGTCTCAAACCACCCCGCCCAAAGGCAATGCACCCACTCTGGCAGAATGTGGTCATATTGGCTGTCATGTATGAGATCCAACAAACAATATTAATAATTCATTTGCATCTAACATCATGAGTGAAACCCACTGCCCCTCCCAATGCTATTTTGGGATACCAGTTTTGCGGAACACTTGACACCTTCACGGTTGCATGCACTGAACTATTCGGGTTCTCGTCATGACTGATCTATATAGATTGTTTCATAAAATGTCGGGAAGAAATTGAATAGGTGTTTGCGGGCTTAAGAAGACGGCCAAATTATCCATGTACATGTAACAAGTAGCTCTATATTGCCGAGTACAGAGATAGACTTGATCTACAGTCTCGGGCTCAATCGAAATCACACAAGCCGTCCCTAGTGATTACTCCTGATCGTTTCTGCTGAAGCTAGTGTGCGGAAGACATAGAATCTTTGCCAAAAGCTTGCAAATATTCATCTTCAGTTTTCAGCTCCCAAGTGACGGACTGTAATCGTCATCCGAATGTCCATCTTGAATCCCGTGGCGGCTTAAATGTCGAGCCCGGAGATTTATACGAAGGCCAAAAAAGGATGTTTTTTTTCTTTTCTCTGATGGTTACTTCTGGTTTGAGGCGGGGTTTTGTAGTTTTGTAGTCCTGTACTTGGCCGTACCTTCACATCTCCCGGGGCTTTGTCCAGGTATACGTTATTAATTAACGCCTCGGGGAACGAGCCACAGAGGAAATGGCAAGCACCCAGCTGGGTTTTTGAACAACTGGCTTCCTCCATAATCCACCTTAGGATGGTGGCAGTGACCCATAATGTATGTTTCATCACGAACACAATTGCATCGATAGCTGATGACAAAAACAGCTAGAGGAGCTGTAATATACGCCCTAGCCCATTCCTCTACTTCAGCTCGGAAATTGTGCAGATCAAAATCAGCCATCGTCTCCAATGGGAAGGGACACCAGTTGTACTGGCCTCCTAAAGACTGCATTTCTTCATCACGTAGCCGCATTTCACACATGTACCAGCCACATCACGTATTGAATTTCCATTTTACTACAATCTTAACCTTAGCCCAGAACACATACTTTGGCTATGAGGACGGTTTTTACCCAGTCCATCCGCAACTTGGTGCTAATCCGAGTACTAAAAGGCCCTATGTCCACTGAGGAAAGCAAAACAGGTTTATATAGACAACTATACAAAACGCAAAATCTTAGAACTTTATACGAGAACCTATTCGCGACAATGAAAGACCACCGCTTCTTCTGCTCCAGGTCAACAGGCGTGGATATGACCTGGGACTTAGCCTAGAACCACTCCGAACACGGGCGGGCCAAGGAGCACTCGCAATTGTAGTAGGCAAAAGCGGATCGAAGATCGGGCTTCTGCAGTGAGTATAACCTCTGACGTTCCAAATATCTTTGCGTACTTATGTAACTGTAGCCCCAACAAGTTCGTCGACTCCCAAGTCCTAACCTCGCCCCGGCACAACCGTGGATCCAAACATGTCTCAGCGCAGCCAATAAACTGGAGATACTATACAAGAACTTCACAGCTCCACCGTAGATCTGGCCGCTGATCTGCATTTGCACTATAGAAGCCGCCGTCGCTATCACCATCGCGGCTTCTGCTCGAACTACTGTCCACTCTGTTAGCTTTCAAATATCCATCCCCGGGCCAAACGGTATTACGCAATCATCGGATCTGGGAGCTGAGACGAGCATAACTTTTGACAAGAGCCTGCTCATGAAAGCCACTGGATTGCTTTCGGACAAGACGGTTTGGGCGGCTCGGTGGCAGCAGGTGAAAGCGAGGTTTTCAACGGAGACAAGTCCTGCTGGCTGTAGAAGTCGGGAAATTGAGTTGATGCGTGTTATGGCTGTCGGGTGAAAGAGGGGAGCTGGAGAGGAACCGGATGAGGCGGTGAAGAAAGCTCTAGACGATGATGAAAACGACGTTTCAGGGCGAATATGATGATAAGATATGGCAACACTTCGACGAACAGCTAGATGATGTGCTGGAGGAACTGGAAGAGTGCAGTCGAAGTGCGCATAAATCTGAAGTGAAACTGATTAGGAGTGGGAGAAAATGTCTGGTTGTGGATACGCGGCCGTCTTTTGTCTACTGCAAAGGGCCTGTTTGTGAGTTTATGCTAGTCTCATCATACACGCCAATGCGGCTAATAGTACATGTCCGCTACCCATCTATGGTTTTGGCTTCTCAACGTCTTCCAACTTCTTGTCATCCGATGACTTCACCTTGCCATCCTGGCCAACACTAGGAACATGTGCCCGTATCGTAGGTTCAACGGTCTTCTTCGGTGTGTCCACAGGCGGCTTCGTAACCAGCTCCACAGCCGCGGGCGCAGCTCCGCCAGGGGCATCCGCAATCTCGTTGACGTCATCTTTCGTCAAGACATCCCTGATGCTCGCTCCTCTACTCGACATGAGGAGCGTCATCGGGCCGCGGAACTGCAAGAACAGCCTGTCGCCCCATATCGTCCTCCTCGCAGTTGTCCGTAGGCTAAACATAAGCCCGGCCAGGAACTTGTACACGTCCGTTTGCCGCATGGACTGGAAGAACTTAATGTCGCCAAGCCAGTTCGTCACGGAAGGGACCTGGAAATTTATGCCGGTGCTCTTGAATCGGAAGGGTAGCGGGGGGCTCCTCGTCATGGTGTAAGCCACGACGTTGGATGGATGGGCTACGAATTCCTCGCCTTCTCCTAGCGTCATTTGGTATATATGTCCTGGTGCTGACAAAGCCGCTAGTCCACGGCCAGTGAGCTCAGAGGATCCCCAGTGCGCGAGGGGTAGTCGGCGTTGAATGCGAGGCGTCACTGAGAGGGTGTGACCTGTCCATGCTAGTAGTGCCGACCGCTGTGCAACCATCCAATCTGTGGTACCATCGAGATGGAGGACCATGAATGTCGTTGTTGGCGATTTTGTCGATATCAAGGCTGTGAGGGGTGTCGTCGAGGTGATGCGTTGGTAGAAGAAGGGCACACCGAAAGGAGCACGACTGATGGGTGAGAGTAGAGAGAGGGTCGACTGCGCCTGCATCCCGCCGTGTTAGCTATTCCTTTCCGTACCGATGCCATTGATGCTCACATTTTGCGCCTTGCCTGACAACGCAACCAGCGTTCCTCTTCTTGTGTACAGCTTCTGCGACGCCGAAAGAGAGACGGAAAGCAGCGAGTAGGGTGACCCTAGCACTTCGAATCGGGCATCTGTGCAGGTTTATTATGAGCCCAGGTTCTCCCAGAAGGTACAACGCACCGTCAGTCGTACCTGCAGCATCCTTAGAAGCATCCAAGGATGCACCGAAGGCATCCCCGCTGAGGCGTGATGATTCTATCGTCGGCGACGAGCTGATCTGAATGGCCCTACATTGCCGGCAAATGTAGCTAGTCCGACCTGCTAATGGGATTGTCCGACGTCGGCAGATCACCGCAGAGGCACTGCGCATTGTGGTGGTCGCAGTAGGATCAGCTGTCGGATTTGTCGCGGAGCTCGATCTGGGCTTGCAAGAAATGACCTCACAATCAGGTTCGAACTTGTTGAATGTTTGGATCCCGGCTTAATGGCTGTCGAATGTGGCTGGTGATCAGAGCTTCAGCCACATTACAGATCTGGCGATCAGATATGTTGCAACCCTAACCTAACCCTCTTGCGGTTAGTCCAACTTAGTAGTTTCCAAGCTCTTCTCTATTGATGCTCGGGGCACATTGCGCCGTATCGTTGAGTACGGTAACGTTTCCTACTATCACGTTCTCCTGAAATATCCATCTTTTCACGAACAAAAGATCGGATAAATTATTCTCTTTCGTGTGATAGTGGAAGCCAATGCCTCCATGAATTCTCAGTCATCTCCTAACAGAGCTCTATGAGATAATCTAAATGCCTGCTCCCAATTTCAATATCATGCGCGCGAAGATCCCGAAAGATGGCGGCAACATACTTTCGTCTTTTGGTGACCATCTCATCATCCTCATATTTACCCCTTCCAAGTTTCAGGTGCAGTTCGGACAGGGCGTGCAAAGCCACCTTCTTGACCTTTGCCGCTACAGTTGTTGCCAAAGGCAGGGACGATTCCATGATTTTATCTCGTGCCTTCTTCCAGTCCTCAGTTCCGAGAGCAAGGTACCATTGTGGCCATAGTCTGTGATCAAGTTCACCCCCGCATTGTACTACTTGCAGCTCCGCCCTTAACATCTTGAAAATGTGTTCCGTCGATAATGCACAAGCCGCTTCAAACAGCGCACATGCCCCTGAATGATCTCCTACTAGTGGCGATGCACCATGGGCAAGCAGGGTCTCCATCGTATCAACCGTATTAGATGACTCGTGAGCCCGCGATACCTTCGCTTTGAACAGCAGAAGCAACGATGTCTCGCCCGCTGCGTTCCGGGCATTTGGATCTGCGCCTCTCTGCAGCAGGCATGTTACTGCCTTCTGGAATAATTGCTGAGCTCTCGGGGTGTGGTGGGAAGAATGACGAAGGGCGAGCTCGTGTAGAATCGTGTTGCCGTTCTCAGATGCGTGGTTGGGTGGGGCCTTCATCAATATTTCGATGCCGAATTCCATGCTCTTCCATGACGTAGAGAAGTACTTTTCAATGTAATGTAACACGGCCGACTTGCCAGAGGGCAGTTTGGTGGTTGTATCAACTCCCTTGGCTAAGAACCGTCGGAAGATGCCATTTGCACAATCCGGGGTCGTCTCGAACTCGCTGTGGTCCGCCCAATTGCCTTTGCATCTCTCGAGAAAGACTTCGAACGTCGACTTCCCGCCGACGAAAGGCGCAGAGATGTCGGCTCCGCGGTCGAGGAACGTGTTCAGACGACTGTATATATCGGGATTGTAAAAGTACGGGACATTGAGAAGCCGATGAAATGGTGAAAACCCAGGGTTGTTTTTTATGTTAACGTCGGCTCCGTACTGGAGGAGGGTGTCGATGACAGGGTCTTCTAAAGGCGTCCAAGGGACTAGTGCTAGGTGAAGAGGTGTATCTCCGTGCTCCTCTTGCGAGGATATCACTGCTCCGCTTTGGAGTAAAAACTCGAGATTAACCTGATTAGAGACCCCCCAGTGCAACGGTGTACGTCCCAGGTGGCCCTTGGCGTTGACGTCGGCACCGAACTGCACGAGGAGTTTTGTGGCTTCCAGGTTGGCTGTTATGACAGCATAGTGCAGTGGCTCGTTTTCGGAATGGTCTTTAACGTCAACAGGAGCCCCGGCAAAAAGGAGAGACCGTATTTGCTCCACTTGACCCTTCAATGCAGCGTGGTGAAGTTGTGTTCTACCGTTCTCGTCCACTTGGTCGAGATCCACGTTAGGGGGTGAGGCGATATCAACACAGATGTTGGCGAGTGTCGGTTCGGGGTGCAAGGTTCCAACACCAAGTCCGTCCAGTAATTGGGCGCCCGATGACGAAGATGGCAAAACAGGACTCGGATTGTGCTCAGAGGCTGGATTTATCATGGAACGAACCCCTTTTGATCTGGCAAGACGTGTCTCCCGCCGAAGATTGGACCTTCTGGATGACTTGGACTCCACTCGGACATGCAGGGAATCTGGGTTGGACTCTGTTCTATATTTCATGTAGCCCCATTTCTGTATTTGCGCTCGGTACGATCGTTCTCTAGAAGTGGATATCAGTGCCACCGCAACATTCGATACGGATTGTGTATCCATACGAGGCATGAAACCCGAATTTTCCCTTGATGAGTCGCATTACCTCACAGAGAGGCTGATTGTAGACCACATAGAGCTTGCGGATCTCATCTTGGAGAGGATCCCAGTCTTTGACCATGGTCACTGTAGTCCGTTGTGTATCGTGTCACCGTGGTGTTCCAGTTTCGATAGTCGGGTTTGGGAGATAGGCGATCACAGTGCAACTAGTTTTAAAGTCATAATAGTAATTTAGAACCTAAATTCGAAGAGACAACGAACATTTAAATACTCAAAAACCTCGGTGACGTTGGTCAAACGAGCCAGTATGCGCGTGGTATTATGTAGTTGATATTGGGATGGACAGAATGTGCAATCTGCAGTCCTATCCGCAAAGTTAAGTGGAAATCCCTAGTTCCTTTAATAGTCCCTAGTGAGCTCACACAGCCAAGCAAGTTTGCAGATTGCATGTCTCACGGTGGGGAGGCGCAGCGTGGTAGGTCCAAACGCTGCAATCTCCTACATACCAATCAGTCACTTCGTACGAACCTATGGGGGGCAGTGCCAAACCACATCCTGCATCCTTGCTGGCGTTCAAACCTGTACTTTGCGGAAGAACATGCTGACAAGCACGTGGTGGCTGCATGTACAATATCTGTAAAATGCATCATTATAGCCCTGCTGCGAATTACACGTGTGCAGATGGAGGTTGGTCATTTGGGCTGTTGAGAAGTTCGCATTGCGTATCGTACTACAAGCAGGTCTGAGCTGGCGCATCGCAACTGCAACGATACGTTCTTTCCCACAATCACCATCACTAAATGAGAACCATTCACTTGTGCAGAGTCACGATGACATTCCAGGAGATAATTGCAGTTGGAGACTGACTCCCGACCTCCGTGATTGTGACTTCCTAAATCCTGTATTGCTTATGTCAGGATCTTTCTCCTCTAAGCCGTGGCCTCTCAGTTCTACGATGACGCGCCGTACAAACAAAACCGGATTTGTTTATTTGAGACCCTGAGTGGTAGCTTATACCCGCAAGGGGAAACGAGAAATCTAGCATTAACTACTACGAAAGTCGGATGGGCGCTTTCAGAATCCCTAACAAATTGCAGGGCCAACTAGGCTTTTATTAGCTGTAGTTTCCTTTTGAGAGGACCTTATAGTCCCACCTTCTCGTAACCGAGCCAAGCACCGTCTTGGTCACTCTATCAGTGCTCAGTTTACGGCTGTATTTATGATTCTTGGCCGGCTCGTCTGCAGTGATCGTGTCAACCATATCCCTCACCTTCTCTGGGTCTTGGCTCAACTCATCGTCCAACCTATTAAGCCACCAGCGGGCTGTCTCACGTTACCCACCTGAAAGAACTGGATGCCAATCTGACGAAATGGAGCCGACATATCGTCAAGTCTTGTAGCTGCGGATCGTATTACTTTGCCGAGATAGTAATGTCCATTACGCCCGTCATTTGCTCCCCCGTCTGTCCATACAATGATGTTTAATAGTTTGACCATTTTCGCTTCATCGTCTGATTCTTTGGCCTTTGTCTCGTAGTAATCCAGATATGGCTTGAGAATTTGGTGCAGACACTTCCCCGTTTGCGTGTCACCGCAGGGTGGCGAGGCCTTGTTGAAGATTCTCAGTACTTCCGAGGCAGTAGGGATATTGTAGTACCCTCTACTTGGTCTGCCTTCGGGGGGTATCCCAGGATTGCCATCAGCGTCCTCGTCCGGCGATTCGTAGTTCATGAAGTAGATATCGAGGCCGTTGTCGTCGTGCTCTGGGCAAATAAGCACGATAACTTCAAGGACACCTCTTATCTCTTCCTAAAGACTTATCCCTGTCAACTCCTTCGATGTGATGGATGATGAGTCGTCAATAACAAGCACGGTGTCGAATCGTGTTAGGAACGCGAAGGAGTCCTCCTGGATCTGCCCTGGACTGTTGCGACTCCCGCGTTTACGGTTGAGTTTGCCTCCAACAAAACGCCGCCAGGAGCTGTGGTCATCAATCGAAGCTTCCCCTTGGGATCTTCGGGAAGATCGGTGTGGAAACAGGCCTCCGCTTCGTGACTATGTTAAGAACTGAAGAATCCGGATGTTTGCAGTCGTAGCTATCGTCTTGCGCTCTACCCATACTTTCCTTGGCCACAGTGATCAGCTGCGACATTATGGTCTTACAAACATGTGCAGTAAGACGCTTGAGGACGTCAGTGGAGATGATCAAGTCGTTAAAGCCATGGAACTCCTGATTAATTCAATTTATAGACCGAAAAATTGTCTGCAACCGCGCTCATTGCCATGGTCGTTGAAGTTGGTCCAGACACGGCCATTACGGCCTCTCCCCTGTTCGAAGTTGGGTCGCACATGTAGATGCTGAAAGGATAGTACCGACACTAGTGGCTTTTTCTACAAAGCCCCTGCGCGGTACTGTGGTTTGATAGCATGACTCCTAGGTAGTTGCCTTTCTTATTTGGGGGTGGTTTAGTATATGGGCAAGTTTCATAAGTTCTTTGGATTGCCTCTCTTGGCGAATTACTTGAATCATAGCAGGTCCAGCCGAGGACGTACTCACAGAATCAGACGAATGCTCCGGATCCGATGTTGGACTGTCTGGAACCATCGTTCAGAATTTGGACCAACTGGGGTGCTGGAACGTGGATGTTGGTGCAGATCCTAGAATTCGCCAGGAATGTTATGCCTAGAATCAAATCTGCTCGTTAAACGTAGAGAATTCTGTGGTGCAACGTAAATCAGCATGTTCAGAATTTTGAGTACATATACATTCGGCCAGCCGCGTCTGAGGAGCGCGACGCAACGAAGACTGTTTGTCGTTCCTCTTTTCCAGGGGACCTGTGACGATATATGGTGTATCGCGCAAAGATAGCCGAAGGGCGGAGGTGCTTCTGGAGGTAATGCCTTGCTGACTACAGTTCGTGTTACGTCCAATGACGCAAAGTCAGGCATACGGGGTATGTTTGTGTAAGAGATGCGGATGGCAAGTGGGATGCAAGCGTCTCATCGTTGGATGTGGGATGTGGGATGTGGGATGTAGGAGACCGAGCCAAACACCCAAGCTCGGTCTCCGAGCCTACGCTAAATCCCTGAAGCTGAAGGGACGTTAGCGGGTCCTCTCCCTTAGATAAGCCGCCGGCATCCCACTTGGCATAGATCCGTTTCGCGGGGTCTAGCGTGTCAACCCCGGTAGAGCTGGCTCTCGGGGCTTATCCAGCTCCTTGTCATTCTATGGACAACCAAATGGAAGAATTCCACCGACTGGTAGTCCGGGGCAATGCGCAATGTGAGGGACTCGTACTGCTTTAAATAGGAAAGGTGCTGGTCGGACATTTCTATGTCAATTACGAAGGCGTTGCTCACAACTAGAAGCTTGGCTTCACTCTGGAAACACGGACACAAACCTTCAACGTATTGCCTCACTTTTTGTTTCCAAGCCGACTTTTTACTATTCTCAGGCCCCTGCTCTGCCATTGGTCAGTGTTGCACAACTGAAAGCAGTGACTTCCAACCCCTCGGGGAAGTCGATCGCTTGAGTACGACAATAATTTCTAAGCATCTTCCGGGAGAGATCCACCTTACGGTCACCGAAGTTTTTCTTTGATACCCGAAATTTCTTCAGCACTCATAGACATCGCACTGATCGCACAAAACTGAAATCCAACTTCCATCGGCCAGATAGTAGTTGCTCAGTACTTCACAATCACTCCAGCATCCAGCCATTTTCCACGCAATTTCCGTATTACGACACCAGTCTTCTGCAAGCACCCACACAACAACCGAGACTAGCAGTATCTTGGGATACAAGTGCGCCCGCATTGTTCTCACTCCAAACGACCCAGGCCTCAAGGTTGCGCCAGGAAGACTTTTCCTTCGCCCTCGTCAATCTCAGTTTATCAACAACTCGCGACTAGCAACATACAGAACGAGCACGCCACGTTTCGCGACATCATATGCAAGCACACAAACGGAAATATGACCAACTCTGATCCCAGATACTCCTCGACGCAGGAGGATATGCCGGCGGCCGGCGGCAAGTCAGCTTCGGCTTCCTCAAGCCCCTCGATCGAGCGCCTACCGCCGCAGCAACAGACAGGCACCGATACCAGCAATGGCCTCAAGCCTGACCCCGCAGCCGTTGCCGACATGGAGAAAGGCACTGCTGCCGTTCCACAGAAGCCCGGTCCGCCTCCGGGCATGGCACCCTCAGACTTCCCCGACGGCGGACTGCAAGCTTGGACGACCGTTTTTGGTGGATGGTGTGGCATGTTCTGCACATTCGGACTTATCAACTGCATTGGCGTTTTCCTTGAGTACTATGTCCAAGCTCTGCCGAACTATGATACTAGCGCCATCGCTTGGATCACCAGCGTCCAGATCTTCGTGCAGTCTGGTGGGACCGCAGTTTGGGGACGGCTGTTCGACAACTATGGCCCGAAATGGCTATTGATCATTGGCACCATCACGTATTGCTTCGGCATGATGATGACCTCGCTTTCGACCCAATACTACCAGTACTTCCTGGCCCAGTCTATTGTCGCCTCTGCTGGTTCTGGCGCCGTCTTCAACTCGTGCACGTCCTCAACCGCAACATGGTTCTTCAAGCGACGCGCGTTAGCTATCGGCCTTGTGGCCTCCGGGTCCTCCCTTGGCGGTGTCATCCTGCCTATCATGATGAACCACCTCATCCCTCGAATCGGATTCCCCTGGACGATGCGAGTTCTCGGCTTCATGTTCCTTGGTCTGTGCGGTATCTCATGCCTCACCGTCACGTCTAGACTTCCACCCCGACCCAAACCCGTCCGAGTAATGGATTATGTCAAGCCATTCAGGGAGCCTGCGATGCTGTTCACCATCCTCGGCGGTTTCTTCTTCCTCTGGGGAATGTTCTTGCCGTTTAACTATCTTATCCTTCAGGCGCGAGCTGCCGGCGTATCGGAGTCTCTCACTACCTATCTAATCCCAATCCTCAATGCTGTCAGGTAAGCCATGGACCTATCTACCCTAGTTTCCTTGATTTTGGTATACTGACATGTGCCACCAGCATCTTCGGCCGTATCATTCCTGGTGCCGTGGCAGACAAGGTCGGCCGGTACAATACTATGATCTGCATCACTATGCTATCTGGCATCATCACTTTGGGTCTCTGGATTCCCGGCAAGAGCGCAGCAGCCATCATTGTCTATGGCGCCATCTTCGGATTCACATCCGGCAGCTTCATCTCTCTCGCGCCTGCCTGCATTGCCCAGGTCAGCGACATCCGCGAGATCGGCACGCGCACCGGTACTGCCCTTTTCGTCCAGAGCTTGGGCGCCTTGACTGGGTCACCCATTGCCGGTGCCCTGATCAGCCGGATGAACGGCCGGTTCCTAGGGCTACAGATATTCTGTGGCATTGTCATGCTCGTCAGCACGTGTTTGTATTCGATCTCGCGAACCTTCCAAGTCGGCCTCAAGCCCGTAAAGTGTTGAGCTTGCATCACGTAGTCCCATGCCGGCTAGCAGTGGGGCCTAAGGCTTGAGTACCATGGATAGATGGGGTGGACCATCTAGTCATTGTGACTATGGGTACATACATTTGAGGGTTTTTTTCACCAATGCTAAACACGTACATGGCGTTTTTCGGAGGCGTTGAGTCGTCAGGGGTGGAAATATATTTCATCTTCACTTTTGACGTGAGTAGAGGTTTGGCACAAAACCATCTTTATTATACCATGGCGAGGAAGTGCATAAGTAGGAAACGGCCGGGACGATAATAATAGACAGATCTGACATATGAACGCCAGGCTCTGCCTACGCGTGGTCTTGTATCCCGCCACCCCTTGTAAGGTGATACATGTATCTCCAAAGCAACATTCACACGCTTGCCCTACTTAAGGAATGGAACATCGTCCTCTTAGCATTCCTATACGACACTTGGCTTACTGTGAGTAATTCAAAGAGGCGTCTGAATCTGAAAGCAACCAATAAGTGTATAAACCTCTACCGAAGTTATTCTTGACACGTCCTTCCAGCTAGCGCCCTAATTTTGCTATTCGACAACACCCCAAACTTAAACACACAATATGTCCCTTGTACACCCCCCCCCAGCCTCCCCTTCGCGAATCTCTGTCTCACAACCCGCCACCCCATTCTCTACACCTCCCTCTTATCCCTCTCCACCTGCCTCATCGGCGCCATCGTCTTCTTCGCCCTATCAACCAGCAAACCCAACACCAATAACACGCTAGCAACACCGCTTCCTCCTAGGTTCCCTGTTCCTGGACCACCTGCCTTGTTTGGCAAGGAGGGGAAGCGCGACGGTTTTCCGCCAATTACCCGGGTGTCAAATTGCCCCCAGACTGAAACTAACTGCGATAATGTGGAGCTTGGACTGAGTATTGGGTTGTTGGTTTTGCAGGTCATGATTCTGTGTGGGGCTGTTTTTGCTTGGATTAGGCCTGTTTGGTGGGAGCGAGGGTGTAATGAATGACCCGATGGAGTCTTTTTGAGCACGGGTGCTTCATAGTCGATTTGCAAATATATCTAAGCATTGCTCTATCTAGACTTGTGTTGTTCTATATCGAGGCACGTAGCAGTCTACTTAAAATAAAGTTACTTACTATGTAGGTTCATAGTATATTATTCACTTTCTGATGACTCTGAGTCAAACTCAAACACTTGACAAGTCGCGTCTATGATTTTTGATGCCTCCAGAAACGAGCATATCAAAGTATACTGTCGCTACGAAGTCAATTCAGTATCGTTAGTCAGCATTTCACTTGCCTCAGGGCAGGGACTAGAGGCCTTTCTCGCAAACGGACTTTGTATCAACGGTGGACAAGTAAACAAAGGCTAACAGCTAGTGAAACAATACAGCCATCAAGTAATACAAACCATAAAGTTAGGTTAAGAAGCATGATGTAGCAGTGTCCTCTTTAACGTCGTGCCATCTCTGTGGGGTCGTTCCATGGATAATCGCTGTTACCATAGCTTCTTGCACGTGTACTAGGCTAGCGTATCGTTCTTCGCCTTTACCTTTGACGTCTCTTCCTACACTCCCTGTGCGATTACATGTAACATACTAACATGCACAACCAAACCAGTCGCGACGATTTTATCGAGATGGCGTCCATACAGATCGGACTCTCGGGGGTATCCTTCCTCTCCCCATGTCTGAAGCAAGTCGGCCGTTGTCTCGGGCATCGTCCCTTAAAATGACACAGAGGAGCAAGACCATTATCATCTCGCAGAGCTAGCATTCACTTTCTTAGAAATTGTCAGAGAACAGAATGCCATAGGCACCGGTGGGACACCGGTGGGGCTCTGGTGTAGGGACGTGCGAGTCATGACACGATATGGAAGTCTTGGCATGCGGAACAATCGGAGAAACTAGTGCTCCGCGGCTCCGACGCCGGGTTCTAGCTATCTATGTAAGGGGCGGAGGCCCGGGAAGAAGATAGAGAGAGAGTAGAGATCAATGCATCATCATGGGCACCCCTACCTGAGACCGCCAGTGACCGCCCGTGACCACCCGGTGCTACGTAGGAGGGACGCCCATTACTCCCCATCACTCTGTACTATTGCCTTCGGCCTAGCCGTACCCTGACAGAAATTAAGCGGGAGACGCCAAAAGAGTGCGCTGGTATCCATAGAGGGTGCAACCCCTCTTTTCTACCATCGGCCCCAAGTTCCCCAACCAGCCTAGACTTTCTCCCACAGGTAGCATCGTGATTTTGTCGAACGCACTAGGAAGCGATGTTGAAGCGGCAACGTTTTCTCCACACCAAAAATCCGAAACTCGTCACGGGGTCTTCTATTGGCCTTGATAGCCTGGCAGTATGGTGCATAGGCGACTATCTCTTGCATCTGGTTTATTTCTAGTATCTTTGATGCGTGATTGGTTGCTTGGAAGATGCTCATCTCCTCAGTTGCGCATGTTCGAAATTGCCTTGACACACTTTCGCAATCTGGGCAATGCTTCGAAGAGCAATTGGATACGGCTAAGTAGTCGCGTAGTCCTAACAGGTGTTGTATCCTTCGTCCCGGTCTGGCAAATGAAGAGACGCGCCCTCGTGGAATTCCCAAGGGACTCCGCAACTCCTGCAACTTTGACTTATACAAGAAAAGTGACCATGCGGTATGCTTTTAGGCTTAGGGTAGTTGGATCTATATGCAAGAGGACAAAAACTTCTGGGGCATTCAAAAAAAAAGGCATGGTAGATGGACTTGCCGATTCAATGTTGACAAGCTGAAGCTTCAGTCTCACTTATACAAACTAGTCACATAAGCGGACCAAACAAAGAATCTATAGATTGTTAAAAACAAAATAAGATAAAAACCACAACGCAAAACGTTACATACCCCAGATATGCCGGCAAGGTCTTCGATGCAGCGCTTAGGCCAACTGCCCATAGATAGCCCTTCCGTAGTTGCGGGCTCCTGGGAGTTAGTCTCGCCACCATCATCATCGCCAATGCAACTCTCTTGTCTACATTGCCCGCACTACCATTGCAGGCGATTTGCAAGCACGAAAACAGCCTATGCTAACAGACGCAAGTAGTAGCAAACATAATTCAATGTGATCATTGTCAAAAGTTCAATGGCCGCAATAATACTTCCATGCAGGTCCATTTGCCGATCATAGTGTATTCAAAACCCTTTGAATGTAATAATGCGTGAAACTTTCAGTTCCTTAGGCTAAGCTGAAACAGGTGGTGCCAATGAATCCTTGCACTATTGTTCGGTAAAAATAGGAATGTTCTAGGGCATCAGTGCCAGTCACCTCTGGTTGCCTAGTTTCTGAGGTTTCTCCTAGGTATATATATAAACCAAGGTTGGGAATTATATCACACTGTTCTTAGTGGCAGGTGATCTGAGTCTGGAGATATCAGCGTTTGACAAACCCGTAAAGCCTTTACAATATTCTCATCGACAATGTGGAGCCGGAACAACAGCAACAGCTTATATCCTAATAGGGATGCATCTCATATCAGTGAGATTGAGCTAGGAGAATTGGAGCTGGCGGCGCAACAAGCGCTTGTCACCATGGCCCACGGCTCACGAGATGGCCAAGTGAATGCCTATTCCACCCATGAGGTGGAGGTCGCCCAGAGATTAGTGATGATGTCTCAAGGCTGGAACAGCGGCCAACTCTACTTCCAGCCTCCGATGCCAGAACACACTAAATTGAAATCATTTACGGTGAACTCGCTCGAAAATATACTCGGGCAACCGTCCGTAGCACCAGATTCATTATCGCCACTGATGGCCCACCCATCAAAGCACGACAATCGATTCACCCAGCCAACCACGGCCCTACCTTCGCCCTCTCTCTTGTCCTCGATTCATCCCAATCTAAGTCCCCGACTTCGTTTATCCCCGCCCAATCCCCGAGCCCAGAGTATCGATCCACGTCCCCCTCCGCTATCCTCCGAAACATAGCCCTCCTAGCAGGAGTTGACGACGTGGGCAATGAGCCCGAGCCAATATCCCAAGTTATCTACGCCTTCTGGAACCAGAAAAGCCCCGGCTCCAGACAAGTCCTCGTACTTCGAGCAGGGGATTTCTTGCCTGTCTATGTGGACCTGGACGCCGAGTTCCACGTGCCGAACTAACCCGCTTTGCAGGTATTTAAGTTAGTCTACTGTGGTGATGCCGAGGTCGTGACGGGTGATCTGGGGTTGTAGAAGAATTTCTTGCCGCCCGAGGTGGAGGTTGGGAATGGAGAGGTGAAGATGGTCCCGAGGAGCAAGTGGCGGTTGATGAAGGCACTGCCTAAGTCATACTAGTAATAACTACATTGACGTGAGTGGCCTCGCGGGGCTAGCCGTAGCACCAGGTCATGGTACAGGGGTTGTTAACAAAATGATGAATGAAACCAAGATCAGTGGGTGCCACCTGTAACTACAGGTATCAAGTTACATAACTCCAGAGACGATGAACAATGTGATTTAGATCTACCTGAAAGTATTGTGGACTTGGCACGATCCGACATAGGGGTTTCGCCCCGACCATCCTCTTCCCATACTGCTGAGAACGATGGCTTCTTGGCTATCATTATGGCCATGTTCATCGATACCATACCCATTCCTCCCATATCCATCCTTCTTGCTTCGCTGACTCTAGCGCCCGTTTTTCCAATCCGTATCCCTCTGCTTGCTTCCGCACCTGGCTTCCGCTCCGTAACTAGTCGTGCATTCGTCACGACTTCAGTCCCTCGCTTGCGACACGAGCGATCACTGCCACTATTTACATCCATAATGTGGTGGATATTTGAGAGGTCATGGACGTGCAGCGTGGACGATTACACTGTACATACATATGAGCCTACATCTTCTTGACCGTATACGGTAATCTTCATCAGTGCCCTGCTAGTATTACCGATCGTGGGAGTATAGTACTGGCACTTCGAAAGAAGCTACAAATGCGGCTACGATAAGTATAGTTCGTTCACATTTTTCATGGTTTCTGTTGAAACCGATTGGCGCATCTTCCAGCTTGGTGACTGTAAGAAGAGTACCGTGGTCTTTGCACTCAACATCCTCTTGAACGGCGAATCAATTTTCAAGTAGAGCTGTTGCATGGCCCCAACATTTTGCGCCCATTACTGTAAGCATGCGGCAGAGCTGAAATGCAGTTGACAATCGCTTGATGAACTGTAATTTCACTGCCTCGAAGCCACCCCGCGAAGAGCACCAATCCTCTTCTGCTTTCGGAGAGCCATCCAATAATCGAGTCGAACAACGACTTCTGCGCACCAGGGATCTACGTCAGCATTCCCAGGCATATCCATCACACCTTCGAGCCAGTCGGGCGCAGAGTTCGGAAGGCCAACATCACTCATCCCGAGTGGCCAGTTTCTCGAGTGATGTTGGACTGCAAACATCTGGCGGGGCAGATTGAAGTAGTTGTTTGCTATGTCGTACCAACACGTGCACAGGCCAATTAATTACTGAGACGGAATAAATATCTCATCGAGCATTCTTACCTTATCTTCATATTGCGACGGTGGTCACCTGAAAGCTGACGATCACGATGATCACACTTGTGTTCATAGCAGTCGCCCTCGCTGCCGTCATTGCCCAAGATTGCTCAGTAGTCGACGAATATTGCTGCCCTGGAAATGTCGTTCTTCCCTCCATTCAGCTCAATATCACACTGCCTAACGACAGTACAGCACCGACCACGCTATTGAATGTGCCCCTATTCGACGATGACTGTCTATACCATACCCCATCACAGGCTGTATACCCTGGTAAGCCCCCACTTCCCTCTTGATCCTCCGCCCTGGCTTATCGCATCACAGGCTCATTCGCCCCATCTGCCATCACCGGCATCGCCTTCTCCTCCTTCAACTTCGTAGACGCCACCGGCAACCCCCTTGACCAGCGTAGCCTGACCTCCTTCCTGGGTTTCGTCTCCCTATGTCTGGGTTCCACGGGTGCGACCATGCTTAGCGCACAAGATTTGTTCAGTCACAGTCTGGTGGTTTGCAATATTAAGCCAGATGGAGAGGGACAGCGCATTTTGGACGGGGTTTCTTTTGGGTCGGAGGAGATAGTGTTCGTGTCTCCACCGCAGAGAGATGTGGCTTTCTATGCGTGTTGCATTGACTATGGAGGGGACAACTGTGCGGATCAAGTGGCTGAGGCTATTGGGATTGGTACGTAAGTGGGTTAAGCAGGATAAGACTTCGGTCTTCCTTGTTTGTACAGTTAGGAATGATAATACCCCATTCGTCTATTTAACATTAATGTTGCATCGTCCATTGAGCTAGCAGGCCACGTGGCTCAATCACTCAGCACTGGCGGCGGCCTTTTGGTTATTGACAATGCCCTGTAATGTATACTGTACGCAGGTATGATACCAAGCCCCAGACCCAGTCTCACTGCCAGAGTGATTGCACATTCAGAAGATGTTCAGGGGTTCAGGGCTGATTGTCACGCTTTTCTTCAATTTGGCCTTCGGTCGTAGCTAGCGTACAAAATCATGGGTAGTTCATCTACTTAGCTCAATTTTATGAAGCCACCGTTGGTAGTATCTCGACATGTTGCACCCAATTTAATGGAGCTTGTATGGAACTCTTGAAGTCTCCTGCATGTGGCCGTTAACGCTGGTCTCTGCAAGAGCATATCCAATGGCGTTCTGCCCTGGGAAATGATGGTTAAATGCAATCGTTCTTGCTCAGCTGTACAATGCAAGGCACACAACGTCAGGTAACGAGATAAGTGCAGCTGTGCCGTATCATCTCCTCTGTCTTTGCAACCCAATTCTTTATCAACTCGGCACATAATTGAGCTGGGGAGTCTTGATGCTTCAGTACGTAGTGAAGGAGAGAGCGGAATGTGCATTTTGAGGGAGGTGGTGAGGCCTAGACAGGGGAAGTGTGGCACCTAAGATCTTCGAACCGAAGGGGTGTTGATGGCGATGACTCACTGGTGGACCTTGACCTATTTAACTTGGCAACGAGTTAGCTACGTATCTGTATTATCCTCTCTCATTCCATCTATTGCTTCAGATTGTTCATTTCCTGAAATGAGACAAGTAACTCAAGTTTAACCGGACTTGTTTGACGTACCACACGCCCCTGATCACTATTTCTCCGAATGGTCTGGGTATGGTTGAAGAAGAGAATAATCGTCAAACTCCAGCATTACCTTGCATTTCGGTATTTTTATCGATTGTTGATATTACCGCCCTGTTACGCCAAATAATCAAATAGGGGACTAATTATGTTCTGGACAGCGATGAGTAGAATACAAACAAAAATAGATACGACTTGGCTAGGTTATTATTAATCAAAAGGTATGTTTCAGGTTCTTTGCTGCCAGAGAAGAGGTGTGTTCAAATCAAGTATGCAATAACTACCACCCATTCATCAGCATTTGCATATCCCACTTTAGAAGTAAATTTCTTGGTTCACCTCTCACGACCTCAAACGGCAAGGATCCCAACTAGTCTCTAATCGGCCCACTCCCGGCATTCACCGTCGTTCCAGCACTCGCACAAGTCCCTGTCGTGGTGATTGTGGCCGTCGAGATGATGTGTTGGGATGGGTTCTCAGTTACTCTGACGGTCTGGGCTCATAGTAATAGTGAACGTCAATACGTCAGTCTCCTAACGGTCCCACGTTGAGCACACCCAACACATCAGAGTTTATAACTTCAATGATGAAGTTCTCGGCCAGTTCCCATAGTACCTCAATTCGGTAAACTTCATAACATAGATGATTCAGTATTGCATTCTCAGCTCTTTGCTTCCCGCACTGCGGTCATCAGTACCAGTAAGGACTGAATGAGGCCACGGACGCAGGTCAAATCGCTCGATTCGGCCCAACTAGGTTCTATTTTACGGATTATGGCCTTCAGAGCATTCCATCCGTGTTCTATATGGTTCAAATCGGGGTTATAAGCAGACCACTTGATAGTCCAGATGCCGCGCTCGTGTAGCTATGGCTTTGTGTAGTGTAATACGTAAACTTTGGCGTTTTCCAGTATGAAAGGATAGACTGGAAGCACCCCTTCCTTAAGGAGATCGCAATATAACCGAGAAGTTACATCCTAGCGCTCCATAGTCAGATCTCACTTATTAGAAAAGATACCCGAAGTTGTTAGAAATTAAGGAATGGATGACTGCTAGCTCTATCCATTCGATGAAGGGGACGACCTATGGTTACATAGACTGCAACTAGATCCTCCAGAGCCAGATTATAATCGCATGGTCACACAGGCCCTCCAGCACAGCACTTTGACAAACCAAAATAGCTGTTTGGGCCGATCACGAAGGTTTGGCCCCATACCCAGAACCTTGACAGAAGTCCTGGTAAGTATAAAGCGTCATGCATAAGCCGGCTTCCACTATAGTAAACCTCCCTCACATGCACAATTGCTGGGGCGCACATTGTCAGGCCAAGGACTACTACCGTTCAAAACCCCATTTTTGTGAAGCTCATAGATGACAACGTGTAATAGCTATGGCTTTGATTAGAAAGGGAGACATGCTTCTGCTGATGTGATGAGCTCACGATATGTGGATCCGCCGAGATCCGACGAATATAGCTACGTGAGAGAAGCTTAAGTTCGATCAAGACCAACTGACAAGACCAGGGACGTAAGTTTTAATTAGACTTCGGGAAAGAGAAGTGAAAGACATTAGAGAAGATGATTCCCACTGTCCCAGCTGGAGCCATGTGACCGACTGTCTTCCTTGTCAGTCCATCGAGAACAGGTTCATGTGCAATTCATGCATGCATCTCGTACATTAACCGTTGAAGTAAACACATGCCGACATCTTACCGTATTAGTTCACCCGACTGTGCCAAACACGTATCATATTGTTTGCCAGCCTCCCCGGGCGGTATGGTGACAGCACACAAAGAGCACAACCATGATCTGAATATGCAGCACATTACAACCCAGCCTCAACAGTTCACTGCTAAATACACTTTTTATATAACAAATATACGGTATATTTCTCATCCCGCACCATCTGCTACGCTAATAACCCATCGATCGCCTCAGCAATTCACAAACGAAAAAAAAAACAAAGCAAAGCAATATAGTGTGGAAGGGTATCAAGAAGCCAACAACCCATGGTCCAAAAGAGAGTAACAGAACAAACACCGGGCATGCTTCCTTCTTCCTTTCTAGCCTCTGATCTTGGTCTTCGTCGCTCCGTATCCCCTTCGAAAGATTTCCGTAACCCAAAAAGTAGAAATATGATAGTGATAAGGCTAAATGAAGTAATAACGACAAGTCGAAGTGATACGTAATGTTGGCGAACAAAGGCAGGTAAATATGAGTGATTTGGACACCTCGGAACTTCTCAATCGAGTCGTAACGTAATATCTTCATCGCCGCTCTCATCGCCGCTAATGTCTTCCCCGTTGGCCGCGCGCCTGGCGTTATCCCTTTCGTGGTAAATCTCCGTGCGACGTTGTTCAGCATGCTGCAGACAATCGACGTATGTCTGGAACTTCACAATCTCCCTTAATAGGTACTGGCTCTTCTTCTCCCAGTTGGCCAATGCCCTTTGAGCGTTCGTACTGCGCGGCGTAAAGGCCAAGAGCATAGGCGAGCGCAATTGGTTATGTTTTTGCAGCTCCTCCTCGATGCCACGAACGTAGGCGAGCAGGGTCTCGTACTGTTCCGCCTCACTGCAGTTGCTCGGGCGCAGTGATTGCGCGGGCGCTTGCCAGTCGGAAATATGAATCCGGTCACCGGGCAACTTGGCCCTGTTGCTTCCACCGCCGACATCAAATGAGGAGCGCAGGCTACTCTGCCGACTGCCGCTGCGGCTATGCATGCTCGTGCGACCGGGGACGGCGGAGCCAGGACGCGGCGGGAGAGGACCGTTATCATTAATAGCGGTCACTAGGGCATTGTTGATGCAGGCATCGCTCCAGCCATACTCAATGTTGGAGATGCCACCAACAAGGGGATGTGTCGACAGTCGAGCAGACCAATAGTTGACCGTGATGACGAATTCCTTGCTGAGTTCTGGGGTGCCGACCTGGAAGAGGTGCACAGCACCGGTGGGTAAGCTGAGTGCCCACACATGAGCTCTGGATCGAGAGTAACCCGGGGGGGAAGAGTTGAGGCAAGTGTCTGTCGCAACGAGAATGTGCCTAGGTTAGTAGCATTTTCCTGCCAGTTGCCGCCGCCCACCACAGCTCCCGGCATCTGCTTTCGACCAACCCGTGCCTTCTGACGCATAGACTTGGTGGAAAAGGAAAAGAGGCTCATGGTGCCTTTTTGGATGACGGCGAACACTTCAACCCAGGTCCTATCCTTGGCCCGCTTGTCCATCCCGTCAAGGTGGTGTTTGTGGATCACCATGCCCTCCTTGGCGAAGGGGGGCCCAGTGAGCTCGAGCGACTCGTCGTCTAGGAGTACCGCATCAGTATCCTCGTCGCTCATGATGGACTGGGAACTGCCCATCGGTCCGTCCTCGCGGATAATGGCCTGCGAAAGGGCATTGGCGAACCCAATCGACTGCTGAAAGTCGCTATGTGGATAGGAAGAGCCTAAGGAGTTGACCGATAGACTCGAGGTTTGCGTACGGCCAAGTGAGTAACGGCTCCAGGTGGCAGATGAGACGGTTGGGCTCCACAATGAGTTGCCGTCTTCGAAGCTGGTACGGCTTGAGGAAAAGCCGTTGTTTCCAATCCTTGGTCTCGACCGGCTCTTGGAGCTCCAGCGTCCAGCATTAGGGCGATTGAAATCGTTAGGTCTGCCACGAGCAGAGGCACCTTCAGATGGTGCCTTGCTGAGGACACTGGGGGTGCGCTTCAGCATACCCATGACCGAGAGCCCACTACCCTGCTGCGGAGCATGTTGCTCCGGAGGTGCTCCAAACAACGGCAGCCTCTCATCGCGAATGGAGGTGTATATATCCTTCAACACCAGCTCCATTTGGCCCTCCCAAGCGCGCATCGTGCCATTAAACGGTGCCTTGACAAGAGGGCCACATATATCCTCTTCATGCTCCCCGTGCTCACCATGACGGGACTCAGATCTAGGTGGAGGCAGGAAAGATGATCTCCAATTTTTGCGTTCAGCCTCGGGTTCTTTCTCCGGGGAAGGCCGCATCTCTGTTTCCATCAAGCCCACAAGTGCATTTTTCCCCGGAAGAATGCTGGGCCGTTCAAAGGCACTCGGTGCAGAATCGGCGATGGCTTGTTTGATGGTGGTCATGGTGTTCTTGACGAACTGACTGCGAGTCATCTTGGACTCAATATCTGCAAGATGAAGATCGGTGTTCAAGAGCATGATAGAGTAACACATCGTATGGATCACGTCTGGTATAAAGTGTGAGCGCTAGAAGCAATGTAATGTGTGTGAGAGAGTCAGACTTACCTGTAACTTTGAACCCGTGGTTGGGGTTGCAGACACACCAGCGCTTGGAGAAGGCCACTAGTATCCGATCAAGCTGCTGTGTTTCGGCACGCAAGACGAGACGGTCGCATACCTGCCGCAGGCTGTTGAGAATGCTCCGCTCTGCGAAGTCGTACAATTCCATGTAGGCCTCAAGAGTACGCTGACGTACGGGACCTTCCTCGCCCATCCATGCGGCCGCACGATCTTTTTGGATGAAATCCTCGTTGCCGTCGTACATCATCTGTGCCTTCTTCCGGTCGTCCTCGGTGATGTCCCCAATGCTCACTTCGGGCTCGTCCAGTGGAGAACCCATGGTCGATGGGCTGGGTTCCGCCGTGTCTATCCTCACGCTGGGCAAGCTGGCCGCAGAGCGAGGTGTATTGTTGCCCGAAGTCGACGTCTTGATCGAAGTCTGCTGGCTCTGGATGGGAAGTCCCAGACTAGAGCATCGCGCCTTTTCTTCCTCGTCGGTTGAGTTGGGCTGTAGCAGTAGGCTTGGTGACTTCACGGGCATGGGGAAGTCCTCTAATCTCGGCTCGTCGATGGATGCATAGGACTCAGGATGCTCCTTGGACGGAAGTGGTGGCGATGCAGGGAAAGCGCCCGGTACGCGCTGGCTTTCTACACGACGAAGTTCGTTGGGCTGCTTGTCAGCCTCGGTATCGCTGTTGTCCTCAAAAAATGTAGTCTTCTGCGTCAATCGAGGCCGCGCCACAGGCACTTTGGGAGGTTCGCGGGAAGGGCCGTTTAGTTTAGGCATTTTGGGTGCATTGTCGACCACTGACTCGCCACTGCGTATCACTAATGCAGACTGCGACTTGACGGTTCTAATGGTGGCAATTGGACTAGGCTCATAGTCGGGCGAAAAGCCCCGGCTTTTGCATCTTCTTTCAGCCTCGTTGCGATCTTGAACATCATACTCGGGAGACACAGACCCGCGATCGCGGCGGGGTGCCATTAGCGCACCTGGCGCCGAGGAAGCGCCACCCTTCAGATAAGGGTTCATAACCTGCCGCAAGCTGCTGACAGGGCTTGCCTCGGATCTGTCGACGCCCTTGGCCCTCTCAACGCTTAGATCCATGGGGTCCAGGGTTGCAAGGACATCGATTGGCGGTTGAGGGATGGGCGGGGGCTCAGTGACAGATTTCTTCCGACGCCGGAAAAAGGATGATTTCTTCTGAATGACATGGTGCTGGGAGTGCTGTGAGTCTCTGGATGGTGGGGCAGTCGAGCTGGGCTTCATCTGGGATGCGATGTGTTGAGTTCGAGAGTTGGGACGCTCGACTGTTTCAACTGACGCCGGCGAGACGTGGGCCGAGGTAGTCGCATGATTGAGAGTTTTGCTAGATGACCCGAATACCCTCCTAAAGAATCCCGGTCGTTCCTTTGCTTGCGTAGTGGTAGTAGTGGTTGGGCCGCCGTGCACGGGCTCCTTGTCCTTGGTTTTTTCGTACCCGACATGTGGCGCCGGCGCAGAGTCCGCGTCGACCAAAGGCGGTGTTAGAGGGGGAGGAGGCGGCGGCGGCGGAGGCGGCGGTGGTAGTGGTGCTATGTCACTAGCAAACTTGGCCGCAGCAGCAGCTCTCCCTGCCGTACCGCTCCTTGAACGGATGCTCCTTTTCCTCTCTAAAGCAGGCGACTTGGGCTCCGGCTCCAAGACGGGAGCAGGCGCTGACATCGATGCCATGGGCTGATACGGTCGACGGGGGCCTACGGGAACTGTTGGGGTCGGCGCAGCCTCGTAGTCGTCACTGAGGAATGTATTGGAGAACTCTATGTTCCATGGATTTCCATTCCCATGCCCGTTGGACAAGGTAAGCGACGGTCTTTGTCCGTAATCGAAGCTCGACGACCGGCCACCGATTCCGTGTGCCCAGCGCTGATTGCTGAGAACTTGCGCATAGCCTGCATCGATGCTGTTCGTACTGCTGTTCTTGCTCGTCTTGCCGCCCCTCGAGTGTAATGCGCGGCCACTACTAGACGTCATTGTGTTTCCTCGCTGCGAAGTCGTCTCGCGCATGCTGCTGATGCGTCCTAGGCTCGATTGGAAGCCCGAACTGCTGTTGCTACGTCGCCCCCGAGAGACTTGACTTGATACCCTGCTGGCACCGTCGTCGGTTCCTTCCAAGTCGGAGCTGTAACCATGGGAGTGGCCGTGGTTCTGTGAACTATGCATGTGGGCTGTTGGTCGGGGCATGGACCTGGACAATTCGTCTCCTCTTGATGGACCGTAGCTAGGGCCGTCGTCGAACGGTGACTTGGAAGTTGGCGGAGTGTGAATCTGTCCCAGCGAGAATTGATCGAGCGACATGAGCATGTTAGTCACGAGCGAGTCCCTGGTGACTTGGCGCGCGGGCAAGGAGAGATCGTGTGAATCCCTCACACTCTTTCGGGAGCGATCATTGAGGAAATCTGGATCGTTCTCCTTGTTTGCCCCGTCTACCGGCGTCATGTTGTCTAGATAGGAGTCTTCGAAGTCTCCGTCTCGGCTCGATGTGGTGCTCGATATGGACGGCGGCTGCACTCTAAGCGCCCGGCTCGACACGGGCGGCTTGCCCCTGGCTCTTGCTGGAGGGGTGGAGGGCACTGCATCCCGGTCGCGGTTGGCCTGCGACGATGTGTTTATGTTGAGTTCCGGTCGTCGTCTTTGCGAGCGCGAGCGCCGGTTGTTCTCTGAGTGCATTATGTGTAAGTCGAGCCGTGAGCTGCAAGGGCCGAATCGATTGGCCCGGTTGGAATCGGGGAGGACGAAGACAGTCGGACAGCAGGAGCGACAGCACTACCACCAGTGAAAACCGCCATACAAAACACAACGTGCAAGGTGTAGCCGAAGCATCAATTGTGGTCGAATCGTGTCGTTGTCTTCGGCAGTCGATTGACTCGGCTCGAGATGGTTCGAGGATACGGAGCAGGCAGTCGTGGCACTCGAATTGTTTGGTGCCGTCGGTAATAGCCAAAGGTGGGAGTTCGTTCTGGGTCTAGAGGGAGACTGGGGTCGACCGATTTGCCGGATGGTGACAGCGGCGGTTGACCCAAATGAATGGCGTCCTTGTTGACGGATGGTGTGAGGCAAAATTACCAGTCTAGGTCACCACGGGGAAATCCACCACGGGAAATAGAGTACAAGGCGTAGACGCAACCTGCAAACTTTGGAAGCGTTCCAGGGTTGCGCTTCTTGTCGACCGGGATTTGGTGCTGGTGAGGCACAAGAAGTCAGAGACGGCAATAACTATTTACCCGTCTCAGGCGCGCCGTCTGCCCACTGGCGAGCTATGCCAAAAGCAGCTCTGAAACAGCCAGAAAGGGCAAGATCCGGGTGATAAACTCCAGCTTGAGCTCTCTCACTACTGTTAATATGTCTGGGGGTCAGTGAAGAGATTGTACTCGTTTTGATGACTTCCCAAAAGAGCTGCACTGCATTTTTCAGTGGGTGGGTGCACTGTCGATCGAGACAGGCTTGGCGGGCTACAGACCGGGACCAGGCAGTGGCAACGGGGTGCACTATCAATTGACAGACTTTTGACGGTTCGGGCGATGCGCCGTCAGCAACTAGCCCGTCTGTCTACAACAGATCAAAGGATAACGAGCCACGGATGGTTGTGGACGCTGAAGGTTAATGTTGACTCGCGAGTGCTCATTTGAGATGAACCCTCCCTTGTGAGGTCTAGAAAGCAGGACAGAGTCAGCACGGCTGCCCCAAGTTACCTCGGAAGTTTGTTATCTTAGCAGGTTCTGGTATGGGCCATCGTTAGTGGACACCTAGACAAGATACTGCTGTAAAAGCAAGGAGATTCAATGGAGAATCAGGATTGGCTCAACCTTCCTACGTCGTTGACATTCACGCTATTGTTGGCACTGGAGTGCTCCACGCTGGTTTATTAAATCCGTACTTTAGAGCTTACATCGCAACACTTGTTCAAGTCAGTTTTACGGATCATCCCACGTAATGCACGTCGCAGTTCACTTCATATGCAAAAAGCAACAATCGCTGCCCCAGGGCGTTTTCCATCAACTTTGCAACTCGAGGGATGCCCCCTGAAATCCTGGAATTATGCATTCGCCATTTCCGGAATGTCGGTAATTTGCTGCACGAACATCAACACAAATGAAGTTTTCTTTGCAAGCCGATTACAGGGAGCTCCTTCCCAGAACATGGAGCTATCCGCCCAAGAACAAACCCTCGGGACGCTGGGACTGCAAAGTACGTTGACCCCCACAAATACAAGAGTGAGCCGTTTTCCTTCTCTTCGGGTCCGTGCTTTGTATGGGACGAGCACTTCGTCATCAAATCCATCACGACCCCCTTCAATATGCCTAAAACGTCCCATTGGATAAGGGTTCTCCTCTAACGCAGTGTGGAGAGTCTGTGCGATGTCCATCACGGCGTCATATCGTGATCGAGGGTTAGTGAGGTTGTTCATGTTAGCATGCAATTCTATTCTCGAATGCTCTACCTAGGCTCTACTCAGTACTTTATCCAGTAACCAGAGGGCTGACTCGGTTCAGTTCATCCTACCACGATCTGATAGACCCCTACCGGTCATAGGGATTAAACCAAGCGAGTTAAGGTTTTGGTAAGTGTTCCACCTCAGCCCTTAGCTGCTGCGTTCATGAATTGCTGCAAGTTGTTCCTGCATGATGGCTTATGAGAAAGAAAAGGGGGGCGACGGACTTGGTTATCAAACGGAGCACCACGTTTCGGGCAACAATGCCGAGCTGACGCTGCAGACTGTTGCCACAGCGAACCAATACCTGACTACCACAATTCAACACCCAGGTTTCCTCCGTCGGCACTGGAAAAGCTCCGTCAGTATTTGGGAGGAGCTGAACTCGGCATCGTAGTGGCGCCAAGTGAAGGCACGGACGTCAGCGACATGAGACTGCACCAGGCGTCCCGTCCAAATTCAAATACTTATAGAAGTCGAATGCAGGAACGATGTCTTGTCATAGTTTGACAGGTCTGATGTCTGACTCAACGGGCGACAGGCATTCTATCGCCTGGATTGGCGTGGCAGTAAGGACGGTTTGGGTTCTCATGCAGCACCGCATATTGTGACCCGTGCAACTTGTCGACAGCAGACGAGTCGAAACGCCCAGCTCGACAATGCAACACCATCACAACGAGTCAATCGGTAGTGCAGACAACGCATCAGCCCATACACCCAGGCAGCTATGCAAGCAAGCCTCTTTACGGTCGTTGCACCACTGCAAGGTACGCCTTCCATAGTTGTCGATGCGCCCGTCCGTGCTTCGTGAGAGGAAGTTCGCACACAGACTTGCTTGCGAGAGCTGTAGAAGTTTGACCTACTACTATGTATACGCAGTATTCGCTCAGGTTACTCTTTTCTTAGCTTTGGCCAAGCAGCATGAAGAGGAGCTCTCTTGTGCCGATGGCCGGGCCAGTGATGACCCACCGTCGGCAACTGCCTCCGACTCCAAGCCACCTTCAAGCCAGTCACATATGGCTTTAAGCGTCCATATGCTCAGAATTTCAGACCTGGAGTTGGACTGTCCAATATGCAGATCATTTGAGCTCTGGACCAGGAACATCAAATCTGAAAAGAATTCATAGACGGTCGTCTCGCGCCGTACTGATCCGCGGTATCAACTTCTAGTTGCACCGGTTACATTAAACTCACACTCCGCCTACTGCAGTTGGGACCTGTTCGCATCCTGGTTGTGCTATCGCAGCCGCGGTCATATTTGAGATCAGCCAGCCTTGGAAAGATCATCCCCCAAAGTTCCTCAAGCCATGTTTCAACAATGCAACGTCTACAAGATTCGCGAACACTTCTGGCCACTCTCGCGAGTCCATAGGGAACCCAAAGCGGTAATCACGTCCGGCTGACCCGGCATTGCCCCCTGCCTCAACGGTCGGAGAGCCAAGATCCGCAGCAGGGCCCCGTTGGCAATGGCCCAGAAATCCGACCCCGCGCTTCTGGGATCCGACAGGGATGACTGGGGATCCTGCCTCATGGCCTTCGGTTGGGCGCCGCCCCTTTTCACGTGCATGAATTCAACGGTGAACAACATGCCAAGCATGCGTCTTGATACTGCGATTTGTCGACTTGGAAGGGCACTGCAAGGAGACGAATGAAGGAAATAACAATTGGGAGTTGCCGATGCTTGCATGTCAACAGACAATTGTGACACCTTCTGCAGCGAAAGTAAACGCGTTCAGCCTGTGTCACTTGAGCCTCTATTGTGTGGCTTGTCACGGCAGTTCATCGAATAATATGCACTATCTAAACTATACCAGTATTCCGAAATGCTGGACTTCGCAACTTCATACCCTCAGTCTGTAGAATTGGCGAACACATATTCCAAGCAAAGATAGACTTATCCTAGGATTCATACCCGTGACTCATGAACAACCATTATGCTAAGTAGTATTGGAACTACGTAACAGGCTACAACGAGGATATGAGAGACATCGTCATCCCGTTCTCCTTCCCAAGCTTGTACGTGCCGTGAAATCCAGTCAACAGACCACGCTGTAAATCACATGAGCACAATGCTTGAACATTCGAGCATGTTATGATCACCCCAGATTCATCAGTACTTAATTGTCGATCGCAGACTCGCAGTAACCCACTTGAGGCCGCTTCTGATATATTATTTCCCTTTACGTTCAGTGACGACGGTATATGTATTTCACACAATGTACCGGTCGTGATCATGTCAGACTCGAGACGCGAATCCGCGGATGCAATAGTTTCAAGCGAAGAAGGCAGGGTCATCCACTCGTCTTTCGCAGTGTCTAGCGAGCCTTTGTGCTTCGATACGTGTTACATGTTCACCTACACGTATAGCAAGCAAACCACGAGGCGTCTATTCTATACCATGAAGACGTATCAAACGACTCAGGCTTTGAACTGTAATACTCGGCCTTACTCAACCAACATCCGCCTTCTCTTCCAACTTGCAGATTTTATTGCTTGTCTAACACCGTATTGATGACGGTTCGACGTGTCACCTCGATTTAAGTGATGGTCAGCGTGTTCTTTCACCAGCAGGTCTTATGTTTAATCCGCATGTAGGCTACATTATGGTCCCATCGCGGCCTCTTGACGATACAAATCGCGAAGAATTATGGTTTCAATAATCTGGTATCGCTGTTTTCCTCTAGACGATAAAAAGTGCGTGGATGGAAGTCCCCCGCTGGTAACTAAAGCAAGCAAGTCGAAGGTCTGACATGGGATTCCGCGGTATATCCTGAGATATTCCTCGAATTCAGAATCAAAAATTTTCTTCATATTCATTTTGGTAGATTAACAACAAGTAGACCTTTTTTGTCATTCCATTCTTAAATATCTGATACCGATCTCCCTGAATCGATCGAACATGCGAAGTAGTCTCCGTATGCGATTACTATGAGTTCCTCTCGAGGCGTTCCTCAAAGTCCCTCACAGCGTCAGCCTGCATTTTCTTCCAATCAAACTCGGTGACTTTCTCATATCGCCAAGCAAGGTCCTCCTTCATCTTAACGGAGTCATTTCCAATCACAGGATCCTCCCAATGATAGAGCTCGCCCAGATGACGACTACTTTGCACAACCCACTGCGAGCGCTCGCGTCTTACGGCATCGTAGGCGAGAAAAGCCGCAGCCAGAACCTTTTGCCTACTGTTTGTGTTCTCCGGGCTTTGCAGTTTGGATGCAGCGCTCTCTAAAATAACCGCGAGGGCTAGGCTATCTTCGATGCCTAGAGTCACACCGGCAGCGCTGTGAACTATAGTCAGTCATCCAATGCAAGGACAACACCACACTGGGGTGAAGAATCAAAGAAAGAAAACCTACTGATGGGTAGACGAAGCATGCGCCGCATCGCCCGCTAAACAAACCCGTCCATATGCATAACACTCCAGGGGATGTTCTGCCGTATCAAACATCCCCCAACAATCCAACTTCTCTGGCAAGAGTTCAACCAGGGCCCTCACACTCTCCCCCCACTCAGCAAACGCCAGCACCACATCGCTTTTACTCGCCGGGGCCGTCATCTTGATCTTATCCCCTTCCCATTCACCGGGATTGCTTAGAAAGGCGAGGAAATTCAGCAATGTCCCGCCGGCGATGGGATACCGAACAATGTGCGACCCGGGTCCAAGCTCCATCACCAACCCGCGGCCTGCGGAGTCGCCTATCGCAGTCATAGCACGGCCCATGGGGATGAGCCCGCGGTAGACGCTCATGTGGGTGTACCCCGGGTAGGCGGCCGGGTCGTTGGGGCTGAGGACGAGTTCGCGGATGCGGGATTTGATTCCGTCGCATCCGACAACTAGATCATGTGCTGTGAGATTTTCACCCTCTCATAGCAGGGAAAAGGTGTATACATACCCGCGTCAGCCTCCGCGGTGGTCCCATCCGCAAAACGCAGCACTATCTTTTCATCATTATCACCCTCACGTTCGGGAGTAACAATCTCCTCCACCCTCTTCCCCAACTTCAACACCCCCTCGGGCAACAACCCCTCGAGCGCCGTCACAAGCTGCGCCCTGAGACAAGCCGGCAGACCTCCCGAGCCGAGCTCGAAATCATCATGGGATCCCTGATTCTCACCCGCACCATCACCATCGCCACCACTGCGGGACTTGCCATAATAACTCCTCCCATTCACAAATTGAATCTTCCCCTCGCCAAGCACACGGACCTTGTTGAACGTCTCGGCGATAAGCGGGTCTAGCTCATGCATGTATTCCACGCAGGGCGGCATAAATGCCAGCCCGGCGCCGATTTCCCGCCGCGGGCCGGCTTGCTCGTAGATGGTGGTGGGGATATTTCGTTTCAGGAGGGCGAGGGCGAGTTTAAGGCCGATGACGCCGGCGCCGATGATGGCGATGTTGAATGGGGCCGGAGCGGGGTTCGTCATGATGATTTAGTTGCTCAGGTATAGTGTTGTATCCAAGTACTATTTAATCGACTTGTCAAGAGCACTGGACAAAATAAAATCCTTGTGGTGGGTGCTCAGCAAGTCCCTATGTTTGTGCGTATAGTACCTTCGTTAACATAGACGCAAGAATCATCCTATCTATATACCAGGACCTCTCCCAAGTATTGCCCCACAAATGCGACTGCCATAGAAGTTCAATCTGCGATGTGGAACGCAGCATCCTATATAACTATGTGCTAAGAGGAGAAAACTCTAAATCAAAGTCAATATCGCATTGCTGGACTGGCGCCCGGGGCCGGGTCGTCCAACGATTCCCGGGCAATCCGGGAGCACAAGCGTCAACCTAACGGAACGTCTTTTCATAGCTGTTTACTCGGTGCTGCGTCGCTGGATGCTAGAGTTGGGTGCTTGTGTATCTTCACGGTCGCGCGAAGTTGTGAGCGCGGCGACCATGTTGTATCAAGTGGGTATCTGAAGAATGAAACATGCCGAGCCACCTAACGCCAAGATCCATAATGTCCTGACTCCGTTTATGGTACTACGAGTCGCCATTCTCCTCGCCTTGTTCCTCAACCTGTCCTTGACCATTCCAACCTCTCTCCACCTCAACCATTTCCCGACACATCCTCAAAAACCTCTCCCGATACTCCGAGCTCGTCGTCGTGACGCTCATGGGCCCTTGCTCATCAATCACATTGTAGCTCTCGATCAGCCCCGTCATGGCCTTGGCGTGCGCCGTGTGCTTCGCCCAGAAGAAATCCAGGATAGCCGCCCGGTACACGCTCTTCCCATCGCTGGATTTGATGCCGGTGCGCCAGGTCGGAAGTCCCGGAGGGGCGAACGGTGGTTGTGCGGGTGGAACGGGCTGGCTGCTCGTCTCGCCCGACTGGAGGTCTGGCTGGGCTTCCGAGTCAGGCGCTACTTCTGCGGAGACCCGGACAAGAAAGAGGGAGTAGTCAACAGCGTTGCAGTTGGCGAGTAGCTTGGTATCCTTCTCAAGTTGCGCCTTGAAGTCCTCGGCATCGTTAAGACTGAGGTAAACTTTGTCGTCAAACTTGTCCGCAAGCCGGGACTTGGTAGCCTCTGATGCGAGGGCACCGCCCACGACGTCTCGTTCCGGGTAGAAGTAGGAAGTTGGCTTCAAATCCCATGATTCCCACTTCGCCTGGGGTCCTTCGTCGGAGTACTGATCCTGCCCGTACAGAATATTCTCCATGACAATGTGGTGGCTCGGCGCGAGCCCTAGCAGGGTGCCGATGCTCTTTTGCGTGCACTCAAGGAAGTCGGTGATGCGAACCAGCAGGCTGGACGGCTCGGCGTGCATGTGGTCTACATACGGCAGCAGCATGTCGTTTTTGAAGAACATGTGCTCGAAACGACGCGGGACCGACTTGACTACATAGGCGCTGTCACTGGTGCGGTAGAAGGTCGAGCCACTGTACCCCATGTCGCCCATTGCGTGCAGCGAGTCAATCTTCTTGTTCCTGTCATACTTGGACTCCGAGTCGAAGCTCGCCTTGTAATCTTCGTCTCTGATTGCCCAAAAGTCTCGAAGTGCGCTGAAGAGATCCTCCCGAACGAGCTGGAATGTTAGCCAGTAGAGGTTGAAGAGGCCGAAGATGCGCGCCAAGAGGGAGGGATGGCGCTTGGGTTCCCCGTCGCGGTTCGCCGTCAACAGCGAATAAACGATCGAACGTGCGATCAAAGTCTCCCTGCGCGCCATTCTGGGAGATTTCTTCGTTCTATGAATAAGTAGCGAAGAACGGGATTATGAATTTATGAGGCTGTGGCATTTGCTTGCGGCGGATTTTGGTTTCGACGTCGATGCTCTGGCGGAAGGAATGGTCCGCAGGCGTCATGATATGACGTCAGTGCCATGCAGTGGTACCTAACACGGGTCTAACACCTCTGCCCTTCAGGTAAAAGTACTAAGGTTAGAGTCTTGTCGACAAGAGCTTCTAGAACTGATGAGTACTTCTCCATGAATAACTTTGGGGTTTCAAGGTTCCATCACCGGAAACGCCTTGAGAATAGTGCGAAGTCAATGTCTATGGGATGTTCTTTGAGTAAGTGCTTTCATTCCGTTGTTTGTCTCAGTGTGGCCCATCACCGTTGCGCGCTTGCAGTGCTCTTACATGACATGCGTACGCTGGTGCTGGCAGCGCCTGGAAAGAAGTAACATGGTGTCGGAAATGGATAGCTAGTAAATTATGACTACATGACAATATGGAACCAAAGAGGGTTTTATTGTCTGGTTTTATGTGTTTATATCCCCACAGCGAGCAACAGAGTTGGGAGTATTTGTGTAACTTCCGGGGGTTGTCTCGGTACGCTGGCGGCGCCCGCTGATACGGGGCTATAACTTCATGCTCCATCGCTAACCTCCCTGCCCTGTTTGTTGACCAAAGCTCGCCTGATACGCCTCGCTCTCCATGTTGAAGACGAACATAATGACCGAGATGAACTCCTTGGGGTTCATCAAGCTGTTCCAGGGCTTGATGCCGAGGAGGCCACCATGGCAGCTGAAGCGACTCTGTTCGCTGTCGTCGTTGCTGGCTACCTGGGGCAGCGGGCAGGGTGCATATGAGGTGAGACGGTAGGGAGTAACGCTGTAGGCGCAGCGTAGTGGAAGGCGATGGAAAAGAAGACGAGGGCGATGCAGATGACCATGAGAGAGATACCGACTTGGACGTCGGCTTAGGTAAATTCGGAAGAGATTTGTAAGGGGGAGTGGGGTCGACACCTTGGAGAATGAGGTAGATGATCTGTGGGTTTGGTCTGGCCGTTTTGCGATGGGTCCCAGACCATAGATGAGAAAAGTGAAGGGATATTGAGAAGGCGGGACATACCTGCAGCAGAAAAGTCAAACGCACGATGACTTTAAACGCAAACAGCTTCTGCAGGGCCCGATGCGGTTTATACTCCTCAGCCTGCACCTTCCAGACTCGAATGACGGCAATAACACCCAGGGGCAAAGAGAACATATGGACAATATTCAATCAGATGTGGCCGAATTCCTTCCTCCGGTTCGTCTCGCAGTATAACTTAGCCGCCTCGTGATATCCATGAATACCTCCACTAGGTTCGCCACAATGGGATACTGAAAAATGAATATCCACGCCTTGCTCCAGGGGGGACGGCTTTGCTCACCGACTCGCCTAGCTCCTTCTGGCGGCTGATCATGGGCGCGAAGGTGTCTCATTGTTTGTTGGAGGGATTCGCGAGGAGGTGGCAGAACAGCAGCAAGAAATAGGACAGGGCGAAGGCTTGCGCGGTGTCGAGCCAGGGTTGGCGGTAGACGTGCGCCTCAGGTGCAGAGATGCAAATCCAGGAGCCAATGGAGTAGATGGGGATGAAGGCACATATCTTCAATGTTCTAGATCTTGTTGTTAGTATTCGGCAGGTGGTGGAACGAAGGAAAGAAACCGACTCCGCCTGTTCTTTTGATCGACTGAAACTGAAATGGGTTGCGTGGCGAAACATGAGGACGAGGATGTTGATGGTTGCCAAGGCGGCGCAGGCGCCGGATAGGATCATGTGATCTGTTGGTGCTCCAGCAGGAGAGTTAGCTGTGATGTCGGTTGGCCATCAAGAGAATTTCTCGTGTACTCTGCATCATGGATGGAGCATCACAAATATGCTTGTCATCGCTCAAGGCTTCTTTCCAGTGAAGGTGACTCATCTGAGAATATAAATATGTATGAAGAGGCCTGAAGATGAACCAATATCAATGGAAGTATGGTTTGCTCAAAACAGCATAATGCATTTCGTGATGAGTGAACAGAATGCGATGATACGTCTCGTACAAGCCGTGGGAAGGCATGGGGATCACGGAGATAACTCAGCTTACCCTCTTGGATATCACCAAAATGGTGAGTAACAAGCTCATTTACAGACGTCGCTATTGACCGATAGCAGTAGGTCAAGGACGTCTATTTTTTTTTTTTTCCTTTTGAGCTCTGTGTCAATTTTGACCGATAATTCCGAGCTTTACCAAATCACACCAAATTCGGAACTATCTTTCAAAGTTCAAATATAACGCTTAGAAGCATGTAACGAAGAAGTCAGAGTCGGCTTCGCAGCCACAGCCATTTTCAGAATCTGAAGACTCGGCGGTAATGGCGACGATGGGGCGGTGGTTGAGTGGTCAGCTGGCAAATAACGGCGCCAGCAACAGCTCGGCATGAGGACCCCGAAGGCTAGTTTGTCAATTATACTCAATGTATTCGAATTTGGCGGAGAATAGTATGTCCGAACATGCCAAACTAGTTATCCGATTTGGTCGATTCTGTCGCGGGTATATGCTATCCTGTTCGCGACCACGTACAAGCCCCCATAGCACTTACGAACTGGCTGCACCTCCAACCTGACTTATAGGGAGGTTGTTGCCGAACTGGGGTATGTGCACTTATTTTTTATGTAGTATATATATTTATTGAGGAGCTACTAATAATCTGGCGCATATTACTAGTATTCGGAAGTACTGTCAAAAGTGACATACTATAGTACAGCTGTAAAAGGACAAGCAGACGTCCTTAACGCAGTGGGTTAAATCGCCGTTTTTGGGCTTGGCAAGCAGGTCTAGCAGCCTTTGTAAATTGTTGGAAATATGACTTCCCTTGTAACGATATGATTGATATTGCGACCCCTCATTATATATTATATACCTGCAAGCGGATGTAGCGAAGACACTGCAGGATGCTGGGCGCAGATATTTTATAGCTTCAAGCCGGTCTGACGCTGTTATATAGCACACGCCTGGAACCAGCCACATGTTGCATAGCATTTGAGACGACGACGATGCACACTTTGCGTCATCTATCGTACATCTTGAATATGTATTGAAAATTTCAGATTCGCTACATTATAGGCTAAGATATATCGACTGTGCCGTGCTCCAGTAATAGCAGTAGCCCTCAAAGACCACTTCATGATCATTGCGTTTATTCCGTTGTGTCAGCAATATTTAGTATCTAGTACTGCACTCGCTTGGAGATACACAGGTGTCCGAAATGCACCTGAAACAGCGCTGGAGGCGGGGTAAACTCCACCTATGTAGATAGTTCAGATTGTCCAGACAAGCAGCATGTAGAGAATCGAACCTCACTTCCAACCCGAAATTCTACACCTTGTCCAAAAACAGCTCGGAATCTCCGATTCATTCAATCGGTTCATTCAACTTCATCGCACCCGAACTGCGGTTCTCAACCATACAACTTAATCAAATGCCTCCACCACGAGCGGGTCATACGACGCATTTCCATACGCACTACCCCCAAACTCCAAATACCCGTCAAGATAAGGCTGCGGAATTTCGGTGAGGATATCGGTGGCATTGCCAAAGACCCAAACGGTTTGCATGCCTATAAGTCCAGTTCGTCAGCTCAACACTCACATCTCACACCTGTTTCGTTTCCCCTCCTCCAGCTACGTCTTCCTTCCTTCCACAGCAAGAGAGCAAACAAAGAGACCAAGTACTCACCCATAATCATATGTCCCAACACATGACAGTGCATCATCCAAGCCCCAACATCATCTTCTGTAACCCTAATCCTCCACCCCCTCCACCCACTCGTAGTCTCCGGCGCGTCCTTGGTCACATACCGATACAACTGCGTCGTATCTCTCTTCGCGGGTATATACCCATTCTCTTGGAACTTCGCCTCATTCGCCACGGGGTCATAAGTCCCGTTGCCTGACCCCAAGTCCCAGTAGTGCGGCCCATGCGCGTGCATGGGGTGGTTGTCGTACCCGCCTGTGGGTCCCGAGTTGCTTAGCCAGATGATGTCAAGAACTTCGCCGACGAGGGCCGGGAAGGCGCGCGTGGCTGGGTCCCAGCCGTTGTTGGCGAGAGCGGCGTCGTAATCCGGTACCTGGCCTGTCTTGTAGGCCGTGATCAAGTACGGCTCGAAGTGTTGGGCGGCGAGCGTGGTTTCTTGCCAGGTTAAGTTGTTGTTTCTTTGGTTTTGTTAGTCCGAGGTAGCGTGGACTGGATATATATGAATGTGTAGGTAGGGAAGAGCGGGGCTGACTTACACCCATGCAAACGCGCCGTTGATAGTTCCGTTAAAGAACCCATCCACCATGCGTTGGCGGACAGTGATGTAGACCGTCCGCGTGACTTCGCTCGCTGTTGGGAACACATCCAATGGAGCCAAGGTCTCGAGAGTGTACTCCATCCAACTTGTGTATTCCGAGACGTTCCGAGTCAAGGTAACAGGGGACGTCACTGGCAGGTCGGGCAGCAGACTGGGCAGCAGCAGTTTGGGCAGCAGGCCGGACAGCAGATTTCTCCTCTTCGTCGTACGGTTAGTCGCATATGAGGCGGTCTTGTACTCCAGCAAAGCATAACCTGAGATGTTGGTCGGCCGATCCCGATTCTCATACCGGATCCAGTAGGACGTTTTGCCCTCCGCATCGAGCTGTTCCTGAGTCTTCGTCTTGAGCAGAGCACTGAAGCGTTGACCACTGCCGATTTGGATGTGGTCCGTTGTTGCCGGCTTGGTGTACTGCCCATCAGCCTCGATTATGGTCAGTTCGTCGTGACCCTCAATGCCAACCATTACAAAGGACAATGCCGTAACGCCAACGAATCGGAGTCGGTACGTCTTGCCTGGCTCAACGGTTATTACCTCCGGCGTGCACGATTCATCCGTCGCGTCGCTGAAAGATGTAATGCCCGACTTCCCGTTCAGATCAATTGCCGCCGGCTCTCCCGACCACTTAAACGGGTTGGCGATCAAACCCGCTTCGATATGCTCATCCTCGCTTTCGTAAACATCACCAAAGATGAATGGTATGTCGTCATCGTATGCGTACGGCGTCGTAGCATTGCTGGGTCCGTCAACGATCAGCAGCCCATGGGCTGTCACCTCTTGGAAGCCGACGTGCGAGTGATAGAAGTATGTCCCAGCGTCGCCTGCCTCTGGGTGGACCTCATAGTCGAAGAACTCCATGGGTGCAATAGGCCATTGTGACACTAGTGGGGCACCGTCCGCGAAGGGGGCGGTCCTTAGACTGAGCCCATGCCAGTGCTGGAGGAGTTTTTTGTCAGTACTGCCAGTATTTTTGGACGGTGTGGCTGGTAATTCAACATACAACCGTAACATTATTGTCGGGAATGTTATTGTAAACGCGAACCCAAGACGTCTTCCCTTCTTGCATGTACAGCGGTGGTCCAGGGGTAGTGCCGTTGAAGACGACCGAGTACCTCGACTCGCAGTTGATGGTCACGTTCTGCGCCGTTGCGATGAGTACGTATTCCGGCTTCCATGTCTCATCGTGAGGGACACTGTTGAAAACTGCACAACATGCAGGCAATAATCCGCTAAGAACACATAGAAACAACAGTCTATCAAAGTACCACCTCATCTTGGCGTGTGCTGAGGCGAAAGTGACGGCGAGAATGCTAGTAGATTCTCTCGGTGGGTTTTCCCATGTCGCCCCTACTCAGATCTTATATAAGCTGGAAGCGGCACGATGATGGTGAAGAGACATGGCGGTTGGTGACTGATTGGTCTTGGCGGTAGACAATTTGGAAGATCACCAGTCTAATATCGCCCACCGTTGCACCAGCTGGCCGGCCCCCTACAGAACAAGTGCTGGTGCTGGTTGGACGACGTTGCCAAGCAAGCGAACTTAGTACTAGGTCGCATGGCGGTGGATACGGTTATGGCGCAGGGCTCATCCTTTCCGAGAGAGTCCCCAGTTACACTAGGAAATCGACACAGACACTTCACGCATGAACTTCCACTCTGATATCTGATTGGACTGTTAAAACTGCCAGAACAGTTCCGCCAAGGGGTGGTTATGGAGCCCTTTGGGAGCTTGATGCAGGCAGCACTTACTGCCGGACCCATGCCGGTAGACTACGGCGGATTGTGTTGGCGCCGGCCGCCTCAAATGCGACCTATATTTCGTGTAACAGGCCCGATCGTCTTAGATTCCGGGTGTAAGGGAGAAATACACGAAAGGGGGTATCTGTGTGATTCTGGGTGCCCCAGGAATCAGAGGAGGCAGCCCAAAAGGAATTATTTCAGGAACAAAACTCAAGCCTAGAGCTGTGAAGCTTTCAGCTTAATTATAACTTTCGGCACCTGTTCCATGCCTTTGTCTTGCCCTGAAGACGATCCAACGAGTCCGAGATTCCGGCCGCTCGGCTACACGCAGATTAGGTGAATTTGAGACCAGTGGTCTGACGGCGAACCAATCCGAGGGTGGGCCGCACATATTACGGCGTGTCAGATGGTTATGTCTAGGTCCCCTTTGCCTGCGGAAACGCCGGCAAGGAACAAACTTGGTTTTGAGATGCACCGTGCGGACAGCCGTCTAGCCTGCTGATCGCCAACTAATATAATGATTTGTTCCGCGACAGCTGACAGAGTTAAGGATGCTTGACGGCCACTGGTGTTTTATTTAGTTAGACAACTGACTCGCTAGCCGATTCTAGGCTTGGCTTTGAGCCTGAGTAGCTAAAGTTTCCCGAAAGTTCGGATGCTCCACAGAGGACAGTCGATAGTGCAGGAATAGACTTTCGCACCTGTTGCCCCAATTACATCGGCCAGGCAGAATATTCCACGACAGCTGCAGTGGAGGTTGAGCTCGACGCAGCAAGTGATACTCCGGATATTTATGGTGATACCAGAGTAAACACGAGGTAGAGGACGACCACCCAATTGGATTGTTTCCGATGTTTCCTAAAGGCGCGCGCACACAGTAATGCGCATCCACAGACGAATGGAAGCGCTTCATGACAGCTAATTCCCATGGCACATATGGAGAACACGACCGAGTGGGAACAACCTTGATCAGCTTCAGAGCGGCGGGGCTGACTGAAGGTTTGGCCCTGACTACATCAGCACTAAGCAGCCAGCACCAAGAAATAATCAAATAACCTAGGTATATTAACTTGATCCCGTGATCCAGGGAGGGTCTTGGAAGGTGATTTCCTCGATGCCAATCTTTACATTGGTGGAAAGTCGTCTGAGAGGACGCTCTACCTCCTCGTGCCGAAATAATCCATATCGGTTGGGAATTAACAACTTGCCAAACCAGGCGTAATCTAATTACTTCCCGCTGGTTATCGTTTCCTTGCAGGAAGTCCGTTACTTTGGCGTGTTTTGGATGTCATCTTGGCTGCAATTAGCCTAGAGCCTCGGTGACATGAACTATCCACAGATAAGGGCTTGGTAAAGGTCTAGTAGCATACTCACTAATACGAAAGTTGTGTAGTTTTCACTTCTCACTCGGGACGTCCAGATATACCTGTTTGGGATCTCGGTGAAGTCAGTGATGCCAAAAACTGGCTATGCTCATTTGCTCTTCAAATTTGCCTTGCATGCGGTCGGACAACGCGCCGGCACTATACAGAGGCCTGCGCGCCTGCCAAAGAAAGCGTGAACATGCCGTGACATATAAAAAATAATATTAAATTCGCCGTAGGTGTTAACCCTCGGTACCTCTACAAGTACTACTCCCTTAAGGGGCTATAGATGATATAGCGGGCCCTTAAGCCGCGTCGGGCGGTTATACAGGTAAACTTGTAGCCAAACGACTACTAAACCTCCTGTCCCTCCCTAAGTCTGTGCTACAACCCCTGCCTGAACTACCGATAAGCGTGGTAATGTGGCACTTAAATTCGTCCTCAGGGGTGGGATGCTGCTGATGGCAGAAGATGCTCGACTATTTTTTGTCGCGACAAGTCGTAGTATCTGCTAATTGGGGTTCTCGTCGAGCGTATACATCTCAACCATACGCTCAAGTGGATAGACCGTAACGTGGTCTAGACGCTCGCAAGAATCGCGGCGAGAGGGGGTCCGATAAGGGGTCGGATTAACGATTCGAATTCTGGACCGGCTGTCGAGTTATATTCCGCCGACGTAGTGCTTGACGGTCGACTGGCTAGGATGCTCGTAATCCTAAACTGCACCAATCTCCCTATTATCGCTAGGTAGGCGAAGTCAACAAGGTGGGCAGCGCGCCGTAAGGGTTGACTAAACCCCCTTGTGTGTCAGCTGCGGGATTCGAACCCGCGACTCGTCACCGACCCAAGTGGGCGAGGCTCAAATCGGGACTTGTCTACCAGCGAAGTGACCAACTACACCAGCCGACCGTGAGATATATATTGGCTCATTTGGGGCCTCGCAAGTACGATCAAGCTTGCAATACCAGTAGCGGTTCATACCAACGAGAAGCCACAATATGTAGAAAGGATCGAACACTTCACATACTAACACGTGTCAGACCTTATAACTACCAAAAATACCTAATTCTACAGCGAGTGGGTCCCTCGTCTTTTGACAGTCAATTTGGTCCAACAACACGAAAGCTGATTGTCAGATATGGTTCGTGCATAGCCACCACCACTGGGTCCAGCCCTCCAGCACTAGCCTAGATTTCTTATCCACAACAGACTACATCCGTCCGTCTCACTGTGTGCCCAAACACTAATTTACCTCTGCCCGTCAATCGGATTTTCTCTATATCGCTGGTTCGTCTTGGAGGGCTAAACTGCTTTCCATTTTCAACTCTATCGCTACCAATAACTACCTTAGTCCCCGCATCTCTCTTGCTACTATCAAACATTGAACCCTAGCGCCCGGTTTATCTTATAGTGTCCGCGCTCTTGCATTTCTCAAGCAATGAAGGCTGCTGCCGCTGCTATACATGCCGTGCTTTGGTCTCCACTTGCAGATCATCTCAGCCATTTTGGTTGTTAGGTGGGTCCTCGTAGTATGGTGAATTGTGGAAGTGTTTGTTGGTTGACCTCAATTCTGTAACTTGGTGATTCGTGTCTGCTTTGTGGTTGATGATGATAGAGGAAAGGCAAGGATTTGGCATTGTAGGATACGCGCTTTTCATACAGTGGGGATTGGAGTCATTCTCAACAGCGGAAATGTTACGAGTCCGAGACGATCTTCTTTAATCAGCTTGAGTGACACGAAACACTCTGGATAACTTGGTGTACGAGGCAAGCAGGCGATCCGAAGCTGTATGGAAAATCATCCAAGAGTTTCAAGTCACCTCCTGGGCCAGCCCTAAGTGACAGGGACAAGGCATGATGGGTTGCTTCTCGACCAAAGGAGACAGCTTACAACCATCGATAGAATGTAACAAAGCCTCACAAAGTAGTTCACTAACAAAGTTTCTGGTGTAAAACTGTTACAACAATATCAAAAACATGCGAACAATGTGGGCCCCTAGCACTTCGACATGGGATGCCTTTACTAATGTTGAGAAACATCGACGTCTGGGTTATATTGGAAGTTGTACGAGATATTCTATGCAATTGTAACCAATTACAGCATGCACCAAACTTGGATTCAGTGCGCTAGAAATGCGGAGTCATTGGCATCAACTGCTTCGAGGCGTAGATTCTTTTAGGAGCAAGACCAATATGGGATCATTCAACATAGAGTAAACAGCAGCATCCCGCATTCTCCATGCCTAGTCTAAAATAGCCAGATAAACAGCGTTCACGTGCGAAGCTGGGGATTGGGTTCTCACGCACCTTCATAGTACCAATACAGCCGCTAGTACTTGGATCCCGACAATTAATCATAAACCCCAGCTAGTTACAGGCCCACTTTCCATGTTTGGATATGTTCACTGCAAGGTGGTCAATGTCATAGACCGCCGGCCACAACAGGAAAGCAAGCATTTGATGGTAGCTGTACAACATCATAGTCGGGTGGATTACTGAAAGCGTTGAGACAGGCTGCATTGTGGCGGGCGAAACCGGCATAGGGGTGTCCAGTTTCCCTGCAAATCGAGTAGACAGCCAGAGAATCAACAAAAAATAAACAGGAAGAGGCGGGAAACCCGGAAGTTAAGTCCTTGTCCTAATCTCTCAAGACCTTCCATAATCATTCGTTTAAACGGAGCAGGCGGCAGTAAGAGTCTCGAGGTACAAATGCTTACACTTACGTCACCAGTGCAGCCAAGTACCCCGCGAGATTTGTAATACAGTGGAATGCTACTTCGCAGTACGCTCAGAATGAACCCTTCGTCCCCGGACATCAAAACCTGAACAATCACCATCTTTTCCATACGTCGCTGTTCACTTCAAGCCCACACGCAGCATTGAAATTCAAAGTGATCACAATGGCAGCCAACTTTCCGCCTGAGTCCCTGCGTGAGATTATAAAAGAGGTAGTCGAACTGCTCAAGCAACGAAATGAGACTGTCTCCGTTGCAGAAACAGTAGGTGCAACTTCTCCGCGTCATTTCGTAAGCATCATTTACTGATTTCTCTCAAATCGAAGGCTGCAGGCGGTCTCATCTCTGCCACCCTCGTCGCCTGTCCCGGCGCATCCGGGTACTACAAAGGCGGCCTGACACTCTACACTCTCGAGTCCCGCATCGCCTTCGCGGGATGGACTCAAGAGTCTCTCAAGGGCTACGCAGGGCCGACGCCAGATATTGTCGCCGGGCTCGCCGATCACACGCGTAAGACGCTGGGCAGCACTTACACTGTGTTGGAGAGCGGCACCGCGGGACCGACAGGTGGTCAGACGCGGAACAGGAAGCCGGGGTATGTCGCATTGGCTGTGAGCTCTGAGCAGGGCACTGTGACGAGGGAGGTTGAGACGGGACTTGGAGGGGATCGGGAGGCGAATATGGTAAGATTTGCGGAGGAGGGGTTGAAGCTTTTAAGAGATGCTATTAAGGGTGGCGTGAAGCTCTAGTGACTGACGGGAGTAGCTCAAGCTTAGAAAAGGGCATTAACTGTAGCAGTTTATTGTAAGAATTGTTCTGACAGATTGAGCGGCGTAACATAGAAACCTACGTCGCATCACGCTCCCAACTCGTAAAAACATATAAATATAAGCTAAACTAGGGAGCCAACAATTCTTTTCCCACACAATATGAGAACCCGAAATAGAGCACGAAGAACACAGGACAAACGAACATATCCTAACCAACTAACCAAAACCACCCACCATGTCCAGATTCTCCTACCATTACCACGTCTACCGCCAAAACCCCTACTCCTAGTGCACCCGATCCGGCCACCTGGTGAATCAAGGTGTGATACTGCTCGCCCAAATCATCCTGGAGAGAGTAATCCATGGGATAGCCGGTCCAGTAATCCCACTCATCTAGCATCTGTTCCAAGCAGCTTATGTATATCGGGCGGTTCGACTTAGTGACAAAGATAAAAACTTCCGCAGAAGACTCCGGCAACAGCTCCTGAAGTAGGAGACAGCACTGCCATTTGAAACGAAACCACAACGCTATCATGCCAATTGTTCACATGTTGGCAAACTATACCCAGATTCAAAGTACTACAACTTCGAAATCGCCTTCTATGAGCAAAAATAAGGCTTCTTATAGGGTTGAATATCGGACTCGGTATTCTTGGTTCGTTGGGACGCTTTCCATCCTTCTGTCGTCGAAAACCTAGAGGCCGTCGAGGCCGACCATCACGGTCTGGCACGGAAACTCGATTTCAATCGACAGGCGCCTTCCCTCAAGCGCCCGTCCTCAGCCGAGGACGAGATGCCGGTATTTTCGACACTTTCTTGAACTAGCGACATTCCGGCGGACATCCGTTCCGAGTCAGCCACAAATCCTCAATTGTGACACAAGCGGGTTCGATTTCCACAACAGAAGTTGCAAAACACTTGATTGATTGATTGATTGATTGAAATTTAACGTCTCATCACGTGAGACGTGCCGGGCGCAGTGCCGGCATGGTCTATGCTAGTCGAATCTATGTTACAGGGGACTGTCTTCATCTAACATTCCTGTTCAGTGCGATGGGCAGATCTCAGTAAAGAAATTGGTCTCCTCCGCCCATTGACAAAACAAACGAGCTCCCTTGGCCGTGCCTAGGAGGGAATCTATACTATTCTTGGCCATATGCGCTTGGTAGTAGTGCAAGTGGGCGCGAGCGCCTCGGAGTTAATACCCTGGTCACGTGATCGGTCCTTTGTAAAGGATAAGGATGTGACTACCCACTAGGTCGCTACTGATTTATATGTGTGTATTTGCACTTAACCCTGGAAGACAAGCTACGAACCTACTTCGATTTCTGAGAGCTTCGTCCACTGAAGCAATGCTTCTGCTCGCGCGTTAGAATGGGTAATGTAACTTGGCACATACTCTGTACAGTCATTAGAAGTTACTAAACGACAACTGCCTACTAACGCCCTACACAAACTCTTTGCCACAAATTGGTGCTAGCATATCACGTAAAGTAGCTAACGCTGCTTTTCTTTCCAATAGCTGGGTTGAGGCAAGAAGTCAAAGTATGGTGCGACGTCATAAAGGATGTGACATGAGCTGATCCAGTAGCCAGCCTGAGATCCGGGGAATAACCCAATCCACGAGCAAAGAATGGTGCCAAGTCACCCGAGTCTCCAGCCGCGTCTGGAAAGCTGTAATGCGCAATATGAGCTGGGCTCTTGGTCACTGTGTAGCCTCGCATCCGTCGAATACGCCATCGAGCTCTTTGGTGCTTGGCCGGCCGGTGGTGTGTTTTAGAAGAGCAGTGAGCTTGATTGTGTACTGCAGTACACTTGTCAGTGTACCAGTTTATTTGGTAAAGTGTCATATAAGATTCACCTTATGAGCTGAATCGCCCACGAGCACAACTCTGCCTTACATCCACCAAGCTCGGATGACGCCTTCTTCCAACGAAGCCGTGTCGAAGCTCGTACAGGCATCCCATAGCTCCTGGAACGTGTAGCCTGGGCCTACCTGAAAGTAGCCATATTTGCGTACGGCACTGTCGGCATCGGCTTGGGAGTAGTAGGGAATGCTGGGTGTGGTTGTGGTCTTTTCAGACCTGAATAGAATGTCCAGAAGATCTGCCCGGGCATACTCGCCGTAGAGGTGCCAGAGTATTCCGATCCAAAGAAATTCATGACATCGACTCCCTGACCAGATGATGTTTGCTCTCTCGTGTGTCTCGTCTGTTGTCAGCGGATGCGTAAAAACAGTCATATTCTGCTGTGAAACCTATTGTTCACCTGTGAGGATCGTTACAAACATCTTTATTTTCAATGGTACAAAGCTTATTTCAAGTTCCTAGCGGAAGCCGGATCGAACCTTTCAAGTTTTCTGCCATGATCGATCGCACCCGGCTGTGAATTCCGTCGGCACCAATGAGGATGTCACCCTCAACTGTCTCGCCGCTATCTGTCCTCACGACAACTCCGTCTCGGTTCGCTGTATACGAAGCAACCCCTGTCCTGGGACGAAGACCAGTCTTGTCTTGAATTTGTAGAACCTATAGCGTAAGTGTTACCGCCCTTCTAGTAGAAAACTGGATTTTCCGAGTTTTTCTTCTAGAAGCTCTTGGGACTTTGACCTAACGAGAGACCCGAAATAGACGTGTTTGGGCAGGTCGGCATTTAATGCCGTCATTATCACCCAGAGCGTAATCGTCATTTCGACGGATCTCATGATTCTGCTGATGCCTGCGCCAATCTATGGAATTTACAGATTCGTCTTTGGCTCAGGTAAGTCACCAGTCTACGGATGCTTCGGGGTCAGACCGTGGATACCGTGGAATTTGCAACTAAGTTGCTTGATGCAGGTATCATTGCAATGATTGCAACGATTGCGGCCATATGTCGTCTGGTTGAACTATGCTACTGGGCCCAAGAGAAACAGTTTTGGCACCTCAACTGTTAGTAACCTCATTATGGCACGGAGTTATAGCTGAATTGACTTTGTGTAGTCAATCTTGCATCAGTGACTTACTGGGTCAATATGGAACTCAACCTGGGCCTGGTAGCAGGGTCTTTGGCCAGCTTGCATCCCCTTTTGAAGCATGTACGTACAACTTTTAAGGCTTTCTCAACAGAAAACAAGTCTTCTGGAGGATCGCACCATAGATGAATGACTGGGGCGACGGTGCTTTGCCGTGTTCGCGGCAAGTTCGGATAGAAAAGGAGCGTAATAGCTGTGTACACGACGATAGCACACTACAGCCCACAACTGTGGAATGTGGGAGTGAGGATCGTATAGTCACATTAGCTTAGTAAATGACTGTTTTGCCTATAATAGATGAACTTTGCAAGCCCTACCGTGTCCCTTAAGCCTCATTGACACTTTGCCAAGGGATTGCTCATGGCTGCACTGTCACTGCACACATATCTCAACCTAGTTTGAGGGTGCGTGGTCTCATCTTGTGTGCTCTGGCTTGTCGTCTTTTGTGTATTTATCATGTTGGCCGTAGCTGCGAGCATCGATCATCTGAAATCGCTGTATTTAGACCAGCCAATTTGACCCAGCAACGATCGTGTTCCATCGTTCAATACAGGATAGCCGTCCGCCATGAAGTTGCTTTTATATGTGATAACGAGTCTTTTGTTCCTCCCTAAAAGTGCCAGCAGACTGTGTTTCCGAAGCCGCAGTTAGAGCTACGAAATGAGACACTTGGCAAACAACTGGCTCGAATACTGCCTCGAGGCACGTACACCCTCACGAGTGTGCTTCGTCCGCCCAGTCTATTAGTGAACAACTTCAGGAGCCTCCTACCTAGCCCTTATAAGCATGTCGAGGAGTGTTTTAAATACCTATTACGCTCCGTTCTTGGCAAAAAGGTACGAATATAACATGCTGTAATCGATATGACAGTGAAATGGTGACGTTTATGATAGTCAGATACGGGTCTAACTATCTGCAATTCCAGGTTCCTACATAATCAATCAATGAAGACGAGCTCGTATAAAAATGACACTCTCATTACGTCGTAATTCATTTTTCCCTAATGAATTCATCATTTTCATTGTCTATTCTCCCGATGGACGAGGAATATGTATTTGAACGTGCGTCTACAGCCAGAAGGAACAGACTGTTCATTTTACTGGACGTGTTCGTGGTGATCTTTCGAGTTGGCAGTGACCTTCATCTCGACAACCGTACCAGCGGCCATCTTGTGCACCGGAACTACCAGAGCCGGAGACGACTTTCAGTTTCACCTCAGCATACGTCGTCCTTATTCCAACACCTCTCTAGATACTAACATCGGAACGCACGCCAGGCTGAATCCATGGATTTATGTTCCCTGTACAGCAATTATGACGATGCAGCCATCCACATGGTATTAAATATTGGTTCTCTCCTCATCTTCGCAATCTAGTCCTACGCCGGCTTCAACCTGAATTCATAGGGCATACAACCGAACCTTTGTTTCAGAGGCACTTCCGAATGTCTCCATAATTGAACGGAGCACTAGCCTAAACATATAAAATGAGACGCCCTCACCAGCTCAAGAAAGATCTTTTCTCACGTGGGTTAAACAAACCTCGCAGGCTTCCGAGTCATCCTGAGTATTTCACGGAGCACGCTATGAAATCCTTTGCGCCACTTTCATCTCGCGGAAGATGATCCTTCAATTCGTAATCGACATGGAAATTAATCTCTACATCATTTAACTCCCTCATTAAAATAGATATCGCACGTGCCTGGAACTCCACATTATTTGGTTGTCGCACACCTGCGTCACACACGTTATTTAGAATCAGGCATGATCCCTTCCACATTCAAGTGGTGTGCAGGACATATGAGGCTTCGTATCACTTTGCTATACCATAAAGTCGAAGCTAAAACTAAGGTTACACTTCACGGTTCTACTCTACGTTTGTAGGCGCTGGATAATACTTGCTTGTTGTAGACACTTGTCGGAATTATCCGGCACAGGAGCTGTGGTCGACTACGCGAGAATGTTTGAGAGGCGAATCTGTGCGCTGGATGAATTATCTAATGATCATAACCTCGAAATTTTGATTCTCGTGGCAGCCTTGCCGCCAGCCACGGTGCTGATCGGATCATTATCATACCCTAGTCGGAAAGGAGGGTGTGGGTCACTAAAAGTAGCTAACTAGCGCAACCGACATTATTACGGGCTTCTTTGGTAGGCCTCTGGACGTGGACACTAATACATGTCCCTGTAGAACAATAAGAGGCTAGGAGGAGCTACTGCATATTAGATTCATTCCTGGGGGGGGGGGGGGGGGGGGGGGGGAGGCTTGAGCTGCTCGGGAAGATGGGGAGCATCCCAGAGAGTGCAGCAATTCCCCTCAACAGTACACTGCTGCGGTGTTAGCAGAAATTTGGGCACTAACTGTGTACCATGTATCAAAGCCTCGCCCTTGCTGACCGGTTCTAGTGCTAGTTTCGTTAGTAATGTCCTGATTTTACCTGTGTCTAGATCTCCAGGTCAGGTCATGCTCGATTAGAGACGCTACGAATATTAATAAGCATCGCAAAAGGCTGCAAGACGTCTTCAAGTACATTGGAATATTGGTACAACTAGGTATATCAATAGTGGCATAACGCCAGACCGCCCAATAGCTTTATAAGCGAAAGCCAGCAGACAACATGGAGAAACAGGGTCTGGGATGACGTTACGCATGCGAGCAGCTAACAACAGCTTGTCATTTTGGAACTCAAGCCGCCAGCAAATTCACAGAAAATTACCTCTGCCTACTTCCATCCGGACATGGTGAACTCATGTCATTGGCTGCATTTGTTTCACTGCACTCTAAGGGGGGATACTAATGGGCGAATGGAGCGGAGCCGCGCAATCTTTGGCGTTATCGTTGCGTCACCACTGGTTCAACTCGGCCTCTACTAGATAAACATAGCGAGTGCCCATTTCGTATTCAGCACGAACACTCAGAACGACGTTGAGTATATCTAGCTAGACACATGGAGAATGGGCGGACAGGACAAAAGTCCAATATCGGGTTTGGTACGGATCATGACCACGACGCTACTCGAGGAATGCGTGCGTGATTCGTGAAGACCCCTGTGATCAACCAATGGTCCAGAAATTACGTTGGGGACTATCAGGTGTCCCCCGGTACTTTCATATCGCAACAATGCCCGCCTCTAGGGCGGATTACACCTAACTGATGCCAATCAGGTTGTCACTGCTAGCCTCCATAATAACAGAGGAACTTCTGGGAGGCGAGAGACCCTGTTGCTGAAGTACCATAAGAGGATATGTCAATGTCATCGATATACCACCATGAAAGCACTTTCTGGGAGGAGCCCTTGAGATGGGTTTGACATGCGCATAAGGGCAATAAGGAGAAAGAAGTGGCTATAGCTGCGTTCTAAAGCCAAATATTATCGTACAGGAACATATGTCGATGCTGGAAGTCACTCGTACGGATAACTTCACTCTCATCAACTACGGTGGACATCAGAGGGATATATCATGGACCGTTCGGTAGCAGCTGGTCAAGTCATCGCCCCATCTAATTGTGGCACAACCACAGGCAGTCGTTTCATGCATCACACTTTACAACATTGAAAACAAGACCATAAAAAGAAAACAAAAATGTACCAAGCCTCAACCCCCCAACCAGGAGCGACATCCCCCACCCCACACAATGTGAGGTAGATAAGCAGGACGCCAGCGCAAGCCGGGAGAGCAAAAGGTCAATTAAGTCTTGTAATAATAACAACGACGACTTGGCGACGTGTCCGTCTATAAAATATCGACGATGGGTGACACGTGGGCGACTCCTTCCTTCCCTCCCCATCTCGAAAGACAGGGGGGAGTGAGAGGGAACGCGCCCTTTGATGTACCGCGTGGATTACAGAGCTTCAAGGAAGGGTCTCGCCTTGTGCTCCACCTTGCCTCGCGGAAGTGTGTTTGTTTCTGGGATGGTGGAAAGGAAGGGAAGGGCGCACGATGACAAGGAAAAGATGAGATTCAAGATTGATAAAGGTGGTGGGGACGATCAAGTGGCAAGATTGGAATAACACGAGGTGCCGGTTACCACTAGAACAAGACAATCATGCTCTTCTCTGTCTGGAACAGACCCTAGATATCTTCAAGTCAGTACGGGGTATCATGAAATGTAAATTGAATCCCTCATTTTGGTCGCTGTCGGCTCTTTAGGGGTTCCGACTGTGAACTAGAGGCGTTGACAACAGTTGGTCGGTATGTTGGTACCAACCGCGTCAAGACTCAAACAACACTTTCTTCCGTCCTCTGCCCCTCCCAGAATCCATCGCCTCCAGTTCGCGATCGATCTCCATGATGTCAAGCATTTCGACCTCAACATCTCTTGATTCATCTTCATCATCCTGCATTTCGTCAGCTGCAGCGGCCAGCTTGTCCGCAAAACTGAACCCCGTGTTGGGCTGCGGCGGTGGCGGAGTTTGTTCTACGGGAGCATCTTCGACTTCTGTGGACGGCAAGATTTTGTCGGCCAAGTTGTCGGATGCCAACGGAGTCTCGTTCAGCTTCCTTCTTGGATTGATGGAAAGATTGTACAGCTGGCTTGCGGGTTGATCAGGTCGCGGATACGCAATGATGGCGCTGCTGTCCCTTGCCCGCTCACTCAGCTTCTTCCGGCGTCCCATGATACCACCAATGCGAGTACCCACGACTGTTTGGCTTTCGTGCACAACGACAAGACGACTCTCACCACACACCAGGACTTCAATGGGTAGCCCTTCATTCGCAGGATCGTCACCCCCTCCAAACCTGCACATTGCGCCTACTCCAATACATCGCTCACCCATGAGTCCAACGGCCAAGTCGCTCAGCCGAATCATGCGCGTTGGCTGGGCTCCACTGAATAAATTGACGCCTCCGCCGGTGCCTTTGCGAAGCTGAGCTTCCCAGAACTTGAGTAAGCCAGGAATGACAGTGACATGCTCAGAGCCGCCAATCCAGAGGACAGCACTCTCATCCGCAGTGGTGGTTGCACGAGCAGGGAGCGCGGTAACCGTAATGCCTCCTCTCATAGCCGCAAGTCGTTCGGGCCCGGTAGACGCACTCAGGGCGTCGCGTCGAGTGTGCGGGGTCATGGGAACAAACTCGGCGCCTGTGCCGGATGTTCGATGAGTGCCTGGATTGCGGAGCATGCTCGTGCCTTCGATGAAGCCACTCACACTGAACGAGGTGAGAGCGCCGCCACGGATTCCGGAGCCCTGTTTGCCAAATAAAGCAGGCCCTTGGGGCGAAACACCATCGATGTCCCAGATACCCCACTGACCATCTGCGAGAAGTGCTAAGATGGCTCTGCCGTGTGCGATCCAGGACGCGGCAAGTACAGGTTTGCGTGATGAAGAAGGCCGCGCGAAAGGGGGGTAGAGGGAGATAAGCCACGACCCTTGGGAAGGAAAGGGTCCCTCGGAGATCTCATCAGAGGGCATAGAAGGAGTAGCGTAGTCGTAGATTCTGACGGCGTGTGGGGATGCGTTACAAAGCAACTGGGTAGAATGTGTGGGGTTGAAGGAGACCAAAGACAGAGGCTGTGGCAGAAATTCGGTCTGGAAAGGCTCGACCTGTCGACCCTTCGGTTGGTTCTCCAGCGGGACATCCCACAACCGCAATGTGCCGGACGCTTCACCGCAGTGAGCTGCCACTACAACACGGGGAATGGCTCTTCCAGCCGATTGGGAGCGTTCTGAAGACTTGCTACGCTCAGACGCAGGTTTCGGCTTGACAAGTGTCATAGCCAGGGCATTGCTGTGTTTCTGCTGACCAGACAGGAGTGTCATTGTTTCGCCCCACTTGTTGTTGCCTGCCTTCGCCGCCAGTAGGGTTTTCCGTAGATCCTCTCTTGCCTTGCTTGCGGGTGATGGTGGCGTAAGTGGTAAGGTGATGAGATAGAGTTCACTAGTCGCACACGAGACGGCGAACACCACCTTCTCTGTGAGAAGAGTGACACCATCCCATCCTGCATCCTCGGCTGGACATGGTGTCATGGGCAAAACCGCGACGTGGAGAACAGCAGTTCCCAGCGACAGGTCCAATGTTTGTGTGATCTCGGGGTGTTCCGAGTCCTCATCTGCCATGTCCTCAAACTCGGGCTTGTCAACGAAGGCCGCGTCTTTTCCGGTTGAACCTGCATCATCTTCGTCTGAGTCGATGATCATTATGGCATCGTCAGGTGGGTTGCCATTCTGTTTGCTCTTGATGGAGGGCGGATTGTCGTAGACTGATGCCTTGAAGCGCTGACCCCCACGCCATACAACAGTCACTCCATCTTCGTGTCCGTAAAGCACAATAGTCGCACCTTGGGGGGATAGAACCGGGTACGTCTGGACGGTGTTGATCCGGCGGGAGAGGTTATAACTACATAGCCAAGCTCTGGTCAGCTGAAACGCCAATTCGCAAGTTCAGCAGTTCATCCATACGTGTACTGGGTATTTTGTGCCGTGCGACGAACTCGTGGTCCAGACTTGACCGCCATTATGAGAGGGTGCTGCGACAGCGGTAGAGCTGTAGTGTGGGTGCAGAGAGTTCAAGATGGAGTTGAAGCTTTGCCAACCAGCCTAATCGCATTCAGCTGTTGTTTTTTTTGTTCGAAATGCAATCGAGCATCATGGACGCGGTTGAAGCAGTGCAATTACTTTAGAGGAGATGCGACAGATCAAAGTCGAACGTGCAGGTGGGTTTCGGAAGCTGCGATCAAACTGTACACCACAAGCAAGACGCGAACGGTCGCAACACCAATCACGAAGGGACGTCAAATCTCGAAATCATGTGACTAGATGGTGGGACTGAAGCGGCAGCTGTGGGCAGCTGATGGGTTTGCACCCAACTACAACTGGCAGGAGTGGCCCTCAACGCTCAAGCTCTGCCTAGCTAGCTCCTGGACCTATGGGTGCTGAAGTGCAGGGCTCTGGCAAGGCTTCAGGTGTGATCTCATCATCCAATGCTCATCTCATCTCCATTCAATATGCCATTCCCTCTCATACTTCGAAGATACAAGATGCGCATCCATTATTCCCATTTACTTCATTACTCTTACAAGTCTTGAAGCAACCGGAAACAAACCCAACTCTATGATGCATTGTCTCGATGATTAAATTCAACTTTTCCCAAGCTTTGTATACGCCGCGTTTCAGACCAGTCGATCTCACGCCATCGAAGCCGAGCACCGCTACCCAATTCGAGGATATTCTCCCAGTTAATGTCAAAAATGGGCACATCAGTCGGTGCGTGGCGGGGAGGTGCCAAGTTTAGGGTCAGTGATCGCCAGGGACCCGAACCAAAAAACAGTCCCCTGTGCCTGGTGCTCTTCCAAATCTGGGCAGTCCCTTGATCTCAGGGTAACCGCAGCAAATCCGGCCACGCGTTTGATGCCGCAGGTTGTTGTTCGCATGCAAGGGGTTGGATAGGAGTTTGCCGACCAAACGACTTTACATTACGGAACTCGCGCGCATTGTGTCTAGAAAACGAATATTTGCCCATCACACTTTGCACAGATCACATGATCTTAACCATTTCGTGCTATGGGAGTTCATGAACATCATCCATACAGTGGACTATCTGAATAATATACAGCATATTTATTTCATACCGTAAATGCCTCCACTTCCATCTGTCTCCAGTAACGTGTTGACAGCCAGTATGATGGATGTACCAACCAGTGCTCCTCTCAAGTAGCAACGGAAGCCATCAGAGCCTGACCTATCAATTATCGCCCAAGCACCAGAACCATGGTATATTAACATGATTCGCAGGTCCACATATGAGACCTGTTGTTCTCTGGCCTGAGCCGTCGTAGATCTCGCGAGTAAATGTCGAAAAGGTATATGGTATGCTGCTCCGCCTACACAGCGCTGGACGTTGTATCCTTGGCGGAAACTCGAAAGGAGAGGACGGCGTAGGGAGGCCCTATTTTTGCACCAAACAACCACAGCCTGTATTGTGACACCTAGTGTGCGCCTACTACCCTACACCCTGTAATAAACAAACAACGCCAGAGGATCGTCGGGATATGAGCGACCGTCCAATGACAAGGGGGGACCACCCGGAAACGCCGTCGAAGATGCCGATGGGAGTAATTCAAAAAAAATAGTGTATAAAGTTGCAATCATTCGTTCGTCGTGATTGATCGATGTGATGCCATAGGCGGTATTCATGCGTTGGTGACCTATTTTGTTTGTTAGACCATGAACTTGGGACGGGCGTTATATCAGAATTACATACTCTCAAGATCCTGCGCGAGTAGTCCTCGTTGTCAGCGATACTGCCGCTGCTCATTCGCCTCTGGGCCATGACCGGGTCGAGACGCTGATCGGAAATGGAAAGACCACCACTACTGCCTGGGGGCTTGCCTCCGCCGGCAATGAAGGCGTTAACTGCTGCGTTCCGTCGGTGCTCGTCTTCGATTTCCTGATTTCTCTTGCGACGCATCCAGAGAAAGATGCCTCCACCAACGCCGATAATGGCCACAACTCCGACCACGACCCCAACGGCCACGCTGACAGTGTTTGTGCCACTAGACTTTTCGCTCGGTGGTGTCTCTGTTGGTACAGTTGTGGTCTCGCCTGCATCTATAACTCGATTGTTAAAATGTGTCGTCTCGTAGTGCGGGAATTAGAGAGCCTACCATTGGTAACAGTCACGACAGCAGCAGCTGTTGTCGAAGTAGTACCGACCGAAGAGGAGGAGGATGATGTAGTCAGATTTGCGGAATCAGCAACTGAGACCTTGACACCGGTGTTGTATACGGTGTATGTGTCGATACCGCCGCAAGCTTGGGCACCAAAACCCGGGCAAGGTTCAGTGCACTCGCTGTCATCGACCAGAGTGTTTAATGGAGGGTATTTGTCGCCGCAATAGCAATCATTTGCATTACTGGCGCCAACATATTTGCCCATGGATCGGCAGGCTTCCGCGCATGAGCCCTGGCTGTTGAATTCAATGGTCGCGTTCTTGACCAAGGATCCCAGGGACGAGTAGCATCCGTGGACGGTGTCGGTCCCCAAAATTGGATCCGTCGCGGCAACTTCTTCGCCTGCGCCGGTTGCCCATACCGGGTTGAAGGCGACCAGAAGGGTCGACAAGAGGCGAAGTCGAAGCGACATGATGTGATAAACTTGGATTGTGCTGGTGAAGCAATAGCGAGGGTGGTGAAGTGGACCGGGTAAAAAGTCGGCAATCTCTCAAACCGCTCAACGATTTGAGAGGAAAATGCAGTTCGTTGAAGAGGGGAGAAAATGTTGTCTCCGGGGAGAAATGAGGTTTGAATTGTTGCTTGATTGTTAGCTTTTCTGCTCGTGCATCAGACCTTCGTTGGCTGTTTCGAAGACGGCAGCGGTGGTGTAAATGAAGGCGGTCAGTTGTTCTTTGATGGAGCTTCGTTTGCCCAAGACCCACGGGTAACGCTTGGTTTGGAACAACCTTCGTTGTAGTTGAAAATAGAACGGCACAACTCAAAGTTCCTTCAACAAGGCAATGTCCTGATCAAATGGATTCGTTGCTTTCTGTCCGCTCTTCTTGACTTCGCCCCTTGACCTTTGGCTCGAGGGATTGCCGGTGACAAGAGAGGCGGTGAGTATTGTTGTTCGGGTCGTTGAAGTCATTCGAGTGTGAAGACGTCTCGAGTAACGGTGGAAGGCGAGCTCTCAATGATGATGGGTTGCTACCGACACCTGACGCGATTTACTTTGAATAGCCGACCTCAACACACAGGACGACGAGGGGTATGCCGTCAATTGAAAGAGGTTGAGATGGATCAGTCAGATTGGGTTGCTATGTCGATGCGTAGGAAAGTTGGGAAAAATCGAGACCCAAAACGAGAGACGGAAATGAGAGCGAGATCAGACGAGGGAATGAGTGGATGCCCAGCGAAAATGCCGAGGGGATTTACTGTTGGATAGGGTGGGTGAAGAGGGTTGGAAAGATGGACAGGAGAGTGTGGACGGATTTGCTCCAGGTCCTCTACTGGTGAGTCCGGAGGGAAAGAGAAGGCAGAACCAAGGTAGGTGCGAGTGGGCCACGCTTCTCCACCAAATCGACCGGGTGGACGACACAAGCGAAAGAAGGGGAAATTACGCCGGGCCAGGGGGTTGCACATCTTTTTCTTGAGGGTTCGTACCGTCGTACCTGCATTTGATGGCTGCATTGGGCTTTTATGGAAGGGACCTCCTTGCATTCGCATCCTGAACCTTTCCCTTTACAGTTAGTCTCAATGGGGTGGTTTGTGTCGTCCTGTCTAGTGATTGGCCTGGCTTACGAGCCAAGACCGGAAATATGCGCTGATTGGCTGTTTAATCAGCTCCTGTGTTAGAAATAGGAGACTGTGACGGTTCGCCCGCCCTCAGATCTTGCACTACTCTTGCACAATGTTGGATAAGACAAAGTTAACCCAAGAATTGGTGCTGGACCGGGACCAACCAAAAACCATCTTCAATGCTCGCAACTTGTATGCTTGGAAGCTCCAAAATCACGAAAGGCCTCGTCTATGCCATCATGATTGCCTTCAACATTCTATCCTGCGTTGTGTGCTTTTTGTTCCCAAAGTTTGTATGTTGTTACGACTGAAGGCGGTGGGTACCAGGTCGATCAGTAACAGCCGACGGCAGCCCGAGACGCCCCAACCAAACCAACAGACGGAGTATCTCGCACGTGTCTTCAGGGTGTCTGGTGTTTGCGGGCGTTATTGGACCGATAGTAGATTTGCCTGCCAGCCCGTGATGCTGCTAACACTCGGCTATCTTCCTCGGAGGGTCGTACTCATCGGGCTCGTTACGAGTACAACACATGTCAACCATTCATTTGGCAAATTCCCCGACAGGAGCGCCCGTCAGTGAACAGCAATCACCCAGCGTGTTCAACGCCTTACTATTTCAAACGGAAATCTCTGTGTCCGTTGCACGTATCAGCTTGAGACAACTTGTTGCACTGTGGGCTGGCAGTTGATCAAGCAGCGGTTGGGCTTCAGCCCTGAAAGCGACGGATCATTTGACCACTAGAGTTCAACGCCGCCGCCGAGCTGTCACAAGTCCTGCGTCAGCGACACATATTGCTGTCAGTGAAAAGGCAGCCCGTGATTCCCCACGAGAACATTGGACCTGGAGCAGCAAATCGGCCGGGCAATGCGCTCTATGCACGCCCTCGGATTCATGCCGCCAAGTCTATTGCGAAACAAGAAACACAGCCAAAATGCGGACTGCCTAGATTACCGGCCCCACGGCTTGCGGGCACAACCGTGAATGGCTTCTTCAGTAGCTGATCCTTTCTTGTCGTGCGCTCGATGCTACCGTCCCGACTCGAGCGATTCGCAGTGAAACGGAATGCACGACGGCGTCAAGTCTCTCGTATACTTTGGTACAGAACTGGTGACTGGTGACTGGTGCTGAAATGGAAACGTCCCAGTGTTCCGTGCATCGAAATTGAATGTCAAACTTGGTGGCCCGTGAAACAACCCTGCAAAGCCGCGAATAACACTTCTTTTCACCCCTGGATCTGTACTGGACTGCCTGGCAGGCGCAACCATGATTCCATGAAATTGAAATCTGGAGAACGCGACATCAGGCATCAAGATTCTCAGGAACCGGTGGAAACAATCAAACGCTACTGACGGGAATTTTGCTTAATTCCTAGGTTCATCATTATAATGATGTTATTATCACTTCAAAGTTGACACAGCCCCAAACTCGTGTCTGTTTGTTCTGGGCACTGGCATGCAATAAGAATTCGAGGCCAAGCGACACAACCTGCAAATTTAATTGAGTCGCCTCGAACCATGTCGTGGCACCAATGCTACGCTCCTTCAAGAGGTGAAATCAATAGCGTCGCCGTTGCCGCGCACTATTCACGATCCCCATGCCGTCGATCGTCCGCCAATGCATTGAATTCACGATGACTGCGGCTGACGACCTCTCAAAATGCGAACTTTTTATTCTCGCGCTCAAGCAATCAAAGTTGTCAAATGGCCAAAGAGATTCAAACACATCTGATTCCAAACTTGCAACAGGGAGCTATTCATAGAAGAGTTGTACATGCATTATTATTTCATGACGATAAGTGAACCGATCTCCTTACGAAAGAGTGTCCCTGGATCCGGGGAAGCTCTCTATCCCAAGCAGAAGATTCCTTGCATCGCACGAGTCTGACGATTAACAAAACGACAGGGGCCAATCGGCTTGGACGAAGTAGTCGCACGCCAGTCCAGATCACCCCGACCATCCGTCCATAATGGGAACGCTGCTGCGTTGCGGCAGCAAATTCGATGCGTTTCATCTCTATTCTTGTTCATTTCATCGCTCCGCTCCGCGTACGATTTGACTCTATGTTGCTTGCAATCAATCCTTCACACTCACAGCGGTGGTTGGATTGTATATGGTCGCTCAGTCGAAATCGCCATCATGCAACATGCACTTCAATGCCAAATTAAATCTCACCTCGTGTTCGTCAATTGACATTGAGCTGTAGCCAAGCTTTTACCAATCGGGGATCGGAAGACCGGCTTAAGATGGCTGACGCCCGTTTTCTCGGTCGAGTCTCGCTCGAGATTTCCAGGCTACTGGTCTAGAAATAGCGGCTCTCCTCGGGGTTCCACAATGCTCTCCACCTGACTGCCGTGGACACCGTACGGAGTACGTACATTAAAGAACGAAGCCTCCACCTTTCAACGAGGGTTTACGTCGCCTCGTCAGGGCTGTCCAGCTGCCGCGAGTTCCCGAACAAGTGATGGACATTTGCATAATGAAACTGGCGGTGGCTTAGGAAGCAGCGACGACCTAATTGAGGTCCGTTGTCTATCCAACAATGTGGAAACATTGACTCTCAATACTATCGGGTTAGTCCACCATGGAGCACCTTCATCTTATTACTCCCGCCACGGCAGATGCGGCTCAAGCAGGACGGATGCGTTGGCATTTGCCTTGTGCACCAAGTTGTGGCTGCTTCGTACACGCTTCAGAATGGACTCCGATCAAGATTCCGGCACCGACTATTTCGTACACGAACCCGCAACATAACAGCACCGCTGCTCATGGCTCACTCGGATCTTTTTATTCGCGAAGAAAACTACAACAGGGTCGTGGTTCATTGCGCCGGGCCTGGTTGTTTGAGGTTGACGATCCCTACGTCTTTCTCTAGAAGCTATCAAACTTGCTTCAAACGTTCAAGTTTAATGTGTGAACTTCATGCTCTGCAGCAGGTCTTTTTCAGCTAGTGACCGTGGCAATACGGTAACAACTGACAGCTGTATTGACACATCGTTAGACAAACGTGTCTGATGCATTGGTAAGCATTTTTTTCATTTTTTTTTAATTAGCTCCGTGTGATTTCCATATAATAATATTGCCCAGAATGATAGGTTACAACATACTCTATTGTCTACATTCGTCAGAGCCTATTACACGTACGACAAATGTGTTCCACGCAATATTTTGAGGGAATACACATACGTTCTACGATATTTCTCCAGAATCCGTACACCATACAAGCGTTTTACAAATTCTTTACAGAAGCCTCCTCGTCGCCATTTCCATACTCCCGCCGTTTCTCCTTTTGCGCGTCCTTATCCGCCTCGAAAGCAGCCACGTCGGCACTATCCATGTTCTTCGCGACATTGTCCGCCTGCCATTTTTTAAAGGTCGCACCCAAACCTTCATTCGAGTAGTCTTTGTCATTAGCCTGGTCTTTGTGATATTTGACGCGAATGAAATCACTGTCAATAGTTGCCGGATCCAGGGACAAGCTGACTAGGGCATTGATAACTGCCGTCTTAGGGATGATCTTAAACGTCCATTCCTGATCACTGTCAGCAACAATTTCCATGGGATAACATGTCCCCGTCGCCAATAGATGCACTCTAGGAATACCCACCTCCTCATGTCTGAATTGGATTAAGTCCCGGTCATTGGTAACAATCTGATATCCGTGGCTCTTAGCGCTCTGGAACAGCTTTGGCAATGCGAACCACTGTCCCGCCATCTTATAACGATCGTTGGCGTAAACGAACTGGTCGTTGTACACACAGTCGGGCGTGTATCGCTTCACCCGCTCGACCGTGGGCTTCATCTCATACAGAGCAATGATGTCGTCAACCAACGCCTGGCGCGCAGGTGACAGCGGGAGTGACTTCGACGGGTCCGGTGTGTAGTCGCCATCCGGGTGCGTCTGGCGCACCTCGAAATGCTCGCCCGGCAATGAAGCATCTGTCGGGAAGTTGACTTTACCGCTGTCGGCCGAAGATGTGGTTGTGGATGACATTCTCGTCGTTGGTGAGAGCCGTTGCAATCGTGGATATATTGCTTGGGCGATGAAGGGTTGAAAGGTGAGTCGTGTGGTAGGTCGTATGGGTTGCGCAGTCCTGAGTAGTCTCGGGAATGAGCGCATTGTGTTGATATCAACTGCTGGCCTATGCCATCGACCATGCGGGCGTTATGGTTCTTATGCCATCCTCTCTGGAGAATGGGCCACGCCATGTCTGCAGCGATGATGCTGGAATACTGTACTGACGTAGGATGAGTAACCGATGACAACGAGATCGCGCCATTGAGCATGTTCCGCGGTCTGAAGCCACTGCGCGCGAGCCCCGCATCTGTAGACTATTCGTTTGGTTCCAAGCGGAGATTTCGAGGGAATCATGGTGATTCATGAGGTTGACGGCTTGACAGCTACACATTACATCATCGTTGCCTGATTAAGCTGTCAGAATCTTGGCACTAGAGTTGCAAAGTTGGGTTGACAGCATTTCTGACAGTAGTTCATCCGCAAGACTACAGACGGACGGGCCTTTCAAACCTTCAACTTTTCTGCCTAACAGGTATCGGAACATTCCGCCACGCGTTTTGTTCCTAACTAACCACACGAGAGTGGCCCGATACGCGCCAACATCAATAGATTCCAGCTGTCACCAACGTTGTCAGGTGATGAGGACCCTTGTGGTCATCTTTACGTGTATAATACTTTACTATCGGTCATTACCGGCCCTTACAGACGATAGTTATCCTCAATCCTACCCACTTTCGTGACCACTACTGCAATAGAGCCTTAGACCAAAGCGGGTTTAAGTACCTTGTCTTCGAGCGCGAGGGTTTAGTGTCTGCGTTGAGCCAGGCCGATCTTCTCCAAAGTGTCTGTCATTATGGGCACTTGGAGATGAAGCCGCCGGCTTGTCGTTCTTCACGAGATGAGCGGCACTAGTGATTATTACAATAGCTCAGTAGTCTTGTGACCATCTACATCCACCATATCGAAGAGCCCTAGGAGTCATTGAACTGCAGGCCATGTAGTCTACACTTATGTATATATGACGAGTGAAGCCTGCTTTCCTGAGTGACTGGCCCAACCCTCTGCTGGGGTGATTGATATTAGTCCTGGACTGTAGCTAGCATCAGCAACTGTGGTTTGCCATATCGAGGCAGTGTATGGTAGCGTCATCTCATGTATTCTTCTCTCTGGGTAGCAAGAATCAATACAGCTGAACTTGGGATCAGAACAACCCTGCTCTCGGTACAAATCCTCGACATCTCATCCTCTGAATTGCGGGCAACGGATGTAGTTCCACCTGGGCTAGGTGTATGAGAGCAAAAACTTACCAGACCAGGGAAATGCCTAAAGCACCATGACCATAAGAGGGATATAACACGTGGTCCCTTGAGCTACTCGCCCAATTTTCAACACGGAAGTCCAGTTTGATGTGGGTGCAAGGCTGACTACCCGTCAACTTGGTGCCGTTCATTGAGTTTCAGTATCACGTCCCAGTTCAAGGGATATCGACTCTAGAAGGTGTCTTGCAAGTTTTCTAAGCTCAGATACACCTGCGTAAATACGAGCTTTGAACTTGAATTCGTCCTTGAGAATCTAGAGCATCACTCGTATGTTGCTTCAGTATTGAATTTGGTACACTTTAAGGCTGAGTTATCTAGATTATCCAGATTGCTATAAATATTCAGAAAACATGCGATAAACTCTGTACGTTGCTAATACCACCCGGAATCTATTCAAAACGCGTTGGAAAAAGTTCTTGGTACCCTCATGAACAATAGTCGACTCTAGGGTAGCGTTGCTCACATGACCACATCCCAATCGTTGCGATGACCGCGATGATCGCTAATCAACTTGAAAGATATGCCTTATGGCAGCGCACCGTCTTTAATCTTGGACAGATCTCGCTCAATGTTTCTAGGATTTAATTTGATGAAATGGCCTTATTTCCGCCGTGTTTCTTCGACCTTGTGGCCGACAACAGGATGTGCTATATCATAGGAAACCGTATGAAACCTCACACGGAATGAAGTCTAACCAGAGTATCTGTATTACATGCTAGTTGAAAGTAATTACTGGCAGAACTATGTGATGAGGTGTTTGTCACTGTAAACGGACATGGCTTCGAACTTATCTCTGATGTTCCATCAGTTGACAATTAATTCTATTAACACCAAGGAATCAGACTTGGGCTCTTCAACTTTCATCGATGACGGCCACTAACATATAGTTGGACAGATATCCTGGCTGGCTCATATGCCTGAGACTTGACGTGAGCGACTTTTCTTTACAGGATGACATGCTACTCCAATTGGCTTCCTCATCTTTAATGCTGGGGTTTCCCACTGAGGCGTCCCGTGCTATTGGTCCGTAGCAATAGCTCTTTATGCTGAAGGACGGAAAGAAAGAGGAACGTTATCAAGTGAGCTTCGAAGCTGACAGTAGTCATGATCTTGTTCTCACGATGGCTCTAGGAAAGATTGCCAACTCAGTTCCGCAGCAGCGAAACTAGTGTGGACTTGATAAAACAGGCAAGAAACAGAAGAGGCGGTGCGAGTATGGTGTTCCTGATCCAGTCGGGCATCTGGTTGACCTGTAGACTCGACCAGGTTGTGCAGTGGTTGACCACGACCACCTCAATTACGGGCGTAAAATGCCGAGCGGTTGCATTGGATCTTCCAGAAATAAATGAGTAACTTAAGTTCCAAGTCGATCGATGCTCTCACTATCTTGATTATCAGCGTGCCGGTTGCAAGCAACCGGTGGGGAGCCTGTGGGTCATAGTATATCATGGAAGTCTTGGAATACCGAGGAACCCGAGGAACCGGGGCTCTGCTGCTCAGAATACGGGCTCTGACTATCTATATAAGGGAGGTATCTTGGGGGAGGATAGAAGGAAGGTGAGAGATGGATAAACTATTCTGGGCACCCCTACCTGAGACCACCAGTGACCACCTGGTGACACTCAAGTAGGGGTGCATGTTACTCACTCCCCTTCACTCCGTACTATCGCCTGACGGCTTAGCCGTTCCTGACATTGATGAATATGCACCTGGTTCCGTTATCGAACTTGAAACTATGCTTGCTAAATGAAGAGACTGCTTTCTCCCGTGCAAGTTGACTTGTCGCCCCGATCTGCTATGCAAAGTAGGAATCAGTGCACTAGTCGAAGATAACCATATGTGTAAGAACACCCATCAAGCGGCTCGTAGACTGGGATAGTCGGGGATTTGGGTCAGTGCCAGACCTAAACACTTTGAGCAACTGTCTAACAGCACACCCAAATCATCCTCTCTGAGTGGTGTCAGTTAGGCGCTATTACCACCCGTGTCTATCATCATCTTTTACATACTTCCTACAAGTCAAAGCCTTGAAGAAGGCCAATATGCCGCCGTGCAGCCAAGCCACATCGTGCTTGGCAATCGAATACGCGTATGTATGCATAATATAGCGACTGCAGCATTGGCGGAGTTGCAACCATGGCACTGCACTTGTCATTGGGGGAGTTGTTGCATTGACATCATATCACGACTGGTCCGTGAGGAGATTAAGGTTGGCTCGGAAGCTGAGCTGCTCCTACAGAGAAGAAATCCGAGTTCCATTGCTTTAAGTGGATTCGTGCGATGTAACACAGCCTGAACCAATAAGAGTAGGCTTTATTGCAACCCTCCGTAGAAGTTATCCCCTATGACTGGCCACACGAAACTAGCGATAGCGAAACCTACGCGTACCGAGTAGCGCACAAGGGCATGGCTTTGAACACCCCGCAATATTAGATTCCGTAACCGTATTCGGCGCTAGAATGGTCGTTGATTCGCCTGATCCCTCCCATCTAGAGCTGGGGACGACTAATTCATCTCCTTCACCCGCGATAGCATTGCCGGCAGGTGGGGATGGATCACAAATTGCCAGCAATTGATGGGCTCAAGCCAAGAGGACGATGTTATATTTGGTGCAGTTTCCTTGGGTGCTGTCTGCTCACCCTGGTCAGTTGCGGGGCTTCTGCCCTCGCAGTTGCTTGGAATGGCCTGGGCGGCCTTTTGCTTGCCAAGATGTGGTGCATCTCGTTCTACCTTGGGTTCGTCTTAAAATGGCTGGTGTGAACCCGTCAATTTGGCTCGGTCAAGTCATCCTGAACTCTGTTATCACATCTCTGCTTACAGTTTAAATCTATTGTTAAAATGCCGATACTCACTAACGTTGAGTTCACGAGCCTGGTGCCCGAGGGGCTGCCGATCTCTGTGATTGGGATTGTCGCGACCGTCGTTATCGGCATCATATACTCCGTTCTCACGAAGGAGAGACCTATTGCTGGATTTCCTCTCGTCTCGCTGGAAGGACAGACGCCGCGAAACAGTTGGCTATATAATGCCCGAAGGTCGGCTGGTGTAGTTGGTCACTTCGCTGGTAGATAAGTCCCGATTTGAGCCTCGCCCACTTGGGTCGGTGACGAGTCGCGGGTTCGAATCCCGCAGCTGACACACAAGGGGGTTTAGTCAACCCTTACGGCGCGCTGCCCACCTTGTTGACTTCGCCTACCTAGCGATAATAGGGAGATTGGTGCAGTTTAGGATTACGAGCATCCTAGCCAGTCGACCGTCAAGCACTACGTCGGCGGAATATAACTCGACAGCCGGTCCAGAATTCGAATCGTTAATCCGACCCCTTATCGGACCTCGCCTATCCGATAACGCTCGTCGGCGAACCCGTCCCCTCACGATAGAAGGCGCGCAGCACGCCCCCTCGCCGCGATTCTTGCGAGCGTCTAGACCACGTTACGGTCTATCCACTTGAGCGTATGGTTGAGATGTATACGCTCGACGAGAACCCCAATTAGCAGATACTACGACTTGTCGCGACAAAAAAATAGTCGAGCATCTTCTGCACATCAGCAGCATCCCACCCCTGAGGACGAATTTAAGTGCCACATTACCACGCTTATCGGTAGTTCAGGCAGGGGTTGTAGCACAGACTTAGGGAGGGACAGGAGGTTTAGTAGTCGTTTGGCTACAAGTTTACCTGTATAACCGCCCGACGCGGCTTAAGGGCCCGCTATATCATCTATAGCCCCTTAAGGGAGTACTTGTAGAGGTACCGAGGGTTAACACCTACGGCGTATTTAATATTATTATAATGCCCGAAAACTTATTATCGAAGCACAGAAAAAGGTATAACCATCCGAGGCAAATCGGCTCCTTACTTCGTCACTAACTCCAAATCTAGCACTCCGGCCCCTTCCAAGTCATGACCGGCACCGGACCCAAAATCATCCTCCCTAACCGCTACGCCGACGAGATCCGCAGCAACCCTGCTATCAACTTCAACAAAGCCATGCAGAAAGATTTCTTCACCCACTACCCTGGCTTCGAAGCATACAGGCAGAGCCTTGTAGACGCAACCCTGATCCCGGATACGGTGCGCATTAAGCTGACCCAATCGCTAAACATCATCACCGATGACCTCATCGACGAGACTACCTCCGCGCTCCATGACATCTACGGCGAGGACCCAGAATGGAAGAGTATCGTCTTGCGTGGCTCGATCACGGACGTCGTGGCTCGTCTCTCGTCGCGCGTGTTTCTGGGGAAGAACCTCTGTCGTGATAAGCGGTGGCTAGAGATCTCGAAGGCGTATACTATACAGTCGTTCACCGCCTCGTTTATCCTACGCCGTATCCCTGTGCTTCTTAGGCCTCTCGTGCACTGGTTCATTCCGCAATGCAGAGCCTGCCGTCAAGCTGTCCGCGACGCCCACAAGCTGATCGACCCGGAGGTGGAACGGCGTAGGGCGGCCGTCGACGAGGCGATACGAAGCGGTGTCAAGCCGCCTAAGATGGCCGACACGATTGGCTGGATGCACGAGATCGCTAAGGGGAGGCAGGTGGACTATGTAGCTGGACAGCTGAGTCTGACGGTGGCGGCTATCCACACAACCACCGAGACGACGTCGATGGCGATGCTAAGTATCTGCGAATTCCCCGAGGTGATGCCGGCGCTGAGGCAGGAGATTATCGAGGTTATTGGCGAGCATGGATGGGCTAAGACATCGCTATATAAACTCAAGCTTATGGATAGTTTCTTGAAGGAGTCAATCCGGTTTAGGCCTATGGCGGCGAGTATGTACCACCTCTACTCCTTTATCTCTTATCCCCCTTTTGCAAGGTTCATTTTCACTGACTTATGTTCTCAAAGCCTCGATGAACCGCTTCATCGAAAATGATTTCACCCTTTCCGACGGCACCAAGCTCCCTAAAAACAGCCGCATTATGGTCGTGTCCGACTATAGCAACCCATCCGTCTACCCAAATCCCGAGAAATTCGACGCCGCCCGCTTCATGAAGATGCGCCAGCAGCCCGGTAACGAAAGCGCGTGGCAGTTAGTCACTACGAGCTCGGACCATATGGCCTTCGGTCACGGCCAGCACGCTTGCCCGGGTAGGTTCTTTGCCGCCAACGAGATCAAGATAGCGTTGTGTCACTTGCTGCTTAAGTATGATTGGCGGTTTGTGCCTGGGGTAGGAAGGCCCGAGGCCGATGCGATGGAGACAGGGGCCGCTGTTAGCTCCACGGGAGAGGTGCAGTACCGGAGAAGGGCGGCGGAGATTGATTTGGATAACTTGACAATGGAATAGAGGGGTTGTGGTCGAGTAAACTCTAAACGATAGTATCGTGGAGACCTAGTATAACTCACGAGTGGGCAGTATACGTTTTTCGATTTCGGTAGCTCGAGGGGATCCACAGGTAATAGTCATCGTTCATATGTTTACAGCAGTGGTTATTAAGTCTCGATGGTCTTTTGTTCTTTTACCGACGCTGGAAATTCTTCATGAGATATATCGCGTTGCGTATTATGAGTCCAGAGCTCTAGGAATGTGCAGGAGTGTGCGATAGAAGAACCCATATTTTGGTTAGTCCGTGTGCTTGTCCAGCGTCAGTTTGGGTCTCCCCAAAGTACGTGGTTTTAGCATATGGTATTGCGCGCCGGTTACGTCCCTACTGAGAAATGCTCAAAGACGAAGAAGACACTTGATATAATAACTACCATTAGACCCCGTGGGGGTGAGACCACATGGTATACATCAATACACAATTTTGGGAATTGCTGGTATAGTGCTTCCTTGGGAGTTTCGTTTTGGGTAGATTCAGGGCGTGGCGAAGGCATCCAATCCGTATCCCAGGGGTAAATGGTCAAACTGTATTCTGCCTGGCGTACGATCGATGGGTTTGAGATTGTTCTGCACATCCATATCAGTTAGACCACTTGAGCATAGGGAACGTATGAAATGAGAGTGAGACTGAAATCGTCCACGTGATTAAACTTGAGGGAGGGTTATAGCTTGTGATATGTCTTACCACCATCGTTGTGCCGTGCCTCCAATCGGATGCTGGATTAGTAGTGAACTCCACGCCAAAACCCTGGGGTCGACGCCTTTGAGTGCTTCGTTGTCGTCTCGCGCCACTACTCTTAGCAAGCATAACTGCGAATCCATGAAACGCTTTATTTTCATTGGAAGCATCAATTGTGTAACGCTACATAAACTTATTCAGCAATATGGGAAAATGCAGAAGTAGTCAACATAGAACGATCAAATCTTTGCAGGTTGCAGAAAATTTGGAATTGTTGAAGCTAAGACATGCCGAACCCAGTGTGATGTGAACCGCCCACAACTGACTGCTTGACGCCATCCCATCTGGTGTGATATCACGCCTGGCCCACAGGAATCGGGTTCTCCGCCATAGCCGCAAGCCGAAACAGGTGTCTCAGCTTCACACTCTCATCCTCATCGATATAATCCACAACGGCCGTATGCGCATCACCCCTTGAAATTAGACACCTCCCACAACAAAACAAGCATGACGTCAATCGTAAAGTCATATTACTCACGCAAACGACTCCTATTATCGCAAACCACCATACTCCTGGGCGCCCACCTAACCCCGTAATCATATGTTGCATAAGAAGTTCCTGCAGCACGCGGAACCCAGGCTCCTTGAGTCCCTCGATCTTGGTAACGACGTCGCCGTTGATGAAGGGGCACCGCTCGCCTGTGCGGGATGTATGCGCACCAAGGGGTGGACTGTGTCGACGGCGGCTTTGCGGAAGAGTCCACCGGTCATGCGGGCGTGATTGATCATTTTTGAAGACGTGTGGACGGCGGATAGCTGATCCACAAGGATTGCATCGTTGGGGAGAGGCGCTTGTAGGCGGTGTAGGTGGCGGTGAAGAGGGTGTCGCCGCCTACTTCAGGGCCTTAGGCAAGGATAAAGTTAGTCGAAGGGGTTGGGTGTGATTATAAGACGGCTGGGAGGGCTGTTATGAAAAAGGATGATGAAGTTGCCACTCAAACTTCTAAGGCAGACTCACTTGAAGGTACCCCAATATGACATAACCCGGTGGCTGAATCTCATAACTGACATCCTGATGCCACAGCGTGGTAGTAGGTCTCTGTTCTAGGAACCTGGCTAGCTCCTCCTTATTCCCATCCCGCTGAATGATCTGGAAACCTGGGTAGCCACTGACACTCCCCGAGACTGGCTAGTAGTTCGACTTACCATAGTAGTTCATGAACTCCTGCTGAGCTGCCGGTCCATCATCGATCAGATCCTGGTTCTCGAAGGCCAGCACCTTGCGCTGGGCGATCAAGTGTGCCAGCTCATCCTTGGCCACGTCGGAGAGCTGGTTCAGTTGGATGCCTGAGATATAGCTCCCCAGTCCCGGCGTGATGTGGGTGATCTCGATACCGGCCTTGTGGAGCTCGGGGACGGACGCATCTTTTACTCGAAGGGAGGTAGGGGATCGAACCAGATCCTGTCCCAGTTCGGCATGTATGCAGGGTACTTGATGCGTTTAACTGTGTCGCCAGGCAGCTCGTCGTAGGGCAGGTTGATATCATAGCTGATCGGCTGGGCTTTGGTAGCAGTCAGCATGGTCACTTTGGTGGAAAGAGAAGGAGCTTTGATCAGGTCTCCAAAGATAGTGGTGTTTGTCGTGCTGGGTGTGGGATGGTGCGTACTGCGTCTCTTTGACCCAAATTGTTGCCCCCACTTATATAAAGTCGTCAAATTGATCTTGACCTACCATGCGCTCCTTCATTCCTTGCCTGTAACGCTGGGACTAAGCGGACACATAGGAGGATCAAATAACCACCCACGCTAGCATCCTCAACAAACCCAAAACTCTTACCAAATCCGCCCAGGGTGTAGACTACATAAGATAAGGATATTGTGTGTTGTAGCGCGGCGAAGGACACTGTCCTGGCAGTTCTTGGATACCCTGAATGACGGTATAGTCAGGAGCCGATCTCAGCGTCTCCGGCGTTGAGATTGCAGGCACATTCAGACTTGGGAATATCTTCACCAGGATGACGAGCAGGGTCCTCTGTCAGTTGCTAAAGGCGTACTGAGGGCTGCGCAATTACCCCGCCCGTAGCTGCATTCTTCCCGGGACGACCAGTATCCGCAGCATAAAAGGCGAACACGTCGCAGTGACTAGACCTGTCTCTGTCCAGTCACATCGTATCAAGACTGTCCAAATTCCGTGCCAGTACGAAGACCTCCCACCAATGCCGTATCAAAAGACAGCTATGCTCATTGGTAAGCATTCCTTCGCGACTGACACCCGTGATTAGCGGCTGCTTGATGTTCATTCCTGAGGTGAAGTACACGCCATCTAAGAATGACGAGACACGAGCTCCATGGTTTCCATACGCAGCTATGCCAAAGCGGTCTCTCCTTCCGAGGGGTTTCTTACACAGAGGTCGCCACATTAACCACCACGTGTGATGCGATCTCGCCTGTAGGACGGAGCTGATATAACACCAGGAGCCAACCGTGGAATCGGATTTGAGCTTGCCAAACGCTTCCAGACGCTTGACTATAATGTTTTCGGCACTTTATCGGCCCCACACAAAACACGATGATTCAGTTAGAGAGGCATGACTTGTGATTATGACCCTAGGCAAGCTCTAGTCACCGACCCAATACTGATATGTTAATCTGTCTGCAGCTGTCCGCAACAGGAGTCAAGACGTTTGAAGTCGACACCACCGACGAGAAGTCCATCGGGTCCCCAGTGTGATTATGTCTTGACGACGGGTGCATGATAGGGACCTTTTGCGACTTCCGAAGCGTTCCTCGGCGCTTTGAACCGTGCGAGCGCCAAAGCATCAATGTGTCGTCAGACACGGCTAGTATCGCCGGTAGGTGACTCCAATGATGTGAGAAAGCATAGGCTGGTGGGCGGCTGGGCAGTGAACTCTGATCCGAGAACCCTTTTTCAGTTCTGGCACTCGCATGAATTCATCGCCAGAGATCCAGCCAGATCTTCCGGCGGACGTACGATGATGCCCAGTCTGGAATGGTGCTGACGGTGTGGGGATCTGGACCAGTATACATGGGTGCCAGGTTGCGCAATTGACATGCGTTGCTGTCCCAGCAACGAATGAAATCGTCAAACCTGATTTGGAGGCAACTGTGCAACCTCAACGCATGGGGAATAGATGGGACGAGATTGACGATAGCACGACGTAGAAACGCGATGAAGAGGGACCGTACAAGGATGCCAGCCCGTCGCTTCGTGGAGATATTGGGGCTGCTGGGAAGACGGTGCGATTGAATAACGTTTCACCTATAGATATGGTTCCACAACGTGCCTTGCCTCGACTTTGAGCTGCCAAAAATAAGCTTGCAGTAGAGCACTGGTGGGTCGCTGGGCCAATGACCGCCATCAATTGGGTGCCCAGGTTTTGGAGCTCAGCACAACCGCGGGTGCATCACCCCGTCACCCATAGCAACGGTTGGTTTGTTGACCCGTACATAGCGCAACTCAGCCACAGACCTGGGGGTTTTGCTAGGAACTGTTACAACCTCGACATAACTGTCAAAGATTCACACACACAACTCCATCCATACCAAGTTACCCAGTTACAAAGTTACCAGATCTTTGCACACACAAATCGTCGTAGGACTTTTGTAGTCTGCACTGAGCAAGAGCCCCGAGGATATCCCATCTCTAACCCAGAGGCGCAGTCTTTCACAGAGGACCGTCCTCAAACCACTTACAACTGCCTGCAGAGGGCATTTAGCTCCGTCTAGTTCTCGTCCATCAAGTTCGCTGCTGCTGAGTACAACCCAAGAACCCTGATTGCCCGGCTAGCCTGGCTTGCGCTGCGTGAGGTGAGTAAATCCATTGCTAGATAGCCACTTGATTCATCGCAAATGCCGTAGAAGATGGATCGCAACCCTAGTGAAGACAGAGGGCTGACGGGTACATGCAGTTTCGGATCCCATTGATAGCCCATTGGCAACAAGATCCTATCGACAACCGAACCCCATTCCGGACTCCCCTCCCCCACGATGCTGTCCAATCCGCCACCGAGCGGTCTTCAGGCCCGTCACCAACAACACCGACGCCAAAACTCGACGCCAACGGCGTTCGAGGCAATGAAGATCGCCCACAACCTGCCCAACATGCATCCCCATCAGCAACAACCACAACCACAACCACAACCATCACCGACAAATCCAGGACGACCACGGGTGTCCCATCGAAGAGGCATGAGCCTGGACACCCGACGACAACAGATGCATTCCCCAACATTCCGGCAGGACTTCCAGTTCCCCATGGTAAGTGAACATACTAACAACACAGGATTAACAAATACACCACAGCATGTGCTGCGAGAAACGCAGCAGCAACGCATAGCACGCCCGGGCTCGAACCAGCAAGCATACGCGAACTTGGCCGCAGACGAGAACTACCTAGTGTCACCCCACGGAACCCCTCAGGATCAGGGATTTGACGGACAATGTCTCGACGCTAGTGGTCTGCCAGGACCAAGGAATATGAACATACCCTTTGACATGTACAACGGGCCAGTACCGCTGAATATGTTAATGAAGAAGAACCAGGAGAGCTTCTCCGAGAATATGGCAGCATCTCAGGACTTCGAACTGTTCTCATCCAGCACCATGTCCACACCCACCTTTATGAACGCCCACGAGAGCTCGAGTGACGCTCCCGGCTGGATCTCCGACGGAGAGCCACCAAGCACCAGGCGGAACTCGAGGAGGATCAGCAACGGGATCGTGGACAGGTTGATCAAATTTGAAAACTTTGGAACAGACGGCCAGCAGAGACCCATCACCCCCCCTCACCAGAATGCTAATAGTAGGTTTTCTTACTGGAACGACGGGTATGGCAGTTGACTGACGCGAGACAGACTATTTCCCACTTACCCCTATTGACACACCTCATGATCGCACCATCAAGCACAAAGGGCCACAGCGATTTGCCGAAGGTTATGACGAGTCGATGGAAGAGACGCTCAAGCCCAACCGCCACACACCAAGTCGGCGGCCGAAGACGACCTTCGACGAAATGCGGCGGGCGGCCGAGTCTCAGCCGATGATGCCGGCGCCGACGAGAGCGAGCACCATGCCGATGCCGGTAGCGTACGACGCTCCCCCGTCATCACAGTCGGAATTCTTCGACATGAACCAAGTCAACGCCGGCATGACCATTCAGACGCAATTCGATCACCTCCAAGATCACCAGAACCCATTCAGCGGGACACCTGACTTGTCGCAGCACACCACCCCGGTCACACCAAGTATGAGAGATTTCAGCGGCGTATTCGACCAAAAACCAGACTTGCAACCACCAAGCATGAGCCAAGAGTTCTCGACAGACGGCTCACCTTCCACTTCCACGGAAAGGCCCTCGCACCGCGGCACTCATCGCAGAACCGAGTCGGTTGCCAGCATCGCCAGTATTCAAAGCGCGGCCAGCATCGCCAGCATCGACATCGAGCAGACCAAGATGACCACTGGTGTCACCATGGACGACATCCATCAGTACATTGAAGGCCCCGACCCACGAGACAACAAGTGGATCTGCACCTTTGAGGACTGCCAAAAGCGCTTCGGGCGCAAGGAGAACATCAAGTCCCACGTCCAGACCCACTTGAACGATCGCCAGTACAAGTGCCCAACATGCCACAAGTGTTTCGTCCGGCAACACGACCTCAAGCGCCACGCAAAAATCCACACCGGCATCAAGCCCTACCCGTGTGAATGCGGCAACAGCTTTGCTCGACACGATGCCCTCACTCGTCATAAGCAGCGCGGTATGTGCATTGGAGCCTTCGATGGCATTGTCAGGAAAGTGGTGAAGCGTGGCCGTCCTCGGAAACACCGTCCAGACCTGGATGAGCGAAAGGACAAGTCAACTCGCACCCGCCATAAGAACATGTCGGTTTCGTCCACGTCCTCTCAGTCTGGTTATTCCGACAGCTCGGCGGTCAACTCCCCGGAGAATCCTGACCACGAGAACGACTTCGACATGCTGGATGACATAATGGACGTCTCGCTTGGCGGCACGACAATGAACCCCACCAGCCTCCAGGGCATAGGGTCCTCGTCCGCGCCGATGGCGTCCCTCGGAGCCGATCTCGCCGCGAGCCACCACTCGCCGTCTGCCACCAGCGTACATTCATACGTCTCTCAGATGTCGCATATGTCACTTCACCACCCCGAGCGCATCGTCGAGACCCATTTACCGTCTCACCCCACTTCGCCCGCCAAGAGCGTTGCCAGTCAATACAACGAGCCACCAGAGCTGTCGCAATCGTCTTCCCCCCCATCCTGCCCTCGCTACTATGGCACGGAGCCGAGTTCGAGCGCCGGCGACATCATGAGCAGCTCCGCCTCACAAAGCACCAGCATCATCCCCAGCTTGGCGCAGGGGCTCGAAGATAACGATGACAACGAGGAGGAAGACATCTTGCTCCAGTTCACGCACAGCGGCGACCCCAACATGCTCATGCTCACCGCGGACAGCAAGTTCGACGAAGCCTTCGACAGCACGGTCGGCATGTTCAGTAACAACGATGATCTCTTCTTCGGCAGTGGGTGACTAGCGGACCCGCCACAACGATGGATGTCCTTCGTTTGATTTGATGTACGATCAAGTGTTCTTCGGTGCTTCTTGCAATTGTCTGTTCTGCTTCGGACCGGCGGCGTTCGTGGTCGTGTTTGGATTTTCGGCCGGAGTCTTACATGGGAAAAAAAGGTCGGACTGGACTTGGGTGGGAGGGAATCTTATGATGCCACGTTTGCGAAAGGACTACGGAATACCTCGCCCTTTTAATGTGTCAGATGTCTCGATAATAACGGTCAGGAGTGAGTGCATGTGGTTGTACGTTAGGAATGAAAATGAATATGAACCGGGTTTATGGGGAACGTATCAAGCAAGGTGCTACTAACTTCGTGATGGAACTGTGGTTGAGCTTTCAATTGTGAACGGATAAGATCAGAGAACCACCGTAGGGGAATTGGGTTCAATATCTGCGCCATGGAAATACGCGTGCCTCCCGCCTAATCCGGCCGGCTCTCTGGAGGACTTGTTGCATCCGTAACGATGCGGCAGCCTCCGGGCGGTTTAAGCCTGTCCACCCATCATAACCTGCATTATCCGCTTCAACGCCTCATCATCCGAAATATTGCCTTCCCCCTTGATAGCGTCGTACGCAGGCAGCAACACGGCTTCATCAACCTCCTTGTACTTACCATGCGCACAGTAAATTACCTGTCCCTGCCTGGACGCATCGACCATCATGTAAGCCGCCGCGCGCGCAACCGCCGACCCGGGCTGTGCCTCCAGGCCGAGGCCCTGCATTATCTCCTTCAAGTTGGGGAGGACGGCGGTATCCGTCCAGCTGGGCGCGAGCGTGTTGACGCGCACGGGGAGCTGAGACTGGTCGATGACTTGCAGGATTCCGCGCATGAAGCCTAGGACGCCATGTTTGGCCGTGCCTGGGTTACGGGTGTGAGAGTAAGTAACTGCACAAGCACGGAAAAGAGTGGAATAAAATGCGGGCTCGAGCCAACTCACAGTAATCCACAGCGCGCACACGATGAAATCCAATACTCGAGCCACAGGCAACGATGCTGCCTCCTTCGGGCTGCTGGCGCATGTACCACACAGCCAGCGTAACCGTGTTCATGACGCCCTTCAAGTTGACGTCCATCAGCTCGTGCGTGGGTTCTTTCAGGTCCCCGTTCTCATCCACCTCCGTTGCCAAATAATCAGCGCGGGGGGAAATCCCTGCGTTGGCGAAGACATGGTCGATGTGGCCATGGACCTCCTTTGCTTTCTTGAAGAGCGCGACGAGGTCGGCCCAGATGGTGACGTTGGTTCTCACAAACGTTAATGAGGTTGGTGACTCCTTTGGTGGCTGGATATCACCGCTGACCACTAAAGCTCCCAGTGAGAGTAATAGGTCGACCGTTGCTAGGCCGATACCCGAGGAGCCGCCTGAAATGGAGGGTTGAGCGAGTCAGTTGCATGTGGGTTGGTAGGGTCACATAAAACTCGACGGTGGGAAAGTTGGTGACTCACCTGTGACGACAATAACCTTGCCTTTGAGGCTGGTGAGATCAGCATCGTTAACGAGGAATTCGGCCATGGTAGAATATGAAGTGAAATGTGACAGACTTCGAAAAGATGACAGGATTTCACCGGGAAGAGCATGCGACTAAGAGTCGATCATGTTGGTTTTATCGGACCGTGGCTTCATACCATCGATGTGGATCTTGAGCGTTGATGGGCGGCTGCGGCCCGACTATAACGGACACTTGGCTCCTGCATGTTAAACTTTGTTAGCTTGCGGATAGTGCCGGGTTGCTCCGTATCCGTAATACTCGGAGCTCGCTGAGCTACGGGAGAAAGTAATGGATACTGGCACCTATCCACTGATCTACCATACCCAGTATAAAAGCATCTAATCATATCATATGTCTGTAATAACGTAGTTTCTCGGTACGGGTTTCAACATGGCAAATCTCGACGTCTTCGCTTCCAGGCTCATTACACACGTGCGTCCATGAACTAGGACCCCGGTAAACCTAGTTGCAATAACTGGCGGGTCCCAAGATGATCTCTCCCTTGATATACTGTGGAAAGGGGGCTCGATGCTCACAATATGTGATCCGGGGTCGAGGTTACACGGAGAGGCAAGAGCGGCATTCCTCTTTAGACTGCTTATGATTGAATGTAGTTTTCCTTTTCTCACTTGGAGACTTGCGGCGTTACGGGCTGTGGCGCACAGAAATTCCCTCAAAAGCAATAACCCACAAGTATAGTGGGGTGGGCGAGAATCCTGAGTGGAGCGGACTTCACTCAGGTTAATAAAATGGTAGTTTCTGGGGCATAACTATTTCGCATACTCCACGATATATTCAGGGGCATCAGCCAATCACGAAGGTAACCGCCTCCGCGGTTTCAACGCCCTCGTAACATATGTACAATTACGACAAATCAAGATCATGAGATCCCAATGTAGAACTGTTGAAATATGTAAATTGGGGGAGAAGCTGGCTGAGCAGTTGCCACTGATATAATGCTTGAGACCTGCATGCATGGTACGAGTGCTCGAATTCGAGCAATATTGCCTCTCGTTTGCTTCTCACTTATCAAGACGTTCTGGCCTCACGGCATTCTAAACTAGGCTACATTCCGACTTGACCTTCAACATGGTCAAGCCAGCGGGCGATGGCGTTCAACTTCTCTACACGTCCATAGTCATGATGTCGTTGAGCTGGGTAATGGTCATATCACGCGTAGCAGTGCGGAGATGGATCAAAGCCTTTGGCGTAGACGACTGGTTGATGATCTCTGGTCTTGTACGTACATCCAGCCTTCCTCCAAAGGACCAACTGCTGACTTGGCACCACCGCAGATGATCTATTCGGTGACGTGTTCGCTGTGTATAGTTTGTAGTTACTACGGTGCTGGCCAGTATAGAAAGGATCTTTCGGCGAGTGATGTTATGCAAGGGACCAAGGTGAGAGTTTTAGTCGAAGGTCGTACGACGAAGCTGACCATTACTTACCACAGCTTTTCTTCATTGCCGAGTTCTTCTACGCCTCTTGCACGGTACCCATCAAGAGCAGCATCTGCGTGACCCTTCTCCGGATCGCAGACCCACGCCGTCGATTCGTATGGACCATTTGGAGCATCATAATCGCCACCACGGCGACTTCCGTGATATTCATAGTCGCCATAGCCAACATCTGCCACCCAATCACCACACTATGGGGCGAAACCACGACAGGCACATGCAATCCCATCATCAATAGCACCGTCAGCTTTCTCTTCTCGGCCGTTTCCATCTTGACGGATTGGAGTTTGGCAATTCTTCCAGCAGTCTTGTTATGGAACATCCAGATGAAACCAAAGGTCAAGATCTCGGTTGCTGTGATACTTGGACTTGCCGCTTTGTGAGTATTCTCTGCAAAGCCTCAAATTAGGGGTCCCAGGCCAATTCCTGGACAGCTGTGACAAGACAGCATAACTGACTCTTTATTCAGCGCGAGCTGCGCGACCATCGTCCGACTCCGCTACCTCACTCTCTACAACAACCAAGCCGAATTCCTGCTCAGCACCGGTAAGATTGGTCTCTGGTCCATTATCGAAGAAGGCATCGGCATTATAGCCGGGTCGATTCCCGCCCTTCGGCCTCTGCTCAATCTGCCCTTGTTCGGTCGCAGCACCGTTGGTAGCGGTTCTCACGGGCGCCTGGATGATGGCAGCGGCGCATTTCGCTCGGCGCCCAGTCAAAACATCATCAATGACCGTCGCCATCAACATTCCGTCAAGATGGAAACGTACCTCACGGCGGCTGGAGAGAATGGCGGCAACAGGCATCGCGGGTCTGAGGACGCAGATAGCGAGAAGCATATCTTGAAGGAGACGCAGGTTTCCGTGACGGCTGAGCAATCTTCTGCGACGGAGGAATGGGGAACACGTCAGGTCCTGGGGTGGAAGAGCAGTGGGTACTGAAAAGTATAATACATTGTGCTCAATCATCGAACAGGGATATCCAACCACTGGCGCCACAGATACAGGATGGTTGAGTAAATGCTTGTGAAGCATGCGCGAATACTGCTGGTAGTACAAGTGCTGGAAACCAGGATTTTGCCGGCCTGGAAGACTCGAAGGCCTCTGAGGAGTTGTGGAACGGCCCATAGCCGACACCCCAGGGCCGGCGACAATGGAGCCGATTCTCGAGGGGGAATTAGTAGATATTTCCATATGCACGTAGCGCGCCGACGGGGAAGCCTTCCGCCAGAAAAAAACTGCCTTTTCGTGGAGCCGACGATCAAAATATTGCGGCGTTGACAAAAGTGGTTCTAGGTTCGGTGGGCTTGACATAGTATGTAACAGTGCATGGCGTAGCGCATTGCCCGCCAATTTGCATAATGAAATTCACAGGGGTTACTGCGTCTGGGCAGTAACATCCTCTTCACCGCGTATTCTGACCGCCAGCTTCGTAAGTCAAGGTACTTTTCTTTTCCCACCCGATTTCCTCGCCACATTTCCTTGCCGGCGCCTTATGAAAATTCGCTTGTTTCTGACTATCATGGTCACCAAACTGACCGCACACAGCGTCTCGTACCTCGGACGTCACTTGTTATGACGTGGAGGCAGCCATCATCGCACGCAATGCTTTCTTGTTTTCCCTGCGAGTTTCGTGCAGATGGTACATCATCGAATAGCATCCAAAAGCAAGCCCAGAAACTACTGGAATTGTCCAGTTCGCTGGCCTTCTGTGATGAGACGACCTTCTCGTCGTTCGGGATGCATGGGCTCGTTATGGCGCGCCATCGGATGCAAAGACGAAGTCGAGTTCTCTCTTCTGTACAATAGAGACTGTATATTGGAGCAGGAAAACCCCTTTGGTTGTTTATTCCATGTCCCTTCGGCCGCAATAAAGATTGAACCAAAGGCAGCTAAGGTGGGACTGGCGATCCAACCAACGCCTCGACACATCATAATTTCCTGTAATGCTGGCTTAGACACAGAGCTGGAGATCTACGAAATGATGATTAGTGGTGCCTCACGTGTATTCGTCACTAAGATCATGCCCGGTATATATGGTAAGCCTGCTACTGTCGGGTCTGCCAGTGTTGAGCACAAACCAGACCAGGTTGTGCCTCCACCTCACGCAATAACAATCATTGGGAATACAGATAACACGTCAGGTAATCTCAGTATCTTCACCGGGGATGTTGACATCACCTCGGAGAAGGGCAAAACCCTTCTAGCTGACAAGATTCCAATCGAGCTCCTTCCGACCTCACCGTTCATGGTCGATATCGTCTTTGGGGTGAGGGGTTTGGTCTGCTCTGTGACATTTACAGCCGTAGTTGAAAAGAGAAAAGCAAGACTCGCATCACAAGAATGTATAGCTACGTTGAATTCATTGCTCCGTTAGCGGATCCCTTAACTGCCGAGCCTCTCCCCGAGTTTATGTTCCCTTGCGGTCTCGGGGCAGATGCCATGCCCGTTACCTTCAACAGCGAGCATCTCGACCTTGATTCACTGCTAAGTCTCAGCGTTGAACCATCTGATCGGAAAGCTAATAGTTTGTCGGACGCACACGGAGTGCGAGTTCAAGAAGCCTGATGCCACTATTCTGCTGAGCGTTAACCTGGAGAAGCCGTTATTGTGTAGGTGTGGTGACGGGAAGTTTGCCCGAGAACTTCATGAATATCCCTGAATGGCATGCGTTGCGTGCGGGTTGCCATCAGTCCGATATTTTCTATTCCGTTTGTGGAGAACATCATTGACGTGGAATTGTGGAAGGTGCAAGATGTCGTATTGATCTAAGGAGTGTCAGAAGGCGGATTGGAAAAAGCATCGTATGGAGTATAAACAGGTTATGAGTTGGTCTTATAGGCATCGTGTGATAATTACAATGACTCGTTGAGACTCTGCGTACAGTGGTATAGAACTGACTGTCATTCGCAGGTCCAAGAACATCACAGAAACAGACTACAGTGCTTGCTATGGGGTGGGGCATGATAAACCTCACGATTAGATTTATATCCCTGGGATGTGTAACCCTGTGTTGCAGCCTATGCCCGATTTGCACACGGCAATGGAACATTGCGAGCTAGTCGTTGCGTTGTAATAAGACCATTTGTGGAGCGCATACGGGAAATATCCCGCGTGTAACCAATGATGAGACATCATCGTGACACAGCATACACATATACCAGCCCCAGAGCTGCAAAATGGAATAACAAGGAGGGTCAACCAGTCAAAGCTATATTTTAGTCGCGAATCCATGTCTTCATCCTCCCCTCCCGCCTCACGTAGAACCTCCAAACCAAAGAAAACCAGACTCACCTATTCTTCTTTCTCGACTCTGCTTAGTACACCTGAGAGCATAGCAAGGTAATGCACCAGAATGTCAAAACCGTCTGAGTGCCAAGAAATGGAAATGCCGTCAGCGCATTGATACGCTACGTTCACTCGGACGACGCGTGTAAGTCCAAGTTTGTATCCAATTGGCTTGGAGTTGTGAGCTGGCTGAAGATGGTGAAGCGACATTGCTATAAAAATATAGACCAGACCATCTGCGAAGCCTCTAGTTCCAAAAATGCACTCAAAATTTTATGTCATAAATCAGTTAAAAGTTCCGTGTCATCTGGCAGTCTGTGGGATAAATCCAGATATTGATCCCCTGCCTCCGCCACGAGTACTACCCTTACATGTTCAGTCACAAACCTATAAATCATGCATTATCATCGACAATTGATGATGCGAGCCAGGGGTGTTCCCCGCGTGGGGCTCAGTTTCTAGCGATCCTCTGAACCGTGTTCTTGGCATATCCGTTGCGATCGACACAATGCCATAGGAGTCCTTCGTGCCTTTACGGACACCATCACGCCTGCAAACATAGATGCCCTTACATGCAGATGCAGCTCAGGCCCCAGCGGGAATTGTTTGATGTCAGTTGATCGACCATGTACAGTTCTTCTAGTGGATTGTGGCTCGTTGTCGATCATTACGGACGCATTCGGGAAGGAGTGGGTCTCGATTAGTTGAAAATATCCACCCACTGGCGATTCCTTTCCTTGGAGGTTCACACAATCAGTTCTGCAGAAAGACCCTTGATGTTAGAATCTTTCGTTTACCAAATGGTTTCTTCAGATCGCCAAGACCACAATAGCCCCATACCTTGGGTCAGCACAGCCAACCGAGCTATACAGCACGTGTAAACATTGTACGATTGTACGAAGTTCCCAGCATTTACACCGAGCGTGACTGCAAGGGCATTTCCGAATCTCAAGTTCTCAACCGCCTTGCCATTGCGAATCTCCAGTTATGGCAGAGGGTATGAGCGCAGGCGCGCCCACTGTGTCCGGGACAGACGAAGCATTTCACCACAATAACCAACCACCACCGGTCATTGGTCTTTCCACCAGCGGATCAGCAAGCGACGCAAACGAGGGTAGCAACGCTTCGTCGAGGACGACCCATGCTACGGGCGCAGATGAAGGCGACAAATGCCTTGCGGCACCACCGTCCTCCACACCTCGACTAGACACAACGCCACCACGGCTGAGAGCCCATTTTCCAGATGAGTCACATCAGCTTGAGCATACGTTCTCTACGCGGCCCATACCAATTCAGACACGGTCCTCGAGGTATGGGGAGAACGATCGAGATCCTACCAGACATCGTGGCGCGTGGCAATCATTTCGAGATTGGTGGGAGGAATGGCGGCAAGATCTAGGCTCGCCGGAAAAGCACCAGGAAATCACCAACTTGATAGGTGCGTCATGAACACGATATCCGACGTATCATGAACAAGCTGGTTAACCACCGCCCATAGGGGACACGGGGATCGATGTGTATGCGATCCGAAAAATGAAGTCGCATGGGAGGATAGCGAGTCTGGTGAGATGTCCCATTCTTTAAATCTTACCTGCCTCAACCGCTGAATATCAACCAAGGTGGCACCATCTGTGATGCTCGCACGGCCTGGTTTGGGTCATACCGAGTCGAGCACAGCCGTGCCGACTCTAGGCAATTCTTCATACACCAGCTCAGGGTCCGGAACCCCTGGCACACCAAGGAAATTCCAGGCTGGTGTTGACCCTCATGAAGTTACTCATGCTCTGCGTAAGTTGAAAGAAAAGATGGCGCATAGCAACCATGCCAAACAAAGCAGGTACATACAGGCCAAGTCCGACTTGGCCCATCGTCGAAATCTGGTGCTGCTGATGGTGAGTTGTCCTCTTTCTCATGCAATGGCTTTAGGCCTGGCATACATGCTTTATGCCTACCCAGCTTCTGACCCCTCCAGGTATACGCCTTCATGGCCTACGGCGCCCCAACGCACCGCATCGAAGAGTACACCCTGGCGCTCTTCAAAGCGCTCGACATGGAAGGCCGTGTCAACTACACCGTAGGCTGCACCGACATATCCTTCATCAACCCCATCGACCCAGCCGACCCCATGACCCGGTCCGCCTACACAACCCTAGTCAAAGCCCAAGGTCTCGACATCGGCGCGTGCGAGATCAGTTTCCGTATCTACAAGGACGTCGTCCACGGTCAAGTCACTATCGAGGAAGCCACCCAAAAATTGATCGAACTCGTCGAGTCTCCTTCTTTTTACAAACCCTGGTCTGTCGTTCCTTTTTACGGCCTCGCGTCGGCCTTCGCTTGCATGTGGGTTTACGGCGGCTACTGGACCGATATGCCCATCGCCTTCACTCTGGGCTGCACTGTGGGTTTCCTCCAAGTAATCGTTGCTGCGAGCAACCCGCTGTACTCCAACGTTCTCGAGGTCACGGCCGCGCTCATCACCTCCTTCGGCGCCCGAGCCTTCTCGTCCATCGGCGGCTCGGAACAGAAGTACTTCTGTTTCGGTGCCATCGCCGAATCATCCATCACCACCATCCTCCCAGGGTACCTGGTCCTCTGCGGCGCTTTAGAGCTCCAATCCAAATCCATCACCGCCGGGTCAACCCGTCTCTTCTACGCCATCATTTACTCGCTGCTCCTCGGGTACGGCATCGACGTCGGCTCGCAACTCTGGGTCGTCATCGACTCCAACGCGCCAAACTCCGCCACTTGCCCACGCTCCATCAACCCCAGATGGAAAATCCTCCTCGTGCCCACTTACCTCGTCTGGCAAGCCGTCCTCATCCGTTCGCGCCCCAACCAGATCCCCGTCCAGGTCCTCCTCGGATCCGCGGCGTACACGGTGAACTACTTCGTCTCCCAATACGCCACGGCGCAAGTAGCCGACACCGCCTCGGCCTTCGTCCTAGGCGTCCTAGGCCACTTATGGGCTCGCTCCCGACGGGCCTTCGCCTTCGCGAGCGTAGTCGCGGGGATCATGGTCCTGGTCCCCTCGGGGTTGTCAGCTCAGGGTGGGCTGATTTCCGGCATCACGACGCCGCTGTTTAACAATGGGACGACGAGCGCCCAGGAGATCTACGAGCAGAACATATATCAGAGCTTTAGCGTCGGTGCGCAGATGATCCAGGTTGCCGTGGGATTGGCGGTGGGACTGTTTTTGTCGGCGTTGGTGGTGTATCCGTTTGGGAGGAAAAATAATGCTTTATTTTCGTTTTGAGGGGTATGGGATGAATTGCTTACAAAAAGAGGAGAGCGTGTATGCATACGCTCGCGCCGGGAAATTAGAGCGGTTTAGATGAGATCACCGTAGAGAAACTAATTTGAACTGGAACAGAAACGGTGTCGCGCATCGTGATTTTGGCTACTTTACAACGGTAGGCGCCTTTCCTTGGTAATATCGCTACTCCGAACAATATTATTGGATGCTTCCGAGTAGTCCATCAGAAGCACGCAAATAGGAGCTTGAGGCATCTATCTCTAACGCAGCAATACGTAACCCCCATGCCGGTCGTTATACTTGCCATACGGCGCTGAAATAAAACTGCCAGGCCTTAAGCCTCATTAGTGAACGACTTGCCTGCGCGTAGATGACCGATGGGTGGGACTTCGCGTGAACTTCAAATGCTGACAATTTCCAACAGCAGGAGCAAGTGACCTGCCGGATTATTCCCACGTTGTCAGCGGTTTGAGGCACATCAGGATCTGTCGTGTGATCTTTGTCCGTTCGAGGCTCGGCCACGTCCACTAACGTCAATGAGAGTATTCATGTCGCGAAAGTTGCGCTAGACAGCTAAGTGTTACGAAGTGTTACGAAGTGTTATAGTCAGGTGACGAGGACTACAGGAGGCCAGGCAAAATGGTGTTTAAATGCATGCCCTAGACCTTCCACCAGGTAATACGATATCGGCAACGAGAGAGGTTGAACATAAATCTATTCATTTATGCCAGCATAGAAGTCCATGGAATCCATACAGGTGCCTCGGAGAGGCTCGTCTAAGTCTTCTCCATACCCATATCATCATCGCCGTCCTCTTGGTCGCTATCATGATCTGGGAGACCAGGGCCATTTAGGTTCCATATATATTCTTCAGCCGCAACGGCAATGTCATCATCATCTTGGATATCATCTGGTACCTTGCCCTTGGTAGCCTTTCTCGAACCGCACCAAAACCCCATCGTTCACATAGCCGAAGTAGTTGAATTGAGGTATCAAAATCTTGTCCTTCAGCGGCGAACTAGCGACCCACTGAACGAAGACGTCCCTAACCTGCTTCAGCGACATCTCCGGAGTGTGAGCAAGTAAGACGATGTGGCTACAGCTTAATCCTCGAACTCACTGCTCATAGAATACAGGTCATAGAGCACAAGAGAACGCAACTTCATCATGTAACCCATGTGATTGATTTGCGCATGAAAGCATCACTGGCAGACCCCCCTTAAACTACCTCGCAATAGAGGCGTGGTAATATGCTCCAACTTTGCCTTTGTTGAGAACCATGGGCTCATCCACCACCAAAGCGGCCGCAACGTTTTACATGTCGTCACCCGATTTGTCTCAGAGTTACATACAGCCTTGGGACTTTGGAAATGTTCTCGTAAAAGCAAAGGTACACATGTGGAAGACGGACAACCCTGCCTCAGCCACCACCGTCAAACTAAATCCTAGCCCTTCACTTGGACACCGCAGGTACCCTGATACCTGAGTACGCACGACCCCTGCTTATCAGGCTCTTCGCTCCTCGCTCGTCACCACGATGTAAGACTCTACCTATCGCCCCTTAAACACAGGCTTCCTCTTCTCCCGAAACGCCTCAAGCGCCTCATCCCGATCCTCCGTCCTAACAACCCTCTCATACATGGCATTCTCCATCTCCTCCCTTGCCCAACTAACAGCCTGCAGCGCCGCCCTGACGGCCACGGGCCCACCCTCGCATATCTCGCCCGCCATTCTCACCGCCTCGGATAACACCAGCCTCCTTGCCCTCGTTGCCATGCCCTGCGCATCATTACTATTTCCACCCTCGGCAGCAGCCACACCGTCCCGCTCGTCCTCAGGCATAACCTCCACCAGCCGATCCGCAATCCCCAGGAAGTAGGCCTCGGGCGCCGAAACGCGGCGGCCCGTGAGTATCATGTCCTTGGCGCGATTGAGCCCGATTAGAGCTGGTAGGCGGTACGTGCCGCCCGCACCGGGGATGATGCCGAGTCTGGTTTCGGGCAAGCCGACGGTGGCGGTCGAGGCTAGGACGCGGAAATGGGTTGAAAGGGCGAGCTCGAGGCCGCCGCCCAGCGCAAGGGACGAGATGGCAGATATAGTCGGGATAGGGAGGGCAGAGAGGGATGCGAAGGTGCTTCGGAGGTTGGCGAGGAATTGCGATGTTCTGTTTTACAGGTCAGTCAATTCGTCCATTCGGTCGGTTGCAACAAGAACGAGCACTGAGGATTGGTCAATGGAATGGATGTAGAGACAGTAGAAAGAGACAGTATTCACTCTTCAGTTGTGAACCCCCTCCGCTCCTTCAAATCCGCCCCGGCGCAAAAACTCGCATCCGAAGCACTGGCGAGGATAAGCGCCCGCGTAGGCCCGACCTTGTTGGAGCCAGCTGCTCCGTCAAACCGCGGCACTTCGGGTACCTCGTTGCCTTCCGACGTATACTGCGCCTGGACATCTTCGACCTCGGTGCGCACGGCTGCTAAGAGGGCTTTGGAGATGGCATTGCGCGACGAGGGCCGGTTCAGCTCGAGGACTCGGATGTGGCCTGAGCCTGGTGCCGCGAGGTTGGTTACGCGGATGAGCGGTTCGGCGTCTCTGGAATAGGCCCGGATGAAGCGTGCTGAAGCTCTAGAGCCGAGGCGCAGGGGTCGACGCGGAACCATTGTGAATTGCTCAATTGAAGGACTTGAGATTGATGAGCTTAGAAGCTGCGATGTTGTTTTCTGAAGCACGAGTAGCTGACGTCCGCGGTCGAAGTCGGCTATCGTCGGGTTATCGGCGCATTGTCAGTCTTGACTCATTGTAACTGACAAACATTGCATCTAGGCGTCAGTACTGTGTACTCGTTGGATGAGATATTATCATGTCTGTAGCATTGGAACTTCCCTGAGGCGCAAACCCAAGGAGGAGTTGGGTGATCGAGTGTTTGGTCAAGATTGGCACAGCATCTGCCATCCACCTGAATCGCGAACCATAGCCACGAGAACCTTCTCATCATGTCGTCTCCCACCAGTATGGAAAGGCAAGGTAAACATTGGCAACAGCCTGGATACAGTTGTACGCAGCATTCTGCATGAGAGAAACGTCCGCATACAATGAAAGATTTACATGTGAATGTGGATTGCTCAGTTGATCGAGGGAAGCTGTGGCTTTTTAAGACGAAAACTGTCCCACGGAGTCATATCAAGGGGGGAAGGGAGTAGGGGGGATTTTGGAGGCGGGGGTCTATTCATCCATTATTTCAACATGTCGAACTGACGAGTCGAGTTTGTTCTTCTGTTTGGTTGTTGTGCTGGTTTGATGAATCTTTGGACCTGTTACCTATTTGAGCACCGAGACGTGGAGTGATGATTACTTGTGCGTCATCTAATTGGCTCAATCAGCCCCCCAATGACGCTCATGAATGTGACGGGGTTTTTAACCCGAGCCCAATGCGGCCAATGATATTTGACACTGTTTATACTTCGACGACCACGTGGCGGCTATCAAACTATACCAGTTAGTCCTTTTTGTTTTCCGCTTTTCTCGACGATAATGACATCTGAAAGAAAGGGCACCAATGGAGCACCGTCTTCACTGCCTCCCGAGGCCATTGAGTTTGCCGGACGCATGTTCAATGCCGCTCGCTCTGGCCAGAAAGACATCTTCGAGCAGGCCCTACCAGCTGGGTTACCGGCTAACCTGACCAACGACAAGGGCGATTCTCTTGTATGCTATCTCAAGCTGCCGGGTGCTTCATGTTGGGAGTGTGTTGTATGACTGACATTACCACTCCGCACAGCTCATGCTCGCAGCCTATCATGGTCATGTAGATCTAGTCAAGCTGCTGATACAGCACGGAGCCGACCCGAATCGGGCCAATGACAGGGGCCAGAGTCCGCTAGCGGGCGCGGTGTTCAAGAAGGAGGATGATGTGATACACGTACGTGCCTCGAACGCCGACGCGCTTGTATTATTGTCGGTGTCCTCTTGTCGAAGAACATATGCTGACATACCATCAGGTGTTACTTGAGGGTGGTGCTGATCCAGATCATGGAACCCCGTCTGCAACGCAGTGCATAGCAATGTTCAAGCAAGAGGATGAGTGGAAAGACGAGTTCGAGGCAGCCCCTGGCAAGGGCAAAGCCATAAATGTGTCCTTATGACGCTGGGGCCTCCGACAAAGACCCCCGGTACGAAGTCCAGCGTATGTGCTTAGGAGGACTTGTCAATCTGCATGATCTTGAGGGCATTTTCTTATTGCCAACTTGTCCATTCTGGTTCTATATATTAATCCACCCAATCGAATCGATCAGCCGCGCCTATCTTTGCCCCTGCGTGACGGCTTCCCGACAACGTGTCGTCTTCCAGCCCACCTTGTCATTCAATGCGAACTGATAAGTATCCTTTTGTGTGGCCCCGAATAATATCAAGCCAGATATCGAGCCAGACACTCTTCGTGGTGGGGGCCATAACATTCAGGAGTTAGTCATTGGGCCGAAAGGGAAAAGGCGGAAAAAAGAAGAGAAAATTGAGAACAGACGACTCAAACAAGAAAGGAAAGATAAGGGAAGAGCGGCAAATGACTCGAGATGTTTGTGTTGACTCTTCGATGCAACGAAAAACCGGCCCTAGCCAGAGCGGTACGGCGGCTATCAATTCTGCGATGAAATTACTGTCCACTGCTCATGCAACAATACCCATGATACCAAAAGTACATTACTAATATTGCGTGGAAAGGAAAGAGCTGTATCTTCTGGACAGACAACGATGTCAAACTCACTGATCGGCTCTCGAATATCAGCTTGATCCCAGGGGCGCCTCGGATTGATCCTGTTTATACGCGGTCAGCAGATCTCCCACACAGTTACCGAATCCGCAAGATTTGATGGTAGCCAACGCCACGCTTCTCGTTTGAGTCACCAGAGTGATAGATCCAAGGCAGGATTATCTATTTGCTGGACAGATGTGGCTGGCCATCGAGGTGATGAGTGCCGTCGAGGTCGCCGGGGGCATCAAAAGCATGTCTCAGCAGACTTTTCAGTCGTGGTCCGCATTAAATCGCGGCTTTTTTTCCACTGTTGAGAGACCAGTGGTGCAACGTACAACCACAGGACCTCTGGGGGTGTGGTCTGAATGGGAGGATGGCGACTATCTGAGATACAAGCTGTCAGTCTGACGCATGTATCAATCCCCTCAGTCGGCCACCCGATGGCCCAGTCGACCAGGGTATCGAAGCTTCAGCCCATCTAGACCCGACTCGAAAGTATCCTACGATAATTGATCTTTTGGTGTGGATGGACAGTTAGCCCCACGCGAAAGTTTCCTGGGGGTGGAGGGGGTGGCACCTAGATACAGTTCTAGGAAAAGGATGTGGCAGATCCTCATATGCCTGAGTCCTTCGAGTACTGAATGTGCCATTAATCCAGAAGATCCAGAGTGGTTGATTGGGCAGTTTCACCGATGCCGCTGGACTACCTATATCCGAACAGCACCTTGTACCAGGTACCTCTTGCAGTTTATCTCGACCGGACCCTTATGCAAGGCTGAAAGAGCCAAGACCGATCTTCCAAGTCATGCACTCCCTCAATTGGATGTCCATTATTTGGACCCAGTCCCTCAACAAACGCTCAATTGAACTCTGCATAGATTGCCGTGACCAAGGGTATTGATGTCCACCAACTCGCAGTTTTCTCCACTGCGAGCTGAGAATCTGTAGTTGACGCACAATAATGATTCAGAGGCCATGCTGGCGACTCACACCCGACTGAAACACCTCTACTAGTCTGCCTAAGTCAAACGAAGTGATGCCTCCAGGAACGCAATGCAATCAGATGTGAGCTTGGGAAGCTTCATTGGCGCATCACCACGCTGAACCCTTCTGGAGTCAATCACGGTCACCCGCCAGCCAGACCACGGATACACATCCTCACAGAACTGCCCCAAAAGTCTGACCCCTTTGGCTAACCATCATGGATGACTGCTGGCACCACATTTGACCCGAGTAGACCAGAGCTGTGATGTGTAGGTTTCGTTACAGTTGTACCTGTTAGGAAGGACGAGGATCCCACTGCTCCATATGACTGACTTTGACTTAAGTGTGGGAGTTCTTGGAAGTACCGTGGTACCTCTTCACCATGTGGTTGGTCACTGTTGCCTTTGGGTGGTGATGCTCGATGACTTTGGAACTCGATATCCGATAGTGAACGGTAGAATTCTGGGAGGGAACAGGTGCTTTGATAATTTGGCTTCAAGTTACAAATGCATTTATGCTCGTCAATCTTGTCGTGTTTTAGTCTTGGGCGTGCTGTGGTATCGAAAAGCCGGGCCAGTCCAAGAGGAACGGAGTGTGTTCTGAATACTTCCATACTCCGCCCTCTCGTCATGTTCAGAACTCAAATCAGGGACGGCGGCTGATCTTTTCCTGTCCTGGTTCATCAAAAGAGGGCATTTTACGCGAGAAGACTCACAAGGATGACAGAAAGCTGCAGAAAGTGCGTTTGCTATCGCCAGAAATTCAGGCCAAGAGGACATCTCCATGTTTTCCACAAATAAAAGAACCTCCCACATTTGAATCGATTTCTGAACTCGAATCACTACTTACCCAAACCCAGTTTTTATGCTCGTGTTCGAGCGTCGAACAATCAATTATGTGCGTCCGAGAGCCGTAGGCCGCTCTTATACCCCTCCCCAGAGTCCTGTCAATACACTCTGGCTACCAGCGACTTTCGGAGCGAATTCATATTATCCGTCCATCCTCCCGTTCTATAACGATGGAAAGCTACCGAATGAATTTCCATGCTGTAGCGAGTAGTGGAACTCCTTCATGGTTGCCCTACGATCCAGTTAACCCTCACCAAGCAACACAATCTCGTCCCTCTTCGTCAGCTGTATACGATTCTATTGAACCTGATGACAGCGGCGCACCAGCGGGAGTCGCTCATCCCACCACCTTGCCAATATGGAACAAGGGGCCGCTATTTGACATCAATTTCAACCAGTTCGCTCAAGGCGCTGAAATACAGCCCACGGCGTGCGCCTCTCCTCCAAAAAGCGCCAGGATACACCTATACTCGAAAATACCAGCCCACACATCATTCTTGGGTCCGCTTCATCCATCAAACATTGGTTTAATATTGCCACCTGTTGCATCACCGCCAGGACTTCTACCTTCAACAGCGTGGAGCCTGCCTCCGAATCATTTTAGGACACATCTGTTCTCGCCAGTTCATGCCGGGCAGTTGCTCTTGACTTCCCTTCCTCCATTGATTTATCCATTGGGGAGAAATAGCAGCGCACTGGCTCGCGATGATTACCATCGTGCTTGTGAAACATCTGCCTACCACAGATCCAGCCGCATGCTTGCCGAACCGGCCCGGCAAACAGTTCGGAGCACCAGCGGCTCCAGCAGAGCCATGAGCGCTTCGTCAAAGAGACGAGGAGATTCTTCATTGGAAGATGAAAAACCTCGAGCAAAACGTGTGGCTAGGAACATTGGAGAACCTGAAAGCTCGAAGCCGTGGCGCACGACGAGCATAATGGTAGATTGCCCGGAGAAATCTGCGGCATCCGTAGAGCGCACTACGTCGTGTCCCCCGCTGGGGCTTCCGAGGCCTCAGATTATGGGCCAGGATGTCCACCAAACATATAACACGAGCAACACCCAATCTCTAATCCCGATGCATACATACGGGTCCAATGGTGCTACGGGCACCACAAAGTCCGCGCCTCTTCATCTTCCCCCACCACACGGACATGACCATATCCGCATGAGATCCTCAGAACCGCCCTACTACAAGATCTACGAACCTTTCACCATGGAGCAGCGTTTGGAAGCAGTCGCCGATTGGACTCGATATATCGTGATGACTCGAAATGTTGATGCTTCCGGGCAGTGGATTAAGCGCTGTGGGTTGGCAAACCTCCTAGATTGTCTCCACGTCGTCATAATGACACCGGAGGCAGGTTCTTACAGAGCCAAGGAGCTGGACGAGAAACTGCCGCAGATTAAGGGCTTCCTCGACTCTATGTACAGGTTCTGGCCGTGGGCCACCCCGAAGGGTGGAAATTTGAAAGTGGAGATTGTGCAGACTGCTTGACACGCCTGTGCCTGGAGTACAAGCCTCGCTGTATTGATCACTGCTGTGAACTTTGCAGCAAAAAGCTCGTTTTGTCCCGACGTCCTGAAGGAACAAAAGAGAAGGACAGAACGACATCGGAATGACTTGTCTACTATTGGGTTCTCACAGTCGATTGTGGTTTCTTCGTTGCATTGGAAACTCTAGCGCGCGGTTTTCCTATTTCGGTTGCACGTTGTATCGGCCTTACAAGACAGGGGGTGGCCGAAGTTATATAATAGTAAATGTCAAGGGCTATATACGCTCGCTGAAAATCCAGCAACCGTCTTCTATCCTCGGCGGTGTTGTCTTGTCTTTTATAGGAGTTGGAGATGCAGGTGTCGTACGAGTGGGATTCGCTGTGTTTGAACTAGTCGACTGTAATCCAGGAGTCCAGGGGTCCAATGCGAACGGCATTGGGTTACATTGATTCAGACCGCGCGTCTATAACTGCAAAGGTTCAAGGAATGCTTCAATTGTCACTACTGATACGGCTTTCTCTATTGAGAGGTTAACATTCTATTGATGTAGAATAAGTTAGTGGAAATGGATTTGAGCCGAGTTTGCCTGCGACCATGCATCTGACAGTTTAAGGAACCGAGGTGACTCTTTGGGGAGTGTTTCACATCAAGGCGAGAAAGTATTATGCAAAGTAAATGAGACGCGTAAAACTCGCAAACAAAATTTAATTGTCCTCCTATACTAAAGTAAGCTCAGGGCTATCTAACCATTATACATTAAATTACTGGGGCCAAATCAGATCCCGTATCTGAAGTAATTGCTCGCAGAACTAGAAATGGAAGCAAAAGGTGGAAAAAGGCCAGAAATAAATAGATTATGTTAGATTACGATCACATCGTAGATATTTTTCATGAAAGGATTAATTAAATATGCTGATAGCTCAACGTACCCCACAGTCCAATTGAACACTTCTTGAGATCTCGTACAATAAGATGTAAGTGGATTCAACCATATCGTTACAATCAAAATAAAAGCACTCGTAAATATCTTCTGCAGATATTTTTTTACTATTCTATCAAGAACGCATATTCTAACTGTCAGGGTACGGCTAGGCCGAAGGCAATAGTACAGAGTGATGGGGAGTAACGGGCGTCCCTCCTACGTAGCACCGGGTGGTCACTGGCGGTCTCAGGTAGGGGTGCCCACGGTGATGCATTGATCTCTGCTCCTTCCCTATCCTACTTCGAGATGGTCCTTATATAGATAGCTAGGCCGCCGCTTGGACCCGGCATAACAGCAGGGTCGGCGATGCCAAGGATCTTGACTCTCGTCATCCCAAAGCTTCACATAGATTGTAATCATGATTCGGGAGTCTTTTGTCCGAAACACCCCTCCGGCGGCCCGCCGGTGTCCTGCGTTCAGTGTCCTGACACCCACTGGTGCCTATGGCATTCTGTTCTCTGACACTAACCAGTCTCTCCGTACGCCCTATAGAGTCGCTAGCGCGTCTCCGGCCTCCTCGTACGACTACGACTCCAGCGCGATTCATCTTGTAACTATCCGTTAACCTACTTCTAAGGCTATATATCTTCAGCTTATATACGAAGTGATCCTTTATCCTGTAAACGGTTTTTTTCGTATGACGCCGCTAGCTAAATATCGTATTTACCTTTCGAAGCGCGGCATTCTTACCCTCTAAAAGAACAAGCCGGTATATAACTTACGTCGCACCCTTCGTAAACTAGTTAAGAGCAGTAAGTGTAGTTATCAGAGAGCTATTTTAATATAGTACGATTCGAGTTTTCACGTATTCAGTCTAGGATTATGCCTCAATTAGGTTATTCGGGGTCTTCGATTCCTAGATAGTTATATCCTCCTCTTGAATTCTATACTTGCTAATTATATTCCGTACGAGAGTAAAACACGGGCGATACGCGTCGGGATCTTCGCAGAAGACTCTCTAGTAGTCGATGCTTCGGTTAAAAAGCGTCCCGAGGTCTAGTTATCGTCGTACGAAGCTCGAAGCCTAGTTAACGCCGACGTATCCCTCGTCGCGTTAGTAGAGTATTCGATTCGCTATGTCTTCAACACCACTTATCCAAGGAGGGAATAATCGTAAAACTAGGTCGACTATACATCTTAAGATCGTATCTTCTTCGGAATAAGTAAGCTTTTGCGTTAGTAACAGTGTATCCTATCGTGAAGTACCGCCGCGATATCAGTAACGTAAGTTTGTACCGGGGATATTATAGATCCGTGCTACGGATCGTACGCTTAGTATAGGGTTATTTTGAAGCGCTAATTGAATGTCGCTTTCTTCCTAATTACGTACTATATTGAAAGATGAAAAATAAGGGACGACGCCTAAGTTGTACGGAAATGCGGGAAGGTGTTCAATTAGACCGTGGGGTACGTTAGATGAAATATATAGAGTTAGTCACCAGCGTTTTAGTCTGGGAGGGACCCAGACAGGAACGCGAATATAAGTTAGAATAAATGCATTACTGCAATGTCAATAGAAAAATTGATAAAGATAGATAAAGGAAAATACACAAAGAAAAAAAAAGAGACAGAAGACAAGTAAGGGGAAACAACGGGAATACCACCCTCACAGAGCCCCTTCACTACCACTTGACCCATCAAGTTACTCCATACACCAACCGCCATTCCCACGACTTATTACTTCCGCCTACAACTCACACCCATCCCAAAGACAGCCCCCCTCGCCGACCCGGATGGATCCACCTCCATATTCTCCTCATAAAACCCAGCCCATAATCCGTTTGCCAGCGGCATCGCCAAACGCATCTTGAGCACATAGCGCCTTCCGGTTCCACAGCCCGGAACTTTTGCATGAATCTGAAAACTGTGTACTTAGCCACGACAAGGGCAAACAGTTCGCCGGGGCAGTGGCGCCGGCCCTCAGAGAAGGGCATGTACGAGTAGCGCGGGCGGCTTTGAAAGCCCTCATCGAGCCAGCGGTCGGGTTGGTACTCGTGTGCGTCGGGACCCCAGATTTCGGGGTCCATATGGATTGTTGGCACGCCGGCGAGGATGTAGGTCCCCTTGGGCAGGAAGAGCTTCTGGCTGCCATCGGGACCGCCGCGGTGGGGCAACGTGGTGTCGTTGAGGACGAAGCGGTTGTCGACGGACCCAAGGGAGTAAAAGCGCAGTGCTGTGGAAAAAAAAGAAGAGGTCAGCAAAATTGTTGAATGACAAGACAAGGAAAAGGCACTAAAAAAGGGTTTGGAACGGGGGTCAGCTACTCTCGCAGATAACGCCGTGAAGATATTTCAGCGAATTGACCATGGCCTCGTCAGGCTTCTCCCCACCCAGTGTATCGATTTCAGCCTGCAGTTTCTTGAACAATTCAGGTCTGTGACTGAGCTGGTAGAGCAAGTGCGACAGCAAAGAAATCACGCCGTCTGTCCCGGCGCCAATCAAAGTGACGACCTCGCAACGTGCGGCCTCGAGGTCATTGGTGATACCCAAGAGACGGTCCACATAGACAAACATAGACATGTCCTCGCCCTTCTCCCACTTGTGGAGCGTCATTTCTTGGGCCTTCTGCTCCCGCTTTGCCACGACTTCCTGTAGGTAGTAGTCAATGACGGCGTGGATGTGCTTCGCGGCGCACTCGAGTCGACACTGCTCAGGGAATTCCTGCCAGAAGAAGAAATACCGCTGGATGGACGGCTTGCGCATGCGCCGCCAGAAGACGACATCGGCCCCAGATTCGACGTCGTCCCTGAGCGCGTTGACTTGAGCGCTGAAATCTTCGTCTTGGCCGATGCCGATCAAGAGTTCCATGACAATCTCATGAACGAGTTCCATGACCGTATTGTGGTACTCGAGCGTATGGCCATCGCGGGGTAGTCTGGCGGGTAGGTGTTCAATTTGTTTGTCTAGCCGGTCGAGCCGCATCATGCTCCTGTTGTCCAGAGCCTCCTTGGCCATATCGCGGCTCTTCTCCCATTCTTTATCGTCCGTCACGAAGCCACCGCCCTTGATGAAGGAGCCCCATCGCCGCCTGCCCGCCTTGGGCCCCTTGCCGAAATTGTTGATGTCGTTTAGGAGCCATGTCAGATTTTCCCGGTCCGCTGTGTGCACCACGTCAAAGTCGAAGCCTGTGGCGATGAATGTGGGGCCTACCTTTGCAAACCGGCTCTGTAGTTCCTGGGTGAGCTTGCCGGCGCGTCCGGCGTTTTGCAGCGACTTCCAGAAAGTGAAGCCAAAGACACCTTGGTTCAGGTAGTAGATACCCCTGGAAGAACCGGTCCGGCGCATGAAGTCGGCATCAGATAGGCGGATGAGGATCTTTCGCAGCAGGAATGAGGTAATGGAGATGAAGATGAACACAAATATGAGTCTGTTGAGTTCAACGGCTGTGGTGTCGAGGAGGCGGACCGTCTTGTCACTGACGCCTGCCAGTCCCTTTTGCAGTAACTCCATCTTGTCTAATAAGAGCAAAAAAACTGGTGAAAGTCTGTTTTAACGAGTTCCCATATTTGAGGGGTTGAGGGGTATCGGTATCCCTTATCCTCAATCCCAGTTTCTCATCGGGATTCAGATTGACAGCTTTGGCGAGACAAATTGTTGGTTTCTCAACTGAGATCTGGAAATATATTAGTCGTGGAGTCTGCATTACAATGCGTACTGAAACCTACGTCGGGGTTAATCCGATCGAGACTTGAAAATAACCTATAATGATAGCAGGTTGCGGCGGTCAAGCACAACTCAAGTTGAAGTTGTGACCCGCACAGCTTAACTCCAACTTCTTACTCACGTGCTGCATGATGCCAAAAGGCAACAAATATAGTTTAGAAACGCCGCTCAATATGGTGAAATGTCGTGAGACTCGATGAGAAAATGCGCTCCATATTCTGACCATCTTGTGTTTGCTGATGTGCAGTTGAACTCAGGTTCAGGGATATCCAGCTGAGCGGTCTTCACGTACACTCGTACACTCGTGGGACTTGCAAAATGCAAGGCGAACTCAAAATCTGGGATGAGACTTTGCGACCCTATGCGTGTAACCAAGCCTAACCCAGCTGCACACATGAGCCGAGGCAAGTCCCTCAACCCAAGTATCTAATTCTCGTCGATCCCCGCTTAAATGCCATCAATACACCACTTGGTCGAACAGATCTTACAACCAAACCTTTTCAAAATGCTTCTCCCAAACTAATGTCAGCCCTCCCGCTCATTGACAAACCATGGCTCCTCCACGCGTAGCCCCATTCTCTGAGCCCCTCATCCCTCAGCTTGACCTTCCCACCAACCCCTACTACACATCAAAACACCACCGTCTCCGCGGCTGCGTGCGGCACTTCGTAGACACCGAGCTCGCGCCCCACGCGCAAGAATGGGAGACGTTCGGGCAGGTCCCGGAGTCGGTCCGGCTTTCGTTCTGCAAGCAAGGGTTCGCGGTCGTTCAGCCCGTTCGCGACCCAGCTGACGCTGGCGGTGTGCTGTTGCCAGCGGGAATCCCGTATGACGAATGGGATACGTGGTGCAGCATTATCGTGGCTGATGAATTGAATCGCATGGGGTGGTGCGGGGTCATTTGGGGGTTGTCGGGCGGGAACTCGATTGGGTGCCCGCCTATCGAGCGGTTCGGCACGTTGGAGCAGAGGCGACGATGGCTGCCGAAAGTGGCGAGAGGAGAGATCAGGTTCTGTTTAGGCATTACGGAGCCTGGTGCGGGAAGTGATGTGGCCAACATCGCAACTACTGCGGAAAGGAGAGGCAATGTGTATGTGGTTAATGGGGCCAAGAAGTGGATTACCAACGGGATCTGGGCCGACTATTGCACGACCGCTGTGAGGACCGGGGGCCAAGGACATGGAGGAATTAGTGTTCTCGTCGTGCCATTGAAAGCAGGGGGGGTGAGCAGAAGGAGGTTAGAGAACTCGGGGGTGCACGCAAGCGGTACGTATATACACCTGTATGTCCATATCTTGCAGCGATGCTGATATCTGGCCAGGCTCTACCTACATCACTTTCGAGGATGTTGAAGTCCCTGTTGAATATCTAATTGGTGGCGAGAATCAGGGCTTCGCGATCATCATGTCCAATTTCAACCCCGAGAGGCTCGGCCTGGCCACAGCGGCACTTCGTCTGGCACGAGTGTGCGCACAAGATGCATACTTCTATGCGTGCGAGAGGGAGACGTTCGGCAAGAAATTGATCGAGCACGCTGGCATCAAATCCAAGATCGCAACGTTTGGGCTGCTAATTGAACCAGTCCATGCATTCTTAGAACAGCTATGCTTCATCATCGAGTCGTCCCGAGTTAGTGGCCGGGAGGTCAACGTTAGCGGCATGACGGCGCTGTTGAAAGTCATGAGTACCAGGTGTCTGGAAAAGGTCTGCCGAGAGGCTCAGCAGGTCATGGGCGGTGCCGGGTACTCCAAGAGCGGCCGTGGTGCCAGAATCGAGCAAATAAGCCGAGATGTGCGTGTGTATGTTGTCGGTGGCGGAAGCGAGGAGATTATGTGCGATCTAGCCGTACGGCAAGAGGCGAAGGATGTGCGGTTTCGTGCTGAGCGTTCGAAGTTGTGACCATCTTGCATCGAGGTGAGGATGGAAACACGTTATGAAAGTGCCATGAGAAAGCTGGACACTATCTAAGCTAGCCTTTGCAAGTCCCTGGGTGTTCCTCTGGTGGCATTTTGAGCGAAAAGTATTTTCCAGCATTGATGGGAAGTTATTCCCCCTCAGCCCAACGCAATGACTGGCTGTGAGAGTCCTGGGGCTTGCGTGGCTACGTTTGCCCTCCGAGTCTGCCGGGCGTATTGACGCCGTGCAGAAGACAACTTTGTATAGCGCTTTCATACTGGCTTCGCCGCGATTATTGTAATTCGAAGGCGCAATCAGTTGCATCCCTATTGGAGAGAAACGGTGGAAGGTTTGGAGAAAAACAATGCCCAGAGTGCCCAACACCTCAGTGTTGACACAATCTGTGGTCACCAACCAGTCCACAGAATCCCAAGACTCGAGAGATACGAACTGCGCAATCGTCGACAATGATGTTGGTGTTGGTGGACGCAACAGACTTCTCGAATCAGATGAAATGACCCCTTCGCACATTCGTGGCTGTCCTCATCGCCGTTGTCACCATTCCCTGGTACATCCAGGCGACCCTCTGATCCATGATTCTGGAGTGGAATGTTGTGCAGAACCTTCTCGCCATGTCCTTTGGAAGGAGGTTGATCTGACTGACCCAGTCCAACTGGTTTGTATAGCACTTGATGGGATCATGGCTGCGCAGACTTATCGTGTGAGTAAATATTGTGGTCTTGACTTTGCAGATACTTAGGTGCATTAACTGGCCTGTAAGCTCATGACACGGCGCAGGATCTGGTCTCGTGGGATCATAATACTAGGACTCACCCTTTTAGAGGCCATAGGTTGGGTATTGGGGCCACTATTGGTACATAGTACATGTGCCACTGACCCTTGAAGTCTTGGGGCATGTATTTCCACAGCTAACTCGCTCAGATCCTTTGTGACCATGTGGTACTTCTGCCAGCAATAGCTGGATTGGAAATCTCAGAGCGGGCATGGTTTACTCTGCTGGTCTGGGATCTCTCCACGTTAATCGTCCTTACCAGCACAATGTTGCAATTCGATTCCGAGGATACATGAAACGCGACAGATTGGATTGACCAAGAACGACTTTCAGGACCATGGACCACGCAGGATTTTCTCTCTCGCAAGATTTAGCATGTGTAAGTGAGTATATATGATTTAGAGTGTAGCCTGCACTTGATTTGATTTGTTGCGCACCTGCGAAGTCGACGATAAAGTATGATGGAGGAAGCTGTCAGACTGCATCACGAAGGTTGATCGCTGGGCCAACGCAAGCGCAAAAATCCACTTTTGGCGTCCCTGGCCAGCGCACAGAGCTGTACACGTACCCGCCCTCACCACGGACCATGACACGAATCACGAAAAGCGGTGACCAATTTCCCACCACCAGAGCTATCAATTCAAGGAGTACCCAAGACATCATTTATGGTCCAAATCTTAGTCAATTCACAGTAGATCTCCTCGTCGAAGATGTCTGTCCGAGTGGTCGCACGTATTCGTCCACTCCTCTCGAAAGAGATGGACAAGGACATTATTGTGCATGCTGGTAGTACTGACGATGGCAAGCCTAGTACCCTGGTCCGGATCCCGAGTCCCAAGAACGAAGCTGAAGAGTTTACGTTCGCGTTCAACAGCGTCTATGACATGTCCACGACACAAGAGGAGCTGTTTACAGCAGAGGGTACGCGACTTTAATGATCTGCGACCACTTCGCCAGCTATGTCGCTGACCTTGCTTTTTCAACAGTTGCTCCACACCTCAAGTCGCTCTTTCAAGGCCTTGACGTGACAATATTCGCGTACGGTGTCACTGGAACCGGCAAGACACACACGATGCGTGGTGGACTGAAGCTCGCGGAACGGGGCGTAATTCCCAGGCTCCTGAGTGGCGTCTACCGTAGGGCAAAGAAGATCGCGAAGGATTCGAACGGCGAAACGACGGTGTCCGTGGCCCTATCATACTACGAAATTTACAACGACAAGGTGTTTGACCTCTTTGAGCCTCCGGAGATACGCACACCCTCGGGTCTGCCACTGCGAGAAGCCTATGGCAAGACGGTTGTTGTTGGGCTTTCGGAGCGGCCGTGTGAAGACTTGAAGGATTTTGAAAGGCTCTACATCGAGGCCAACAACAATCGTGTGACGGCAGCCACCAAACTGAACGCCCACAGCAGCAGAAGCCATGCTATTCTGAGAGTCAAGGTCACTCAGACCACAGAGAACCAGACCTTGGAGAGCATAGCTTCGGCCATTGATTTGGCCGGATCAGAAGACAACCGACGGACAGATAATGGCAAGGAGCGATTGGTGGAATCAGCTGCTATCAACAAAAGTCTATTTGTGCTCAGCCAGTGTATCGATGCCATCTCACGAGGCGACCGCCGCATCCCTTTTCGGGAATCCAAGATGACCCGCATTCTGTCGCTCGGTCAAAACAACGGAATCACCATTATGATCCTCAATCTTGCTCCCATTCGAAGCTACCATCTTGATACTTTGAGCAGCTTGAATGTTAGCTCCAGGGCGAAGCGTATAGAAGTTCGCGAAATTGAGAACGAGATCGTTTACAAGCAAGTGCCGCGCACTAATACTGGAAGCTCATCCACCAGCATGATACGACAGCCCCTGAGGCCCCTAACCAATGCACACAACGTACACTCCGGAGCGATAGCGGCCAAAGAAAAAGAAAAGGAGAAGACGACAGCTGCAGACCGTCCCGTCAAAGCGTTCAATGTCTACACCGACCGCTCCAAGCCCGTAACTGCTATTGTGGCTCCTCGGCCTGCCAACACGGCCGTTAAGCGATCACCGCCTCCGAAGCGTGCCTCAGAGCTTGAGTCGTGCATTGGCAAACCCTCGAAACTCACGCGACCAACCCCAATAGCACTCTCTGCGAAGCCGTCGCAGCCGTCCCAACCATCTATTTCCGCTGCTCAGATCGAAGCCATGGTCGAGAAGAAAGTCTCCGAGATATTGGCCTCAAGAACCCAAGCCGCACCCGAACCCCCCGAGATCAGCGACGCGGTGCAAAGACGTCTCGAAGCCCTCGAGCGCCGTATCGAAGACGGAAAGCACGACGATGGGAAATCAGATGGTCTGCGCTTTCTGCTCATGGCACGTCAGCACAAGGAAAGGGGCGAAGATGCCAGTGCACTCAAAATGTACGAGATGGCCCTGCCCTTCTTCCCCGGCCAGGTGAAACTCCTAGCCAAGATCGAGCGATTGAAGGACAAGATGATCGCTAAGCGCGAGGGGCGGGAACTCATTTCTGACGATGCGGAAGAGCGGCCCTCGGAACGTAGGAGGAAGGCCTGTCGCCAGGGCGACGATGAGGGGTACGATGCTGAGGACTACGACGGTACAGAAGCGGACGTCGAGGACGAGGATTTTGTGCGGAGTCGGAAGAAGAGCAAAAAGAGCAAACTCCTCGTCAAGCCTGACGTGGTCCTGGACGATGCGCCGTTGACGCCGCATATGCAGCAACTGCTCGATATTATTAACTCACGCGACGCGAACGCCATCATGGGATTACAAGGTTTTGGTCCGAAGAAGGCACGCGACCTGGTGGAATATCTGGATTCTCGAGTCGAAGAGGATGGGGCGTGGTGTATTGAGACGCTGGCGCAGCTCAGGGCTGTACCTGGAATGGGCGGCCGGGCTGTGGAGAGGGCCTATGAGGGGTTGATTCAGACTGTTGGGCGGGCATTATAGACTTCTCGGGCCATTTTTTGGTGTTGGCTAATCTCTTTTGGTGCTTGCTCTAGAGCGAGTGAGTGGGTGTGGTGTGGGTGGGTGTGGTGTTCTTGGTCCCGTAATTGGATCACTAGTATATAGATGACTCAGCTTGCATTGGCGTGGAGTTTGGAGTATAGAGGACGCATATAGCTCCAGTGTTGGCATCACATAGAATGTTTAATCCATATTCACAGGGTATTTATCGCCATTTGCAAAGCCGATTCTCATCGCTATGCATACTTGCTGGCAGTTGACCCAGCGAAGATTACAAAGTTGACCTATACCGACCTCACTCCGCCCCGACAACTAGCTTGAGCTGAAGTACTTTTCAAGCATCCGTCGTTAGTCCGTGTTCGGCCCGTGGTATTATCATAAGATGAAATTCAGACGAACTTTTTGTCATCTGCCCATGGACTCTAAGGTTCTTGTCAAGGTCTAATCCAGGTACGGGGATCCACTATCAACGTCAACGTCATTGACTTTTCCCTTTTTCTCCATTATTGATGAATCATCTCGGCCGTACGACCCTTTCACCGGGCCGCCTACGTAAGAGTCATGTATGTCCAAAGGTTCAGGTTGTTCGATCTAAAATCTCAAGTGGGATCTCCACGCGACTCCGCGCGGCAATGCTTTATTTGCCGGTCACGTCCACTACCCGCATCCCTACGGCCGGTGTTGCATACGCCCGCATGGTGTTCCGTCGGTGCTGTGTGGACCCAGCCCTGTTTCTATTGGCAGTGAAAATATACGCTGCTTGAATGACAGCCTCTGTCCTCCGAGTGCTGACTAAGTACCGAGCCCATGACCGCTTGAAGGACTAGGGGTGAGCCGTAAGGTTGAGGCTCACGCAGTAACCTTCATATATCTCATTTCACGTAGGTCTAATTTCACTTTGAGATGTCGTTCATATTGTTCCATCGTCGCTCGAAGTCATTTTTATCATTCTCGATTTGGCTTAGATCTGTCATTCCAGTTAGCAGTCATCAAGCCACCTTTTGAGATGAAGGAACTCGTGCACGACACGATATTTAGTCACTGTCTGCGGTTTTTCACGGGTGGCCGTGTTTTTAAATACCCGGAAGAGGTTGATTCCTCAATATGGAGGAAATATATGAACGCTGAGAAAACATCCAATATTGCCCTGCATGGACAGACGAGCTCAACGGAGCGGGCTTCCGAGCCTGGGATCTCTGAAGGTCAAGATGAGTTGCCAGATTCTCCTGTATCCTCAGCTACGGAAATGGGACATGATACCGTCATCAACGGTGACCCCATTCGCCGGGTTGACCCCGAAAAGGCGCCGGATTACTACATCGTCGACTGGTACGGGCCAAACGATCCAGAGGTATCCCACTGGCCTTCAAATATCCACACCGTTTGCGCGCTATCACTGACAATCGCAGAATCCCCGCAACTGGTCCCGCCCCAAGAAATTCTTCGTCACCTTCGAAATCTGTTTCCTAACTTTCAGTGTCTACATAGGCTCCGCCATCTACACGGCGGGCCTGCTCGACGTAGTCCAACACTTCGCCGTCTCTCGTGTAGCTGCCACCCTAGGCCTGACGCTCTTTGTCGTCGGCTACGGTGTCGGTCCCATGATCTGGGCGCCCCTTTCCGAAATGCCGCAGACGGGGCGGAACCCAATTTACATTCTCACACTGCTGCTCTTCGTGGTGCTGCAGGTCCCGACGGCGCTGGCCACCAATTTTGGCATGTTGCTTGCTTTTCGCTTCATTACGGGGTTCGTGGGAAGTCCCTCGTTGGCCACGGGCGGTGCGAGTATTGGGGATATGTACAGCCCGTCCAAGCGGACTTATGGGCTGGCCGTGTGGGGTATTGGTGCTGTGTGTGGACCGACACTGGGTCCGCTGGTGGGTGGCTTCGCTGCACAGGCGAAGGGCTGGCGGTGGCCGATTTGGGAGCTGATGTGGTTATCTGGCGGGACACTCGTTGTCCTCATCTTTTTCCTCCCCGAGACGTCGTCGGCGAACATACTATACCGCCGCACTCGCCGCCTGCGGAAAATGACTGGAAATGACCAGTTGGTCTGTGAACCGGAACTTGCCAGTATGGAGATGACAGGCAAAGATATCGTTCAGATGACACTCGTCCGCCCTTTCACCCTTCTCTTCGCCGAGCCCATCGTTTTGGCACTGGATCTGTACATCGCCCTAACTTACGGCCTGTTGTACATATGGTTCGAATCCTTCCCTGTCGTCTTCATGGGTATCTACGGCTTCAACCTTGGACTAGAAGGATTGGCGTTTCTAGGTATCCTGATTGGTGTCTTCGTCACGCTGCCGCCGTTTATATGGTATCAGCACAAGTATGTCGAACCGAAGTTCAACGAGAATGGCGAGATCAAACCCGAGTACCGCCTGCCGCCGAGCTTTGTGGGGGCATTTGCGATTCCGATTTGCCTGTTTTGCTTTGGGTGGACCAGTCGGTCGGAGATTCACTGGATTGTACCGATCATTGGGACGGTATTTTTCAGTGTGGGGGCATTTTGTCTATTCAACAGTGTGATGAATTATTTGAGTGATGCGTATCCAGGTCACATTGCGAGTGTGCTGGCGGGGAATGATCTGCTGAGGAGTGCGGTTGGTGCTGGGTTTGTGAGTCCATCCCATCTACATTACGCAAGGCGGTTGGAGGTGTGCTAACTGGTGGATAGCCCCTGTTTGCATCGAGCATGTACGAGAAATTGGGCGTCGATTGGGCGAGCTCAACACTGGCGTTCATCTCTGTTGCATTTATCCCGATTCCATTCGTACTATACAAGTACGGCGAGTGGCTGAGGCATAAGAGTAAGCACGCTCGGCACGACTTATGAAGCATCAGAAGATGTTCAAGCAGAACTACGGATTATGGGAGAAACTAAAGTTAATACACAATACTTGTGTTGTTGGAATAATATTCTCATTGGGTCCATGCGACGCTTTACTGCTACTACTACCTTCTGGCAACCCCGTGCTGACAGCACGATGGGGTCCGAATCCTTTCACTATTATCTACCCCCTTATTCCGGTTCCCGCTTTCCGATAATTCTAAATAAGTCTTCTAGAGTCATAGAAAAGTCATAAACCAAGTTTGATCTTGATGGCGGTTGAAGCAAGACAACGAAATTTTCTAGTACTTATACTATCTCGCGTGAGGATTCACTCTCTGTACAGGGTTGATCTCGCGGCTTGTTCTACCAAGTACACCCACTGCCTCTACCACAGCCTTGATAACCATAGATGTCTTAAAAGGAATCGGGAAGCGAACTGTCTGAGTGTTCCGATGTATTCCTCGCATGCCTTCATGGAATATTGACTCAATGTTATCTTCTGATTCAAATTCCACAATGAATATAGGCACAGCTTGATAGTTCCTAGCCCACCATGCGCCGTAAAGTTTGCCAACAGTCGGAATTTGTGTCGCAGACGATGGATCCTGGGCCCAAAAGAGTTTGCATACCTGTCTGAAAGCTCCGTCGAAGTCTCCTGATACTATCCCAGACTCACTTTCTGCTTGTCGCGACTCCAATATATCCAAAAGCTCCCATGACCTGAGGTTAACTATCGGCACGTCTCTCTTTTGTGGTTGGGTCAAGTTGCGAGCTTTCGTAGAACAAAAGGAACGCTTGCAGATGGTAGGATGTGTACCCAATCTCCGAATGCAGCTTGTCTCCGAGCTGAAGAATGATCGCTTGTTCATTCATCACAAACACGGTTTGTCGAAGTCTTGCTAGTAACTTTTACCCCATTCGGGCTGTTGATTCCAGTAGGCGCCATCTTGGTATGGTGCCGGAACCATTCCTGTAGCTGTCAGAGGTGGTACCTGCGCAGCCACCACCACTACTTAGTTCCAGACCAACAACACTAGCCTAGCTTTCTTTCCTCACCATAATACACTTCATTTATATTGTGTGCCCCTCAACAGTAGCAGAAACATATCTTCGGGTAATTAGAATCTCCGCAGACCAGTGGACCAAAGTCCTGAGAAAATGGGTGTTAATGATAATGATGACCCGAAGCGGAGGCGCTTTTCCGTCCACCGTCAGATGAAATATTGCCCTTGAGAAACGACAGCATCATCGCCTTCGAGGCAGTAAACAAAATCCACTGTCTCAAGTTTAGGTCCAATCAAAACCAAGCCACCATGCCGAGTCTCTGTGTTGCTGCTGGCAATAATCTCACCATATATGCAGTATGCCCGTCTCAATTCGTGGCGAGCCGCAACCGAGCCAGTGTCTTTCATACCGCAAAAAATGTTTTCGCCGTCAGTTTCGTATATGCGTTCCAGTTTGATCCGAAAGTACCACCTGAGGCTGTCCTCTAGATGAACGGTCTTGTTCATAACATAAAGAAATTCACCGTGAGAATCCCTTCGTGTCAGTCTGTATTGTCCCCGTAAAATGGCACTCGCAAGGTCCAATATGGGCCCTCGTTCATGGTAAGCTGCTTCTCTTGAATCGGAGATCTCAAGTACTCGTAGCAAGTCCTCAGTGGCATCAAGAATTGCTTTGAACCCACCAACAGCACAGAATTTTCCAGGCTAAGGACCCTGGTCAACTCCGTCACCGTCTAGATTGTAGTCTGGGCGGAGGCCATTATCGCCTTCTAATAGACTCAGCAGAGAATAGACGTTATCTCGATGGTCAGTTACCTCACGATCGCTAAACTCCCTCAAACATGAAAGGGGACTCCGAGACGCTGCCGACCTATCATTATGTCGTAACTTGTCGCTTACTAGGGCCAGTCGTACAAACAAAGTCAGAACCTTTCCATATTCCTGATGCAAGCTGAGTTGGCTTCGGTCTTTGATGCCAGAGTGGGTTGGGCTTGCGGTTCGTTGAAGACAACTGTCATAATCTGTGCAAACACAACATCCTCAACCAACCACATGATCGTCCACCAGGGAGTAGTCATCAGAGACCGGAGTCTTTCAAAAAGCAGTCGTACGCATCTCCCACCGGGCTCTGAAATCCACACGTTGATGCTTGCATAATTTTAGGTCGTCCTAGTCCTGAAATTGAGCTAACAATGCTATGGGTAGACCTTTGCCGCTGATTCGGCGGGGAAGCTCGTTGGACATTGAACCAGTCTGCACTGAGCCCTGAGTTGTCATCACCGACGATCGAATGATGAGCGAGGTACACACACTTCAGGCTGGAGGCGATACGGTGTTGCCCCATATTTCCGAGGAATGCAACGACTTCAACTGCCTGGCTTTAGATGTCCTTAGTCGTCTGGACCTGGTGATTAGGCTCACTGATATCGCGCTGGTTCAAAAACTAAGCTTATTCATTAGAGGCCGACGAATTAGGCGTAATGAACTCCAGATTGACAGTGACACCCATCTCCTCCCCATCGACAACTACCGCACGTAGAACTCTATGGGGATCTGAAACGTAAGAAACAGCCTTGTAGATCGTAAGGCGTCATCTTGCCCGGCCCAGAGTCAAGATGCTCACAGGTTTGAGGCCTTGATATGATGGCAAAGTCCAACAAAAAGAGAAACATGTAGTTGTCTGGAATTAATTATCTAGTAACATGATGGAAATTGTCTGCCTGAAATAAGGAAACCTCGTGGGGATGCGTTAAACGGTGTTACAACCTGTCAGCCAATAAACATCTATGGACACATGCAGCTAAGTCTGCCACCGATTGACCAAGACATATTGGTTTGATTATTGTGCATGGCACTACTTAGTGGCTTTGTAAGCCATTTATCCGCACTTTTCGTACTTGCGAATGATGGCACATGCAGATGCGTAGCTGATTTTGGTGTTGAACGCCTACAGGGCAAAATGCAGGGCAACGGGTCAACACACAAACTTGCCTATCTTCCAAAGAAGCAGGAATCTAGCGCGCAGTATTTATCCAAGCGGTGATCATCATTGTAAAAGGCTTGGTAGCCACCCAGGTGGGCGAAAATAAGAAGAAATAAAACGAAAACAACTCATCACTAAGAATGGTTTACCTGAGAGCTGAAGTATTGCAGATTAACTTATATGTAGGTTCCGATCTGTACAAACGGCGGGATAGCATTATCAGGCAGAACATCTCAAGCCTGGAAACATATATGGTTTGCTTTTAATTCAAATCGCAGCATGGATGGTCTCCGGCATGCATGACATGTCAGAAGACGAGCAAGAACATGTACTGAGTGAGAGTGCTATCGAGATCCTCTAATGGCTTGCAAAATCCATACAGGTCGTGGTATCGCTAATTAGGGCATGGTATTACTATTTGTAGTACTACTTTCACTTCCGTGAGCCACGCTCATTCCCGACCGTCTTCCAGCTCCATCTCCCCTATAACACACCCTCACAACCCCACTCAAACCACATCATGCACCTTGACTCCCGATACACTATTAGGGAAAGTAGCCGCCGCTCTGTTCAGATTGCGCAGCGTATCAGGCAGCGAGCCCGCCTGCAGCGTTTCGATAATTTCATCAATGATCAAACCATCGCCCAAATTTTGTGAGCGGGTGCGCGTCATCCAGTACTCGAACGGACCTCTGTTCTTATCCAGCGCATCGCCGAGCTCACGACATCGGTCCCCTGGGTTCTGTTCCGTGTGCATATCCAGGAAGTGGTTCAGCATCTTGCTGACGTCCTTGAGGGGCCACTTGCATGGAGCACTAGGCACGCGAGTGGAGGGCGGGGCGACCTGGTACTTCTGCGATGTGCAGAGGCGGCACTTCCAGAAACCGAGGCGTTGAATCGAGACGGAGTTCGTGGGGGTGCCGTCGGCATCTAATTCAGCCACGTCCTCGTCGTTGTCGGGCTTGACTTTGGAGGTTCGCTGACGCTTGGCACCTCCATTGGCACCTCCATTGGTGGATGTGAAGCCCAAGCCGGAAAAAGGCTGGCGTTGGGTGAAGTTGATGGGCGAAGTGTGGGCGTGGGCGGTACCGGAGTCGTAAAGCTCCTTCTGTATATCCATGGCTTGGATACGGTGCTGATTGTCACGGATGCGGTGTCCACAGTCGAGGACCCTGAGTTGGATCGTTCTGGTTTCTTGGGCAGTCAGATCCGGCAGGCTGAGCTGCTGCTCGCAAAACTCGAGGTCGTATTTGTACGCCATGATATCTTCATTCAGCTGGCAGCGAATTAAATCCTCGTAGCTGAGGCGCGCTCCATGAGATGTGGCCTTTGAGCCATTGGGGGCCAAGTCCTGAGTGGGCAGCGAGTTTGCGGGCTGTGTCAACTGTTAGTCACGACTCTGATAGAAAAGCAGCGTTGCGTAAGACAACAAGATGTGGTAGACACAGGTAGTGGCGAAGGAAAGAAAGATAAGGAAGACGGAGAAATTGGCTCAAACACGAAATGGCAGAACATAGAATACTGTACTCTTCTATATATTTGGGACTTCGTTTGTATAGCGTAACGATGCGGTTGCCTGAGGTTATTCCATAGTGGCATAGCTATGCCGACTCCTGTAAATGCTTTACTTACCAAGGTTAAGCCTATAGGGGAAAAAGCCGGGATGATAGGGTTGTGATAAGAGATACTTTTGCTACAGGTGGCGGATGCTCGAGGTTGAAAAATAAATGAGAAAAAAAGCAAGAACGAATTAGGAGACTTACATTGACGAGTTTTGATACGTCGAGTATGATTCGCTCCCGCACAGGCGCCTTACTCAAGGAATTTCGTGATCGCGTGGTCATGTCAGCGCCAGAGAGAATGATTGTGGAAGTGGTGGTCGTCAGCCAAAGAATGTTCGTAGTTGCCCCATGCAGTTCTGGTTGGCTGGAAAGAGTCGTTTTGTGTTGGTGAGTGGAAGCAAAACACCTGACGACGACGATTACGATGGGCCGGAGGGGATTGTAGAGATTTAAGGAAGCTGTCAAATATCACCCTCAAAAGAATGGAAGATGTAAAACTGTGGCTCGACGAACAAGAAGCGACTTCAATGAAGCAGGCAGACAAAGGGCTCGGGGAGTCATTGAACAAGACATCCGGCGGGGAAAAGAAACAAAGCACGAAGTAAAAAAAACTCTCGACAGAAAAAGAAAAGGCCCACAAAGCAGCCTGTTTTTCTGTGCTGCAAGCATCTTGGAAACGTATTCCGCATTTACCACCAACTGGGTGCGTTTCACTGTCCACCTCGTGCAAGCGCGAAGCAGTTGTTATTTCTTATATTTCTTTTTGACCGGCTCATTTTCTCTTTCTGGTTTCAGTCATGCCAGACACCACTCCAGCGAGCCAGTTCAAGCTGAAGGAAGGTGCTCTGCGACCCACATTTACCTCTAGGAGTGGAGCTCGGGTTAGATCTGCTCCATGTCCGTGATAAGTAGGTCAACTTGACTTTCCTACAGACTATAGTAAACAGCCAAGTGGACGAAATACGAACAGCGTCCTGCACGCCATGGCGAGATGCTCCGTTCCGCTCAACGCGAAGTTGCATCATATTTGTGTCGTCAAATGTCGTTTCCGACCCTCTATGTAGGCGCGTTTCCCCGAAGTTAGCGCCAATCGCTGCTGCCTCCTGGCAAGCAGAAGTCCACCTCCGAATTCAGGCCAGAGGCATCTCTCGGTTATGTTCCAGCAAATCTATCGTGTTAGTGCATCCTTTTTGTAGTGCAATGATCTCCATCCCGCTCTTTCGTTAGTTGCTTCTCCTCTCTCTGTTTAATTTGAAAATGAATGTCATTTCAATGAGCTCCTCTAATCTCAACCTCATAGTTAGTCCGAGCGAAGACTGTCTTGACTTGCGACATGACTGCTCGTGGAATTGGGTGCGACTGAGTCCGTTGCTATTTTACCCGGGACGCACTTGTATTTCTTGCAAAGTACTGGAGGCTGCCTCTTCGCACACACTAGAAATAGTCTGCAGCTGATCATTGATTAGACAAGGCGGAGTATAGTTTTCGTACCCACGAGCAAGTAGACCGCACAAGCTTCAACAATACCTCGGTTACGTTTGAACATCATTGGGATTTCCAGAGATTCAGCTGCCCAGGAGTTGAAATGGCCATCGCCATTTGTTCAAACAAATCGGATCGCAGCTGTTTCTCCACTGTCTGCGCCACCCAGCGCATTGCGATGCTGTCATAAGGCTTCTATGCCTCGGCAGTCCTCGCGCGATGATATTCTCATGGGTAGGCAAGGGAGGATCGCCTCGATGACAATATCTAATCCAAACTTGTGATTTTAGTACCTAACGAAGACGGCAGACCGCCGATTTATCCCGTCTTCAGCTACAGATGAAACGCACACAAGCTTACCCTGAAGAGATAACCAATGCGGCTTCTGTTGAGTGGTTGGCCGCACCATCCTTCTTCTTGCATGTCGTAAACGTCACCCATTCAAGTGGGGTGCATAATTGTCTGTTCTTGTCTATATGCTGACTGAGCTCGGCGACTAATGTGTTACCATCCGAACTAGGGGCGTCCATGTAACTAAAGCTCCACAGCAAAGTATTCGTGAAGCAAGCGAAGCGATCCTAATCTAAATCGGGTCGAGGCATGAACTTCACGGGGTAGAGGATAGTATCTGACTTTCGGGGGGCCATTATGTCATTTTGGTGGTTCTAAAATATACCTCGCAATGGTATCAGGGTCTATATAAGAGGCTGCAATATTCCACTCCTCTACATTATTTAGGTGACCACTCCTCTTCAGCGCAATAGAGACATTAATGTTTATCAACCACATCATACAAATTTACATCGATATCAAATCATCTAAAATGCAACCCTCAATCTTCATCACTCTCGCTTGCGCCGCCTTCGTGGCATCCTCGCCAATGAACACCTACCCTATCGATCGACGCGCTGATGGGGGCGATATTGCTAGTTGTGAAGTTGCGGCCTCCGCAGAACAGGTCGCGGGTATTGACGCTTGTAAAGGTGACGCTGCCTGCATTATTGCTTGGTACGTATTACGGTCTATCGTACGTGTCTATTGGATGAGCTATTAACGTGTGAACAGTACTGCCACTGCGGTTGGCAAGTACACTGCTTGTGCTGGTGTTTAAACAACCTAATTAGTCCTCTATCGATGGAATTTATGGCGGTTGACGGACTGTTGGCAAGGGAAGATTGTACTGAGCGACACGTTGCGAAGCATTTGTATTGTAGGAGCTACGATTTATGGGAATATGATTGACGCGATCTGTATGAATTTTGATACGTGACCCCATGGGGGGTTACCCTATAGCTATAGATAAGATATATAATAGCTATAAAGGAGCTCTGCCATGCCAGAACAGCTGACCTGATCATCCTTTCCCAATACAATAATTCACACCCCATATGCACTCGCATCAATTTTGTAGCGACATGACTATTTGGTGTGCACTGGTTGACATTGATTGGTATTAACTATACGAGCTATGGCTGCTGTCGAACTCGGCGTGGCTCGTAAGCCCATTACCGGAGCTAGCAGCTTCACATTCATTTTCCTCGGGATTCCTTAGCCAAGTCGTTACTTCCATGGCCGTGAGGATATGATGAAGTCATTCCTTCTCGGGGATAGATACAAGTAAGGGCCAATCTAACCTGTAGAGCCTGCTCTGTTACTACTTCGATGTGTTTAGCACATGCCTACAGTCCCTATGTTAAGACGGTGATGCATGTGAATATGGGCCATGAAGTGAGTGTATTGGGAAAGCTTGGTTGATTAGCTAGCTGGCTGGACGAGGGCCTTCCGTGCAGCCCTGTCTTATTTTATCTACTTCACAGGGTAGCGTGAGCCCTTATGAGCTCGCGTATCAGACGAATACGCTCGACTGTAAGTATCCCACGGGCAGACGAGAATAACCTCTCGTACTTAGCTGATGTAGCCTGGATCGTGAGGAAATCTAGAGCTACTAACGAAAGCTAACGGCAACGGAAACACCATTTATACTAGTAGCTAGTAGAATCGCAGATTTTGGTATACTTTTCATATTTGTTAACATACTAAATCGTGCATTCACACCTAGTAACCTTATACTCTCAATAATTACTTAGAAGGGAGGGGGGCGTTGTTTAGTAGCATGGGATGGATTAAAGAGCTTATATCTTTTCGATAGCGGATAAGTCGCTTTAACTTTAATATATACATAATTGCGCACCTAGACTTCCTTAACTATTATCTTTGCTATTTAAATATTGATTGTTTGGATTGGATTGGATTTATTTACCAAGCCTTTGCGTTATATTGGGCGCTGAACGGGGATGGTTTTGGCGTTGCTAAAGTGGGTTTGTTCCAAAGAGCCGTCAGCACGGTTACCTGACAGATATGCTAATGCGAAGCTAGGGGTCGAGTTGGAGATGCCTGAATTGTCCTATAGACCAATTTAAATAGGCGGCATAGCACCGGCTATAAGCAGGCATTGTATTACAACTTTCATGATTCGTACTAAGTGCAAAGCATAAAGACACCACATCATACAAACAGAAGTCATGTACTTAGTTCGATTTGCAGCGGTTCCTTCAACGTGCCAAGCCTTTTCCTGTCATATCCCACCCGGTCGGCCGACAGGCATCTTGAAACACGACCCAAGCTCCTTTCGCCGAACAGTTTGTTTCCAAAGACAGCTCAACCTGTGTTTTGATAATCTAGTCTTGCCGAACTATAATACAGTAATCACTATTGCAAGTTACAATGCTGTTTCTCGCCATAACCCCGTTGCTAATCGCGTGTGTCAGCGCTTGGGAAACAGAGCTGCACTCCACCTCACCCCTGCCCCGGGACGAGTGCCAAGTACCTTTGCTGCCCTGGACGACAACCTCACCCGACTTGGCCGTGTGTCCCGCCGTCACGGAAGCTACCGCACACAGCAGCAACCAGACTGCGACGGACGGGAAAACATTCCGATCCGGGCTAGAATCGTGGGTACAAGGCAACACGTGTCATCGGCTGCCGAACGGCGGGGACAGGTTTTGCGCCTATACTCACCTGTCCTTCAGCGGCGGCGAGGGGATATCTATCATCACCACCCCCGAGCGAATTGCCCAGATCTCCTCGTGGCCCATCTTTGAAGATGAAAATGACGATAATGGCGTTCTTAATCATGCCTCGTTTTCTCCGTCATACGAGGATGCCGAAATACCAGGCAAAGGAATAGGCCTCATTGCAACCCGTCCCATCCGAGCCGGTTTGCGTGTTATGGCACGCACGCCGGCGCTCATGGTAGACAGCCGGGCTTTGGAGGGTTTGGATCAGGTGTACGTGGCGGAGTTGATGGGTGGTGCGGTCGAGCAGTTGCCACGGGAGCATCGGGGGAGGTTTTTGAATCTGTCGACGCATGACGATGTTAGGCTCAAGGGGTTCAACGAGAGGGTCCATTGGATTTTCAGTATCAATCGCTTTCGAACGGGGCTTGGAGATGGAGGAGCCGGGTTTCATTCGGCTTTTACTGAAGGTTAGTTCCCCTTACAAAATGTTGATGTCCGTGATGAACTGAGAGTTGACTGATTATGAATTGTTTAGTATCGAGGCTCAATCACGACTGCCGGCCGAACTGTGTCTATTACTTTGACCCTAATACGCTGACTCATCATGTTGTTGCGGTCAGTGACATTTTTCCGGGGGAGGAGTTGTCGGTTTCGTATATCGAGTAAGTTGCCCCTTTCGTTTCTCCTACACGAGCATTTAATAAGGCAACGTGAAAATGCATATAATAACAACCAACAAGTGGTTTCCAACCCAGCACAGCAAGAAAAGAAACCCTGCAAAACCACTGGGGATTCCCCTGCTCCTGCCACCGCTGCACCGCCGAGCCTCACCTCGTCGCCGAATCCGACAACAGGATAGCGCAGATCCGACAGCTCTGGAAGGAACTGGACGACTACTCCTCCTCGTCGACTGCCACACCGGAAAAAGCGGAGCTACTCGTGCTGCTGTACGAAATGGAAGGTATGCTAGGTCGCATGCAAGAGGCGTACTATCGCGCCGCTATGGAGTGGAACGGCGTGGGGCATGCGGCAAAAGCGATGGCATATGCCAGGTTGTGCATCGACCGCGGGTTGGCATTTAAGGGGCCTGGGAAGCCGTTTATTGAGAGCATGGAGATGCTTCTCAGGGAGCCGGAGGCGCACCATAGCTGGAGGTTTCGGGTTGGTCAAATGGGGTCGAGTTGAATTTTGAGATCCTGTACTAGTTTAGTGTCTGTGGGCGACTTGGATGTATTTTTTACGCAGCATAAAACATTGGCACAAGGGCGCTCCAATTAGTCACTTCCGATACCCAAATAAGTTCAAGATCATAGCCAAGATGAAAATAATAATGCACCCCCTGAAGACTGTAGCATAAAGTGGTCTGCTTGGGATAACTTCCGAAGCAAAATATACATATTGTCGAGCGAGTGACAACATATTCTTAGCCGAGCTTGATATCGTCAAGTGTTGGAACAATCTCACCATGCCAACCTGGTGAGCTAGGATTGGCGTGTATTTACACCAATACCTTCACTATTATCCGGACTTTAGTTGCTAATGCTAACCTCACCGGAGGCCCTGCTTGGGCAATCTGGTTGCTTCATGGTTGCTAAGGCTCAAATAGCTATTTTGACCGTGATAGGGGTCCCTGACAGCCTTGCAGGACCCCCTGTAGGACTTGTTGGCTTGCAAATCTCTGCAAAATATCAGATACTTTGAAACTTAGCTGTTATCTTAGTATTCCTCTGACGCTTGAGCCGCTGCCCTCATGCTATGGAGGGTCTAATTTTCCCTACAATGCCGACTCCGGTGGTATCACTATCTCGCTAGGCCTTGAATGAGGCTACTCCGGTACTCCTGGAGGCTTAAGATCACCTTTTACAGTGTTTTCGTGGCTTCAATTCCTCAAAACGCGGTGAGCCCGTCTTATTATGGGCGTAGGCCTATGGCTATGTTATAGAGAAGGATATGAATGTGAGCTGTTATTTTCATCTGCCCGTAGAATGGTCACTTCACAGCGGCTAAGCCTTGACGCCGGTATCATAGGCATGTGCCGGACACTACGAAGTTGGTACAGAGCCACCTGAACAGGCTAGCTGGATACTCTGCTTGGGGCTCTGACAGCTGATACGACTATAGAACATAACTGGCTAGATGGACCGGGGCTACAGAGGAGGCTACAGCCAACTCCGCTAGCGTAATCCGGGGGGAACGCGCCGGCGAGGTTGGCGATAGCTTAATCTATTGGCAGTAAATTTAACCGAAAAGTCACTAACCTCAGTGAACCTCACCAGGATCACTGATTGGTTAATATCACTAGCGTTTCGCTTACTAATTTGATCACTAACCAACTAAGGGGGGATGGTGAGGTTGGTGAGGTTGGTCCGACCATTGAAAATTGTGCCCTGGTAAATTGAGGAAGAAAATGGTCATACGATATGGTCAGATGGAACGGATAGCCGGCACGGTGTCTTTCATGCGACCGTGTCAGGAAGGCAGGGGTCACGAATCGAGGCACATTCAAAGTACCGGATTTAAGTTACATTCAATTTCGCTATAGCCAACGATGCATACAGATGAATGTAGAAATAATTTAAGACGGCATTGCTACTCAAATTTACTATATTATGTTAGACTTCAGGATTAGTACGATGATTTACGCCTGAATAAGAAGCTGAAACTGTAATGCAGATGATAGCATCACAAATGACTCGCCATGCTGTCTCTCCTCAGCCCATAGTATTTCATGGTTGATGCGTTTCCGGAAACCCATGAATTTTCTCTGACCAAAACGCAAACGAAATCACTTACATTCTTAACAGGGTTCCACATTTGCACGAGCATCTTCATCCTTCCCTTTAAGCTCCTATCATCATACGAAGGCTGTTCTCAATATCACTATCGCCTTGTCGTTGCGGATGATGTAGAGCCGGTAAGAATAAGCATAGTAAAAGAACAGCGGCAAGGCACCACCTCGAGACAGAGTAGCATCTTAGGGATCCTATACTTGATATCTAATGTGAGCGTATCGTTAGGCTTCAGCGCCCCGGTGTCGGTGAGGGCTCAGAGAACGATGCCTTGGACAAATGTCAGAAGGACGACGATCTTAAAGGCGAGAAGCTTCTGGAGGGGTTTGTGGGATGCGTACTAAGGGTTTAGTTCCATGTAGAATCTTAGGACGGACAGGATAGCACCGATGAGGGATATCTGGTAATTAGTTGGGGAGTAGGACCTTGGCGAAGTGGAATTTTCTTTCGAGCTGACAGAAAATACCCGCTGCCTGCGTAATGCCGGTTGCGATTGTTGGGGGCCATACGACTGTGAGATAGTGGAATAAGAGTATCCGCGCAGCTATCAGTCAGATATTTTAGCGAGCCTAGTTCAAAGATCCAGCAACCCTTTACTGCCAAGGGACAACTTACTCAAAAGCAAGCCCATTTGGGGGATATTGCAGCGAAAAAACACGCCCCTTTGCCGCGAGCTAGGGAAATGAACTCATACAGGAGGGAAAACAACTCAGAGCCATGGACTCAGTTCATTTGACCCAGGGCTTGAGGTAAACGGCCGCTGACGGGAAGTAACTGCCAAGAGGGAAAATATGGACATAAGGAGGATGAAGAGGGTGTTTTTCATGATCCTTTAGGTTAATAGGCATTCAGGAAGAAGTAAAAGCTTTTTTAGACGTACTTGAGATGCTCTTGCGGCTTGGATGCGTGCGTGGCATGTATGATTAGTAGGACAACGATGACTAGTGTGCTGAACGCTACACAGCATCCCGAGAGGATCCGGTTGAATTCTTAGAATGTAATTTTACGGAATATGGGTTGGAGACATCTGGTTTTTATGTTAATCCAGGTGAACCATCAAAATGGAGAATAGATACTACCTTCTGCGAGTGAAATGGGAGGTAGAGATGAATACAAGCTTGAGAGATAGATCCTGAAGATATAGCGGATAAATCGACAAAACCTCAATCAGAGAGCGCTCAATCGTGTGTGTAAATGAATTATAAGTTTTGATACCATATGGATCGTAGTTTTATGAAAAGTACTGTCGCTATCAAATTTGTTCAAATGACTGTCTTCTGAGCATGGGATCACTTTCTATATACTGTGTATTTGCTTCCCCTGAAGGACTGGGCTCTTGGGGCATGATGTCAGTGCTGATAATTTAACCACATATGAACATAAGGAGGCCTGGGCAAGGCTGCGTGCGAGTCAATCCCGATACCGAAGCCGATACAGCAAGTTACACCAAGACATTGATCCTTCCCACAGAATACCAATGAGGGGCTGGAGCTTTTAGTGAAGATATGGAAGTGCGTAAGCAAGATATGGATACACTCCATCGAATGGTCTTTATCGACAGGAATACCTTTCTGGCCGGAGCCGTGGGCTCGTGTCCGTAGTGGCAGATACAAGCAGAGGTGGACTAGGCCTCCGATGCAGTGTAAGTATTTATAAATGGAACTTCGTTTCCGGGGCGTCACATTGGACTGAAGTCATTTAAGATAATACATCTTGGTCAATTGCAATGGTTGTGGTTTCGGGTTTGCATATCTCCCAGCCTTGTCAACCCCGGCCACGTGACGCCTACTTAGCTGTAAATGGTCTGCACATGAACAACGATTGGCTACTAAAGCTTCCGTCCAACAGCATGGCAGATAACGTCCACATCTGCCTCGATAATCTCGCGGTTGCGGGTAGGCTCATCTGTCCAAGTCCCGGAAGCAGTCAAGCAAAGTTCACCGCCTTCCAAGAGCTGTCCAAAACCTGGTCACAGAGAGAGCGAAAACCCTGGACATCCCCGGGACAAGTGTATATATGGTGGTGCCCAGGACACGTAGGCATCCCCGGAAACGAAGAAGCAGATTTCCAGGCCAAAGCGGCCTGTGAGCAACCACCCAAGACACAACACCCGGCCTCGTTCGCACATATAAAGAGAATCGCGAGATCCTACACTTGGAAGAGTTTCAACGATCAATGGGCCACTACCTGCCCTCAACAGTATCGAGATCTAGGGATCGCTATCCACCCGCGAACCCCCGAACTTGGTCTGCCCCGGCAACACCTAGGCAGATTACTCGCAGCGAGGTCGCACCACGGGGATTTCGTGACCTATCACGAGAGACTCCAGCATCGCGACGCACTGCTCAACTGCGGGTGTGGAAAGACAAAGACACCAGTCCACTTCTACTTTTGCAAGCGCGGCCGCAAGGCCACGCCCGGTCATCTAAAAGCGCATATGGCCAAGAATAGTATAGATTCCCTCCTAGGCACGGCCAAGGGAGCTCGTTTGTTTTGCCAATGGGCGGAGGAGACCAATTTCTTTACTGAGATCTGCCCATCGCACTGAACAGGAATGTTAGATGAAGACAGTCCCCTGTAACATAGACTCGACTAGCATTAACCATGCCGGCACTGCGCCCGGCACGTCTCACGTGATGAGACGTTAAATTTCAATCAATCAATCAACGATTGGCTACTTTAGTCAAGGGTTATACAGTGCTATTTCAAAGGGAAAATTTCACTGCAGCTACCAAACATAGCCCAGCTCCAGCATCGCCAGCGAGATGTCGTTGCCAAGAACATCAATACTCTCTCTCGCACGCAATTACTATACAAATAGTCTATGTCTATCCGTCTTGCTTGACTTCGCATACGCCAAGGCTGTGGCACTTGAGCCCAAGAGACGCCAAATACAGGCCACAGACGTCCAAATTGTCATTTATGTCGAGAACGAAGAGTCAAGGTCGGTTGCCACATATTCTGTCGTTCTATCTTGGAAATTACTAATTCGCTAAAGATGCGTTATTTATGTGGTTTAGTGTAACCTCACTCGACAGACCTGTCTGAGATGTATCAGATACGGCGCCGTCTGTCCTGGTTATCAGAAGGAAGGGGACCTGACATTCAAGCATCACAGAAGGGTCACCAACATCAAAGCACCGTGCGTGACGCCATCTTTATTCCCAGGGCGTAAATGTTGACACTTAATAATATACCTGGGAGAAGCAAGTGCTTTTATTTGTTTGACTTACCACGACGCAACCACATCACCCCGTGGCTCCATGGGTGACGATTCCATCAATGGCAACAGATCTGGCAATGAAGTGTTAATGCTCAAACGATCAAGATAGCTGATTCATTCGAAAGAATACACAGAAGCAAAATAATACTGAGGACAATGTAGACCATCCAGAAGCGTTTTCGAATTCTTCCTGGTTGTAGGTTGGTCTGGGAGTTTGATCAGGCTGCTCAGGCCTTGTGAGTGTGTGCGCCAAGTAGCAGGGGCGTGATTCCATACTTATAGAGGCACTGCTCAATATATTTGCAATGCCATTTCCCCATATCCAACTCTTTGTGCGAAAGTCACTTCAAAGTGTTAGCGACGTAGGCAACGTCACCCAGGTTTTGCGGGATTATTGTAGGTGGCCATCCCCGGTCGTTAGACCAGCAATGAGCCCCTAGAGGTGCTCACGCAGTCTTGTAGTGTAAGATGTGGCTATACATGGAAATAGCCTTTGGTGTGAGGGGCGCGTCTTACTATAAGCATTTCGGCTTTGTTTTGGGATAGAGATGTCTCTTTGATGAGTACGCCCGCAACATAATACGCAACAGGTGAGAACGGTATGGATGAACGTGCAATGACAAAAGAATGTTTTTTTCCATAGAATTTGGTAGCTGATCTCTGCCGTCGATGTGTCAACCCAACCCCTTCGAGTCTTCCGCCGCCCCCTTTCCCGGTTACACCTGAATTCATGAATCTACTCTCAACCCTACGACACCCAGCCCCTAGTTCGTGACCGAAAATCCCTTAACCGGAAAGTTGTAGTTCACATGGTGCACCTCCATCTTTCCTGTGACCCCGGCCTCCGGCCCAGGCACATAAATCTTCTTGTCCGCGCTTCTACTAGCCTCCATGCTCTCCCATCCAACAGCCGCCACATACGTCTTTCCCCCACCTTCCTTGTCTCCCACAGAATCAATCGAGTACCCCGAGCCACACCCCCGACACCCCTCAACTTCGTTACATTTGGCAACCCTGTCGCGGAGGGTATCTTCGTCAGCGGTGCAGTTTGGGAAAGTGATCATCTCAACGACGGGGGAGTCAATGGCTTTTTGTGGGGCGCGGGGTCTGAAGTTGACACAGTAGTGCTCGATGGGGCCGGAAAGGACAGAGGAGAACTGGTTCATTGCCGTGGTGAAGGCGGGGGTTTGGGCGAAAGCTTCGCTAGCTTCTTTGGATTCCCATCCTACTCATGGGTTTCTGTTAGTTGTTTACACGGTCCAATGCAGGCAGATTTACAAAGGTGTAAAGAGGGTAGGTTTGGAAGGAGAGAAAGACGGACCTATCGTGAGGTCCAATTTTTGCTTGTCCTCGGACCAGGGACCCCATCGCGTGCGTATGTAGCCCGGCTGCTGCTTGATAGTGATGAGGAGGGCCTTCAGCTGCTCTTTCCAATCCTCGACGCCACCGTTGACAGGAATAATGACACGTTCGGTACACGACATTGTGATTGTGGTAGTGGTAGCCTCAGTGATATAAACGTAAAATATGAAGATATGATCAAGTTGAATAGATTTTAGAATATTGATATTCGGTTCGACAGATTGTTGGGCATATGTAGAACGAGCAGACAGGGTCGCCTGTTTATCGTCTTAAATGAACAAGCACTCAAACATTGCGCTGCCGGATCTCCACGGACGTCCAGAGCTTTGTGTCGGGATATATTGCCGGTCCGTTTCATCTGTTGATAATCCGGTGCGGCTCACCAGGCGACTGACCATATGCGTCACGTCCGATCTCCTTCGGCATATTATACCGAGTTCGAGTAATTGAGTAATCTGCCTTGCTGCGCCTGATCACTTGCAGCGCATGGTTCACCGATCCCAAGTCTTCTTCAAGTCTGTTCATGCAATGTAGATCAATGGCGCAAATGTTTTCAGACGGGCGCTGATTGGATCTAGAAGCATCAGCAAAGACCTTCCGACAATGTTTCATTTGGGCCAGAAGTAAAAATAGCGATTGGCTTCCCATCTGCCCGGGACGCATGTGCGTTTAGTGGCAAACGTCAGGATTGCAGGAGCTATGGTAGAGTGCGGAAACAAGGAAAGCTTAGTCGGCATGTTTCAAAAGGTTTCGTCATCTATAGTCTGAAGATACTCCTAGCCGTAACTGGCATTGCCTTGCATAAACTGATGACTTTCCTCTTTCGGACGGTCTGCTGTCGGAGATTTTCCAATTTCCAGCCCATGGGCCACGTGTTTATTCCTTGTATAGTATACGGTGCCGAGATCTTGTTGCTACTAAAATGGCCCCTTAAAAACAATACTAGTAACAAAACTTGGGGTTCCGCATGGGGAAATCGGTTGAAACATGGGGTAGAGGTTGTGCAGGCTTTATTATCAACGCATCAGACATCAAAATAGGAAGGCGTCTCATGTGCAAACTTCCCGTCGCCAACTCAAATCTCCATATCAGGGATCTATACCATGGTAGTTACTAAATATACTGTTGAATCAGCATGTGGTTGAAGTTGCTAGGCTTCTTGTCACAATTCTTGCTTTAAGCAGTTGAAAGTTTGCGGGAAAGCTTCAAGCGGAGTTTGCTTAATAGTCAGGGACGTTAGTTTTCCATATATCAGGTCTACAAAGGGCATACTTTCACAACTAGTTTGAAGCAAGCATTTAGTAACGAAATTTATCTACTCGTCCCTTAAAATAAAGTTCAATTCGCGGCCCAATATAATAAACCTTTGGGCCAGTGGCAGATTACCTAGAGTCTGACAATAATCCAGACCGCCATCTGTCGTTGTACGACTATTCCGGTCTACCATTGAAACCACCAGTCAATATTGGAGTATTGGTTATAAGAGTTGCATAATAATTGAATCAAGCCTGCCAAATTAGAATCGATAAATTTCTGATACAGATATGAAGTTGGGATGACGGCCTCAGTCAGTCAGTGACAGCCAATGAGATGAGACCGTATTCCACGGATTCTATTTTTTTTGTTAGAAAAAAAAAGCTTTGAGCCGCATAGAACCATTAGACGGTCACATAATCCATCTAGCTAGGAGCTATTGCACTTGGGCGAGAAGTAACAAGACATGTACGACCCAACCCCACCATAATTGTACGACCAATACGAAATCCCACCAGGCTTGGAATAGTCTTGTCCCGGGCTGTCGAAAATCACAAGTCAGTACAATGAAAACAAAAAATACAAGTTTCTAGGTTGTTTCGAAGTGCAGGTAGGTGTTACTCACAGTCTCGCCACAGCAGACACCCCTTTCACATAATTCGCCGCCGCCTCATCCCACCCCAACAATTTCAACATGGATGTGAAATTGGCAGCAGCGTGCATGTCGCTCTCCGAGTAATTGACCCATGGAACATGAGCTTTGACGTCGATGTGCTCCACACCCGCGCGCATCTCAAAGACGAAACAAATGCCATGATGAATCGTCTTCTGGTTCTGTGGCATCTTGTCCTGCTCCTCCATCATGCCGCCTCTCTCGTCAAACACCAGATGCCAGATCTTTTCAAGATTCTTCAGGCTGTCCATGGTCATCTCGTTCATCTGTGCCCCACCCAGCGTCACGCCATTCCTCAGCGTAGCCTTGGAAACCGACTTGCTACGCGCGTAAACCTTAATGCGTGCTTTGGTAGGGTCGATGCAGTCTATGGCAATCATCTCCACAGGACACGAAAAGGGGCAGATGTTGACAAGATAGTTCTCGAGCTTCGCAACAACGGGAGCAAAAAGGTCACCGCATGGCTGCAGACTGCGGATGAGGTCGAAGGTGAGCTTCTCCGTGGACTGGCCTGTGGCAAAGTGCTTGAGGACTGGGAAGAAGTAAGCCTTGAGGTTACGCTTGGAGCCTTTCATGTCGAAGGCGAGGAAGCTCTGCGCGACACGGTCGATCTGCAATGGCATGTTGGCGCGGGCGAGTTTGGCCTCTTCGCCGCGAACCATCCAGGCGTCCATGATTTGCTTGAACCATGCCAAGTCGACGTCTGTGGAGACATTCTCGAGGCTGGGGATCATTGAGGGCAGAATGAGTCCACCGAATGGATCTTCCTCGGTGCCAGCTGTGTCACCCAGGGGCTCAAAGGTGTAGCGCACGATGCTCTTGCCCGGGGTGAAATTCCAGGACGGCTCGAAAGGAGACCCATCAATGGTGAGGAGGGGTGTCACTTTGGACGATGGTTGTGGCGGGCCCCAAGATGGGATGACAACATCGCGAAACACGCGCATATGGTCGGCTTTCTCTTCGGCGGTGTAGGTTCCCGCATTCGTTAGCAGCGTCTCGAGTAGGGCAGCAGACTGTTTCCACCACCACAAGTGAGTTGGATGCGTCGGAGCTTCAACTTCGAGCGAGTCGCAGTCGACACGGGATGTCGGCTCGAACAGCTTTGACAGAACAACGAGACGGCTGTTGTCCAACGTGAGATGGGACTTCAGAGAATCGACAGCAAGTGAACTGTGCTCTGGAACGGTCCATCCATTGCTCTTGAGTGGCAAAGGGATTCTGAGTGGCCTCATGAGCGTCCCCAGCCAAAGGTTTGGTTCATTTTGGCAGGCAGTCTTCGGGATAATCGTACCCGAAGTTTTACTGCTTGCTTCTTGGTATGGATAAGTTTCCGGGTCGATCATTTGGTCTTAAAAACGGTCCAGTATGTTGAAACAGTGAATGGTAGCTTGATGAGTTGGCGAGCAGTTGAAAGGGTAGCAGGAGACAAAGATGGATATTTATACACCATGAAGCTAGCCCCACAATTGAAGATAGCACGACAGAGTAGCGGCAGTATTCGATCGTATCGAGTAATAAGGAAGTCGTGTTGGGTCCATGAATAGCAAGCCATCGCGTTCGGTTTCTACCATCAACCCGAGTATTTAACTTTGGCTCCGCAGCCATGCTTCACAAAGGGCAAGGTATACCTATTGAAGGAATTGTGAGCTCGACGAAGTGACCCGGCCGCTTCGGTCGGCTATCGTTTGAATCCTCTGTGGTGGAAAGAACTGCTCTCCCAGTTAGCGGATCCAGTGGAAAATCACGACAACGAACCCCATCTTTTGACGTGAGCTGTTTCGGCAGTTCTAACATGGCAAAAAGTTAAAATCTCCAGCCTTGTATCTGGCAGCTCGTCGCGAGTCTGGAGACACTCTGTTGGTAAAAGATACGCAAGGCTGAGCCCAACCTGGTAGTTGGACCAGACTTCTGGAATGAATTCACATGATCTGTGCGAGTAAGTCTTTCATATGTTGCTTTAGCGGGAAATATACTTTGACAGTCTAACGTCCCACACCCACATCCGGGACACCCCCACATGTGGGACACCCAAAAATGCGTCGTCAACACCGCTAGCCTCTAACTTCAACCTCTTTTTTCTTTACCAATATCGATTCAATCGTTACGAAATCTTACGTACGTCTTCTTTACACTAATATGAGTCAATATACCGAAGATGATATTTATCGAGCTCTTCAAGCAATAGCTACCGGTCAAAGCCTCCGAAAAGCAGCATATGAGCATGGTGTCCCAAGGTCTACTCTTTCACGACGGATTCAGGGAGCCCAGTCAAGATATATAGCCTTCGCTGACTACCAGAGGCTCTCTCCAGCCCAGGAATCTCATCTGGCTGAATGGGTTCGAATCCAAGCTGCCCTAGGCCTCCCACCAACCCATCAACAGCTCAAAGACTTCGCCGAGCGTATCCTACAGATCCACGGAGACACCGAACCACTTGGAAAGAACTGGGTCCAGGCTTTTATCAAGAGGAACCCTTCAGTCAAGGTCCAGAGAAGCAGAGCTATCGATTCCCAGCGTATTAACGGAGCCTCAGCTAATGTGATCAGGCAATGGTTCAAATACCTCGCTATGCCTGAGATCAAAGCTATTAAGGCCTCGAATCGATACAATATAGATGAGACAGGTATTCTAGAAGGTAGACGATCAAATGGTCTTGTTCTAGGATCATCTGAGATTCGTTCTATACGGAAGAAACAGCCTGGATCTCGAGCTTGGACATCTCTTATAGAGTGTATCTCTGCGACTGGTACTTGTCAGAGACACTGAACGCAGGACACCGGTAGGGTTCCGGTGGGGTGTTTCGGACAAAAGCCTCCTGAGTCATGATTACAATCTATGTGAAGTTTCGGGATGCCGAGAGTCAGGATTCCCGGCATCGCCAAACCTGCGGCTACGCCGGGTCCAAGCGGCGGCCTAGCTATCTATATACGGACCATCTCGAAGTAGGATAGGGAAGGAGTAGAGATCAATGCATCATCATGGGCACCCCTACCTGAGACCACCAGTGACCACCCGGTGTTACGTAGGAGGGACGCCCATTACTCCCCATCACTCTATACTATTGCCTTCGGCCTAGCCGTACCCTGACAGTACTGCACTACCCCCACGTGTGATATACAAGGGGAAGTCTGTCCAACAGCAGTGGTTTCCTCTGGACTTGACTCCATACGAAGCCTGAAGGTTTACAGCAACAGAGAATGGGTGGACGTCAGACTCTACGGCTATTGAGTGGCTACAAAAGATATTTATTCCTTTGACTCAGCCAGAGGACCCTGAAGAGACTAGGTTACTTATCCTAGATGGGCATAGTAGCTACGAAACGACAGAGTTTATGTACCTCTGCTTCATAAACAAGATACACTTGCTTTTCTTGCCGCCACACACATCCCACGTTCTCCAGCCTCTCGATCAGTCAGTCTTTGGACCCCTCAAGGCAGCCTATAAGAAGGAGCTTGGTTACCTTGACCGATGGGATACTACTACTGTCGTAGGGAAGAGAAACTTTCTCCTCTGCTATAGAAAGGCACGTCTAGCAGCATTGACCGCTAAGGACATCATCAGTGGATAGAAATATACTGGTCTCTGGCCTTCGAGCATAGCTAGACCCCTTATGAGCCCCCTGCTCCTTGAGAATACGTCAGCACCAATCAGACAGCCTAGTCAGACTTGCAAAGGGTACTCTGATAGTAAGGGTAGTCAGAACTGGGCGTTAGAGACATCAGCAGTAGCCTGGTCAACGCCTAAGAGGAGAGATGAGCTCCAAGATCAACTCAGCTTATTCAGCAAGCTTGATAGTGATCCAAATACCCAGCGGCTACTCTTTCGGAAAGTTCAAAAGGACTTTGATGAGAAGGACTACCAATTAGCTGTCGCACAGCGAAAGATTGAGGCAATAGAGGCAGAGCTTGAGGCTAGTAGGGCTAGGAAGCGGAGGAAGGTCAAGATAGTACAGATGATTCTAGCGAGTCTGAAAACCCTAGTGACGGTGAAAGCTGTATTGTAGTCGCACGCATTAGAATAAGTGTAAAAAAAGGTTGAAGTCAATGGTTATAATATACAGTGTCATTTTTAGGGCGTCCCACATGTGGGGGTGTCCCGGATGTAGGTGTGGGACGTTATTACGAGATCGCGTTAGGAAGACTCGGATCCTGAGACATTACGGTGAGGTCCCAGCCCACCTGGGCACCCCAGCCGTCACCAACCTTGAAACAAGACCAAGCTTTCCGGACGAACCAAGATGGTGGAATAACTGCGAAAACGATTCAATTCAAGGCCCATTTAAGTATGTTAAATCGACGACTTTTCCATGAATTGCTGAATAGAAGGCTTGTCTAAGCCTAGTGGAGCTGAAAACCCCCGTTTCACCGTCCCTCCCCGGAGTGAGTGCGCGTGCCAGTGTCGATACTCGACAGAAACTAATGCAACTGGAGTTCATCGATTGCTGGAATAGGAAGTATATACCGCTTTCAAGTGGTCCATGGTTGCCGTGAGCTCGCTTGTGTCTCATACCTGTCGGTGTCCGGGCCATTGCATGTTGGGATTCAGCTCGAAGTCAATCTTGAGACAACATCCAACGGAGTTTACAAGTGGTCACAGAGGTCATCCGGTGTAAAACTTTGGCCCCCCAGATACATCCAGCTAGACGTTGAAGGCTTATAAGACTCCCATAACTGCTGGTTAGTTTCCCATGGTTGTGTAAATTGTCTGTTGAGCAGTGCAACCGATTCCCCCCTTCCATTTTCTTTCCCAATATGAGCCTATCAGTGACTTCCCATTGGGAGGGCCCCAAAACCACAACATGGAAACCCGCAAAGGGTACCAACGGCGATCATACCAATGGTGCCAAGGAAGTTGCTAAGGAAGCTTCCAAGGTGCCCGTTGCACGCTTTCTCCCACCCGGCTTCACCACTGAGAAGTTTCAAGACTTTGCATCGCGGCTTCAGGCTATCGTCAGTCGTGAAAACTTGTTCGTCGTCACTGAAGACACAGCGCTCGAGGACGGCGACTACCTGACTATCGATTGCCAGACACACGACATGCACTTCCTCTACGAACGTGAGGAATTCGTGGGAAGTGCGCTGGTGCACCCCCGCAACGTCAGTGAGGTGCAAGAGATCGTGCGTCTTTGCAATGAGTTCGTTATGCCGGTGTGGTCTATCAGTCGCGGCCACAACATCGGATATGGCGGCGCAGCACCACGAGTCTCGGGCAGTCTCGTCATGCACATGGGCACGCACATGAACAAAATCCTCGAGGTTGATGCCGAGAACTGCTTCTGTCTGGTGGAACCGGGAGTGACATTCCTTCAGATGCAGGAGTATCTTATCAAGCATAATCTGATCGATAAGGTGTGGATCGATGCCCCAGAGTTGGGCTTTGGCTCCATGATTGGAAATGCCCTTGATCGTGGCGTCGGCTTCACCCCCTATGGCGATCACTGGATGAACCACTGTGGCATGGAGATCGTCCTGGCCAACGGCGAACTTGTGCGAACGGGTATGGGGGCCATGTCAAGTCCCGAAGGCCGGAAGCAGGCTAAGGCTGGGGTCCCACCGCAGGATCAGACGCCGAATGAGTGTTGGCAACTTTTCAACTATGGCTTTGGCCCCTATAACGATGGTATCTTTTCCCAAAGCAACAATGGCATCGTCACCAAGATGGGAATGTGGATGATGCCCAATCCTCATGGCTATACCCCCTTCATGGTCACCTATGAGAAGGATTCCGATCTACCCGCTGTCATCGACATCATCCGCCCGCTGCGAGTGAACATGGTGCTGCAGAACGCGGCTAGCCTGCGACACGTAGCTCTGGATGCCGCTCACTATCATCCGCGAACCGAATATACTGATGACACGTTTGATGTGCCTTTGACAGAGGAACAGCTGGATGCAGCAGCCAAGAAGCTTGATCTCGGTCGATGGATATATATGGGCGCCGTCTACGGCCCAGAGCCGGTGCGCAAGGCGCTCCTAGAAGTGACTAAGAAGGAGATGTGCAAAGTTCCCGGTAGCCGCTGGTTCCTCCTCGAAGACCGCAAGGAAGAGTTCAGCACGCTGCACTCACGTGCGGAGACCATGATGGGAATCCCGAATTGGGATGAGCTGCGTTGGTTGAAGCATTGGATTCCCAACTGCACCTTCTTATCCTTCTCCCCGATTTCCAAGGTCGACGGCCAGTCGGCGTGGAAGCAGTATCAGATGGCCAAGAATCGTTTTGCGGAGGCCAAGTTGGACTTCTTTGGCATCTTCAGCATCGGACTTCGAGAGATGCGTGAGTGCTAACCCCTGTTGACCCCACGTTCTGTTACTGGCAGTTTCCGCAGCATTGTCTCAAACATTTCCCGTGGAACCCCGCTATTCCGCACCTCGATACTTCCTTCATACCTTGTCCCATCAATGGATTGAACTAACTTTTCAATTCACCCAGACAATGTCATCTGCATCGTCTACAATCGCGAAGACGCCGCTATGCGCAAGCGCGTTCAATGGTTGGTGCGCACATTGATCCAGGACTGTGCTGACAACGGCTGGGGCGAATTCCGAACTCACGTCGGGTTGATGGACCAGATCGCTGATACGTATGACTTCAACGGCCATGCTCTCATGAAGTTGAACGAAACCATCAAGAATGCGCTCGACCCCAAGGGCATCTTGGCGCCGGGCAAGAGTGGGGTTTGGCCAAAGAGCTATGATCGATCCAAATGGGCGCTGGGACAGGATTACATTAAATAGATGTCACTGAGATACCAGGGGTAGATGTTGGTTGAGCCTCAGGTTGATGTAGGCTGGTTGATGTTTGGGCTTGCTGGAATGGATCTTACAATTTTAGGTGTTCATGCTGGCTTCGTCTGAAATAAATCTGCCAACAGATATGTGACACTTACGCCTTATGCCGCTAGCATAAGGACGTACGTGGCTTGCGGTAGTGACACATTGTTTCGGGAGAAGTGATATTGCATTCACAACGATGAGGAGTTTTCGTGTGCTCAAGACCAGATTTCAAGTCGAACAATACTAATAGCGTCCGGAGCATGAAGGTTCTGAAGATAACATCATGTTGAAATTTGTAAGGAGGCTACCAACGAAGATGAACATCTGATCGGGCTGGGGAAAAGACGATGTTCTGGCGATAATTGACGTCTACAGCACTCAAAGCGCTCGCTAATAATAACTACAGGCGCCCTTCCGAACAGCGCAGAACTAGCGTCATTGTCAGCGGTAGGGCTGTGTTTCGAAGCTCAGCTAGCCACCGCATAGCCCGTTACAAAGCGGAGGAGTGTAACAGTCTCACCATGTAATTTTACCTTCCCGTAACATATGTGGTATTCCTCGGCCGTTTATATGATTCGAACATCCCTAAGTGGGCTGACGAACGTTAGCGGAAAGTCAAAGCACAGGCAAACGCTACAGAACACAGAACGACTGCGAGCATCGAGACACCACCACACTGGTGATGCTCGCTTGACAACATAAAATATGTCGATGTCCACTCATTCAGACGAAAAAGGGCATTCTTCAAGAGCGGGAGGCGACCACAGGAAAGCGACCAACAGTTTAGCCCAAGCATATTGCTCATCGGCGAGCTCCAACGTCGGACTTGCATGGCAAGCAGTCACAGCTCTGCCCAACTGGTATCGCAACCTGAAAGCAACGAATCCCCAGAGCGCAGACAGACCCGATGAGATCAAGACATATAGATCAAGGCCAAGCCTGTCGGTTCGGTAAGTGGAGGCCAGGGAGGTCAGATTCAGCTCAACCATTACGAAGGCTAATGACGATCCAGAATATTCTATCCTGCTTCGTACCCACAACATGGAAGCTCGCAAAAGCTCCCAACACTGTTCACTGTCCATGATAATGGTCACAGCAGTGCAGACAACAATGAGTGGAATCGCTATTTTGCAAATACTCACGGTTGCCTCGTCATATCACTCGATTACGCCAAATCCTTGGGTGACCCTCTTGCACCTGCATACGATCTCCAAACCCTATTTTCTGAGCTATGCGCTGATGAGAGCATACCTATTAACGACCGTCTGTCTGATGAATGGGACACGAGTCGGACAGCTATACTGGGTTTCGGCACTGGTGCCAACCTTGCCTTGACGTTCAGCCAGCTGGAAGGTATCCGTAGGCACTCACTATGTCCTGCCGCGGCAGTTTCGATAAACGGACGTTTCGAGTACAGCGATTCGGGTTATGCCGATCCCAATAGCGAAATCTTCCGTGATCCTCCGTTCAACGCGAGCATCGCTGCACCAGAAAACCTGCCTCCTTACGTGTGTTGCATCGTTGCAAGAGTGGACAACTGGTCACATGAGGCGTGGAATTTAGTAGAGCGAATATCCAAGCAACATGTTTTGCAGCGGGAAAGGGAGACTTCGTTTGAGGAAATGTGGGACGGGGGTGGTCTGAAATGGCAAACCGTCCCAGGATTATCAAATGGCTTCGACCATCGGAGGTCTCTCGGAGAAAATGGGCCAAGTGTTGATGAGAATTCATTCAGGAGTACGGAGTCTCATACTAGAGAATATGTGGATGATCTGGGAAGATGGTTGAAGCAAGTTGTATGGCGCACGTAACTGCTTTGTATGGCATGGAACTGATGAGGTAGGCCCTTGCCGCCGATAGGACAGGTTTGCAACCGTCAGTTGCTGCGTAGCCAGAAATGTTTCTTCAACGATAATTATCGGCACCGCGTCCACCAACAATGAAACGAATCGTTCCCAAATCCTGTCCCGTGCAAATCTTTTCGATTTCCGTTGACTGTAGTGACATGGTGAAAGCCGGATATCTCCTGAAATTTCTCCCTTTTCAACCAAAGACCAAGCTAGATACGATTTGACTATGAACTAAGGCCATCACTATTGACAGCCATCTTTTAACTTCCGAACGCTACAAACTCTGCATCTATTGACGTGATTCGCACAACGCTGGGCTCCAGTTGACTGCTGAGTGAGCTCTAGTGATCCTTTGCTGACGAAGCAAGGTGGTTCCATAGGCTCCCTGTCTTTGTCTCCATTCCAGCTGAGTGAGCGTATTATGTTTCCCATACACCGATGGGTGGGTTGACACAGTGGGCGAGGTCATTAACCCAGCTCCTAACAGTACTCTCCCCGCGTTTTCGAAGCTCTTTACATGATTAGCAAATACTCCATGCATATCAGTAAGTATAGGGGTATGGCTATTCACTTGCCTAGTTTTCAACGCACTGTCCGTTTTCTAGGGTCCGAAACATATGTCCTTGGATAAATATTCAATCTCTTAGGGTCCTATGTTAATGATAATGAGGTGAATGGCAGTTATACAGAGAAGTTCAACATGGGGAGAAGAACTTCAAGGTGGTGAACGCTGTTGAAGCTATTGTTAAATAGTTGGAAATTTTTTGAATCAAAAGCAATGCTGAGAGACTGCAAGTGATATTCCCACGTCCAGTGGTTGTTGCACGGAAGAATGTATGAAGTAAGGTCGATTCTAGAGCCCATCTTTATGTATCAGCTAATCTAGTTATATAGTTAACCTGGAAAAAGTGCATACCAGTTTCCCGGATGATACTTCTTCCTCGGGCTTGGTAAGGTAAGCAATAACTTTGTCTAGGGCGGTGGCCAGTGTCATGGCTAGTGTATGTAAGTCCCATGTATTCATCCCTCTGATCACACATTGGATCTTAACGCTTCTAGATTTATACTGCACTGTTGAGGTAGACCGTGGTGTTTTCTTAGCACCTTTGTAGCCTTCAATATTGGAAATAAATTCGCAGGAGACAATGCACTATGTAAGAATTCAGCTGTATCTTGTCATCATGCTCAACTGAGGGTTGACTGTGATCAAAAGTCAAGCCTCTGGGGACCTCTCAAACAACTGATCTCACTGACGTGGGGTAACAGAAAGTCTACATCATTAACAACGGCTCAATTCATGGAACTTGGTCTCCCCGGTCAGGAAGCCATGGAACGGGTTTCTGCTTAAGGAAATCGCCTTCATTTCATTGACGGTAACATGGTCTGTGTCGATATCAACATATGCAACCGTTGAAAGATACTGCAATCGCGCAATTTGCACGTAACCCCATAATAGGATTAACGGTACGTAACTTGTATTTTAAATCTTAATAATCACTGCTAATATTTTTAATTACAGGCTGCTATATAACCTATCTAATGAGTAGAGTAATATCACACTAGGATCCATGACCTTGCGCCTACACTCTATGTACCAAGCTTACTCATGCTATACCTACTTCCGTCCCTTCTCCCGTTTTACTAACCTTCACATTCCCCAGGAACTTCAGCTTATGAGAGCCTAATGGACTTGGCAGCAATATATTGGACGGGAAGGACCCGCTAATTACAATCGACTTTAAGTCAAAAGATAGTTGGATCCAGGGTCGGAGTGCCGTTTGGTAGCTGTGGATTCTGGTAAGTGTCAAGTGAAACCATGCTTCAGATCTTTGCCTGAATTACCTGGATCAATGTAGAGGAGACTTTCTTGTGAGTTGACATAAGATTACGGAAATGCCACAACGTGAACTTCACGCATCCAGAATGTTACCGCTATAACTAAGTTCTCAAAGAATGTTTCATATAAGGAAAATACATATAACACGAATTCTCATATAATGAAAGCCATACTCCTACTTCCGGTGCTAGAAAAGTCAAGCGAGGAGCGCCTTGAATTCGTTTCTATTAGTGAGGCCTGTCGTGAATTCAAAACCGTGACCCCATCATCAAGCGAATGACTGATGCGCGACTCACTCTATGTGCCGGATCCACGGTCAATATCACGGGTTTTATCACCTAAGGCCACTTAACTTCATTGTTGGCCGTCAAATGATCCATCTACTCCCGTGTATATCGACTAAAACAAGCGACACACTACGGCGATTACTTGAAACGTAATACACACGATCTGCAGCTCCAAGATCCGGACCCAAACCAGGGGCCACGAGCCAAGCCGATTGCCGTTGCGGGATGGAGCCACCGGGGCATGATCCGGCGCCGCTTGAAAGGTCCGTTTGGAGATGGAACGAACTCCGTCCGGGACCGTCATAATTTTGGACGGAGGACGTGGAAAAGCATGTTAGGGAACGTACACCATATCGGACGGGTCACGATGCATTGGGAACTAGACTTTACCAAGAATTACAACTTAAACCTACTTACCCCACGGATGCGTCATGATGTTGTCATCTCGTCTCATCGGAAACGACGTACATAACAGAAGCCTCATCCGCCTTGGCCGTAAGGGTTGAGCATTTAGCCCGTAGCCAATACGGTTCTACGTGTGCAGCCGCGCGCGACATACCGTCGACCTCGAACCTGAATCCCCCTAGGGAGCAAACTTTCCCTTCAAAAAGGAATCGGCCCCCACCATCTGATCCGAACCTAACTGCATCAGGTGTATTTTTGGGATGAAGTTTTGGCGACCGAATCATCCTGACACTGGTTCCGTTTCTAAAAATTGACCAACCCCTCCCACCATCTGCACAACTAAATCGCAGCAGCAGCAAGCCATAACTGACCAACTGGGGTACCGGTATATGCTCAGCTCTGCCAAGGACGCTTTGCCCCTCTGAGCCTGTTTCACACCTTAGTGGAGGGTAAAGCTTATTGCCTGCTGTCTAAGGCATGTCCCTGTACCTCTACAATTGGCGTTTCAAATGCCGGACGCCGACTACTTGGCTCGCGCTGGATGCGCAACACGAGACGGCGTATGCCATCCAGTCTAACAGTCTGACTGTCAGATGTTTTCAAAATCTGGACTCCTCATTGAACACCAATTGGTATGATGGTGGACGTGCGCCAGTTGCGTAGAAAACTTTAGGTGAAAACATTGTTTTGTCATGTGGTCCTGGGAAATGTGGTAGGAAGGAAGGAAGGATGCGAGTCGCAGCCCTATTGGAGGTAGATCATGGCACGTCGGGCGCAGCTTGTACCGCTGAACCAGTGATAGTCGGATTGGACGAAACAGCGGATGGGAGCAGGCACATATAAAATATCTAAGAGTGTACTGAGGCGGAAATGTCTCTATTTTCGTCTGATTTGATGCAGCTTCGTCATGTCTTACCTCCATTAACACGCTCTCTAATGCTTAATGAATCCCTATTCACCTGAGAGCGCAGCCAACCATGGGTCTCAACAGCCAATGCATGATCCGCTCGCCCAATATCTCAGTTCTCTCCATACCCTGTCGTATGAAAGTATTAGGCCGCTGACTGTCAGGAACCGTTCCGTATGTGCGCGCATCTCCATCATCGCCCATGTTCCTGCAAACCTTGTAAGCAGGGTTACCCTATCTACTCCAACCCAAACACCGTTCGTCGAATGCGAGAAATCCAGTATGTACAGTACAAAAGGGACAAATATCAGAGGCCGACCCTGGCCATTGCAGAGCATCATTATCGGGGCTCCAGGAGGTGGCGTTGCCGAATATCGTAATGGTCCGGGAGGGGGAGTTGGGGTTTGGAGAGGAAACAGGTCGATTCTCCACTTCGGTTGTTGAGCGCCGCTTTCCCCCAACCGGTCATGTAGACTTTTGTGCGTCAATCGTACTGATGACACGAGGCGTCGCCCACCTCTTAGTTTTTCCACTCATATTCGTCTGCAGCATCAAGTTCTCTATGACAGTGTGACGACGGAGTCGGTGTGCAACATCTCTAATGCGGCAATAGAACGCCTTGCTTTTCCGTGTTGTCCACCTTGATGTAGCCGACGAACTGTTCAGTGACGGTGGCGCACCACGGATCGACATACGTGGTCCAAAGCAGAGCCACGCCGTAGTTCAAAGGTATCCAGATGGGTAGCCAAATAAGCAGCTTGTAGCCGCCAGGGAAAATAAGCTTTCCCGGAACCTTCTCACCATGGTCATTGGTGAAGTCCTGAGGCATGTGCGTGCCGTATACCATCCAACAAAGTATCCATCGTAGAAGGGGGCCATGGAGCAGGTAGACAGCGAAGGATTGCTTTCCCAGCCACAACAGGTACTTGCCCGAGAGGACATCCTTGAGGAAGGGACTGAAGTGAATTCCTAGCGTGATAAGCTCGAGTCCGATTCCTGAGCCGAAGCGCGGCAAGTCCGCCTTGTTGGGAGTGATGGAGACCAGTACTCGATGCTGCCACTGGGACCACCTTTGCCATTCATGGTGTCCCTCTGGGTAAGACGCGACGTAGAGACCGAACACCAGGAAAATGGTAGCAAGCATCTTCGAGATGCGAGGGCGGTTAGTGATGAAGTCGGTAGACGGTGTGTGGTTCTGCAAGTCGCACAAGAAGACGCCCCAAAAGAACTGCATGCCGAAAGCCGCTGGTACACGTGTTAGCTGACATCCTCGCTTTGCGAGGAGATCGGGCACTTACAGTCTGCAGCGATGTAGAAGTACAAGAACATGCCAATACTGGCGATCATCCTGTAGCGAGGCTGGAGGTACGCCGTGGCGACGATGAAGATATAAACCCATAAGCTGCCACGGAGCAGGGGCATGAGCGTCCACTGGTTTCCATCGTATGCGTTGCGACCATTTGTCCAAGTTGTAATACAGTTGTAGACCAAGCTCTTCAATGCATCCACCAGGTGCGGCACACGATCAGGGGCAGTGGCTCCGGACCACCAGCTGTCGCTTCGTTTCGCCACGAGGAAGAAACCCAGCTGGGCCATGACCCAGATTATACATGTAGCCAGGGCAGTGGGAATGACGAGGCGAGGAACACGACGGAGGGCGGACTTGGAGATGGAGTTGAACGCGGCTTCCTGGTTGCCCTGTCGGTACAACTTGATGGGCTTCAATGCGCAGACGTAGCCAGTGACGAAAGAGAAGATGGAGACACCAATTCGTCCTTGGACGAGGATTCGGATGAAGGGCAGTTGGAGTATTCGCGGTGCGGCACCTTCAGCCGAAGCAGGCAAAAAGAGGTCGCCATCGAATGCTCGGGCGATATGGGTGAGGACAACTAGAGTAGATGCCAGACCTCGGAGGCCCTAATAAACACCACAATTAGCTTCTGGTTCCCAAACTCAAACATGGCGCATCGTCCCAGGTGAGAACACCGAGTCGTGTCAAAAGTCAAGACGAATGGTAGGGCGCGCGTTCGTTGTTTTTCGGATCGGAAGTTGCCAAGAGCCTTCCATGCGGCCAACGTCCAGTGCTGTCAAGTTTTGACGTCCATGTTGCTGGGATGCGAAACAAAAGTAAGAGCAAACTTACATCCACCCATTTCACATTTCCTTCTTTGCCAATCGCCATTGTGGCAGTTGGAGGAGGGGATTTCAAAGGTGGTCGTCGAAGTTGTTGCAGCTACCGATGCATTTGAGGTTGCGATTGAGTGGTGTGTAACAAAACAGAGGACTGGGATTGGAATTCGGTCGGGTAGTTTGTTCCAGTCAACAATTGGTGTGCACAAGAGCTCGGTTTCACCAATCTTCGTTCTTAGGTACGATTTGGTTACTGGAGGTGCTGTATCCAACACTGGGCCTTGACAGCGACGTGGAGGAGTATCGTGACTCTTGTGCGATAGGGCGACTGGCTGATTCCGGCTCAACTCGAACAATGCACATACCAGTCGATACAGGCGAAGCAGTAGGAACGTCCGAAAGGCCTATATAGGGAGCGACAGTCGAGGCGTGACAAGTGTGGTGACTCTGAGTTATTAGACAAACAAATATTAACGAAAGATCCTGCGTACAACAACAATCGCGAGTAGAAGCAGTGGCGGATCAGTGAGATGAGAAGAAACAATGTCACACACGATGACAACAAGAGGGCCTGAGAAATAGGAACCGAGGAGATGCCACCAACGCGCTGGTAGTGGGCACAGGTGTTTAAAAGACTGGAAAAACACCAGGTGAGAAAGGAGAGTGGACTGAGAGAAGGCGTGCATATAAGGGGCGATGAATGAGTGTGGGTGGGAATAGACAAGAGTCTTGGCAGTATAAGTCGAAAATGGACCTACGTTTGGAGGCTGCTAAGTGGGCGGGCCACTCTCGATAATCCACCGGCGACTCAGACAGCAACTTGCAACTTTACGGTTGTCACAACGGCAAGCCCTGCACAAAACCGAGTGGAGTGCAAGGGTCACAATTGGTGGATTGAACTGCTTGTGCACTGCTTGTGCAGGGTTTTCGAAGTCGAACAAGCCCCGCAAGTCGTAGCACATGGACGCTGGTATGGACTAGCCTACGTACCTGGAGTCAGGTGCATCTGGACCGCTTCACGTCACGACTCGGACTGGTGCAGCCATGAGGGAAAAGGCGTGTCAACGACCGCGTTAGTAACAATGAGGTTGTGAGTCAATCGTTACTTTCGTGCATTCCTCCTACAAGAAAGACGGATTTATTGCTGAAAAGCTCCAGGTGCAGCTGGAGCATGTCCCTGGTCTTAGGTTTGGAATAGTCCTGGACCCGCCTCAATCGACTGCGACTAATAGTAAGTATTCCCAAATATTGCGCCCTGTCGTGGCCCAGTGCCTGCGGAAACTCTCTGATGAGACCAGGAGCGGAAGTAGCGCCGTTGGGCTTGGCGTGCAACGGACTGCACTTGGCGTTTTCATATTTTCAGTCCGTCCTCGCATTGCTCCACCGGCTTCAAGTTTCAACTCTGCTGCGCATCAATCGCTAGTCAAGACGACTAAAACACGCTCGAGGATGTTTGCTCATCCAGAAGTCTACCGAGGTGTATCACAAAAAAAAGCGAGAGGTCCTGATAAGCTGCCAGCTGCTTACGTACGCGAAAGTTGTCCCAGACCAGAAGGAGGAGTGGGCGAGGGTCAAATCAGACGACAAGGTGTAATTTTAGCAGCTGATGCCCTGTGATGAGAAAGAAAGCGAAGTTATCGGCCTCGCCAAGCCATTTCGCCGTTTCTGTTCAAATTAATTTCGTCCGTCAGTTGGGCTTACAGGAAGTGGACACTATTTTCGCGAATGCCTTTTTAACATCATCGTAGATTTAGCATCCGTTTGCTTGCACGGGGGCATCTCAGCACTTGCCACCGACAGCAGGCCGCTTTTAAGAGCCCGCTGCCTCATTTCGACGCAATCCAATACCCATCGTGGTGGCAATGCCCAGGCTGGCCAACACGGTACTTGTGGTGTCAATTCGGCAAAGACGGCTGTCCCGGCACCGGGGGCTGGCAATCGCGTCCATTCCAACTGAGTGAGATACAATGTAGACATTGGACGGTGCCTGGGTGCTGACTGCAGCCCTACAAGCCAGGCATCCGGATAGTCCAGTCTGAACAGCTAATCCGGCTGTCTTACCGGTTTGGTCAACACCGGTTTGGTCAAAGCAGTGATTGCACGCCGCCTGCAGGCAGCTCCGTCAGTCCCGTGGGAAGCGAATCCCCACAACCACCCCAGCATTCCACCAAGTATCTGCGATCGCCGTCCAAGTGGAAATTACCCAACCCACCTCACTATTCAATTGGACCTCGGAGCCACCATTTTATCCTTGTGCAGCAAGCTGAACTGCAAAGTCTTGGCTTCTCATTTGGAGTTGCCGGTTTCCCGCTGAGAAAGGGAGAGGCTTTGCAGATACGAAGACTATGACCAAAAGCGTATGAACTGGTAGGGACCCCCTTCCACCGTGTGAATATTTCACGTAATCGCTATTTATACTGTCCGCGGCACTTGGGATAATTTTCGTCCTTATCGGCCCCGGGGTTTCCGGGGTATTGTTTTCCGGGGCTTAGCACGGTCGAATGTTTCGGGTTTGAACTACCCTAAGTACCTTGCAATGTGTTATCTGCGATAACGTTGCTTATGTGCACGGTAAGGGGCACCCCTGCCAGTTCACACACATTTGCAACTCGCCTAGTGCCTCGAGATAAGCACACATTTAAGGTTACTTGTCATGAGAAGTAATGTCGGGATGCAGCAGATCGTCACAAAAGGACCATGGACCTTCCTCATTCTGGTCGGTTAGTCGGTTAGTCGGTTAGACCCTTTTGGACTTGGATATTTCATCCTCCAATCCAAGCAAGTCAAGTTTTTGGGACTATATGCCTATCACTGCACAGCTCTACAGACCGACCGGCCCCGACGTCGTTGGATGTACGCGTTTGCATCGGACATCCTCAACTCCCGGTCAACGTTAGGATCAAGTGTCCACTTCCATTGCCATGTCTAGAATGGACCGCCCCGCTGTGTTTCTCAGTTGGCAACTGGGCTGTCCAATGACAGAAGCCAGGCATCCGCCCACCTGGATTCATCCATTGGCTTCACGATGCATCGTCAAGCCCGTTACCGTTGGATCACTCATGGGCGGGAGTATTGGGTTTATCGCACTCAGCGTCGGAACAGCCAAACTGGCTGATAACAATATCCCCGTCGCTGGAACCACATCAATTGCCCAACTTGCATTGTTGGCTCCACTTCCAGCATTTCATCCGCATAATATGGCGATTTCGCTAAATTCTGTCCAGTCCTGTTGCTTACGCAGCAACTGCACCGCCAACCGCCAGTGTGGTTGGTGTTATATTTTCAAATCAAGCATCACCATTTGCTCCCAAAAATAACGATCCTACGTTCAGCTGATCTAAGATCCAAGCAGTCGATTGGGCGGTTCTTATTCCAATCCCTGAAGCCCATGAGCAGACCCCCTTTTTCGTTATTTTGGTCGACTCGTTTGATTCTTGACTGTCGCGAATTCGTCACTTGGTATGAGGATTCTTACGCAAACAAATGCCTAAAGATTCTACGAAATACGATATGCGGGACCATCCGGTGGTTCCTATCCACTTCCAAGTCTCGTTATTCGTATTATCGTCTGCGACCTCAATCTTTATCTCCGTGTGCTTGAATTGACTACGGAGCGTGTCTTTGCGGAGCATTACTATGCAGCTGGGGTCAAGTTCAGCCACTCTCCGCGGCCCCTTTTTTCTCGGACGCCAAGCCTTATTTCCCGTGGCGGGGCGCTACTGAACGCCTTTACCTTATCTGGCAATGATGAGCATCAGTTGCTACCTAATCCTGATTGCGTGATTCCGCGTTGCCGACCTGGATGTCCAACACTTCGGCAGGAAGTCAATATTTGGTTTGTTGCCCATCTCAAGAATTCAGATTACAGTTCCAGCATGTTCGTCCTGAAAATCAGTTTACAGGCGATTATCAACTAGCCTACAGCCGCTCCACGCCACGCCGCAGCAGCCACTAGGAATGCTGGCAAGGAATATTGAACAAATGGGTCAAACGCTAAACATAAGGACAGCTCCACCCCACGACGCCACTCATCTCTAAGTGGAACACGGCAATCAACTCAATGAATCTGTCGCAGTTGAAACGAATTCTCCAGAAACTACTTTCGATCAGTTACAAGTCCGATCACGACAGCCTTCCCACAGTGTCACCCTGTCACATTCAGATTGGATCTTGGGGATCTGAGGGCAAGGGGGGGCACGGGGACTCGCTGTAAAATGAGGACCGCGTCATGCAGTGTCGTCCTCGGTACCAAGTCAGGTACCAAGTCGAACATTCCGACCAAAACCTCCCGGGCCTCTTTCCAGATCGACGGTGTCAAGCCTGGGCTTGGCCCGTAGTCCCTGCCTCGTCATTCCGCAATCTGGGACCTCGGCTAGTCCCACGCTTGTTGAGCCTCATTGTTCCAACGTCCTTTGATGTAAAGTTTGAGCAACCTGTGGCTTGGCTGGCTGTGTTACGGGTGCTACCACGTACGGCAGGTTTGTAGTTTTTTAGTAGTTTTTTTTTTTTTGCGTTGGCCAGTTTTACCCTTGTCGGGTATGTGCCGTTTCTTGGTGAGTGTTGTGATACCTGGACGGGGCCGTTTAGCCGGTTGGCATTCAGAGCGGCCTTCGGGAATCATGAAGATGTCGGTTGGTTCCATGCCTGCTTTCAACTATCGGTTTCCCGTTCTTGAGAATCAACATCCCAATCACCTTGTTAGGTCTGAAGACGCCGGCTAGCCTGGCGTCAGCTTTCAAATATGGGCGTTTTTTTAGTTTTTTTTTTCTAGGGTTTTCCTCCCCTATTTTTGAGACTCCCTTCGGAAACGCCATGTTAGTCGATAGACCCAGCGAGTGTCAGTCATCAAGTCTGGGCTCCCTATGGTTGGTACAATTCGTCCTTCTTAGGGATGAAGCCTGATATTCTTGGGCACGAGTTGGACCAGACGAATGCTATCGAGATGCTTGATGCGACTTTTCCTTGTCGGGTATGGATTTGAGCGTGCTCTGTTGTTTCTACTTTCGTCGAACCCGGCATTCCTGGGGATGAAGTTGTCAGAGGTTGGGTTCTCCCTGTTCTCCCCAATACGCAACGCTTCCGCAAATTATGTTGATGACATCAAATGCTTGGCGGTTATATTCTGAACATGAAGAATTGCGCAGGACAAAGCTGAAAGGAGTCGAATTGCCCCTATTTTCCTCAGTAGAACACGAGCACGTCGTCGAACATCCGTTCATTTTGTTCTAAAGAACGTCCCCATGAGGGGCATAGGAGGCTTTATTCACAAAAAGGTGCTTCCGCTACTAGTTTCAACTCACTAGAGGGTGCTATGGTGAAATGGCATCTCGACAACTTGCAAAGGCAAGATAATCATGGTATTCTGGAAACAGCTTGAAACTTTCCATCGCTGTGGAGAAGGATAATTTATATGTGAAGCGATCGGCAATGCATGAGTCAACCCTCGTCGCCATGGTATTTCAAATGAAATATCACCAGCATTCATCACGAAGCGGTTGTCAAGGCCGCCTAGTCAAAGGTTCTAGAAGCAGCCCGACGCTTTTCATCGCTGTGCAGAGGGACACATCCATCTTATATGCGGGTTCATCGATTGTGGATCAGGGAATTATCATTGGCTTGATACTGCAAGTGAGATACCATAAGAATTCAGTGCGGAGCGACAAGGTCAAGAAAAAATGTTCATTTGAATGTGATCACTTGCGCCTGAATATCATCCACTCATCTCACTTTATCTATCCCCTCTCCAGTACTCCAGTTCTCCCCTCCAGTTCAATCAAGAAGTACCGAAGCGGTTACTTGGAAGGTTGATCCATTCAGGTTGGATATCAGTCTCGACGGCGGTGAAGGTCTTGGGCACGGCACCGGCGCTTCGCTTCTTATGGACAGATGACGACGTGCAATTCGACCCATACCGCGTCGTCTCTGTCCCAGGACTACCGGGCACAGCTGGGAACACGACGGCAGGTCTGACGTCGGCGTTATACTGGAGGACATCAGCCGCGATGCTTCCGTCGTCCGTCGTGGTGCTACCGAACACACACAGCCCCTCGCCCCAGGCGACATCCGCAGCATCCTGCCAGACCGTCCTAACATCGAACACATTTTCAGCCGTGAAGAAGCGCTTGCAATTGGCAGCCTCGTAGACAAACTGCAGCGGCGTGCTCGTCTCGTCATCCCCAGCATACGCGTTCTTCCAGTTGAAACTGCCACCTGATCCGAGGATGGGCGGCGTGGCTGTGTCAGGAAACGGCAAGCCAAGGGGGGCAAGGCCATCGTTTTGGTCGGCAAGACCCACAACCCATGGAATAAAGTCATCGAATTTCAGGACCTCAGCACCCTTGACACCACCGATGGCCTGCATAGGACTGCTGATGGGCCGTCCGCCCATGGCGATAGTGCGCACGCCCTCCTGCCGCGCCAGCAGGCCGGCGAAGATGGTACAGGTGCTTGCGCAGACACCGTCCGTGACGACCACAATATCCTCCACAGCGAAAGGCTGTTCGGGTCGCGCGGGAACGTCGCCGTAGCCCGTTACTACGGTCATAGCTGTAGATGAACCGAACCCGCCGGGCTCGGAGAAATTTCGGCGCAGCAGACTCGTGAACTCGTCGCCGTTGAACTCATTCGGGCCGAAGAAGTCCTGCCAGCTCTCAAAGTCTTCCCCGTCTTTGTCGACGATGGCCGGGAAGATGAAGTCCGGGTCCGACCAGGATACGTTCCCCATGAAGTCGACTACCTCGGTCGCGCACGCGGATGCCGTCCCAGGGCTCGCCCGACGGGAAAAGCTGCTTGTAGAGCTCGAACCCTTCTATGACGGAGCCGCCGCCGTTTCCCGACAGGTCGATCACGAGCTTGGTCTTGCCGGCCTCGCGGCAGGCGTCCAGGAAGGTGGACACGACGCGCCGAAACTCGAAGAAGTCGGCTGTCAAGTTCTTTCCCGGCGCTGAGGATTCGAAGGATAATGCTACGAGCACGGCGGTGTCCGCGTATGCTGTGTCGTTGAGGAAGTAGCCCGCTACGTAGTCGTCAAAGTGTTTGACTACAGGGTAGGGATAGCCAGGCACGGTGGGCTCCGGTGCTGGAGACGTGGTTGAAGTGGCGGTTGCCGATTGAGTGGGTGTGGTGGTGGTGGTGCTGGGTGGTTGTGGCAGCTCGTAGACTTGATGCAGCAATTCGCCGTTCACAATACCGTCGAACTTGGCGTTCACGATTGCCATGTTCTCCAACACCTTGGTGAGCCATTAGCGAAGGCGATGATGCTCTGGTCCGGTAGCGACAGGTAGCCAAACACTCGATTGAAAGCATCCCCGATCGACACGTCGCCTGCCACCGTCGAGAACACGGTATTATAGTCGGCGTCTGGGTCCTGGAACTGCAGGTTCCGAGACAGGATCTCTAGGTACTCTTCTGGGGGGTTCTTGAGGTAGGCGAGGGTGCTTTGCAGTTGCACTAGTGGTAGGAGGCTTTGGAACTGGTCAGTAATGCACACAACCGGACGGTCGACGGTCAATGCTATTGAGGTCGACTTACTGGTCAATGAGGCCCACGTCGTTCTCGGGGTCCAGTGGGACAGACTTGAGGCATGCTGTTGCGAGCCCGGCTGGCACAACGGCTGCTGCCGCCGTTGGCTTGGCCGAGAGGTAAGCTGCCGAGGCGCTGCTGACGAGGGGACAGGAGCCTGTCAAAGTCGGTGTTGGCACCGATGTTATCGATCCGCAATCGCTGGATGTAGTGTTGTAAGCACGACCAAGAACGCCGGCGGATGCTGTGGCGCTGAATGCCAGCGCCGACCCGATGATATGCACATGCATCGTCGACGTCTTTGGGTAGGTTCAAGGCTATGGGGGGATATGGGTTAGATAAGTCAACGTCTGGCTAAGTTGGGATGCTCAGAGCCAAATTTCCATATCGATGTCTGCGATGCCATCTTTAAGTATCTTGTCGCTGTCAACAGAAGCAACATCAGCTATCAGCTTGTCGTAAAAGTAAACCACGATGATGCCGGCAGTTTGCTGCCGCCAGCGATCTTGATCCGCGATGAAAATTGAACCACAATGCTCCGCAACTCTTCCCATTCGTCGAACCAGGCCCCGCGGTATTCAACCGGTGGCAAAGCGCGATTAGAAGAATCCTTCTGCTAATGGCTTGGGGCTGATTTCAGTTACAAGTTACTAAAGAGGGGAATTCAAGTAAGGCTGAACTAGGCTACATCTATAGGATGCTGACACCATCTGATCTGGGCCGATAAACCACCAGCTCATCAATATAGGGAAGGCTGGATCAAGGGCATTTCCAATAATAGCTAAGCAGCGGCGTCTAATAGGCTGGCGTGTACGACTTCGAGCTCAGCGAGCAAGGTCGAAAACTTAGGCCTGGCTGAACTGCAGGGGCTAGCCTTGCGGGCCCGGAGAACTAGCTAAACAGGAACTAACGCCATGGTAGGTGAGATTGTAATGACCCATGTAGTTTACATAAGGGGCACAGTGGTTATTTCGAAAACTTGCAGGATCGATTTTACTTTCCGTTCGTCGGGATAGGTTTGCAACAACACTTGAATTTTTAGATCAACTTCATCCCCCACTCATGACAAGTCTGGGTAAGCTGTGCATGCATGTGAGGAGGGTTTCCTGTGTATTGCAATTGGCCACTGATCTGACTCCCCACACGCCCGCACGCCGCAACATCGTAATTGATTTGAGACACATGCACCAAGAAAGGGTAGATGTAATGGCTCTAAAGAAGACGAAGCGTCTGATTATAATCTCTATTGCTGGACCTCAAACTGCTTGCTGATGACTTAATTGGGCATTGAGTATATTGAGACATGCAAGTTCATTTGGACGAATGCTTTGTCCATCGCTTCTTGCGGAAAACCGAAGCTTGACCTTGAAAGGAAGCACGACGTTACAACTTCAGTAATGATCATAAATATACAGTAATTATCATCCTCTAACGAGATCCTCTAACGAGGTGTCAGCCTGTTCAGCTCAAGCAAGACGCGAATACCCCTCCAATTTCTTGGTGCTTATTGGTCGACCCATACGATGCCTAATTGCCCAATCGGGGAATATCAAAAACATCTGTCTAATCAATTTCATTTGTTCAGCTTTCAAAACAAATATCGTCATGAGAAAGAAGGCTTGAAATAGAAATCGTTGAACCTGGTAGGCGCATTGGCGTGGTTTCTCCCTGCCCTTTTTACTTTGCCAACAGGGCTTTCCCGCAAGGTCTTGTGTTCAGCCGGGTGGCTGTGATACTGCATGCTTGCCTTTCATGCTAATCCTGATGCTCCATTGTAATATTATGGGATCGACCCATGGCAAACAATCTATTGTACGTACTAAATCGGTATAGCAAAGCGAGGCCACATCAATCGCGGGCATACATGTACAGCCACTGGCAGCTCAAACGATGCAGGAACCGCACCGAGAGGATAGGTGTAAAGCTATGTTATTATCTAGCGATTCCGACGTCCACAGCCGCCAACAGCATTGACACCGCTGGCTAGAGATCAGGAGTTGTCACGACCCTGGATTAGCAGTCGGGTCAGCATAGTGGAACATATGCTGCACCCATGCACTGGATGTCGCGTCCGGTTCTGCAGGTATGCCAGGGTCCCTATCTATTCTACCCGCGATGAAAAGCGTTCTTTTTTCTCCACGTCAGCCTGCTGGACCAAGTACTCCAAAGCTGGCTGATCCAACAGATTGCGGCTGAGACACAGGGCAAGAGTCTCGGGAAAGTCGGACTCAACGTTACTTCCGGCTTCAGTCTTTGTGGAGCATCTTACCGTAGGTCAGGCAAGGCTGCTTGCCCCATCGTGCTCGGCCGACGGGCTGTGGGATGATGGGCTGGCTTAGGGTGATGAGGCTAAACATCATCCGTTGGTGGTTAGGAGATATTGGAATAATGATACTGGCTATGCGGCGTGTTATTTACAAGTGCTGTTCCCCAGATGTTCACTAGAGTGTCAAAGTTGCCTGCGATCTCGTCGGCGCAAATCCTTGCTCCGTCTATGTTTATGAGGATGGTATCCCGAGAAAATATGAATTGCTCCTGTGAGGTCTATTTAAATATCCCGTATTTAGACTTAGTCCGGACACGATTGACAGACTGGTGCGTTATAACCAAGCTTGCCGTTGTTGTGTTGATCAAAGTAGTACACGTTTTATTTTGTTAGTATTGACATCTGTGTATGAAAGCCAAGCATACGAACTCTCTCTTTTGTAGCTTTTTCTCTTCTGTCAAGCTAGAATTGGCCGACTGAATCGTCGTTAGTACTCTTGTTTGTCTGAAGCACACCGATTGATAACCCTTGATTTCAACCTTGGAATGAGTTGATGATCCTCAGTCCGTCAACATGCGCAATAAATAATACTTGAACGTAGTAACTTACAGTCTTTTAGTCAGAGTTGCTGCCCTAGCCGTTATTTGGGTCACTATTGAAATGGACCATCCGCTTTTTTCTCTGCTTCTGCGCCGCATTCGTCGGGATCTGCTCCGTCAACACCTCGAGACTCTCGTTGGCTCGACCAGGATGGAACTTCCACGGGGGATAAGCCATAGGAACACAAGCCTTCATAACTAATACCTCACAATATCTAAAGATGCTAGCCGACTCTTTAGTGAAACTAACGATAGAGCCAAAACGGCCATAGGCCTCTGTTCGGCATCATCCAATCTCCGTCTCGAAGCTTGTAAAACCCCGACTGAATTTTCTCCCGTTCGGCGGTAAAAATCAAATTTGAAGGAAAGCCATGGAACCACACTTCCATATAAACAGGCCACGACGCAAATATGGCAATTGCGGCTTTGTCCTTTGGTTAGGAAATTTCACGATCCCTCCATGGAAAGCACCTCGCGTTGAGCCATGCCAATCGTGTTCGCCAACATCACGATAAATCTGAGACAGCTAGTTGATGTACGCTGGAAATTCATGGTTAAAGACCCAAACATGAAAGTTACCAAACCCCGCGAGAGAAATGTACTTGGATATTTGAATTCTTCGTGAAGTGACTTGTCGCGACCTCGGTCTCGAAAAAGCGTCCCAAGGTTGTTTCCTTGCTTCAGGGTGAAATTACTTGTCCTTTCGGGTGTTCTATCGACGCGACGGGCTCTGTCACCAGAGTTTCCGGGGCGTCCGGGGCGTTTGGGTGGAGATTGGAATCCGGAAATCGGGGATGCGGGTCTACTGCTCGGAAGATACGTGATGGACCACAAGAGCTGAAGCAGCCGTCATATACACTTCCCCAGACTTGCCGTTGCTTCGTAGAGCTCACCGCCAGCTGAATATCCTTTGAAGCCGAGTTCCTCAGTACCCATTTTTTAGTGAAAGTGAGGTAGTTGCGCCTCTAACCTTAGCTGAGGCATGACGTCAATGTGGCGCTGCAAATGCTCCGGATAGGACGAATTGGGCCGCACACGGCTTGATTGATTGAATGAGCTCATTTTGCACCTCCATCCAGCAGTTCGGGCGCTGTCACAAGCCCTGGAACGGGTCGTACCTGCCCAATAAGCGCCTTCAATTGTGCTTGAATGGCTCCCGCAGACCAAATCGCGCGGGGTAGCTTGCTCAAACGCGGCTGGGATATGACATCACAATGGAATCCATGGCAGCATCATAACATCATCCGAGTGAGCTCTCCACCCCAGAGGCTCAATTAAAACCTCAAACTCCTTCTGACAATCACAACCTCATCAAACACAATCACTCGTACCGCATCTACCACCGACATCGAACCCGCGCGTCAAACAAACGACACTCAAACATCTAATCAAAACTACATACGATGACAATGTCGTTCCTTACCGAGACCATCACCCGCCGTGTGGCCCTCGCTTCCAGAGTTACATTGGTGCAGGCACCCCGGCCATTCAGCACAAGCAGCCGCCTGCAAAAGGTCGTACCAGACGCCGTCAAGGATACCGTCAAGACGGTAGACCGCAAGGTGTCAGACAAGCTTGTTGACGGCATCAACATTACCAGTAAGTTGCATTATCAACCCCACTCCGCCCAACCCAATTAAAGGATCAAAATCAGTATACTAATGACCTTTATTAACAGCCGAGGCCACGCAGAAACTTACTGGAAAGGAGATCGGAGGCAAAGTTACAGGAAAGGCTGAAGAGATTCGTGGAGAAGCCAAAGGCAAGGCGGCCGAGCTGAAAGGCGAGGCGAAGGGTGCTGCCAACGAGGCGGCGGGTAAGGCCAAGGGTGCTGCAGAGAAGATGTAAGAAGAAGCCGAATATCATTTCACGCCCCTTTCACGACGCATGACAGTCGGACAATGCGCTGTTGACTGTACTATAAATGCTATTGCATTGGTCCCTTGGAGTTCTGGTAGAATAATATGATTCATGACGTAAAATAATGTTAAGCCTTGCTTTAATTAACGATGTTGTGCGCGGCAAGCACTGTAGAATGGTTTCAGTTACCTATGCAAACACGTCTGGCAAATACTTGGCAAGCAGTACACACAACTTGGTATCCCCGCACGATCAGCACCATTTGAACTTGATTAATCGAGAAACACATGATCGTTCTAGATTTTGTTTCGTGACATGGTCAGCGTTCCTCAAACATTGCGCGCTATTCGAGGACATTCGTCAGCCCATTGTCTCGGGCAGACTCAAGGCCTATCGATGTGCTTCCTGATAGAATGAAGCATAGAGAGGACCACGTCCCTTGAATCCTACTCTAAGAACCCTAATACCTGCTCTTCCAAGTAGTACCGTGCTATAAGCCTAGGAGTGGCTTCGTTTCACCAAATATCTGGTCAATCCGTTTAACAAGGAGCAGACGCCTATCCTCCAGCCGTTCCAGATCGTGTCTCGGAGCCCCTCTATCATGGCCTCCTGGTTCTGTAGAGACTTAAATACCCCTCTCCTTCCAGAAGTTTAGGTCTACCGGCTTCGACAGCCAGTCCTTCGCCACTTCCAGATTGGCCCAGTAATCGCTCGAAAACCAATGTGTGACACTCGCGTCCAACAGCGTATACACATGATCCCAACCCAAGTGCTTCGCGCTGTTACCAGCTCTTAAACAGCTTCCTCATGGTTTCCGTAGCTCTCAGAGTGACTCATAGGGAATAATTTATGACTTACCTGTGATATTCGTTCCATCCGGGCCCTACCTCTGTCCCTTTTGTGATTCCATGACCGGCCCGGCTCTGTCCTAACTTGCTACAACCTTACTACATCCACACATCCCTACAATCAACAATAATATAAACATCACTTCACTTCCTCTGCTAATCAATCATCCACTATCACCATGTCCCAAGCCCTTCCATCGTCTTCGGCCCCGGCTGCTGGTCCCATTGAGGCCACATTCTCTGAGCACCAGGTATCCAGTACCCCTATGTATTAACTTAGCCCTACTAACAGCTGTAAAGGACAAGATCACTGGCGCGCAGCTGGCCGCCAAGAAGGCCGCCAAACTCCCTGGGCACAAGCGCAAGGCTGAGGACGTGGAGGAGGAGGAGGAGGAGGCCCTGGCGCACGAGCGTCAGATCGCCGCTGCGGAGCGGCTGGCCGAAGCTGCCTGCACCTCTTCCCGCGCTGCCGAGCGCCAAGCTGCTGCAATGGAGCAGCAAAACGTGCTCTTGGAACAATTACTGGACCGGTTTGTGGAATATAGTGACTATTACGTGAAAGTAGTACGTGACCTGTTCCCTACTGGTTTAACCTTTAGCGACTAACGTCATATAGCACATTGAGGAGCTCACCGTGCCCTCCGACGACGAGGGGGAGGGGAGAGAGGGAGAGGATGATTAGGTGGAGCAAGGGCAGGCCGTGGGTAGCAGTGCCCAGTAGTGGATGGCTCGTCATGGTTGGTGGCTCCTTGTTGGACAGTTGGTGTTATCATGTGCTCTTTTAGCCCCATAGAGGGCAATAGTTTCTTCTTTGCAGTTAATGAATGAAGTATCTGGACCGACGTACCCTTTGATAATGACAATTGCTGCGCACCAGTCGTCACCTGGTTATGCGCCGTTCCACTGAAGCTTCATATTCCTTACTTAGCTCCTGCGATAATGTCGCTGCCGATCCTACGTATCCTCCCCTCCGACTTGTTTGCTTGAAAATCTCTGCAAAATGGCTGGTACTGAAACTTCACTGTCGTCTTGGTATTGCTCTAGCGCTTAAGCCGCTACCCTTATACTACTGAGAGTCTAATCGTCCCTACAACGCCGACTCCGGTATTATGGCCATCTCGCCAAGCCTCGGCTGAAGCCACTCCTATGCCCCCGGGGACTCAAGGGCATCTTTTTCGGTGTTTCTGTGGCTTTGCCTTGTCCGAGTGCGGTAGGTCTGTCTCATCGTGGGTATGGGCCTATGGCCGTGATATCCAGAAGGATATGAATGTGAACGGTTATTTTCATCTACCGGTATAATGATCACTTCACAGCGGCTAAGCCTTGACGCCGGTATCATAGGCATGTGCCAGACCCTACCAAGTTGGTACAGAGCCACCTGAACAGGCTAGCTGGATACTCTGCTTGGGGCTCTGACAGCTGATACGACTATAGAGCATAACTGGCTAGATGAACCGGACGAGGCTACAGAGGAGGCCATGGCTAATTCCGCCAGCATGTTCCAAGGGACGGCGTCTGCGAGGTTGGCGATAGCTTCATTCCTTGGCAGTAATTCTAACCATAAAGCCACCAACCTCACCAGCATTTTACTATAGTACGCTCACCCACCAACCAAGGGGGTTTGGTGAGGTTGGTGAGAACGTTTCTGTACAAAGGAGACTTGAGCAGATCGCGTGTTGCTATACTCAACTGGGAAGGTAAACGATGGTACGATTATGAATTTTTACAGGTTTAATTGATCTTGTCCGTTGGTTATCACGGCCGAGTCGACTTGGGAGAAGTCCATCTTTCTGGGCAATGATCGATGGCAAAGGTGGATCTGGGTCGCATTATACACTTTTTAGGGGATCCACTTGAGCTATGCTTATACCATGACGTCAAGTATCCCTGGCTCCTACTTCGATCACCTGTACCTTGCTTCTTCTGGGTAACTGTGGATCGCGGTTCGTCGGATTCTTATTTTAGGTGGTCGATTGGATCATGATGCGACCCTCCAATGGATGATTTGTTTTCGTCATCAAGCTGAGGAATGCCCATGATTGGGGTCTGACAACAAGACTCTTGGCCCGGGTAGGATCTGCGCTCCCGAAGTTGGCCCCCTCAGAAGTACGCCTGGTGTGGGCGGGTGCCTCTGGCCCCCTATTAAATCACAGGGAAGAATATGCAGTTCATGTGATATTACTAATCCTGACGAATCCCACTGCCACCCTACCAAGGTACAGACGGGTTGTGCCTGTTTTCGGTAAATCTGCAGCAACAACCAGCACCAGCTAGTGGGGGATTTTCTGCACGCTGCAAGGTATACCGACCACATCTCCCCAGTCATCAATCAATTGTAAGATCATGACCACCATCCCCCGAGGCACACTTTTGACGCGCCTCAATCTTGAGCTAAGCTCGCTTCTGCACGCAATTACACATCTGAGGAGGATTTGTTTCTAGTTAGCAGCATCATGTCTTCAACCAACCGACTGTGATACATTCTGCCCCTTCTGAACTACTTACTAAGGCATATATGTTGGCGATGATGCCAGACGGACCGTGTGGAAACACAGCACAGGTGCAGCTGAGGAATTTTGCCTTGTTCATCACATTGATATTGGTTTCCCATTGGTTGGCACTACGTCGAGAGCCGTCAGCCAGCTGCTCAATGTTAGGCTCTACAGGTGGATTCGCGAATCCACCTGGTTGAGGTCTACGTGTATATCAATACGGCTGGCATTCAGTTTTTCCTCCCAGATTCAGACCATTCTCATCTCATCGTTGACAGCCTTGCCCAAGTGTCCAGCTTTGTAAACCTCAAGTCCTGAGCCTTCCCACACTATACATCTGCTCTTCATCTTGACCAAAAATGCAGTTCAACATCCTGGCCGCTGTGGCCGTCATTGTCCCGGTCGTTTTGGCCGAAATGCCCTACAGGCTTCCAGAATTCAGTTGGTTACGGCAGACCGCAGCGTCAACGGACTCTCACTAATAGAAATCAGAACGACATGAGGATACTCCATTCTCAGTCAAAACCCCGCGACACCTGCCCTTATCACACCCGCCCTGCAGTGGATGGGGGACAGGACTGCCGTCGCAACCAACGACGTTTTCCACAGGCTACTTGCCGAGGCCAACTACAAGTGTTTGCAACCATGACAATGAGTGTGTCTGTAACAATACCGGAGAGACGCCTAGATGCGTCATGGAGAATACCCAGTATTTGAGAGGGAGGTATGAGACCCTTAGCCCTTTCCAATCATATCTGGAACTCGAAGTATCACGATGTCTAATTGTATCGCAGACATTGCGCCTGTGTGACGGTTTAGCTCCCAGGCCAGCAGGTCTCAGAACTAGCCAAGGCTGGTTCAGGCTCGGAATGGGTTGTTTCCTTATTTGGGCCTTGATCCACTGTTTCCTGTAGAGAGAGTCACTGCAACGGAGGGCCATGCACTGTATGATGACGGAATGGTTATTCAACAGAATATCAGCGATGGTTAAAACTTGTTGACACCTTCATATAACTATATCTAGATACAAAAAGAATGAGTCGTGGATGTAACACATATCAGACACGAGGTTTAGATCTAGATTCCAATTGGGCCTATCGTTAATTGTGGAAATGACTTTCATTATTCAGATGATTACTCGTGTTATTGATCTAAACCCTACGGCTTGGGAACGCCTGTTGTGCGAATCCACCACCAGGGTGCGAAAAGGAATGCAAGAAGCAGCGGTAAAGTTTGGGGATGACGGCGTGGGTGGTATGCGGGAAGTAAAGGGCTGTCATCCGCTTGGCCTGCCGAGTCGCTGCAAATTCCGAACGATGCAACTACCCCAAACCCGAACGATACGAAAAACCGAACTTTGGATGACGTCCGAATGTGTGGCGTCTCAGCTGTCCCCTCGAAATACATCGAATGATGAATGAACAAAATTTGAAACGGCAACCCTTGTTCAAAAGATTCCTTCCTTACAAAATAGGTTCACGTGCAACCTCGAGTTCGTAGAACCCGCCAATCTTCTCAGTACGTGTGAGTGCTTGGGATAGGTAGAACGTCGTATATATTTGCACCCGGCTAATATCATCTGCTTGATAATATATCACCATATCACCAAAGAAAGGTAGATGATATTGTCGACATGTTGAGAGAGGAGAAATCACCGGATTTCAATCTGAGGCACAGCAGCCAATCCTCCTGATTAGTCCTTACGAAAACTCCAAGTAGGGGGAGTTCACCACAAAAACATCATGTGGGTGTCAGCGTTGGAACGATGCGCCACCGCGTTGGAAGACTGCCACATCCGCTCTAGCGTACTGCGGACAGACTGATTATACATACAGAAAATTGCGCGTAGCCCAATGATATGGTTACTTATCGCGTGACAGCTCTCAAGGCGCATAGAGCCCGCATGCAACCTCAGGATGTTTGTGCATCGCATCTGTCGTAGGCTTCGCAGAGATGGCATTGGCGGGCCGTGGGCCTGGCTCGTCTTCTTGAGTGTAACGTCTGTGGTTCATCCGGTGGCCATACGGACGAGGTCGGTCATTCTCTATAAAATAGAGATATGCCCACAAGAATCCCCCACAAGTCTTGTAGAATATGCATCGTAGTATCTCCTGAGGAAATATGACTTTCTTGCGCGGTGGTCACTGGTTAGCTGGAACGCAGCTGCTGTTATGGCTTGCGGTTATTCTAGCAGCGGTGTTGGTAGCCAGATTCCTTTACTGAGGCTATAAAATACGAGCCAAGATTAGAAAGTTGAAGGCGCAGGGCATTGTACGTGTCACAACTGTCCCGAGAAGTAGCTTCACTTGGGCTTATACCATACCACTGAAATCTCATGTAGCCAATATTGCCCCACTCCCTCATATTCGGTCACATGCTCATCGCCGCCGACTTCAGCAAGGAGAATCCTGCCGACATCAACTTCACACAATTCCAGTCATGGCTATTCCGCAACTTCAAGCGGTATTTCGCAGACTTGGTCCACTTACCCCCTGTGGTCTACTTCGACATTTGGCCAGTTCTGGCCTTTCCTGTAGCCTTTGTGTACAATACTCGATCGGCAGCTCAGGCCTTTCAAATTAAGAACTTGCCAAAACACTCACTCGGGCGCAATTTCTTGGATCCGTTGACTCATCAGAGGGATCTATCTACTATCCACGGTGAAGAATGGAAGTTCTGGCGCTCAAAGTTCAATCCGGGTTTCAGTCCTAGGAACATTACTGCGCTGGTTCCCGAGTTGATCAAGGAGATTGAAGTCTTTGTCGAGGTATTGCGACAATTGGCCGGGAAAGATGGTTCCTGGGGACCTGTATTTCAGCTCGAGAAGAAGACGGTAAACCTGACATTTGATGTGATTATTTGGGCAATCCTGTACATCCTCGGCACATTTCTTGCAGATTAGGATATGACGGAACTGATTGCTCCCAGGAACAAGCGGCTGCACGAACAAACAAACCCAACCAACAGCCCATTGAAGCGTGCACTGGCAGATCAAGCCCGCATCATGGCCATAGGCCGACACGCAGGCCAGGTTTTCACATGGAAACGGATGCCCTGGCACACCAGGGCCGCTGCACGCAACAACCGCATCATGCACGACTTCTTCATGCCCGAGGTCCAGCGTATCCTACATTCCCAAGGCGAGACCTCACAACAAGACAAAAAGACAGCTCTGGGTTTGGCGCTTCAACCCACCACGTATCCCGAGTTAGACACCGAAAAGACAACTAGCTCTCTCTCCCCCGACACCGAGACTCTCGAATCCATAATGAGCCACCTCAAGATTCTCATCTTCGCGGGTTACGAAACCACCGCCGCAGCCGTATGCTGGATGTTCAAGCTCCTGCAAGACCATCCAGACAGTATGGCCAAGCTGCGGTCCGAACACGACGCCATTTTCGGGCCCGACCCAGACGACGCAGCCGGGATTCTGACCCAGTCGCCCCAACTCCTGAATTCTCTGCATTACACCACCGCCGTCATCAAAGAAACCCTCCGTCTCTACCCCCTCGCGGGATCCCTACGCGAAGGCGAAGCCGGGTTTTGCATGACGGCCCCGGGATCATCGACAGAATATCCTACGGATGGATTTATCGTCTGGCAGGGCTCGGCTGGCATCCAGCGCGACCCGGCGCTGTGGCCGAGAGCGGACGAGTTTGTGCCTGAGCGCTGGCTTGTGATGGATACAGAGGATCCATTGTATCCTGTAAAGGAGGCGTGGCGGCCGTTTTCGTGGGCCCCGAGGGTTTGCATTGGGATGGAGTTGGCGATAAGTGATATCAAGCTCGTGGCGTCGCTCGTGGCGAGGAGGTTTGACATTGAGGAGGCTTGGGATGAGTGGGATGCTCAACGGTGAGTAACAAGTCCAACCGAATTTGCATAGGCGTGGTGGGCTCAATTATTCATGTGTGTTTTTAGTGGACCGAACTGCTCAAAGGATACCGTGGACGGCCAGAGACTGTATGCAGTCGGCGAGGGGACGGTGCACCCGAAGGATAAGATGCCGGTCCACGGTCGATTGCGCTAGGTATAAAAATCAATTCGGCTAGTTGCATCATACTAATATGAGATACCTAGGTAGAGTTCACAACTGTAAAGGTAAGGCGACACGTCAAGTTGCCTGCAGTATGGAAATACGAAGTTTCGCAGGTTGTTCGGTAGTGAATGCTATATCTACCATTGTAGGGGTATCCTAGAATAGGTTTCGTACCCATAGCACCGAAAGATCGGAAAACACTCGCTTTTTGTTGATATTCTCTTACGATCCAGTGAAGTCAAATATAACGCGTATTGATTCAGCAGGCGAGCTCATTCCACTACAGGCAAGCCACTCAGAAGCACTTGGTATTTGCACACCCTGTAGTGTAGCTTCGCCTAGTATTTGGAAGGATTCGGCTTCGAGGGTCGTATCACGGAAATAATGTATCAGTATTCGCATATAATGATGATGCACGTACGCAGTACCCTTTATGACTGATAGTGAGTTGTCCCCCGGGGTAACAAGGGGGCACGCATAGGTTGCCGTTCATTCTCATATCAATAGCCTGGCGAAAGATGGCAAAAACAGTTTGGCAACTGATAAGTAGCGTTCCATTCGATATCACGGTATGTTCTAATTTTCAATCCGCGTTGGGTACGTGCAGGAGTGAAAGTTCCCTTCTCAGTCCGATTCCTATACAGTAGTGACACGATATGGTTGTTGTCGGACCGCACCCGCCTTCGACTCCCAACGTCTGTCTTTTCCGTTTTATCGCTACTACAGCCACTTGACTGACGATGGATGGACCCCGAGCACCAAACCCTGGGTAACAGCCAATTATTAGAAATCCAGGAGCAAAATCTCAGGTGTATCAGCAGCTAGCTCAAATGTGCAGCCAAAAGGCACATTTTTCTATACGTAAGGTCCCCATGGCCGGTTTCGTTCCTTTGGGATTGGGCAGAGCAGGTAGCCTTCAATACGTCCGACAATTGTTCTGGGGCGGGTAGCTCATGACGTAAACCATCACAAAATAATCCTGTAATTCGGATTCCAGACTTGGAGGAGCCTTTGTTGGCACGAGAGATGGACAAGGTTAGAACATTTGCAATCAGCTCTATGATGCTACTCATTGCTAATTGTCTTCTTCCAGCGTAAGTCGGAGATGATTACTCGCCTCCACCACTCCCAGACTTCCAAGTTCGATACTGTTCGTATTGTGACAGGTCTTCCAGACATAAATACTCGGAAAGTTCTGTGCGCTCATTCGCACGTCCTGGGGCGCCCCTCACAGCCTTGGTGAGTTTGCTGTTGTGGAACATGGCACCAAATTTGGGAAGTTCGAAGGGTTTACGGATATTGCCACGCCAGGAATAGGATCAATCCGTCACTACCAACGTGCAATCGTCGATACAGTTGAAGGAATGAATTTTGTGGGGGGCCGTATTCTTGGCAACTTTAGAAAAGCAAGCGCCCTAGCTCACCTCAGCCGCTGCCTCATTTCTAGTGACCCGCTTATCGTATTGTAGTAAGCTTGTTTGCAGCAAGCGAGAATGACCACCAATTCTGCCGAGTCCGGGTCGAATGTCGACTGGAACTGCTTGACATGGTGTGCGGGACTCGGCAGAATGTCGACTGGAACTGCCTGACATGGTGTGCGTACCACCCGCAGATGGGTTTGTTTCCACGTGGGATGCAGGAACGAGAAGTTGACGTGATTGTGTCGGTCCAAACCAACATGGTTACGGCTGCCTCCTACGTATGTTAGTGCTCGGACTAATAGAGTTTCCGGGCTACAAATTAAGAAGTCGCCGATGACATCGGTTTTGCTTGATGGCTGGCTGTGTCGCCTCGCCGTTTCAAATACGAGCTTCTGTTGCAATTTGAGTGACGTCTGGATGCTCCTGCCAGCCCCAACCCACAATTCTCAGCGCGAAGATCCCGCCTAGAGGAAGTTAAGATGGCTGCAGCACAGCCTTCCGAACGCGCGGCGGCTCAGCAGCAGATTGGCTAAAACGAAACCCGGGCAGGCAGCCGGTTCCAGAATAAAACATGGATGGGTGATCCGTAACGGGCCCAACGGTGATCCAAGGTCCCTTTATTGCTTGACGAATCCATAACTTTCCTGCCGTCTCTCAATCTCTTTTCGTCGTCCCTTGTTTGCTCTCTTGATTGCTCTCTTGCTACTGCTCTTTCGTCCGCCTCTCACTTCGTCAAGGACTTATTGCTCCAAAGAATCAATAGACAGAGACAACTGCACTCGACCCATTTCGACGCATCTACCCAATCCCGTCTCACTACAAATCGCCGTCCGCATTCAAAGCACCCACACAAACCACAATAATCATGCTCTTTAAGACGATCGCATTGTCGCTGTTCGCAGCTGTCGCAGCAGCACAGAACTCGACGTTAACCAGTCTTGTGTCGCAACTCCCCGAATGCGCCAGCACGTGCTTCTCTAGCTCAGCCAGCACTGCAGGCTGCGCAACCACCGACTTCGACTGTCTTTGTGGGGACAAGAAGCAGGCGTTTATCAACGCCATTGGACCGTGCCTCATCCTAGACAACTCATGTTCATCGGACGAACTCAGCGGTACGTACCTCCATAATTCTTACCCATTCTGTCTCAACAAGGCTGAATTTCTAACATTACACGTCACCAGATGTCACGGATCTCGCCGGCGAGATCTGCACAGAAGTTGCATCCAATCCTTCGGACGCCGACACGGCCTCAGCATCCGCCGTGGTCGCATCTGCGATTGGCACCGCGACAGCGTCTGCGTCAGCGTCAGCGACGGAGAGCGGCAACGCTGCGAAGAGAACGGACGTTAGCTACGGGGTCATGGGTGCCGCGGTTGCCTTCGCCGCTCTTGCATTGTGAGATATCGGCAATGCATGAAGCATACACACACTACACATTGCATCGGATAGAGCGGCGTAACGAATTTTTATGACATTGGGCAACTGTGAAAGGGCTTTCATACTTTACAAATTGGCAGATATTTTTGGCACACGGGACCGATCTTGCGATTCAAGAGAATTTCAATCCCCACCTTGGCAAACACAGAGATACCATTCGAGAGGAATACGGACATATTGCGATGCGGAGTCATAGACTCGTTAGGGGCCGGATAGCACTTTGAAGTTACATAGCTGAACTCACTTTGTTCTCGCTAATGACAAATTCCCTGACCCATAGCTTAGCAATTCGAGAGATTATGCGATGATTTCGACCATAATATGTCTGAGGCACATTGTCCCAACGAGAAACTCCAATAGGCTCGATGCCGACTCGTTTGCCCCAGCCGTGCCACAAATCCATATCTGGTCTTGTGTTCGCACAATTCCAAGCAGCCTGGAACTTCTTGATTGGCAGAGCACGAGTTGTGACGAATTAAGTTCGAAAAGTAAGGCGTTCTGGGTGTTGGGCGGCGAAGTCGCGACGCTCCTGAGCCTGTTCCACTTTTTCATGGCCCTACTCGACCATGGTCATTGAGTCGTGGTGGTGGTGGTGTCTTGGCTGGCCTTTGCTGACGTGGCTCGGATTCGTCTTTTTGGCCCTTCGCATCGTCCTTGTCAACCTCTCGGCTGGCTCTGGCGAGTCCTCTCCTTCATCTGCTGCTTCCTTTCTGGGTTTCCGATGCGATGGCGGTAGGCCAATACCATGTCTGCCTGGGGCCAATTGACGATCAGTGGCGTAAAGACGGTGGGCATTATGTGGCAATTTGCAAATATTTATAGTACTCGTCGAAGACCCAAGCTGAAGTCAGGGACTCAACACACTCAGAATGGCAGCTGGAGAGTCTGTCATATTTGCTACTATGAAAATGCACATTTGCTATACTATGTGCAACAAAAAGTCAAATGCTTGGACAAGCCCGATTACGTCAACTTTGTCTCTACTCAGCTGTGCTATCTACGAGTTCTGCTTATGTCCTGACCCCTCGAGACCTTGCCTTGGTCCCAACCCTGCAAGCCGTCAACTTACCTTGTTACTTGCAGTTCTTCACACAGTAGGCACAACGACCACTTGTGCTTGGCTGACCTCCTGACTCGCATCCGCAACTGCAGGTGCATTGCTTCGGATAACATGCACTGGCCATGTTGTGTGTTTGTATGTTGTCGCTTGTTGGTGTTTCTCTTTCGGGGCCTTTCGGTCTATGGCCTGGAGGCTTTGGGGAATGTAGACGAGGAGAGCGTGACGTGGAGGACTAGGTTGCCCCTTACATACACAATTAAGGATCGCAGGCCTAAGGCAGCGAGAGGTTATTAAAAAGTGTTGTCCAGCACTTGTTCAATGCTAATTTAATATGGTCAACTGCAGTTTCAAGTAGGACGTTCGTTCTGTTTGATAACTTGAGGTTGTGTTGGCAGATGGACTGACAGCGATGCCATTGCTACCCTTCAGTCTTCGACCGATAAAGCATTGTTTCAGAACACCGCAAGCCGAAGCCTGTTGCTTATCCGTTACGAAAAATCGCGTTTTTGTTGGGCCCTTATAAACCGTGAAACACGGTCAAGCACTTCGAATTTCTTCGCTTTTATTAGAACTGCTAAGTTGGAGCTTTCATCAAGCCAAAACTATATATATGCATTACGCGGTCATTTTGCAGTTTCAGCCGAATTCGCATAGACACACATCTTCCCAGCTGTCTAGTTCCATGTATGGATCTTGCCATGCCTTATAAGGGTGTTCCGCGGCCCAGTCTGCCTGGAAAACGAACGAAGTGGACGGCGGCCATAAGGGCCTTATATAGACAGGAATGACTGATGCCTGTCCCACAGGCAGGAATTGTGTGGTTCGATGGGTGGTGATCATATTGGCCCATAACGTACGGTGCGTGGCCATATGTCCTTCCAAGACTGGCAGTCTTGATGTAGTAGCCTTGAAGGTCACACATCCCAAAGTACTGCCTGGATACTAGCATACGCATGTTTCAACGTAGGATGAACTACCCCTCTCACTGTGAGTGGTTAATAGACAAAGTCAAATTTCCGGAGTGACACCAGTATCGGCACTGAAAATTTCGCTGGATGGCCTCAACCTGAGGCACTTGGGACATAGGAGCATAACCCAATGCACACCAACCAACTCTAGATGCTATAACTCCTCAAAACCAGTCATTTGCTTATTAGTACGACTCTAATCCCATAAGGGGATTCTGGTGTGATTGGCTGGATTGAGCCGACACTTGGACACGTAACTCTGGTTTCGGCATGTAATTCATGCTGTCATCAAACGATGTGAAATTACTGGCAACGGTATTATGCTGCTCTATTTAGTAGATCTATGAGAGAAATTGGTTCCCATATCCGAAATGACCGGCTCGTGTCGAGCAGTTTTCTCATCCCATCACGCACGCAAGATGCGTGTCGATTGTCCCCAAATCCGCCAAGGCATACCGTAGGCTTCAAAATTCAACTTAATAACGTAGAGGGCACAAATTATCTCTTTTTCATCTTTGAGACAGGATTCGGTTGACTGGATACTTCAAGTAATAATAATATTATTATTATTATTAAATACGCCGTAGGCTCGAAGCCCCCGGTACCTCTGCTAGTACTCCCGTATGTCAAACCGTGCCCTAATGGCTGGACTAAATACATACGCTGCGTCGTCGGTTCGCCCTATTGGCGACTGCGTTGCGTTCACTACCATACTACGTTGGTTCTCAACCTACCAACAAAGTCCCCCCTGAGAAGATCGATGCTATCTGGGCCTTGAAGCTGTCCGACCCGTCCCTAGCAGCCACCTTACAATAGTCCCACTAACTACTGGTTCTCCTGTTGCCGTTGCGAGGTCTCTGCGAGAGTATAGTGGCCGTGGTGCGATAGCGGCCCGTAATCGTTCCCTCGGTCCTTCTAACAGCCCGCAAAAGAGGATTACGTGCTCTGCCGTCTCAGGGGCGTCGCCACAGCGGCATAGCGGCGAGTACACGCCAAAAGCCCCTGTCTTGAATAAGAAGGCTGCTAGTCCTATTTTTTCCGTCCTGATCTGGCACAGCGTAGACGCTTCCAGTCGGTTCAGGCCGAAATACTTGCCCCCTTTCGGTATCTGCATCGAAGGGCCCTCCGGTTCCTCAGCGATGGCGCGTCGCTGGCGATCGTGATGCTCTGCTCCGGTGAGCCATCTCTTCCTCCAGTGGCCGAGGAGGGCAGCCGGGACCTCCTTTTCCTCACTCATTCACTCGGAGCCCCGGGCCTCCTTCTCCATGGTGTACCCTGCCGGTCGGAGTAGCTGCGACGCCTGCTTCCTCTTCGCCGGCCTATCCTGCCGGAGTATATGTGACGCTTTAGCGCTCGCGCTGCGAAGCAGATTTCTCTTCCCGCTAAGCCGTAGCCGTTCTTCAAACTTAGCAGCCCGGGCACTAAGATAGAGGTCTAGTGGCGGGATTGCTGCTTCTGCTTCCAGGTGGCGAACCGGCGTCGCTTTGTGGGCGCCACAGACTACCCGGAGGCACTCGTTCTGTATCCCCATCAGGCTCTTAGCTGGCCCTGCCGGTTCCTCACTTATAGTATGCCACGCAGTCGCCCCGAAGGCGATCGCGCTACGGATAACCACCGTATATAACAGCCTCGCCCGTATAAGATCGCAGCCCCACGACATATTGACTAGCTTTGTCAGGGCTAGCTTTTGAGTTGCCATTTTTGTTTTAACACGCTCAACATGGGCGTGCCACGTCAGTTTGCGGTCGAACCAGACTCCTAGGAACCTCGCTGAGACTACCGGCGACACTGTGGCGTCCCCAAGGCGAATACTTTGCGGCAAGGGCTCTCTGGCCCTAGTAAAGTGCATTAGCTCACTCTTGTCAGGAGCGAACTCCATCCCGTGCCTCACTGCCCACCGCTGACACGTAGCCCATGCGCTCTCCAACCGGCGGCAGGTCGTGTCTGGATCGGTGCCGACGCTTAGCAGGTTCGTGTCGTCCACGAACCCGACTACTAAAAGTAGTGGGTGCTGCTCCGCTAGCTCCTCGTACAGCGTTGAAATGTATAATATAAACAGTATCGGGGATAGCGGTGACCCCTGGGGGACGCCAGCTCGTAGGGGGGTTGGCTCTGACTCCTTGCCATCGAACCGGAGGCGTACCGTCCTATCCTCCACGAAGCTGCGTACCCACTCCTGAACCCACTCCGGGTAGCCTTTCCGGGCTAATATGGAAATCAGCCGTCTGTAATTGACCGTATCGAATGCCCCCTTGATGTCTAGCTGTAGCAGCGAGGCGATGCCCCCGCGTCTCCACGCCGTATAGACCACGTCCTCAACTATACGTATTGCCAGTTCGGTGGACCTCCCAGCGCGGTTACCCATTTGGCCGTTTGGTAGTAGGCCGGTCGCCTCAGCTACTTTGGTGATACGCTGGCTCATCGCCGTCTCTATTACCTTCCCTACCGTGCTAAGCAGGGCAATGGGGCGCCAGCCGCCAGGGGTCTGCTTCTGAGCTGTCGTTTTATTAGGCTTAGGGATAACAACCACCCTCGCTGAGCGGAAGCGCTCCGGGTAGTACCCCAGCCTAAAGCTAGCTGTTGCCAGATCCGCTAGGATCTCCCATAGGGGTTCACCGCAGGCCTTTAGCAGGCCAGTGGGGATCAGGTCGTCGCCGGGAGCCTTCCAAGCAGCCGTTCCTTTGATGATAGACTCGATATCCATTGTGGTCACCTCCCTAGGGACGTTCAGCTCTGGTCTCGTCTGTAATAGGCCGCGATCGAGGTCCGATAGATCTATATACGGGTCTGGGAAGAACCTCTCAGCTAGTAATTTTGCCTTCTCATCATGTGTACGTGCCGTAAGCGTGTCGCCGGCGTCCCTCCGGAGATCTGGCAAGCCGTGGGCCTCAGGGGGGGCCCAGCTCCGTAGCCTAGCCCACCTCTGCAGTGCCCACAGGCTTTTGTGATCCTTCGCCGTCCCCTCGAGCTTCTCGTGCCAGCTACGCGTCTGCGCTTCGCTGATTTCGAGCCGTTGTTTTTGGCCGGCTCTTGTATATTCGTCCCAGTTGGTCTGCGACCTTGCCTGGAGGTAGTCCCACCGTCGTCTCTTCGTCTCAGCGCAAGCCTTGCTAACCTGCGGGCACCACCACGGGACCCCAGCGCCTCGGCCAACGGTGCGTCTCGGGACCGCCACGTCGGCGATCTCTTGGAGGTTCCGGATAACCCAGTCAACAGCCTGGTCCAACTCCGTTATCGTCTCAACCGGCAAATAATTCATAAATCCCTGGCTTGATTCGGCTACGATGAGCCACTTATCCGCCATCGCCCAGTTCCACCCTTCGACACTGCGGCGGCCCTCCTTGACTGCTTCCCCGTTGGATATTACCCTAATCACTTGCGCTCTGTGGTCTGAGCCCTCTAGGCCCGGGTCCCCATCGTAATCAATCCTAGCCCCTTTCGTCACCCAGGCTAGGTCGATAGTTGAGTCTCGTTGTTTGTGCCTTTGCCGTGTGATTTCCCCGAACGGCGTAACGAGCTCTAATCGCCAGCGTCGCGCAAACTCCACTACGTTGTCGCTGCCCCGTGACGACCGTCCGTGGACGTCCCACAGCGGGTGATGTGTATTGAAGTCCCCTACGAGGACCTGTGTCCCCTCCGGCGCCCCATTAGGGAGGTCTTGGAGCGGGCTGACCCAGCGACTCCCGGTCTGGTTTGGTGAATAGATAGACCAGATTGTAAGGGCGTCCGGGCCTGCCCCGAACGTAATACTGCTCCAGTCCATCCCGGTACGGGGTCGCAACGTAGCCACGTCGTATCGTTTATGGACGTATAGCGCAGCTCTGCCGCTGCTGTACACTACTTCGTACCTGGACGACTTCGGGCAATAAATCGCCTTCGTCCGCCGGTTGATCCATGGCTCTTGAGCCGCTATTATATCATAGTCACCCCCCTTATCCAGCGCTAGCGTTGCGTTCGCCTTTGAATCTGCGATATTCCAGTAGAGAATAGAGACTACCATTAAGCTGTCGATGGTATATCTTCGTTCGTACGTCCCTTAGTGAGGAAGCTACGCATTGCTGACGCAGACCGTTCGGTTCGCTCCTGCTCCACTCGCGATCCGCCTAGGGGGCGGCCCCGGGGTCGTACAACTGTAAACCCGTCGCTGGTTAATGAGCTAGGTGGTGTGAGCCTGCCCTCACTAGATAACCCGTCCGAGTAGCTGCGGACCTCAAATTGTCGGGGGCGGTGAGCGTACGCCAAAAGAAGAGGTCGTGGGGAGGCTCGAACTCCCGACTCGGGAATATTCATTTTGAATCAAAATCCCACGTGCTAACCACTACACTACACAACCAGTAATAATATTACGTTATACTCAAACGGAATTGGCAGGCAGCCACTTTCCATTTGTTCCCATGTTACAGCATTGAAATACACAACTTAAACGGAGAAGATCTTCAGTCTTACTTGCAGAACGCAATGTCCATTAAACAAAACCTCCGCCCTTCGACAGCTGAAAAACGGAGTCCTCTGCAGCAGGAATTTTCAACCGTAACAAGTCAGCGGATCGTCTGCAGCACGACCTGTTTTGAATAGCATACGGTGCGATCTCTGTGGCACATGTGTGACGACTTGCATCGCCGTATCACCGGCACTATCCCAGACAACTCAATGAACCAACCATGTGGTCACTCCTGTATGATTGCAGGCTGACTTCGCATAATCCTTTTGTGGATTCAGAATAGAAGGATTCCTGTGTCGTGTGATAGGATTTGCCAGACAGCGAAATATACCCAATTGTCGGTGAAACTTCCTGAATTACTACTGTGTTCTACCCATTAAACTCAACTGCCGTAGATGCATCCTTCCGGCACTTCAATAAATTACTTACATCCACATTTTATCAGGAGTACTGGACACGGAACAGCAGAAGATCGTCAACTTTAGAAGATCATCACTTGAACTCGTACAACATAGGGGCCATGATCGTCGCCAGCCTGAAGATGTCATCGGGGAAAATAGCAGAACGGAGCCCCAGGGTCAAATTTCTTGGAGTCAGGCGTGCATTTTGAGAACGGTCATCCAAGAAGTTAGAACTTAAGTTACATGCAAAGTAACAAATCTGAAGTATATAAACCCAGGTTGGGGCGCTGTTGCAATTTTCCCCCAAAATCACAACATCAGCAACTTCTACTTCAGCACCAAATACCACCAAAACATCCACATCCATCACAAATCCCTTCTATTACACACCTCTCTCATCTTCAAAATGCAGTTCGCCGCCATTATCACTCTTGCCTTCACCGCTCTGGCCATCGCCAACCCAATCGACCAGGTGAGTTCGATCTCCTATATGGCTCTGCACTCATCTCAACGTTGAAAATATGACTAACAAGCATAATACAGCTCGGCGCTGTCGTTGAACCTCGCTGCGTCGGAAACCTTGGGGTTTGCGACCCCACGGCCAGTGATTGCTGCAGCGGATTGTACTGCTGCGGTATCATTGGCGACAAGCGTGTCTGCCAGACTGGCACCTGCTAAAGGGTTAGGAGAAAGTAGCATTGTATAGTTTAGACAACAACTTTACATCGTATAGGAACAGGCGTGGCTGTCAGAGAGAGCAATGGGACTCATGGAAGTCTAAGAGATTGGATTTGGGAAATGTTCTCACGCATTTCACAGAATTAAACACTCGTTTATCACTGAATCTATTGACACGCCCATAGGTTGGATCTTCTTCGCTAGTCAGGTACATAACTGTCAATATAACCACATTCTTTAAGAGTGCGTCCACTGGCCTTTTGGCGGGGTGGTCTAAGAGGAGTGTTCTCGGGCTAGACCATGATAGACTCGTCGACTTTTGAGCACTTGGCCGGGGCGTTTGGAACACTACGTGGCACCCGAGCAATAAACTCTTGGATATTGCCGTCCAGGTCTCCTCCATCGACAACGCCGAGACCTTGTCCCTTGAGAGCGTCACTTCGACAACCAGGATGGCTGTGTGGCCATCAACTCCGGCTCCGTACATTCATCCCCCGTAACCTCGCATGACCCAGAATATCACTTTCACCGGGGGCCTGTGCAGCGGTGGCCACGGTCTGTCTATCGGCTCCATCGGCGGCCGTGACGATAACGCCGTCAGCGGAGTGACCTTTTTGTCCTCGATCGTCCAGAACTGCCAGCAGAGCATCCGCATCAAGAATAAGAGCGGCGATACCGGATCCGTTAAGTATTTCGCGTATAAGGAGATCAAGCTGTCTGGCCTTATGGACTGCAACAGGAGTTTACCGTTGCTGACCCGCTCGCGGACAAACGGACCGTTTGGAATAACCTGGCCCAGAAGGCGGGCTACGGTGAATGTTATAGATTGGGCGTTTCGCAGGACTTGGCATTTTACTTTTAGCATAATTAAGGCGAGGAAGTTTGGTTGGAAAGGGTATGTAGATTCGTATGACTCGAATATGGATGAGCTTGAGAAGTTTAGGGAGTTGAGCAGATCCCGGCGATGAGGCTTTAGGCATGCATTGATGTAGCTTTTTCATGGGGTCCTTCGCCTCTCCTTTATTATACTAGCTAAGCAACATTTTGTTCTCTGAACTGATCACGAAGGAGGTGATCCTGGAGGAACTACCTGAACTGGATGCGGAGAAACGCAACAAAAGGTTGTTGGAATTATCTACAAAAAAGCCAAGAAGACCTCAACGATAATCACTCCATGCGACTTATCGCCGCCATTATCCGTGGAGACAAGAGATATTTCATGTTTCAAGGGGGTGAAGGTGAAAAGTCCGGGGCAAGGAACAAGCACGAGAGGATTGGAGTAGGCTTTATGCCAGGTCGGCATTACTCTGTCTGGATAAGGAGGGCCTATCTGAGAAGATCTATTGAGGAATGTACCACTGTTGCTGGAATGAAAATGGCAAAAGTTCCATTGACTCTGAGATCTTGGCACGGCATCGTTACACATCTCTCATAGTTCATAAGGGAAACTTCAACCTAGAGTTCTATGCGAGGTACTCAACCCTCTATTATAGATCTAACTCATAACTGAGAGATTAAGCACTTGTTCTCCAGATCGGTAAGATCCAGTAGAGAAATATCCACCTCCACCTTTACAATATCACCATGTTCATCCACCTGTTCCACCAATCCAGCGGGCCGATGCCCCGCCTCCTCCTGCACAGCGATCCATGCCCGGCGTTCTGTATTCTTTCGTGTCAAGATCCAGTGTACGGCGAGCATGCAAGCGGGTGCTGCCACCCAACTGATGATAATCTGGGCAATCCAAGCCCCGTAGTACCTCGGCGCATCGCGCGCAACCCATATCTGTGGCGAGACGAAATTGGCGATACTTTACCCAGTCATCCACATCACATTGCGCGCCAACTTCTTGGTGTATCCGCCTGAAGTAGCCGACATTCACCCCAGTGCGATGATGTAAGTGGCTCCAAACGTACTTCCTGCTAACAACATGCACGCCAGAAGCGACAGCGTAGCATCCCACGGCAAAGCAACCATACCAATACCTCCCTCAATAGCCGGGAGACACCATAAAAAGCCTCAGTACGCATTCCGGTTCGGCACGAGCTTCAAACCCAGAGTTCCGAGGACGGAGCAGACGATGGAGAAAGAGCCCCCTGCTGCCGATACCAACGTCGACCCCAGCCGACTGACACCAATCGAAACGAAAAGCAGGCTCTGCTGGAAAACAAGGTTGTTAGACAGCATTAAAAACAACGCCGCGGAAAAGAAGAGCCACGAGACGGGATCCCGCAGCGCCTCCACAAGCTGATACCTCTTGAACGTCTTCTGCTCAATCGCGCTCCGCGTCGCCGCATGCACACGCCTAATAGCCTGCACCCTCTCCTCCAGCGTCAAGAACCTCGCCTTGGCCGGGTTATCAGGATACCAGAACCAACTCCCCATCGCAATGAAAAACGTAATCCCGCCCATGATTATCATGAAGAACTTCCAAGGGAGGATTGTGGGGTGGGAGACGCGCAGGAGCCCGTAGGCGATGAAGCCTGCCGGGATGGGGGCCGCGGGGCAGGAGATCCAGAAGATGGGCTGTAGGCGGATGGATTCGGCAGGTGTGAAGAACATGGACATGGTAACTTCCATGCTGGGGACCAGGACGGATTCGAAGAAGCCGGGGAGGACGCGGAGCGGGATCAGGGCGCCGTAGGAGGTTGCTGTGCAGTGAAGGAAGATTATTGATACGAAAAGGTAGGGGGACCCACTGGTTAGGTGAATCCCATTCAATTAGATACTATAACGTTGCGCACTACTGCATTATAGCATCCTCCCCCCTAGGTGCACGCATCAATTATGGTGTACCAGAGGAGTATGGAAAGAGAGACGAACTTTCCCAAGGGGAAGCGTTGCATTAGGTAGTGACCGGGTATTTGGGCGGTAATGTAGCCTGGACGTGGTGTAAGCAATCACGGCTGGCCGTTAGAGAGCCAGTGGTAGTTGGTGATGATGTTAATAATGCGTACCAGCGTAGAAGGTGTTCACGTTGTTGTACTCGGTGTTTCCTATTCCCGTCTCACTGCATAAAACTGAGGTCGGTTAGCTATGCAATATACTGCATTATTGTAGTGATCTCAGACTTTGTGTTATGGCGGTGAAACTCGAGGTTGTTGACCGAGGATAAGATGCAGTTGCTCACTCTTCACTCATAAACTCTCTGCAACCCGAGAATCTTTGACGGGCCCAATCAGTAGTTGAAATCCTAGGAAGAGCAGGGGACGCATTTGGCAACTTCGACTAGCCAGCTAAATATACTTGCAACGAGAATAAAAAGTGAAGAAAACAAAAGGCGAGGTTTCTGGCAACGTGTACTATTATAACACGCCTTCTGTGCTATCGACCGCAATGTTAGTCTCTGGATCACGCCCGCCATGCAGGATCTACGCACGCTTGGGGTGTAGCGCTCTGGGATGGGTGTGCTTCAGAGGCTATGTCGGAATCGAGGAGATGGTGGGTTTCCCGAGATATGCTCTTTCTTATTTGCGAAGTGGCAGTCGCTGATATGGCGAATAGACCCCTAAGCGAGCTGAAGAGTGTCACTGAGCTCGCATCATCAGGCTGGCATGTGCCAAGATATAAGACGTTAAACCCTTGCATGGTTCGGGTAATCATATCTAGACTAGGCTAGTTAGTTGGACCCTGGTATGATATGCAGGCGGGTTTCCTTCTAGAAGGGCGGCAGAACAACAGCATGGGCCGGAGCCTCATTATTACCGTACAACCTTGCATGATTGATGCTGTCATCAAAGCAGTAGCATGGTTGCCACGTGGATGATCCCTAATAAGTTTTGAACAACATTACTATTGTTCTGGGTATCAGGGGTGGGCTGGCAGGTGGCACAGAGGTACTTTAGTAATAGTTTGCGAGTGCGTTTTGGGCTTCTGCAGGCCGAAATTACGAACCAAGGATTTAACATGTGGTGGCAGGTTCTTGTGCAATGTCGCGGTGGATCCAGGTAGAGGTTGCTGTCTGCCAAGGCAGAGGGAAATTATGGACAGTTCGATGCCAGGATCATGATCTACGAAGTACCTTGGTGTTGTATGGTACTTAGCACCTGACCCAAAGGCGACAAACAAGCATAGCATGGGTAATTCGTTCCGGTTCTGGCAAGTTGGCTGCCCCAAAATTGATACGCTCCGACCGGCTTCCGCGAGGCGTGGGGGTGGATAGCGCCGATCAGATTCCGTGTGGCACTAGCTCCAGGTAGGACTAGTGCTACTAGATTTGCCATATACTACCATAGATATCGCCATCTAGGTTTGCAAGGGGGTTTTGGGGCTAGGACACTTCTGGTTGAACCTCACTCCGATTATCTAAACGTACCTACGCTGAATGTCAGCTAAAGGAAATAAATGTAAACTGTCGAACCACCACCGACCTTTCCAGTTCATATCGTACAGAATTAGGAATAACATGATAGTGTACAATGACGTAATACAGTTTCTCTCTGTGAAATGAATAATTCCAAACGTTCCAACTTCCTGTGACAAGTGCTTTGATTTCGTTGTTTTCAATCATCATCCCCATATGCCTTGATTTATATTCAGTAATCATTGTATGTCGCCGGTCTTTCGTCACTCCCCCGCGCGGAGGGTTTGGACTTGACGTCTCTCGTTCGATCGGAGCATTGTCTTTCGGAGTAGGATTGTCGTGGGTTGCACGTGGTGCCTTCTAAGATTTCTGTGGATTGGCAGTCGTTGGACTTTGAATCCTAGATACGAGCTTCTCGATCTCTGCCTTGAGGTTTTCGACATGGTCGTATGCAGTGGTGTTGGTCTGGAGTCGAGCTGCGAAGTGAGCTTTCTCGTATTGGTGTTCGAGGAGGTTGAGACGGCGCAGGAGCAGGGTGGGGGATTCTTTTGTATCGTCAAGCGTATCACTGACCATGAATTAGATTTGAATTGGAACTAGTACACCTCCGAGTATGGTTTACTCACGCCTTACGACTGCCACTGCCACTGGCTAAGCAGACTTCCATGGAGCTGGCTGATTTAGGCATCATCAAAGGAGTGGACGTTTGAGAAAATAACCGGCGAAGCAGGCAGATGGGAGAGGCGAGTGAAATGGATGGAAGCAGATAGCGTGCTGGTCCACTGCCGGGCTCATCAGAAGGTAGAGACAATTTGCGTACCCAAGCCTGAGCGGCGTGTAGAACGAGGCGGAACGTTTATAAGTGAGTGTGTGAATATCGCCATGATGTAAAGGGCTGCCCGAGACTTTATATCTACATGACCGCATCTCATCGCAATGCTCCATCATATTCCTAATCGGGTGATGACCTTCTCGAGTACACAAAAACACAGGTATGGTCATAGGAAAAGGACCCCATGTAGATAGCAGCACGAGCCCACCAATATTACTCAGTAGCAAGTAGCAGGTCTTGTGTACACGAATGGTCGTTTACGAAAGTTCTCATGTTTCAGTTGATTAATTTCCCAAACTCGACCAGGTGGAAGGCGTAATGCAGGTACAGTGGAGAAGTTTATCCAGCTCACAAAGACATATCGACAGATTCGGATCCGACCCTGACAGAGGGGAGAACATACGAAGTAGCTAAGTGACAAGACGCGTCAGAAGACCACGGCTGGGAAATGCCTGGTAAGGATACGCGGGCCTGGATGCGCTGGCAACGGAGCAGGGGAGTAAGCCCAGGGTCGAGATATGACTTCCCCACACGTTCAAGCTACTAGGAAGCATGCATACGTACTGAAACAATACAGATGCCGGCTGGCTTCTAAGGAAGAAAAATCTGAAGACAGCCACCTTGGCGCAGCCTGCCGTGTAGTTCGCAGGAAGGTAGATACTTGATGCCAACCGTCGCAGGCAGACACCGCGATGATCTGTTCATGGAGTAATTTCCCGGGTTTCTGTGGTTGACGCCGCACCCTCGCGGCACAGCGTCAATCAAGGCCAGCTTCTCCCTGCTCGTCAATGATGATGGTGGTGTGGGTACGTATTGTCTATCAAGCGGTCAACCAGCTTTGGGCTGCTTCAGACGAGAAAAAAAACCAAAAGATGGCGGCCAATTCCAAAAATAGCGTCTAAACGAGACTGATCTCTCGAATTCACGAACGTTCTTGAACAAGTCACCAACAGCAGCAATCTCTGCAACGGATGCAGCCGATGCTAATTTCCCCTTCAGCTCTAATGCGTCCCGCGGGAACTTTTCGAAACATCGATGCAGAACGAAGAGTGCCAGTCGGTGGCAGATATTGGGCGCTATTGGCGGAAGCCTGAATAATTGAGTTTCTCAGCCTCCCGCGAAATTTCCAGTCTCAAGAACTACGGTGGTCTGAGCAATTTGGGCCAGCTGGTCAATTAAACATGACGCACAAATCTGCAGCAGTCGCAGCTTTTGATAATTCCCCCTGCATTATAATACTGTCTGTGGGTTTTTACAGTTGCTGCTACTGGGTAGCCTGCTAGCGGTTGCCTATCCCTGTCCGACCTGCATAGGCGAATCTCTAACTGTGCAGATGACGATTCTTGGTACACCACCAAACCTGGCTCGAAAAGTAACGGTTCTAGTTAGACTACTTCAAAACTCCGACCAGAGCCGCATCAATGGACAATCAAGAAACAAAATTCCTATCTGAGGTTTCCAGTCATGCACCAAGTCGAGGCTTCCCTGACACCAGAACTGTTCACTGCCAACCCCAATCCCGCCAACTCCTGAAAGCCGTTAGCAGACATTGGAAATGTACTTCAAACCATTGATTCATTGCTAGAAACTCTTTCTGGCTGGACTCCAGCCGATCCCTTCCCTTCTCGTTTCGGTAACCTGAGTCACAGCCGCTCATGCCATCGCGTCGAGGCCACGACTATTGTCGATCCCAAACAAACCAACTTCAACATCTTTCCTATGCTTCTCCAGCATGTGTGGTAGTAATTTTATCGCTTAAAACCCTCACCGGGGTCTGTTTTGTCTAATACTAGAAGACAACTAGATTAAACCCTGACCCCTGACCCCTAACCCCTGAGTACCAGACCGTGACACCCGCCAACGGGTCACTGGACCAAATCGCTTCGATGAGTATTCAGAGGCCGCAAACTTCGCATCTACGACCAATTTACATTAATAAAACAACACGAGCTATGGCTTTGTCTTTTCTAAACGTCTTAATCGACTTCCGTCTACGCATCTAGACTGCCGTTCTCGAGCTTGAATGCATTATGATAGCACCGCAGCCGTAGACGAAACCCCCCGAAGCTTCTCCTCAACCTAGTCCTTCATCTAGCCCTTTATCCTCAGCCATAAGGATATCTGCAAGATATTCAAGTCCTTATATTTTCCGTAGATCCTTTTCCATAATTTAAAGGCGCCCTCTGACTTTCGTGTCTTGGGCTGGAGGCAGCTCATTCTTAAAAGTCCATAAGCTTTTTAAAGCGGATTTGAATGCACCGTATGAACGGCGGCCTTCTGGGCGAATCGATATCCCAATTGTGGGTGGCTGTTGGCAAATAGGGTAACGAACTTGTAACTAGCCAACGACAATACGGTAGCGGTCACCCAGGCTACCAAATCTAACTCGATCTATTTGATATCCACAGAAAGTAGGTCAATACCATGAATTCACTCCAAAAAGGTTTTTCCAATCACACTTATCAGCCTCTTTCCTCACAACCTCCCCCCCCCCTTTTTTTTTCTAAACCGGAAAATGGCAACCACATCAAGAAAACCGCCAATGTGCTCCGCATGACAACCGCCCAATATACCCAGAACTTTCCCTATATGACAGTGTTCTCGTCCCTCGCCAGTAAGGGTTGGTTAGTTTAATTAGTACTTAGAGTTGGGAAACGTCCTCAACGAGGGTTAGCTAGATCAGGGGAAAGAGTTAAGCAATGGTAGGTACTGGTAGGTGCGGCTTTTCTTTTCAAATGCATGGTGAAGTAATGTTCGCTAGCAGTGAAAGCTGTTAGCCGCGAACGCGCATATATCCCGGTGTGCCGACTGGTTTAATTGGGCACATTCGTATTACCTGCATGTGAGATCGGCAGGAGGCGCCCCCCTTCCCCCCCCTCGGTCCCCCCCGTCCCCCAGCCATGGCGCCTGCACTGTATCTAGAAGCCGAACATTGATCGGGTTGTCTAGTCGACTGCTGAATTATAATGGCCGTAAATAATGATTAAAGTAGGATATCTTGCTATTCCATGCGAAACTAATTCTATGTGACTCTTTTCTCTTTCGCCCAACGTAAAGTAACGTCTGCCTCCATGCAACAACCCAATGCAATTTCGTTATCCACAATGGTCTAATCTCTTTTAACTTCGTCTTCATCGAGAAAACAACACCCGCATTCTGAAACTCCACGCTTCCATGCCGTGTGTGTGTATGCAAAGTCTCCGGATTCTCCCGAGACCACGCCGATGAACCCTAGTCATCGTCGGGGTTGTGCTGAGGATGATCTATTCAACGCTATGCGTCAGGTACTCTTCCCTCTAAGCCCGCAACCGCTGCGAGGTTGACCTGACTCAACACAGTGTGATCCGCCATTACACCGTCCTTCCCAACACCAGCAAGCAATGCCATGCCCTCAATAACGTCGTCAGGCTCCAAGACATGGTACTTGGCAAGCGTGACTTTGGTGCTCGCGCCAACCGTCACCGTGAAGATGCTTTCCTCGGAAAGGGCCGTACCGCTCAGGCCACTCAAGGCTCTAAACATATCCTCATCCGTGAAATCATCACCCATACAGAGTACAAACTCAACCTGGCCCGGCTTCGTAGCATCCGTCATTTCCTCTACTTTCGACCCATCGACGATATGGGAGATGTCGGAATTGTAGTTGGCGACGAGACGCTTGGAGATTTCGCCTTTATTAATAAAAGTTGGTCGCACCTCGAGATTAGCTTTGCCTGTCATGACGTCTACATCCCATTTCTTTGTCACCGTCGCTTCAAGTTCTTTCTGTGCCTCGCGAGCGGCATGGGCACCTTGCTCCGGATCGGCTAGGCGGTAATGCCAAGTCAAGGCGCAACGCTTTCTTTCAATAAAAGACCCTGGATTTGGTTTGTTAGTATCTGGACCATGCATTGTTCATATGCATCAGAAACTTACCAGGCACCCGATCAGTGAACTTTTGGAACACGGCGACGACCTCTTCTTGCCATCCCATATCGAATTTCTCGGCGAGATTCTCCCACGTCTGCTCGCCGGGTTGTCTGATGAAACTACCGTGCTCAGCACTGAACCCGAGCTCAGGGATGTGGCCAAGGTGCTGCTTCAAGAATTCCTGATCTCGTCCCGAGATGATCCACACCGAGTTGCGATGATCCGCTGCCAGCGACTTAAGGGTCCGGATAACACGCTCCGAAGGAACAGCCGCACTAGGTTCTCTGACGATAGGAGTCAAGGTTCCGTCGTAGTCAAACATGAAAAGTCGGTTTTTAGCCGCACGGTACTGTTTAAGCATAGCGGTGGGGTCCAGGAGAGGAGTTGCTATGGTGTCTTGGTTGCCCGACAGAGTGCCAACTAGCTTGCGCAGAAACTTGGTGATCCAGCTCTGGACATTCTGGCTGGTAACGTGGTGGTACAGGCGTTGCTGCATGGCCAGACGTCTCTCGGCGGACATAGTTAGCGCGTGATCGATTTGCTTGGCTACGTCGCTGAGATCCCATGGGTTAATATGGATAGCGTCCTTGAGACTGCCGGCGGTCCCGCTGAACTCGGACAAGATCAACGGACCATGCCTCTCGCGTTGGCAGACGACGTATTCCAAGCTGGTGGTGTTCATGCCGTCTCGGACCGAGGTAATTAAGCCGATATCAGCTGCCCGCAATAACGCGAAATACTCGTCGGGGCTTAGATATTGTGGGTAATGTTGGACAGGTGAGAATCCCAAACTGCCGTATGTGCCGTTGATCTTCATGACCAACTCGTTAACCCTACTGGCAATCTTGTTCTCGGGATCTTCGTGTTCTTCCTCGATGGTGGTGGGTGACGTCACCTGGATGAGGACGACTTTTTCGGTCCACTCGGGATACAGTTCCAGGAACCTCTCAAAGGCCATGAGCTTTTGAGCCACGCCGCGGACACTGTCCAAACGGTCGCGACCCACAATGATCTTTTTGCCTTCGTAGAGCTTCCTGAGAGCCTTATACTTGTCATCCACAGTCTGGGACCAAGCCATCTGCTCGCATTTCGTGGCATCGATTCCAATGGGAAAGACGCCAACTTCAACACGTGATCCATAAGCTTCGACACCTATCGAATCAGAAGGGAAATCAAGAATACGGGTGCAACAGCTGGAAAAGTGGCGCGAATAGCTGTACGACTGGAATCCGACGAGGTTCGCACCGAGGACACCCTGGAGAACTTCCTTCCTTCGCGGGAGGCAGCGCAAGAACTCGCTGCTCGGAAAAGGGCAGTGCAAATAAAAGGATATGTACATCTTGGGGGCCCGTTGCCGCAGCATGCTAGGGAGTAACATCAGGTAGTAGTCGTGGATCACGACTACGTCGCCGGGCTTGTACATGTCGATGATTTTGTTGGCAAACTTTAGGTTCATGCGGTAGTAGTCAGCCCAATTGAGCCTCTCTGAACGTCCGTCGGTCGGTTCATGCTGCTTATAGTGGAACAGGGTGTATAGCTCGTGCTCGGCATATCGTCTCCATCGACCCTGATCCTTCAGCCGTATTCCGTTGCTGGTAATTTCATCATCGTCGGCCAGCCAGATAGGTACCGTCTTGATACGCTCGTCATGCATAAGCTTCTGTTCGAGCTGCTGCTGCTGGTCGCAGGGTATGAATAAGCCATCCTGCGATGGTTGCGTGGGCAGTGTTTGGGTATCGATGGGAATGGGAGCAGATAATGTGTTGAGTCCACGAATGTTGGCCGTGGTATCTGGCGGCGTGTCTGGGGGGGAAAAGGGGTCGTTGGGCGACTCTATCTCGCCGGTCCAAGCCACAACTGTATGGTTCCACGGTGTTTCGTCCGAGGAGAGGTAGGAGAAGGCATCGAATAGGGCAGATTGGCCCCGCCTGGATCCCAAGTCCCACTCGCCTGCCGGACGGTATTTCAACGAGTATGGCAAAGTGAAGGTGGCCGAGATTATGTTCCCACTCAAGGCCAAATCTGGGACTGCGGCCTGGATGTCAGATAAGGACTCCCTCCTTCCCCGTCCCTTAGAGCTTAGGCTCATCCGCCGCAACACATCCTGGTGCGACATGGCCCCCGTCATAGCCTGCGTCGGGGATGAAGCGCTCCTGTTCTCGTTCAGATCACCTAACTCGCTAGGTGATTTTACACACAGTGCCCTCGGGGATCTATGACTTGCAGGATCTCGTGTGAAATAGCTGGGGCTTTGCCGCTTGGGCTCGCCTGGGTTCGTTTCGGGATCGTAGGTCGCAAGGTGGATACCGGGTGTGACGGGTATATTCGTGATGGATTGTCGTTCGTGAGCTGGCAGGTCTTCCTCGGCTTGTTCGTTACTCAATGCCGCTCCTGGGGAGGATTCGTGTTCGGAGGTTTGCAGCCTGTCGGCGTGGTCGTTCGCTTTGGAGTTCTGTTCTGCCATATTCATTTAGTTCTGTGCTGTTGCAATGCAGTGCTGTCGCGGAAGGATTCGATGTAGGTCGACCAATGATCTAGAGACAAGAAATTGTAGTGCAGGGAGGAACAAGGACGGCGCAGGAGATTTGCCCAGTTGGAGTCAAGGTTATGAACGACTGGGCGGGAACGATAATGATAGGCGGTAAGGCCCTAGACGCAGCTAGCTTGCTAGACCTCAGAGAAGACAGAAAAATATGGGAATCTGATCAAACTCCCGTTGTTCCCGTCACCGCTATCCAAACAAATCTGATGCCGTCACGACTAGAGATGTTGTGGGGCTTGACGACACTGGACGCCCTGCTTGCTTGGGAGGTTTTGCTCCTCAACGGATGAGCCGAACTGCGGTGTGATCCCGGTCAAACTGCGTGTTCCCAGGTACAGGATTGACGATAACATGGAACAATAGCAAGAATCCTGCCATGTTGCCGATGCCCAACTTTGCGGATGCTCTTCATCACCCACTTGGGAATCCCAATCATAGACTGATGACGATTGACCGCGGGGCAGGAGCTCAGCTTTGCAGCTTGAGTCCAAGCAGTTCTTGAAAAGAGCCATGGACCAATGCGTACCTGATTGGGTTTGGACGTAAAGAGGGGCAGTTTGTCGAAAGGTATCACCACCACACAGGAAATAATAATAATATCAACGTAGTCAAAATGAAGCTCACGCTCGCAGGAACGCAATTGTTCGATGGAGAAGATGGGACGACTTCTTTTGGGCCCTCCCGAGAAAAGGGAAAACGCACGCGGCGCCCTACCACTACGGCTCCTAGTATGATTACGGGAGTCTCCACCATACGACCGCTCACTCCGTTATTTTGAGTTTGAATGAAATCCCAATGCAATGTATGTCCTCGAGAATGCACACAAAAAAAGATACACCAAACTCGCACTTGGGGATGGAGCTATCCGAATCAAGTTACTGGCCGCTCCGCTGTTGAGTTCCAGACGATTCCAGACCCCACGGCCACGAGCCATGACCTCATTGGGACTCAGGAACAGAACCCTTCGTTTCTTGACTCAAAGGTCATCTTGGAAGATCCCATACCGTCGTCCAAGCTTGTGCAAAAATTGGGGCCCAATTATTTGGTTTGGCATCTATCTGTCAACAAGGGCTTTGTTCGCTTCACACTTGTACTTCCCAGTCGCCTCCCAATGCCTGGCATGGTCTCATCATTGTGCATCATGGAGTTCCAGCGATGCAGGAATATGCGCACTTACTCCATGGTATGCATACCGAGGCTTCGTAGGATTGACTCTCACCTGGTCAAGCCTCAGCTGCACGACAAGGAGATCTCATGCACCAGTAATCCACCAATGCTGTCGAGCAAACGCCATCGGAGCTGAGCCCGAAACTGTACCTCCCTCGGTGGTGGGGTCGACTTCGCGATTACCTAACTTGCTTATCGCATGAAATCAGAACACGGCACCCCTGAGTCTTACTACGTCACAACCTATCTGGAAAACATTCCGCTACTTTCAAGATGCGTTTTGTCCCGTAATTACTTCTATGTTTTCTCAGGTGTCTGCCCCATGGAAAGACAATATGCCCACGGGCAGTCATGCTGTATTACCCCACGATTGTATCCTATTTCCTGGTAGCGCCTGACCCCTCGATTCAAGGAGCAATAGACGGTTGACTCTCGGCTAGACTTCGATCCTCTCGTAATATAATCCGCCGGCCTACTCTGTCCATTCGCTGTGAATTTATAGCGACCATCGCAAGTTTGATCAAGCCTATTCACCAATTTCATTAAAATCGCATCGTGGAAGCAATCGTTGTCTGGGCAGTTGGTCTGAGACTGCGCCAATTCCAAGCAATATCACAGGCGGGGCTGTGAGACAACTCGGGTAGTGCCACACTTTCGCTACAGTACAACATGTGATAGTAAATAGGTCATAATCAAGCGAGAGTGCGCGACTGGAGAATTCACTACAATCGGTCAGGATTCAAACACACGTGGCGAGATTAGGATAAATAAGGCCTTTGAATGGTGCCGGTGTTATGCGTTAACAGGCAGTTGGTCAGTCATTCTCGTCTGACGCCGCATGACATCCAGCAGGGCCTTTCGCATTCACTCCGATGTCATCAAACAAGTACGGAAGCTTCGACCGGAAACCATCTCATCGCAGGCAGTCGCGCCCGTCCGCCGTGAAAACTCATCACACCTCGCCTCACGAACTTTACTGCCATTACCGGCACCACAATGAGCTCATCCCCCTTCCCCACAGAATCTACACTAGGCACTTATATAGTGCCTTGGATTGTCCTAGGAGCGATCGCAACGATTATGGTCGGCTTCGAAATATGGCTGCTCGTCCGCATACGACGGCTTCGCCTTGAGCGACAGGGTGAACGCGATCGCAAACGCAACCACCCTCAGCATTTCCGCCCACTGAGCATGCCGATAACGATACAAACCCCGAAAGGTGATGAGGAGTACCAGGCGTACCTCAGAAATCTCGAAACGCCGCAGGGCTTGATGAAGTGGATGAGTACTTAGGCGGTTGACTAGGATTTTCCTGTGCTCAACCTGCAGTCATGCGCGACCACAACAGTGAGCGCTCAAGGGGTACGAATTTTGTGCATGACCGCCATCGGCAATCACTCACAAGGGCGAAAAGTTATCACAGCAGGTTTCTCCCCGGGAAATGAATAATCCGTGATGGAGTAGCACGACTGGTCTCTGAGCTGAGGGCGACTGGATCTACTGCTACATAGCGTCTGAGAAGAAGAAACAGTAAACATAAGGAACGAGGTATGTCCAGTATCCTACCTCCTAATCTCCAAAAGTATTATATATTCTTCATCCCATGCGACAGATACCTTACTGATTGCATTACGATAGGAGGGGGTCACAATAAAAGGCGTTAAGCTGGGCTAAGTCGTTCTTTGGATGGAACATCAAGCTATTAAAGACGGTCTTACGGAACAACTCGAGTGTCCTGCAGTGACTTAGATGGGTCACGCCCACACATTGCCATCAATGAGGTGGTTATCTATTGAAAGTGGAAGGCATGTCAATGAGCGCATTCAAACTTCGCGTCTGTGCTTGATATGGTGACCTACATACGCGCTCGGCTACCCCTTTTCCCACCAAACCACACCGACTTCCAGAGGCTCTTATTAAGCACATAAAATTCTAAATAATACCGAATGACTTCATTGATGGTGTTAAAAAAAACCTCTGTTTTAATATATTACCTGATTTATTCCGTATTTGTGATGTACTTTTGTTTACAATAGAAGTTGAGGCTATTGCTCTCGATGATATAGCTTCGGAGGAATATAAGTTCAGAAATGTAGTAAGTATAAGTAAGTTAGAGTTAGTCTTTTAGAGTACCTAAATATCTCTCTCCAGGTTCTTTATATTTAATTTTCCGATTTTATTTCGAATTATAGTGTATTCGCAGGTTGTTACGGAAGAGTGTAGGTTCAGCTTGTAATATGGGTAACCGCGGCTCAGGTCTAGTGCCGTATAGCCCTGCATCGAACTACGATGTAGTTGGAATATATGTATCGGTGTCGAGAATAGTCGGCAGTTCGGATAGTAGTGAAGCGCTATTTCGCTATCATACTTGTCACGGCTCTCATCCGCCCGGGCAGAGGCCCACCGGATATGGACAGGACCTCTGCCCTTCCTTCCTCACGGTACAACATAATATAATAATTGGACCCATCCGATGGATCCTACTAAAGCACAGTAGCCTTTAGTTTGCCTCAGTGATGACGATAACTCTCTATAAATACGATAACATTATGGTTGCGACAAGATTTGGTATCGCGGCTAACCTTCCGCATCTGAAGAAACTGATGTATAACTATTATGTGCGAAGAATTCTAGTTCATCGGATCTATCGTATCTGGCAGATAGAACTTAGGTGAGAGCCGTATCTGCAGATCTTTTCTCGTTACGGTATTTACAATATTAGATATGGCAATGGCTGCGCAGCGATTGCTGAACGATGCCCTGGCCGGAGACAGCGACGATGGAGACTACATATACGAGCCTTATCATATGCAAGATGCAATTGCTATTAGGGCTCAAAATTTCCGCAGATCTTCCGTATCTTGATATATACGGAATCGGCCGATATACGCAGGGTATCTTTGGGAAAGAGAGCATCATAATATATATTCTCAAAATGGCCCCCTGACCCCTATGCTTGCTTTTCCGCGTAACATTTTGGATTTTTTTAACCGTGTCGTAGTAACGCGCTGTATTTAATAACCTTAAAGATAGATAATCGTTATTATTGCTCACCAGCACCAGCTATTATGATAATTTCGCAATCCGGTTATTCATCTCACAGCCACCTATCCTCCTTTCGATTCCGTTTTAGCGTAACCCGTATTCCTACGTTAGCGATTCCATACTGGCGGTAAGGCATAGATAGTGTCCAAAATACAGCTTAAGTTCGATCTATTCCGTATATTTAATTTCACCCGGATAACCAAAAACGAGCCAGGAAGCGGATATTAGCCTGTTAAAGCCTGTGTTTGCCATTACCGAGCTCACCTATGTTTCAACTCTGTGGGTGGAAGAAATATCCCTCGGAACTTGCATATCCGGACGTGGAATCTTCCAACCTGTTAGACTTCTGTTGACAATATGAAGTTCAAGTTAAGAACAGATTTCAGTGAGGTGGTATTCTGGATGAGTTCACCAAGCAGTGCAACTGATGAAATACCTCGATGAGGCCAACGTAGCCGGTTCCTAACTCTAGGGGAACGCGCATGAGGTGGTACTCTTCTGAGCGGTTCAGGCCGCTCAATCTGTCTGCAAAGACTTCAATGGAATGCTCTAGAAGTGTGCCATTCGTGGCCAGAGAAGCAGTGAGAAAGCAAACGGAACAACAGCACCTACTGTATGTCAGATTTAATCAAACTCCCTCTCTCTCCGGGGTTGGGGTCCCGCGGTAAATGCTCGTCGAGTTGAAAGCATTATCGAAGTCGAGCTGGACATATTAGACAGCGTAGCGCGGGGGCTGTTCAACCGGCCAGCCTTTGGTTCGTCATACACATCAGAGATGAGGCATCTGCATCTACATCACATAGACAGTTGTCGCGCATGCTGCTGGCCACTCTGATTGTGTGTCAAACGGCAATGATTAAGCCGCGAGCAAGAAGACTCAATATGATGAGCGCACTGAGGAGTAGACTCAGAGCCCATGGTTTCCATTTGCGCGAGCTTTGATGATGCGACAGAACGGCATCTTCATTCATGCTGCCATTATCATCTGTGAGGGAATCATAGTCCCTGGACTTGGGAGATATGAGAGAGTGGTATGTTGATTATTTGGCCTCCATAATGTTTGAACCCAAATATAAGGTTGGGTATGATGCCGACTTTGTACACGACAAGAGAGAAGTGTTGGGGCAAAAGAACGAGGAAGAATTCGACAGCAAGAAGGAATACAACTTTGTGAAAGAATAATCTCCCAAGGATGCCTTGGAAGCTGGCAAGGGATTTTTTGACGGCTTAAGCATCGTAGCTGATGCGTTAGACTTCGCCACTACCAGTATGCACATGATATACTAAGACGCGGTAAATGTTGGATCACTTGGACAATGCAAACTGTCTATTCAGTTTGCCAACGTCTTTATTTTGATGAAAATCGGAGATTCCCTGAATGACTAAGGGATTTCTGATTCTACATAACAGGTCCTATGCTAAATAGGGAAGGGGATGCGCATAAGTATGGAAGTGGTGCATCTTGTGAGAGGGCAGCCCTCAGTCATTCGCTATCAACGAATATATCACGCTTTTCCTTGTAAATTTAACCACCTGCACTCCTTACCTACATTGCTATGAGTAATTGCACAGAGCTCTTTGGGCAATTAGAAGAAGGAATAAAAACACTACCGCGGTCTTCGGCCCTTGAGACGGCGTATAGGCTCTCGTTCTCGTCCCTTATATATCCCTTTTCTCCTTTACTAACCTGCTAGATTGCTCTGTATCACTAACCCTTTATTGATTCAGTAATTACTACTGATCCCTGGTGATCGCGAATTTAGACTACTCTAGATCACTAACCTCGTACTGATCGGTCCTAGTTTCGTGATTTCGGATCCTCATTAATCTATTTCTAGCTCCCAATGATTCTGTTTTTCTTACGTGGCTATCCGGCCTGCTAATGGGCTTGTTAAATTACTCCGAACCAACTGTTCGTAACAGAGATAGTTCTAGCGCTAGGACATGTCTTCTGGAATTAGGGTGACTATACAGAGCGTTTACAAAAGTTACTAACTTTCTTGATATTGTGTCCTGCACCCTAAGTCAAATAACGCCGCTGAGATCTGGCACTTCCTTGTACAACTAGGTTATATGCTAGACGGACCTATTGTCAATCCTTTAAGATAACCCTAGTATGGTTAAGTAGTGTAGTGGGGCCAGGGAGGACTCCCCTGTCTTCCACACCTTAAGGGACACGGAGATGACAGACGACTTTCAACAACTTGTCATCTCTTTTCATCATCTTATTCAATCAACTTGACTTTTGTTTTCTATTCTATTTAGCTAGCCCCTTCAATTATGCGGTTCATTCCTACGTGCACTTAGACACGACTTTCGAAATCCTATTATTCTGCCCTTATCTTAGCCTTGACAATGACAAAAGCCTGTATCTTGCTCTGATCAGAGCAATCCAGTGCCAGTGAGAGCTTCAATTCGACTCCCAGAGCCAGACGTCTTGTTCTGAGAATCATTCCGACGAGAGTCTCAGAGGCACATCCGACCAACTCGCGCACCAGACTTGCAAGAGCTTCGCTCTTGCAACCAGTACCACGATCTTCGTCTGATCAGACCAACAGATGGGATCTGTTGGTACTGGAGCCGTCTGTTCAGCATGTTAGGTGGTAGGTATATCCTACTGACCGCCTGACCCCGTTTCAGTAGTTGGAAGACTCCGCTGTAAATAAAGAGAAACGACATATAGGTGTAGGGTATTACTACAGCCGTGAAGAGGTGGAAGCCGGCAGATGGGAAGGTACAGCCAAGTACAGGGCTACAGAACCCCGCCTCAAACCAGAAGTAACCATCATAAAAGAAGAAAAAAACATCTTTTTTTGGCCTTCATATAAATCTCCGGTAACGTTAAGCTACGTTAGGCATTGACCGATTAGAATCTAGCCGACTGTGACGGTTGTCACGTGATTGACCCACACTGGTCTGAACAGATTGATAAGTGGTTGCAGACACCAAAGTCAGGGACTTTGGTATTGGTCTCTTTTGGTGAAGACACCTGGTACGGTGGCGTAGTGGCAAGGATTGCAACCCCTGGCGCGGCGTGACACCGACGGACCTACTAAGTCCCTTAATGGAGCTAAGTTTAATCGGTTCGTTAGCCTGTTAGGGACCGAACGATTAGAAATAAGGACACCTGGTATATAATCTAAAGGCGGTGGACCGCGGCAAAATTGCTCTACTATTGAACGACGAGAAGACCGTATTTACGAGAAACAGACCCTAGAGTGACGAAATGCCGTATGGGATTCAGCCCCAGAGTTATTATGGGTCGGATCCTGCCTTCTTCCTTCCTTCAACCAGAGTACCTCATAAGAGTCTCTTAACACCAACCTACGTAGCACAACGCATAAAGCAAGCATAGCTATCAATGCGAAATCCATCCAGAGTCATTAACAGAGGACTGGTTCCCTCAATTAGCCTTATATACACAGGTGTTTTAGGTATGAGGAAAGGCCTATCCAACCTTCATCATTAAGTAGAGAAGAGGTGCAATGTAACCCGATATTCGGCCGAGGCGTGGCCACGTATCAGCTGCGAGTGAAAAGAACGTTTCCCGGTTGGGTCACGTGATGGAACCCATCTTGGCATTTGGACCTACCAGGGGTATCGTTTCCCGCTTCTTTCTGGGTTAAATCCACACCTATTGTCGCTGCAATTGAGTTTCGGAGCCGATATCGCACGGCCTCGGGCCGCGGCACACGAGTAATCGGTGCAACTAGTATCAAGCAGATTCGGTAGATCCGACGAGTCAGAAACAGCAATTAGCAATCATACTTCCACTTGTATCCTTGCATCTTTAGTGCCCCCAGGACTTTCCCAGCTAAGCGATAGTCAGTTCGGCCATATCGTAGTCTGCTAATTGGACGCGAAGGCCGACTTCATGGATAGCGTGCTCTCCAGGAGCTGGGTGAACAGTCTTTCAATTAAGGTTGGTAGGGTCGTTCAAACATATCGTCTTTGCTCAGTTGTCGAAGGCAGTGATGTCGACCCTGTCGGATGGACTGGCATAAAGCTGCGCCTTCAAAGTTCACGGTCCCTCGAGACCATGGAAGGGACGCTAGCTGGAGTGGGACTTGGTAGGCCGGTGTGTGGTAGGCGTCAGGCTGAAAGGCGAATTGATGATTTGGTCATTGGAGGTGAAGAGTTTCTCTTCATTGTTCTTCTCTTCCAGCGTTACGTCGTGGTGATGCCGCTGACAACTTCTGTAGGAAAAGCAATAGTACGGACTAAAGTAACGCAAAGCACCCTCGGTCCCGACTAAATACGCTAGACCATAACCAGAGTGGCCATGTCTAAGATACGGCACGAGAAAATCATTTCCCGTAATCTTGGGTATCATGATAAAATGACTTCTCAACTGCATATACCGCCAGTATATATTGGTCTCAAGCGGCAAAGTCATACATTCATGTTCTTGATGAGGATACGTACTAATAGGGGTTCTTTAAATAACGATATCAGTAGTTAGTAGCCTTATTTAAACAAAATAGAAGAGAGAAAAACTGATAAAGGGAAATGCAGATAATAATATGGGGAGTGTGAAGGTCAACCCTCGCAGACTCACTACAACCAGGTGACTTACAGCTGGAACACCTGCCGTGGCAGTGTCGGATGGGAAGCCAATCATAACCCTTGTAGGAGCCCCGCCAAGCGTGGATGACTTAGTCGCGCTCCCTCAAACCTAAGTTGTCATCTTCTTTCCTTCGCTCCTTAGAGTAGAATCTTCGTCGATAGCACCTAATCGAGGTCTCTACCAATGCGATGCAACCCAGGTCGTGACAGGGAGGCCGATATAACTGATTCTACCACTCACAATTTCTTCTGACCCTTTAATTATGCAAGCCATCATTCATGACCTCGTGTAAGCAGGGGAGCAGAGCCTATAATTTAAAACAAAAGTGTTACCCCTAGTTGACTTTAGAATCGATTGCTTCCCAATCTATTCAAGACACCCAAAAAGTGTTTTGCTGGTAGGCTTGGAACTTCTTGCAACCAGCGCTTTCCGACTGAACGATACTAAAAAGCGTCCGACTGTGGGAAAGATGCAAGTCCCTGCCAGCGTCCACGCTGTTTTGGTTATCTCCATCATGCCTGTAAACTACTCCACAGTCCTGATATCATCGAGACGCAACCTCTAAGCTCCAAGCGCCCATCATCGGTCTGAAGGACTGCCATGTATTCTGGCAGTAAAATTCGTCGTACACGGGGATGTTATCTGCGAATTGTTTATATTCTGCTCAGCAATATCCATCCATTCGAATCGGTTATTCTCTGAACTTGAAAGTTATACAACTATATATGTGGATTAGGGCCGCGTTGGTTAGGCGTCTCAATTTGGGTTGGGGAGTGGTTATGTTCGAACCATAATAATTCGATATAGACAGGTATACAAAGAAACTATTACGGATCCCTAGCTATGCATGAAGAGCTATGTAATTTATGTAGCCTTAGAGAGAGTAAGGCTTGCATCCATCTGACTTGTTATAGGCTACTTGACTTTCATCCACACAAACTGTAGCATCTCGTTTGATTTATTTCCCCTGAAGCTACTAAGATATTTCCATTTGCCTTCGGTTATTGTCTAATTTCTTTAAGAGTTCAGATGTAACGCGGGACTCCCCGATATTCTACCCCCTTCGATGGTACGATAGAATGAAAAGAGCTGATAATATGACGCCTGAGCAACATTCGAAGGGTCAAGGATCACGAAAATGTTGCCAATAGCGTTGAGGTGAGTCAGCCATCCCCGGCTGAACTCGCATCCGAAATCGAACAACTCATACAGCGTCAGAAGCAAGATGGTAAAGAGAACTGCAATACTGGTGGACCACTCAAGCTCTGTCGTAACCAGCCTACGGCAGCGACGTAGAGCTCCGATCCACATTAAATATGTGAATCCTCGTTCTCAACATGGCCAGTCCGTCCCAGTGCTGACATTGCCAATAACCGGGCATGGATATCTGTCGTCATCGCCACGAGAGATCTTCGACTTCCCCGAGACAGAGACACAGAGTATGGGAGGTAGTGATCTTGGTCTATCCAAGAGAAGGAACCCACAGGCTGAGGGATCAGGCAGACCTCAGATGTTGTAAAACGTAGGCTCAAATAAGAATGAGAATGAGTCTGCGATGGTTCAGACCCGGTGATCTGATGGAGTCCAAGGGCCACTAACTCGGGTGATTCTGCATATAGCTCTTTATGATGCGTTATAAGGTGGTTGCGGAAACCGGGAGTGCGTTTCCTAACGTCGGCCTTCGTTCGGTTCAAGAGGACCGTCTTCCGATTATAGCCCGCACAGACTCGGACGCCCTTGCGGCCAGGTTGGCTGCTTGCCATCGCATCTGATTTTCTTCGAACGACAGGTATGACCTCTCAATCTTTGGGGCAATTCCAGCAGATTCGAAGCTGTCCGATCGAAATCCGGATGGGCAATTTCATGATCCTTGATGGTACGTCTTGGCCTGAACTGAAGTGGAAAGAACATGCGAATGCCACACGCTGGGGCGGATGATACACAAAAATCGAAAGCATCCAAATAACATCCCTCACTTCAGAGACGGGGTACGAATATAAGGCTTCGCCCAATCAATTCCTCAATTAACGTTCAATGCAGCAGAGAAAAAAGAGGTTAATGAGCCCCGTCGAAAGCGTAACCCCCCTTTGGGAACCCGTCTTGCGGATGCTGCCTTGGTAGCGGCCGCGGAGATTGCCGCTAATGCGATCAGACGAATTACTGGCCCGCCATTCTGGAACCCCTCTGTCAAACGTTCAAAGTGCTTCAACCGCCGTCATGATGGCAGCCAGCGCAGAGTTTCCGGCGATACTAAATAGAGCCAACCTTTGGATAATTCGCTGTCTGTAGACATTTAGTTTCGAGTTATCGCCTTCGGGCGCTCCGGTAGCTTAACTCCAATCTCCGCATACACCTACTAGACTGGTCAGTATATATATGAAGGGGCCAACTATTTGCTGAATGATTTATCACCCACTGCCGCCAAGACCGATCTGATCCATATTCGAAGTCCTCAAAGTACTCGAAGTTTTCAATTGCCCACCCTTCGCAAATATGGCCCCTCTGTATCAGAAAGCCCTCATCATAGGCGCCACATCCGGCATTGGCGAAGCCCTCGCCGCGAAGCTCCTCTCAACCGGCACCTCCGTGATCATAACCGGACGACGTCAAGATCGCCTCGACGCCTTCGTCTCCCAGCGCTCCAACTCCTCCACATCCGATTCCGTCACCCTTTCTGCGGTGCCCCTCGACATAACCGACCTCAACTCGCTCCCCACCTTCGCCTCCTCCATTGCAAAAGAGCACCCCACCCTCGACTGCATCATCCTCAACTCCGGCATCCAGCGCGGCTTCGACTTCGCCCGTCCCTCGACCGTAGATCTCGCCACCTTCGACGAAGAGCTGACAACAAACTACATCTCGTTTGTGCACCTGGTGACTGCGTTCCTCCCGCAGCTGCAAAAGACGGCCAAAGAGGAGGGAAAGGAAACCCATCTCGTCTTCATAGGCGCCTCGCTTGGCCTCGTGCCATCCTTGGTGCGCACGCCGGGGTACAATGCCAGTAAGGCTGCTCTGCACAGCTGGATCATGAATCTGCGGCAGCAGCTCAAGGATAACGGGGATAGCATTCGCGTGGTCGAGGTGTTTCCGCCGGCAGTGCAGACAGAGCTGCATGATGAAAAACATCAGCCTCATTTGAAGAATGGCGGGGAGATCGGGATGCCTCTGGCCGACTTCATTGATCAGACGTACACCGAGCTAGAGAAAGGGGACGAGCAGTTCGCCATTGGCCCTGCTGCCGAGTGGCTCCAGTCAGGCTTCGAGGCCGAACGACAGAAGATGTTCCAGCAGCAGCAAGGCGCCATCAAGACAGCTTTGGCGAAGTATATGAAATAGTTGGCGCTCGCAATTTGTAGTCTATCATTGAAGTCATCTCTAATTTCTTGTCTGTCTATCCCCTCATGTCTACCCAAAAGGAAAGTGCGCCCACGGTAATGTATCAGGGGAGACAAACGACCAACTCGCCAGCCTCTCTAACTCCCTAATTGTGGGCATCATGAACGCTTAAAAATCCGGCTCGTCGAGCATATCCGCAGCTTGACATATCTTCATCGTCACGTCGTCAATCTGAAGCATGAGTCAGCATGCTAGTGTCTAGTGGGATAAGACGCAATGCGCCATAAGCTTGTGCGTGGATATTCTCACATTCTCGTGGTGAAATATTGAGAAATGGTGTCCCTCCACATCCAATACAGCGCGTATGAAGTTGCCATGCGAGTCGTTGTAAGTCTCCCACCCAAGGAGCTGGTGTTGCCGCGTCAAGTCCACAAATGTGTGACCCGAGTGGCTCACATACTCTTTCGCACGAAGCATAACTGTAGGAGGTACCTGGAGACCGTTCCATTGTGGAACGTCCCATTTCTGCACCATAACTCGTGCGTGCGTCATATTGAGGTCGACTTTCTCCCTTAGTTTCATGGCTTTGAGTTCCGCCGGAGACTTGGTCACGCGTCCTGTGGGCAATACGTTCTGCAAATCAGGTATGTCTGCGAGTCGCTTGGGAAAGACACTGTCGACAAATACCATTCCCAGTACTCTGAACTTGGGTTTTCTCGATGTATTTGTCGCCAGCTGGTGCGCCATTTCCAGCGAAAGGATGCCACCAAGAGACCAACCTGGGTGGGTTTGAGTGTCAGACGCTGCTTAGGTAATCTCTTTGGTTTTCGAGAGGGGATTTCATGACTTCACGTACCACCCAGTAGAATATCACCACCGGTCGGCATTGCCGCTGATATCAGATCAATGTAATGGCTCGCCATCTCTGGGATCCCGCCTTCCCACCACCCTCCGTCATCAAGATGAGCGTTTTGTATGCCGTAAAGCGGCCGATTGGTAGGTTCCAGGCAGTGGTAACTGAAGGTGGTACCGCCACCATCGTGGATGAGGATCAAGGGCGCAAGTGGGTTGGCAAGGGCAGATGAGTCGGGACCCTCATAAATGAGGGCCGGATTTTCCAGCTCGTAAGTGACCATGCTGAGGACCAAGGCCTACGCAGAACCAACTCTCGATTGACAGTATCTTAGTGCCTCAAAACTGCCCACGATTGGTTACAGAAGGCAAAGTTCAAGATTGGGCAGAATTCGACGACCAGGAGATACCTGAGACAATCGGTGCGAACCAGACGATGCAAGCGTGCGAATCGTAGTGTAGCGCCTAGATCACCATGTCGCGCTGAGGAAGTTTGAAATAGCTAGGAAAGTGCCTCTGCGCCGCGGGTTGCCGCGTGTGTGAGACAGGTCTGTCGTCGTCCTGGGTAAGTTCTGGATGCCCAAGGTACTGTTGTTCACTGCAGTTGGTTGCTGTTTGGGCCGAGGACAACGTAGCGGTCCGGTCACAGCTGCCGGTATCGGTCACAACTGTCGAATTTGAAGCTGCACGTCGGGTTGTTTGCGATGTCCTTTGGAACTGGCTTGAGCCAGTGCAAGGCGAGCTCACCGGTCTTTATCAGCCCGCCAAGACCGTCATTCCAGAGGAACATGACATTTTAAAGTTCTTAAGCCAGTCTTTTCTAAAATGGCGCGAATGCTGACATGCAGCGATAGAATTGAGGCGAGGAATTCTGCTGAATTTATTCCCATGCTCGACAGAGGTTCTTTGCTTAGCATATTAAGCAACCCTTACCCAGAAGCCGGGATTGACTTTGAGTGAGGGCACTTTAACTTTACGACATGAGCTTGGTAGCAAGCTGGAAAATGGGAGAGTCGCGCCGCGCTTTGGAGGGACGGCAATGGCGGGGGTTGGGAGATCATCCACTGACTTTGTTCTACCCCTCATTCGACAAAACTCTCCATCATCCCACCAAGCGCTTATCCGTGCTGTAGCACAACGTGGTGGCGCTTTCAGTGCGAAGAGCTTGTAGGGAAAGCCAAACTCCTGCATGCACCCGGTTCGTTCCTGGCAAACTGGTGTAGGGCGTTATTCAATGTCTGTTAGGCTGGTGGTAATCCTTCTAGCAAATCTACAGACTAGCGCCCTCCCAAGATTGAATGAAGCTGAGACAAGGTCTGGAAATACCTCGCAGATACACCGTCAATGAGCTGGCTGGGCTGGGTATCCCGCTTTTGGGATCCACGCTGTGACGATATTGGTCCGTCTGCATTACTCTACAGAACCCACCCGCAAGACGTCAACATTTTCCGCTCGGCACCACCTTGATGGCCGCTGGCCGGCCTCGACGAATCGACTGAGTCGCGGGAGGATGCTAGTCCCCAGGCTCCTCCACAAAGCCATCCGCCTCTCTCCAAGTTCTTCGAGTAGACTGTTCCACCTTGTCGAATAGCTGACTGGGCCGTGGATACTGAATGGACCTTGGACCCCCGCTGCTGAGAGTTGTACGGCGGGAGCTTTGTAATGGCCACGCATAAATGACATCACCAGCTATTGGTCGTGCCTACCTTCATACCCACAGTACAGGATGTGAACACAGGGGGAAGCTGCTCCCAATGTCTGGGGTTAAGCCAATTCCCCTTGCCGGTCTGACTACTTAAAGTCAGTGTTCTCGCTGCCTTCGAAAGTCGAACCATTCTCCCCGATCCCGTCATCCCATTTTCCACTTCCATTTCTCCATTCTCAAGAACTACCAGCTTGATCCACTCTGCCAATTTTGTTCCACCGCCAACCACACAACCACCTTCATCATGCCTCAAGGAATCCCCTCCGGCGAGCGTCTGCTCGATCTCTTCAGCCTCAAGGGCAAGGTCGTCGTCGTCACAGGTGCCTCCGGCCCTCGAGGCATGGGTATCGAAGCCGCTCGCGGTTGCGCCGAGATGGGTGCCGACATTGCCATCACATACTCTTCCCGCAAGGAGGGTGCTGACAAGAACGTCGAGGAGCTCACCAAGGAATACGGCGTCAAGGTCAAGGCGTACAAGTGCAACGTCAGCGACTTTGAGGACGTCCAGAAGTTCGTCGCCGAGGTTATCAAGGACTTCGGCAAGGTCGATGCCTTCATTGCCAACGCCGGTGCAACTGCTGACAACGGCATCATTGACGCTTCCAAAGAGGACTGGGACCACGTGATCAACGTGGACCTGAACGGTACCGCATACTGCGCCAAGGCTATCGGCGCTCACTTCAAGGAGCGTGGCACCGGATCGCTCGTCATCACCGCTTCCATGTCGGGCCACATCGCCAACTTCCCCCAAGAACAGACCTCCTACAACGTCGCCAAGGCGGGCTGCATTCACATGGCCAAGTCTCTGGCCAACGAGTGGCGCGATTTCGCACGAGTTAACAGCATCTCCCCCGGATACATTGACACCGGCCTGTCTGACTTCGTCGACGTGAAGGTGCAAAACCTGTGGAACAGCATGATTCCCATGGGCCGACCTGGCCATGCCAAGGAGTTGAAGGGCGCTTATGTCTACCTGGTTTCCGACGCATCTACATACACAACCGGTGCGGATCTCATCATTGACGGTGGTTACACCACCCGCTAGACGGTTTCTACATCGGCGTATCGGGCAGGATTTAGAGGAATTTGGGCAGGCATATTTATAAAAAGCGATTACCCTGATGAGATCATGATAAAGCGACGGCGGCTATACCAATAATTGAACCCACGGAATGATACAAATTTACGGAATAGGCATAAGCTGTGCCATGTGAGAGTGTCAGCTAGAAATCCCTCGGGACTGTAATAAGCCAAGAATACTAACAGCAAGATGCTGTCCGTAAATATGTAGTCCACCCAGCCATGTCATGCGCTGGCCGTTCAAGTCGTTACCGTTAGTTAGGTTTGGGGCGTTTTCTCGTCTGAAACCTTATTTGGGCAGCTCCTGCAAGTACAGTATTCGCTGGGACTTGGAGACGGCGGAGGTAAGCCGAGCCGGAACTTTGCGAAAGTAGGTATCGGAGTTGTACGGGATCGCGTGTTCATCAGGCTTGGCGAGATCGTATGGATGTATGTTTAGTGTGCTGGATTCTATCGTGTCTCCGTATTTACAAGACCAAAGTCGCTAGTACGAGTAAAGCTAGATTGGTTAGTATTTCATTGATTAGTATTGACCACTGCGTCTAAGCGTCCTGGCTAAAATATGCAAGTTTTATGTAGGGACGGACGGCGTCGCAGTTCCGGCTGGCTCGCTGCTCGTTGAAAGTATGAATGTCTGGCTCTGGTGTCTGGATAAAGCCTACTGTAACGTTTAGACTCTCCCATACCGAGCTTCACGACCGGGAATAATGGTTGATCTGGCGATAACCTCATACGATATTCCATCAACGTTTTCTTCCACCCCTTTCATCCTCCAGAATTTCGCAGCCGTTACAATACCCAAATCAGGAAACCAACTCCATCTAGATCATTATACGTAGAACCCATGTTCTCGCTAATTCAACGTCCAACTGTCCTACTCGTATCCTATCCTATCCCATGCCGTCACCAGCCCTGACGTCGCGCTCATGTTTCATCCTGTCTTCTTGCCTGTCTGGACGTCGGGCCCACCAATAATAAGATCACAGATAAATTCGATGAGCGGTGGTTTCGTTAACGTAACTTGCCTCCTGGAAATCTCCCCAACTCCTCTTGCCAATTCGTGCCGACCACCGAGTCGTTCCCACTTATTTGTCAGCTGTGATGTGATGATCCAGTGACGATCGACGGTCATCAATGCGGCTCAAGTCGATTGGTGCCACACCCGGATGCCCGCCTAAGATCGTCGTAACTCGAGTTTTTCCGGAAGGTTGCTCGCATCAAGAACGGAACGAGACGCTGTCCGTTAAGGTAGCCAATCGCGACACCAATACGGTGAAGTGTCGGCTCGACGATGCAGTATGTCCAGGCGTTGGGTTGTGCGCATGTGAGAGCGCACCTTGGCTTCATCACGGGATTATACCCTAAACTGTCGTATTCGTCAATGTCAGAGCGAACACGACAGAAAAGCAGTGCGCGTCAATTGCTACAATCACAGAATGAACAAGTTACCTGCAAGAAAAATTGAAATCTAAATATAAGTGCTGTGCAGGTTTCACTAGATACAAGAAGATATGCTCTCCTGCGTCGCTGATCAGGCTGGTTAATCGATGGGCGAGATCTATTAACCCGTCTCGCCTCGCCATGCTCGTACCGCACGCATACACCGTAGCAATCATGTTATCTTGATAATGATTATTTCGCCAACCAACCCCAATTTGTACAGTAGATCTCAGGTACAAGGAGAACGTCCGGATAATGATCTCGCCAGCTACAATTGGAGACCGCCAGGATCAACCATGGACAGACCATATAATAGGACTTAGACCATGTGATTAGATCAGATCTTGCAAGCAGGCACACAGCGTAATATGCAAGGGTCTGGCATCAACGATTGGAAAACTTCAGAGACGACATCCCCGACGGCGTAGTCGCGTGCGCGAAGTATTTAAAAGTTCTCCTTGCCCCATACGAAAGAAAATCTAGAGTCCAGTTAGCGTTTGCGGGAGGTCAATGAGAGATGTGAGGATCATAAGCTTACCCAGGTTCACTGTATTTGTTGCAGTATACGTGCAGCGCACTGCCCAAACCTTTGGGTCCGCAGAAGAAGACACCAGCCTCGGCAGGCGAGTGCAACTTTCGTACACCCCGGAAAATCATATCCCAGTTGGGACGACCGAAGTTGGTAGGACTGCGTAGGCCGGTGATGGCATCCTTGTCGGCGTTGGCGTCGTTGATCATGATGTTGGTCGCATCATCGGCCTTGATCTTGGCAGTCAAGTAGGTGTGAATTTCGATGCGGCCGTCCACGTCTTGTGCCTCAATGGCCATGAGCAATGAGCGAAACCACTCGAAGGAACCGAAATCTCTGCAAATCCAGAAGAAGTAAACCTTGGCGAGACGCGTCTTCTTCTGTGGGTAGTTCATGCGGTACCATATCGACTTGAGAATGGAAGCGAAAGGTGTGACTCCAATACCAGCACCGCACAGCATGGCCACCTCGTACTTGAAGACATCCTCAGATGCCGATCCGAATGGGCCATCAACATAAACACGCGGGAGCACCCGACGGAGAGCAGGGTCGACTTCGCTGTTCTGGCCATCGACACCGACAACCTTGGATGTATCCTTCTCCTTCTTGCCGAACTCACAACCAAGTGTAGCCGCCAATTGTTTGGTGAAGTCACCTGCCATACGCACGTGGATCGATATGTAGTCCTCCTCGGGTGCACTCGTCAGTGTGAAAGGATGGTATTGCCACAAGGACACCTCGGGACAGCAGAAGAATATATATTGACCAGCCCTGGTCTTCGTGTTCTCTTTCTTGATTTGGATCTCGCAAACATTGCTGGGATGCTGAATGACCTTCGAGATGTATGTCTTATGGCGTCCGCGAAGCTCCCGGGCAATACGCTCAGCCAGGTAGATGAAGCCTCCGTACATCCAGTACTGCCAGAACACACCAATGGCCGACGTACCGACCGAGATACAGAAGGGCGCAAAATCGGGCTGGATCATGCAGAATGCACCGTGGAACGACCAGAACAGGAAGAAGACGATGAACATGTGGTGCGTGTACCAGAATCGCTCGTAGTTGGCTCGACGGGGCTTCTCGTACGACGTCAGGACCATACCCGTCAACGCAATCAGCATGATGTATCCCGTCCAACCCGGACCGGAAACGAAGTTGGCCAGGAGCCATCCGTAGATACCCAGATTATTTTTAGCGGCGATCTGGGCGAAGTTGTTCCAATGAGCAATAGTATGGACCCATGAGAAAAAGAAGATGGACCACGCCGTGGTGATGTGAAACGTGATGTTCTTGTCGAATTGGATGATACCATTGAGTGGTGTTTGACGGGCCAGCGAAATGAAGGTCCTGCACACTGGCAACAGAATCATGGCGATATCGACGTGTAGTACCAGCGCTGACGATCTGGCAATCATGTATGTCGGGCCAAATGTGTCTCTCGCGATTTGTAAGTTGTCCTTCACGGCATAGTTGACGAAGCCGAAAGCGAAGACGGCGGCATGCACAAACATGAAAACGAAGACGAAACTGTCGAATATGTCAGCACCGCTGTCCCTTGCCGAGTACTCACGAATTCCACGTACAATCTTCGGTAACCCTCGTTGACCATCCATCGATCGAATCTTTCCCGCGCTGACAGTTCCTTTTGTCGTTCCTGTGTCATTTCTCCCGACAGCAACATCCGTGTCAACGGCGTCCATCTCGACCGCTCGGATGGCTTCTCCCCATAGTCCATGTAGCCGTAACCTGACATATTGGCGATTGATAATCTCTTCAGAACCGCAAAGTCGTGTATCGGTTTCCAGGTAGACCAGTCGCGAGCTTGTCCAAAGCCCACCGGAAACCTTCTGTGATTCCAAGCCCCGTGCAATTGACTGATGCCTCCTCTTAATTAGTTGTCCCTGATTACAATCGGTAGAAAAATAATAATAATAATTTTATCCCCCTGGGTCTCAAGAAGTGTTTAATTCGATTCAGAGCCTGCTGAACGGGCAATGAGCCATGTAAAGGAGAGTCGAAGAAGAGAAGATATGAGCAACGGCGATTCCTCGACGGGAACAGTAGTCTAAAGAACGGAATTCGACAGAAGCCTGAATCCGCACAAAGCAAGTATGCGCGGCACCGGTCAGCCAAACAATCAACGAAGGGGGAAACACTTTTGATTCGGGTAGGAGCGAAACGGGGAAGGATGGAGAAGGACTTAATGTATAACAGGGCAAAAGTAGGAAGGGGGTGTTTTGTTATGGAAGTTTGCCAAGCCTTAAGAAACGCAGGGCTACTTTTTGTAGTTCATACCTTGACAAGAATGCCTGCACCCGGCGGCTGCTTTTTCGAGGCGAGGTCCAGTAATTAGGTTTAGACGTCGTCTTGGAGTTTTGGAATTCTGCACACAGCAAGAGCAAAATGAGAGGAAAGAAGGTGGGAGTGGCTAAGAAAAGGATTGGGATGCATTGAGAGCTGGGCAGATGGGGGTAGTCGAAGTCAGGGTATAGAGTCTGGTTGGTGGTCCCCTGTCCGTGGTCCCCTGTCGATGATCCCCTGTCGGGTATCCGTGACATGCGGCAACAGTAGAGAGACTGGTGGATATCCGACACCTGCAGCCAGGTACCGTGGGACAAAATGTTCACAGAAGCTCGAGGCGCGGGAGTAGTGGTTCCAACTATCAAAGGACGACAGGGCTCTCCGCGGGCGCACGTCATCACCAGATCGTCCAGGAAAGTAGCCGCGTCACTGGGTAGCGATGATTAGACAACGAGAACATCTCGAAACAAACAGGTCTAGGAGTGGTTACAGGGTGGTTCAGAATCTCGAAAGGGTTAAGCGCGCAGTTGAGGCTAGTGGGGCCGAGGGGATGCCTGTGGTAGGACGACTGGGGTAGCGCTGCGAGTATCATTGTGCGCCTCGGTGTTCGAGTTGATGTCGTGTTTCGAGATTCGCTGACTTCTGACTGATTATCTGAACAACTGGCAGCTAATGTGCTGTTGAAGAACGCGCAGTGCCGACAGCAGCGAGGCCGGCTACTGACACCTTCTCAAGCTGCTGCGCTCGCATCGAGTCGCAGACAACTCAACTTCTTCATTGCCAGAAATGCGAATCCTTCATGCCCATGCCGAGTCGTCATCTCTTTGCACGGGGGATTGCCCGAGAATCGTGACAGAGTGGTGGGCAATGGCGCCACTCTGCTGCCATTACCCTCTTGCCATCCTGGGCGAGGACCTCCTGACGAGCCCTTACAAGCTTTTCTTCCAGCGCTCGACCCATGCTTGCCACACTGCAATAGGGAAAGCTGGTGAGAAAGAAAAAAATATGTCATTGCGACAATAGCGTCTGTGCCATTGCCTCGGGAGAGGGTCCTTGTCGGGCAATGGGGGGCTGTCCCAGGCCATCATTGGTTGCTGCAGTGGATCTCGCTTCGTAAGGTGTTTCGCCAGGGTTCTTGACACAGGCAAAGTCACTTGGCATTTTGGGTTCTCGTCACAGGAACCTGACAAGCTACAGCGCAGGCGACTAACGATCCATGCTTCTTCCCAAGCACGATTTTGAGTTGCTGCAGCTGTGGCACAATTGCTCAGAATTGGACGAACGGCAGCACAGCTCTCTGTGCACATATTTCGACGGTCCTGGTGCCAATGTCTTCAAAGATTACAGGAGTTGTGCGCTTCTCCAAAGACGCCACTCAACCTCAACGGTCACCACCTGCGAAACATTACGTCTTAGCATTCATGTTTTCAATCCAGGGCGCATAATAGCGTCAATCATACGGGGCTGGGCCCATTTCCCGTTCTTTTCGAATGCAAAACGTGCCTGCAAGTCCAAGTGCCGTAGTGCAATTGTCTTTCGGCATCTGATATCCATGGGCAGTCTGTAGCAGGCCAGTCGAGCCCATGCCGAGACAGGATCCTAGGGTCGATCTCCCTAAACATAGCCGCCGTATGTGACGTGCCTCCATAGTAGCAAATGCCAGCAACCCCTTTGCTCTTTACTTCCAATCAGCTGCACCTGAATCCTGATCATTAGGTTTTGTATGCAAGCTATGAACCCTTCACCTGCAAGCCACATTCCCAAAAATAGCACTTTCTTGCCTATGATGGTCTGGGCCTACAGTCTGTTATCGCGAAAATGGTGATCAAAGGCATATCATGCATGCCATATCAGGACAACAAGAAGAGGCTCTGCTGTGGCACTCAGTCCTTGCCGCCGTCGAGACCCCACATCTCGATACCCTGTGACAATTGTGACTTCAGAGTAGCCATTTCTCCGTGCGGAGTATTGTAGACATCGGCAACCACTTCGGGACTCTAAGCAGACTCTATTCGCTGCTTATAGCAAATGGTGGGTCTATCAAAACGTTGAACCACAACTTTGGAAACAATATGTTCCATAAAAAACCGTTATATATCCGTGTATATTGAGCCTCCTAGTTGTCCACCCATCGGGGTGGACTCGGGACAAGCATTCTAGAAACAAACGCATGAATGCTTCCAAGCCAATTTCTCCATATCGCCACGAGGCTCGTACGATGAAGCCGCACTATGTTCTTGGTAGCATAATAAAGACACGATGGCTTAGGTAGTAGACGCTCTGATGAAACGAAGCCTACGAAAGCTCATCGGGTATATCCTCAAGTCTTCAGGCTCCTCCCCGAATCGTGCCCAGGCTACCTACACTACTAGTATCTAAGTCGCCATTCAATAGATCCACTTCTTGACAGAGCAAGTCTCAGCATCCAACAATGCGAGAGGAGAGAGAGAGACGGTGAGCGGAGAAAGAGGCTGGTCACACCACGTCTCACGGCGTTGTTGCGCAGGCGCCTCCAAGACACGTTTTGTTTGAGCTGATCTATCACCTATCGTCATCTCGGCTCACGCACCCGAAAACTAAAAAAGAGTGCCATCCGTTTGTACACTATCAGTTACTAGATGATGTTTAATGCTGAGGAGATGGAAAAGCGGCGAAACGGAGGAGCCGTAAGTCCGTTTACCGAAACACACAGAAAGAGATCTGTGCTTGTCATTCAGACAGATGCTTCGTAGACCGAGCGTGCCACGGCATGATGACAACAACCTATTTGATCCGGTCTGTTCTCCGGATAAGGGCTACACCAAAATTTGGACCTGATCGTCATGGTTTTGTCCACTAGCTCGAATTCTTCGGTTCACTCCGCTTGTTGTTTAGGGCATTAACATCCGTATCGCAGTCAGATCATGGCCGGATCTAGTTACCAAAATTGACGACTAACCGTGTTTATTCTTCATGTGCCATGTGCCACACAAGTACATGACTCTAAGCACATCCAGTGATAAAAATTGCCCAACAAGACAATATGTTGATAAGCACATCGTGACGTTCAGAAAAGAAAACCGCCGACTCCGATTGCTCCTGTGTTTGACGATACATCTTGAGACCAGCAACCGCTGATTGACGATACACACATGAACCACTAACGTGGAAGCGAGCATCGGCCGTCCAAAAAAACTAGCCAAGTAAGTTACTAACGTCTTCCGAATCCGCCGTTAGTTGCGCACTCATATCGATCCAAGCAGTAAAGCACTCCAACCTGAGAGGAAAGAAACCGATGTTGCCTCGCACTGGCGAATGAACCGAATCATCATATCTTCTTGATCCCGAGGCAGATGTCTGTTCATCTTGCCAGACAGTCACAGGCCGTTGATGCCCCCCGACCCAACACATATTAGCGAAGTTCCACGTTGTAAAAGGGGAAATAACGCCAGGATAACTTGTTCAAGCGCGTCGCAAGTATGTGAAAAATATCCGATTAGGCACTGGCGGAAACGGTTGTTCCATTTTCGCCCACAGGACAATATCTAGCTATATTCGTGACCCTGACCGCAGAATGAGAATAAAACGCCGGCAAATTGACCATATTGTCTCGAAGGGAAAGGGACATCGTATCAATGATTCACCTTCTCCCCGCCAATATCACCCTTAGCTGCACTGGCCTATTTGCCCGCCAGCCGCAACTCGTCATGCATCACCACCTCTACCAACCAACGTCAAAGACTCCTAGATGGCATACTTCCGGGTCCACTCGCGGGCGGTAGCTTCGTATCGAGGACGGTCTGTCTTGTAGACGTGTGCGATCTCGGGAACCAGAGGGTCGTCGGGGTTAGGGTCCGTCAACATCGAGCAGATCGAGAGCAGGACTGTTGGTCATGGTTAGGGCGCTTACGTCTTTACTTGACCACAGAAGGGAGGCACAAACCTTTGCTGATCGTCAGAGCAGGACTCCATTGGTCTCTCAAGATGTCCAAGCAGATACTGCCGTTCGAGTTGATGTTGGGGTGATAGATGCGGGTTGTGAAGTTGACCTTGGGAGGCTTGAAGGGGTAGTCTGTGGGGAAGTGGATCGCCAGGAAGAATACGCCGCCAGAGTAAGGAGAATCGCTAGGTCCCATAATCGTGGCTTGCCAGTGGAACTGTCGCAGGTCAGCTTAATGTTCATGTGCGGTATGTTGCGACGTGCGGTGGATGGTCGTGTGCCTAGCGAGTCATGTAGACACTCGGATCTTTCGTTCAGCGAGGGTAGAGGTAAAAAATGCCTACCAGATCTTCGCCAACAGGTCCTGCAGAGCAAGACGAGGGGGGGTCGCTACAGGAGAAAAGATGTCAGCAGATGCCATGGCCAGACAGCGGTTTTCCTCGTCGAGGCTGCAAGGCGGACGAGGCCTTGTCGCTGAAGTTATGTGAGACCACCCCGCTTCAAGGCGCCCGCCCCACCTTGATTCACTGAACGAGGGGATGGAGCAGAATTCTACATACCGGCCCAGGTCCGTCAGCTCCTTATTGATGCGCTTCAAAGCCATGGTGTCGAAGAGGATGTGATGTCTCGGGTGAGTCTTGGGGTGTCTCTGGTGTGGCGCGAAGTCGGGTGTCTCCTATTTGTGCAGCCTGTCAGTCGGGTCGTCGATGTGGAAAGAGCTAGAAAAGGATGGACAACGACGATGACGTTTGGAGATTGCAGCTGGGGAGGGAGGGGGGCAGGAGAATAAATTTAACGCACCAGAAAAAGGGTATCTATGAGTAAAGACGAGTCGCGAAAAGAAGACGTTGAAGGAAAATGCGGTTTGGGGCTGTTGATTGATTGATGATCAAGATCGGTGAATGGGGAAAAGTTGTGTTCGGGAGGAAAGAGTGTTCTAAAAGTTGGTCCGGAATGCAGGATGGCCAGCGACCAGGGAGCGCAACAAAGGGCCGGGGGCCCTGGCACCGTGGTGAAGTATGGCTGAGTTGTGGTGAAAAAGGCTGCATTTGGCTCCAGCTTGGAGTGGTCGACCCACCTTTGACTTGTTACTCGAGCCCAAAATTCACGACGTGGCGGCAAGAACGAAGCTAGTAACCAACAGGACCCCGACAATACCCCTAGCCAAGTCAGCCTGACGAGCCCAACTATTATTTCAATGGTACCCTCGGTCTTTACAGCCTCAGGCAATCAAATCATTGTGGCAGGCAGACTGCACCGCCACCCTTGCCGCCCTTGGATGGCATGGTATTGTAAATTCGCCTCGGGCATGATGCAAACATAGTCACTTTACTAATCATCCTTGAAGCACGATTCAGCTTCTCAAGTTGTTCCTCGCCTTCTTCAGAGAGCCAATCAGGCGGAATCTTGCTTTGTTCGCCCAATAACCTTCATCGTTGACGCTGCTCCGCATTTCAGGACCGGAGGTCAAGGATGACAGCGAAGAACATTTGAATTCGAAGACTACTGTCAGCCAATTGCGGCTCTACTATTACATAGTATGCTTCTTTCAACTTCTCAAGATGGCGTCTAGTATAGAGTCCACTCCAGTCGGTGGGTCCTGGAGGTCAAATTGTGTTGCTGGGGCAGTGGATTGTTCGCACAAGCAGGTTTAAAGGGGTTCTCCACGAAGCTATTTGAGATCAGCGACGTTGGACGGCTCAAGCCTTGAATGTTGTAAGGAAGCATGTCAGTACCCATTCGAACGTCACAGCCCGGGTGTAAACCACATCGAGTCATACTATAATCAGCATTATCGCAGGCGAGTTACGGCTCATCTTCACATAAGCATCTTGATACAGAGTATGAGCATGCTATTGCAACTGTTCAGATAGCATAAAAGTGAAAGTGGCTAGCTGGAGCTGGTCTGCGCTGGCCGGCAGCAACTTCATATTGTTGGCACAATGCGACAGCTTTGTAAATTACAGCTCTCGACACTCCATGGCGTCGTAGCTTTGCGGACACTTCATGCGAACTTTAGGTCTCGGTTCCTGCCTTCCCTAGCAACGCAGTTGCGAAGTCCTGAAGTTGACGCACCCTCGCGGAACTACTGCTAATGCAACTTTCGCTGTGTATTCCTCGGCGTAGTTACCTGCAGCTCAGCCTCCCCTAAACTAGAAGTGAAAACATCCAGGTTGCGAAGGGTTATCAATACATAGTTATCCCGTCCGCCTAAGTCTGTAAGCGAAAAGCCTAGAGGTAGTCAATCAATTGGGTATAGTCGAACTTGAAAGCAAGGCTCATTCGCTTGTGCCATGGACAGTGCAAGATGTTGCTTGGTCCAACCTCACCTCCTCGGGCTGCTCGGTGAGACGGCAGAAAATATCGTTGGTGTATACAAATGGTTTTGCAAAATGGAGTTGACCGTATTATACAAACGCCTGGATCCCAGTGATCGCTCTCCCCAGAATCAAACCTGTTAACCACCACGTTAGTAAACGGTTTCTTACCCGGCAATACAGCGGGATTCATAAGATGAGAGTACATACTATGAATATCACTCTGCCCCTCGTAAGTCTGGGTAACGAAGAGATTCGCCACATGTCGTCCGATCGCATACTCATCACTCACCGCGTTCCCACCAAATATCTCCTGCAGTGTCCGCGCGTTCACCAGTGCCCGATCACAATTTTGCCGCTTAATCAAAGAGATCATCTCGGGCGTTGCCTTCCCCTCGTCCTTCAGCCGTGACACCTGGATCGCAGCCAAGACACCATACGAGGCATCCGTGGCGGCATCAGAAAGCTTCTTCTGAACGAGCTGATACTTGGCAATCGGGTTGTTCTTAAACTGCCTCCTCTCCAGTGCATACGTCCGCGCTCGTGCCAGACAGTCCTCCAGGGCCCCCATGACGCCAAACGCAATGCCCATTCTAGCCGAGTTAAGGCAGGTGAACGGCCCGGAAAGGCCCTCAACATCGGGGAACATGTTGGCAAGCGGTACAGGACAGTCATCTAATTGAATCATGCCCGTTATACTGGCCCTCAGCCCGTTCTTGTTCTTGATTGGCGGCGTCTCCAGCGTTCCAGTCGGACAATTCTTCCGCTCGACGAGAAACCCCCGTATCTTACCCGTCTCCTGCATCTTCGCCCAGACCATGAGCACGTCCGCGATAGGGCTATTCGTGATCCACGTCTTGGCACCGCTGAGAAGCACGTAGCCGCTTTTGCTTGGATGCGGTCGCGCCGTGGCCTCCATGCTCCCCGGGTCGCTGCCGTGGTTCGGCTCCGTCAGACCGAAACAACCCAGCATTTTCCCCTGAGCCATGGACGGCAGAAATCTCTCTTTTTGTTCGGTGGATCCGAAGGCGTGGATCCCGCCCATGACGAGGGACGATTGTACTGACATGCCGGACCGGTAGCCGCTGTCTACTCGTTCGACCGCCCGTGTTATCAGGCCAGAGGCCACTGTAGATACGCCGGCGCAGCCGTACCCTTCAAGGTTGGCACCGAGGAGTCCCAGTTCGCCCATTTCAGTGAGGATCGCGGCATCGTAGTGTTCGTCTCGGTACGCCTCTGAGCCACGCAAGCATTAGCAACAGATAGTAAGGGAAGTCAATGGCAATGCTTTGGTTGGCTGGCGAGCAGACTACTTACGCAGCACCCGTGGCAGCATGCGCTCTTGGCAATACCGCTCTGCTGTCTCCGAGATGGCTAGCTCTTCCTCTGTGAGCAGCGTCTTGGTCGCGAGCGGATCTTCCCAGTCGAACATGGGTCCGGCGGTCGAGGCATAGCTTCGTTTGGGACGGGCTAGCCTCAGTGTGGTGGCCACTGGCCTGGAACACCTTCGAGCAGCTTGACAAAACATGACTGCTGCTTCTTTTCAGTCAATTCGTACAAAGGAGGAATATAAAACGAGGAATTCCCATTCTTAAAGACGGACTTGCACGGGTGGCAGCGGGCAAGCGGGCCGAGGCCGAGGTCCGTACCATCAACTATTGCCGATGCTTGCCGCCATTGATCAATGCCGATGTCGGCTCAAGACGGCTTCTGAAGCCGGCCCGCCATCGCAGTTGTAAACCTCAGCAGCGAGAAAGACTGACCCAACCGTCAACAGCTCGTAGCATAAAATTGTCACCCCGTCCATGAGCAAAAGTTCCTGGAGATATGGGTGAGTTGCCGACACAGAAGTCAACGGTCAGAGTTCACTTCAAGAATCATGCTGAGGCCTTACTGACTCTCTAGCTACTACTAGGTGGCTACATTGAGTCATTCTCCTCTCATGACAACTGGCCCAGAATCAATTGAGACATATACTTTATAGGGACTGTCGGTTATTTCAAAATATAACTACCCGTGAATTTTCATAATTTTTTCAGGTGAATCACTTGCGCTGTCAGGCATCACTCAACCCTTATATTCACACAGGTAGGGGGCCTATTAACACCTTCATGTCACAGTCTTTTAAAGACACCAAAACCCAGTGGCCGGAGATTTGCAAGGTTCTACACATTTCACACGGGTTCGGGAGGTGCTATCACTCATACTAATGGACCCGTCCAAATCAGGTAGCCCCCACCAAATGGTAACGACGCCAAAGAGTCTCAGGAGAAGTTGTGACTTCTTCGGCAGCTGTTCGTCCCTGCCTTCAATACCAACTGTCATGTGATTTTCATTTATCATGACCATCAAGGAAAGGGACTCGTAAACTTGGCACAATACAATACTGCTTACCTCTCATCTCAACCATTCATCTCCGTCATTGCTTTCCACTCTCTCACCTAAACCATGCCCTCCATTCTTAAGCACCCCCGTCTGGCCCTCAAGCTTATTTTCTTCTGCATCCGCCATCGTGTATCCTCACTTTTTGACAAGTGCTTTGGGCGCTTGTTCAAGAATAAGGGCGAACGAACCCCGCTACTCCCTCAGCATGCCGATGATACCGAAGAATGAGAGAACTTCGCTGACGAGCAACATCACCTCTGATGGCGCAGTTAACCGGATTTCCTCTCCAAACCCACCCTCAGTCCCCAACACTGCACCCAAAACTCGCCGGCTGAAGTCGACATCCAGCTCATGCCAGCCCTCCAGTATCGACGAGTCCAATGTGGTGCCCTTCGTCCCGGAACATCACCAAAGGGAGAACAGCCAGGAATACGAGCATGCGCACTGGTTGTTCTCGTCTAGCGCAAAAGAGGTCCAGCCTTGGAGTTCTCAAAGATGGCAGTACCACCAGAGCTTAGAGGCTTCTGGACCACGTCTGGCAACACCAAAGAACACAACTTGGAACCCAGCTCGTATTATTGAACAGGACTTCGATGCGGACTAGCACGACTGCATCAAAGATGACTTGGTCTCGGTTTGGTTGTCGGATATCCCATTCCCTTCATTTGAATCGGTTCAGGCACCTCGTCCGATGAAACAAGCTCAACGAAATATCACATCTGAGTCCATGGCGCCTGACATCGACGATATTGAAGCTTTCCCCAAGCTAGCTAGTGTTGCCGGTGCCCAGATACGCCGAAATTTACTCGAGACATGTCGAGGCAAAGGTGCCAGGGCCAGTTCAAGTAACAAACCTGATCACATGTCTTGGGTCCATGTTTCTCGGGACGATGTAACCTCGCCAGTGTCCGCGCCACCGCATATCAACGAAGGCTCAACGTACCATGGATACTTCGACCACGTACCCGCAAGAACTTCGAACAAGATTGACGTCAATCGCTCTCATTCGCGATGGGGCTCAGGGTTTGATGGGCCCCTCAGTCCTACAAGCAACAACGAGACCGAGTCGGCACCAAGTGAGATAGGATCAAGTTTACCTCAGCGGATGCAAAGCGGAGGTGAAAATTCACAAGTCAGTTCCACCGAGTCCGGTTCCATTGACTGGGAAAGGAGCTGGTTCAAGAGAAAGCCTCGTCGGACTCACAATGTCTCCGAGGTTTCGATTCCTGATCCTGCCTTTCATACACATGCGATTGACTTGTTCTCCATGACCAGTCTCGATGCTGAGGATAGCAGCGGGGACTCCGGGTCTGACATAGCATGTCCTCACGTTGTGGAACATCATGCGCAGTTTCATGCCCTGCAGCAGTTCGCCTTGAAATCATGTCCCGAACTCCACACCACCTTGGATAAGTACGAGGCAGCCGATTCAGAGGCAAGTTCACACAGGAACGAGTGGCGAGTAGTCGTTTGCAACTAACACTGACCCGCAGGATCCAGCTTCTGGACTATCAGCCCATAGACCAAACACAAAGCGACCCCGAGAAACCATGCGAGACGCCATGTCAAGGCGCCTGCATTCTCTCGGACGACGATTTCACCGAACCTCGTCGAACTACTCAGTTCGCCCTGACTTTCCAGCCCATCCTCACGGCAAGGACCGCCGACTATTGGCACGGAACTCTTCAGACATCTGTCCATCCTCGGGCGACGAAAACCCAGTTTTCAATTCGCCGGCATCTGATTTCATGCCTGATAATACGTCGGGGAAGCCTGCCGATCTACTCGACAAGGCTAGTATCATGATTGCCGCTGCCGAACTCGATCGACTTTCGTCGATGGGTGGTCGAAGCCACACACCCAAGGATCCGGAAACAAGTTCGTCTCTGGGTATACCGCCCAACACTCCATCATCACCCGGTGGTTTCCCAAGCGGGGCGGCGAGTCCTTCGAGCGCCGGATATGCGGCTGCAGCACCTCCTCCCTCTTATGCCCCGCCCAGCAACACTTCAGCTTCCGGTGGTCCGTCCGGAGTAAGCACGCCGGCTAGACGCGGACAACGACGGCGGGCAGCACGAAGCCGTCTATCAGAGGTAACAACCCCTGAAGACCTAGGCACGGCCGATTCCACGCTATCTCAGGCATTCACGCCGCCGATGATCGACAAGATCGGGGAAACGGTAATCGATGACATGGATGACTTTGATCAACCGCTATACCCTCGGCCGCTCATGGTCAATCGCAGTGGTAGACAAGCCGCACCAAGACTGCAGAGAGACCGCCCTGATGTATCATCACCCAAATACGCAGAAGCTAGGACGTCACCGATTCCCACCAGAGAAGCGGAGAAACTTGTCAAGTCAAGAAATTTATTGGAATTGTCGGATGTTGTGGACACCATTGTTGAAGAGGAGGCCAACACCATCCCCGTTAGAACATCCTCAATTGGCAAGACATCGGAATGTGGCCTCGAACAGCCTCGAGTTTCCGTTCAGACTTCACCTCTCGGCGTGCGGCCACATGTCACTTCGACGGTAAGTTCTCCTGGGCAGATGCGGGCATCATCACCACCACTCGTGAAACCTATCCCTATCAGGGCAGACACAGAACCCAGACCAGACGCCTTGCCCTCGGAGTGCATCAATCTTGCTCCGACGGTGAATCCAGCCTCCGACGTTTCGCAGTCGCCAACATCCACAGAGACAACCTCCTGCCATCCAGATACCTGGACAGATGCACAGGGTGAGCCAGGAGATTCGGATCCGTTCTGTCCGCCGGCTTGCGAAACAAGGCATAGCCACGAAACTGCGGGATCCCCCGTGCAGCCAATGGGGTTCTTCAGAAAGAGCACGAGCGGGACTGTGCACATACTAGACGCTGTGGAGAGTAGCGGGAGTGAGGGGCAGCAGGACAAAGTGACAAATTTCAGGGATCATGACTGTGTGCTTGAAAACTGAAGTCAGATGGGCCAATGAGTATGAGGTGGTGAGGTTGGAAATTATCCTAAATAGGAATATGAAGAATTGTTTTCGCACATCGCTGATTCGGTCCTCGTGTGGTCTTCCTCTCAAGCTGCTTCAACTTGATGCCTTTATTAGTAGTGCACACTACTGCAAATTTCCAATAATCGGCCCCAACTATATCTACCAGATACTGGTTTCCAGTTCATAATCTCCTAGCATAGTGCAACTATGACCTTCGGAAGACTCGCGGCCGTTACATAGACGGTTCGCGTCGCGATAAAAGACCACTACTCAGCTTCAGACTTCGCCAGTCTTGCTCAATGCAGCTGCAACTTCCTTACTCGGCCAAACTACCTTGGGTGCCACGCAATCGTAATTGTGATAGAATGCCCTCATCATGATTATCGTACTCCTAGCCTTCCTCATCATCTCTCCGAAGGCACGAAGCCGGGTCCCACATCCTGTCCCCCCCATTATTGGCATCAAGCGCTTCTGCGAGGGATTCGACCTTGCGCTTTTGTTTGTACGTACTACATGGCGTGATCGTGGCTCACAAATACGCCTACGATGAGGTGAAGGGACAGGAGGAGGTCCCCATGGCCAGCGTGGCTAGCGATGGTTTCGTAATCGTCGACTATGTCGACCGTTTTGAGGGATTGAATGGCAGAAGTGGGAGACGCGACGTTGAGACGCGTCGCTTTCCTAGTATTATTTAGTCTTACAATGTCTCACTTAAGTCACAGGCTCAAGCTCCAAATCAGTCAGTTCACCCCGTCGCCAACATAGGCGCTATCACATTCCCATTCCCTCCTCGGCAGTGCTCGCCTATCCAATGTACACTGTTTCCAACAAGTTAACACATATCTACGGACTAGGTCATGCTAGCTTCTATCCGGGTTAACGTAGTAGCGCTGCTCCGAGTTAGACGTGTAGTATTGTTGCGTACCTATGGTTGGGGTACAGTAGTAGGTCGTACTACTCGGAACTACCGTTGTCGTTGGGGCTAGGTTGGTCACCGTGTATAGGGTTCCGGTCGTGTGGGTGGGGACTGCCCAGGTGTGGTTGTGGGCGGCGCAGGTCCAGGTGTCATAGTGCTGAGTTTGGGGGGTGTAGAATTGCGACATGGTTTGATGTATGCTTCTGCGGGTTCTGTGTAGAAACTCAGCCAAATCATCTGTTTCGCGCCGATAATGTAGTATGAGTAGAGGGAGTGTGGAGGAGAAAGGGGTTGAGGGCAGGGAGTTGGCGGTTTAAATAGTTGTTGTGCAGCTTCTGACTCATAGATGCTAACAGGCCCAAGTCAGATGCTTCTTGACGGGAGTGTTCGACAATCGTTGCTTGTGACTCGTTGGGTTGCCAGCATTCTAGAAGGTTTGCTAATTGCTACAACAGTGCGTCACCTGGTGGCTATACATCAACCCTCATTAGTGTTGCGTAACGTGACCCTGATTTACGGTAGGGGTATTTTGGGCTGCCCATATTTGGAACCGACGGCGGTGATATAAAGTAGAAACTTTCAGAGCTTTTCAAGGTTCTCAAGGGCTCTTTGAGGTTAGGTTGGCTATACCCGTGAAGGCGGTCATCACTGTTGTGTAACATGCGGAGGGACTCCAGCATATGCAGCGATGGGTTTTGATACAAAACTTCAGTTCAGCCAAATACCTGCTGATGTTGAAAAAATAGCGGTTACTTGAGACATCTGTGATCATCGCAGGAGTACATAGCTGACTGGCCTCGATTTGGCACTATATTGAGACGTGCGGATCGCGATGATACACGTGTACGTGTCTTGGTTCTGCCTCTTGATAGGGAAGTGGATTGTCTGATGATTGGTGCATCACTGCCGATAGATAGTATGATAATTGAAAATTGCCCGAGACCAGTCTCTTCGTACAAGGTGATACTTTAGCTAAAGGGAGTGCATTACTGCATCCTGAGAAAATTATGAAGGCCGTGCATAGTCAACCGGTCACTTGCAGCTTACTGACAGCTTGTATATACCTACGAAATGAATCAAGATCGTTGTGTCAATATCAACGCATTAGTAACGCCATCGGAATCCATACAGGAGGTGATGTTCAGCCTTACTAATGTGTAGATCTCATTGACAGCTGTGGAATCATTACGGTCACATGAAACCCCTAGAAAACTGGACGAAGTTCTCCAGTTGAACTATTAGCTATTCATACAACTACTAATCGAATACAGAACTTTCAAAAACTTAAAGTCAAGTGATACCACAGTTACTTCAAACTAGTTCTGAAACTTTTCTCCTTAGTCCTTGAGTTTATCGACTTTAACAGCATTGACTGAAAAAACTTCAAGATCTTGCCTCAGGCAAATCATATTTTAGTAGATCTAAGAAACTGCAACCTTGGAATGTGCTAGATTCATACTTTGATTCTGACTGTTTCAAACAATATAGTAGTAGAAACGGCTAGTCTCCGCAGTGGTTCTTTGCCTTCTTACAATTTTGGTGTCCTGATCTGGGCACTAACAGTAGAACCCCTTGGTGCCAAAACGAACTGTCTCAGAATCAAGCCTCCTTGCTGCAAGCAATCAAATGCATATTAGGCTTCCCAAGTGTCCATGATATGACACGCAAACATTCATCAATTCGATATCTAATCTCAATTACACTCACATCATACATTTCGACAACGAGCCAAAATCAACAATATCTACCAACGGACAGCATCTTAACGCGGGCATGTCATGCCTGAATACTGATGGGATCACACACATCTCTCGGAGTCTCGGCAATAAACAGAGGCCGAGCTCTACTGTTATGCGTTGGGAAATGTCTGCACAGTATACTTTTCCTACATCTTTTATGCAATCATCAAGTCTTAGATGTAACAAATTTCATATTTGCGTCTACTCCTTGATGTACACAACATGCTGGCCCTCTCGCCCAAGCAGAGAGCCCTCTTGGCCTCCTCATGACACATATCTTCTGCACCGCCTGGCTAACGTTCTCAAACACAGCCTTCAAGAGCCTTGGGGAAAATTCCAGCGGGAAAACCAGGCCTTCCGAACGATTGCACCTCGCGTCCCTCGTCTAGAAGATATTTCGTCGTGCACTTGTCACAGCCATGTCGCTATTCAAAGCGTGCATGAGGGAGGCAGTGAAGTATTGCTGTGTTACATTGACATGTCATCCTCAATCAAATCACTCTGGAATTTCTCTTCAGAAAGCTTCGATCTCGTCGCTTTGTCGTAAGAGCCTCGGTTATTCTTGTCCAAGTCCTTGGCGTACAGGACCCTGACGGACTTTAAGCTAAGCTCGGAGATGACGACCATCTCCTCCTTTTCATCTTGAAGGTGGAGTAATTCCCATCGTTGATGAATTATTGACCGAACGTGGTCAAATCTTTGAAGATGGTCTGTTCTAGCAGCTGGCCGATACGCTCAATTTCATCAGTACGTGCCGCGTTGCTGTGGATGAGTTTGTCGCAGATAGGACCGAGCGGCTCAGACTGTGACTTAAACTGATTAAAGTCTACCAATGAAAAGATGTGGTTGAACTTACCACTCGATCATCGTGCAGATGGCCGACATTCCCGGCCCAATAGAGATAGTAGGCGAACGGGCCACCTTGAATAACCGCTTGGCGCTTGCCGAACGTGACGAGACCTGTTTTCAGGTGTCCAGTCAAGTTGAGTTCGCCCCATGTCTTGATACTTCTTGTCCAACGGTTGCTGTCATTGGGCTCACCGAGCAGTGCCTCGATAGTGTCGCCGTCCGGAATCAACTCCGGTGCACCAGCGCGTTTGTAATACATACTGGAGGATGTAGATGAAGGATGTAGAGGGATTGGCGAAGTAAGACTCGGAATCGACCTCACAGGAACATGGAAATGTGCGCATAGCATTCCTCCCGGTGGCGTGCCTGATGGGCTTTCCCCAGGCATGGATGGGATGCCGAAAGCTAAGGCTGGACAACGCGGTTAGGCGCGCATAGCAGCGAGGATACTGGGGTGACAATGTTGGTTGGCGCGGTTGGCTCGCTCAAGAGTCTCGAGTTCGTAGGTCTCAATTTCTCGGCGACCCTGCCTCCAGGAGTAGAAGACCACAGCGAGGAAGATGAGGGGAATGAGGCCAAGGATTATGTAGAGGGGGAGCCAGTTGGTGCCATCTGTAGGAGTCAAGACCATTTCGGACGTCTTGTTTGGGGAGGAATATCACGGATGGTGATTCCTTCGAGACAGGGTTTTGAGGTAGATCATAAAGTCAAGATTCTTTATGGGTGGACGTTTGAAAGTAAGCTTGATATTATGTTATTATGTTCGCAGTTGCCAAATTTAAAGAGTGGTTTGCGGCCCCTAAACGCAAGCAAGCGCACACCTTTGGACAATTTTAACTTGGCACAAGGGAGGATGGTGCAAAATTAGCTCTTTGTTGGTCGTCTAAAGGGGGAGGTGAACATAGTTGTACAGGTTATCCGTAGCAGTTCAGCTCGACCTCACAGCTGATGGTGTTTCTGCATGTTCATGTCTCCCACCCAGTTCGTATGCTTGGAATAGAGACAGGTCATCATAAATAAAGACTTTCCAGTGAATGCACCAATACTCACCCTCGAATGCTACATATTCTGTCAGAGATGTCTAGAAAATAACGAAAGGGATCTCTATTCTCCCACGAGTTGTGTGTGCTCTTCAGCTTAAAGTAGCTATTTGCTCGTATATACCAATAAAGACTGAGCTTGCTAGTACTATGTGACCTACGCTCAGTTATGCATTATTCAATCGTATTTTTTTCTCAATGGTGACATATTTTGAGGTACTTGCTCGCAATCAAGCAGCCATCTTGATCGTATCTCGGTTACTCTCCGAAGATAAAGTTCAGATGTGTGAAGGTCAACCCTCGCAGACTCACTACAACCAGGTGACTTACAGCTGGAACACCTGCCGTGGCAGTGTCAGATGGGAAGCCAATCATAACCCTTGTAGGAGCCCCGCCAAGCGTGGATGACTTAGTCGCGCTCCCTCAAACCTAAGTTGTCATCTTCTTTCCTTCGCTCCTTAGAGTAGAATCTTCGTCGATAGCACCTAATCGAGGTCTCTACCAATGCGATGCAACCCAGGTCGTGACAAGATGAGCCTGCTCGTTGGTGCTGAGTTTCAGGTTGATTTAATTTTTTTATTAAATACGCCGTAGGTGTTAACCCTCGGTACCTCTACAAGTACTCCCTTAAGGGGCTATAGATGATATAGCGGGCCCTTAAGCCGCGTCGGGCGGTTATACAGGTAAACTTGTAGCCAAACGACTACTAAACCTCCTGTCCCTCCCTAAGTCTGTGCTACAACCCCTGCCTGAACTACCGATAAGCGTGGTAATGTGGCACTTAAATTCGTCCTCAGGGGTGGGATGCTGCTGATGTGCAGAAGATGCTCGACTATTTTTTTGTCGCGACAAGTCGTAGTATCTGCTAATTGGGGTTCTCGTCGAGCGTATACATCTCAACCATACGCGCAAGTGGATAGACCGTAACGTGGTCTAGGCGCTCGCAAGAGGGCGTGCTGCGCGCCTTCTATCGTGAAGGGACGGGTTCGCCGACGAGCGTTATCGGATAGGCGAGGTCCGATAAGGGGTCGGATTAACGATTCGAATTCTGGACCGGCTGTCGAGTTATATTCCGCCGACGTAGTGCTTGACGGTCGACTGGCTAGGATGCTCGTAATCCTAAACTGCACCAATCTCCCTATCATCGCTAGGTAGGCGAGGTCAACAAGGTGGGCAGCGCGCCGTAAGGGTTGACTAAACCCCCTTGTGTGTCAGCTGCGGGATTCGAACCCGCGACTCGTCACCGACCGAAGTGGGCGAGGCTCGAATCGGGACTTATCTACTAGCGAAGTGACCAACTACACCAGCCGACTTGATTTAATTATTCTACTGGAACATATTCTTATACTCTACAGGGTCGAATACACGAAAGGAACACCTCAAGCCACTTACAAGCACCACCTGCGAGTTACAAGTTCTCAGCCAAATCGGCATTGACCCCAAATTATGTACAGACGTACTTTAGACGTCCTCGTAGTAAGCCTTGGGGTTGTTCTGATGCGCCTTCTTGCGGTTGCCAAGAGGCCAGGGCAGCTTGTTCAGCACCCAATTCCCGACACCGTCCACCTTCTCACCGGCGATCACCTTGACCCAGCCGTAGGCGCCGCTCACCAGCCACAGGATGGCATTGACGAGATCGATCCAGACGGCCACCTTCATGGCCTTGGTGTTGGCACCCTTGTACTTGTCCTCGTCGGTACGCTTGAGGAAGATGCCGGCAAACAAGCCGAACATGATGATCCAGAGAATGCCGAGGATCAGATCCTACATGAGTTAACGTTAACGACATACTCTCAACATGAAGGAAACCCGCAAGATGGGGGACACTGGATATCACTCACCCAAGCAAACATCCTATAAGGTCGCATTCTGCCAGCAAAAGTCGCCAATAACCCAAGTGCAAGGAACACAACCGCAGTGATACAAGACATACCCACGACGACCACAGCAAACAACCATTCGGGCGCGATGCCGTGGTCTGCTTTCTTGTCCTTGTCGACGAGGTGTCCGTAGAATCCGACGGCGATGAGAGCAAATATAAACTGAAGGCTGCGTACGACCAAGCGAGGCATGTTCTCAAACGCCTTGGCCCACGTTTTGCCCAGCTCCTTGCCGCTATTCACGGCCATTTCGGCGTTGGGCGCCTTGCCGGAAGCGGCCAGTTTGAGGCCTTGGACCCCGACTTGCGCGAGACCCATTTTTGCAGTTTTGGTTTATTATTGAAAGAATCAACGGGGTTGTTGATGAAGTAGATGTGATCCGTGATCAATCCTGGATAATCGATCTGGGGTTTGCCGTGAGGCGATTGTGGTCTAGCGAGAGTGCCGGCCTGCAGCTTCCTGGGTTTGATTTTATGTTGATACCCTTGATGAAAAGGGAAAACGGGACGTCACCGAGTGAAATATAGGAAAAGGCGCAGTCGGAAGAGAGAGTAAATGACTGGCTAACCTGACAAGAAATTATAAGATATGAGTACTAGGAAACGGGATGGAAACCGGCGTGGGAAGGCATAGGGGGAAGGACCACCTTAATAGTCATCCAAATGAACTATGTACGGGGTCGGCTTTGTGGTCTAGTGGTGGCTTTTAGGGCCCTCAGGAATGATTGAAAGACGCGGCTCCAGAAGACATGCAGGCAAAGAGCTTTTAGGCCAGCATGCCTTCTGGGCCCAAAGATTCGAAACAAAGAATATTTGACGCCCAGCGGCTGTAAGCCAGTCAACCCCTGTCATTTCTCCCCAGCCGAGCCTGGATGCGACCCCCGATTGCCTGTTTTGAGAGGACAAAGAAATCGACTGGCTGACAATCACCCGCGACGCTCAGCGCTTATTTTCCGTTCCCCTTGCCAGACGCGCACAACTTGACAGGCGAGTCTGTTTCGCATCGCATCGCACCGGCCGCTCGCGCCTGTAGGTATTATGGAGTATAGATTTATTTTTAGCTAGTGGAAACTGGAGATGGGACTTCTTCTGTGCTAAACACGGATGCCCCCTCAAATCGTCTGCTCAGTATACAATCCAGCCGCGACTGAATATTGAATTCTTTGCTATGAGCACGTAAAGTCTTAAAAGTCCGGACTCCAAATCGTCGTCAAAGCGCCTGTCGTCGATAACAGCTTCAATAGAGCGTTGCCTTCCCAGTGATAGCGTAAACGAGAAAACTAGATATTCATGCCGTGAAGGAAAGGAGGCAGAAGGCCACATGAACGTGCAAGCCGGGGTAGTCCTGCTGCTACAGTGAGTATGCTTAGATTGGCTGACTGCTGTCGACTGTCCAGATGTATGGGATAGTCATGCCTCAGCAAAATATTTAAGAAGTGCTCCGAAAAGAAATAAAGAGCGAAATAAAAGCAATAGTTAACTATATAAAGTATTACTGTCTTATAATATGTAGAACGTGGTATCCTCTATGGACGGTAGACATCCATTTTTAATGGTAACCGAGACCCCAGCAAAATGGAGACCGTCAGATAAGAGGGACATGGAATACGGAGTGGCTGAGAGTTCCCCAAAGCAATGGAATGAGACCGAGATGTGTTTCCTTTCGTTTATGCTTAAGTATTGTCGAGTGGCATAAGGCAGGCTGACTTGGGGAATTGTAACGAAAAGAGACACTTGTGGTCCACCTCAAATCCCCATCTGGCTGCCACAAGATTTCTCATGGTAGAAAGTCCGGCGTAAGGGGGGGAGGGGGGAGGCGAATTGGACACTCGCGCTGGATGTTCATTCACTCCCGTTGTCGCATCTCACAATTTATTGGATGAATGCCTTGACTTGGCTGCAATTGCGAGGCAGGCTCTTGGCCTCGGGGTCTTCGAACCCGTATCTCATCGGCGTTTCTAAGCTTTATTGACGTTGAAATAAATCAAGACAAAGAAAATCGTTCCGAGGATCGCACTCGAGCATTGTAGTCAACCACGGAGCCACCCGCGGGGTGTTGGCTTCGAACATCGCTGAGCAGCCGGCGCAGCTTCTGCTTCTGATTCTACTCATATAGCCACAACACCATGCAGTGCAGTAATATCGTTTGCTTGTAAGCCCATAAGCCGACATCGCTGAACCAATAACACCATACATCTATGTCTCGTAATATGAAGTATTCCGTCCGTTCGTCCGTCAGTCCGTCCGTCCCACTACCTCGCATCAGACCCCCTCATTCCCACAGTCATCTCGTACTCTCCCGCACCATCTCTCCCCCTGCCGCGGCCTCTGCCCCTGGAGAATCCCATCTCCTCGTCGTCTTCCGCGCCGACATCATCTCCTCCCGCTGCGTGCCCGTTCTCTGTAGCCGCGCCTTGATCCCGATTCCCACCACTGCCGCCGAAACTGATGGGCTGCAGCTCCCTCCACCTGCATCCCCACATCCCGAGCGCCACAGTCGCAGCGCTAGAGCAGGCCATGGTAGCCCACCACATGGCATGCCGCGGCACGAAGCCCGTGTACAGCGACACGATGATGAGGTGGATAAAGTGCAGCGAGAGGGCGAAATCGGGGACGAGCTTCGATCGTTGTATTAACGCTACTATCGCGATAACCCTGTTTTCCCCCATGTCTGTCATTAGCAAGCGGGGTTTTCGCGCAACAGGAACGCAAAGGCGCAAGGGTGAGGGCGAATGGGGAGACCTACACAGCACCGGCACAGCACATCCACACGAATGCCATCAGCCACCCCTGTGTTGTATCACCGCGCAGGCTTATCCAGCCGAACACGAGGTCGAGGCTGAACTTGGAGCCGGCGACCAGTGTTGTGAAAAGCATGAGGATGAGCGCTACAGCATAGTATATGGATTGGAGGGCGGCGATTTGGGCGAGTATGCGCAGTGGTGGGAGCTCGGTGATTGCGCCGGAGCGCGGGGGACGGCGGCGTCGGGGCATCTTCTTGTATTATATAGTTGTTGAAGAGAAGAAGAGATGACGAAAAAGAGAGGCTGTTCGTCAGCCGGCGTGGTGTTACTGCCGAATAGCTCGGCGACGTTTCGCAAAAAGGTGGAAAGGAGTGTATGGAATGGAAATAAGGTAAGTTGGTATGGGACTCGAGATTGCTATAATGTAATCATCTCCGGTTTCGTATGAATTCGCGTATCCTGTAGAGGGTGGGTTAGTGTAGTGATGTACCGTAATCGTCGGTATTCGACCAGTCGTCGTTCGTATTCGCAATATCTACGACGTTCGTTTCTCCCAAAAGTATGATGTTTGAGCTGGTCGGCGGCCGGACGGACTGCTCCTCCAACTCTGTCCAAATCTTGATGATAAATGATCTGCCTAGTTAGCCACAATCTTGCATGGACGGGTCCTGCATAGGGGAGGCGCGACGGTAATTTGCGGCACCGCTAGACTGCTTCTAGCTGACCGCCCTAGCCGCGCCCTGGATTTTGCCCTCACGTGCTGTGATTGTGAACCTGGGAGCTTGGCTTGATGACGATTTTGGGGAGCTCCAATGCGGCGGGCTTAAAGATTCATCACGACAATTCTGTACGACCTCCCAATATAATTTGGACGAAGCCAGCACCAATTCTCGAGGAAGAATTGCATCAGATTCACTTGAGCCACTTGAGCCACACATATTGCGAAAATGGGACTCTTCGACATCTTCTCCTCCCCGGAAACGAAGCGTGCAGAGGAGGTACGCAAGGGTGCCGTCGCCCCCGACCGATCAGAGCGCAAGAAGTGCTGGGCTGCCCGCGATAGCTTCTACCGGTGTCTCGACAAGCACAACGTCATCGACTCATTAAATGGCGAGGGAAAGAAGACGGCCGAGAAGCAGTGTAGCGCCGAAAACACAGTGTTTGAGCAGGATTGCGCCAGTGCTTGGGTGAGTTTCTCAGCATGAATGGCGCATGGGAGACAAGACACGGATAATTAACGGCACATTTAGGTCACATATTTCAAGAAGTTTCGTGTCGCTGAATACCAAAAGAAGAAGACTTTCGAGCGGTTAGAAAAGGAAGGCGCCAACAAGATGGCGGTTGAAGGTCCAGGAGATGCGCCAGGGTCAACGAAGAGGTAAACAGAAATGGACGACCAATGGCGGTCGTTCGAAGACGCGAACACTGTTGCAAGTTTCGCGCTCTATCTGGACTCTTCGTGGCCAGAGCAGGCAGATTGTACAACATTGTACCTACAAGACACATGGATTGGCGTTTTGGGTCCATGAAAATGGAGTGGGTTGAACATCTTCTTCAACATACTCCAATTCCCTGAAATGCGCCGATCTGAAATCGTGGCGGAAGTTCTGCTGGCTGCGCGCAGACTGAGGCAGATGTCCCTGGATCCATTCCGTGTGATTACCAGGGGACTGCCTGAGGTGCTAGACAGAAGAGCAGGCATCATCAAACCAATCGTGAAGTAATGCGAGTTCGGTTATAGAAACTGTTGCAATCGTGGAATCATGCCCACCCCCGGTTGCGTTTGGCTATGTTGTAGCAAGCACTGGAATAAAAAGGCCAACGGTTGCGAGCGATATCTGTCGACAGTAGGAAGCGTGTGAGAGTGGTCCAATGTGCGCGAATGCAGACTCAGGCGAGCCGCGGTACCCAACCAGATTGGTCCACGCTGTGTGGCAGCTGCAATAGGGATATTTGCGTTGGCAGCTTGGTAGGTTGCCAAGCAGCTTGATGCACCACCACATGGCAACGTGGGATTGTCCGCTTCATTTGGGCCCCAATTGCGATGATGTCGATTAACTTAGAAAGAGATTCGATGGCCTCCCAGCGCAGCAGTGATAGTCATGCAATGTTAATCAGTGATCTCATGAAATGTTCAGATCGCCCGTCGAGGTTGGACAGTGGACCAGATCGAATTGGGGATAGCCGCGGGGACGCCATTGCTAGTCGCATGCATACTGCGTAATTCGTAGGACTCCTCCAACTCATCAACAAGACGCCAAGTGATTATTAGTATGGAATAACGAACATCTCCCTCTACTATTGAAAAGACTACGAGGCTTTATCATTTCACCTCGGCAATATTTGTTTAGAAGCCAGAGTATTCTCTCCTTTCTGAAATGCCAAGCGATTGGGAGATTGGCTCGAGGAACTGCGATGCCGGGCCAGCCGGGTTTGCCGCGCTGAAGCTTGACGGTGATCGCCGCCGTCAAAGTTCATTCGCTCCCTGGAAATCATAAAAAGCAACGGAAGGCGCTTTCATCTCTGCGATCCACCGGCTATCGGCTGCCTCCAAGTGGGGGAAGAGACCGAAAATAAACCGAATAGGGGACACGAGCACTATTCTCTTCATAAGTGTTTGCGTAAACCTCCAAAGGATAGGGAATTACTTCTGGGGCGGGCATGATAATATTCAACTTGGAGAGATTCGAATCACCAACACGCCCGGCATTATTGTAGGCAGCAACTAATTAATATGAGCGATTCGTCAAATTTCTTCTCTGATGTCGAGTTGGAGATTGTGGCTGGGTTCCGCCAGCTTGGGAAGGCGGCGTCTTCTGGTCCTGACCAGTCCGGGCTACGAAGAGCAGCTAGCTCAAGCAGCCCAGTGTGGGAATTTCATGCAAAGTTCGTCGGGCCCGATCGGCGACTTGCCGTTATTGATTTGCATCACACAGCCTCCCAATGTCCCGTTGCCAGTGCTGCCATATTTGGGGAGGGGAGGGGGAGGGGCCACCTGGGCATGTCGCATGTTGCATGTGCGAATGCAGCGTCCAGGTCCGACGTTTTTTTACTCCATTACCCGAGCAATTGCTGGTTGTACAAGTACCATTAGAAGTAGTCGAAATCTCAGAAATGGACAACTTCCAGCGTGGATCCGATTGAGCATCCTCATACGGCCGTTCCGCTGCTGCTATAACGCAGGCAAACATTCGTCCTTTTAATCTATCAACACACCGTCTTTCACCGTTCTCCTCCCTAAATCAGAAGACCCCCATACGAGAATGTCCTGATTACATAGCATAACACAGACCCCAGGTCCCTTATCCGACCCTAGCCCGGTTCACGATTTCATAAATTTACAGGGAAGGCCTGCCCTGCGCTGCTGGAGACTGTTGGAAAAGAAACCGAACCGACGTGTGACTGTCAGTGGCCGGCTCGACTGCGAGGTATCCACCGTCACCCTCAGCATCAAACCGCTGCGAATCCACTTTGGAGCCGTGCCAACTTTCTGACTGGGCCTTTCACCTCTCAGCTCTTCAACGTATGCATTCTCAATTCCAATCTCTATCTCAACCTCCTATTTTCGAAGCAACCGCGCGTTTGGATTCATCTTTCGTACCAGCAACGTCAGAACAGCAGCAGCACTACCTATCGCTCTCCATGACAACATTACATGCCTGATAAGGTCACCCATCAATTTTTAGCCTCCACGCTCTGACGGTCGGGACGACACCACAGCACAGCACAGGACGCACCATAGCCAAGGCCAAGTCCAACTCATATTCGCAGGCCCGCTCGTCCCCAAAGGTTAATAAAGGTTGCGAGGCGCCTGACGGCACGGATGCACAGCCGTCAATTAACTCTTGGACGGGAGATCTGACGAGATGCCATCATTCGTAAACGACGAAAACTCGCCCGTTTACGCACACAACGGCAGCGTCGTCCATCTCAGTAGTCCGCGACATTTCTACGGCGGTCCAGTCAAGGACAACGTCGCGGGTCTTCCACGGAAGACCTTCATTGACGAACACCCTCACCACATTGACGCGAATGAGCTGACAGAGAGTCTCGACGAATACGACAATTCATCCTCGCATTCCTCCGACACTTCAGACCCGAGAGCTCGACTGAATGGGGATAACGCATCTTTGAACGCAAATAGCATGACCCCACTGCCCAACGGAGCGCGCCCAAGCAAAGGATCCAACTTTTCCCACAACAATGGCAACGGCTTCAGCCCGGAGAACATGCAGAATGGTCACACTGGTTCGAATGGGAGGTTGTCTCAACCTCACATACCAATGGTAAATGGAGTTGCGTCGCCGCATCCACCCTCTTCGATCAGTCAATACCAGCCCCAACACCAGAACCAGCCGGAAACCCAGTCCAAGAGGATTTCGGCCGACTCTGCGGCGCGAACATCTCTACAACAGACCCCTGTTGACGGCTCGCTACCCAGACCCTTTCAGAACAGCGACAGGACCCCCAGGGCTTCAAATGACACCATGGGACCTACCGCCTCGCGCAATTCTGCAGCCTCTGCCCCCCCCGAACCGCAACGCAAATCCCCGTCGCCTCAAAGATTCTCCCCACCGCCGCATCCCTCGGCCTCGACCTCAGCCTTGCAACCACCAACCGGCGGACTCAAACAACGACACACACTAGAAGTACCGAAACCACAGTCCGGCCGAGGATCCAGAGACGGTACCGATGCTGCCTATGCGAGTGGCCGTTTCTCTCCGACAGCGGGACCAAGCGGCCGCAGGGCATCCTTGAGCCTGGCTCGACGTAACACGCGGTCTCTCCATTCGGATATGCCCCGTGACGAGATCGTGCCCGATGATGACGCTCTGCGGTGGGCAGAAGCTTACCGCCAGAAACGTGCCAAGAAGAAGAGGAGGGAAGACTTTGAGGCCGACGACAAGGTTCTTGTGGGTACAAAGGTGGACGAGAACCACGCCAACTGGACTACGGCATACAACATGTTGACCGGCATCCGCGTCTCCGTGTCCCGGACCAACGCGAAGATCGATCGTCCCCTGACCGATGCAGATTTCGAGGCTAAGCAGAAGTCGACTTTTGATATCGCTGGGAACGAGCTGGTACCGTCGGCTAAATATGACTTCAAGTTCAAGGACTATGCGCCCTGGGTCTTTCGACATCTCCGTGCTCTCTTTAGGTTGGACCCCGCCGATTACTTGATGTCCTTGACTGGCAAGTATATTCTGTCCGAACTTGGGTCTCCGGGGAAGAGCGGTAGCTTCTTCTACTTTTCCAGAGACTACAAGTACATCATCAAGACGATCCACCACGCCGAGCACAAGTTCTTGCGCAAGATCTTGAAAGAATATTACAACCACGTTACTGACAACCCGAACACCCTCCTCTCCCAGTTCTACGGCCTGCATCGGGTGAAGATGCCTTATGGGAAGAAGATACATTTTGTCGTCATGAACAACCTCTTCCCGCCCCACCGAGACATTCACCAGACTTTCGATCTGAAAGGCTCTACGGTGGGAAGAGATTATTCAGAGGAGGATCTCGAAAAGAACCCCAGAGCGACGTTGAAGGATCTGAACTGGCTGCGTAGGAAGCGGCATTTAGAGTTGGGCATTCAGAAGAAAAAGGCCTTCATGGAACAACTGCAGCGGGATGTCAAACTCATGCAAAAGCTCAAGATCATGGACTATTCCCTTCTTGTTGGTATACACGACGTGCAGAAGGGCAACGAGGAAAACCTGCGGGACAAGACGCTTCAAGTGTTTAATCCCGGCGGCGACGGTCCAGATGGTGAGGATTTTGACCCTCACTCAGTGCTCATGCGGACACCGTCCAAGCTCGAAAGTGCACGTAAGGCAAGAGAACTGAGGCAGATGATCAAATCCGAGCGGCCCATCCCTATGGCTCAAACAAGCAGCCGGATGCCCGAGGTCCTGGAGGAAGGTCATGTGCGGGGCGGATTGTTCTGGAATGAGGATGGTGGTTTGCGAGCCACGCATGAAGATAACACGCCCGGCCAAGAACTTTACTATCTCGGTGTCATCGACTGTTTGACACACGTAAGTACCAAATCTCATACCCATCCAGAGAAGCACGCTAATCGAAATTCACCAGTACGGCGTTATCAAGAAATTAGAACATTTCTGGAAAGGTCTCTCGAGTGATAAAACCCAGATATCTGCCTTGCCCCCACAGGAATACGGGGATCGCTTCCTAGAGTTCATGGCCGGTGTCACCATGTCTGCCGAGGAGGCAGCTCGTGATGAGCAAGACCGTCAAGCTGCTGCTGCGGCCGTGGCCGCTGAGGAAGCAGCCAACGAAGCGCAAGATCAAGAGCCCGTGACCTCGGCGCCGCCTGCGCCTACGTACCTCCCTCCAGCCCCTCCAGACATGCGAAGCGCTGGATCACCTGAGCCGAACCCTACAGTCGAAAAGGCAACCAGGAAGGCTTTGAAGCGGGAAAAGGACGTTGCTAAGGAAGACGAAGTGCCAGAACGGAAGATTAGCACCACGGCCTCCGCAGCAGTGAACGCACCGGGCAAGGGTAGCACCCACACAGTGCTACCGGTCGTGGAGGAAGCGGTCGAGGCGGCGTCAGAAGGTGGAAGAAGTTGGCGTGATAATGGTAGCGGTGGCCGGCCGTTCACACCCAGTTTACTAGAAACACACGGAACGACCACTAGGTCAGACGGATTTACTGATCTTGGACCGCATGGCATTGGGGGAAGGGGCCCTCCAACGCCGCCTAAGAGCAGCTATTTGGGGTCCATGCCTGGGTTTGAAGGAAATCGGAGAAGAAGCGACAGCGGCAGTAACGCCAGCATTGGTCAAGGCGTAAACAGCAGGATATCGAGAGAGAGCCTGGACAAAGCCCTACCTCCCTTGCCTCTCTCGAATCGCTAGAGGACGGGCCGAGACATTGAAGGACAAATCACTCAAGGGCGCTATATTGATTTCGCGGGAAGTTCTTGGTTGGAGATTGCACGTGTATCGTCATGGAACCACGCCATCAGGGAGACATAAAAATGGGACCACCGAATGCCACATTCACCGAAGACACGAAAAGCTTAAAGACTAGATGGACGCCAACACTTCTTTATCATCAACACCGACACGAGCTGCACGGGAAGTCTAGCAGGGTACGCGTAAGATCAACAAAGGAGGCAGCAACTCTCCGCAGCTGTGGGATGTTCGTCACGGGGTAGGACTATAGCCATGGACAAACTTATACGCACGCCCCGGTGATGAGAAGGGCATTTTGATTGATAGGGGCTGGCGGTGGCTGACTGGACTGAAACTTGTTTAACTTCCCTTTGTTCTTAGCCTCGACATGCCGGCTTTTTGTGTTTGTACTGGCCTCGACCCTATTTAAGGGCAAGGGCGATGATACCACCATTGCATAACTTGCATGAATTAAATGAAATCCAAATGGTTTACATATAGAACAATTCCGGGTGTGGTTGATTGACTATGAAATGGTAACTGTGACGGTAGTGATGACTGTTTCTGAGAGTGAGATCGGTGTTGGGGGCTGGCCTAAGAATTGAATGTGAAGTTACTGGAGAGGGGTAGCGTGGCTCTACAGGCTGGGCAGTAGAACAAACGACGTAGGAGACATTCATTATTTCATTGCATCGTGGGATATAGAAAATATATCACTAGGTTAGAGCTGTCTACCTTCATATATCCGGAACTGTTCCCCTCCTCGCCCTTTTCATGTTACTTTAATGGGGTGAGTCGAGCCGGCGACTTGAGTGTTCACAAAGACCTCGAGTTATTGAAAAGGCTAACTATTACTTGGTTTGGAAATATTTGTTGAACGAAATAGGTTTCTTACATCTCGGTGTTATCCGAACACTTAGATGCGGAGGACCTGACTGTGACGGTGATGACTTTAAAGCCCACTTTAGACTGACGCCTCCTGCTTACTCCTTGATCGCTCAAGATACGGGTTGTGTTGTTATGGGCTAGCCAATACGCACGCTATAGACTAATACTCTGACGTCGTCCGGGACTGCAGCGTGGAAGCGTTAGGGGGGTTTGCTCATATTGTAGCCTCTAACATATGGGATGATAGATTCAATCATACTTGACACTGCGAATGGTGTCTTGGATGACGGAAAGGAGGTAAACACTCTGCCCTTGAGGAGCTTTTGGACGCTAGGTACAGGTTTGAGGTGAACAGTTGCTACAAATTGGGGTCAGTGGAATATGATTGGGAATGTGCAGGAGTTGAAATGCTCACGGCACGATGGCCGAACCAAACAATAAGCACCAAAGGGTCTGTCTCTAGACTTTTGTTCTTTAAATGCAAATACTCTCTCCTCTTCTTGCTCGACGAGTAGTTATGTGATATTTTTAATCAAACTTATGTCTGCCGGTTTCCCATGTCAAAGGAACAAGTTTAGCATCTTGGTCTAGATGCACTTAGCATAAGACGAAATACAGATTGTATTTCGGCCCTTACATCCCTTCTCCGAGAATTTAAAGTCGCGGGTTAGCCGTGATATATGCCGGACCGCGTCAGCCTTCGACCTACAGCGACTGTCTTTTCCGGTTTCCGCTACTATAACCAGTTGAGTGACGATGGATGAACTCTGCACCGAACCCTTGGCAATAGCCAATGGTTAGAACTTCAGAAGCGAAACCCCTGGAGTATCAGCAACTGACTCAAGTATGCAGCTAAAAGGCACACTTTTCTGTACTTAAGGTCCTTGTGACCACCTTTACTCCGTTGGACTTGATGAGATAAGTCATGGGCGTTTCCACATCCAGTACTCCGAGATGGCAATCTAAAGGTCTCAGACCATCCAGATTCACGCCATTCATGCCAATAAGGCTTAGTAACGAGCGCCTTACAGTACTCTCAATGTTCAGGATACCATCCTGCCTGTTCCTAGTCTAAAATAGCAGTAATATTTCGTGACCCAAGGGGTATTTGATAACATAATGTTCCCGAGATGAAGATTCCTATGGGTTAAGAGATATCCTATACGTAAGGAAGGAAGGCTCGGTATGGATCCGGGGGTCTTATTGACTTAGGTAAAACCCGAAATACAGTATCTTACACCTGGTCATTAAAAGCCTTAACTGTAGCAAAAGGACCGGCCTCGCAGTCGAGGCGGAAGTAAAAGTCCGGAACCCGCCCGCTATTTATAGAGCCTAAGCTAAACTACGTGTTTAGGTGAAGTCAAAGGTATATGGAATCTATATCGACAAACTGGACTAAAGGATCCTGCCGTAGTCGCCTTAGAGCTACAACTATGTCAGGACACTGAACGCAGGACACCGGTGGGGCGCCGGAGGGGAGTTTCGGACAAAAGACTCCCGAGTCATGATTACAATCTATGTGAAGCTTTGGGATGACGAGAGTCAAGATCCTCGGCATCGCCGACCCTGCTATTATGCCGTGTCTAAGCGGTAGCCTAGCTATCTTTATAAGGACCATATCGTAGTAGGATAGGGAGGGAGCAGAGATCAATGCATCATCGTGGGCACCCCTACCTGAGACCGCCAGTGACCACCCGGTGCTACGTAGGAGGTACGCCCATTACTCCCCATCACTCTGTACTATTGCCTTCGGCCTAGCCGTACCCTGACAAACTATATGTTTCAGCTGATCACTGAGTAACACTTTCGTAGCTCGAGTAAGCGATAGCTGACTTTCCTAGAATTTTAAGCCTTCAACGAGGCTTATATAGATGGAATTTCGACCTTCATCAACTCTCCACCTAAAAAGCTTAGGTATAGGGACTTCGTTATTTAGGAATAGTTGACGGATTGTTTGTATTGTTTGCGCTTCGAGCCTAATAGAACATGATGTACTAAATTTGACGATAAGATTCAAATTATAAAACCTGATAGTTTTTGGACGCGCCTGTGCCTCCTACTCCTTACAAATTGCAGCCGGTGTAGGTAATTATAGTGTTATAGACGCGGCGCTAGTTGGAGTTTGAACAAAGGAAGTTGCTACAAAATCCATCTTCGTAATAGAAATGTCTGCTAGGAAGAGTAAGTCTATAGCTAATGTATTTGTATGTTTTAATAGCAAGTGATGAAGCTTTGAGAGCGAGTGCTATTCTAAACTTTGTTATAGCGGTACGCGGGGTCATGTGAGATAGGGCTTAGTGGAACTAGAAAAAGACGGGCTGACCGTTGCGAACTCTACTAGTAATAGTCCGTTTTCTTACCGATCTGTCACTTAAGGGCAGATTACTCAACGTAACCGTCAGATGCTGGATTGCAGCCACTAGTCAGGTTGCACGAAGCGTCAGATCAGCCCTTAAACCGCTAGATTAGGAGTTGGGTGACCACCAGCGAGTCCCTGGTGTTGTATGTTTTTATTATTTTTGACATAGTATGATGCTCCTGTTTGAGGAGGTATTAACGGAATTATTTTGCTCTCTAAGTTGAAAGTTGAATAAAGTTAATGCCTCTTATCTGTCGTAGAAGTTGTCCGAGGCTTGTGTTTAATCGTGAGCGTTCCCCACTAGTGCAAGGAATTTCCAGAAATTTTGACGCCTAGAGGTGAGCATCCTCTGCCTACTTCGTTTAGGTTACAACCCATCTTCTCACACATACGACCATAGGCTGCAGAGAACTCGAGATCCCGTCTAACCTGTGCCAAGCATCTTGTTGAGTTACTCGATATTTCTCCGCATTATGAGGAAACTTGCTTCTCGCTAGCCTCCTTTCCTTGTTTCTGTCAGATTTCAAGAACCTGCTGTTCCCAGGGATGATTTGGCCATTCTAACAGATATTGTGATATATCCGCAGCAAGCACATCCAATTCACCCCATCCAAGGTTCATTGAAGGACGTTGCACAAAATGACGGCCACCTGAAAAGCTTAAACCGCTGGGTCCTGCCATGTTGGTGGACATCTTTAATTCCCATTCACTCCCAGAACTCAGCCCAAAACTCCTCATCCGTCGTCTCGTGACACGTATGGTCAGACCAATTCCTTGAGTTCATATTACCCGACGATGTATGCAAGAACTCGAGTTCTATGCCGAAGGCTCTGGTTTCCGCGAGGGACCAGTCGATAATGCCGGTAATGACCGGATCTCTTCGTCTTGGAGCATCTCTATCAAGGAGAGGTCCCGATGCGTAAGCACTTGTTTCTACTTCTGATTGTAGAATATGTCGTCTGAAGTATAGCATAGTTAACGACCTGTGGGCTTAACTAGCACCTGGAAAAATAGCTCTGGTTCTGTCAACCAAGCTCTCGGTGCTAGTTCGAAGGCAACTCACTTTTCAAAGTCTTTGACGTAATTGATATGCTAACCCAAAGCCTCTTCATCGTGCTCAGATCCACGATAGCGGATCTTCAAGCAAGGTTTCCCGCGCAAACAAGGCCTTCTCATCATCATCGGGATCTCCCATCCGATCACGAAGATTAGCCTCGGGCCTGATGTCCCCATGGATATTAGCAAGGCCTTCCATCTTGTCACCCAACTTAGCTTCCGGCAAACGGAACGACACAATCGTGTCGTCATTCGCTATATCGTATAGTCCCAAGGACACTTACATGCCCAGGGGGCATATAGATAATACGCCGAGCATAGATAAGGCATACTTGTCGCATTCTTGCTGACTGGGTTCGGGACGTCGTTGAAAAGATTCGACGATCAACTCTCTGATTCAGTCTAGGAAACCCATGATCCATGATTGGGACTGCTTATGCGTGGAACGGGTGGAAAATTTAAAAGCTCAAAAGGCCTACCTTCTGTGTACATCTATGGAGTTCTTAACTGATGATGTTTTGAGCTAACGTAGTCCACGGTCCAATTGTACACTTCGGCAGATTTTCGTACGCTACCACTTTGACCTGCGGTTTTTCACCACATAACTATGGTTGGTTCTTGGAATGAAAGTGATATGATTCTAGCATTACATGCGCTTCAATCTGATCCAAAATTAACTGTACGTCGCGCTGGTCAGATCTATAGCGTACCTTTTAGAACCCTTGCGTATCGACGCGACGGTAAAACCGCTCGAGCGATTATGCGATCGCCAACGCAAAAGTTGACTCCTTCCGAAGAAGAGGCAATCGTACGACATATAACCGACCTAGATTCGCGAGCATTTCCTCCCTGATTGAGTGGTGTTGAAGATATGGCCAACCGATTACTTCGAAGTCGTGACGCGGGACGCGTCGGCGTCAACTGGGCCTCGAGCTTCGTAAGACGACAACCAGACCTCCGGACGCGTTTAAATCGAAGGATCGACTATCAGAGAGTCCTCTGCGAAGACCCCGACGCGTATCGCGCGTGGTTTGACCTGGTACGGAATACAATTGCGAAATACGCGATCCAGGAGGAGGATATCTACAACTTCGACGAGACCGGTTTTGTGATGGGCCAAATCTCGTCCGAAATGGTCGTGACGACTTCTGATCGGCGCGGAAGGCCTAGAGCAGCCCAGCAAGGAAATCGGGAATGGGTTACAGTTATTCAAGGCGTTGGGTCGTCCGGTTATGCCCTCCCTCCGTACATCATTTTCGTCGGCAAAACCCACCTCTCGTCATGGTACGAAAACAGCCCATTACCGCCTGATTGGGTTATCGCAGTTACTAAAAATGGCTGGACTACGAACGAGAGAGGCGAAGATTGGATAAAACACTTCGATCATCACACCAAGTCTCGTATGAAAGGTACTAATCGCCTATTGATCCTCGACGGTCACGAAAGCCATCACTCGACCGATTTCGAGGTATATTGCAAAGCTAACAATATCGTCACACTTTGTATGCCTCCTCATTCGTCGCACAAGCTCCAGCCTCTTGATGTTGGTTGTTTTCGCGGGTTAAAAAGAGCGTACGGAAAAGAAATCGAAGATCTCATGCGAGCACATATAAGTCATATCTCGAAAGAAGACTTTTTACCGGCGTTTTTAAACGCGTACAACGCAACTTTCACGGTTTCAAATATCCAAGGAGGTCTCCGAGGGGTAGGAATAGTTCCGTACGATGCAGATCATGTCATATCACAGCTCGATGTGAAATTACATACGCCAACACCTCCGGGTAGCTCGGCTGGTCTCCCCGTCCCTTGGGAATCAAAGACTCCGAACAACCCAACCGAAGCCCAATCACAAACCGATTATGTGCAAAATAGGATTGTACGACATCAAAATAGCTCACCAACGTCAATTTTTGCTGGAATAGATCAGATTGCGGGAGGTACAACGAAGGTTATGCATCGGCTTGCCCTTTTAGAAGGCGAGGTCGAATCACTTCGAAAGGCAAATGAGACCTTAAGTCGACGTCGCCGTGCGAAGAAAAAACAGCTACAGAGTGGAGGGTCACTTCGTATACAAGCTGGACAGGACCTACAGTCTCAACGAGAGGTTGATGGGCAGTTACATGACGAATTTCGTCAAATTGGTGGTCGTACGAGGCGGCGAATTGCGCGTGTACGGCGCTGTAGAATCTGCGGCGAGCCCGGACATAATGCGCGCACTTGTGGAAATGATGTAGAGACGTCTGAAGATAACGATTCTGAGTAGTTTCAGTTGATGATAGGCGTTGTGGTTGAATTAACTTATACATTGTCGTATAAGGTCTGCCAAAGTGTGCAATTGGACCGTGGACTACGTTAGTGCTATAAATTATAACTGTGGAAGAGTGCCGGCCTACCAACTTTTAGTTCCTTGTAGCATGTAAAACAAAGAAACAGAGAAACACAGTGATGAGTCATCCATATCTGGCTCGAATAACTTCCTTGTCAAAACTAGTGCTCTGGCACGTAGCTCATGAGCAGCACTAATCAGTTTGAGAGATTTATGGGTCTATGGGAACAATATTGTCATTGTGCAATATCTGACAAAAGCACGCCAGTGGTAGTACTGTTAATAAATATAAGAATTCGTCATAATGTATATGTTGATACACACGAACCTACCCAAGCCGGATGCATCCTGCAATGCAACCCAATCCGATACAATCAGGTGGACTTTCGTCCATCTATGTCTGTTGCCATGGCCTAATCTTACAATTTCATCCCCGTCATTTTCGCCACCCTCAAACTCTGCCGCATGCTCAAATCTAGCATGATCTCCTCACTACCACCAGGAATGGCATACGCCCTCACATCCCTATACAGCCTCTCCACCTTGCCACCTTGACCACCGCGGGAGTAACTCAGCCCACCAAAAATCTGGCTCGCCTCACGGGCGCAAAACTCAAATGTGAGAGTGGACTGGGCCTTAAGTCCAGCAATGGGCCCACCAAGCCGCAACATTGCTTCCGTCTCACCCATCTTCTCGCACTGATAAATGAGGTTCTCAAGCCAATTGTACGAGGCTTCGATCTGACGGGCCATATGAGCAAGCTTCATGCGGATAACGGGGTGATCGATGAGTTTCTTGCCAAAGGTCTGCCGCTTGCTGGCGTACTTGACCGATTCCTCGTAACACACGCGCGAGAAGCGCAGGGATTGAATAATGATGCCCATGCGCTCGTGGTTGAAATTAGTCATAATGACCTTGAACCCGCCGTTCTCCTTGCCCAGCACATTCTCGACGGGCACCTTGACGTCTTCAAACGTGATGTAGGTTGTACCAGAGGACCAGACGCCCTGGCAGTCCATGCGTCGCGTGCTGACGCCGCCGAAGGAACGCTCGATAAGGAGGAGGGTCACGCCGTTCATGCCCTTGTCGCTCGTCCGTACGGCGGTCGTGAAGTAATCACACCATATGCCGTTGGTGATCCACTTCTTCTCGCCATTCACGATGTAGTGCTTGCCATCCTCAGTCAGTTTCGCCTCGCATGTCAAGTTCGCGACATCGCTTCCGGCGTCGGGTTCAGTGATAGCTAAGCAAATGCGCTTCTCGCCCGACAAGATACCAGGCATGATGCGATCTTTCAGAGACTTTTTGCCAAACTTGATCAGCGGCGGACCGCCAATACCGAAACCGCCAATCATGTTCCACACGAATCCACCGCTGCCGACACGCGACAACTCGTCCGTGACGATCATCTCGTGGAACAGATCCCATCGCTCGGGCGGTACAGACTTGACCGTGTTCTTTTGGTATTCTACAGGGTAGTGCACCCCAAGAAGTCCGGCGAGGTAGCCACGACGACCGGCCTCGAGAAATATTTCTCGAGGCACTTCCTTCTTCTCGTCCCATTCTGTGACGTGGGGCTCGATCTCGGTTTCGACCCAATCGCGGACTTCGGCTCGTAGTGCGGCGTGCGTCTCGTTGAAGTATGGGGAATGGTACTGTAGTCACGTATTTAGCCATTTAATGCGACGTATTGTTTCAATGTTGGTCTGCTCACACTCTGATACCAGCTAGGGTCTGCGAAGGGAATCTGTTGGCCGAATGCCTCGAGTGGCTCAGACTCCTCCTGTCCAGACGAAGGCTTGACAACCTTCTTGGCTTCTTTCGTGGGTTGTGGTGCGGCGACAGCTGCTGACGGCTTCGCAGCCTCGACCTTTGGCTTCGTGTCGAGGGATCCGACCATCAAATTCTTTTGGTACTTCTTCAAGATGCCCTCATTGTGGTATTTCCAAAACTGCTTGGATGCGTCCTTGCCGGCGACTTTCTGCAGGATCTTCTTGCCGCCCGGGTGATCGTCTTGGAACTTGGTCAGATCGTAGACGTCGCCGTCGACAACAATGTACAGCGAATCGGGCTTGTTGTGCGACTGAACATCGCTCATCTTGAAAGTTTGCGACATGGTGGCGTGAATCGGCGACGTGCAGACCTGGTATTGTTACAGTGAGGGAGGGTAGATAATCTGGAAAATGAAGAGAGCCGGGAGGCAGATGACTGAGTGTAAGTATTCATCCTCATCGCGAACATCGAAGCGCCATCACAGCATTCTTAAGGCCAAAGCACTGAAGTCACCCGGCAATGGCCACAGTCACATGCCGGAAACAGCGACGGGCTAAAACCACCCCAAAACCACTCAGCAACGCGCCATTGCCAATTCCCCCACACCGCACCTCATGCGCATCCAGGCCCAAGACCGGGCTAAATCTCCGGGGCCATTCGTGGGGAAGCTCGTAGCGGCCTGGTTCCATGGCTCATTACTCGTGTCATGTGTTCGGATTTTGGCTTCACAGGTGACGGGCTGACAGATTCGAGGCGGCTTGGAGGAGTCGAAGGGATGCATGGCAAGCATGTGATTCTTCTGCCTCTGCAGCACTACAGCTTTCATTGGCGTGTTCTTCGACTCGAAGCAGTGCTGATGTCATTTGGAAAATGGCGGCGTGTCCGGAGGGACCCACTCGCTTCGTGCCGAGGCACTTTGACGGACCTATAATTCCAGGGGCCATCATTGGATGCACTCGTTGCCTGCCATCATTGCCTACAGTCAAAGCCGAGGCAGATAGGAGCTCGACAGTTTGATTCATCTTTGTGGGACGGATCTTGAAGTTGAAACTGATGGACTCCAGCCATGGACTGAAAGACCCCGGGATACGACTGCGGTCGACTCACCGTGACTTGATCAAGACGCCAGACTGAGGTGGACCAACTTGAAGCTCAATCCAACGTGTAACCAGGGAGACCGAGTCGACTGATACAGCACCCTCCAGTTTCGCATAGCAAGTCTTCCTTGCCGGTGAGGATTGTGGGAAAATAATTTAATGTACCGTCGGCAGCGAACTCGCAAGCTCCGTGGTTGGTCACACAAATCTGGTGGCCGTTCATATCGTCTAGCGCAGTTTGCACGTCAAAATGAAGAAAACAGCGGACCAATGTGACTCAACCCCTGTTACCCTTTTGGTCTAATCAGGGGCAACAGAAACTCTAAACCGCTGGCTCAACCGCATACTGATAGGTCGGAAAGCCCGGACTTGTTCTGCGGCAGGGGCAAGAGCAAAGAAGATTCTTAGGAACAACTAGCAAGCAACAAACCAAGGTAGATACGTTAGTGGGAGGTAAATGTTCGTACTTATTTATATACCTACAGTTCTGGATTGCTATCCTCAGTTGTCGTCTCCGTCCTCGTTACTTGCGTTTGGGGACAAATTCCACCCAGCGTGAAATATCCTCCTCCGCAAGTCGCATCCTCTCCCCTTCCTCGGCCGCTCCACGGACTAAAGCTTCGAGTCTGGCAACCGCACGCCGAAAGGTTTGCATATTTCCAGTCGACTCCATAATGCTCAACTAACAGATGATGAGCAATTGGAACAGCGTAGCGATGCACCAGACTCTGTGCCTTTCATCTCAGTCGCAGCGTCATGCTCACTAGCATCCAGTGAATTCGTCTTGTGCTCCTCATGCTTCTGCATCACGCCAGCTTTCTGAGCTCCCATATCGACGCATGGTTTAGACTCAGCCCAAGCAGACAGTTCACGGCCGCATAAAACACCACCTCGAAGCCAGCGAGTCGAAAGTTACCAGAGCGTCGTTAAAACACCTGTACGTCAGTTTACTCGAATGCTCCGATGACAACAGCCCACGCTGCTGGAATAGCAAGATCAAACTACGGATCATGTTGACTTGGATAGCGAGTTTGCAACCCTCGCATCCAAATATTAGACAATTCTAACAATCCATCCGGAACTTGGAGGGAGCGCCTCCGAGAGTTCGGAAGCGTGCTAAGTAGCTAGGAATCTAGCTATACCAGTCAGCACAGTATCTTATATATGCCAGGTTGTCCGTACGTAGCCATCACTACTATAGCTTTCCTCAAGACAACACATAACCACCTCTCTGCGAATATAGACGATATATGAAGAACATATTTTCTTTGTTATGAGAGTGCTGTCTCTCCTTTCGAAACACTGACAATGGTTCCAGGTTACAACCATGAGAAGGTTCTTCGAATGTTTCAATCCTGGGGAAAGTTACAATGAGAAATGTTCGAGGCTCACTGCGGGACCTTCAGAAACAACACCTCTGATGTGTCAGTATCTCTGTGCTCAGATATGATCAGCCATCCAAAATAAGCAGCCTGGAAGCCAATAATTCTGTACTTGAAGCCCTTATGGAAACATTCACTCTTTGACCGTTTGGTTCTACAGAGACCAGTTCAATTCGATGCAATAATATTTGCACACAATAATTCCGATCCTCACCTTTACATCGAAATTCTGAGAAGGTAATATGAACCGCATTGCACCTCTCCGATTAAGTCATGCTCTAACCCTCAAAGGCCGGCTTTGACTGCCACTGGGACTTATCTCAGACGGGTAGGAGTTCCGCTTCATTTATCTCAGTGCCTATCAACGAAAACTATGATATAACTGAAAGTTCAACATTACAGATCTTGAACTGTCTCAATCACACGTATTTTCACTGAAAGTTTCGGTGCCGTGTAAAAGATCCGGAATCAAATTAAGAGTCGTTCTATTCTCTTCGTCGAAGCAAACACAAATATTCATCTCAAGGTAGCCTGACTACCTACCCATTATCCCAGAGTCTCCGTGTGCGCCGTTGTCAGTGACTCTTCCCTCGCTTCTGTCGTAACTCCAGTAAAGGGCCGTCCTTCAAGCCCATGCCCTGCACCACAAAATACTCCACCATGACCTCATCCGGATCCAGATCATACAAACAGTTCACCGTCTTATGGACCATCCAGGCATAATCATCCTTGCGGTAACTCTCCCAAACGGCCTTGAACCACAACCCCGCCAGCTTTTCCAATCGCTGCGGCGGCAAAATCTGGCGCTGCACGAAGACTTCACACAGGAGGATCTGCACATGGAAGTCGAAATTGTCACTCACATCCTCGGAAGCGCATAATCTCGCGTCATGGACTCTCTTGATCTCACTTGCGAGCTCCGTGAACTGTCGCTGAATTGAGTCGTATCGGCACATGTGGCATTTCCAGGGGATGCGAATCTCGCCAGTGAGACTGTCGTTGAAGTACTGCACGGATTCAAGCTCGATCTCAAGGACTTTACGCGTTGTCGTAGATGCGCGGAATTGGGTGCCGTGCCCACACGTCCAGACCCCATATATCCTGGTGTGGTGCTTATGCTCCATGGTGGCTGGCCCCGGTTTGGTTGCTTGAGTTGCGTGTGCACTTGTGTTCATTGTGGGCTACCTCGTTTTTGGTTACGGATTTTGTCGAGTGGTGGGTGGAAGCGTCAAAGGCTAGTTGGACACAAGTACGAGGAGTGGGTTTTATATAAGCTGAAATACACAACTTCGTTTCTTGACTACATATATGATGTTTCGAGAATCCTTAGGTCGTGCCTGGCTCTTTGTTCAGAGGCTGTTTCCAACGCTGTTGTTTCTACACGATTCGCTTGTTCGACTCTACTCGAAACCTCTGGCACGAAGCTGGGCTTTGCTCATGAGCCGAGGTAGGCATTGGCATCAAGGAAGAGTCGAGGCCTCGCGAGCCTTGTTTTTCAAAATGTCAAGAACGAGGTTATTGCAACTCAACACAGCCTGCTCGTTTTCTCTCCTTACGATTCCATGCCGAAGGCATCGCAAGAAAATGTCGACTTGGTGGAGTAGCTGACGGTTGACTTCTATGTGAATCCGGCTCCCTTTCAACGCAACGGTAACACGACCGACAATTCCCAATTGAGAGCCGGGCGAATGCTCGGGATGTCGGAGTTATTGTTAAGACTTGGTGCCATACTGTGACTCTCTGGAAGATTCCCATCTTTCTCAAGCGAGTATTCAGCAATCACAACTAAAGCTCGGAAGCGATTGAGCTTATGCCTTCAGGGCAGCCACGGCTTGTGCCTATTTTGACCCCCTTAGATGAGAGGCGTTGCTAGAGACCTAGAAGCTGCAGTGAGTTCGAGATCAATCTCAGACGGGACCTGCCTGTGAGGCCCTAGGTTCGTAGCAAAGCGTTGCTTCATAAACCGGCAGTAGCCGCCCGCAGCAGCGGCATTAACTTTCAATGTGCAGCTTTGATTGACAACAAGTGCATCTGTATGCTGGAGTTCCGTCACTGTCGATTTGGCAGACCTCAACAGTCATGACGACTTTTGCAACCCGAAATGCAAGCCATTACCTTTCAGCTGGAACGGCTGGCGTCATCGGACTGGGGACGCCAAGCAACTTCGGTGTCCTTGTAACCCCCACCTTTGGCTTATCGAACCCTTGAACGACAACACACCCCAACATTGTAGCTGAGTGAGGGTGCATGCTCCAGAGTCGTGAAACGGTGTGCAGATAAGCAACTTCCTCATCACTGCAGGCCTCAGTCTCCTAATCTGACAGTGGGGATACCCTTACGCAGCTTGCAGACCAGACTCGTTATCGCCGAGGGTGGAAATCCGTTGTCGTGATATGGTATCCCACCTTCTTTAGTCGAAAGATACCCATCATCTCAGACGCCGGTACAGGCTTGGCTGACCCACCACAGATAGTTCTCATTACCCCCAACTTCATACCAATTTGGAAATGTTGTTTATGTTATCTATAAGAGCTCCAAGCTCAGTCGACCGATTCTGAGCCTCAGGCTCCCGAAGCACTGACGCTTCTGTTGCACTTGTTCGTCACTTGGCGATAAGTAAGCGTTGTGTTAAGGTCCCCTTTCCAATTGTCGGACCGCCCCGCTCTGCGGCAACTCGTCCTCCGGTGAGCGATTACGGAGAAAATAATTGTCTGCCTGATAAAACTTCGTCGTCGCGTTGAAAACCCGAGCCTTCCTGTCCAAGTTGGACCCGAGCCTACTGGTTTCGAATAAAATCGATCCACTATCCTGGTCATGGCAATACCAACACCCGACATGTCGGACACTAAGCTGGAGACTCAATCTGATGGCGCTGGGGTCGTGGAAGATCTCACCTTTGGAGTCGACGAGAAGAAGCTCGTCCGAAAACTCGATCGCCATCTTATCCCGCTGATCATGCTTCTATATACCTTTAGTTTTCTCGACCGGTATGTGGCTGAACGTTAGGTGTATATGCAGATGCACAACTGACGAGCCTCAGAGTCAACATCGGCAATGCGCGGCTGTACAAGATGGAAGCCGACCTTGGTTTGGTGGGCAACCAGTATCAAATCGCTGTCTCTATCCTCTTTGTAACCTATCTGTCTTTCGAGGTCCCTTCGAATCTGGCTTTGAAGCCCTTTACTCCATCCCGTTGGATCGCGTTCATCACCACGGCATGGGGAATCGTTGCGACGTGCACCGGCTTGGTCCAAAACTTTGGCGCATTGGTCGCCGTCCGTTTACTCCTCGGCGCTGTTGAGGCTGGTCTCTTCCCCGGTTTGAACGTCTACTTGACGTTCTTCTACACCAAGCATGAACTTGCTATGCGCGTTGGGTATCTCTTCGTGAGCGCGGCTATCGCTGGGTCTTTGGGCGGATTGCTGGCTTATGGCATTGGCCATCTGGAGGGAGCGCAGGGCATGAATGGTTGGCGATGGATTATGAGTGAGTAGTACCAGTGATATCTCTCCTCAATACCGAGTCTGGAACATTGTGCTTGACTGAAACATACTACCCCTGAAACCACAGCAGAACTGCCAACAGCTCTCTTTCCCTCCTTATCCTGATATGTGAGCTGACTTAAGACCTTACAGTCATCGAAGGACTACCTAGTGTGGTCCTCGGTATAGTGACCTTCTTCCTTTTGCCCAATGATGCAGAGAATGCGTACTTCCTCGACGAGAACGAGAAGAAACTCATGGTGGCAAGGTTCCGGCGCAACTACGGTGATACGGCATCTGCACAACATTTCAGTAAAAAGGACATGTATTTGGCGTTCAAGGACTGGAAAGTCTGGGCCTTCTGCTTTGCACAGTTTGGAGTGGACACGATGCTTTATGGTGAGTTGCCAAGTCTTTTATGGCCGACTTGAATGAATGGCCGGTGCTGATGTATCGCGCGTCCTAGGTTTCTCGACGTTCTTGCCTACCATCATCAACGGGTTAGCAAAGTGGACGACGGCCGAGGTACAATTACTCACCATCCCTTGTTACTTTATGGGTGCTGTTACGTATATGGTTGTGGCGTGGTTATCAGATCGCACGCAGAGGCGCGGCGTTTTCGTGGTCATCTTTGGCACAGTCAGCGTCATCGGCTACGGGATACTTCTTTCGGACTCGTCTGCGGCTGTCCGTTACTTCGCGTTAGTACCATGTTTCCTGGATTCTTGATCACCGATTTCTGACTCGCCACAGCTGTTTCTTGATCGCCATTGGCCTATACGTAACTGTAGGTCTGCCGCTGGCATGGGTGAGTTTTTCTCCTCCTTGCAGACTGCGTAGGCGACTAACTAAATCCCCATAGGTACCCAATAACACACCGAGATACGGGAAGTGTACCACTGCAAATGGCATGCAGTTGACAATAGGCAATGCTTCTGGAATTATGGCACCCTTCATCTTGTAAGCCATGAAGCCAGCAAAAGTTCCATCATGACTCGCTGATATACTGTCTAGTTTGACCGCAGAAGGCCCTCGATACATCAAGGGCAACGCGGTTTCTCTATCCATGGTGGGAATGTCCACGTGCATCTACGCATTCATGTGGTTCTGGTTCTCAAGGGAAAACAGGAGGCGAGATGCTGGACAAGTAACCGGTCAATTTGAGGGAATGTCCGAGGAAGAGTTGGCAGAGCTTGGCGATGAAAGCCCGCAGTACCGGTATACAATCTGATAGGGGCAAGAAGGCCAATCTCAGTAGACCGCCGACCACTAATCGTCGTGCTTGACCATGGAAGGGGCATATACCTCATGATCTGACCACTCTGCGATGAGCTGCGCGGGAATGCGAGTAGAATGCACAAATAACACTCAAGTTTACAATGGGTCGGGTCAACGTTGAACCAGACCCTCGTCAATGTCAAACCGACCTTCGTCTGGGAATTCGGCGTACGCCGGGTACCGTGGCTTTCCAACGTTCTCAGCTGATAGCATAGACTATTAAACTTGTCATTGGAGGAGCTAGTCATTGATTCGGGGACCAGAAGATGTGGCTGGGCTTACCGTTGCCATAAAGCTTTTGCCGCTATCACTGACAAGGTCAACGTGTTGCTTCTGGCTAGCTGATGCGCCTGCCGGATCGTTCAGCTCAGGCAGAGACTGGTTAGAGACATTTCCCACTGAATCGACCCCTTGCATATGTATAATGTGAGATGAAGATTGTAATAAGAATCGCAGGAACTAGAGCCTCTCGTTCTGTCTTACAGCAATGTCCGACTTATTCCATTACTGAAACCATAGGAACTTCCAGGGCTAGGGCCATGGTGATTTCATGCAGAAAGAGGAGTAACAATCAAATAACCCCTGAGACGCACTCTGCAGTGACTATGGTCTTGATGTCGAGGCGGATGATAGTGGCTTATATCCCTATTACTTCTTGTGAAAGCGCCGAAGCACTTCCCTGTCTGGTAATCAGCGGTATTGCATTCGATAAAAATGCAAGGTGACTACCGGGCTGCATACAGTGGTCTAGCGACAATTCTAGGCATTCGGTTTTCAAAGTATTTCAAAATCACGAGAGCTTCCTAGTTAGATGTCTCTCAGTATAAGTATCTTACGGCAAACACGGCTCGTAACTCTGTATTTCATTCTAGGCCAGAGGCTCCCAAACATTCGGTAGACAAAGATGCAGATCTCATTTCCCTTTTTGCTGCCTTTGCAGCTCAAAATGTGCAAGCCATCCTTCAAGATGTTCGAAACATCGCCCGAGCCGAATGCAAGCTTGCCATCCTGTTCATCTACGCCCTGAAGGCGGGACCATCAGCCACGCCTTTCTACTCGTCTCTATTGCACATCCCTACGATCACGGTGACTTCCACTGTCATCATCACAAGCACGATTTAGCCGACTGTAACGGTAAACGCTCCGGAAGTCACTTCACTTCCACTGTGTATGTGTCTGAGCTGGTCTGATGTGTCATCTTGTATACCGCACAAGTGCCTACCAAGCTGTTCGAAAATGAGGAATATTTGAAGCACCTTGGATATTACTGATACACAGTCAATTACATTGACCCAAGTCTCGGAATCCTGACTGAACTAGTCAAAATGTCAAGCTTATTCGCAGTCTGGAGCTAGGGAAAGGTATACCAGTACTCACTGACGCAAGCCCGGTTATTCTTGGTATCGTCCGTGCCTAAGCAAACACGCCAGCGCCGCAACTAAAAAGCGCGAGCTGCCAAGAATCCCAAAGTGTCCAGGTCCATTGATTCCTATTCGCCACACGGTCTGGTCTGACCCGGAATTAGCATTCAAGATGCAAAGTTTATACGCGCAACGGTCCCGGACTTCGGGCATGTATGCGGATTGACGTACAAATCAAAGTCAAAGGGGGGGTCCTCCGGATTTGGATATATAGATGTGATGACTGCCCGGATTACATCCTGTATCCTCCTGGCCATTTCCACCACGCCTCTGACGAGTGTCGAATATTCATCTCAATCATGGCATACAATCATATAGTACTCGCTTGCTTGGGAGCACTGTCTCTCGTCAGCGCCCAATCGACCGTGGCGACTGCAACTGTCACTACCACCATCGGAACGGACGTAACCAGTACGACGGAATCAATCGTCACCGTCACATCCACCTCCGACACCGCCTTGTTAACAACATCAACGGATACGGCGCTGACAAATACATCGGCATCCTCCGTCCTCACCACAACCGACTTGACCAACTCATCAACAATTGAGTCAGCCACGAGTACATTCATCAGCTCCACCACATCAAGCACTCCCATCCCCTCACCAACGTCCACAAGCAGCGGTACCACACCAACTCCTACCACCACGGCTGCGCCCAGCAGCACTTCCACTCTTGCCCCCCTCACCCTCCCGGCCTCGGTCGACGCCTCGTCTTACATGTCCTACGCCTACCCGACCTCCGGTCCCCAACCCACCTGGGCCACCGGGACATTCTTCACCTCTCTGGCCAGCGCCCTCTACAGCGTCGATAAATCCTTCGTGGAGCGGCCTGACTACCAGCTTATCACGTCGGCTATCTACAGTGCGGGCGACGCAGCTGGACCGGCAGTAGAGCAAAGCTTGGATGAATCGGCGTTTGGCTGGGCGGCAGTTACGACGAATGAGTGGTTTACGAATGATGTACCGACGTCGTACCAGACCGAGGTTGGTGAGTTCAACGCGCACTGGACGGGCGCTGAAAGTAGTGTTAGGGCTGAGGCCACTGCGGCGGCTAGTGGTGCGAGCACGGCTGGGGCGGCGGGGGCGAGGTGCACGGGGATGGTGTTGCTGGGGGTCGCGGCGAGTGCTTTGGCCGGAGTTATGGTTGCCATGTAAGGAGGCCATGCGTGGAGTTGCAAGGTATGATTCGGATGTTAACAAAAAGCTGTAACGTAAGGTGTTGGTGTTGGTGTTGTACTGTACAATATTATGGTTTGTATTTGGCATAGATAATCGTGTGGGATCTGGGATCTGTTCATAGAAGATTCATATTATATAATTATTAGCTTCTTGAGGCATTCTCTTTAATACCGTAATATGATTACGAAGCTTACGCTAAATACCAAGCATACTCCTTACCACGTCGACTATAGTTAATTATCCATGTTGAGCGTGTTAAAACAAAAATGGCAACTCAAAAGCTAGCCCTGACAAAGCTAGTCAATATGTCGTGGGGCTGCGATCTTATACGGGCGAGGCTGTTATATTGTCAGAGAACAGAATGCCATAGGCACCAGTGGGTGTCAGGACACTGAACGCAGGACACCGGCGGGCCGCCGGAGGGGTGTTTCGGACAAAAGACTCCCGAATCATGATTACAATCTATGTGAAGCTTTGGGATGACGAGAGTCAAGATCCTTGGCATCGCCGACCCTGCTGTTATGCCGGGTCCAAGCGGCGGCCTAGCTATCTATATAAGGACCATCTCGAAGTAGGATAGGGAAGGAGTTGTCAGAGCCACAAGTGTCATCCGAGGCGGGCCGGCTTCCACCAGGTAGGAAGCCGTTTGTGGCGGCTAGAGAGCCGCTTGTGGCGAATGAGAGCCGTTGAAGCCGTTTGCAGCGGATAGGGAATCGCTTGGTTGCAGATAAGGAGCCGCTGTCCAATATATTGGCCGAAGTCGGAGGAACACAGACATACGGAAGCAAACATCCAGAATCCAAGAGAGAACCTCGGCTGGCTATAAGTAAGAAGTCGAGACGGAGGAAGATAGAGAGGGCAGAGATCAATGCATCACCGTGGGCACCCCTACCTGAGACCGCCAGTGACCACCCGGTATTACGTAGGAGGGACACCCGTTACTCCCCATCACTCTGTACTATTGCCTTCGGCCTAGCCGTACCCTGACATATATACGGTGGTTATCCGTCGCGCGATCGCCTTCGGGGCGACTGCGTGGCATACTATAAGTGAGGAACCGGCAGGGCCAGCTAAGAGCCTGATGGGGATACAAAACGAGTGCCTCCGGGTAGTCTGTGGCGCCCACAAAGCGACGCCGATTCGCCACCTGGAAGCAGAAGCAGCAATCCCGCCACTAGACCTCTATCTTAGTGCCCGGGCTGCTAAGTTTGAAGAACGGCTACGGCTTAGCGGGAAGAGAAATCTGCTTCGCAGCGCGAGCGCTAAAGCGTCACATATACTCCGGCAGGATAGGCCGGCGAAGAGGAAGCAGGCGTCGCAGCTACTCCGACCGGCAGGGTACACTATGGAGAAGGAGGCCCGGGGCTCCGAGTGGATGAGTGAGGAAAAGGAGGTCCCGGCTGCCCTCCTCGGCCACTGGAGGAAGAGATGGCTCACCGGAGCAGAGCATCACGATCGCCAGCGACGCGCCATCGCTGAGGAACCGGAGGGCCCTTCGATGCAGATACCGAAAGGGGGCAAGTATTTCGGCCTGAACCGACTGGAAGCGTCTACGCTGTGCCAGATCAGGACGGAAAAAATAGGACTAGCAGCCTTCTTATTCAAGACAGGGGCTTTTGGCGTGTACTCGCCGCTATGCCGCTGTGGCGACGCCCCTGAGACGGCAGAGCACGTAATCCTCTTTTGCGGGCTGTTAGAAGGACCGAGGGAACGATTACGGGCCGCTATCGCACCACGGCCACTATACTCTCGCAGAGACCTCGCAACGGCAACAGGAGAACCAGTAGTTAGTGGGACTATTGTAAGGTGGCTGCTAGGGACGGGTCGGACAGCTTCAAGGCCCAGATAGCATCGATCTTCTCAGGGAGGACTTTGTTGGTAGGTTGAGAACCAACGTAGTATGGTAGTCAACGCAACGCAGTCGCCAATAGGACGAACCGACGACGCAGCGTATGTATTTAGTCCAGCCATTAGGGCACGGTTTGACATACGGGAGTACTAGTAGAGGTACCGGGGGCTTCGAGCCTACGGCGTATTTAATAATAATAATAGTTAATTTCCCGCATCCTACGCTCACTTGACTCCGTCTCCAGTATCTCTCGCAGTCGAAGACCATGCAACTCAGATTTAGAATCCTTCTGGCATTCGACATGCACACTCCATCCCTCCCCGTTGCCGAGCTCTACAACTCTGCTCTTCTCACCTCTATATTTCAAGTTCAGCATAACGATACTGTGCGCACTGTCATAATCCCCGATAATACCCTTGAACGACCTGCCAGTTTTGAGGTACCTGGCGACGTTCTCCCACATCCCCGCATCTTCTATGTCCGAGGACAGTAATGCAGCAGCCAGAACCCTGGGACGATGTCAAACCCACCACTTTCTTTCTACTCCCGGATGGTCCAATGAACGAGTGCAGCCCGCTCTGAAAAAATGATATCGGGTACTTTGACGGTACCGCTCGGAACCTGAAGGATCCAATCCGAAATCTCAGCCCCCACAAGTGAGCTTTGCCGGATCGGACAGGGCCATAGGACATCGACGTCGACGAGAAAGTCGAGAAGATATACCAGGCGCAATCCAATCTGGTACCGCATTCTAGGTCGAGAGCAGATATGTTAAGATGACTCAGGGATGTAGGGTAGAGGTAAATAGTAGGAAAAGCGGGCCGACGGCAGGGATGCGCTAGACGAGATCGTACGAAGTGGCGAAGGCGTCGTATTTTGTTGAACGGCTTGACTCCGCTATGACTGATCGAGGCTTTGAGAGTGACTGGAATAAAAGTGCGGCACCAGTCAGCGGGAACAGTTTTAGAAAGTAGAGATGGCTCGAAATCAAAGGCTAGTTTCTAGATGCCGGAATGAGGAGTTGTTGTCGGCTTGCGTATATTGCCGAGCATGGTGGGTTCGACCCTACATAGCGGTTGTGCAACTATTGACATGAGAAAAACAGTTCGTAGGGATGATGAAGTCATACTACGCAGGGGATACGACTGGATCGACACATTTCCACTTCATTAGCCCCTATCCCCATTTTCCATCCATTAAACGTGGAACAAGGCGTTAGTTTCAGTCATCCAAAGGTCAAGCGAGACAACATCAAGCTTGAGTCTTCAGTTCCGTTTAATGAATAATTCAAGTCTTGGTGCATTCACTTCCAGAGACAATGATCCCAGAGAAACATATATCAACAGGAAGGTTGGTAATAAGCCTAATCTTCTGTCAAGCAATTGGAAACATCACACAATACCAAATTATAGGTCTTTGAATTACTTGTTATTACAATTTTATTAGTTAGGTATTTTTTGTACCTTTTTAAAAACTCCTTTTTGGGTATCTGGTATGGTTAAAATGACACTCTATGTCCGCCGGATGCGTAAGATACAAAAACTTTCTCTGATCCACCTCCGGTACTCCCTCGCTTTCCTGACTTTGATTTTCTGCTCTCGCTGCGGCTGCGGCTTTTCATGTACATTCGCATCGGCGTTTTTATTTGTATGACCCTCGTATCTACATTCTGTCCCTGAATTGCTCCCGTTTAGAAGTGGTCTGGCTGGAGGGTCATGAAATGCCTCATTTGGTACAGTCTGGGCGGGTGGTATACAGATTGGGGGATCCTGCGTCTGCACGCTTCTGCTGGGTTGCTGCACTAGTTGAGTTTGGTCGGCCTGAGAGCCATGGAATGATCCATCGCCGGCGTGGTGCAAATCCGAGCCCCTATCTTCCTTGTCATAAGTCGCATGACCTAAGCAAAAGTGCCTTGCGGGGTCCTCATAATATTTCAAGGATCTGAGGCCTTCGTTGCTGTTCTGTGCCGTCATCACTGGCGTTGTCGTCGTTGCTGATGACAACCTATCCTCGTGCGACATTTGGGTCGAAAACAGCGTGTCGAAGTTCATCAGTGTGGTCTCCTGGCCTTGGAATGGAGGAAGTGATCGAGGCGCAACATTTCGAGAATTATCGTGATGCGCTTGGGGTGTACCCAACAGTTGGTAGTTCTCCTCAGCTTGGGCGAGTCCTTGGGAGTGTTTGGTTGTCAATTGCGTTTGTCTCTCGTTATGCCCCCCGACAGCTTGGGATACCTTGGTATTCTCCGGAGTCAGTTCTGGTGTCCTGTTGGAGCTGAACGTAGTTTGATTCACTACATTTCCTTCCTTCTCCATTAGATCCAAAATGAGCTGAATGCCGTCCTCTTCCCCATCGCCGGAAAGCTCAAGATCGGGATCTTCTGGGACATTTGCTAGAGTGGATACCTCCTGTCGGGAGTCAGCCTTATCCCACGGGCGATGAACAAATGTAACTTACTCTTAACTGCCCCACGATCGGTTGTGCGTAAGTCGAATTTTCAGGCGGCTGTGACGAGTGTGTCCGGTTGACACAATATTGCTCACGCCTGAGGCACTCGTCACGGATCTCCCTTAAACGGCAACGGATCCTGTCAGTCTTCCAGCGACTATCGACTACGGGAACGAGAAGATGTTTTTGAATCAAATATAGGAAATCTGCCACGCTGTCGGAGCAGTTATCTAGGCCACGAAGGTGGTTGATCCACTGCGGTCTGTCAGTGATGATGCATTGGGATAACACTAGTGCGACTCAGTGCCCAAGCAGGGGTTGGATATGTATCTTACATTCCGTACAGATTCCTTCACGGATGCGATATAGTGACCCTGACCCGTCGGCGCGGGCGTCAAGTTGAAGAATTTGTCGTCCTCGAATGCAGGAACGGTGGGATTGTCGTCTCGCAAGCGCTCGTCTTGGAAAGTTCCACGAGTCGCTTGGTAGCCAAGAAGAAACCACGTGACAAACTCGAGGAACAAACAGCCAAGGCTCCAAATATCGTATTTCCGAGATATCGGGGTGTGCATGTCGAACTCCGGAGGGCGGTACGTGCGAGAGAAGCCGCCGACCAGCTCAACAGCGATGTTGGAGACGGAGTTGCGCGAATGGAACCGGGTCAAGCCGAAATCGGATATGACGAGATGACTGGGCTTTCCCGGAGAGTTGAAGCACAATATGTTCTCGGGTTTGATGTCGCCGTGGGTACCCCTATCTTTCTCCCATACCGTCTCTGAGGTATCGCTGGTGCCGGGCCCTTTGTCTTTATGCCATGATCTGTGATGGTGGATCTTTTCCAACCCGTCGACTATCCCGAGGCATTGTTCCATGAGCCATTGGACATTTTGCGAGTCGTGAGGATTCAGTCGGGTAGACTTCCACATGTCGACGAGGTTTCCGTTGGCCCAAGGGAAAAGTAGATAATATTTCGAGCCGTGTTGAAAGGCCATCAGAAGTCGAATGAGGTGGAGGTGGCCCTTGTTTGGCCCACTAAACCTTTCGAGGACTCTCACTTCATCGCGGTATCCCTCGTAGTTTTCGGAATGGATTTCTTTGACGGCAAAGAAAAGGTTGTTGTTATGTTCCAATCCGTTAGAAAAGTATTCTCCGAGTGAAAGGTATGGAAACTGAGCTTGTGCATGTTGCGAACAAGTGAAGTTGTGATGTGCTGCGTGGATTTTGACTTTCCAGACTGTCCCGTAGCCACCGCTGATTTTGCGGTTCCACCCCAGGAAAGGGAGGATAACCTTGTCGTCCATCTTGTAGAAGTAAACTTTTTCGCAGCCGATGTCAAGAAGTGGCGCCATAATTTCGTACTGGCTTCTGCAGAAGGCATCCATATGCTCGGGGCGCCACTGGCTAAAACAAGTGCGCACAGGGCCATCTTTCCTGTCTTCCCTCGCCAGGAAAGGATTCCGTCTAGTTTTCTTCCAATGGGTCTTCTGCTGCCTCAGCGGAAGGTGGCTATCACTGATGTGGTTGTCGATAAAGTCGTTGATGTAGTGTACATTCCCAATCAAGACCAAGATGGCAAAGATCCTCCATCGGCTAGAGATGTACTGGTCGCTGCATATTTCCTGAGTCTTGATATCCAATTGCTGGTCCGTTTCAGAGGGAAATGACTGGCGGAGGAGATGCCTCACCACGGAGGAATCGAGGATGGCATGCAACTTATCGTCTGGCACGAAATAGCCATCAGTTGATCTGTGTTTGGATTCCACGTATGCGTTTCGCAGCTTATCCCCGATGTCTTCGGCAGTCATTTGCTCCAACTCTGTTTCATCATCCAGACATCTTGTGAACTCCTCGATACTAGGGTGTGAGCACGGCTGGGACCACGGTTGGGACGAACGGGCCTTCTTGTCAACATCGATGAGGTCACTGTTGGTTATGGCCCAGGGCGCAGCATCAGGAATATTTTGATATGAGGCTTCATTTCCCAAGCCTTCAGCGTCACTTTCGGTCGTGTCCGACCGTGAAGACTCTCTTGAATCTTGCGTATGCAGCCTGTGTGGCCACGGAGCACCGAAGCCCAGGTGTTCAATGGTTTTAATGGTCAAAAAGTCGGATTGCCCACTCTCAGAGGCTAGACTAGGTGAATAATCACCATTTTGTGCAGGTGTCTGAGTGCTCCTTGGGCTTGGTATGGGCAGCGTTGACCTCGGAGGAGTTTCGGGGCGCCGGCGGAGACCTGAGCTTCCCAGATCGGTCGAAGTGAACTGGTTTCCGACAATCGAGGGGATTGAAGCCTGTGAAAATCGAAACGTTGGATTCGTCCAAGGCGGACATGACCTCGTCGGTGAAATGGACGAATCCCAACTATCAATTGAGCGTGTGTCGTGTGGAATTATTTGTTCATCGAGAGGAAGTGATGGAAGGCCTTGGGCAGACTCGAGGACTACGGCTCTCTGGGATTGCGACATTGGAAAATACGGCGGCTGAATCTGCTCCTATTCGACATGGAACCACTTGGCGGCCATGACCGCCTTATGTGAATTGCATTTGGAAGTTGAGAACCTCCAACAACTCGCGTACCAGGAGGGGTTCAGCCTGACCATTGAACATGAAATCTCCAACTTGGTGACCGACACCCCAGCCAGCCCGCATGTGCTGCGTGAAACTGCAGGGAAGCTCACAGGAGCTGCAGTTCAGTCTCCGCCATTTTTTTTCGGAGGAGAATAGCGACAAATCTGTGCCGTTATACATGCAGCAGGGGTTTGGCTTACACAGATCTAGGCTGTTTTCGGAATGAGACACAGCCTCATCCTACGAAACTGGAAAATCCATCAATGTTATATTATGTATTCTATCGTTATTAAAGATGCTGAATAGTCTAGAGAGCGAAATCTGACATAAAGATTAGGCGCTGTGCAGCCCGCGACAACAGGCGAACATTGAACGTCAAGGGTGAGAACCATCATGGGCCTAGAGGCTCTAGGCTTGACTACCTTGACTACAGTACCGTGGTTCTCATTCTATCCCCCGCAGCGGGCCGTTCCCGACGAACGTTGGTGAGATATCTTGTGCACCCTTCCTGATCACAGAGCCTGCGTCGCAGCAAGGCAATGTACCTGGCGATCAGGTAACTTCACCAGAGGGCGGCCTGACGTCAGGAGACCAAAAGGCAGAACCTGCCTTACGAAAAGCCTTGCTGGATGCATCTACAGGTCAGGCGCTTACGTGAGATGGCTCATTGGTGCCACCTGGTGACCGTGCGCAGCAATCGTATCTTTGGTCCAAGGTAGTGGAACAACAGGGGCTCATGTTGTTTTATTGGCTGCGTTTCACCGAAATACGAAGCGGTTGGGGCGTTGAGGATTGTGGATCATCTGGTTGGCACATGGATATTCAAACACGTCGCTTTGACTGACACCCGTATATATTGTATATATTTCATCTCGTCCCCAGTTCCGTGGCCGAAATAATTTGACTACCAACGAAAATCATATGCTTCGACATGCCTATAAGAACAACACACTCGCAATCGACTATGAGCGGAAGTAATAGCGGCAAACTGAGCACGGGCATGATCCGTCTACATTCCAACCGAGTCAAGAGTCCAGAAGCGCTTTCTCGGGCACTGCAGACACTATACAACGACCGCCTCTACAAGGTTGAACTCAGAAACGATATCTACATCATTCGAATATGGGATGTAAGTTCGGACGAGAGGAGCTATGTGAGTACTGCGTGTTGAGTACTGACACGCACTGGATTGGCGATACTGACCATGAAACGTAGAAATCCGCAGAAGCGAGCCACCAAGGTGTGCATAGAACGGTGAAGACGGAGAGGCATCGGCATTTTGATAGCGAGGATGTACTTTCAGATTGTTCAGATGAGGCGGATGCGAATTGGGATTGGGACCGGAGAGGGCAAGTCGCAAATAGATTATGGTGCTGTAAAGACTGAATCTGGAGCCACGAATTGCTCCTTGAAAAACCACCATGCAACGGCCAGTTTACTGAGCAACTGAGGGATCCCACAACCATTTCATTCCGTCCTTCGCAGAATCGCCTGGGGCTACTACCTGGAGCCTGCTCTTCTAGTCCCATCCTTGTAAGACATTACCAGGTGGCGGCTATAGCCGGGACTTGCTATTCGCTACTTCCAGTCCGCACAGCCCGCACAGCCTGCATCGCCCGCTTATTACTGCCCACCCGGTGCCTTTTGGCAGTGCCTGCATGTCACTGCCTACATTAAGCACCCCGTTTCCGCAGTACCGGCTTCCACACAATAGTGCGTGGTGGTGTTGAAGCCCGCTGAGCGTCTGACACAGTACGACATCATTCAACGCGCACAACAGGCTGCCTCATTAATAACTCATTAATAGAAGGACTCGTGTATGGCTGAATCATATCGCTTCACAGGCTTTACCCATTGTGTCCCTGTTGTGCCATTTATTGCCTCTGCCAACCTTCCACTATCCTTTTTGGTGTGACCCACCCCGGATTCGGTTTCTCGACCAACAGGAAATCATCATCGCCGAGGTGACTGACTCTGCCTCTCATTACATTGCTTCCATCTTAAATTCATGGGTGCAAAATTCAGCCCAGCGCTGAGAGCTTCAATTAATCCAGATGGATTCGGACGATACCTTCAGTTCATCCGGCGATGATGACGGCTCCGAGCAGGAACGCTTGTATTGGGAAATCGAAGATGGCCTAGAGACAAGTGCGGACGTGCTGGGAAATCAGCGTTTCCTTCCTGTGGACAGAATGATCACCTTGGCGACAAGGACCAATGTTGTGTCAGCTTATAAAGAGGCCAACGACGGTGCGGGACCAAGCGAAGAAGTCATCGAGTTTGTGTTGAAAAGGGCGCGAAAGGTCTTCCTGACCCTGATCCGTATAAATCACATCAAGGCTATCGATTCTCTGTATAAAGCTGGATTCGATGACAACAACTTGCCCGTAGGGAAAATCCGCCCGGAAAATCGGAAGGGGAGGTTTCGATGGGAAGTCAGGCGACTAAACGAGACAACCAATGAGGTCACCTATGAGCCTGGGTATGAAGTCTTCAATAAGTGGGCAAGTGAGACCATTGCGGGATTCGTGGACTCGCAGTGGCAATTTCTGCCAGCATCCTACAGCGAGTCTAAATTCTCCCATACTTTACACCAAGATTGTCCCTTGCCCTTCCTAGCAGACGGAAACACGGAGCCCGCTGAAGGCCACTTCAGCTGGGTGTACAAAGTCAGAGTTCACAGCACCTATGCCCAAGGCGAGACTTTCAAACACGTGAGTAGATACCGGCAAGGGATGTAGTTTCGCGTAGGCTTACACGCTGTCAAGGTCTTCGGGAATATGCAAGATATCGCCGTCAAAATGTTCCGACCAGACTTGAAGGACTATTTCTATAGGGAGTTGCAGACCCTTATGACCATCAAGGAGATTGACCACCCACATCTCATCAAACCCATTGCGGCGTACGAGCGAGGCACCAAACGCTGTGTCATCTTTCCATGGGCCGGCGGAGGCAACCTGAAAGAATACTGGAGACAGACTAATTACGACCCGCCTCTCCGACTTCAACGCGATGCATCCCTGATCTTCTGGGCTCTCAAGCAGATGCGTGGTCTTTCAGAAGCACTCAAAATGCTTTATGAGCACAATGGTCGCCACGGTGACCTTAAACCAGAAAACATCCTACGGTTCAACGAAGGGGACGGCCATGGCAGGTTGGTGATTGCCGACGTGGGTCTCACAAAGTTTCATGTGCTGGCGACCCAGCGGCGTGATAAGAAGTCATCAATCATGTCTCGCACTCTTCGGTATGAAGCCCCTGAAATTGATATCGACATCGACGACCGCGACAAGCCGCGTTCGCGCGACTACGACCCCTGGTCCATGGGATGCATCTTCCTCGAGTTCGTCATCTGGTTACTTTACGGTGGCAAGGAGCTGGACAAGTTTAACCAAAACGCAAGAGACGACAAGTTTTGGCATCGCCATGGTGGGCAGTACTGCATACACCCAGATGTCCAGAACTGGATGAAAAGGATATCGGGAGACCTTGTGACTACGACGTCGCTCAAGGATGTCATGGAATTGGTCGAGAAGCGACTCCTGGTCGTCAAGTTGGCCAAAGACGTGACTCCACCAGAGCATGGCCGTGCGACAGCTCCAGAAGCGTTCGAGCAGATGGATGAGATTTTCAAACATGCTGAACTGGAACCAGCATACCTTTTTGACTCGAGGATTTGGAACCGTACAAATGGAAATGGTGCGCCGGGGTCCAATCTCGTCGTGCCACAATTTTCAAAGAGACCTCCTGTACCCAGGAGCCCTTCCGAACTCGTGACCAAGAGCTCGAACGAGACTATCCGCGGGGACAATAACAGTCCTACAATATCCACTGATGCACCTTACGGCGAAACCATTATCCCCAAATCGAATCCTCCCCTTCAAACCGTAAGTCCAAACCCGTCTTTTGTCTAGAACTGGAAGCTAACTCGAATTAGTATGTAAGTCTACTTTGCGATGACGCTGAAATAGTTGAGTTGGCTGATGATAGCTCGCCCCATGCTTTAGAATGTGCCGGTGAGTCCAATACTTTTCAACAGCAGACCCAACAGGTTGACTAATTCTACTAGCAACTCAGCAAATTGAACAATGTTTGGGAATCCGAGCCCGATAACGAGTTCGCACGAAAATTCATCAAACATGTGGACTGGGCTACAGTCAAACCTCCACTCTCGGATTCCAATTTGTGTGAGACCTGTACATCATTGGACATCTGGTCGCAAGTCCGAATCGAGCTTGTCATTTCGAAGCTACGAGAGAGCTCTCAGATATGCGCACTTTGCAAACTCTTCTATCATAGTCTCCCAGATTTGGGGATACAAAACGATGCCGTGAAACTGCGTCGAGATGGTTCCACGCTCAGAGCGGATGCTGGCGGGCCTCCTATCATCTCCATTTACGTCGAACCAGGTTTGTGAAGTTGTCGCCTTCGACCTCGAGCCAAAGACTGACTGCAGATATAGTAGAATCTGATGCTTCATCTCCTGCGTATGCACAAATTGGCCTACCCCAGCTGCCCAACCCGAAAAGCCCGGAACAGTTCGCGTTGCTGCGAGAGTGGCTACGAAACTGCGATGAATCCCATGCATGTATCCCCCGACAAACCGGGGCCAATGCACGCAGTATGCCCAAGAGACTCATCGACGTTGGCTCATCTTCCGAAAAGAGGCTGCGTTTAGTAGAGATGGACCGCAATAGCGTCGAGAAGTATATGGCTCTCAGTCACTGCTGGGGCAAGCTGACTGACGAGGAGAAATTCTGCACGACTGAAGAAAACATTGAAGCACTTAAGATCAGCATAGACTACGGAAAACTTACCAGGACATTCCGAGACGCTGTTGACGCTACGCGAGAGCTCAACGTCCCGTACCTTTGGATTGACTCCATTTGCGTTGTTCAAGACGATGCGAAGGACTGGGAGGTCGAGTTGGGGAAGATGGAAAACGTGTTTAGCTCTGCGTATTGCACTCTGGCTGCGAGTTCGGCTGAGTCTTCGCTGGTTGGGTTCCCGAGTAGTAGGACGCCGAGGACATATGTGGCCGTCCGCTCGAGCACACGTGCAAATGGTACGACGTACTTCGCCAAGTGCATCGACAACTTCCACCAAGATGTCGAGGCAGCAGTCCTGAATACGCGCGGATGGGTATTCCAGGAACGAGCGCTGTCTCGGCGAACTATCCATTTCACGTCGAACCAGATCTACTGGGAGTGTGGGAAGGGTGTTCATTGCGAGACCTTGGCCAAACTCAAAAAGTGAGTGAACACTTCAAATCGTAGGCCCGTTCAAGTTCGAAATCCCAACTAACGTTCCAACCCCAGCCCCAAAGCCGCCTTCCTGGGGGATTCTGACTTCCCCACCTTAGCCCTCGAATACTTCCGCGGCGGTCGCATAGTTCACTTCCAAGGCCTCTACGAGATGTACTCCCGCCTGGCCTTCACAAACCCCACCGACCGATCCGTAGCCCTCCTAGGTCTCGAGCAACGCCTCGCGCGCACCTTCAAGATGCAAGGCGACTACGGAATCTTAGAAGGATTTCTCGAGCGGAGTCTGCTATGGCGAGCTGAAAAGCCCTACGGGATGAAACGGATTTCCTTCCCGCCTGGAAGGGGGTGCCCGTCTTGGTCCTGGATGGCTCATATGGGGGCGATTGGATACTTGGAGATTGATTTTAACAGGACAGATTGGAGTAAGGAGGATTTTAGGAATCCGTTTGAGCTGGGTTCCTTGAGGAGGACGTATGGGGAGAGAGGGGGGAAGGGGGTGGTGGAGTTGGCGGCGTTGGCGCGTGTGCTGGATATTGATAGGGTTGAGTTTTCAAAGAGAATAATTTTGGATGAAGTTGATGGTGGGGAAGCGAATTTGTTTAAATGCATTGTTATTGGAAAGGAGAAGGGGATGGTCGAAAGGGAGGGTGATCGGACTCACTATGTTCTCGTTGTCAAACCATCACCCAAGGGGACGTCGGATGACGTTTACGAACGGGTTGGTGTGGCGACTCTCCTACGTTCTCAGATATCCTTGTCACCGGGAAAATGGGTACGTGTAAGATGACTTTATTTTGAATTGCCTTGTCGATAACTGGTCTTGCGCAGACTAGAGTGCTATATCCACGTACATTCAGCATTTATGCAGCCGAGAGAGGAGCTCTTGGTCTTATCTACTAATACGAAGTCAGCAAATTATCAGTGAAAATAAACATATATGTCTTGCATGTTATTTCTTGATCAATAGTGCATACTTCTGCCAAAACTCTGTGGCGTCAAGGGGAGGTTCCTCCGTAATGAGCTAATTTGTCCTCTGGCACAAGTCCATCAACACACCAATTCTGATCCGTAAGCCTTGTACCAAAAACAGCACGCTTAGTATATTCCCGACAACTGCTACACAACAACCTAATACACTCCCGATCCGTCTCCAGCCGTATCCAAACCTTACACAAAATATCCACCCACCGTATCTATCCATTACTCAATGTCTCCTTCGGCTTAACAAGCAACCAAATAGCCCCCTGATCAAGGGAGTTCCTGCCTCTCAGAATGATAGTGGGGTCACAATCCGTAATCGCCCTCGCCCACCACAATCCAAAGTCGTCCGTGTCAGGATACGCCATCAACTTGAACCATTTCTGCATGTGCTGCGCAACAGGGAATCAAAACCTGTGACAGTGGAGCTGTTCGGAGCTGTGGAGAATGAGGCCCGGAAATTTGAGTAGTAGCCCATTTGTGTGCTTTATGGCGATGGTCCAGAGCGGTTGGATTAGCGAGCGCCGGTGGGCTTGTCTGGTAAGCCACCTTGCAGACCAGAATTCAGTTTATCAGGATCCATCAGCAGCTGCATTGCCACGATTCTACCCAATCAAAATTAGAATATAGCGCCTCTCATGCGAGCTATTTTCGGTGACCGCAAGTGTGTGACCACTCATTTGGGTCTCAGTCAGGGGTCTTTTTGTCAGCCGGATTGCAGCTGAACAATAACGCACACCTCATTGGCACTAATGCATGGAAATTTTGTATGCATGGTATGCCTGTCACTTGGTAGGTCTGCTACTTCTCTTAGCCTTGGTCACGTTGACTGTGACATTGAACAACATAAAACACATGACAAGGACCAACTGAAATTTCAAGACGCAAACTACCACACGAAAATGACCTCAATATCAAAGTTAAAGCATGGTACCCGAGTATGGTACTTGTTCTTCTTTCCAAAGCCCATCGCGGCAGGAATGACAGGAAAATCGTGAGATTATCACACAACTGTATAATGCAACAACAGCAACCCACGTACAGGAAATGATGCTTCGCCGTGTAACCACAGGATTGCACATTGAACCCGAGAATACTGACCACCAAGCCTCAGGAGCAAGATGTACAAGACGCAATTCAAGAAGTGGGGTCTAACTAAATATATGAAAACATCCGAGAAGAACATCCAGGCTATATTTAAACCTTACCAATGTCTGAATGCGCAGCCAGATGTCCCTGGCCTTCCAAACCTTGGGGAAGACGAACTATGCAAAGTAATCTGACATATGAAGAAGCAGTTCCAGACTCGGCCTCAGCATGCCAAAACGGGACACCTCAGCACGCGACAACAAACACGAAACTGCTGAGGCATTCGCCTGGAAATTCACGATTTTACGAGGACAAAACTTAGAAACCCCCCAGACGCCATACCTACAGTGATAGAAGCATTCAACCGTCACAAGATCCGTGTCCCTCACACTGCCTTGAACTGTAAAAGGCAAGTTTCACTCATTCAACAACAAAAGGTTCACTCGATTTGTACCTACTGCTTCAAGGTGTTAAGAAAGCCTGCACATTCCCATCATCAACTAAACAACCACAATTATCCAAGACCTTCTGGAGCAATGTCAAACAAGCAATATACTAGTGCGTGTATCCTCAGAAACCCGAGCCTGGTCCACCCTCAACGATGCATACTCGATGGCTAAGAGCGCACTTCAAGCCTCAGATGTGTCTAAATTCGCCAAAGAAGTCTTAGCAACGCTCAGACCGGCGAACACTCGAAATTGCCCAGAGGTTCGTTTTCAGATCCTGCATTACTTGGCGGACATGGCTCGAATCAGTATTGGGACCACTATCCAATCTCGATGGCGTGACGAGAGATGTCTCTGAGAGGTGTCTAGCTATTATAAGAGATTTCGCTGCATTGAGCCAAGATCAGCAACTGCAGCGTTTGAAGACGGACGCCCAGCTGTTGATAAGCCGTCTTCTAAGAAAGGATGGGGAATACAACAGTGCGTTGCAACTTGCGAGACAGGCCCATAACACTGCTGTTACCACCTTTGGCCCCAGCTCAGTTCAGGTCTTATCGGTATTAATACAACAGGAGCATATACTCAAGGATAACGAAAACTATTCTAAAGCACTCGAGACATGTTTCTCTGTTGTTGGGCAAGTGGAAATCGACATGTATCGTGAGCGTTCCGTGCATTATATGGGGTTTTTGTGCATACTATGGAAGACATTGCACATATATACGCAGTTTTGGGTAACACTAAGGCCAGATGCTTATGGTTGGGTCAAGCAGAGGTGACCGCGAAAATGGCGTGGGGTGATTCGGTTGCTACGGCTCACATCACGGATAAGGTATTGGGTACTGTGGTTTGATTTAGTTTCATTATGATTTACTCTTAGCTTTATGTGTCAATACACCTGATTTCATCGTGTGTATGTGTGTTCGAACACTGTCGCGCAGGAACGATATCCATGTAGTATCAAGTCAAAGGGGGGACATACTGTCAGGTGCAAATAAGCCACAGTGGCTTGGCCTGGACAGGGGTCGGAAATGTATAACTAGGCTGCTGTGACCCTCTTCTTTTAGAGAGGGCAGCGATTAACTTGTCGTTATTGAGTCCCCTATACTACGCTATTGGTACCTACCTGGTGACTGGCAGCTTGTTTCGCTTGAGCACTCTCGTCCTTCACTTTGCACTTGAAATCCCGTGACACATACCCAATTTTATACCCGGGTGGCTCTAGCTTGGTATGTTATCACAGGCTGACTCGATATACGTTAGCTCATTAGTTTCAATCAAGTTGTAACTGGATAAGGCAGAAGCAGATCAAAAACTCACGTGCTTGTTACTATGCGGGGTTTCGCAACCGGCAACAAACTCAGCAAAGCCAGCACTCTACCGAGTAATCGCCCTCCATTCATGCCTGAGTACGCAAGAGTAGAAGACTGCGTTAGAACGCCAACTGAGATAACTCTTTGTGTATGAGCCCAGAAGCAGGATCAGCGGCTCTGGCTGCTAAAGGTCTTCCAAGTTGATCGAAGGCCGCATGGATGGATGCAAAACTATACCTGGTAAGAAGGAATGATTCTGAATGAAATTGGTCTCTCGGGATGCGTTATATTGATCATATTGCTTTGTCAAAGTTATGGTTTGGGGCCAAACCTTCGCAATCGTCCCGAACGCCTCAACAGTTGTTAAGGGTCGTTGAATGGCGATGTTTTGCAGTCTGGTTAACTACATCTTGTCCCTTTCGTAGGGTGAATTAAGCAAGCAGTTATTCATTCTTTCGTTTCAAGTAAATTCCTAATATTGCAACTGCCACAAAAGAATGTCATGATTCGACTTCAACCAACAAGACCTGCCGTTTGTGTAACGACTAATTAAGATACGAAGCCTCTTTAGCAGAAGGATTAACTAAAAGGATTCTCTATCAAGCTGAATATTTGAAAGGCAATGTGATGAGCCGTAGAATACCACTACATCACATATCTCTAATAAGAATCTCATAAAAGTCATGTCCCTGTACCGAGTCTCACTTACTGGCAAGATCATATTTAGTATCGTCGGCTGGTGTAGTTGGTCACTTCGCTGGTAGATAAGTCCCGATTTGAGCCTCGCCCACTTGGGTCGGTGACGAGTCGCGGGTTCGAATCCCGCAGCTGACACACAGGGGGGTTTAGTCAACCCTTACGGCGCGCTGCCCACCTTGTTGACTTCGCCTACCTAGCGATAATAGGGAGATTGGTGCAGTTTAGGATTACGAGCATCCTAGTCAGTCGACCGTCAAGCACTACGTCGGCGGAATATAACTCGACAGCCGGTCCAGAATTCGAATCGTTAATCCGACCCCTTATCGGACCTCGCCTATCCGATGACGCTCGTCGGCGAACCCGTCCCCTCACGATAGAAGGCGCGCAGCACGCCCTCTCGCCGCGATTCTTGCGAGCGTCTAGACCACGTTACGATCTATCCACTTGAGCGTATGGTTGAGATGTATACGCTCGACGAGAACCCCAATTAGCAGATACTACGACTTGTCGCGACAAAAAATAGTCGAGCATCTTCTGCACATCAGCAGCATCCCACCCCTGAGGACGAATTTAAGTGCCACATTACCACGCTTATCGGTAGTTCAGGCAGGGGTTGTAGCACAGACTTAGGGAGGGACAGGAGGTTTAGTAGTCGTTTGGCTACAAGTTTACCTGTATAACCGCCCGACGCGGCTTAAGGGCCCGCTATATCATCTATAGCCCCTTAAGGGAGTACTTGTAGAGGTACCGAGGGTTAACACCTACGGCGTATTTAATATTATTTATTTAGTATCGCACAATACATGTCCCACACAGACCATGTTTTCGAACTTAACAGTCTAGACCGTCAGCGCAACTCCACAATCCTACGTCGCGGTGATAGAGTCGACCTCCCATACCCCCTAACAATCTCGACCAACGGTCTCGACACCCTCACTTCAATACAGTCCCGACAAAACCCCCCTTCCAACTCCCTCCTTCCGCAACCCCGACAAGTCCGACTCCCATTGTACGAATCGGACGAATAACCGTATCGCACCGGGCTCGTCCACACCTCGTCCGACGAGCCGCCGTAGGCCGGCGTCCACGACGACGATGACCTCTCAGGTCGCACATAGATCGTCGATCGGGGAGAATTATAAAAAACAGTGTTGCCCCGTCCTGACGTACTTCGGGAGATGATAATTTCGAGTTCGTTGACGATGTAGCGACTGGGACGAGAGGACTGTCTCGAGCTGTCACGGTAGGAATGTTGGGCTAGATCTTGGCGCGGGTGGTAGTCATCATAGCGGTAGTCGTTGTCATGGTGGCGGTGGAGGTCGTAGTCTTCGTGGTGGCGATCGTTGTAGTGGTAGTAGTGGCCTCTACGGTAGCCGTCGTGGTGGTTCGGGTACAAGTGCGACATCGCTTGTTGCAATGTCGAGGCCGAAGCTCAAGGTGTTGGCTGTGTTTCGTCTGGATATGTGATTTCGCCTTGGATTGAGAGTGAGGCGAAATGGATTCAAGTTTATCGGGCGACGGATTTTACGGAAACTAAGGATCAAGGGGGTACCAGGGTAGCACCGGCTTCTATATAGATAGGCTGTCTCAAGTTCGGCAAGTAGGCCAAGGCTCAGCCGACCTTACATGCGTGGATATATTGAATTAGGATGCAGAACACAGTGTGCATCAAAGTGCAAAAGGCATGTGCCATACCATAATGACACAGAGCTGCCTCAGCTACTGGGCGAAGTGGGGGCGGGCGTCACCTCACATGAGCTGGCTGCATGCGCTAGTCGAATGCCAGAAGGTTGGTTGTCTGACAGGAGCCTGGTCACGTTGCACAATCTTGGAATCCAACGGGCTCACGTAATAGCGGATTTGAGGCTCTGCGGTCGCGTCCGATCTTGGGAAGATCCAGTGTCGAGGCTAAGTTGCGTCCACAATAATATCACATGTGACGAATCAGATTGTATTCCTTGCCCCCATCTCGGTTCTAGATTATCTCTGGTACTCATGGTTGCCGGGCGTACTTTAGCCTGATTGTCAAGGCGCCCGACTTGAGAGACAGAATATAGTCTGCACAAGTGGCGAAATCCTGTATACACAATTCCACGTCAGCCTCGATTGATAGGGTTTGCTAGTAGGTGAAAGGCTGCTATACAAACGTTGTACCCGGATATAAATGGTTAGTGTAGTCCTGTATTATGGTTGTCACAGCATAGGCGTCGTGTGGATAAGGACCGCCAAGGGAAGTTGTAAATATAATATTTGCTTAAGCTGTACTTTGAGACTTATGGTGGCACTGCATCAGGAGTCATCTGCTACGTATTTTGATCGTCAATTGGAACCAAGAGCAGATAGAGTATAGAAAATTTACTTCACTCGAGTCGCTCTGCAATTTATGTATGATTTGGTGCAATGTAAGACTTAATATTTTGGTAGGTTCGGCTCTGAATATATCATTCCATTGTTGGAACCGAAGTTCCTGAAATGTAGGCAGATGAGGCAACTTCACCGCCACAGATACATACTACAAACAGAATAATCATAGACCCCAAGCCTCCCGGCTCTTTGGAACCGTTATGTGGCTGAGACCCACCCGTTCCAGGTCAGCTTCAATGTTGGATGCGCTTTGAGGAAACTTACCATTCGACAGATCAACAACCTTGTTCCAGACCTACTCAATCTCGACCTCACCATGCCTATGTCAAACCACTCAATCGCTGATCTCCTGGGCTCCAGTGATCAGCTAGTCAGCAAGGGTTCGCCGTACAAACTCACTGCCTTTCTCGAGTCGGTAATACCGCTGGAAACTCACAGCGCACTGTACAACTCAGTTTTGCCAGCGATAGTGGAGTGCATCTCGGATATTGCGAAAACCCTACGTCATTCTCAACATGTTTCGCTAGTAGGCACTGCGAACGCGTTTGGAGACGATCAATTGAATGTCGATGTCTCTGCGGAGAACCTCGTGCGTGCATGTCTCACCAAGTGCCCGTCGGTGGTGATGGCAAGTAGTGAGGAGGACCCCGTTGAGAAGGCATCAGGGAGCACGGGAGCAAGTCCAAATGGTGCAGCCACTCAGGAGCAGTACACGATCGCTTTCGATCCCCTAGACGGCAGCTCCATCATCGCGCCGAATTGGACAGTCGGCACCATCATCGGCATCTGGACAGGAACTTCCGCACTCCACCAAGTACCAGCGGAGAAGCAGATAGCATCGGTCCTCGGAGTCTACGGTCCACGGACCACCGCAATTGTCGCGTTGCGCATTCCCGGCACTGAGCCGTCGTGCTTTGAAGTCGGAATCGGAGAGCACGGCCTTCAGGATAGTGACATCATCCGTCCGAAAGTCCAGCTGGCAAGCCCACCCTTCAAAACCAGATATTTCGCCCCAGCCAATCTGCGGGCTGCCGCTGAGGACCCCAAGTACATGGACCTTATCACGCATTTCGTGCAAAACAGGTACACCCTGCGGTATAGCGGAGGTCTCGTCCCGGATATCGTTCATGCTCTTGTGAAAGGCCACGGCGTCTATTTGTCGCCCGTCACAGGCAAAAGTAAGGCGAAGTTGCGGCGGGTATACGAACTCTTTCCCATCGCATTGATAATTGAGTGCGCTGGAGGCAATGCAATCGACCCGGTAGATGGCAGCGACATCCTGGCCCGGCCGGCTGAGGACACCGATGAACGGGCAGGTTTGGTGTGCGGCACCACCGAGGATGTGGAATTCGTGAGAAAGGTCTTGGTAGCCGAGGAATGAAGCCAGGACATGTGGTCTATGCTGGAGAATACCAACACCAAGCTACAGCTAGTCGACTGTTAAGGCATCCAAGCTGGGTCTTGGATACCGCATCCGAATCGTGGGCCGTATCGAAAGGGAGTTTTCCGGATTATTAGCGGGGAAGTATAGAGGCGAGGAATATCCATGGAATTGATGCAAACAGCATGGCCTTGAGTCCCACATTTGAAGCTTTTGATCGTCAAGCCCCCTCTGTAATGTGCATAAACCTACCGAAATACACCTAGTATATTGCAGCGGAGCAGACAAATAGGCATAGAAGCTCAGGTGTGCCAAGTCTCCAAGTAGGTTTCTTCAACTTGTCTTCACGGCCCAGGATCGAATGCCGTAAGAGCTGTGCGGCTCAAAGACAGGTGACTTCGTAGTAACAAGCTGTGTATATTCGGCATGATGCTCCCTGAGAACACGCAGGATGTCCTAGAGCATAAAGGCCAAGGTCAAATACGCCTTGCGATTACAGCTGAATTGGAATACGTCACTGGATGATTGTGCCATCTGGGAAAGTCCGTCAAAGTATGGGACAGCTTATTGGTCCATCAAAACATGTTTGAAACGACCCTCGGCACTTCCCCACAGCCATTGCGGAATATCGGATCATCTAGACTCTGGCTAACCACTCGCGTTCTATTGAATGGAGGGTCATTCTAGGTTCACACGTGCAGTATGCCTCGGCTTGCATAATTTCGATCGTCTTCCTTCTCAATCCTGGTCACAGCTACAGGTCAACGACATCACAATGATTATGCCTCGGCGATTACCACGTGAAACGCGATGAACAACGATGTGAATGTAAGCCCGTGGCATACATATACGTCGATTTTTGTATAAAGGGACGAGTACTGCCATCCCGTTTTCATGTTTCTTGTTGAATCATCCATTCCGGACATAAAATACATCAGACTTCAGATCATTTTTTTCACACAACTATCTTTGCAATCAACTCGCCTAGTTAAAAATGGACCGCGTCAAGAAGAACCTATCCATTCTCGAGCGCAAGCTCACCAAAGCCAACAAGCTCGCCGCTAAAGGTGATGACATGAAGCTGGCGGACGCCATCAAGCTTGGCCGTAAAAGCAATGCCATGGTGGCCACCATCCAGAAGGGCATCAAGGAATATGATGTGGGCTACCGCACAGAATGTCGCTGTAACTTGCCGTACTGACTGATCCCACTTACAAAAGGGCTCCGACCCCACGGCACAGGAGAGCATGGAAGTTCTCGAGGAGATGAAGGTCATCGTTTCGTTGTCGGAGCAGCAGGTCGAGTTACTGATGAAGGATAAGCCGGTTTTTGACAAGCTGCATGTCGGAGGTACGCACATCTCGGAGATTTATCCTCAAGATTCGAATAACTGATGGAGACGACAGGACTGGTTAAGAGAAATCTTGGGAAGACATCGGTGGTGAGCGAGGAGCTTGAGAACATCATGCTCTCCAAGGCTCCGGATGATCTGAAGGCAGAGGCTGAGGCTCTGGCCAAAAGACGAAAGGTAGCTTTTGAGAAGGCGATGGCGATTTACTCCAACGCCTCGGGAGGAGAGGACGCTGCGGAGGGGGAGGATGATTCGGACTGAACGGTAGACGGGGCTATTTTCGAACGGGGACGGGTACTCCAGAAGAACTTTCGTTAAATTAGGGTATGTGTACTTACCCAGGTTGGTTTTGTATATCGAATGTGAAGATGGAAATTGCGCACACTGGCTCTACTGGTACGTACAAGTACATGTGTTCGAATCATTATACGTCGATTCGGATTAGAATATAAGTCTCGCTGTGTGGCTATTGGGTTTTTGACCGATGTTGTGTAGCAAGCGTGACATGACAGATCAGCGTAAAACGGCCCGTGCTGAGTGGCTCTCCTCGTTGGGGCCCCATAGGCACACGGGTACCCGTGTGTGTAAATTTTCACGGGTGCCCGTGTGATTACCTAAATAGGTAAAGCCCCTATATACCTACTAGAGTAGCAGTATTTACTATAATTAAGATGGAATCAAGTCCAATCCCAAGACTAGCTTCATTTCCAGCTGATTGTCTCCCTCCTGAAGGCGAATACGAATCCCGAGATGCTCTATCTAAGGCGATTAACGCGTGGGCGTCAACAAGAGGCTACGCGTTTGTAACTGGGCGGTCAACCAAAGAAAAAACCGGCACACAGACGATTACATATACATGTGATCGATTTTGCCGCCCTCCTACTAGTTCGAAAGAGCGCCAGCGGAAGACAGCTACCCGAGGAACTAGCTGTCCGTTCTCAGTACTAGCAAAAGAGTCACTTGATAAAAGCACTTGGACCTTGCGACATCGTCCCGATAAACGGTTCGCCATACATAACCACGAGCCTAGCCAACACCTATCTGCCCATCCAACACACCGGAAGCTTTCCGATGAAGATATATCTCAGCTAAGAGGCCTTTCGAATGCTGGCATAGCTCCTAAAGACATCAGAACGTACATGCGCCAGAATACCACGGCTATAGCGACCCAGCAAGATATCTACAATCGTATTGCAGATACTAGGCGAGACACATGCGAAGGACAGAATACGATCAACGCACTTGCGAACCAGCTAGATCGGGAAGGGTTTTGGAACCGAATGCAATTAGGTCCAGATAACCGGGTAACCGCTGTCCTGTTCACTCATCCAGACTCCCTAGCGTACCTCCACGCCTACCCAGATACTCTAATATTGGACTGTACATATAAGAAGAACAAGTATGGAATGCCTCTTCACGATATGATCGGAGTCGACGCCTGCCAGCGATCTTTCTGTATTGCATTTGCATTCCTAAGCGGCGAGTCCAAGCAGGACTACTTCTGGGCCTTGGACCGATTAAAGTCGCTTTACGAGATCTGTAATACTCGGCTTCCCTCTGTTATCTTAACAGACCGCTGTATTGCGTGTATGGATGCGGTTTCTACTTGCTTTCCATCTTCTGCACTGCTTCTGTGTCTTTGGCACGCAAACAAAGCAGTCCTTCGTCATTGTCGGCCAACATTTACACGGCAACAGCAAGAACAACGACAGGAGCAACAGCAAGGGCTCGAAGCTTGGAACGAGTTCTACAACCATTGGCATTCGATTATGAAATCGCTAAACGAGGAGACATTCTACGAGCGTGTATCAAAGTTCGAAAATAAATATATTCCGGGCTATCTCGAAGAATTCGGATACATAAAAGGGACTTGGCTCGATTTACATAAAGAGAAGCTAGTAAAGGCTTGGGTTGATCGATACCTTCATTTCGATAATGTCGTTACTTCAAGAGTTGAAGGCATTCATGGGATACTTAAAAGCCATCTCAAAAGATCTACATTAGATCTGTTCGAAGCCTGGAGAGCAATAAAGCAAGCGTTGCATAACCAACTTACGGAGTTGAGATCTAACCAAGCCAAACAGCAAATTCGGACGCCAATCGAACTCTCTGGGCCACTATATCATATAGTCCGTGGTTGGGTATCACACGAAGCTCTAAGGAAAGTCGAAGAACAGCGGAAGCTATTAACGAAGAACCCGCCTCCCTCGCCAAACTGTACAGGCTCTTTTTCTCAGTCTCAAGGGCTACCATGCGTCCATAAATTAGAACGGTTATTGGCACAGGACCAGGTTCTACAACTAGAAGACTTCCACCCACATTGGCACCTAGTCCGCAACGGCATTCCGCAGCTATTACTAGAGCCTCGTCAGCGTATCGATCCGGCAATTACGAATTCATTATTACCACGGTCGAGTGTTAGGCGAGAGCTTAGCGGGTTCGAAATCATTGAAACAGCAACAGCGTCGAGAACACCGCCTCTATGTAGCAAATGCCATATATTAGGTCATACAAGGAACTCGAGAGAGTGTCCTTTAAGATATTCGGAACTCAGATCACAAGCAGTCCAGCCCGACCAGCGCGCCCAGCCTGTCCAGCCAGTTACGACTTCGACAGAGTTGCAGGCCCAGTCAAGCATCGGTTCAGAGCTACCCTCGCAGACAAACACTATAAGAGAAGCATCAATCCAGACTCCTAAAGATGTTCCCCCTGCCGAAGATAGTCCTCTATCCCCTATCTTACCAGTTCGTACGCCATCGTCTTCCCCGAATCCAGGTTTATCTGCGCCTCTAAAACACGACAATCCAAGGGCTATCTACCAGAGATACGTTACGTCAAGAGATGCTTGGTATATAGCCCAGCCTACTGGCAGCTATGTAAACAATCAGCGATACCGAAAAGCGATGGGTTTACCGCTACGATATGACAAGACAAGCTATGAATGGTGTCTTAATTATAAGCAAATGAACAAACGTTATACTACTTCAACAGGCTCAAGAGAGTGGACGAAAGAAGAGATGATGGCTTATTTAGACTGGGATAGGTCAGAAACTCATCGAATCGAGGCTCAGGTTGCTCAAGAATCGGTAAACGGTCCATCGAATAGGAGAGGTACAGGTGAGCTTTGGAGAAGGATAGAAAAAGATATGAAGGAACAAGAAGCTTTATACTCAAGGCAAACAGAGGATTGTATAGTAGTAGCTAAATAGCCGCCTACTATTGTAATAGGGCAAGGCCGTCCGCCAGTGAAAGTGGGGACAAGGGCAAGGACAGGGGTTATTCTCTTCTTCTCTGGGTGCATAAATAGCAGCACATTCTGAATAGTAGGAGGAACACACACGGAAGCACTCGAACAAGCAACAGGCACGCACGGGAAAACAACGTCAACACACACGTTAACAAGCACGAACACACTCAAGCAACAGGCAAGCAAGCAGAAACATGGCCACGATCACCTCACATCAACCATCATCATAACAGCACAAAAACAATTCCCTTGCATTACACAACAGACATTCACTTCAGACAGTTATTCAGTACTTTATTTCATACACTGCAATCATGTAATACGAACAGAGCTGACAGAGCCCTTCATACCGTTGTTTTATCTCTTGAAGCGTTATTACCGGCTTTGCATAGCTCGGATTCACTGTTTATAACGAAGTCATCGCTTGGCAACGATTAGAGAGCAGACAGTCTACTGTAGTAATTTCTGGCTAATAATATGTGCTTTGACTACTTGACTACGAACATGAATTGCTTCAATTATCCAATTTCAACGCGACACGTGATAGTATCCGACAACGGAGGGGCTTTACCTATTTAGGTAATCACACGGGTACCCGTGTGCCTATGGGCCCCCTCCTCGTTTCTCCAGATGTCATAGTGTGTAACGTAGTCCACGGTCCAATTGCACACTTTGGCAGACCTTATACGACAATGTATAAGTTAATTCAACCACAACGCCTATCATCAATTGAAACTACTCAGAATCTTTATCTTCAGACGCCTCTACATCATTTCCACAAGTGCGCGCATTATGTCCGGGCTCGCCGCAGGTTCTACAGCGCCGTACACGCGCAATTCGCCGCCTCGTACGACCACCAATTTGACGAAATTCGTCATGTAACTGCCCATCAACCTCTTGTTGAGACTGTAGGTCCTGTCCAGCTTGTATACGAAGTGACCCTCCACTCTGTAGCTATTTTTTCTTCGCACGGCGACGTCGACTTAAGGTCTCATTTGCCTTTCGAAGTCATTCGACCTCGCCTTCTAAAAGGGCAAGCCGATGCATAACCTTCGTTGTACCTCGCGCAATCTGATCTATTCCAGCAAAAATTGACGTTGGTGAGCTATTTTGATGTCGTAAAATCCTATTTTTCACATAATCGGTTTGTGATTGGGCTTCGGTTGGGTTGTTCGGAGTCTTTGATTCCCAAGGGACGGGGAGACCAGCCGAGCTACCCGGAGGTGTTGGCGTATGTAATTTCACATCGAGCTGTGATATGACATAATCTGCATCGTACGGAACTATTCCTACCCCTCGGAGACCTCCTTGGATATTTGAAACCGTGAAAGTTGCGTTGTACGCGTTTAAAAACGCCCGTAAAAGTCTTCTTTCGAGATATGACTTATATGTGCTCGCATGAGATCTTCGATTTCTTTTCCGTACGCTCTTTTTCACCCGCGAAAACACCAACATCAAGAGGCTGGAGCTTATGCGACGAATGAGGAGGCATACAAAGGGTGACGATATTGTTAGCTTTGCAATATACCTCGAAATCGGTCGAGTGATGGCTTTCGTGACCGTCGAGGATCAATAGGCGATGAGTACCTTTCGTACGAGACTTGGTGTGATGATCGAAGTGTTTTATCTAATCTTCGCCTCTCTCGTTCGTAGTCCAGCTATTTTTAGTAACTGCGATAACCCAATCAGGCGGTAATGGGCTGTTTTCGTACCATGACGAGAGGTGGGTTTTGCCGGCGAAAATGATGTACGGAGGGAGGGCATAACCGGACGATCCAACGCCTTGAATAACTGTAACCCATTCCCGATTTACTTGCTGGGCTGCTCTAGGCCTTCCGCGCCGATCAGAAGTCGTCACGACCATTTCGGACTTGATTTGGCCCATCACAAAACCGGTCTCGTCGAAGTTGTAGATATCCTCCTCCTGGATCGCGTATTTCGCAATTGTATTCCGTACCAGGTCAAACCACGCGCGATACGCGTCGGGGTCTTCGCATAGGACTCTCTGATAGTCGATCCTTCGATTTAAACGCGTCCGGAGGTCTGGTTGTCGTCTTACGAAGCTCGAGGCCCAGTTGACGCCGACGCGTCCCGCGTCGCGACTTCGAAGTAATCGGTTGGCCATATCTTCAACACCACTCAATCGGGGAGGAAATGCTCGCGAATCTAGGTCGGTTATATGTCGTACGATTGCCTCTTCTTCGGAAGGAGTCAACTTTTGCGTTGGCAATCGCGTAATCGCTCGAGCGGTTTTACCGTCGCGTCGATACGCAAGGGTTCTAAAAGGTACGTTATAGATCTGACCAGCGCGACGTACACTTAATTTTGGATCAGATTGAAGCGCATGTAATGCTAGAATCATATCACTTTCATTCCAAGAACCAACCATAGTTATGTTGTGAAAAACCGCAGGTCAAAGTGGTAGCGTACGAAAATCTGCCGAAGTGTGCAATTGGACCGTGGACTACGTTAATCATAAGATGGGACAATGTCTACATGGAAATTTCTCAACGGAAGCAGGCTGTCTCGTATATGATAATGCTTGTAATTCCTGATACCAAATTAGTCAATCTGGTATAGACAAGGACTTGTTCCCTGTTTAAAATTCTGATGTGAGCGTGCCTTTCTCTGCCGCTTTTCGCTTCACCCGGCCTCTGGTGAGAGCGTCTAGGGCTTTCTGCTTCAATTCACGATATAATCCGCTGTATCCTGATAAAAAGAAGCTGCAGGCAAGTCTATGATACGGTGTAAACCATTCAGCCTAGTGTAGACGAGGAACTTCATAATTACACGTTTGTAGATACCCATAGAAGGGCGTGAAACAACAAACCAGTTGAGATGATAGTGCTGCTCAGAAAATAATATACGGAAATTGCATTAACGGCTGCAGAAATGGCAACTTATGAACATCAATGAGTATTGGTACCCATGGCTCGTGCATGGCCAGCGACTTACAGGCATACAACCGAAAACGGAATCAGGGCCCAACATGAAGCAAAAGAAGCAAATCTGGTCTAATATTTGATTTGTATTTGTATTATTCAGCTACATAAATACACATTAAACATCATATTTGGTTGGTTTGTTTGCTTTGCAAATATCTTGCCAAACCTGCCCTGGAACCGGAATAACCCCATTCGGCCAATCAGATAAATTGCTTCGCAGGTCTCTCATAATGGCTAGGCAGGGAATAAGGTTAACGTAGGTTATGAATAGCTGTATAAGAAAGCCGTATGTTCTGATTCACAAGTATTTTAGTGAATATATGAACAAGTGGATTACGTGTTCTACTACTCTACGCCTAAGCTCTGGTTAGCGAACTTTAGGGAGCAACGCTACCCTAGTGTGAATGGTCCAGTGCACTGTAGATTATCAGTGCAAAGGCTCAAATTTAGGTTATCTTTAGGGTGGAGCAGAGGGGATCGTAAGAGCCGTAGCTTGGGCTGCGGCATTTTATATATAGGATTTGGGCCCTTGAGGCCCACATCGAACTATAGAGGCCTAGCCCTAGGTGTCTTAATGCAACTGTGTTAGTCTTGCCAGCCTTATCTTAATTTCGGTAATTATAATAGTAACTGTAGGGTTGCACTGGTACTAGCATTCCGGATATTGACGACGGGCAGTGAAACCGCCCGCAGGTTTAAGGTGTAAGATGATGGCAACGGACAACAAGATCCTCAGCAATACCTTACTATCCGGGAGGTGGAAAGAAATAACAAGATCAAGAGCTCTTGCCCTGATCAGAACAACAAGTACCTCAACAGGTACGAACAACTGGAGCCTCAACAGGTCCTTGATCAATCACCTCAACAGGCACAATCAGATCTATAGGGGCAACAAAAGTACCTCAACAGGTACGTCAGACATTGAATGCCTGTCCAAGTAAAGAGAAATTGGTTCAGATTACTGTGGAAAAGGCCGCTTGAATTCCTATCTCTTTCTCAAGAGAGCGACTATGTACACAAGGTCTTAAATACCCTTCAAGAACGCGCTTATATAATTCGTCTGAATGTCCAAAAAAACGAAAACGAGCACCCGAAAACCCTAACCCCACGTCAATATACACGAAGGTGAAGAGGGGAAGTACAGGTAGAGGGGGAGGGGGTTTCGCAGCCGCACGAGGGCCCTAAAGCACCTTAAATGTACTCTACTATAACTTCAGGCTACTAATCCCACAGCAGCTTGAAATAAAATAAAGTATGAAAGCGGTATCCTGAAGAGAACTAGGACATTTAGCGCTTTCTCCTTTACAAGTAGTTTACTAGTTCCAATACCACCAAGTCTACCTAGGCTACTTCCGTCTAATTCCTAAACACCTAATTTACCTACAACCTGCTATATTGGGGAACTCTCGGTCCCTTTTTTTTGCCTGCCTATAGCTGGGTCGCCCGTTCGCACCTCCAAAATTATCCATCTACCCCGGATATCACTCTTTGTCACGTGCCTGTTCCCACCGCCCTGCTCAATTTCGTTAATGCATCGTGAAGGCTATTTACTAAACTTCCAGAACTTCCCCGCGATCAACTACTTCGGTTTGGAATAAGGTACGCTTAGTACGTTCATCCACGCCTCTCCGGCCAGTGAAACGGGGTCAGGCGGTCAGTAGGATATACCTACCACCTAACACACTGAACAGACGGCTCCAGTACCAACAGATCCCATCTGTTGGTCTTATCAGACGAAGATCGGGGTACTGGTTATAATAGCTAAGCTCTTATACGTCTGGTGCGCGAGTTGGTCGGATGTGCCTCTGAGACTCTCGTCGGAATGATTCTCAGAACAAGACGCCTGGCTCTGGAAGTCAAATTGAAGCTCTCACTAGCACTAGATTACTCTGATCAGAGCAAGATATAATCCTCTGTCATTGTCAAGGCTAGGATGAGGGCAGAATAATAGGATTTCGAAAGTAGTGTCTAAGTGCACGTAGGAATTAACCGCATAATTGAAGGGCTCGCTAACTAGAATAGAAAACAAAAGTCAAGTTGATTGGATAAGATGATGAAAAAGATGACAGGTTGTTGAAAGTCGTTTGTCATCTCCGTGTCCCTTAAGAAGTGTGGAAGACAGGGGAGTCCTCCCTGGCCCTCGTCACCTATTTTCCTGACGTCCGGCCTGGCCCCACTACACTAGCTTTGTTTGATTGTAAAAGTAATATTCATATTCGTATGGATAAACAGAAATCATAAAAAATATAAAATTGTTGCTAAGCTGAACTGTAGAGTTCTACGTCTAGCAACTTAGTTATATTCTCGCCCCGAACCTTACGTATGCCCATTACATAACTTTAGTAAAATATGGTCCAGCGTCGAATCCAGCGTCTTTGATGTTGATAAGGTCAATGAGCCTGTTCTGGATCACTTTTACTTTGTTCACGAGGTTGGCGGAGGCCTTAAACTCTCTAATATAAGACAGGATAGCAATCTTAACGATGATCTCCCGATAAGTAGGTGTGAGATTCCGATCACTTCGTATAGTAAATTTACGAAGATCATTGATGCAAGTGCATATAAGGTGTGAATTGTTGTATTGGGAAAGATTGGCTAGGTCAGTTATTCTGGCCTGGGGCAGAGCTCTTTCATAGCTCTTGTCTATCTAATCTATAGCTATAGGGCAACCCCCTTAGGGTCACGTATCAATTGCTTACTTAAGTTAGATAATAGATTAGAGTAAATATATATAAATCCGTATAAAGTTTGTCCCCGCGTTCTAGTATAGAAGGGGCCCGATTTGTGGCCCGGGTAACTATAGAAAACAAATGTAGTACTATAATGACCACAGAAATACTAATAGTAGGCTACTTGTAGCATAACTAAGCTTAGCAGGCCGCTCCGTAATCGACACGAAAAATGGTATGTACTCATGGTTCTAGGCGGGGCGAAACATGCTGAAAAAGGCTCAGCATATTTTAAAACAACGGATTCCAGCGGTAGAGATGATATCTCCCATACCTTGCCTGCGCTCGCATATTCACGCACCCCGGTTTGCGAATCCAGTCAATAACCGGACAACGTGAGAAATCAGTATCAGTGCGCCACGTGTGGGCTACCCTTCGTGAGAGCAGTTATGAGTTCTCTCGGTACCGGCCGAGAGATGTAGGTGGATGGGTGCAACGCTTGCGGCTTTCGTGTCAGGTACCTCCGGCCATTAACGGACAGGGGATTACGCTGGGTCACTTGAGACAATTCACACCTAGGAACCTTATTGGAAAGTGACGCCCTACTGTCTGATACCGACAAAACCGCAGTGATGCTACGTCTTCGTCTTGGGGCTATCCGCGATTATGATATGGAGATGGCCGTGGCGGCAGCCGTGGTACGAGGCAATATTCGTGGGAGGATGATATCGAATGAACTCTCATGTTTGGATCTCGCGGAGGTTGTGGTGTTCCCTTCGTGTTTGAACCTTTGCGTGTACGTCTAGTTCGTTCCAGGGCAATGCCTTTTCGATTAGCGTAGCGTATTCGAAAAGTACGACAATTCGTGGCATAATGAATACTTGACGAGTCATCAGTTGCTGAACATTGCCGCAAAGAATGCCGCATCGATCTGGCCTTGAAATGCTCTACTGTTCTTTGATGTCGTCATTTTCCCGAATGACTGTTCCACGCCGTCGTGTGCCTCGCCAACGATACCCTGCATTGCGCGAGACTGATCATCGGTGCTCATATCACCGAACTCTTGTCCGGTCCGCTTTGCTCGGGTGGTCGAGCGAGCTTCCTGGCAGCCGTTCTGGAGAGTAGCGGCCAACTGAAGGCTTGCACCCCCATTGGAGACTGAGTCTTCCTCTGACGCAGAGGGTGTTTGGCGGTCGTGCAAATATGTGTCAAGGTTGGCCAGGGCTTGTTCCTGAGCCCGAAAACAGTCACCGAGTCGCCCGATACCGTCTAGCACCATAGATACAGTTCTTTGACAGTCATCCAACTCCTTATTCAACTTGTGAATCTTTGGTTCGTGAAAATTCACCGTGAGCCTGTCCCGCTTGCTGAACCTTCCATCCGTGGAATGGCTTGTGAAGCTCACAATGGCTGTGGAAAACTGGTCGCAGACGTGTCGTGCTGATTTGAGCGTTTCGGCGAGCTCAATCATCCTTAAAACCGGTTCAATTACGCCGGCAGGTTCGGAGGCTGTTGTCAGCATCTGTTGCAGCGCGCCTAAGATCTTCTGGGTTTCCATCAGTGAAGTTTTCGACCTAGCGATGGCCAGCGGTGCCTCAGCCAATCCGTCGACGAGGTCGTACGCCGCTTTAGCACTTTGCAGTGCGAGAGTCGCAATGGCGATCACGCTGGCAGTCACGCTAAAGGGATCCATGGTGTTTACGGCCGGTAGAGCAGAAAAGTGATGATGGTACTAGAAGTGGTCTTCAAAACTGCAATACGCTATCGGTGCTTATGTTGCTCCCGCATTTTGATTTGCCCACCTGATCGACTGGCGTGGCGCTAGGAATAACCGGAGCCTTCTGCTAACGGCGAAGAGATTAAAATTGTTATCAAGCGTTTACTACGCAGTCCATTTGCTTACCAAAAAAACCCTCGCTCGTGGACAAGCGCGATGGAGCCTCCAGCGCAGCCACTGAAACAGCGCTTCGGCAATTTGGAAGCAGCCGACGGCGGTTTCGCATTCCAGGGCAACGTTTACGGAGACATCCACAACCGTAAGAGCTAAGCAATCTGCCCTTAATACATACCACTGAGCCGATTCTAGCTAACTATTCCAGATTTACACGATAACCCACCAGAGCTCTTCGACAGCCTCCCAGAAGCCGCTTACAATGCTGCCGGCAAACGGCGTTCGCCTTTCTGCCTCGAGAACACACGATGCAATATCCTTGACCAGATCGAGAAATGGGCCAACGGTGATGATGAGAAACGCATATACTGGCTCAAGGGCATGGCAGGCACTGGGAAATCTACTATTGCGATGACTGTTGCCAGCAAGTACGACAAATTGAAACGTCTTGGCGCGAGCTTTTTCTTCTCTAGAGGCGGAGGTAACTTCGCCTCCGCTGGGAAATTCGCCATCACGATCGCCGCCCAGCTAGCCGACGCCTTGCCAGGGCTTCGAGAACGCATCAGAGATGCTATTGCGTCCAACCGTCGAATTCATGGATTGGGATTATACGAACAGTGGGAGAAACTGGTCCTTGGGCCACTGTCGCGGCTAGGCAAGAACGTGTTTCTGCTCCCAATCGTTATCGTGGTCGACGCACTAGACGAATGCGACGACGAAGATGATGTCTCCCTGCTGATTCAATGCCTCGCCGCCGCTACGGCAGTCGAAACCATTCGGCTGCGTGTTTTTGTTACAAGTCGACCAGAACAGCCAATAAATTCGGGTTCGACAGCATCTCGCAGGACGTGCACCGAGATTTCATCCTTCACGATATTGAACGGTCCATCGTAAATCAGGACCTAAAGTTATTCTACAGGTACAGGCTTACGCACACTGCTAAAAGATTCGGCCTTAGCGCCAGCATTTACTCCGAGGAAATCATCCAGTGCCTAGTACAAAAGTCCGATCGCCTGTTTATCCATGCAGCTCTAGTGTGTCGCTTTATTCATGAGGGTGGACAACTTGCCGACGAACGTCTCGCTCTTCTAGTTGCCTCGGGAAGCGCGCCAACTAAGCCGGAGAAGGAGCTGGACATGATGTATACTACAATCCTAACATATTCATTCCCGGTACAACTTGAGCCGGAGGAGGTAGCCAAACTGCGGGACTTATTCAGCCTCGTCGTTGGATCTATCGTGGTCCTTTCCGACGTAATGACACCTTTGGATTTGGTCACGATACTTGATAAACCGAAACACGATATCTTTCGGATGCTGCACTGTCTTCATTCAGTGTTGAATGTTCCAGAGGACGAGACTAAGCCCATTCGTCTCCTCCATCCGTCCTTCCGAGACTTCCTTTTGGACCCGGCGAGATGCCTAAACAAAACATTCTTGGTCGACGCTAATATTGTCTACCGTCAGCTGACAAACAGCTGTCTCTGGCTCATGAAGAATCATATCCGACGGAACATTGCTAAAGGGCCATTCGGGTTGGATTAATGTTGTCGCCTTCTCCCGGGACGATCAACTCGTGATGTCGGGATCGTCAGATATGGCCTTACGGCTATGGGATGTGTACGAGGTCGGTACTAATCTTCGATTTTTATCTTTTTTCTCCTGTGGTACACACGTTAATGATCATGGTGTTCTTCAGTTGCGTTCTGCGTCCAAATTATGCCGTTATATTTGTGTTTCAAGTGCGTGGGTACGGGAAGACGGCGAAGATATTTCTCTTCTTCATCTAGATTATGGAGATTGTCACTTATGGGGTTTTGGCGATATTTATGGTTTTCAGTCGCTTGCGCGACACCATCCTACAAGTCGACGGGTCTTCGAAGATACTAGAAGATACAACCGCAATTTTGGTATAATCCTCAGCTGATTCTGAACTACAAGGAGATATCTGAACGAGCAAAAGCTTCGCACTATGCGTAGATCAGGTGTCATATGTTTTGCATAATAAGCAACGTTAACTCTTAGTCCCCGTTCTTCCGTTTAGAACGAAGTATGTCATACCGTATGTGTGGGAACAGTATAGAAGTAAAGTAGGTTGATTGTTGTTGCAAGAGGGAGCTCTCGAGATGGAGCGAAATGCGCTGGTGTCTGTCTGGTGGACCATAATCAGCTGGCAAGGGCCGACAGGCGAATGTATGGTTGGTACCGTGAGACCCAACGGATGATGGTTACGACGAGCATTTGGCCCCTGCACACGCACTTGTAGACAGCTAGATTATCGGACAGGACCTCCGCCCTTCCTTCCTCACGATACAACATAATATAGTTCTTAAACCCATGCTCCCAACTTGACACAAGGGTAGTAGACAGGCGGCCTGGATACTTAAGATCTTAACAAATTATCCTTTATTATATAAGCGATGGATCTATAGTAACAGTGTATTCAGCATTAATTTCGCTAAGAAGTCGATCCATGGCACGTTAAGTTGGTATTCAGGCCAGGCTCTGGTTTGATAGCTGATGGAGTCATTAAGCCATTGCCAAAGTCATTATTTAGGAGGTCCATTGAGCTACTGGAATGAGGTGCATGGCGGCACCGACAAAGTAAAGAATAGCTTCAATTTGGCTAGATGATAAAGTTTTGGATATGGGGCCAAAACTTTGCAATAGGCCTGCGAGTCTCAACAGCTTTTAGGGCTTGTCGAAGTGACGTGCTGGACGTCTTGTGTGATCACTGTCGGACTTTCAAGGCTACTACATCAAGACTGCCAGACTTGGAAGGACATATGGCCACGCAACGTACGTTATGGGCCAATATTACCACCACCCATCGAACCACACAAGTCCTGCCTGTGGGGCAGGCATCAGTCATTACTGTTTGTGTAAGGCCCTTATGGCCGCCGTCCACTTCGTTCAGGAATCTCCAGAGATCATGACCCTTTCAATACAAGACTATTTGCCCACAATCCAACAATCACCATAACAATTTGGTCCGCAGGTCAAACTCATAACTTGTTCCCATAGGTCATCCCCTTCGTAAAGTAAATGAAACAAGCAGTCATTCATTCCCTCATTTCTAAAATCAATCCACAAAAAGGCATCAACTGTGAGATTAAAGGTCCTTCCTAGAGTAAACACCTCCAGCGTAGTTCATCCAAGGTTCAGGCGTAGGTCTTCGTGTGCCGGTGCGTTTCTCGTTGAGATGGGAAATTTCAGTCGTTTTTGATTGAAACACCACGACATTGCTTCATAAACAACATATAGTTCGATAGTTCAGACAATTATCCTATGGATCCTAATTGTGCCCACTACATTCCCACGTATTAGCATGGTCTCGAACGGCCTACTGGGGCTTAGTGAACATACAATCATGCTATTCAACGGAATGCGGAAGCACTAAGTACTATATGAACCCTGGACTTATGTAGGAGACTGCGTTGGCCTTTCGTTTCATTTGGAGATCCTTTAGGGTAGTTTTCTTGTTCGGGAAAACACCGAGACACAATTATCGTCCACATCCTTGGGCAGGGAACCTTCAGAATATGTGAAGTGACCATCGTACACAAGCAAATCAAACATCAAGAACATTCTGAAGGGCAAATCAAGTAGTACCACGAGGCTTGGCCTTCTGCTTGGCCTTCCCCTTCTTCTCCTCCTTTTGCCTCTTCTTTCTGGCCTCATTCTGCTCATCTAGTTTCCGCTTGTGGGCGGCTTTCTGCTCGTCTGTCTTCGGGACCGGCTTGAAGAAGCCCTCCAATCTGGCCTGCTGGTTGCTCTTCAAGTTCTTCTCCAGCCTAGTGCCAGCTGATCGTACACGGTCCTCGGAGAAGCCCTTCTCGGTGACGAGATACTGAACAAGGCCCTCGATATCGGGTTTTTCCCACTTGAAGTCGCACAGGGGATCGTCGGCCTTGCGCACATCGGGGTTGAAGAAGAGCTCGCGGGCGTCGGCATAGGGCCAGTCATCTGGGACGACGTATTTTTCTCCGCTTTGCATGAACTCGACCACTTTCTCGAGGGTGCCGTGGTCACGGATGAGCTTGAGCGCCGTGGCGGGGCCAACCTTGGGAATCGGGTCGACATAATCGCAGCCAAGCAAGATACAGAGGTCGACGAACTGATCCCGCTCCATACCTAACCCCTCGAGTACCTTGTTCAAGTGGATTTCCTGGATTGGTTCCTTCCTCTGCTCGCTAAAGGTCAGATGTCGCAGCAGGATAGGACTCTCGAAGCATAGAGTGTCCATGTCCTCACTCGCTGCGGCATATACCTTGCCAGCTCTTGCGAGGACCGCGCACTGGGCCTCAGCTTCCGTCGGCGCGATGATGTAGGGAATGCCCATGAGCTTCAGCAGCTTCTGGCAATCCTCATTATGCTCTCTTGTGACTCGGACTGTGCGTCGCGAAAATTTCTCAATTTCTTCAGCTGTGCCGGTCTCTTTCGCCTCCTCGAGTCCCTCGTTCGCCTCGGCCTTGCGCTGGAATCGTTTCGCAAGTTCGCCGGACTTTAGCTTGGGGGGTTTGCCGTCGAAGACATAGACGGGCTTGATGCCATTGTCGACCATGCGAAGGGTTCGGTAGAACATGCCCATTACATGAGAAGTCGTCTCGCCGGACTCGTTCATTAATTGTTGGCCGTCGGATCGTACGGCAATGAGGAAACTGTAGATGCTCATAGACCTGCGACAAGATTAGAATGAATGCGTTCGTCGTATTACAGCATTAAAAGCCACTCACGCATCCTACAGTTGTTAGCAGATCCGAAGACACAAGACGCGGGAAATGGCTCACAATTGCAACTTTGCGACCAAAATGGTTCTTGATCTCGCCTTCCTTGATGGCGTCTGGGGCCTCATCTCGGATGATGGGGAACAGGCCCTTAATACCCATCTTGACGAATGGTGAGCGTTGCCGGAACTTCAACGGCTTTATAAGTGGTCTCAGTACAAGGAAGTGAACGGGTAAGTTCTAGTCCCTTCGAAATCTGCTATGATCGGTTAAGCTGAACGTTATGAAGTCATGACAGGCTCGAGACACGAAACGCGCTAGAATTGTCAATTAACGCGCCTTCCTGACGCGGCAGCCTAGAAGGGTGGGGCCTTGTGGACGGTGCGCGAGGTGCCACTTTTCCCAGGTAACCTGCAGCAATTCCAGCCGCCTTCCACACGTGGACAACCCTTGCTGGGGAGTTACCTTGTCTAATTTACTCGAGGCATAGAATTCCCTGAACCTTGCCATTCCTCATCCATACACGTGCATCAGATTGGCATACTATGACATAAGGTGCCAGCAAGTAAAGTGTTACCGTCCAGAGTGCTTTGAGTGGCCGATGCTGCATCAGCTCGCTATAGTGTTTGTAAATGCTCCAGGGCTCGTCTCATGACTTCCATCCGTCCAAACAGAACGAATAGAAGGAGTATTATATAGTATACGTCCGCTTTTTGTTATGCATGGGAGTTAGTGAATTAATTTATTAAGTTGATGCAGACCGAACGGCAAGCGGCACGGCAAACCTGACATACGCTGGAACCAGGGGCATGATAATATTCTGCACTCAAGCACATGTATTCAGTTTGAGAATTAGATAAATTTGAAGAATAATCTTTCATAAGAACTAAATCCTCCAATTCAATGACCGGCATGCAAGATGCAACAAATAATAATGGATTGGGAATTACACTTACAGAATCCTGAGTAGCCAATTGAGACGATTAAGTGATGCATCTATCTATCTATGAATAAACTGTCAGGATTTATTATTCCTGTTAGCGTGTTATAAAAGCTCCGAAAACATGATGCGGTCTGCGTCATGAGCCTCGGCTTGGCTGTTGTCCGAAGAACCTACCCTACCTAGTAACCCACACTATAGTTTAATGCTGGCTTTTAACAAGCGAGAGAAACTAATTTTGCTACATCGAATGAGATTCGTTAGTTACTCTGAACACTATGCCAGAAGTGTGGGAATGTTCATCATGGTGTATGATCCCATCCCAAACTTTGCTGCTCATCTGTTCGATCAGCTCAACAGGATTTGATAGTTCCTGAGGGCTAACTTGATGGTGATCCCGTGCTCGCCTCTCAAAAGATTCTACATCAGCATCTATATCTACAGCATCCTCACAAGCCAGCTTTAGATATCATTGCCCAAACCCACGAAAGTCACCTTTGTATACGCCCCGTTCTCTAGCAAAGAATTCAACAGCGTCCCATCATTTCAAGTCGATAGCATTCCTGAGTAGTGTCCCCTCGCGATCACCTGGGAGCTCAGGGCCCTGCTATCTACACTAATCACGAAAAAGTCTCCGGACACCCCACACCCCAATTTGGTAATTAAAACAACAACAATATCAGCCTATTGATTTCAACTAGCTATTACAACCCTAATTTGCAATGGATTTTTGAGCTTTTGCTATGGAAATAAGCGGTAATCGCGGCGCTAATTGCGAATCCAGTCCAGAAGCTAGAGCCGCTATTTTAGCCGCTAGGGCAAGTAGTATAAGTCGGGCCAGCGACGCGCTATCGCTGAGGAACCGGAGGGCCCTTCGATGCAGATACCGAAAGGGGGCAGGTATTTCGGCCTGAACCGACTGGAGGCGTCTACGCTGTGCCAGATCAGGACGGAAAAAATAGGACTAGCAGCCTTCTTATTCAAGACAGGGGCTTTTGGCGTGTACTCGCCGCTATGCCGCTGTGGCGACGCCCCTGAGACGGCAGAGCACGTAATCCTCTTTTGCGGGCTGTTGGAAGGACCGAAGGAACGATTACGGGCCGCCATCGCACCACGGCCACTATACTCTCGCAGAGACCTCGCAACGGCAACAGGAGAACCAGTAGTTAGTGGGACTATTGTAAGGTGGCTGCTAGGGACGGGTCGGACAGCTTCAAGGCCCAGATAGCATCGATCTTCTCAGGGGGGACTTTGTTGGTAGGTTGAGAACCAACGTAGTATGGTAGTGGACGTAACGCAGTCGCCAATAGGGCGAACCGACGACGCAGCGTATGTATTTAGTCCAGCCATTAGGGCACGGTTTGACATACGGGAGTACTAGTAGAGGTACCGGGGGCTTCGAGCCTACGGCGTATTTAATAATAATAATAATAGTATAAGTCGGAAGGAGGTGGCAGACGCGTTCGGCATGTCAAGGCCCTAAACTATTACTAATATCGCCGGACGCGCTAAAATAACGAAAATACAGCTACGAGGAAACGGATAGGTGCCCCTAGAAAGCTAAGCGTAAGAGATAAGAGGTATCTAGTCGTTTTATGCCGCTAGGATCCTAGAATGACGTATACGGAGCTTAAACGTAAGGTAGGTGTATCGGTAACCCTAGACACTATTAAGGTAGTTTAACACCGTTATCACCTGAAGAAATAGCGTACGGTAAAGCGAATTATCTTAACAGCCGAAGATGCGAAGGAGCGTCTTAAATTCTACCGCTAGCACCGTACATCGGCCCAGATCCGGCAGCTTATACGGACACTCTTCTCGGACGAGTGTACGGTCCAGAATTCGCCGGACTCTCCAGGCTAATAGGTCTTCCGCTATACGAACGAGAGATATAGAGAGGATCTCGTGAACCTAAAGAGCTACGGGCGCCTACGAATTTCGATTATAGTGTGGGGTATGATCTAGTTAAGGAACGATAAAGGGGGGGGCATCGAAGTTAGTCTTCTACGACGGCGATCTAGTGATGCGTGCACCTAGGGGGGAGGATGCTATAATGCAGCAGTGCGCAACGTTATAGTATCTAATTGAATGGGAGTCACCTAACCAGTGGGTCCCCCTACCTTTTCGTATCATCTAGACTCTCCGTGCTCTAGAGTATCCTCACGGTCTTATTACGATATCCTAGAGCAGGGTGCTAGTATTCATACTATTAAATAAGAGACGATTTTCAAGTTACAGATTAGAATTTAAGCGTAGATTAGCTGAGAAATTCATCTTTAAAGTTATTGATTGTTTTATATTGTAGGGGCTTAATTGTGGGTGTCCGGAGACTTTTTCGGGGTCATTGTATCCTATTGATATCGACCCTAATACGGAGCAAATTATTCAACATAGATCGCTGCGTACGGATTAATCGAGCGGTTGAATGCAAGGAAATCGCATATTCTATTTTTACACTAGCTGGATGAGTGATTAGATGATGGCTTTTGTTCCCCGTCTCGCTGCAGCATAGAGAGAGGCACCAGGTCGACGGTCCAAGGACGACTTCGGTCTATGTTCCAGTTAGTTATCTTATTACTTCGGCACCTACATACCTTAGATGCGGCTGGGAAATACTGACGATAGGACAGCGCCCCTTTAACCACACAGATTCTGGATGGGATGTCAGACTGGAGTTTCAACCAAGGCGTACAGCACTGCAACAGCATGCAGCGTAACTGGGACAACAGGGTCACAACCTCCACAAACTCACCATCCCGGCCCGGAACCTGGGCTGGACTTGAGAGCTACAATTCGACACAGGACTTCATTACGAGTGAGGTAAGTTTTTATATCGATCTCTACTTACACTCTTTGCGCCTAGTCGCGCTACTATCTGACTATATGCAGGTGGTCATTACTGCCGGTGATCCTACAGAGCCAAAGCTCTATATCTGAGCAAAGGACGGCGAGATATCTTTCAAGACAATTCCTTTCAACGAGGATGTCCGCTCAATGGCAATATTTGGACTGTACGGCTGCACCACCGTCATTGTTGTTTCTCGCGAAGACGTCTGAACTAGCGTGAGAATTTCCATAGTTCACTAATTATAAAGCGAATATAGTAGTATCTTTTCTTATTGCTTCAACGGGGTTTCGGGATGAAACGGCGTAGAAAATGCCTTCTCCTGTTCTCACCGCTAGATCGGCTATAGCCCTTAGGAAATAATTCTGAAATATTTGATGGTCAACTCTTGAATCAGTTCTTTGGATGCAAGCATACTGCTTATTTCGGGGTTCTCACTAATTTGGAGGGCTCCATTCTATTGGAGGCCATGACGGAGAGAATCTTATCCTATTCGACTCTCATGTCTCGCGCGGGTTTAGACGCTTTGGGTCTACATCAGTAGACGTAGCTACTAGAATATCCGTCCAGGGGTCCCATACGGTTCACACCGCTTAAGCAATTGATGAGAAATTAAGGTTCGACTTCCTCATCCTTAGCGTCAACTGAATGCTGCAAGTATGAATTGACTTTCCCGCCTGTGGTAATCATAACGTTGGCCCTGTGAGGTTGCTTTCCAAAACGGCTCTGCTTCAGTGGAACTTCCATGAACGGGAAGTAATGCAAAGCTTGAATATTGCAATACGCCGTAACAGCAATTAACCAGAATTACTTACGTCCCTCATTGCAGCTGGTTTTGTTTATTTCGTTTTCTTTACTCATATATAAATATTGAATTATATATCGAGGATGAAGTGATCGTGGCCGCACACTGATGATGGTTATTACGGTCGTTGATGCCGCTATTGCAGCTGGTCGTGTTCCCAATAATACCTCAGCCGACTACCTGAACGAAAGTCGAGACCGGGAAACGATCATTATCATATTCTTCGTTTATGGTCTGACATTCGTTTTTGTTAATTTCCGGATATGGTCGCGGGTCTTTCTCATCAAGCGCTTCGGTTTGGATGATGGACTAGCAGTGCTCTCTCTGGTAAGCTTTGGGATCCTTGTGAGATATCTCGCATCTGACACTACTTCGAGATTCTCACGATCCCCTTCCTGGTTATATCCTATAAACTCACGGAAATCGGATCTACCCGCCACTACGCCTACTTGCAGTATGTCATGTCCGAGGATGATGTTGGGCACAACCAGAGCTGGGACGTCCTCGGTCACATCTTTTATACAACTGTGATGCTTCTCTGCCGCCTTTCCGGCCTAGCTTTCTACTATGACATCTGTAGCAGCCATCCGGGGTTTCTCTTGAGTATGAAAATACTTGCTGGGATCTTGGTCACGACTTATATCCCACAGCTCTTCGTCTTTATTTTCCACTGCGTCCCGATTTCGGGACTCCGATGGCCTTATGAGTTCCAGCCGGAATGGGCCGCCACCAGATGCATTCCATGGGGAGTTGTCTATCGCATCAACTCATCCCTTTCTTTCGTTTGTGATGTGCTTCTGTTTATACTCCCGGTGAGTATGCTGCACAGTTTATACCTGTCGCGGAGACGCAAAATTCAATTGGCATGCGTAATTTTGCCTGGAATTTTGTGAGTACGATATTACTCTCTCTAATATCACGACAGCGGTATGGCTGACATAAAGGGTTCATGTCAGCGTTATCGGAATCTCGGCAGCTCGTCTTATTCTAATCACACAATGCCAGTGGGATGCCGACCATAGTTGGGAATACGGTCCTCTTCTTGCAGTGGAGGTGTCAGAAATTGGCTTCACCCTCATCGCCCTCTCCATCCCAGGCATCAAGCCCCTATTCGACAAAATGGTTCTCCATAAAGATCTTCATGGCTCATCGTGGAGCATCTCACAACGTAAGAGCAATAGCTCCCAATCCGACAGTACACTGCAGAAAGCCATATCACTATGCCGGAGATGCAGGTTGTTCACAAGTAACGATCCGAATAATGAGAATATCATCAGCGGCCCCGTCACATCCAGGCTCAAAGAAGAAAATCTAAACTCCGACAATATTACAACTATACCCGACAGCATACACATTCATACGAAGATCAACATTAGGGAGGAGAATAATCACATTCCGGCCGAGAGGCAGCAAGAAACGACACCATGAAGGGGTATAAAGAATGTTAGATACTACGATGTCTCTACATAGAGGCACAAGTAGCTAGCCTTCGTTGAAATGGTATATATGGCGCCGTCACAACGGCTACACAATGAAAGTGATTCATCTCCCTCCATCCATGGTGACTGTGGATTACAGAAGATTTTGCACACACACGCATTCGCCACATGAACCAAGACATATACACATTGCGCATTTTCCCTGCCGACTTCCCCTTGAACCCCGTCACGAAGATAATTTGTATTAGTCAAGAACTGCAAGACCACACAACTGACATTCTTCACCCGATCGTATCCAAAAGCTCCAATATCACACATGTAACCTACACTTTTGGCTTTGTGAAGCGTGCGATTTGATATTCAAAAGCACTTGATCTGATTCTGATATACAATATCGCCTATGGACTGTTTGCTCTCAACTGAACGACCCGAAGGCTATTATCGAGCCCCCGTCTCTGAACTATCTGATATTGCCAGGCTCGAGTCTGTATCGGACTTTGATTTCACAAACTTTTGGTCCTTCTTCGCTGTGATGGTTCTAAGCGATGATATTTTCAACTTCTATCCTATGATGCAGCTTCTCAGGTACTGTCATCCTCAAACTCGTAAAAGTCAGTACTCCTAATACGACTCTTGTGCGAGGTTTCTGATGGATTGAAGATCCAGGACCAATACTAGCTTAATTTGACTGCTATTACATGACCATCAGCGCACGGGGTTCAATTGATCGAGCGGAAAGCGATTGTCCGGGATTAAGTTGTGGAGACATTGTTTGTCTGTTTGACCGAGGCGTCTTCCTCACTTTTTGGTATCCATCAGAGTAACCAATTGGGTCCATTTCTTGTGCTGCAGCTACTACATATGAGTTGGCATTATTAGTATGTAACAAGAGTCGTACCACCCTCACCAACCCCACTCTTCCCCCTCGGCTGGTTGATGATCAACTTAGTAAGCAAAACGCTGGTGATGTGGTTCCGACCCTTGGTATATAGGCTCTCTTACATATATGCAGGCGAGTTAGGCCACCGTTGTATTTCCCTCCTGTTGGTTCATGCTGTAGAGAGTAATTGAGGGACGTTTGGGTGTATGAGCGCGGATTGGCATCTGAGGTGTCGGTGTCGTCTTTTAGAAATGGCAAGGACAGATGCTGCTTAAATATGCATCATAGTGGGGTTCGCCTATTAACCTCAAGACTGTCTTATCCCCCCCCCTACTAACTATGTTTTTGTTCATCATCACATGCTTCACCCAATCCCTTTTGATATTTAAATTTTTTATTACTAAATCAGCAATATGGGAAGTCTGGCCCACATGCAGCTCGATTCCTGAATCAAGTGGTTCATCGATAGCTGTTCACGAGCCACTGCAACTTCCCTTACCAAGATGCCACGAGCCTGCCATACTTTCAGGCGACGCTCAAGGAAGCGTTGCGGATATTTGCCCCAGTACCGAGTATGGCCAGCAACCTTTTCTGTCAGGCCGTTCAGAGAAACAAAACATTGCGCGGATTTAGATGTCTAAATTTGCTGAAGTCTCCCGTCACTCGAATTTGAAAGATGACCTAAAGAACAGGCTACACTGATTAGTGACTATTCAAGGTTATGGTTACCTTTTAAATTGGCTTGAAATGTCTCAGACAGGTATTGGAGGTTGTTGAAGTGACGTGCTGGACGGCCTGTGTGTCATGTCATAATAATTTGGCTAAGGGTAATATTTTCAGTCTGTTAAATCATAAATCATTCCTTTCGTAGATCCCATAAAGCAAGCCGTTCGTTAATCCTTCTGTTTCCGACTCGACTACGACTTGAGGCAAGTTGATCCAAACGATGAACGGGAGTGGTTGGCGTACTTTACTATGGAACCGAAGGGTTAGCCAGTCTATGTTCCAAAAACGTGGTTAAGGAACTAGCACGTGAGTCTACTTAGTCTCCTGTAAACATCTTGACTCTAATTTAGTGGCCGTTTACGGAGCACTATGACATCGCTACTGGTGGCGTCCGAATCTTTTCATGGGACATAAGGCCCAAACATATGAGTAACAGAGACACCTTTGCCAAGAAATTCATACTCGCTATCTAGCCAATATAATTGTGGTGCCGGAATGCAAGTATTAGGGGCTGTATTGGTACTATGAAGGTGCATAAGGGACCAATCTCAAGTTGGCCCTGAGGGGTCCCTAAATACTACAACGCGTACCTGCCTGCCTCGTCCCCTCCACCCCGGAGGCCACGAATTCCCACAGGTGGAAAATTAATTGTGGTTCCTAGTACAGACATTAGAAAAAATTAAATTGAGAAGCCTGCGATATAATCAGATTATGTTCTCCAGGATGCCTTCTTCTAAGGTACGATCGACCCAACACGCTAGGATACACTTACGTTATCAAGCTTTGCACAGTATGGTACACCGTATAAATCTGACCCAGGGGCGGAAAGGCATCCACACCCTCGTATATCCACTCGCTTACGACGAGATCCGTTCCGTTCTCTGCCACAGCGACAGTCACATTCGAGTTGCTTGCCTCGTCATAGTACGTTACCTTATATATACCAGCCGCCTCCTCCCTAGCCGTAGCATACAGTACAGGCACGAATTTATCTGCTATCAACTCGGGGGTAATACGTTCCGTGGGTATAGACTACTCATCCGCAGCCAAAACTTTGAAGCCCACATCTTAGTCGCGTAGTAGCGATATCCATTACTCGTAAGCGCTCAGATTGTCAGATTTGGTGTGCATCCACGAGACAGGCTCACCCGCGGCACGGAGAATTTCCGGCCGCGCGCCGACAGAAATGTTAGGGTTCAAGGTCAAAGAGAGGGGTTTCATCCAGCGAGGTTCAGACCGATTTGCCGATATTGCCCGTATCGTAAGTATAGCTGAAGTAGCCGCCGGCGGCAGATTCGTCTAGGATATCGCCATCCCATCAGCTAGTAGTGGGTTTGGTAGGGGTAATAGAACTGCTAGTCGATGACAGAGTCTTATTCGTGGTTGAGGTCAGGTTCAGGGGCTTTATGAGGTACTACTAGAACATGTCTAGCATTGACTTATCCTATGATTTTTTAGCGCCTACCCGAGGATTTTGTATGCCACAGTGGAATATGTAGGTGTCTAGAAGGGGGATGCAACTGGGTATTGTATAAAGTCTAAGAAGAAAGCTTTCAATAAGGGTCAGTCGAAAAGTTCACAATAAACAGATAAGAGGCAGCTTTTGAAGGCGAGGTGGTAGACTTATCTATGCGGTTACATGGTATCTTAGGACTGGCTAGTTCACCACAAGTCGAATGTTTGTTCTCACTTAGAAGAGGAATCCCAAACTCTCCGAGAACTCCTGCTAGTATTGCCGGGTAAGTAGCATATCTAGCAATACCGGCCATCTGACTTACCAAAGCCCCCAACGTGGAACTCCAGTCAACAAGATCAACATCGCCTTAACCTTACTCTATAAATGCAAGCTCGGGAACATATTCGGTAACGAGGTCGTTCCATCATATATCCCCTGCCGCAACCAGGTGGAGGTAGACTATCTACAGCTTTGAAACGCTTCCGACTCGATAGGCAGTATTCGAGTCGACAGTTTTAACGCCGCCGGTTGATTAGCTGGAAAGGCCCTCAGTACTAAGTAATAACTGAAGAGAGGCGTTTCATCGTAAACAGGATAAATTTTAATCGAGAAGGCCGTTGCGTTTTGGTCAATCCAGTACCACTTAAACTGAGTTTTGAAGGAGATGGATAATTTGGTCCTTTCATGGACTTGGTTTATTATCGCCGTGAGGATGTCGAGGATAAGGTCAGTATTGAGATGCTCAAAGACGTGAAGATGAAGGAACTGAAGATGCATGGTTCGGGGTGTCTATTGGAAGCAAAGAGAGCAATGATTTCTCAGCTTTCAATCAGAACACTCGCAGTTATCATACGCCTATTTCATAGCCTTTCCTGGCTTGAGACACTGACGGCATCATCTTGATCACCATGACGCCCGTTTCGCGCAGAGTAAATTAGAAAAACCTCGCCTTGATGGCTTGGCTACACTTTGCTATGATTGATTACCCCATTGCGAAGCAGAATTGTTGCACGGTCAAGTGAAATAAGCCGGGGGCTTTTTTAATAGTCAGCTCTGCCGAGATGACATATGATTAGTCCCTCGGATCCTCTAGACACTGCCCTCAAGCCCGCCTGCCGTCTGCCGCCGATATATTATCTCGTCAACTAATTTTTCTTACCCCAGGCACACCAGCTGGGTGCTTGGTGTTGTGCTTTGGCCAATTTCCCATAGCAGGCATTCCGTAGTTGCAGATTCGTGAAGTTAGTCCCATCATCTTCATCGCCAATTCAGCTTCACTGTCTGTATTGCCCACGCCTAAATTATACCGGCCCAGCAATCTCAAATATTCCTCCTCCTTCTCCCGTTCATGTCAAATAAAAGTGGAATACTCGTTGGGTTCCAGCAGTCTAAGTGACCCTTGCAAGGCCCCTTGGGGGTGCCCCAGCGATAGAAATGAGGTCAGGTACGGGGCGTATGACCCTTAAATGGTGTCACCAGCTTCCTGGATTTCAATATTATCTCCGATGTAGCTGATTCCACTAAGGGAATTTCTGAACCTCTAGACATGAATAGTTCTTCAACTTCGTCATGACTCTCAGTCTGTTCAGCAGCTTGCTGCCCGGAGTTACTCATAAAGCATCTCTATAATCGGCATATTAAACTGATCAAGCACCATCCCATACGTAACTGACATACTATCGGCGTAAATGTCGAGGTACGTGTACACCGTCTCACAGATCAGCACATGTAGCAAATCATCCATGGACCTCTTTTATCCAGTGGAGTCATATCCTCTTGTGTTCCAACTCTTACCTTCACGGTCTGACTATGTTGACATACTCCTCGGTGCGTTTCCAATGAATGATAATAATGCTGACTTTGTGCATCTTTGCTGCTGTCTGGTTAGCTCAAATTGTAAATAGTATATACCCTTTGGTGTCGAGCCCGGGGTTCCAGGAACCTTGTGTACATTCGAAGTACGACGAAACATTTCGCCTCATAAATACTAGTCACAATCGTCAACGCAGATTATAGAAACGATCGCTGTCGAAGACCATTAACACGCCACCTAGAGGCGTCTCGGGGTCCAAAAATCGCGAAAATCAATCGAGGACTACCTCTGGGCATTCTCGAAAATGAAAAGAGCGGAGCAAGAAACCAGGATTGAGTAAATCCGGGGTGCATTCGTCCCTCATTTCCGCGAATCATGCTCTCTCGCACTTCGAAACAGCAGCTTTATCTCCTTGTCTCGCCCGAACGACTCCCGGAAATCGTGGACATCGGAGAAGGCCACCGCTGCTGATCACTCTAAATGCGGCTAGCCTAAGCCGAAATAGGGGTTGAGCATGGGCCTAGGGTGACCTACCGGAAGGGGTGTCTCAGTTTTAACACGCAGCGTCGCATTTAGAGTGGCTGCATCACGCCCAGATCCCAAATTTCGCAGTCGAATTTATTGAAGGGAGAATAACGGACCAGATATGGAGGCTAAAGTGGAGTCCCGTTTCTACGAATATGGAATTTGCAAAGCGGCATGCTCCATTTGGATGGAAACGTCATGTCGCCATTAGATTAGGATGGTGGGTATAAGATGTGGTTGATCCCCTTTGATCCTAGGCGCAGTTCGTTCGGATCAGCGCACCACCGCATACTGTCTCTCACTCATTCATTCGTTGATCTACAAACCGTCAATATGGTTTCCTTCACTTCCGTCCTACTGGCCGTGTCCTCCGTGGCTGGTGTCTTCGCCGCGCCCAGCGAGTCCAAGCCCTTGTCTGCTCGCGCCGACACCTTCACTTCGAGTTCGACTGGCACGAGTAACGGATTCTACTATTCGTTCTGGACGGACGGCAGCGGTGACGTCACATACACCAACGGCGACGCTGGCGAGTACTCTATAACGTGGACTGGCGACAATGGTAACTTTGTCGGGGGCAAGGGATTCAACCCCGGCGCTTATTCCAAGTAATTACTATCCTCAAACTATGATTGAATGAATGAATAAATGAAATTAACAAAGCACCCAGATCCATCGCCTTCTCCGGCTCCTACAACCCCGACGGCAACAGCTACCTGTCCGTCTACGGCTGGACGCGAAGCCCGCTGATCGAGTACTACATTGTCGAGTCGTACGGCACGTACAACCCTGGCTCCGGCGGCACAGAGAAGGGCACCGTCACCTGCGACGGCTCGAGCTACACCATCTATACCAGCACCCGGACAAACCAGCCATCCATTGATGGCACCGCCACGTTCCAGCAGTACTGGTCTGTTCGTAGCTCCCACCGTACGAGCGGAACTGTCACCACCTCGTGCCACTTCGATGCTTGGGCTGAGGTTGGTTTGGCGCTGGGTTCCGAGTTCAACTACCAGATCGTCGCGACGGAGGGATACTTCAGCAGTGGATCAGCTGATATCACTGTTAAGGAGGCTTAAGTGTTGGGTAGAAACGAGAATGTGCCACGTTGATAGTCTGAGAATATACCCGTTTTGAATGCTGTACCATCTGCCTGCAACTACGTTATTTCATTGTGCATAATCCACAAGGAAAGTGTCTACTTAGAAATGGCCACCCTAAACATCTTCTTCGTGTTAGCCGCTGGTCCATCCGCTACACTTTCCAAGCCCTGCAATTGTCCATCATCGCGCTTCACCATGATGGTCTTGGCCAGTGACGCCTTTGGAGGGAACTTCGCGTTGAAGACTTCGTCCAGCTCCTCGAGCGTGCGACCACGGGTTTCGACACCGAAGAAGAACCAGACGATACCTAGTCCATGCATTATTAACAACTTCGATAATTTGGTTACGTTTGATGGTTGTCTTACCAAATATCAGATTCAGTCCCACAAAGACGAGGTAATATTTCCACGTGACGGCTTGCAGGGCGATGGCAGTGACATAGCTGTTGTACAAGTTGGCGCAGTTGGACATGATGACATGCTGGGCGGTATAGTCAGTACATACGCGATGCCAAATCGCATGTCAGAGGGTTGTCTTACAATGCCCATGCCTTTGGCTCGAGTGTGGTTGTTTAGAACTTCGGCACAATATGTGGCTGTCAAGGGCGTGTAGACAAACGAGTAGACACATCCGAACAGGAAAATCTGAGAAGATGTTAATAACGCTCCTAAGAGGATGGTTGTGCCAATGGCCTACCATTGCCACACCACCATTCGAGAGCCCAGTCCCCGCATTATTATTTCCATCGAACTGGCTTGAGAACCCAGTCACACCCGAGAACAGACAAGCCAGGAAGATCGATCCCACCCAAAGCTTGGTGCGGCGCCCGATCTTGTCGTTCGTAGCTGAACCTGCCACTGCTCCCGCGCATGACACGATGGAGTTCATAAAGGTGAGTAGCAGTCTTCGCTCAGTCGACTTGATGCCAAGCTGGGTATACATCGAGGGAAGGTAGTAAGTCAAAACGGAATTCCCGCAAAGTTGCGCGAAGAAGGACATGAATGCCATTTCGAGGAACCGCCATCGAGCATTGTGGTTCTCCACTCTGGTTTGTGTTGGCAAAGCAATATTACTTGCACAGGGTAGACTCACAGTTCCCAGTAATTGTACCACACTTTCGCCTTCTGGACTTTGATGCTTTCCTCAAATTCTTTGAGCTCTAGTAAGACTATAGGATGGTTCACATCACCTCCCCCATGGTACTTGGCTATGATATGAGCGGCGCGTTCGGCCTTACCCCTTGCGACAAGCCAGCGTGGAGATTCAGGGATGAGTAGTGCACCGATGAAGATGAAAATAGGCGGAACCAACTGCAGGGCCAGCGGGAGCCGGAAGGCCAGAGTGGTGTTCGATTTATTGGAGGCGTAGGCGACGCCGGTTGATAGAATGGAACCGGCGTAGAAGAAAGTGTTGTAGTAGCCGACTACCCGAGCTCGCCACTCTAGAATGATGTCAATATGACTTGTTACGTTTCATGAATGCGAGAATATTCCTCACGAGGAGGCGCCATTTCCAAAGCATACGTAGGAGCAGAACTGGTCCCTATTGAAATCCCGAAGCCAAGCAAGAATCTGCCACCAAGCAGGTAGCTGTCGTCCTGTGCAGCTGTCAGAATACAGGCACCAGCCATGATCAGCACCGAGCCTGTAGCCATGCCGGCGCGACGACCAAACTGATCGCAGATAGGGCCAGTGAAGAGAGATCCAATCTGTGAGACTCAGCTAAGGGCACGGCACGCACACTCAATTTTTCTCGACTGACCATATTTCCGATAGTATAAATCATGAATATGATCCCGGTCGCGCTGCCCAGTTCCGTGTGGTGGAAGTACTCCTTGTACTGGGCCATGGCATTTATGGAGCTGAAGATGGACTTTTGAATGTGGTTAGCCTCATCTATATGGTGTCAAGGACACAGCGAAAAGAAATCCCCCTGCGTACGCACTCCGTCGAAACCAGAAGCCACGGCATTCAATGCCGCCACGAGCAGAATCGCATACAGTTGCAGAGATCTCTTTGACCATGGATCTAACGGAGCCGCGGTAACAGTCTCATAGAAGTGGGAGTTCCCCTGCAACTCTGTCGTCTGCATTTGAACCTTCCCATGATCAGATGCGACGCTGGCCGTCTGAGCCAGGGGCGGTCCAGCTGCGCTGAGCTCGATGTCGAGATTGTTATTGGTCATTATGGCATGCTTTACAATCTCGATGTAGATTATGATATTGAGGACAAAGCTGTGAGAAGAATAGAGTTCATATCCGAGATGGATGGTAATCATTGCTAAAAGTCGAGAGCTAGCTAAGAAACGGTCTTGTCATCTGGATCTTATCAAGCTCACGGCGCACCGTCTCCGCATATGTACGACGTTACATATTCCCGTAAGCACGCACGTGAGCATAGATGTTCGTCTTTCTCCCTTGCTGTCTGTCGCTGAACCCCAATGATCAATTGGAGTAACGATACAACTGGCGAGCTGGCTTATCAGTGGGCAACAATTGTTGCCAACCCCCCAGACTACGCTAGCCACAACGGGGCGAGTACAGGACACACAGCACCAGGGTCGACAAGATACCAGCCGGCTTTCGCGTATCCTGGGATCCCGGATCCGTTGAAAAGACCAGACCAGCAACGAGGCCGTGTAATAAGGTAGCGACAGAGCGAGGTTATAGATAAGGTTAGAAAAATATGTTGGCTGGAAATTGGGGTCAGTGGAGACATTTTCAAAGAGGGGTCTATTACGGCAACATGAGAAACGTAGTCGCTCTGATGTCCGAAATTCCATGGCCGTAGGCAGAGACTTGCCTTTGCTAAGATGCATTCTGTTCCCCCCGGACCAACTGGATAGATTTGACAAGATCAAGGTACTTGATTTTCGACATGCCCAAACCAAGTTGGCTTCAAGACCTCGAGCGGGATGGCTTTGTTGTTGTGCCGCAGGTTGTCCTGAAAGACGTGTGCGATGACTTTGTCGAATCTGGATGGGCATGGCTAGAAAGCTTCCCCCACGGATTCCAGAGAGATGCTAGATCGACCTGGAATGAAAATTGTCTCCCTTTCGGCCAAAAGTAGGTGGCTTCTCAAATCGCACCCTGGATCAGCTGACCAACACTCTAAAGGGGTGGTCTGTACAACCGATGCTCAGTCAACCACGAAGCTTTCGTGTGGAAAATTCGAACGTACGTCAATTTCTATTATATAACGTTCGAATCAGCACTGAAGCAAAGGGACAGTCAGCCTGGAATAATCAAAGTTTTCGAACAGATATGGGACACAGAAGACCTAGTTGTCTCCCTCGACGGAGTCAACATTACTCTACCCATCAGCAAAGAATCTGGGAGGACTGATATCGAGCCAACAGAGCCCTGGCCTGGTGAGTGTCTCTGTCGGTGCACCTCGCGAATTCTAACATGATTGCACACAGATATTGACCAGGATCCTCGTAAAGCCGATCGATTCGAGCTTTACCAGGGCATCGCTAACTTCTCACCGTGCGGCCCACAAGACGGCGGTCTCTGCGTTCTCAAAGGATCTCACTTGCTACACACTCGGAACTTTGAACAAATTGGTGGGTTCAGGGAGAAGCAAGATCTTGGTGTCGGCAAGAATGGGTATGACTTCACCAATGAAGATGCAGATTGGTACAAGTCGCAGGGCTGCGAAGAGATTAAAGTCTGCGCAAACGCAGGCGACTTGATCGGTCAGTCAATATTTCAGGCTCTAGAAAGTGGAGCAGTTATTACTGACATTCGGACACCAGTATGGGATTCTCGTACTATCCACTGGAATGCGAGCCCGGCTGGAGATCAAACTCGATTTGTCAGCTACGTTTGTTATGCACCGCGGTCTTTCCTGTCCGAGGCAGGTCTTGCGCGGAAGTTCGAAATATTTCAAAGTCGCAAGGGGACGACGCATTGGCCAGTAAGCTTCTTCTGGCAAGTGACTAACGTCAGATCAATAATACTAACTGTGATCGATAGCATGAGAACGTGGTGCCCGCGGACCGACCTAACTACTTTAATGCTATTCCTCGCCGGCCTGATGGTTCGGTCGACCCGGCGAATAGAACGAGGCCTTTCCAGGAGCCGGAGGAGACTGCCTTGGTGATGAGGTTGGTAGGGGCGCGGGGGCTAGTGTAGGGGTTATGCTCATCGGTGGTAGAGGGGCTGCCCATCAATAGCAGTACACGATTAAAACAGCTGAGACGATACGAAGACTCTTGACACACCATAGGATGTTACATAATATACAATAGCATATAATTGTCTAGGTTTCACACGATTGGACTATATATAACTTCAATAGCCCATGAGACACCGTAGAACTGTTACCCTTGTCGTCGAATCGAAAACGTCCAGCCCCAGAGCCGGTGCTCTCGGTGCCCCGGGGGAAAACACCCCGAGTTCCCAAGATCCTCCGTCAGGGGCTTTCTCATTCGCTCAGAACCAAATGCAACCCCCAAACTGATTAATCTCCGCCGAAACTCGGCCCTTTCTTCCGTCTTTCATGGCAAGTGACTTGCTATGTCAACATGGTATCCGAAATGTAGGTACACACCAAGCTCTCATATCAATGAAGGCATCAGCTAATTGGCTGCGCAGAAAATACGTTCTCGTTACGGGTGCAGCTGGATTTATCGGGGCTCATGTCGTCGATACTCTACTGGGGCGGGGATTCCGTGTCCGCGGCACCACTCGGTCTTTATCGAAGGGGGATGCCATGATCAAGGCGCGACCACAATATTCCTCTCAGCTCGACATGGTACAGATTGTAGACTTCGAAAACGTCGGCGTCTTCAAGGCAGTTATTAGAGATATCGATGCAGTCATCCATGTTGCTAGTGTACGTTGCCAGATCCTCAGTTACTTACAAACCTAACAATAGGCAAAAGCCGTTCACATACGACACTAAAGACAACGAAAAGGAGCTCATCATTCCCGCCATAAACGGCGTGAAATCCATCCTCGAAGCCTCAGCTGGTAGTAAAGTCCAACGCATCGTCATCACCTCAAGCTTTGCATCCGTCATAGATATCAATCGCAGGACACCTCCCTACTTCACCTACACGGCAGACGACTGGAACCCCCTTACCTATGAAGAAGCCGCCGACCCTTCTTCATCCGCCGTCATTGCCTACCGTGGTTCCAAGAAGTTTTCCGAGCTTGAGGCATGGAACTTCATCAAGGAAAAGAAACCCCAGTTCGATATCGTGACGCTTTGCCCACCCATGACGTTCGGTCCCGTGGTGCATCCGGTCAGCAAAGTCGAGGATCTGAATGAGTCCAACGCCATGCTGTGGAAAGTAGCAAGCGGCGCGAATCCGATGCCAGTTTCGAGGGTGCCCTTTTGGATAGATGTCCGAGATCTGGCGCAGGCTCATGTTGAAGCTCTGTTGAGGCCCGAGGTGAGGAATAAGCGGTTCACGACCACTGCTCCAGAACGGTTCTCTTATGGGCTTGCTGCGAGGATCATGGTGGATAAGTTTCCTTGGGTGAAGGGGCAGGTGATGGAGAGCGTTCAACCACTTGATGGATCGTATGGGCTGGATGGAGAGACGGCTGCTAAATGTTTGGGTTTCAGTTACAGGAGATTCAAGGAAACAGTGGAGGATCTCATCGAGCAAGTATATGAGATGAGCCAGAGCTCTGTCTAAGCAGGCACAAGTCGGATCATCTGCAGTTATCTATATTATCTCCAGAGGGACATTGTTTTAGGTTTTTTTAAGAAATAGGAAGGTAAAAGGCTAGGTTCATTAGTGGCCAGTCAACTTAATGGTCAATGACAGGTGATCAGCCAAACCACAAGCTCGTTGTTTGGTCAGTGGTCGCCCTGATAGCTGCAGTGAGTGATTCGTGCGCCTGGCAAATATAAATGTATGTGAGGATGCAACAGGTGCTGTCAGGCCGAAGAACATATGCAGCTACCCGTGTACTGCGATACTGTCATCGTCTTGATCTGATTGGGCTGTTTGGATGCAGGTGACGTGAACCTGGAAAGCCGATTTTCTTGATCAGGCCCAGCATTTTCTGCCTAAGGCTGTGCAAGCTGCGCCACCCCAGGATGCCTCTGCGAAGCCAAACATTCGGTCAGGTATAAGAGCTCCAGCTTCCTGCTAACATAGAGACATGAGGTGAATTGGCCAGTTTCCCACTATATTGGCACAGCTAAATAGATCAGAACCACCACTCCCATGATCTATTCGTGGAATCCTATGCTAATTCGATCCATTACCCGCTAAACCTGTGTTAAACATCTCTTTATGAGCACCGTTCAAAGACGTATTACAAGCGTCTGAGCAAAGAAAAACGTTTATATTCCACTCAAGCGATAGAGCTCTCTACATATGGGAATTATTCGGTGGTGAGGAGGGTCTGTTTTCTTTAAATTAGAGACATGACTTCAGCTGACTCTTCTCGCCAGAACCTCGTCTGTCGCTCAACCTTGAGTCGGTCGACGATTTGAAAGGGCACCTCGAAAATTCCCACAGAAATTCACGGTGCAGATTCATGTAAACCATATGAGTCAAAATCAGTTTCAGTGGGTTCAATGTAACATCGTAACTACAGCTTTTGCCATGTGACGTTCAGTGGAGCAGCACCGCTCTCGTGTTCGCGGGAGCAATTTTCACACATATGCTCATATTATCAGACAATTCCCTCATTATTTGACTTCCTGTTCGCTTTGGGGCCAAGAGAGTCGAAGTATACTTTGCCGAAATTTCGTCAAGAGAATCACCTGCATGCTGTTGACGAGACTCTTCATCCGGTATTTGGTTCTAAAATCAGGATTCAGCATGGTTTCAGCCTATTGTCTGCTTTCACTGAGAGCAGTGTACAGCAAGGACTTGCTTGTCGTCTGTCGAAAACGATCATCTACCATTCATTTGACCTTGTTATGGGCCGTTATCAGTGGTTTGTTATCGGGGATAAGGCCTATCATAACATGGTCAGGAGTGCGGTAGAAGACAGCGGCGCATTGCAACGACACTCGTCTCTGGACGTCAAGTCGGCCTTCATAGCAATTTTGACGATGCATCTTATTCTCATTAAAGCATCCTCAGATACCCTGGCCTATTGCATTGACTACCTCGAGCAGGCGTGGCATCAGGTCCGCGATAATATAAGCCATCATCGCAACAGTGGGATGACAGCCCCGCCATATGTACGATATTCTACCAGTACTAGGGTTCAGGTATTACTGCTCTCGAGCCGAGGACCATTTCAAACACATCTGGAGATTTCTTGATTTTCCCCCCATTTAGCAACGATATTACGAACACGACGAGGTCTGGAAGGCGGGCAAGGGCTATTAGCTCAGATCTACGGAGTACGATCTACTCAGACCTACTTCTCCGTTTTTTGCATATCGGTTTACGTAGGATCAAGTTAAAGGGATATCATGGTTTGTTTCCTTCGTGCGGTTCATGTAGATGGAGGTGTGCTGTCCCCCTTTCTCATTGACTGCTTTGGATGGATGCGGTTTGACTTCTTTCTGACAGCGGAGTATAAGAGACATGGACGGCCGTTTGGGGATAGTTTTCGATGGCTTTATATATCGTCTATCAAGATATTCAGAATGAGGATTGTCTAATAATCGTTCGTGGCTACAGCAAAAATTACAGGTGCACCTTTTCAGTGTATTAATGTGTGTGGTCTGTGCAATTTAACTATGCAATATGGTGCTCCCCCTATGTCTTTGCTCCTTAAGTTCGACTTCAAAAGCGATCAGAAGCCGTTCTGTTGTTTTACAGTATCCATTGATATGTACTAATACTTGAGGCTTATGGTCTGGTAACAGACTGCGTCTGGACTCTACTGAAGCCCGATGGTGGTATTCCTCAGCCTCAAATCTGCAACGAACATGAGAATCAAACAGCGCTGCCCCAAATTATCCATCTTGTTATCTGACTTTATAAAAATTATGCAAGAGGCTAAAGGGCAAACTTGCGTCGCCGTCTGTGACCGGCTCGTCATAGACTCGGTAATGACGGTATTTTATCGCACCAATGGGAATCTGCTCCTAAGAGCCTCATCAAGAAGCTTTGGAGCGGAGAAGGGGCGGGAAGTGAAATACCCATGTAATGAATTCTCTGCCTAGGGGAAATCCACCCTCGCGATGAATATCTAGGATGCCAAAGTCTGTTCAATTATCACGATATACGGAAGAGGATTTTTCAAACACCTGCTCTGTTTTGTGCATATTTGCTATTAATAGCTACATGTTAACAGCCGTTGCTGGGCAAACTCTTAACCGTGTACATCCCCCATCTGGAAACTTTACTATCCTCCACCTAGGCATGGGTCAGGATCTGTCAAGTAGTAACTAGTGAATAGCGTCCTGTCCCACAGTATTGCCTCAGCACATTCCGTAGACATAGTTTTTAGTAGAACCGTATAAAAGTTTTAGGCTGCTAAGCATCTATTTGCCTGACCCGCTAGAGGCTAGACTTCTATTCAGTTTATAGATGCCTAAATTTTAAAAGTAGAGATAATATAGTTAGTGAGATAGATGTGGGATGCGCCACAATTATTCCCCACGCCGAAAGTGGTGTAGTTGCTAAGTGTAGATAGTGGTCCGACCCTTCCTTCCTTCCACGGAGAGCAAGAGGACCTTGTAAGCCCTGTCAACACCAAACTTGGATTTGATGTTCCCGTTGAAGGAGCAAAAGGAGGGCACATATGCCTAACCTGTCTGTATTGTAGCTAACTCTGGTCCTCTCTTCGAGGGTCTATGTATGGAAACAAAAGGGTTCTTATATAGTCAATGAATGGTAGACTTGCTGATTAATTCAGACAAGTTGTAGAAGCATATAGATAAGTAGGGAATGTTCTATCCTTGCCACATTTCTCGTAATAGAGGTATGTGGGGATGGTCGCCGTTCTAGGTGGCGATAGTGGCAAGTATAGGACCCACATGGCCCACAGGGCCCATATTGTCCAACTACCAATCTACGCGGCACAACGCGTAGAGCAGGCATAGCGATCAACACATAATCCATACAGAGTCATCAAGAGAGGGCCGATTCCCCCAATAGAGAGTACAATCCAGTGAACAAGTCATATTTAGCTGAAGAACCTAACTATGAACACAAGTCGGCCAATCCCCCTTTATTTAAACGGGGTCTGCTAAGGTACTTACTGAATTTAGTAAAAGAATAAATAGCAAACTAAACTCTGACTAACATCTGCAAATATATAGAGCAAAAATAAAACAAACACGCGCGAGCTCAGCACCTGAGAACCGTACTCAAGCTGGACCACAATCATCTAAGCCTAGTTGTGCACCCCCTATGTTACACTTCGCGAAAGCTCGTGTGATGACCCGGCACAACCCCAGGAGGGTTGTGAGAGACCCCAGTCGTATAGGGGAGTAGTCCAGGCATGAGAAGTTGGTAGAATAAATTCTACTGCGCTGGCCGGGATTTGAACCCGTGACCTGTGAGGTGTAGTGAAGACACTTGACTACAGAACCAAGTATCCCAATTCATGTTGAGAAATTGGGCTCCTATTTTAGTTAAAGTAGGCAGCAGCACATACATGTTTTGAATGCCAGTGGCATCTGAGTCAGGCAAGCAATATCTACTCACATGAAGATCACGGCTTCATCCAAATCCAGGTTGAACCAGTGAAAGTTCAGTTATACAGCTAATAATCGACTGTCTGGAAGCTTTGTATCCCAATCACATGAGGTTTATTTTCCCGGTTCTCTAAACACGTCCATTGCCACGAATTCCCCCCTTTTGGTCTTCTCGAGGATTTTCACCTTTACGCAACTTGCCTAATCTCTCGTTCTACGGCCGCGTTCTCCTGCATAATTAAATGACCCTTACCCAAATTCATGCGCGTTGACTTATTTATTCGATTGTTCGTTCATTCACAACACAACACCAAACATCGTCACGAACCTGCCTGACCCCATTCAGTCCAATTCTCGCCTCACAACCAGCAGCATCTCTCGATTTCTTCCCTCAATTCCTTGCTGTCAGGCTTCATCTGTCCCGAAGCCATTGTTACAAATAAACTCTGCTAACCACAGAATACCCTGCGGCCAATATCAGGGAGGAACGCAAAGCACCATGAACAGCTCTGTGGCGCCGATTCGATCTGCCCGCCGAAGTAAGTGCATAAATTAGTGCGCTGTGATTTCAAGTTCCGCTTACCATACCACTTCTAGAAAAAAAGGATAATAGGGTGCCCCCGCTCACGCATTACTTGTACCAAGGCTTTCTGAGTGGTTTCCTGTTTACCACTTCACCCGAGAAAGATAAGAACACGGGAAAATACAAGATTCGGAATCTCCTAGTGCACGATCAGTCACGACACATCGCAAGAATTCTGCACTCCGTCTTCCCTGACGGAAGGAAGAACGACGTCGCCATAAGGTTCTCCGAAGTCTACGGCATCGCAGCCGTAAATGTCCATCTATGCAAGGAAATGGAACCCGTCAAATTCTGGGCCAGGATTAAGAACCTCTCCGTCTGGTCAAGCAAAATCCGCGACGAAGCCTTTTGGAAATTCACATACAAGCTGTTCCAGGCCAGAGCCATGTTCAAGGAGTTACACCCGGGTTGGGAGAACTCCCCTGGCCGCCATTTGGTATGGGCTATCGACCACTTCGAGGAAATTTTCATGGAAGAGTACAACGTCGGAGGAGACGAGGATGAAGCTGCGCGCGTGGAGGCTTTAAGAGTCCGTGGCCAGTATTTCCCGGTCGAGCTGACCAGTGCTGAAGGGAAAGGCGATGGCACGGACAAAGTCATTATTGGTGACTCTCCCTTTGTTCTGGCCAGTGATAGCCGTCTCCAGAAGGCTATGTCGCCAGGATTGATCAATAGCGGCGGGGATGTGAATTCGGAATACAAGGGCGAGAATGCCACCGGCAACAAAAACGAAGGACAGAAGCCTAACGAGAGCAAAGATGACCAGGAGGGAGCGGATGGAAAGCACGGCCAGCATGTCAAAGATTGTGACGGTGATGTCGAGATGGGAGGGATCTCTCCTCCGGTGAGCATGACTCTCGCCTTCCGCCTAAGATAAGGGATCAACAGGGCCGAGTAGGGTGGTTTTGAACGTTAAGGTTCACTATACCAACCGGTCAGTGTTCGAGTATGAGACAAAAACTTTGATTCGAGGCTGGAGGTTTGGCCAGATTTTATGGCAGTAAGGGAAAAGTTATATCTGTCGAGGACTGTTTATAGCAGTGGCTCATCAGTTACATATTTCATTTTGTCACTCTGCATTCTGTCTCTTCAACGTGACATCTCTGATCCATTTGCATGACTCGGAGAGCTATGAAATGCTTGTTGATAATGGCGCCGTAGCTTCTATCAACTCTGTTATCACATTGGCCTGGCTGAGGCGGTGTCAGGGTACGGCTAGGCCGAAGGCAATAGTACAGAGTGATGGGGAGTAACGAGCGTCCCTCCTACGTAGCACCGGGTGGTCACTGGCGGTCTCAGGTAGGGGTGCCCACGATGATGCATTGATCTCTACTCTCTCTATCTTCTTCCCGGGCCTCCGCCCCTTACATAGATAGCTAGAACCCGGCGTCGGAGCCGTGGAGCACTAGTTTCTCCGATTGTTCCGCAAAGCAAGACTTCCATATCGTGTCATGACTCGCACGTCCCTACACCAGAGCCCCACCGGCGTCCCACCGGTGCCTATGGCATTCTGTTCTCTGACAGGCGGAGCCTTGTTGTGATCCATGGGTCTTTCTCTTTCACTATTTTGACATTGAGAGACTCTCTTATAATGGTATGTTTTCCCCAATAGAGGAACCACGAGATAATGCCTTATGTGCACTCAGATGCTACGGCGGTAGCAATTTCATCAAGATGCCTTCAAGCACTTTCTTCTTATTGCTGTGTCAGGTCCTTTGGATTCACCGAAATACCCGAGGCCACAGCTTTCCACGGAACAATGCATTTCAAAAGCGTGTTGAACATTATGTATATCAGGTTCAGAACTAAATGCTGCGTGTTCTGACGAGGACGTGGACAGGTCATGAGAGAGGGAATGGTTCATATACGAAGAAGAGAAAAAGAAAACCCTTATGTTGCCTGGAACCCTACGAGCCTGAAAACTTGGCTGAAGAAGCACTACTGATCATCCGTACTTGAATTTCGTGTCTACTACCCCGCACTTAACAACGGCATACACTGCAGATCTGGTTGGGGTTCAAGTCCAGGACGCCACAAATAGGGGCTGTGGGGGCTTCTGACCATGCGTTGCGGTGTAACAATGGTGTTTGCAAGCTTAAAGCAGCCGTACCGTTTGTCGAGCAACATTTCGCCCTTCAACTGCCCAAGCGAAAATAGCCCGTACCTCTCATGAGTCAGTTACGGGAACATCCCATGTCCATCTCCATTTGGGACTATCCAGGAACAAACGGCGCGACATTCTACACTGTGAGAGATTATACGCCCTGCGAAGGACAAAGATGCGAAAATACCGTTACTGATTTCAAATCTGCCTCATGGGGGCTTACAAATATCCAGTATGCTGATTGGCTTAGCAACTAAAATAATGATCACTGCACCAGATCCGAGGCAACCAAAATAGCTTGTGCTAGATTTGACTTCATGGGGGGGGGGGGGTGGCGATTTATAATCGGGCCGCGTACGGCGCGCACATTCGTCAAACTCTGTCATTTGATTGCATCTTTCGGGTTCATTGCGATGGCGCAAGCCAATGGTGAGGATGGTGTGCTTGCGGGAAAGTCAGCGATTCATGCCACAGTGACATCTACCATCACGAGTATTTATAGGGGTCCTGACCTCATGATGGGGCTGTTTTCACAGCACTCCAATGAGTAAGAGGATAATACCAATAATCACGAAGCTTTACAATTCGAACCTATTCCTTGCACCCAAAAATGGCCACTGCCACTGTCTCGCAGCCCACCGCTAATTTGGCAACCTTGGGCCAAGTGACCGAGTCATCTACTGTCTTGTCCCACGATGTCGATACAGTACTGAATTACTTGAAACCCAGCGAAGATGGCTCGCGTCCAAACCCGGCCTACGTCGACCGTCCAGAAACATTCGAGCTGCCCAACGAATCCCACCCCGTCAAAATCAAGGATGTCTCGGGCCAGGAATCGCAATACACCCTCGACAAAAACGGCTTCCAGATTCACCACCATGAGAGTCAGGAGAAAGACTTCCTGAACGACGAACAGATCAAGGCGGTTTACTACCCTGAGACGGAGCAATTGCTAAAGAACGTGTAAGGGTGTCGAAATCACTTAACTCTCGAAAGGGGCTCACACGTAATTATATCAGCACCGGCGCATCCAAAGTCTTCATCTTTGACCACACCATCCGCCGCCCCAGAAACGACGGTCTCAATGCAGCCCGCGGCCCTGTGCAGCGCGTCCACATTGATCAAACCTACGAGGCCTCTCTCTCGCGCGTGACGCACCACCTCCCTGAAGAGGCCGAGGAGCTCCTCAAGGGCCGCGTCGAGATCATCAACGTGTGGAGGCCCATCAAGCAAGTTCTGCGCGACCCTTTGGCCTTGGCCGAGGCGTCATCCGTTCAAGAGGACGATCTTGTGCCTGTCGATCTCATCTACCCTAATCGGAAGGGGGCGACTTTCTCCGTGAAGCACAACCCGGCGCATCGGTGGTTCTTCAAGTATGGGATGACGCCTGAAGAGGTCATTCTGATCAAGTGTTTTGATAGTAAGACGGATGGGCGGGCGAGACGGGTGCCGCACACGGCCTTTGTGGACCCCAAGGCAGGGGATGATATTCCGAAAAGGGAGAGTATTGAAGTTAGGGCATTAGTATTTCATGAGAACGACCGTGAGTAGCTGAAGCGTGGGCTATTGATGAGATGGGAGAATGCAAGAGTGTAGGAATATGAGGCAAAGTACTCAGATTGTCGTAGATAAGTATAATCAACTATTGTTCTCTTGTTAGCAGGACCTGGCGTCAATAAACAACGTCTGAAGCAATGAAGCCTATGAGAACCTAGAGTCTGGATTGAATGCAGTATGGGTGGGCGGCTGCATCGAAAGCGCCATTTTGGAGGCAAGACTGGCAATTGCATGATTTTTGCGCATGGTAGATTACCCTGCAGGCAGACTCCCTGTATGTGCCGGTCTCAAGTTGTTGGAATATAGATTTGGCTGTTTTTATGTAGAATAAATCTGTTCGACGGCGGGATCTTTTTTTTCTTTTCGCATAAACGTCTACTATTACTTAACCCAATCCTACCATCATGCTTCTGGCGGATATACAATAATGCGATCCAAGTCGGCCCCCTTGTAATCGAACCCATTAGACAGCCCTCCCACCGTGATAGTGTTATGAGTGCCTTTCTCCAGAGTCAACTGCAACGGAGTAGACAAAATGATCCCCTTATGAGAATCTCGCTGGAATAGAGTCTGCACATTATCCGCATCCCCGTTGACCACGACGCTGCTAACGCGGCGAAGTTGCCATGCGCCGCCGATGCGATCGGGTGAGCCGCCAGCTATAAAATTGTATTATTATGTTATGTAACATATTTGCCGGGGATTGGCAGGGTGGGGGACAGAGGTTATTTGACTTACGTTGGTCGCCGAAACCCATGTCGTCGGTGTCTAGTTTAGTAATTAGTAACGGCTCAGTTGTGCTGGTGAAGAAAGGGGGGCTCACTTTGGTAGTAGAAAGATACCCATTGTGGCTTGCCCGTACCTTCGATACCGGTGAAAGTCACGGTGCTGTCGTTGCCGTAGATTCCACTCAGGATAACACCGTCGCTTCCAAAGTTCTGCCACGTCATTAGATTCTCAGCTATTCGTGAATCTCTCAAAAAAGTCTTAGCTGACTCACCGCCTCCTGTTTGAACGCGCTGCCTGCTGTTTCGGCATCCTTGCCGTAATAAGCTGTGCCTTTGACTTCTTTCCAACTTCCCGATTTACTAATTGGCTGTTATCAGCTTCCTCTGCTCGGTATATAGCCAAAGCCGGGCTCAACATACACGTCGAGGTCGTAGATGTCGTGCCATTCAAGACCAAGATCCTTCTTGCCATCGTCAATGGTCATGGGCAACCAGATGTACCTGCTTTCCCATAGAGAGTTGGAATCCCACTACCATCCCGAAAGTCAGTCTCGTGATTTCCCCAAGCATAGGATCCCATAGACTCATACCTGGTCACCAAGGTATAGATACGTCGTTGTCTTGTTTCCCTTTATCGTCAGAGTATACCCCGACTGCGAATTATACGTCCTTGTATTCAACGGCGCGATGATCCACGGCTGAGACCAAGGCCCACTGAGCTTGTCCGCACGGAAAGCCACGACATCTGCACGTTCATTTAGCATTTATCCACTTCACATATCCATTCAATTAAGCAACTTGAACCCACTGTTCGGCCGATAGCCCGTCTTGTGACTCATAAGCGCATAATAACTCTTCTCCGTCTGCACAATCGTCGGCGCCTCGAGGTCGAACTTGGGAAACGTGTAGATGACCTCGTCTAAAGCCGTGATGTCCTCATTGAACTCGGTGAGGTAGATATCGCGCGCCTCACGACGGTCTCCGTTCGAGTACAGAGAGTACGACCGGCCGTCCTTGTAGTCGGTGAAAAGACCGAAGTCCTGCGACCAGTTACCCAGCGGTGCAGTGGCATCCTGGAAGGTGTATGGGCCGGCGATATTAGGCGAGGTGGCGAAGCCTTGGAGTAGGAGACCATAGCTTGAGTTATCAGCATGCCACCACATCTGGAGATTCTGTTAGTTGAAGGGCTAATTTAGTTGGAGGCCAGGGGGGGGGTAGGGTGACTGACGTGATATTCACCCGTGCCGTGACTATACACGACCTTAGGTCTCTGTATAATCATGCTGGGATCCAAATACGGATGCCCCTCAACAGGCTCTGTTTCCCAATCAGCTCTTCGATTACCCTTAACAATGCAGTATGGAAAAATTTTTCACCAAGCGCAAGTCTATGCGAAGTCCACGTTCCCAGATCATCCGAACTGTAAACACTCACACCTCCACCTTCCTCCTGACCCTCAATCTTGTACTCCCCAAACAAGTAAAAAGTCCCCGTTTTCTCCTCAGTGATCACACAACCCGCATGAGCATTGACCAGATTCCCATCCGTGTCATACCACCTGCCCCCAGGGACGATGTATTTTCCCACAGCCGACGCCGCGAGCAGCAGGGCAGGCAGCGAGTTTCGGGCGAGCATCGTAGCTACGATCGGCAGTTGACCTTATAGTTGACCTGGAGGTATGCCCGAGCTGAACAGAAGGTTCTCTTTCTATGGGAATGATCCTATTTTTATTCCACTTACACCCAAGCCCGCCAAGCCGTAATTTCGTGCTGACTTTACCCCGCGACTCCGCAACCCCCAGCACTATATCCAGCATTTTTCTCCGCATCGCTCCGAGCTGGCCCGGATGGAACCTCCCCTTCAATCAAGGGTTCGTCATGCGGGGGCTGCAGGTTATTTCGGAGAGGCAGGTACTGAGGTCCAGGAGAATTTCGACAGTACAGGTTTGCCCTGCCTTGACGGGATGAAACAGGGGCCGTAGGACCTGTTTGGTCAAGTCTGACGGGCGGCTCTCCAAAAATGGTTCCTGGTCTGGCAGGGATAATGAATGGCATCTTATTATGCAAACAATCACCACAAAGTACTTGCATACCGCCCCCGAGCTTCCGGTCACCCGGACGGGGCGCGGACTGTATTTCCGAACATGAGACGAACGACGACACCTCGCCATTGAAAACGTCACGTCAAGTGGGTAGCTCGTAATGTCGCCCGTTAGCTCACATTAGCATTACATACGACCTCATCAGCTCAGTTTCTTCTAGAACCAGGCCCGATCTCACTCTCAGAGTTATCCTTCAGCTCTGTGCTTTTGTCTTCGTGACCCCAGAACCTTTGGCTTGTACCATGAGTCTACTTGTTCCCAAGTTCGACAATACCAGAATGGCGACCAGTCCAATCTTTTCTGTTCAACAATTACCTACGCCTCGAGTTATTGTTGACTGACGGAACAGACCATTGGAGATGAGTTTCTTGACACCGAGGCGGTGAAACCAAGAAATTAGATAGAACGAACAACTATCGTAGTTCGTGGCTGTGTCTGTTGTCTCAGTTCTATAAGTTTGAGATGATATCACGTATTGCACATACAAGCCTTCATTGATGTTGATGATTCCGGCTATCCTGTGCATCCTCTGGCATGATTGATTCACTGTGACCCTAATCGGCCCTTCGATGCTGAACCGACCACGTGATGTAATCACTCAGCCACGACAGGCTGCCATTGTGGCTAACGAGAGCACGACTGTATTTTCAGATCCTCATTCCATAATTGAATAATAACTTTTGTCTGCCGTGTTCCATGTCTGGTTGCTGAATTACGATAAGACGTTCCATCAGTCAGTCTCGACAAGCTGCAGCCGTCGACCTGAATTGGGACTGAGTGGCAAGAGAACCGGCCATGAGGCTCGAAGTATCCTGCTACCAGTACTGAGGGCGTAGTCCGGCGAAATTCGACGCAAGCGAGCTTTCTTCGCCCTCCTTCTTTCGGTGACCCGCAAGCTGTATCAAGGTGGGTCAGTTTCAGTTGTCAAATTCGTAGTTACTGGAGAACTTTGGGGATTAAGGAGTTCCCCTTGCAACTAGTAGCCATCCCTAGCAGCTACCGATGAACCAACCCACTTGGGACATGAATCATTCCGTCCAGAGGGCCTCCAAATGACTTCGCTGTGATGGTGGAGACAACTCAAGATACTTCAACAAAAAGACAGGATCAAATAGGTTTGGGGAATGAATCGTCTTAAAACTCACCTCCAGCTGAACGCCCTTGTGCATATGTACCAGCCAGTCGACATAGCTCTGCGCTTCGTTGTTTCGGTCCTCCACCAGCAACCTGGCAAACTCGAACTCAGCCCCATCAATACCTTGCCTCGCCAGTTGTAAGGTAAGCGCCTTGCTACCTCGGAGCGTCTTCAGAAATTCAATAATGTTGCGCACCTGCGCATTAAGATGTGTTTCCAGCACCGGCAAGCTCGAGGTATAGGGGTCTAGAGCCTTGAGGCTGTCTTTCCCGTCACCGAAAAGGTCGACCAGCAGATTCGGTGAGGTTTGCTGGTGGAACCAAATGAGGCACTGCTGTCCATTGTCCACCAGATAGACGCCACCTGGCTCAACACGTGAAAATGACGTACGAATGGCAGGAGGGACTTTAAGGTGACCATTCTCGTCGGGGAAACCATCCTCGGGCGCCAGATTGTGGATAGGAATCATGCGAGGGTACAGGTAGAGACTCAGCTCCGCACAGCCAATGGAGCTAATCATGCGCATCTCGTGGACACGGCGGTCAGAGCTCTCATTGCCGCCCTTGAATGCGCGGCACTTAAGGAGACCCAGCATGTACATGGAGAATTCCTTCAACTTCTCTGGCATCACAAGTTGGCCTGGGGGGTGCGACTGTGAGGAGAAATTCTTCCTGTAACCCGCCAGTATATCAATCGTTTTCTCTCCAAGACTCAGCCGGAGGTCCTTCATAGAGATGGAGGTAGACGCCAGCTTCGTGGCCGCTTCCTTTGCTATAATGGAGTAGACCGCATCTTGATCAATAAACTTCATGCACTCACGTGCAGCGTCGCTGACACCGGCGATGACGTTGACGCATCTCACGCGACGCTGGCCAGAAGCTGTTGTGTAGAGTAGAGCCGCTTGGAAATGAGCATCCAGCTTCGAATCCAGCTTGCCGTCATATCCAAAGGTGACCCCCACTGCCTTGTCGGCGTCAATGACACCGATTTCCAGATCGGCTCCAATGGTGTGGTGAATAAAGTTGCCGTGGTATGACTTGATCTGGAGGCCGTTTGAGCAGCGCACTTTCATGAGCGCCTGGTAACCAGTTTCTCTCGTGACAGTGTGCTTAATTTCCTGTGAAAGCTTGGCGTTATCTCGACCAGCAACGAAGTTGGGGTAGTAGAAAGTCTCGCCACCCGTTGTTGATGCGACATGACCTGATCACGGTTAGCTTCCACGCCGCTGTTGACAGGTTATGGTACGCACCTATCGTGGCGATATCCATGTAACCGCCGGCCGGAGCAGCCAGGAAGAAGTCGATGCCAACACCAGCTGCCACCATCCTTTCAGATATCTTTTTCCACGCTGGATGCTCGGTGGTGAAAAGTTTTTTGTCGATCTCACCGCCAGGGTGTTTCCCATCATCTCTCATAAAAAGTCGACCGGGGCCCCAGGTTGGCAGAGCTGAAAGTGAGCAGATAACTTTGCCACCTGTCTTCTCTAGGGCAGCCAGGGCTGAATTTAGTGTAGGCAGTAAAGCTGGCTCTGGGTTTTTGATGTTCGAGAATAGAGTTGGAAGTCTTGTGAGCAGCGAGCTTATGACAGCCCTAGACTCCTGAGGATCAACAAAGAGGCCATCGCTGAGAGGCACAAAGGGATCCTCGATATCTGGCATGATCATCATCTGCGCTTGCTCGAGGGCAGGCTGGCGTTACGTTAGCATTAGACAGCATGCCGGCTTCCAAGAGTATCTTACATTGCAGTTGTAAAAGTGGATGTCTTTGTCGTAGGTGACAAATCCGACCTTTGCGCCTGGTGGGATTCTCCGTTTCGGTTCCCCGTTCTCATCATTTTCTACATCTTCGCCCTCTGGTGCGTACAGAGAAGCCAGAATGCCTTCACAAAAGGCTTCAAGGAACCCCTTGTTGAATGCCTCCTGAGTGACATCGATGAGGAACAACCAATTCAAACCGACAGGCTCCTTGGTCCAGTACTCCTTAGGTACCACAAACTCAACTGTGCCTCGGGACAGTTCTGGCCGCTGGTCCCGATCCACTCTCACACCCTGTGGTGACGTAGCGCAGAAGTATTCAGACGGTGTATCATTGGGGTACGTGCAGAGGTTGCAGACGAACTTGCTGCCACCAGAACGGAACATCATGAAGGGGTTTATGTATGCTCTACATCTTCGACATCGTGGCGGTCCCTGGTCTCCAAAGTCAAGCACAGGTATCTCTAACTCGCCAGGCTGAAGCTTGGCAAGGGGTTGTACGATGAGACCCAGTGGGATTGCTGTACTGTTCAACCCTTCTGACGAAGCTGGGATGTTGCTCATGGTCAAGCGAGCAAACTTTGGGGAGGAGTTGCCTTGGTCGTAGGCAACGAAGGAGATAGTAGCTGGAGGTGGGACGTGGCGTTCAAAGGTGGGATAGACGTTGTTGAGGAAGTGCTGCTGAGGAATATCTCTGGACACTGGCACACTGGGGATATCGTCCGGCGAAACTTGTCCTCCTACTCCTCCTGATGTGGACACATATGCAGACTGCGCGCCCAAATCAGCTGTTCCATTCCTAGAAGCGAACTCGGCTGGCGAGGCCTGGATCGGATTGAAGGGGGGATTAACGGAAGCAGGGAACTGCTGTGCGAACTGGTTTGGCGTGACGGGCTGACCGATGAACTGACCGCCGGCGTGTATCGATGGATCGGCGTTGAGAAAGGCCGTTGTCGGTGTTCCAGACGGTGGTATGCCGTTGAACGGCTGCGATGAGCCAACTGGGGCCTCGACGTTGTGGAAAGCGTGACGGTCCTTCTTCTTCCTCCTCGCAGTGTGTTGTCCATCTCCCAGAGACAGGCCAGCCATCTGCGACGCTATATCTTGCGGTGGTTCCTGACCCTGAGGCGGCGCATAGCCTTGGGCACCGGGCGGAGGTGGTGGACTTCCGAAGTACTCTTGGCTCTGGGGCGCGGGCGACCCGTACATGCCCTGTTGCTGATATTGCTGTTGAGCAACGGGTGGCTGAAATTGAGGTGGTGCTGGTTGACTGGTGCGATTCGGATCGTTGGTGTCCATCTGCTCGCCCTGCCCGAGAGCATGGTACATGCTATAGTCGGCCATTTTGCGGGGTGGGAGGCCGATCGGGGAGGATCTGAGGGTATCACAAGTGAGGATCTGCCCAACACTGAAGCTCGAAACTCAACAGGCTCGCGAAAAGAAGAAATGCTGAAACGGTGAATGAATTACAAGCAAGAAAGACCATCCATGATCAGAGCACGAATGGAAATGCACAATGCCTCGAAACGGACCTTGAGGGGAAAGTAGCAGTGAAGGCACAATACAGCTGTATCTGGTCTACCAGGCTCCCAAAGTTATTTGAAGTTTCCCGACATGGATCTTGGCTGTGCAAACGTTCTGGACACCTATCATTTGGATCCTTCAGGCTGTTCCGAGTTCATGCCGGCGATTTGCCGACTGGCCTCGACCCACTCTGAGCAATGGACCACAGTTCCAGCGCTTGAGCTGCAGGGATCAAATGCGCTAGACAAGCGCGACCCGCGTCCCTCCCAACCTTGAAGCTTCATGTCAAATCGTCAAATCGTCAAATCGTAAAATCACAGAAGTGCCCATTGGCATTCGCAAGGCAAGTCAACCCAACGCCTTCCGCGACTTAACCTGCGCAGTATCTCAACCTGGTTCACGAATCAATTGTGGAACTCTTTGTTGTTTTACTGAAAGACAGAAGACATCAAATTAATTTGCAATAACATGGCATAGCCGTATTCTCCTTAAGGATTGTGCTATTGTCGCATCATTCCATTTGTCTGCCCATCGGCGGCAGACCAACTTTAGAGGTTAACCTACCAGAAACACACACTCGCTAACACAAACATGTTCACCTTCACGCCTCTACAGGGTGCGCGATCCGAGTCGTCTGCAGTGCAGTCCATCTTGGAGCTTGATGGTGGCATCAAAGTTCTCATTGATGTCGGTTGGGACGAGAGTTTTGATGTTGAAAAGCTGAAGGAGCTGGAGAAGTAGCTGGCCCTTGCCCATCTAGTCCAAGATCTACATGGTCGCTGACAGCTATAGGCAAATTCCGACCTTGTCCCTTGTCCTCCTCACCCATGCGACAATATCACACCTTGGTGCCTATGCACATTGCTGCAAGCACCTCCCCCTTTTTACACGCATTCCAGTCTATGCGACAACTCCTGTCATAGCCCTAGGTCGAACCTCACTGCAGGAGCTTTATGCGTCGACACCCCTTGCCGCAACTACGATACCCAAAAGCTCCCTCAATGAGCTCTCCCAAGCCACGTCCGCCGAGTCGAATATCCTACTTCAACCTCCAACACACGAAGAAATTGCCACATATTTCTCCCTCATTCACCCCCTGAAATACTCTCAACCACACCAGCCGCTGAGCTCGCCGTTTTCTCCGCCACTAAATGGTCTAACCATCACAGCCCATAATTCTGGCAGTACACTCGGTGGGACGATGTGGCATATCCAGCATGGCTTAGAATCTATCGTATATGCAGTGGACTGGAACCAGGGCCGTGAGAATGTGTACGCAGGCGCGGCTTGGCTGGGAGGAGCAGGTGGAGGTGGTGCTGAAGTTATTGAGCAACTGAGGAAACCAACCGCCTTGATATGCAGTAGTAAGGGGGCAAGAAAACCTCCGCTCGCCAAAGCTAAGAGGGACGAACCACTTCTGGAAACAGTACAAGCCTGCGTCGCCAACGGAGGCGTGGTGCTTATACCTGTGGACTCAAGTGCTCGTGTTTTGGAGTTGGCCTATCTTATGGAACATGCCTGGCGTCAAGACGCAGCAAGTAAAGGCAGCCTCCATGCTTCTAAACTCTACCTTGCAGGTCGCAGCATCCACAGCACCATGAGATACGCTCGAAGTATGCTCGAATGGATGGACGAGCGTATTGTGCAGGAATTCGAGGACGTCGCAGATTTATCCAAACGGGGCAATGGTGTCACTGATGGTACCGCCCAGGGAAAGCAAGGAGGCCCGTTTGACTTTAAGTTCCTCAAGTTGCTGGATAGGAAAGGCCAGATTGACAAGGTGCTCGCTCCTAACAGTGATGGAAGTACTTCCGGGGGTAAAGTCATCTTGGCTAGCGACTCAAGTCTCGAATGGGGTTTCTCAAAAGACGTCTTCACAGTACTTGTGCAAGATCCGAAAAACTTGCTCATTCTGACCGGGCTTCCTGCTCCGCCTTCGGATGGCAATTCTGCGCTGGCCAGCACCTTCTACCGATGGTGGAGAGATGCCGTAGTCGAAAAGGAGAAGCAAGGGGCCGAGGCAACTAGAACGGGGATTGGAGCCGACGGTGTCCTCGTACAAGTGGCAGGCAGAGGCCGGGAAGCAGAGGTCCGGAATGTGCAGAAGCTGCCTCTCGAAGGCGATGATCTACGAGTCTACCGACTATGGCTTGCTCAGCAACGTCAGTTGCAGGACACCCTTCAAACCGGTGGAGCCACGGCGCTAGAGTCATCCCTGGATGTGGACGACGTGTCTTCGGAGTCTTCGAGTGACTCGGACGACTCTGAAACGCACCAGCAGGGAAAAGCACTGAATGTCTCGACTACATTGGGACGCACAACGAGAAAGAAGACAGCTTTGGCTGACGAGGATCTTGGGCCCAACATACTACTCAAAAAGAAGGCAGTCTACGACTACGATGTTAGAGGCAAGAGTGGTCGCGATGCCATGTTCCCACACCCGGTCCAGAGGAGGCGGGCAGATGACTACGGCGAGTTCATTCGAGTGGAAGACTTCGTGAAGGCAGAAGAGCGTCAAGATGACGGCCAAAATGGAGATCAGGCTGGCAAGGGCGATGTGCAAGCCAATATCGGACGGAAGAGGAAGTGGACCGATTCGGCCCCTAACAAAGGCCAGGGGTCGTCTGACAAGAGACCGAGACTGGAACGTAATGCCTCGGCCGAATACGAGACTGCTATCGTCGACGGTCCTCCCCAAAACGAGCTCGATGACGTCCCAGACGATGAGGAGGAGCTTGTGACCGGACCATACAAACTCGCCATCACGAGGGAAAATGTCTCAATCAACTTCAACATCGCCTTTATCGACTTCAGCGGCATACATGATAAGAGAAGTCTTCACATGTTGATCCCGCTCATACAACCTCGCAAATTGATCTTGACAGGCGGCAATCCAGAGGAGACCGACGAACTGGCAGCTGACTTGCCCCAACTGCTTCAAAACATCGACATCCATAAGCCCGACATGGGATCGTCCGTGGATGCGTCAGCAGACACCAATGCATATACCATCAAAATCGCCCCTACGCTTTACAAGGGCCTCAAGTGGCAAAGCGTTGGCAACGTCAAGATTGCCACAATCTTTGGTCGCCTAGAGCCAGGTTCCGATGGCACCCCGATCCTAGACATCGCAACCGTCATCGCTACCGGCATGACGGCGGGGCATCACTCGGTGAAACCATTCCATGTTGGCGAGCTTCGACTTGCTAATCTCAGGAAGGATCTCAGAGACATCGGGTACTCGACTGAGTTTATGGGTGAGGGTACGCTCTTGGTCCAGAACTCTGTGATCGTGCGCAAGGCTGCTACGTCTGGACGTATAGAGGTTGAGTCATCTGGGTGGGATACTAGCACTGTGCAGACGGTCCGGAAGATGATATACGACAAGTTGGCCGTAGTGGGATAGAGTATAATGGTGTATGTGATTTGCACGATATGAGACATCTGCAATAGCTGGTTCGGCCAGCTATGTAACGTGTAATTCATTGTACTATCTAAGTGAATAAGTTGCGCAGCTACAGCGAATTTCCAGCTTCATTCTTGAACAATCCAGAAATCCTCGAAATTGACCAGTAGGACACATTGTGCCGTTCGGAAGGATTGTGAAGAGATCAACGTAACAAAGCATCGCACAAAATAAGCCCGCATCGGCTTTCGCAACGGCGTCAGGCGAGCTAAAGTTGTCGGTTGTCGTTATCTTATCGGTCATGCTGCTCGCTAGTGCCGCCGTTCCAAAGCGTCGGGTACCATAAGTACCTAGGTACCGAGGTAGAGTATCTGTGTAAGTGACCGAAAATGGACTGCCCAATACCACATGATGCCACCACGGCGATACGATTACGACTTTCGTCTTCTTTCTCCCCGAGGAGTTATCGCCTGACCAGTTTCGTTGAGTTTAAGTCATTGGTGTGATGATATGTCGTCTTTTCTTCGGTTTTTTTTTTCAAATTATCAACTTCACTAAATTATGTTACTTATAAACTCCTTCATTGGCCCTCACAAGAATCCTTACGCAGCAAATAATTAGCAGGCAAATATGGCAGTCTGGGCTGAAGCTCGTGAGAGTGAGGGTAGGGATACATAGCACCAATGATTTATCCGTACCGTGAACTGGCCGGATCTCGCTGCTGTATGGTACTTTTTAGGGAGCCAGTCTTTTTCAGCCTTTTTGGGAGTCTGGTATTTAGGTGGCTTGAGTTCTGCGGTGTCCCAATGGAGCGCTTTGGGGAAAGGTATTTGAAGGGGGATGGAGATGGGGTGCTTGGAGGCTTGAGGGTGCTGCTTATGCCGTGGTGATGGATCCTCGGCAGGCCGGTTTTCTGGGTCGGGATGTGGTAGCTCGGGCCGACACGGGAGCCTGACTGTCGTGGAGGTTCTTGGGTTGTCAACACCTCTCCAGGTAGGCAGATCATGAGCTTATTACAACCCCCATAATACTTGGTCTTCATCCACTGCTGTTAAAGGCAATGACACCCTCGTCCAAGTAAGCCGGTACTTGACCTCTCACACAATTTATATGCGTTGATCAATCACTTAGAACGAGATATTTCATCCGCTAGCAATCTGCAAGCCCAGAGAGGTGAGATATGTGGATTAGCCACCCGTTCCCATTTTATTAGTAAGCTTACACACGCAGCAGTTATGACGGTGAACATTCCCTCGACACTTCAGCTCTTCGTAGTCCCTGACCACCTCGACCATGGTTCTTGTCCAACTCGCATTTTTGCTTTTCGGTAATATCTGCAATCGCATGGCACGACGTATGCAGCTTCTCAAAGGAGAAGCATCTCCGGTTGAGACCAGCGACCGTAAGTGGGACCCATGATCCGAAGGAGCCACGTATCCGAGGGCCGAGTCAAGTCGCATCGGTGCGAGCCGGTACTGCGAGAGCAAGTATTTGTGTCGTAAGATTGGACGAAAAAAATGCGAGCTCGTGCAGAGTCCAGATGATGGTTCCAGGGGTTGTTGACACCGGACGCTCAGGATACTTTCCGGCGCCTCCGCTGCTCCGCTCAAAGTGCAATCAAAGGTGAAAATCAGACTCCCCGGATTGTATCGATTGTCGTGATAGTTTGTGGCGGTGACTGCCCTGTACGGTCAAGATTTGCTACGTCGCTAGAGCTTGTTGTCTATTTTAAGCTTTATCAATCATCAGCTGTAACTAACATCGCAACGTGAGCTCTTCGCGTATGCGTATCATTGACATCGCGTATTGCGACGAATGAATACGCCAGATTCCACCACCGTTGCTCAAATATCATGATGCCAGACACTCGGTGTTCCGCTCCGGCCCACCTAACTATTGAATTCTATTACCTCGCCTGGCTTGTACATTTACTTCCTTGAGACTAAGCCGACTCGAGCCGTTGGAGACCTGTGGGCCTTATCACAAAAGGCAGCGAGTTGAGTTACGTGCCCAATATCTAAAAACCCATCGGGTATCGCGCCTGTCGTGGAGCTTCGTGGCAGGCTCGGCCCACATACAATGTGACAAAGCGTTGTGAGCGTCATCTTACCCGCATCAGATCAAGATCAGGCGTTTCTACGAAGGGCTCGTGCTCATTTCGTCTCTACGTACACAACACCCGATAATCAATTTCCTGACATTAGTTGGCGTTCTGTGACTCCCATGAAATAATATATGTTCGCATGGCCAGGATGCGTTGTTGCACCGCTTGCGGCTCCGGCTGTCACTACGGAGTATCACAACTTCACTAGGAATATAGCGCCATGTGGGTCGGTTGACTATATTCAAACTGCCCATGTTCAGTCTTGGAGGCCAGCAGCTATCCTTGTCTTGCGTCGAATGGCATTTCTCGTCAATTAGTAAGTAAGGGCTTCCTTCAAGAGTGCACGACAATAATCATGATGAGGGCATTTCGTAGACGCTCTACTTCATGGATTGAATGGTAAGTCCTTGATCTTTTTTAGACCAGACATTTTTGTACTTCATATCATTCGTCTAATCGTTCCACAAGTTACTTTTCCAGAGTAGACCAGCGTGCATGTCGCTAAAGACGGGTCCTGGCACGAGTCTCAGCACCCCATGCCAGGATAGTGCTGCATCTCGATTGCTTGCTAGACGAGGTGGCTAGCCCAGTGGCTTTCTTAGCTTAGGCTCTGGCTCCACGACACGACGTCACTTCCCTATGTTGTTGCTCAGATTAATGATAATAAAGTACGAATACACTTCACTCTATGCGAACAGCTCACATATGATGATGATGATGGTTGACGACATCGCCAATTTCGATGATTGTTTAAAATAGATATTTGGCGTTTAGTTGACAAGTACTTATTTAGTCGTAACGGTTGCCTCATTTTGCACGCCTCGTGACAGCCTCCAACAATACTCTAGCACTCTCAGGTTGCATGTACTTACTACCATAGTAGACGTTTAACTCGAATGAATGCACGCTTGCTTGCTGCAAACTATTCTTTCGCTAGCCCGCCGCGACCGCATTCCAACTCCGGTGACAGTTGCATATGACGGACGCCACTTTACCCGGCTGATTGGATAAGGAGAGTCGCATTAGCTTATTTTGCCGTGAGTCTGCAGCAGTCCAGCATGGCTTTTATGGGGTCCGAACGATGTCATGTTTTGTCCATGCCTGCTCGAGGGCGAGTCCCTTGGACCGCAGTCCGCGGATCATATCCCGAGTCATATCCCGGCCCCCTTCACTTAAACGGTTCCATGGGTAGTCTGTGTCAGAGATGGTTGAGGCAAAGTGTCACTCCATGCGTTGGCTGGTCTTCCTGGGTCCTAGTAACGTCCAGAGCGGCGTCTACAGCCTCAACATAGTCATGACGCCTTGGCCGGTGCAAGTAACACCAACTCATCTTCTCGGTGATGCAATTCGCCTTGTCCTAGCAAAGCAAAAGCATTGCCCTGGGTCAGCGCTCCGAGACATGCGGCGGGCCGGCTGCTCTCTCCCACGCCATCTGTAACATATTGCGCGCCCCGTCCTGTAATACTCGGCCGCCTTCCCCATCATCACGGGAGATTATTTTGTCGATCGGTATCAGGGATAGTTGGACGGGGCGATCAAGAGAGATCGAACCTTTTCGGGGTCTCTCTGGATGGAACGTGGGACATGGGCCGGGAGTAGGACTCCGAAATTATTCGAGTTCGAAGCCAGCCTGTCCTTCCCGGACCAGTCGTTGGTTCGGACCGTTTAAGCCTAAATGCACCTATCATTTGATGAGGGACTGTCGATAATTACTCCCTCACTGGTTGAACATATGCGCATCATTTGAAAGACTCGCAGGATCGGTTGACTTGTAGACGGGTTCGACTGGCATAACTTGGCGAGGCGGTGGTGGTTCGATCCGTCCACGTAATGTGCCGTCAACTTGACAGATAATTTCATCATCTGCATGTCTCACCTCGCAAGATTCGACTCTCTTCTCCATCGGTGCTCGACGGGAGGTGGCGGCCCTGGCACCGCCCCCGTCCCGAGAGGTGGATTTTCTGTGTATTGGCGAGCAAGTGCGGACGCTTAGGCGGCGCGGTCGACGACAAGGTAGAAAAGCTGATGCACTGGTACGGCCGAGCCTGCGTAATCGGTGTGCTTGCCAAGGCCCGCAGCCTTTTTTTATTTGGTCTGGCATAGTGATCTGTCAGTTTCTGCATGTCTTTGGTCCATCGTTAAAGGGGGACGGTTGACTACGCGATCAGAGTAGTACCAGCTGTTGGCTGCATGCATGTGCGCCGCGTTTGGTGTTCCATCTCTGGCACTTCGGGGGAAGCGGTGAAGTAACTACATTGAGACAAGAGGATACTGCCATCCGATCTCGGTTGTATAATCTTGCGGCATCGTCGAGGTCCCTGCTTCGATTTGCCTGGTTGTCAACGGATCGAGTGCCAACTGTAAAACTTGCGGGCGCTGCCTTTCAGGGCTAGTCAGGGGCTCAAAGTCTCATGTAGGAAGCCTAGCATAAGTACATCGAATGATGCTGTGTGACATGGAGGGGTGTAGTTACACAGAGCGTGCGATAGACAGCGAGATGGTTGTTATCGGGTACGTAAAAGACTAGACGATAGTGGCGTGATATAGCCTGGAATTATATTCGATTTGAACAAGTTCTCATTGTCAGCGAAATTTTCAGATTGACTGGCGCTGCAATGCGAAGTGACCTGATACAAAACATGCTGGTCTCAGCCACACTCAGCACCCTTTTACGTGTAGCATGCCCGCGTCATTACCACACATGACGGAGCTGATAACAACACGTAACGAGCAGTCTAGGGCATTGACCTACGCAACCCTTGGTGAATATCCGTGGGCAGATGTCAATCAGCAATGCTTGTCCAAGTGCCGCGGAAGGGGCCACTTATTGGTCCTCGATATTACTTCTTGCGGGTGCCGAAGCGAGAGTTCGTTAATAAGTGCCATGCATTTGGGGTACATCTCGATTACTGGGTTGCAATAAATAAGAAGTCTGGCGCCTGGGCCTGCAGTTCGGGTATTTCGTGATTGGTCTTGGAACATGGCAGACCGAAAGAAGTTTCCCTAACGCCTCTGCGACGTTCTAATTCTCAAAATTCAACAACACCAGATACATAGTACACACTAAACCCCCACGCACCTATAAGTCACTCCATTTTGTTGTTAAATCCATGAGATGAGAGTCTCAGGCCATTGCAGGGCGACAATCGCATTGAGGTTTGATGACACGTTTATTGTCTGCAATTCGGCTATCATCACCTTACTATGTAGTAGTCTACAGTTTTTAGCGCTCGGACACGCTGGGGCTGGACCAACCGCGCTAAAAATCAGATACAGCTAGTGATGATAGCATAGGGGTATCCTTGCAAGTCGTGGGCTAACTTGATTCGAAGACAACTTTAGCAGAATCGCCCATAGCCGTGCTTGTATGTAACATTGGTTACACGTCAGCTATGTCATGCTCCTGATAGTTGGGCACCATTCTTCGCTAACGATATCTTGACCCACTGGATTCTGAAGTAGCTTGATGGTCAAGTGGAACATGTTTCACCGCGGTTACCTATATATTTGCTAAATCTAGATCAATTTTCATCTCGATACGCGTCAAGGTTGTTTGCAATAATGCAGTATTGTCAGTGACGGAGACTACTGGCACTATGATCCCCTGAGGGCTTCATGTGTAACATCCAACAAAAATAAACAAAGATTCCTTAATGCAAGCCCACAGGACTGATGATGATATTAAGAGCAAAAGGAACTGCCTTTGAAATTGGCCGCCAAAGCATTTTCCTCGCCATCCAATCACGAAAAGACTTAAATCTCAAACGCCCCCAAACCGAATCAAAATCAAAAGAAGGAATGACCAAAAGCCCCGACGACTTAAACTGGCATCGCCGTTGAAAAAATGAATCCCCCCCCAAAAAAAAATAAAGAATTTGCGGGCAGATCCGCCCCGGTCGATCTCACGTGTCGAAATATCCGTGCATCAACGAGTTCCGGCTACCGGCTAAACCCAATCAGCTGGTGAGCATGGAGATCCCGTATCGGGGGTCTGGGCGGCTCAGAACGCTCTGTATCTCGGACAGGTCGAAGACGGCTCTGAAGATATCGAAGTCACTAGGGGTGGACTGGCTGCCACTTGCGCTGGAGCTGGACGACGATGAGCTGTGAGACTTGGACTTGCTCTTCGAGCTGGAACTGCCTCCCTTGCTCTTCTTCGCGATGTCATCGAGGATAAGTTTGGTCGTGCTTTGATACATATCCTCGAAAACGAAGGCGACGTAGTCAAACTTGCCACGCAAATCTGGATCATAGAGGAACACTTCACGCCATAGCTCAGCTAATTCGCGCGGCGGATTCCGGGTTCCGTTGCCGAGCCCGAAGTCCCCTATCACAACCTCGCGATACTTATAGTAGGCACAGATCGTGAGAGCCGCGCGGATCTTGCCTCTCACCATCTCTCGCTCGAGTGGAAAAGCAAACTTAGTCCCCATGTTGCTCAATTTGGGCCAGCGGGCGGCTGGAATAGAGACGACGGGTAGATCGCACCACTGGTCGAGGTCGAGCCTCTTATACTGATCGTGGGGGCCTCTGAATACGACCACGAACTCGGAGAACACCCCACCCTCGGAAGGAATAGGGTAGTTGCACTCCTCTAGCGATTCAGGTCCGGGAGTACTTAAGGTAGCAGAAAGGTTGCTTCGACGACAGAAACGCTCTTCATAGCCTATGGATATGTTAGATGCATAGTTGCACCTCAAGAGGATCATGCTTACCAACCACTCCGGTTTCCCAATCACCACCTGGGCGTTTGTCGTTGGCAGCGCAGATAAACGGTATACGTCGCTCTCTAAGTCGTTCCCACTCGATTGTGAAATCCACCGGGTCGTTGTTGTAGACCGCTGTTGTGATAGTTAATATGTGGATTCAAGCGATATCATAATTTGCCATGTTTAGTCTAACTTACAAAAGTGGGGCGGGGAAGGTGCCAAATCATGAGGAATATTGCTCAAGAGGTTCTGCTCAAGAGGATTGCGGAAAAGGTACGAGTGAGTAGGCCAGACGCTTGCGTAGTCATTCTTGATGAGGGGGATGTAGTTTCGTTTCGTTTCACTGGCAACCTCGGCGGCCTTGGGCTTGTGAGAAGGCATCGTGAGTAGAGGCAACCTGGGCAGATTGGGGAAGACCCGGTTGGGATAAGGCGTAGAATAGACGGGGAATGTGTTAATGCAAATGCGGGCCCGATGTGACTACTCTGCAGGTGCTTGGGAGATGAAAAGATGCATCTAGGCTGCCGGGCCATTGCCGTTACTTATAGCAAGGCGTATGATCTACTGGCGCAGCCAATGACGAAGCCAGGCATAGTCGACCAAGCGCAGGTTGGTATGCCGGTGCTTGACTGCAAGTGAGCAGAATAGAGCAGGGTAAGTGGGGGGTGGTGTGGTGTAACATTTATATATTGGTTGACCCGGTTGAATCCAATGGCTGTCTAACACATTGAGATGACAAGACCAGACAAATAGTTGAGGGACTGAGGCTCGTAAATAAGAATGAATATGAATTTGGTGTCTTTGTTATGAGGGTATTGCGTCAAAGTCGAGAGAATATTCAGACATCATCTCGTCCGTGTGCAACGTCTTGTTTCCCGGAATCCTGGAAAGCCCCAGAGCACTAAGATCAGGTGAGACTGCCAGGATATCGAGGTAGGACAGATCTATGTGTGACCCTGCAATCCAAGACATAGAAGACGAGGTGGAGGACAGCTCCGGAACAATGAAAATGTTTGTTGGACACTTACGAACTTCAAGGCAGGGCAAGTGGTATCCGGTACATACACCGCCGCGAAGATGCTTGCCATGTCTATCATGCCTCCATGGATCATGGCCAACAAGTGACTGATCAGAACGGTACAGCAACTTGTGAAGAGACTCACTCCCGAGGTCGGCAGACTGTCTCGAGAAAGAATGTGTGAGATTAGATGGGCCATCTACGGACGTAGGGCGCGTAGCCGTCGCGTCTAGGTTCCAGCAGGGCTATCTGCGCATCAGCCGCAACAATTGATCAGGGTCACTGCTCAAGGACCATGGCAGACAGGTAGGTAGGCATGAGACCTTGTGGCCGCAGGTGATGAGCGAGCATATTGATCGCGGGCAGACGCCCCATCCATTGCTTGAAAGGATTCAACGAATAGTAAATGGCCAAAAAGGGCACAGGCGAATTAAGTGAGCAGGCAGTTTTACGAAGTGCCAAAAATATTTGTGCTTGAATGAGCTATGTAGCTGCTCAATTGAAGAGCACCAACTACGGAGCGCTTGCCGACCGGTGAAAGTGTAGCCCAAGCTTCGGCAGTACATAGTACTCTGTACGGAGGACCACGGGCAGTCCATGTATTCTGGGGGACGGTTTAACTATTCCCCTTGGCTTTGCCAGGGTGGGTGGGGTTAGTTAATTGGTCCAAGCCCACCCTGAATGTTATGTCCAACGTCAAGCTTCGGATTTTACGGGCTATGCAATTTGGTGGTTTGGTACACTGCATATGTCTTCCCAGCTCTGTCGGGTTTCTCCATGTCGCCATAAATAAGATGCATTCATGACACCATCGCAGCTAGCTGCCTTCACATCACCATCAAACGCTACTTCTGCCATCGTGTCCACTCGGGGTGGAGGGCAGTCTGTCATGTTTGCCGCACCGCCACGGCCGTTGGCCCGCTTCGTCTTCCGGCGCGGCTCGTGGCAACCACCCTCGCCTCGAGCCTTGCTGTCTACTATCCCGACTTCCATTGCCGGCTTCCTTGAATGGCAGAATTCCGATGCTGCCGATGTGGTGCGGGTCAATGGCTTTGTTCGATCTGTTCGCGCCCAGAAAAAGCACCATTTTGTCTCATTGGGTGACGGTAGTTCTCTCAAATCTTTACAGGCCGTCGTGCCTGCTGACCAGGCTGAAGGGTGGGGCATTTGAGACTGACACAATTATCGTTATGTCTCCCATCGCTAATTCTGCGTAACATAGTCTGACCATCGGAGCAGCCGTCCGACTACACGGGTGTTGGGTCCCGTCCCAAGGCTCTGGGCAGAGCCATGAGCTGCAAGTCCTGCGCGCAGACGTCTTAGGACCCTCAGATGCGAAGGTATGTCATAAATTCTTGTCGCCACCATTGAGTTCTTCACACGGTCTTGTCAGCAGACTTATGCCACTTCAGACATTTCCATTACAGAAGAAATATCAAACACCCGAGTACTTGAGAACAATGCCTCACATGAGGGCTAGGATACCGCACAACTCTGCCCTGCTACGCTTTCGCTCAGAGACCATCTCCACCCTTACACAGTTCTTCAATGATCGCCAGTTCATTCAAACCCATACGCCCATACTTACATCATCCGACTGTGAGGGGGCAGGCGAGGTCTTCCACGTAACCGCCGGTGACGAAAGGCAGCAAGAGGCTGGTGATACTGCCAAAACCTTCTTTCGCCGTGCAGTTTATACGACTGTGTCAGCCCAACTTCACTTGGAAGCTTTAGCCCAGGGTCTTGGCAATGTGTGGACACTCTCTCCAACTTTCAGAGCCGAACAGAGCGATACCCCCCGGCATCTGAGCGAGTTCTACATGCTAGAAGCAGAAATGAGTTTTACCGACAACCTTTCGGCTGTCATGGATCTCGTGGAAGACATGTTGAGACACTTGGGCAACAAATTGGCTGAATCTAGAGTCGTCAGCGAGCTTTCCTTTCGCACGCCTGGAGGACTAGCAGACATGGCCCCGGTGGACCAAGTCGAACGTCGTTGGAGTGGCCTCACGCGGGAAGCATGGCCACGCATTACCTATTCCGAAGCGATCGACATACTGGACAATGCGGATGAGTCTTTCGCCCATAAACCGCAATGGGGCAAGGACTTACATACCGAGCATGAGCGCTACATCGCATCCAGGGTCAGCAATGGAGACACTCCTGTCTTCGTTACTAATTACCCTCGAGACATCAAAGCTTTCTATATGAAGCCCAATACCGAAGAAAGTCTCGGCAGGTCGACACCAGGCGAGACGGTAGAGTGCTTCGATCTTCTGGTTCCCGACTTTTGCGAGATTGCTGGCGGGTCCATGCGTGAGCATCGTCTCGGCCCTTTGCTCGCATCGATGAAACGGCATGGCCTGGAGACTTCGTTTGAAGAAGTTACCGCCGCGGATGGGTCTGCGCAATCACCCGGCAATAATCTGGATTGGTATCTGAATCTACGCCGTTGGGGCTGCCCTCCACACGGTGGCTTTGGCCTCGGCTTTGACCGACTCATCTGCTATCTCTCTGGGGTCCAGACGATCCGCGACACAACTGTTTTTCCCCGTTGGTACGGGCGGTGCGATGGCTAGGTTTACGCTAGCCATCCGAAATCATACCATGCTCGTTAACGCTTACTTCTCTTGGATGTGGGGTTGTCTTGTACGACGCTCACACAACCTTGACTCACCTGAGGCAGTCTTAGACGGTGTCTGCCGAAGGGAGTTTTTGGTGCTGCCTACGCGAATAATGCAGGCTGCCACGAGGACAAAGACAAGGTGTGGCTTGCTTTGACAGGTTCGAGATGCTGCAGCTTGTGCTTGCGAAACCACCTCGAAAAGGGGGCATGCGGCCCAGAAACAGGTTCAGTTCGTGGACCAAACAACTACATTGGGCGACGTCTAGCACTTCAGGAAGGTCAATCGTGTCCAAGTGAACCCAAAATGGACATGCGGGATGTGTTTGTCTTGACCACCACCGACGAGGGACAGCAGGTGACGAGCACCGCAGGTGGATTTGGCTATGTGTATGTACGATACGGGTTGTGCCATGTAGCATTAACTTTGTGCGATATTTACAATATGTTAATAGGCTCGAAGCCAATCGAATCCCCATTTCTCTTTGCTCATCACCGTATGACGCCCGTCGAGCGTCTGGTTTAGAGCCTCTCGTGTCTCGCAGTCCATCGGGCCGGCTCGAGGTCACGTTTGGAGTCCGTTGATCATCCCGTTGATGAAACGCGATGCTATGCCACCTATCACAGCCCGAAGTTAGGTGCCTTCTCGGCAAATGGTCCCATGGGTCTATCCAGATTCATGGTAGTCGGGGTTCAGGCACTGGTACCACTTCGGTGTTGCCAGAAAGCTGTTCACAGGTATGACCCGTCCAGAGCAGGCTTCCCGATACCAGGGAATGCCTCGCTTGAGGTTCGTATACGTCACGGCAACGCGCGAATTCGAAGGATTCGATGCGCTTTGTGCGATCTCAAGCCTGCCTGCTGGCTCCGGAAAATACACGCCACCGGCGACGCATGTACTTGGTCGGCTCAGCAGGCAATCGAACAGGATCAGGTAATTACCATAGAGCAGCAGTTTTTATGGTCACTGAAACATCTACGCAGGCTGCTGAAGTATCGATACTGTCCACTCCTGCTGGTTGAATTGGCGTGGGGGTCGACTGGAGATGCGCCCAGGGAGGTTCCCACGTTGCGCCTCATGCCAGAGACCACTGATGATTTAAGAGACTGTGCTTACAGCAAGTTATATGCAACTTGAGAGAAGATGGCCCCGGGATGTTCTGGCGCCTCCTGCTCATTCATCTATGAGACCAATCGGTCGATTGCGACAGGACATTCAACTGTCCTGCTCTAAGCCTGCAACATCATACAATTAACGAAAAGGGAAATGCTGATAGGGACGCGCTGAACTGTTATACAAATCAACTATGGTATCCTGATCAACCCATCGTAGCTCAAGCTGTTGAGCCGCCTCATGTGGCGTGAGCCAGCCGCCCCCTGTCTCAAGATTGCAGCCAGCCAGCATATAGACTATGCGAACAACGCTAGCCAAGGCCATTATTACACAAGCCCAGGGCATACCACCCAATCTCATTGTCTTATTACGATCGGTACATACGAGTATGGCAGGAAAAGCCTCGCCGCCGCGGAGAGATGCCCAATGGCTTACCGTCGAGTATGGCTGAAACTGAAAGGAGTGTAGACATTCGGTGGCTTCGCATTCATGTATTCCCCGTCAAACTCATACGCAGTCGGATCCGTCTGAAAGGAAATACCTCATTTCAAAAACTTCGTGTGCATTTATTAAACATCCTTGGTAAGACTGACCCTAGTTTCGCGATCCGCGGTCTTGATCAGGCACGAAACCTCTCCCGATCATCCCATCGACATTCTCCGAATCACCTCCGTATGTTCGGTGAACAAGCGGCATGCGTCTGTGATATTAATGTCAAGCACTACCATTTCACATTACTTGCATCGCAATATTGGAAGGTGTGTCCGTGTTGGTGTGCAAGTAGAACACTTGCTTGGCGTAGAGGCGCGACTCTTGGCTGCGATTGGTTTGCCAATCAACCTCGACACGAGAATGTACCAGGATCTTGCAACCTGCCATCTCGGCTTCTTTCGTCCCAACCTCGCATTAGAGTAGGAAAAACTGGTAGGGCCTTGTCGTTGCTCCTTGTACAGCGGGGCTGCTGCTTACTTTTTCGTTCCAACTTCCGAAGGTGTCATCATCATCATCATCATAATCATTGACGAACATGGCCTTAATTCAGAAACCCGACAGACAACACCAACATCAATGTTGAAAAGTCGAAGGTGCTTAAGGCAATAAACCCGCGAGTCGATAAGTATGGGGGTTGCTCTCTCGACATGTGGGCGTGGCATTACATTAATAACTCAGGTCGCGATTCGTCTCATGCATGGCGGTTTGTTGGAATAACCAGGGAAACATTTCAAGGTTGAAGCTCGCTTAGCCAGATCTAGGCAAACGTCGGCTACCGAAAAGCTTGGTTCGAAGTCCTTGTAGTTTGCTGGTTCGCAACTGAAAATTCATCATCGAAAGTTCCGAGAGGCCCGCGCAAACCATCAGCATCATCCATCCAGGCCGTTTATTTGTCACCGAAAGCTGGGACCAGGCAACCATTGCAGATTGCGTAGCGAGTTGCCAACTTAAGCAGACAAGAAACTTGCTCTCACTCCGTCAAGGCGAGTTTCTCGGTCGCATTTTTATGTCCACTTTCATGTCCACCAAGAATAGCACCCCCAATACTTCGTACCTCCACTCGGCGATACATAGCCGTTGCAAAGGGGGTTGACAACCCTGACAGTTCCAATAGACTTCATACCCAGGTGGTGTCGATCCCACCTTATTTTTCTGCTTCCCAAGGGAAATCCTCGAAAAAGCTTGGTATTCTATTTATCGAGAGGACGATTATTCACCCTAAAATCGTTTATGGAGACCAACGAAAGGCCGCGTCAGCTCTGACGATGATCCGCAGGCGTGTGTGGTCTGGTTAAGGTAGTGAGTGTATGGTGGGGCCGAAGGGGAAGGGGGAGGGGGCTCACTCCGCCTGGTTGCGCCAGTTTCCTCGGCTCTTTTATAGTTTTACGAATGGGACGGCGGATCAAAGTACAGGGGGCAGGAGGAGGACTACCCCTGCAATACAAAACAAAAAATGTCCACCCACGATGCCAAGCCCTCACCAAGCAGCCTGCCAAGGGCAGACCCGCAAGACGCAAGACGCAAGACGCAAACATCGTGCTGGACATGGATGCTGCAGCAAGGTGGCGCACCGTCGAGGCTTCTGATTTGATCACCCGTCATGCCCATGGAAAGGCTCGAATTAAGCTTAACCTTGTCCAATGTCACATTTGCTTCGCTTGGGAGGGGTTACCATAGTAGAAGTTTGGGGCAGAAGATCAACATCTCGAGGCACCAGAGTCCGCACCCAAGCGGGATTCAGGACACACGGCCTGCTTCGCTGTCACATTGCAATCGCCGTTTGTTCGCATCGCAACACCCAATCAAAGCAAACAGTCAATTGACGGTCGGCAATTGGAGGGAGCTCAATAGCCAGATGCTGGGCTGACTCAACTTAATGAACGTTCGATTATCGTGAGGCAACCTCCGCAGTGCAACCCGTAGTGGTCGCGTGGTCGCGGGTATGCTGCTTCAATACGCAAGGTATCTCCCGGGAAAGGATGAGGCAATGGGATGCAGTGACTTAATGAGGTGACTGTCCGGCAGGACTTGTTGGTCGCCATTGCATCGGTTAAATTGTAGGATCAGGTGCTGTGTAGCAAAAGCATCGAGATACCTCGATAAGATTGCAGAAACAGTATGAAGTATTGATTCCAATCGGCCCCGAGTATATTCTTGCCCATTGGCTAGTAAGATCTGCGGTGAGTTAGCGCATCTGCATTTCCTACACACTGATTATGATGAGGCTTGAGCATCACAGTAATCCCGCTTAGATTTACTCGTTGTCGACACGCCCTGTACTGCAACGTGCAATGTTCAAGGTATTCGGAGTCTATAAAAGGACCGGAAAGGCTTATCGACTGCAGATCAATGAATTTCTCGTAAAAAATGTAGCCATTCATGATCACACAGATGCGGGGATTTAGAACTGAGAAGAGCCGCGCCGTAGACTTGCGTCTGTCTGGCTGACAGTGAGCCTCGATATCCAAACCCCACCACTCCTACTCTACAGCACAGCGTATGAGTAGAGCAGCCGTAATGCAACGGTGCAAAATCCGACTACACTGCAGAGCTTGCAAAAAAAGAAGGGAAAAAAAGACCCCATTCGGACGCATGTGCACGGCAGGTAGTATTTGAACAAAATTCTTCACATGTGCACATGTTGCCAGACAGATGCATGGCATGTTATTTGAAATGTCCACAGCCCCTCGCAACTTGCCATTGGGGAACCCTACCGGGGATCGGCAACGCCACGGCCGACATCCCGATGTCACACGACTTCACCAACTTACCTCAGATTCTACTTCCGATCTACATATGCTCAGGGAAGCCGCGGCGGTTGAAGAAAATAGAAACATAAGCCAAGGAAGCGTCATATGCAGAGTAGCGGTGAAACTATCTCCTCGTACTGATCTGTTCAACTCTAGGGTAAGGACCAAGCCATTGTAGATGCCCGTTAAATGATCTTTAGCAAGCCACTTTGGCAAAGGGCGGCATTGCTACCAGACAAATAAACGCGCCTTGCAGCAAGAGGCGAGTTGAACGGGCAAGTTTGCTGCAAATCCTCACGTCCAAAGTTGCAACAAGCGATAAGGCTATACAGTCAGCGAACTTTATATCCTGGTATCCCGAAAGCAGGCGGAATAGAATTCCCGGTGGATATGAAGGGGGTGCGAACTAACCCAGTCCGGCGTATGGTTGTTATTTTCAGCCCCTAAGAATGTCATGGTCGTCGTGTTAGCCTCTGTACGACTGACCATTTTGGACTCTGTTTCCGAGATTCGTGAGACGCCCCCGAAAGAAGTAGATATTAGCGGCCTACACACCATGAAGGTAAGACCGGATGGCAAAATGGCGGCCAAGCAAGTGTGCTGCAGCTCGTCAATAACGTGACAGGTTGGGGGCCTAAAAATCCGAACGCCAACCCGAGGATCAGGTACTGCCTGAAGCAAAGGAACTACCCGTCTATCCGGCTAAAATACGGTGATTTCGTGGCGCATTTAAGCTCCAGGACGTTCTATGCAGTGCCCGCTAATTGCCTGTTGGTGCGACCTGGTCATTTGAGGAGTACGAGCACCGCAATTAACTCGATGGGGGCCAGCCAGGTAGGACAGGGTTTGTTTTGTGCTGTAGTGTGCGTAGGATGACTCGTTGGATTTTGAACATCGTCACAAACTTGCTGCCGAGCAGGCCCAAGGAAAACCACCTCTTGGCGCCGACTCGGCGAGTCGAGTGGCACAAGGCGTGCTGATACCCTTCCTTCGGTTTTCTCGTTTTCGCTATCAGGCTGACGCCCCACCTTCAGCACAGGGTTCCGCTGTGAAGTCGTAACTTGGTCCCATCCAAATGTACAAGGTGCGCTGGATGTCTCGGAAACCTAGATGTGCTTGGCGAGCGTCTCTCTATAGGTCACGGAGACGTTGAGAGACTGGGAGTTCCAGGCTGAAATCCCTAGATCGAGAACTAGCGCCATTTTAAGCTTCGTGTGAAGGTGGGTGTCGAGAATGCGCCCCATGCCATTGGGTTCCAATTCGGCGATCCGACGAACATGCTGTATGAGTATCAACACCAAGCCTTTTAGAGGAACAGATGGCCTAGGCCAAGCCGAATTGGCGTGATTAAAAGCATTTAGGAAGCAGCGTCGTGCCAGGTGACCCGGTGACCCCGCCACCACCAGCGACTTGACTGAAAGTGCACGTTCCGCGCGGCCAAGAAGTGTATTTTTTTCCCTATGAAAGACGTTGCACAAAAAGCAGTGGTTTACGAGATATCCGGGCCCGTAAGCAATATGCCCACCCAGGGGCGTGATCATCAGTCAGCGCCTGGAAATCATGATCCTCAGGACGACGATCAAAACAGTCAAATGACTGTGCTACATCGAAATATGCTCCTGACTCCCTTCATTGCCAAATCTTGATGGACGGCTTTTGACATCATGATGAGCAAACAACTCCACTTCGAGGTTTTGGAACAACACGAGGCTCCCCTCTCACCTCAGACTTTTGTCCACCAGGGGTGAGTGAAGGAAGGGTAATGGCTATTTTCAGATGCTCACGGCAGATTCCTAAAGGCAGGCTGACGGTCAGCAGACAGACGGGAATTCAAATCAGGATTGCCCAGCCGGGCAATCTCTTTAGGGTTCTCTTGATTGATTGGAGAAACCTCGCCATTGGTCGGCCTTCCATCACTCCAAGGTTGGATGGCTTGAGAGCCAAGCCCATCCCAACTTTTGTCGAAGCAGGCATGACATTTGAATTTGAATTCGGGGGCGACGTGGCCAATCCGTCTGATTCGAGACGGTCTGAATCCAACAGGCTAAGGCCGGTGGCTGAAAACGCTAAATCTATGCTTAAAATGATCCCTAGATCAGGAATGGAGCGAGAACCTCGTGGCGCCAAGACGCCAACCCTCGCCAATGGTCGCACGCCCAATCTACGTACCTCAAATTTGCCAAGGTAAGCGGCATCTGAACTTCGCGACTTTTCTCTCCAAGCATGTTTTCAATGCCGTATGAGGCGCCGGCATATTCAGAATAGGTAAAGGACGATCATGTATAATGAAAACAAGCTTGAATCTTGTGACGCGAAAACACTCCTTAGGTTCATATCCTAAAGCTCGCGTCAGCCTCAGAGGATGCCCGCTCATTTCCCTAATGATCCGATCTTCTGTCAAGTGCGGCTGCTAGCTCGAAGAATGAGAAGCTTCTTCTAAATCAGCATGCAAGCACGTAATCTTTCATTCAGCTGCCATGGAGCTGTAATTTTTGCGCCCCGTCTTAGCGTTTTTTGGGTTTGAAATATGCACGAAGCATTCAAGCCTTTTCATCTGACTTCGTCCGACGAAGACGGGCGTTTCGTCACCTGCAAAGCAGAGCTAAACTATATTCGTGAGGTGACCGCGAACGCTTTTACCAACGTTCGCTCCCGTAGTTCGTTTTATAGTTTAGCGACACATGTCGGCTGAGTCATTGGTTTGGCAGAACGGAATGAGTTAAGCTTGGAGGACTGATCAGTTGGCCGAAGTCTCAAGATCGGCCGGATTGGCCGCTTACACATGTAATGTACCCGAGCCAAGTTAGCAGCGAAGCCAACATCGTCCAATGCTATTTTCGGGCAGTCGACACAAGGAGCCTCGATGAAACTGGGGGGTTGGATACAACATCAGTAACAGCAGCTTTTTCTGGTGAGAAGCAAGCACAATACAGTAGGTCAGGGAGGCAGCCGGCATCCGACTTGCTGGGTCTTGGTTATGGCCGCATTCCAGGTCACACCACCAGACTTTCGCATCTTGAGACCGCTCGAGGGCATCGAGGGTTAAGCAATCCAACACTGTGGAACCAAGAGGAAGTAACGAGTTGACAAGTGAGACATGACAATTCTAAATGACAGGAGACGAGAAATAGGTTGTGCGACGATGGTAACTCGAAGCCGTGACACTCGGAGATGATGGCGGTCGAGCTCCAATGCGGGTAGTGGAGGGGGTCGAGAGATGTTGTGACCAAGTCGGCGTCGACCAAACGGGTAAGAACTCAACGAAAGTGGACGCGCGATGGCGACACGGGTCCCCAAAAGGAAAGGGAAGAGACGACTTGTCGTACAAACGGCTCTGGGGCATATCACGACATGCACCCATCAACACTGTCCACCAACCACCTGCCCATACCAATAGGACACACAACTAACTAACTACCTGTCCGCCATTCCGTGAGTTGGTTTTACACGCGCAACGTTTGAAAAGTGAAGTCAGTCCGACGTTGAGTTTGAGCATGCTTCCAGCTGACGTCTGACAACAGACATAGGTGGAATGGTGCTTCTCTCTGTCTGTGTCGCCAAACTTTGGCTTGTGGTATAACCATGCCGAAATGTGCAAGTGGCTAGTACTGACTGCGAACGCTGACAACGGGAAATGGCCAAGGCTACTTAATTATGAGACGGGTTCAGATGGCCTCGACGCTCGAGCTGGAACGCCCCAGCAAAGTCATCGATAGTTCATCGGGGAACGAGAGCCTCGCCGTTAAAGAAATGTTCAGAGTACAGATGTGGACTTTTGCTCGCCCTGGTCAGCTGCTCGCTACGACGTGGCGCGCGGTAGGCTGCGCCGATCTAAAAAAGAGGGTTGGCCGAATGCCTTGCACCACCCACTGTACTGGTACTGGCATTGGTACTCAGTACTTAGTACTTGGCATGCCTTGGCAGACGACGTGACTCGACTCCCTTTTCACGCACCAGACAGCGAATAGCGTTAGAGGGAAAACACATAATAGGGTTTGCTTGAGAGGGGGGGTGGCGTAGGTTTCTTACCCACCCATGGACCACAGATACACGGAACGGGTGTCAAAACATGATATGAATGAAAGCTTGAGACACGCGATCCATTTCAAAGCATCGAGAGACCACATTTGCCATTGCCTTGTATTATTGTTGTTCCAGAGTACTCCCTAGAAGATGATCAGCTCGAATCCTGGTTCCCTGCCAGATATAGGACAGGACAAGGCGAAATAACCCTCGCATTAATTGGCATTGAAGGATACAGTACATTCGTAGATGGCAGGGGTCAGACGGCGGGCCAAGGATTGCTCGACTTTCATATTTCGCGGGTCAGAGTGGGGTGAGTGTGACAGCTGGATAAGGCCTGGTCAGGCCTGGTGGTACAACCCCTGCCAACCTGCCCGCCGTCGCGAAATAAGCTTGAAAATATTGTGGAAAGTTTATATCCGTATCTTCCCATGGGCCATCATCATTCAATGTCCCGATCACTCACGTCAAACCAACCGTCTTGGAGGAACATCCGTATTTTCCGTTCCTCCTAGCCACGTATTGACAGATTGAAGTTTTGTCATGTAAAGGCTCCGCTTCGACCACCTCGCACCTGCCCTCTGAATTTTGATTTGGCTCATTCTCCACTCCATTACTACTTACGACTACCGCGCATTTGTCGTCAGTAATATATCTCTGCAACGAGGACGAGCAAGGACAACGATATCCGATCGATCACATCACACAGCACACGCTTGGAGCCGAGGCCGAACCAGGACCACACTCAACGCACAATTCTGCAAGCACATTCATTGATACGAGTCTGCCTGCGACTTCTACCGCAGTGCATCATCACTAGGCCGCCCGGGCAGTTCGTTCAGCCTCATCCTGCATAACCGACAAAACAAGCCCCTCGCGATCTATCAAGCGCAACTATCTGGCCTGCCCGCTCCTGCCTTAAACATTTGGTAAGACCAAGCTGGACTGGCGCCATTACGGGAACTATCCGTCAAACCCAAGATCTCATCCCGAATTTTAGCTCGGCGCAGTCAAGTCAGCTGCTGCGCCCACCACAATCAGGTCCGACGCAGTGAGAGGACTCCACGACGATCGGGACCAAATAAAAAAAAAGAAAAAAAAAAGAAAAAGCTTAAGCGTCGTGATTCAGATACAGTCCACACCCGCACCGTCCATCAACGGATCTCCTTAATCAGCCAAACAGAACCGACTTGGACGTTGCGGTGCTTCATTTCACGTTACTTTGGGCATTCGTCATTGCCCAATACAGCAGTGGAGTGGCCTCCATCTTCGCAACTGGGTCTTACTCAAAACTCCAGTGCCTCCCACATTCCGACATTGCCCCAGTATTCAGGTTGGCTTGACCCTGCCTTGTAAGGTAGTGGCTAAACACAAAACCATCTTTGCCACGGTATTTCACATATTACGACTCTCCAGACTCAGCCACGCCATCGACTATATTGCATCACGACGAGTATTCTCACAATCGCAACCCAACCCATCCACGGTTTGCCCGGCTGTTAGTGTCGTGCCACTGGTATGTTCTAAAAACAATTCTCCTCGTACTCGAGATCACCCATTGCGAGCCTGCTATCGGGTGTATACATGCTTGTTTTGTTTCCTGGCTTGCCCCATCTGGCCGCAACCCTATTACTGCTACCAATATCGCTGGTGTCAAGCATGATGACCATTATGAAATCGGCCAAGTAGGCAGGGCGAAAGTTGTTTTCGCGTGGAGTGATCCATCCGCTTTTGGCGGCAGGGAAGGGCTGTTTCGAGGGCCCCCTAACATCGCTGATTCCTCATCCCAAGTGCGATGTTGAGTCACCAGATCTCATCAAAGTCTCCTCTGGACCCAGCTCCCAGGATTGGCTGCAGCGGCTTCCTCGAGTGAGGACCCAAGTGACTATCGGCTCAGGCCCGCTTATTACCTTTCAAAGACGGCTGAGTGCCGGAAGCCCAGACATTGTTCTCTGCACAGTTGACGTGGCGGGCCTGCGCGTAACGGTCAGGATTTATATATGGTATCAAGCAGGCGGCTCCATTCGAAGCAGACTCGAAATTCATACCCTGCATGTCTCGCACGCCTGCTAAAACCTACCCTGAACCTGCCCCACACGATTGACACTCACTTCATGCGCACATCATATGAGGGTACTTGTCTTGGGATTTAAGCTTCTGTCAATTGAAGCAAAAACCTGTCTCCAATCGTTCATTTTGGCGGGCTAACACGAAGATTTGAAAGGGAACCCGCGAATCAGCATACATCTGTCGCGCAACGCCTCAACAGCGGGGACATTTAATCTAGACGGTGCTGTCTCGACTCGAGTTGCCTCAGGGTTAAGAAACGCCAAGCTTTCCTATCCTATCCATCGAGCTTGCGGGGCCATCGTTTTTGCCGCGCAAGCTTGTTCGGCCACCACCGTATCGGGTCTTACTATCGGGACTTAATATCAAGCGCCGGGCCTTTGGACGATCCACCTACTTTGAGTTCGAATGTGGACCTGACACGGCGGAAAGGGTTTGGATCGTAGAAGGAACATCGGTTGAAAAGGGTTAAGAGCGACCATATCACCGAGCTTATTTGTAGTGCATCGCCAGACACTCTTTTCGACCTTTCTACAACAATCTTCTCTCTCAACACTTCGTCCACACCATGGAAACCTACAACGGCTACGTGCGGACTCCCGCAGATGCTATCAAGTTATTCGAAGCTTGCAGACTAGGGCTACTGCCCCGAGTACAGAGGCGACTTTCGGAGAAAGAAAGACAGTCCATCAGATCCGGATCCGTCTTTGTATGGGATGAGCGGGAAGCCGGCATGCGCAGATGGACCGATGGGAAATCATGGAGTGCCAGCAGAGTTTCTGGTAGCTTCCTGACATACCGAGAGATGGAAGGCAAGCGAGGCAGTGGATTTGGAAACACACGTCGCAGCAACGGAAGGACGCCAGACAGCGGTCGCATGAGCGATGATGACCCGGACGGCGAGCCTGAGGGTTACAGATACAAGGCCGACGGGCTGATGAAGCAGTCGTTCAGCATCACAACATCACAAGGACAACATCTACACCTGATATCCTACTACTCGCGACCGCATCCAGGCTCCCCAGACTTGCCGCAACCAAGCAGCGATCCTCAGCTCCGACACATAATTCCAGCAAAGGGCATGTACCCAGAATCAAGTCTGCACGATGCCAACCCGCCCGCCCTCACACGAACCCCCATGCAGCCGTACACCACGCAAAGTCCGCCCGAACAACCAGCATATGGATACACGTGGGGCCCGCCGGCCTGGATGGGTCCATGGCCGCCGTCACCGAACGGCACTCCGCCGTGGGCGCAAGCGCAAGCCAGACATTCTCCGGATGCCCAATCACTGCACCAGGCCCGACCGCCATCGCGGCCGCTACCTCAGATTCGCGGTCCGACTCACCAAGGCGCACCACAACTTCCTCCGCCGCCTCCTACCTCTGCTCCAGGTGGTCCACCCCCGATCTATCCCAAGGCCATCCATATGTACGAACCAGACCGGATTCCTCACGAGCGACTACTTCCACATGAGCGACCATCTCTGCCGCAAGACAGGTCTTACCACACTCAACCCGTTGCTCAGGCTATGTCCCCATCTCCTCGCTTGCAACAGCTTCAGGTACAAGCCGCACAAGCAGCTGCGGCTGCCCATGCTGTTATGATCGATCCTCGCTTAAACGCTACAAGCGCTCGCAACCCGCAAGGTCCCCTGCCAGCAATGGCTCCTGCATCTAACGGATTGACGCCCCCTCGCACACATTCCGTGTCTCCTTCGCACAATGGAAGTCCCGATGGGATGAATGCAAGTCACAGAGCAAGCCTGTCGGCGCTGTTGCACCACCCTACGCCTTCGAACTCGGAGCCGAACAGCGCGAACCCGGCAAGCAGCAACAGCGCAAACAGCTCACCAAGGACGTTGACAGCAGGGGTTTCTGGTCCGCAGGCCGCCGACTCTATGTTCAGGGAAGACCAGAGAGCAATCAGCTCTTTGAACCGGAAATTCTGCATCTAGGAGAGCGAAGACGGTCGGTCTACTGAAGGTGTCGGCGAGCCTCGTCCTCAATCCCCATCATCGGGAGAGGCAAACCCCAGGAATCCTTTTCAGAAGGAGTGACTTCCATTCACCGCACAAAGATCCCCTCGCCAAGCTATTTTCTTGCCCATGGCCCAGCACCCTCAGCCGCGGGTCAATGCGGGTAAGGGATGGGGTTGCATTCCACTGGCGTTTCACTGCTAGCAATGGTTTAGGCAGTGCTTTTCCTACGGTCATCATTGTTCATAGCGCGCATTTACGTATGGTGGTCACTGTTGACCTCGGCATGGAGTTTCCGGTCGCTCAAGCAATGGGGTCTGCCTTGCGAGAGTTTGCTTACGGAAACATTTTGGGTTCCTGTACATACTAGATTACACAGCTACTACATATACAGCAGGTCGGTCTCCGTGGGAGCGAGAACGGATATTTGCGCCTGCGGGCGAATCCAGATAGCAAGTGGAAAGAGCATCATATTGCTTGAGCTCATTTTGATACCAATCATATTCATCCACGTTGCACCAGACTTAATCGCGCAACTCATGGGCGTTTCCCATCTGCCTCTTCCCCAGGTATTATGACAGCAATGCCGTTTCAAAACTCGGTTGAATCACGACAAACGTATATTGCTGGGTTACCTGAAACGCTACGATTTAGCTCGGTGCTTTGGTCGACCCGGTAATACCTGCTCTCGATCCACCATTAAGCTTTTCCTCTCTGCTTTTTCAGGATCCCCAATCTAGGGGGGAGAGAGCCCCGCAACGCCATTGAATGATTGATGGAATGTACCTTGGTACCCCCGTTCTGCCGCGCGTCAGGTACAAGGGGCCCCTACGACGTGACGATCCCTCACTGGGAAGGATGGAGACAGTGCTGGTCGGTTTTGTTACTTTTCATTCTCCAAGAACGGATCGGGGCGCAGTAACTCCCCTACCACCTCGCCCCCTCCCCTGTCCCCCCAGCTGCATTGGAGCGGCCATCGTGACATGCGGCCAGCATCGTACGAATTGTATGTGGTCTGCAGACGATTCTGGTGTCATGATGGTCCCATTGTCGGCGAAGCGCTTGTCTTTGGCCTTGGCCTCCCTTGCAGAAATAGGTTCCCGGAGGCTGGGGACTACTCTAAAGTAACAACACCCCTTGCTTTGCTTGGCGAAGAGACGATAATCAATCAGACGAAGATTTATTGGAGGAGGAAAGTGGCATGAGTCAGATTGATTAATTGGTAGTTTATTTACACTACACTTTAGGACTATTAATCGCCGAGGGATTGAACACAGAGAATACATTGAAAAAAATTTAGAAAAAAAACATTTAAAAAACGATACAAGGTATAAGTAGTGAACAGTGGAAACCCTCGCAGAGTGGCAACTGGCAGCCAGTCGGTCTACGACATGGCGGCGATCCCATCATCATGGTATGGCACATTTCCTAAAGTAGCACTCAGGACGCAACGGAACTCTTCCGTTTTAATTAAACTTGTGGGGGCCCATATTGCCAAGCAATGCCAAGCGATTCGCTTAGCTTTATTTCGGCCGTCATGGCCATGTTTGGGTGGGTGGGCATCTCTTTTCTTCTCTTGTACCGTCTGCAGTCTGTTTCATGGTGCCGGTGATTGGACGATGTTGCTTCGATGTTCGGCCTTCGGCACACGCAAGAGAGTCACTTTTTCCTGCTCGCTCCAATGGGGGAGGAGACCGTGGGCCGTCCTCGTATGGAACAAGCGGACAATGTGTCGTCGGAATGTTATGTATTAGACACATATGGGAGGGGAAGCCATAGCTAATCTATGCCAAGAAGTGACAAGACTTTCGGAAGTTGCGCGCGTGCTCCACTTTACAACACGCCTGGCAGCTTGAGGAAGAACAATAAAAAGGGGGCGCGGACTTTCCTGACCACGACTAAGAGCACAAAGACCAAGCAAGCGATGGGCGGACAGTTGCAGCTGAAGCCCTCGGTAGACGCCGGAGGAGGCTTTGTTCAATCTGCAACGGTGGAGGTCATCTCATCTAGAACGTATTGGAAGATGTGCTCAAAGGGGCCGAACGACATGGTGTGAATGCTTGTTTCACTAGCTTAAAGTTGTTACCGCGGTTTTTAAACGGAGACTTGCCACCGTATTCAGTGGAGCCAGCCGGCAGGCTTCGATGTGGGGAATCGTCAGACGATAACGAAGCCCGCCCGAGCTAAGAAGCATATTGGGGACGACAACCACGCTGGCTGGTCTTCCGAGCAGTGTTTCAACTTCCGAGTGCGGGATGGCCGGCGGTCCGACAAAACCGAGGCACCACCTCTTGAGCAGGTTTCAGGGCCCCTGGCTCGGCTACGAAGTCCATTGGACGATCTGCCTGTCAATCCCTCGTTCGGTGGTCCACCGAAGTTCCGAGGAACATACTAAATTGATCTTCCTGATGGAGCCACATTTTCGAGTCATTTCATGGTGATCGTATTGTATCCATGGAGGAATGACCGTACAGAGTACCGTGCCTGGTAAATGATGTTTCGTCCATAGTTAGCCGGTGGCTTCGATTTTGGCCCGTATTCATGAGAGCAACGCGGTCAATAATACATGCCCGATCATGTCCATATCAACAATACGGCCTGATCACATAGAGCATGTAGTGGCCGAGATTTGTGGTGCTTACTGAACCCGCACGGGCCTTCATGTGAATGGTACTCCGTATATCGAAGCTGACACCGGTCATATCCTGTTTTTCAGTCTCAAGGTAATTTCATGAGAAATCAATAGCGGAGCAAGCGGGTTACAATCAAACCGGACACAGGTGTGATAACCGTGTTTGTGTCAATTTACTGGACTGGAATGTCGGGTTAATCCACACTATGCGACCCTCGGCTGTGCTGTTAGTTTGGGCATTGTGTTGCGGAATCTCATTTCCTTTGCAGTCTTGGTTTTGGTATAAGCATATTCATGATACATATTAGAAACATCCTTACCTGGTGATCACCCGTGGCTACTAACCCTAGTAGTCAGGCGCCGGTAAAAGGGCAGATCATATTCGGTAGTTTTGATGACGTGAATGAGCATATTTACCAAATGCGTAGTGATATTCCACAGGTATGCCATCAGTCCACAATGGACAGTATTCACCTAGCGACCCTGTATCCACTGAGTTTGTTCAAATTTCTCCGCCAATCTTTTGCACAAGATGGCCTGTTCACCGTGCATTTCTGGTTACCGTAAACCCGGACACAGGTAGAAGCCAACGTCTAGTAATAATTAGGAAACTATAGACGTCGTCAACGGCGTCTTTATATTGGCTCGTGGACCCTTGGTGCAAATATCACTTGTAAATATCTTAAGGCTTGCTTGCCACTTTGGGGTTGTTGGATATGCCAAGGAAATTAAAGAAGAGACTAGCTAGAAGTTGACGTGCATAGGAATAGATCAACATCTAAGTGCTCGGCGTGGGCACGGGGTAAGAGGCATGATTCCCCGGATACCATATTCTGGGCCAACTAGTCGCGTGTGTCGTGTCCTGCGATAGACAGATCCAGCCAGGCAAGGGCTATTAGAACTTATAGGGCGCGTCTCGGGCACATTCTAAGTAAGTGTCTCTTTGGGCAGTGGGAGAAGAGAAGTGGGGGGATGGGCCATGTCGAGCTTGATAAGAAAGCAAATGCGTGTTATCAAACTTAAAATCGCCAATAAGATTAGACGTATACCAGGTGCATGGTTCCAGGAGACGACCAGATACTATTATTATTATTATTATTAAATACGCCGTAGGCTCGAAGCCCCCGGTACCTCTACCAGTACTCCCGTATGTCAAACCGTGCCCTAATGGCTGGACTAAATACATACGCTGCGTCGTCGGTTCGCCCTATTGGCGACTGCGTTGCGTTCACTACCATACTACGTTGGTTCTCAACCTACCAACTAAGTCCCCCCTGAGAAGATCGATACTATCTGGGCCTTGAAGCTGTCCGACCCGTCCCTAGCAGCCACCTTACAATAGTCCCACTAACTACTGGTTCTCCTGTTGCCGTTGCGAGGTCTCTGCGAGAGTATAGTGGCCGTGGTGCGATAGCGGCCCGTAATCGTTCCCTCGGTCCTTCCAACAGCCCGCAAAAGAGGATTACGTGCTCTGCCGTCTCAGGGGCATCGCCACAGCGTCATAGCGGCGAGTACACGCCAAAATCCCCTGTCTTGAATAAGAAGGCTGCTAGTCCTATTTTTTCTGTTCTGATCTGGCACAGCGTAGACGCCTCCAGTCGGTTCAGGCCGAAATACTTGCCCCCTTTCGGTATCTGCA